CTACCCACAATAAACATGGCAGGCCTGGCCTTGAACAAAACCCGTCTGCGCGGCCACAATGGGGTATTCCCCATTAATTGTTCATTGCCAGCATGACGGGGGAGGGTCCCGGCGATCAGTCACCCTAATCCAACGTTACCATAACTACCTAGGTAAGGTAGGTCAGGTACCTTTTTGCCTTGCCCTCTACCGCGATAAAGCGCGGTGTATGCACAATTAGCGATCGGCACCTCCGTTACCACATCGGGGTGGATGAGGCGCTTCAGCACTTATGTCGTCACGATGTTTGCAGTTCACAGACCCTACCGCTACTATGCGAAATAACATTCCATGGGTACTCTAAATAAACATAGGGCATAGTTAAAACTAGGACCTGTCATGGCCCGGTCGAGACCTTTCACTATAGCTACATAGGTACCTAACCTAGTAGGCATATCCCTTGGAGGCTAGGTATATACACTATTTTCCCTCCCCTTGGGCTTGGAGTTGGTAATATGCGTCGTGGAACAGACCACTTTGATCGTCAACTTTGATCGTCGATGTTTTCTGGCCTGATGCTGGATAGGTAGGTTGTGAACGAAGGCTAACATTATTGTAGTGTAGATAGTGTATAGTTAAAGAAATAGTGCAATACTTGCGATAAGGTCCCGACTCCGTACGGTGTGCAGCAATCCATTGCTTAGCTGACGTTAAAATACAACTGCCGGTTCTAGCGAAGGCCTAACCTAGTGCCCATCAAGGTTGGCAGACGCTAGGACGGCTATTCCAATCATGGCCCCCAGCGGTAGGGCCAATTACACTGAGGCTCCAGTAATTATATCTACACATAGACCTGTAATTAACCTGCCCCTGGTTCTTGGGAACGCCTTATATCGGGGCTTAACCCATTGCATAGTGTGAATAGCCTATAAACCAAATAAACGGGGTAAGTTTGATATGACGGAGTCTCTGATTGTGACCCCTGGGGATCTCGAGGTTCTAGAACGATGCAAAAAGAGGGTATACACTTTACTCAAACCCAGGTAGGAGGAATAAGGGGAATCATTATCATGATGGCAAGGTAGCCCTGCCACGTTTTTTCACTGCTTGATCTAACTTATTATATAAGTAATTTTGTAAGGTAGCCAGCCATGCAAGGACCAGGTTTTACCTTATATTACCTTACACAATATAGAACCGGTGAGTAGGTGGTAGTTATTATACTTGATAATACACACCTACTTTGCCTTGCTGGCACTGCACTTTTTAGATGTTCGACGACGCGAAATAAGATAACCAACCAAACTGTGGAAATATTTCCGCGCTTTTGGAAAATGGAGTAGGTAGTTTAAAAAGAAAAGAAAGAGACCCGCGAGCTAACTAACCGTGGAGAAATTAAGGGGCTGTCCATTGATGGCGAGCTAATGCCAAATAGTTTATTTTCCTTAGTTCTTAGACGCGCTGTTAAACGATACCGAGTTACAAAGATCATATATACACAGAATGGGAGAACCCATAGTTATGTGTGTGTATCTACTTTACCTTACCTAAACGCTTGCCTTAATATAACCTAGGTACTAACATATAAAGGCACTCGCTGGCTCATATATATAATTTTAGTAGTTCGATGTGAAGGTTCTTGGTACCGACCTGCTTAGTACAACGCCTAATCTCATATACCCACGTTCTCTATGCCACCAGTCCTGATATAAAAGCGAATACGAATGACTCGATAATATCTTGTTAGCAAACCTAACCTCAACCCTCCCACCGGGCGCTCGTGAAATAACTTGTTTTCTATCACAAAGAGTACCTAGTTGGCCGGTGCTGTCCTTAATTTTACCAGGAAAGGATGTCAAAATGAGTTTGATGTTACTTCGACTAAAAGTCGCGAACCTGTGAAGCATAAGATGGATGGATGTGTTTGCTTTGCCATGTTGGCTGAGTATTAGACCATCTAAGCTTCCTCTAAGAACTGAGGTAATAGCACGTATGAAAGAGCTAAGTGACAACTAGGCATCGTACCTACAGTGAGTTCAAACTAAGCGAATATATGGTTGGCGCCGTGGATCCCCTAACCTTGGAAGTGAATGTTACTTCCTTTTGAAGTGAGAGAAGCAAATTTAGGGGCCCCTATCATACTATTTGTGATTCGACTCTTTGGCATCTCTTGCTGACATCTACTAACATTTCCTAGTATACGGGACACGACACCTGTCACATGATCGATCAGTAGCATACAAATTATACAATCATGGCCATGTTCGATGTGCTTGATGCTCTCAAGTAGCTACTATGTGCAAATCTACTAGATGCCTGGCACCTACGATGTATCTACTATATAGTAGGCATGCTCTACGACTGGATTATTATCTGCCCGCCTTCTCTGTGTTTTACTTTGATTCTTTCTAGACGTGCCTCAATATGATCCAATTATCCCCCACCTACCTGATTGATATGAAGACTTTGTCGATCAACAAGATCCAGGGTCCAAATCAGGGTCCAACCTACAAGCATTTGTTAACCACCCCAAGCCATCTTACAAGATCCCGTCGTAGATGGAGGTGAGCTCGTTGAAGGTACTTGGGTAAATAAGTTGTCTTGAACAGGTACCATCACAAAGTGGACTGTTATCTATAGGATAAAGGCCGACTATCCGCTATGTCCCAATCTGAGAAGTCAGAGAGCCTCGATTCTGTAAGTAATGGCAAAACTGAGAACAGATTGAACAACGGCCAAAAAAATATAACCTCAATACGTCTACCATTTCATCAGTGTCCCATCTACAAGAAAGGTTTCTCCATGCGATCTCCCCTTGTGGTGTCTAGAGCCGCCTTTCGCCTTGTCACGAGGTGGAATCTAGATTAGACGGAACAGCATCGTTATTGCCCGGGAATCTCTAGCATCTCCCCGGGGACTTTGGAGGCTACTTGGCATATATATTGGTTCTAGCTAGAACTCCATTCGGCCTTCTTTGGCTTGACTGTCCAGCCACAGACAACGCTTGCTGTTCTTGGACAAGCTAGATGATTGAACCAGCCAGGGCCATATGTCTGTACGTGATGGTTTTGGAGCATCACGTTCGCTGCCACGCCCTCCGGTCCCGCGCATGGGAAGGCGAAGGGCATCAGACAATAACACTCCAAAATGAACTAGGTATACGCTGACCCATACCGCGTCATCGAGCGGATTGGTACGCTGGCGTATCGCCTAGATCTTTTCGCGGCACAATGCGAGACTCCACGATGTGATCTCCGTGGATCATTTCAAACTGGCGATGATGGACCATTATGGCCTCAAATTCCCGCCTCTCGGACCCTTGACAACGACGGAGCTATCCTGACCTCTTGGGAGAAGGCTTCCCTCACTGTATTATGTATCTTTTTGAATACATATATGATTTTCCTTGGGCGGTAGGCCTGTTTTCCATAACAGGATGGCTTGTTCTGGTGTTGCAGGTATGCTGCAACCAATAAACAGAAAGATGAAAGGAAGAAAGCTTGCTTTATTCCCAACTACGATGGCGCAGTGCCAACATATAAGGCAGCCCTAGCCTAGTGGGGCTAGAGCACCTGCAACATCTAGAATGCCGTATTCAACGTAACAGAACTCAACTAGATCACAATCAGCAATCGGTCGATGTTTATGCCGGCGTAGAGGATCGTAACACCCACACAAAAGAAACAGCAGATGCCCGCAATTCTACTCCGTTCCCCGTAATATACCCATAACTACCCAAGTGGCTACCCCACACTATGCCCTACATGTCTCAGACCTGTCCAGATGTAGTTGATTTAAGGGAAATAGATTAGCTACGAGATGTTGGAACTATCTCAACTAGCAATTCAGACGGATTAGATATGACACCCCTTATATATGATTTCAAAAAGATCCATAATCCAAAGCGAAAGGTCGAAGCCGATTTAAGTGTAAAGGACAATGTGATTGTATTCCAGCTCTGTTAAGGTTGGGCAGCTGCTTATGAAGTGCCATGCCCTCATTTTCACTAAGGGGGCTTGCTCAAAGACACATCCACAAGCCCGCTCTGCTCTGCTCTGTTCAGACACGTCTTTGCCCACGTCTGCACACCTCCAACCCCACTGGGCACAGGACGCATATCCCCACGTGTCTAGGTATTAAAATAAAAAGACCCTTGATATCCCACTTCCACTGACACCACGTTCATACCAACCTCCCCAAGAGCCACAACGTGGGCCTTTGAAGGCCACACTTATTATGAGGGAAAGAACAAACTGATAGACCCGGAGGCTTTGAAACAGAACAGCCGAGGCATATATATATACCGAAGACCAGAGGACAGTAAAGATTACTCTAGGTTAGAGTCTTCAGATCTCAAGAAATGTGCCAGCAAACGCCGATTTCATCTAAATGCACGAGAATCCAAACGCACTAGGTTGCCCGACAGTGTATCACGTGACTACATCTTCTATCACATGACTTTGTCCTGATACTTCTCATCTGACTTCCTAGATAGGTACTCAAACTGGAAGATCTTTGGGCATTGAACTTGTTGGAATGGCCCATATACTGGTGCTGCTAGTATAACTAGTTATGTATTTGATCGCTTTTATGGATCAGGTATAGTATGACCTACGCTTTCTACTCTAGGGATCCCTAGCAGGGATTAGAGATGGATGTTTTAGCTTAGGGTGCCCACGTGACCCCCCTTTCTTTTATAGGTGTGAGTTCAAGCTCGAACTCGATGACAAAGTCCTAGGCTTCAAATAAAATTGAGGCTCTTGGGGTATAACCTTGTCGCAGAGCCTCGTATGCAATGCACGTCACATCAAGTGCTTACTATCGTGCCATTTTAAGTATTAGTGATGTAGTATTCGGTGTTGGTTAGGTATTTAAAATAGAGTTGGAGTGGCTTGTAATCTTCCTTTCCATTGGGTGTTGTTGGGTTACCGGCGATGACTACTCCCTGAAATGAAGATTATTGGGCGCTTACCGAAGGCAGTTTGCTGACTGCTGGGAATTTTAAGCCTCAGTCGCAGGGTGCATGTGGTAAGCGGCGACCTGAACATCGTACATAAAAACCGGAGTTCCCGACGCCCATTTGTGTGCTATATCTATAAAGTCCTTATTAACCCCTTTCTAGAACACGCCACTTCTCAGAAAAACTGCCTCATATAGCCCCCATGTAACCAACGCCTTGAAAAGAATCTTATTCCAACCTAACCAGGCAACCAGGCAAAATAGGCGCAATTCAATCTTTCTCATCTCATGCTGTAAGCATTATTCCTACGCAAAAGTTCTCGGCGCCCCTATCGAGTTCCACTGCTTGCTCCCGCCAGAAGAAATGTTGCCAGATATGTCAGCCATTACTCGCCTGCGCCTCATCGGACCGATGGTATTGTTTTGCTCAGCATTATGGCATGCTGTGTTTCGTTGGATCGATAACATAGAGTCAGAAGTACTATTCAGCTCCTTATTGTTAAGCCCTCTAATGGCTCTCGGAGGCGAGTCAGGCTCGGGATGATCCATGACGCGGCTTGCCTCGTTATCGTCGCGGAACAGGCTCCGAACACACGACTGGACATAGCTCTCATTTTCACGAAGATAATTGTGTGTGTGTGCCGAGATCTTACTATACGCCTTCCACTCAGCAAGCGTGACGTCCTCTAAGCCACGATCAACATTGAAACGGTAGTAGCAGTTGGTATCGCCATATCTTATGGCAAGCCTATCCGCTGCTTTCTTTGAGGTGGTGGCGATGGTCTTGAGCGCTCTGAGGATCGACGTTCTGGAATCCCGGATAGTAACGGCATCGCCTAGACCAGAGCCAATGCTGATGACGCGCAGCTGACTCTCCGAGATATCAGGGAACAGTTTCTTTGCCTCGTCAATGAGGACCTCGCACGGGTTGTTATAGCCCAATGCGGCATCGATGAACTCGATATGATCTCGGCCGCACTTGATTGATTTGAAGAATGTAGTAGCCGCAGAGGTAGCTCGGGCTACCTCCCATATTGCACAATCTTGGAAACCCGTTGCCGTGTCATAGGTTTTGAAGAGTGTAGGTGTCGAGTTGATATTTTCTTTTGTTGTGGCTAAGACAACTCTGTGATGAACGGTTAGTGATCAGCTAAGCAGATACCGATGGGTACACACGTTTTTGTACAAGTCTCATCTCGGAAAAGTAGGTCTCCGTGCGAACATGACTGCGTTGCTAAGCAGTGGTTGTCCTTACACAGAGTCCTGATGACCTCCTTTATAGCGTTCTCCAGAGCTGTGGCAGAATAAGCTCCTGCTGGGGGAGCAGGAAAAGGAAGTCGACGCTTGGGGGTAAACGCTTTTTGAGCCATTCTCCTATATGTCTTAATACAGTCGTCGACCTTCATTTGCAATCGTCCTAGCATTATCGCGATTATCCTATCCAGTGTGTACAACAGATTAGTAACGCATGCCACCAAAAAAAACAACAAAAACAAGTCCTAGTGTTGGCTTACCCCCCTGTGCTCGTGCCGCCTATAATGTCAAACATTTCGCATGGCCGGGGGACTTCGGTTAGGCTTTGGGCTTCTTTGATCTTTTCCATCAGTTCTTGGAGTATCTGGAGACTCGATATACCACGAACACCACCGCCATCTAGCTCTTCGTTAGTATAGCAAAAGAAACAATAGGCAGGGGAAAGACCTTACCCAAGGACAGTATTTTTACTAGAGGAGCCATGCTGAAAAATTGCTAAATTTTCTAGGAAAAAGGCCATTTACAATAGGAATCACAAAAAGAAGGATATTAATAAAGGTTAAGAAAGAGAATACAGAATGAGATTACCAGTGCTTGGTGAACACGTATAACCTCGATAGGTAGGTATGTATTGGCTATCTCTACTCTACGTTTACCAATAAGTCCAATTAAACTTAGAATGGATGCGTGACTTAAATATTAAAGCCTCATTAGCGATATCCAAGGATGCCTAAGTATAAGTAGTACCATAGGAGATTTGCAACTTCGGTAAGGATAAATCCTGTGGATGTAGGGCTGGTAGCTGGCGCATGCATTCTCACCTAATATGTTCATATAGGGAATCTTGAATCACGTGAACCGCCACTCAGCCACCAATAATGTATATTATAACCACGTGTGAGGCTTATTCTTAAGGCCCAAGCCTCAATTTTCGGTGAGCCCAAGCAGCTTGCGGAAGTACATCTCAGCAACCAACACATCATCGTTCGTCCTCGCCACGAGCCTCAGCGTCGCCCTCTCATCCAACAGCGTGTAATTCTTGCGTATCTCTTTCCCGACCCACGACGGCAGCCACGCGACCTGCGCGGGGCCGTGCGTGATCTGGCCCGTCTCGACCTCGCTCGTCGTGACGCTGACGTAGTACGGCCCCGCGTACGCGAGCGTGTGCTTGCCGATCAGCGCCCACTCCTCCTCCGCGCCCTCGAGCTCCGTCGTGTCGAGCTGCCCCGGCCGGTCCTCGGGCCGCGATGACATGAAGTTCGCCGACATGAAGCCCTCGGATGTGTACGTCAGCAGCCCCGCCGGAGTCCGACCGAGTCCGGGCTCGTCGCGGTTCGCGATCGTGCCGTTGTCGTAGTACCTACCCTCAATATTTAGCTTTGATATTAAAGATAAGGGGGGGGGGGCAGGGGCCTTTTCTAGGAAAGAGATGCAGCAACCGGGCTTGAGCTTACGTAGTCACGTTGAGGTAGATCCAAGACCCGGTGAGGGCCTTTATCACGTCTTTCGGTTTCGTCAACATCACCATGGTCGCGATGTTCAGGCCAGCGTAGGTAAGTGCCAAGGTACTAATCAAGCTCCCCTTGACGCTATTGAATATACTTAAAGGGGAGAAATATCGAATATCGCAAGATTCGCGGCTCCCCGATCCCATTTAATAGCAACACCATCTACCCAAGTATCAGCATATCAGCCCACAGTCGGCAGTCTAATGCTTCTACGTCTTCCATTTGATCGTGGTGGAAGCCCGGCTAAATGGGGATCTCATGTATGGATGGTACCTAACTACCGATACCAAGTGAACATTGATTTCCCACGCCAATCAATCTGGATAACAAAAATCTCCGATAACACCGTTTTTGCTGACCATGCATATATAACAACACCTTCATTCTATTTTTTGATGAGCTTTAGGATCGCAGGATCGCAGGCGGCCTACATGCAAGTACCTTACCCCTTGGAACGGCAAAGATTTTCAGAGATATTTATTACCTTAATATCTTAAGGGCCGATGTACCCTTTACTTTGCCGAAAGTATTTAGTTGCACATGGACTCTACATCTGTAGCCATCAAATCAGCCTACAAAACTACGAGAAACCAAAACGTGTCTACAGTATTCTCCTATCATGCCAAGTCTCTGATCAAGTTTTAGGTTGAGCTTGAGTTGGCAAATAAAAGCCTTTATTGATGAGTAAAGAGTGTGTTGGCCTTGATATGACCCTCTAAGCGCGTCAAGAAAAGTATTAATGTCAATCTGAGTAAAGGAGTCCCACAGCCATCGATAGCATTGTGTTTCTCATCTTGCTTTCCATCCCGCGTGCTAAAAACTACCAAATCCCAACGATAACGAGAAAGTAAAACGAACGCAGAGCAAAGGAGCTGGTCAGAAAATAAACTGAAGCACTTAAATGTCCTCCCCAACACGGGGCGAACTTCCACCAACCCAGTCCTCTCGCTCGTAGTAACGGAAGACAAGTTCGTAATCGTCAAAGTCATGGACTATACGGTCGATGCGCCGGTATCCCTGAATCTTCTCCATGCGCTTGATGCGACTGACTCCAACGAAGACCTCGTCATCGTCGGACGCCTGCACTGACTTAGCCTCGAATAGAGTGACACTGAATCGACCAGGCTTGAAAATCCCAACCACATGCTCAATAATCTCCGAAGTCTCGCGTCCATTTTGGCCACCGGGAACATTGGTCTCGAATGAGGCGAACGAACAAATGGGTTCGGGCGTCACGTGTACAGTGAAATAATGGGTCGACTTGACGTGCTCTTCCGTTTCCTGCTTCATAGGAGCAGGAATTATGCCGTTGGCTGAAAAGCCACACGGGGTAAAAAGGTATGCGTCGACACGAGCATCAGGGTATACGGAAGTAGGATACACATCTGAGAGGCCGCAAGTATCGGCGACGACAGTACCCAGCGCGTGACCTTCGGTAGTCAGACCTTCATCATCCACCTGCTCGGAGAGTGGAGTGTGGGTTCCGTGAAGATCCGAGTCGCTTCCGTTGCTAAACACATCAAATGTGTCATCGGTGGAGCTGTCGATAGTACTGGTAGTCCTAAGCGTCGCAGTACTACCAGACAAGTCCCCAAGACTATCCGCGGCAATCTGCCGCGCTTCCTGAGCTTGCTCAGAGAACCTGGTGCTCGCGACCGCACTCGCGTGCTCCAGGTAGAACTTCTTCGCATTCTCAGGGTCGAGATCCGTCATCAAAATCTCGAGTGTTTCGTCGTTGGAGGCCGGGCCGCCATTGAATGCGGAAGCCAATCCAGTTGGAATCCTAAAGGTGCTAGTCGGGCCAGTCGGGCTCAATGATTTCTCTACATCTGGTGTACGAGGGGGTGTCAAGCTGGTTTGGGGTGAGGTGATGTACAGGTACCAGTGATCACCGTTCATCTTTCCAACCATATAAGCGCTCCCCCCTTCGAACATGTCGTCAAGATATTTAACCTCCTGCTTCCAGCTACGATGAGGGCCTTGCTGCTTGTGGGGGAAAAGGAAGTTCTTGCGTGAATAGAACACCCGATAAGGCGTAGCCGCAGCGTGGATATGATCTAGGGATTTGGCGTTATGAAAGGGGAACCCGGCATGTTCGGCGGCAATTCGAAGAAGCCTATGAAGACCAAGTAACAGGGTCGTGGTCCCGCAAGTCTTGAGAATAAGTTTGTGTGGGAACACAAACATACTAGACTCGGAGAGTAGATAGGCATCCATGTGCTCAGCCTCGAGGACGGAGAGAATCTTGCAGTTGACCATGTCCAACATCCCGACCCAAGTTTCGTTAGAGACCGATTTCAGGCCATTGGGCTCTGCACCAGGCGGGAGTGCTTTAGCGTTAGGAGCAAACCAAACCTCGAGCAGTTTCTCCGGGCCTGAGTATTGTTAGCATAAATTGTGTAGTTGGATTTAAGGGTTGACTGACCTTCGAAGGCATTGGAGGAGTCTAGATCTGCAGCGATACCATGATTAATCGTCAAATGGGGCGTGCCCTCAGATGGCGAGAATGTATAGTTTGTTGGGACCTCGAAGTTGACCATCTCCGTACAGGGCCTGAATAGGCGACCAATAGGTACGATGTTCAAAAGGGGTATTTTGTCGTGGTAGTGTCAGGATATCTTTGCTGCAGATAAGGTGCCGTAGCTACTGCGGAGCACTGACTGCCGCCCAAACGAACCTTGCGGCGTTCGTTTGAGAGAGTAGGCCCACAGGTCGGTGGGAGTCTGTGAATGCTGGCGGAGCCAGCTACAATGGTGATTTTTATATTGAACGTCTCACGAAGGGGACGTTAGGGAGGTCGGGCTCGAAGGGGGAAGCAGAAGATCTTTGACCAAGGAATTGTGACGCCTTGATTAGAACCTCGTTCTGGCAGAAACCGATACCTATGGGGGAGTATCGGGTCTAGCAGACGAGGATATCTGCAAATACCGTTGGTATAGAAGAACGGCGAAGAGTAAGTGAGATTGGACAATTGCTTCTGAGATAGTAGAAGCGGGTGTTATCTAGGCCTATAATGGAATACACGGTTAGTTGTGGTGCAAATGGATCTTGCTAAAGATTAGTGATTTACATACTTTGCGGGTTTGGATAGGAAGCGAAGCAAGTCTGCTGGGCTCATGGAAAACCAGACTTGATATCAGGCGAGTTGTGCTCTGCTACAGACAACCGTGTGGACGCCGAGCAGTATTACGTCGTAAAAACGTGAGAAGGTTTTGTTTTTGTTGACATTGGCTTATTATCGCCAAGTCATGCAATGAAATATTTTGAGTGACTTATGTCGTCGTGTGTTGTGTCACGCAGTGGTTGATTCGAGCGCGAGAGGGTTAAGGGCAACACAAGAGGATCGTTGTTTTAATGTGGATGTGGGTAATAAGTGAGAGAAGAAAAAAGAAAAATTTGAGGGCCCCGGTCTACTAGGTAGGCTGGTAGGTAAACTTGACTTTCAAGGTACTATGGAAGTACTCTTTCTTTTTTCTTCGATAGGCTTTTTATGGGAGAGTTATCGTATTAGCGCAGTTCTTAAAAAAATTGTTGGTTATAATCAATTGAGGCTAGCAATACCTGTTAGTTGTGTAAATATCTTAGGGCAGAGGCAATATTTTGAGTACTGCTATTTAAGACCGGGGTAAAAAAAAAAGAGGATGATCAATGATATGGATTCTGAGCGGTGAGATATTTTGTTTGAACATAGAATTGTGCTACACATCTAAATACATACTTCTACGCCGTACCTACTAGTACATATGTAGGTTCGGTACCAAGCAAGGCAGTAGATTTGCAAGTGTTCTAGATGAACCTTGTGTTAAATTACCTTCAGCTACTATTATGTACTATTGTATTGTACGACAACATTAAGAATTGAACTTTGCGTGTGGGCAAATGTATGGGCAGTTGCCTATCTTGCATCAAGTTGTTACCTGGAGTGAAGAATTCAAATGTCCATGTGCACCTGCCTCTATGCATGTGTTAATATGGTAACCCAGCAATTAGGTTAGGTACCTGACAGTCGTAGCTGCGTGGCCATTGGGTAGGAGTGAGGTCACTATCCTACCCAAAGTGGAGAATCAATGACTTCCAGGTTCTCCAAGGCTTAATTTTGCGCGGTGAGAGCAAGTTCAAGTTCATCTTGCCCCATTTATGGAGGGGGATGCATATGATGCAGACACCTATAAAATCGGACCTTACATAATAACATATTACAACTTGAACCAACATGAACTTCAAAATCGCCAACGATAATCACTTGCACATTTGCCGAATGTCTACTAAAGTTCTTATGCTAGCAAAACATCAACATATTAAGTTGCATCAATTTTGCTTACACCTCCTTTTTCTTTCTGAACTAATTGTAATTTTTTGGAGACTGTTGTTCACTCTACATACGTAGTAGTTCTGTTGAAAGCGATCACCACATTACACGAACGTATTCTGCGAGAAAAAATGTTTGCAATGGGAATTTCCATAGCCATGGGATTTGGAGAATGTAGCATGGCGAAGAAGAAAGCAGGAAATCTGGTCCCAGGTAAAATGCCCAAGTCGCAGCCCAGGCAGTCCAGACAGCCCCATGCTCATGACTGCAACATTATTGAATGCGACGCCCCTGATCCTCTTGTGAGACATAGATCGTAATAGGTCGGCATTTATCATTTATTCTAGTGCCACACTCGATTGCTTCCCCTCCAGCAGTAGGTAGGTCGGTCGTCGATAAGAGATACAGGACTGTTAACGAAAAGTATCCAGCCACTAGAAATGGGGGTTTCAACTGCTTGCATGCAGTTACATTGGATCTCAATATACATAACTCAGTGCGGTCACACGGCATGTCAGTTTCTAGGCCATATAGCTTAGGCTGATAACAATACGTCCGATATCATCCGATAGCTGTGACGATATCTTGCGTGATCTTTCTGAAGATAGGCTCAAGGGAGCAATCTCGATATTTGTCTGCAAGTAGGCTGGCTGCCTTCGTTTCCTCACTAGGCGTATCGGCATGCCCGTTTTGATGTGTCTCCGAAATATCCTGTCCCTCAATGATAGTTCCCTTTGGATATAGCGGTCGCCTGCCCGTTTCGACCAACATAACAAACTGAGGGTCAATAGGGACGCCCCCCAAGAATCGTACATTGAAGTCTTCCGCCATAACTTGGCCTCCCCCCTTGCCAAAAATATTCGTGCATTCAGCGCAATTGGGGCATACGAATCCAGCCATGTTCTCTACGACGCCGACCACCGATATTCCCGTCTTTGCACAGAAGTTTAACTCCTTTCTTACGTCCGCCGTAGCCACAGCTTGAGGCGTAGTCACCACTACCGCCCCAGCAACTTGTCCCGGGGATGCATCTTTTAGCAGTGTTTCCGCAAGTGATATGTGCTCATCGGAAGTCCCTGGAGGTGTGTCGATGAGTAAATAGTCCAGATCTCCCCACAATACATCTGAGAGAAATTGCCGGACCATCGCGGTCTTCTTGGGTCCCCGCCATACTACGGCATCGCCTCTTCCACGTAGTAAGAAGCCAAGGCTCATGCATCTTAATTCGCCTATACCAGCGTCGGGGTTTGCAGGGTGCACAGTTACGGGGAGCCAACCACCAGGAGCTTGAGTGACTTTTGCATCTTCGATATTGAACATTCGTGGCATGGATGGCCCAGTAAGATCGACATCGAGAACTCCAACAGAGTGGCCGGCGAGTGATAACGACAAGGCGAGTTGTGTAGTCACAGATGATTTCCCTACACCGCCCTTGCCCGACAAGACCTGCGCATTTGAATGTTAAATCGTATCATTCAATACTGAAAGCTTTGTGAGCTAAATTGGTAAGGTAAGGTAGACATACCAAGATAATGTGCTTTATATTTGCGAGAGACATCGTTAGACAAGAAATACGCACTACTCAAGTCGATGCGGGTGTTAAAATGTTGAGCTTAAGTCCTAGTCTAAGGGCAGATGACATGAGACAAAGATAATTGTAACATTGAATATAAGAAAATAGCTTTAAGGTGGTTGAAAAAGCTTCATGTTGCAATAGCGCTTCGCTTTCTACTTGGAGGCAGCGTAGCTAAGTGCTGTGTACACATGTAGTAGGCATTAGAAGACGAGGGAGAATAAATCGGCGTCAACCGGAGTTGCATTTATCAGCAAGAAATTGCCCCTCTACATTAACGTATTAGACCCGGAACCGGACCAGACTCAGATGTGGACCACCTTAATTTTTTAGTTACCTAGGATATCTAAAACCTCCCAAAACCTCCCTAAAACAACACTAAACAACAACAATACCAAATCACTTAAAAGAATTTATAACGCCACGAATCCTGCCTCAAACGAAACGAAACTTTACGAACGTGTTTATCATATCGAAATATACGAATATAAAAATTTAAAAAAAGATCCGACGCCGATTCATCGAGATACGACTTTTATACTGCTTAGTTGCATAAAACCTACTATGTATATATATATATTATCAAATTCCGAACCGCGTAACCGATGTATCTAATTCTTAATATGATATTTATATTTAAACTGAGATAATATATCATATTATTAAATTATATCAAATTTAGTAAATGTTTGGCGGCGTAATAATTATTTGAAGTGATTTGGTATTGCTGTTGTTTTGAGGTGGTCCGGATCTGAGTCTGGTCCAGTTCTAGGTCTAATACGTTATGTAGTTGCATATTTGACTAATGGTACCAAGTACATAGTTAGAAGTTGCACAAAATTTTGCCCCTCCATGACATGCGGAAATGACGAAACCTTTTAGGTTAAGCTTTTGTTAGGGTAGATTCAATGTTTCCAGTGTGTTGTAGCCACACTAAAACCCCATGTTGTGGCGCAAATGTAGGTACCTCCCAAGGGTGACTGGTAAATTGTGGTAATGTTCGCCATCTCCAAATCTCCCAGCCGTTCCGAGCCAAGGAATCGATTGATTTCCCTCGTCATGCAAGTTGCAGGCTCAACCCCTGAACCCGCCCCGTCTTCTCCGTGATTAGCGTCGCGACTGGCTTCTAACGCTTGAGCTGCTCAGTGCTTACAGGTGGAATACAAATTCAACAATAATAATAATAATAAGTTATCCATATTATTCTTGGCATTTCATTTCCATAGTCAGAAACCAGATTGTACAGATTCTACACGACACATTGGAATAGCCAACGATATGCTCCACTCCAAAGCTTCTGGCCTACGCGCTTCGTTATTCTAGATACATGCGAGCCGTTCAATTGGAGTATTAGGTTCTTCGAATAGCCGTATCGGCAACCAATATGACCATCGGTTCAACTAACTATGGATGATCCTTGGGGCTCGCCATGGGCATCATCAGATCTGACATCCAAACGTGACCCTCCTGCGCCATCACCACCTAAAAACCTACTCATTCCGCCTCCAAAAGCCTTCTTCAGCAGCACTTCAAGCCTCCAAACCCTGTCACCCTGGGTAGATGATGGGTTTAAAGATTGGAAGGGCGATGACCAGCCAGATATTACAACTAAGCCGTTGGATTGGGGGGTCTGGGCAGATTCGTCCTCGCAAATATCTCATCCAAGTCCAAGACTTAACGACTCGGGAAGAAGAAGTCCTCTTGCATGGCCGAGTAGCGCCGCCACGTCTCCAGGTCTGAGACCACTTCCACGATCTCGATCTCCATCTGTGTTCCTCCCTCACTCCCCGGACCCATGGGCAGCGGAAGTATCGCTACAAGACAGAAAAAATGATTTATCAACAATATCGAATATACCGGAGAGCCCCATTGCAAGTGCTCAACGCGAACCGATTGAGAAGCCCCTACGAGTCGCGCAAGACAAACCCACCCCCAAAGCTAGAAGAAATGGTGCCCAGTTGAAGAAGAGAGAGAATATAATAAATAAACAAGCATCAGAACTGGAACCGACACCGCTATCACCAAACGCCGATGGACCCTACATTTCAGATACAAACCCGGCGCCCAAAGCTGACATTCATAATACCCCTTCTAGATCATCTTCTACCTTCTCAGTCGACAGTACCAATGGGCCAGACGTTCAAGATTCGCCGATTACTTCGATCGACGAAGACCCCAAATTGCGATTACAGGTCGCATCACGAAGACCCTCGGGTAAAGTTCAGGAACTTGTGGGAATATACAATGGAATTGATAAGGCTACTACGGAGGAGCCACACCCACCGACACGACTTGAACCTTCAAGGAACCAAAGTCGGGGGAGGTCACCAAGCCAGGTCCGAAGCACTAGAGGTGAAGATGACGGAGATTTCGGGGACTTTGAAGATGTGCACAGCGAATACAACAAACCAACCTCCGAGATAGGCCCCCCGGCCTCGCGCGGAAGGCCATCGACACCTAGGACTCAGTTACATGATACCTCTTTACCGGGCCACTTGAATGAATTAACTGAAAGTCCAGCAGTGGTGTCAAGACTAGCTTCGATACCAGTCCAGCAGCTTATTGAGAAATTCGGTCCTATAAAGTTTGACATCGACTTTCAATCCATAGATAAACTATTCTCGGATATTCCCCCAGATGCGGGTGGTAATACGAGGGAAGCCCATGAACTTTCAGATCGTGTCATTGCAGATAGCTTTACAACAATCTCGGAGCGCAAGACGTGGTATCGGATCTCTCGCTATGGGTCGATGCGCAAACATGATTCAGGTGATGATGATAATTATCATAGGGTGGAGTGGTCAACATCTCGGTTACATGGTGATACCATCAAAATCGTTCGAAGGTGGATGGAAGAGGATTCAATTTCTGGACGAATCTCACTCGGTGCTGGTAAACGAGTAAGCGCCTTCAATTGGGACTCTTCTGCAGCCCCGATCGATTTGGGCAAAGTCTTTGCTCGAAAGGCGTCTGCCGCGCATTCACGAAATACATCGGTTCAATCGCCGACTCAAAGCTCAGCGCGATCAATCCAATCCGTGGATTCAACTCCCGAACCGAGAAGATCAATTCAAAGCCCTATCAAGCCCCCCGGTGCAATCTCTAGCCCGAGGGAAAATTCCTTTCCTAGCTTTGGTTGGAGCTCAGATGCCAAAAGGTCGTCCTCTATTCCACCTCCGATTCTGGGCAATAACAATAAAGACAGCCAACACGTGAAATCTGCAAGCCTGACTTCACTGGCATCCACCAAGACCGGGTCTAGCACCCATGTCCCAGCCCCGATTCGACCACATCACCAACTTAGCCAGGTTGAACCGGCCTTAGAGGACGATGATGACGACGATTGGGGTGAGATGGTATCGTCTCCTCGGGTAGAAACTCATCCAGCTCCTATTCTAGCGCCAAAACCGTCCATTGATGCTGGCTCGGTCTGGGCTAGCTTTGTCAACAATAAGCCAATTCCCGACGGAAAGAAACCAGTAATCTCCCACGGTAGCAGCATGTCGATGCCAAAACTTTCGGTTTCCATCCCACAAAGCACTCAGGCCTCAAAGCAAGGGGCTAGTCAATCAAGCTCTTCGAGTGCCAAAGCACTAAGAATAAATCCCCCGTGGCCACTCGCGGATTTTTCCAATTTTCAAGGCTCCCCTGCAAGTACGCCACAGTCTCCAAGGAAAGACCCTTGGCCACCGGCCGGATTTTCGGGCTTCGGATCACCTTTGTCGGGGCCAACGTTGAGTCAGGCGAATACACTCAAGACCCAGACCATGGCCATTCCAACATCTTTGGAAATTCCAATAGTACAGTCAGATGAGGAGAAGATTCGAGGAACTGAAGTTCCGGTGAAGGGTATACTTAGTCCAATCCAGAAATCAGACGACGAGCAGGATCAGGATGATGTCGTGAATAGTATTGTTCGAAATCTGCCAGACTTATCGTACATGTTACGCTAGCTCGCATGTTCACAGATTCATTATTCATTCCTATGTTTAGGTTCTATTTGGAGACGGCGATAGCGGTGATCGACAATGGGAGACTTGAGATGATTAAGGATTTTATCAGAGCCTTACGTTTGGAGTAAACAAAAAGGACGGTTGATGTCTTGGTTACGAAGCATCGTTATAGGCGTTTCACGGGTTTGGAATCAGAGCGATTCCCTTCAATGTTTCTGCTGTACATTATGAGTTTTAGCAGTCCAAAGCGATGCCAATTACTTTATATTTTTTTCAGCCATTTCTACTTACTTCGTATAACGCTTCCAACGGCCAAAATAATATAATTACAGATATCACGGGCCTCCTGGCTCTAAGACCTCAAGCTATATATTGGTAAATTGGACATTCCAATGGCTCGGCCAGTAGGTGCCTACACCTTGTACGTGCATACCATAGTACATACCTGTCACCATCTACGTAGGCAGTAGGTAGGTAGGTACAGTAGTATTTGAGGCTCGGTGCAGATGTCTCGCATTGTTTACCCTAACCGCCTCCCCTGTTTTACAAGGGTTCTAGCGTTACTAAGACGGGTGCTTTATGTAACCCAATCCTCATCTCGGTTTCCTAAATCAGCCAATTACCAACGTTTGGAATGTTCTTAGCCATGCTACACAACCACCTCTCACTTCTCATTGCAACCTCGACTATCAAACTGTAAGGTCTCCATTTCCCTTCTCGGAACCCAGCTATGTTGTCAAACATGCCTAGATGAAAACATCTGTGGGGAACTAGGGGTAAGAGAACTGTTCTCTGCTAAGCCTACTGCGTGATTGGGAAACATACTAACTTAGGGATCTACTAGTAGTACCTTAGGTACTGTAGGTTTATAGTAAAATGTAGAAAAGAACGAGGTCGACTTCATTCTCTTCTTCCGTAAACGTTCGTCACCACCAAAATTGGCCTTCGTTCATTCCAAACCATGGCCAGGTCACGCCGTCCTCTGTCATGTCCTGCCTCGTCAATTTAGTTGGGATGAGCATCTCACGATGATGGTTATTATTTATACATTGCTTTAATTTCTTATGTTGCGGGCAACTTTTCGTTTCAGTATTGTTTATAATCTCAGTTTATATTTTTTTTCCCTTCTTGTAGATGAATCCCTCTCATCATTCTCACTCGACGACACTATCAATTTGCAACGGGGCAGCTGGTCGGCACTGTTGATACTTGGGCAACGCTCAGATGGCGTACAAGGGTGAGGAAGACCAGGCTTCGTCCGTCGATGGCAAGCACTCGGAGCTTCTATACAAGTCTCTTGATCAATACAACAAGGAACAAAAAAAGAGGAAGCGCCCTTCGATAATTCTCGGCGCTCTTATACTTCTTTTCCTAGCGTCCTCCGGGGGCATCATTCTTGCGGTGGTGTTGATGATACAGCCGGTGGAGATTCAAGCCGCATGTATCGCACGAGACCTCATACTATTCGCCGCTGCGATAGCTCTATTCTACATCTGCATCCATATCAGAGGAGCGAGGAAGAACTTTAGGAGAAGAGGCCCCGGGCCACCACAGATCTATGGCGACTACCTTCATGCCAGCGCGCTGCTCGTCGCACGACTCGGTATCGCCGTTTGGGTGGCTGCTCTCGTCGCCACGTGCGTCATGATTGCCAAGGCGGCCCCTTTGCCGGGCCTTGCTGGAACAGCGCCGTATCTGGATCTGGTGATATGCATTGGTGCCATGTAAGGAAACCCCCCGCGGACATGCCTCTACTAGATTCAAGCTAACTCGAAAAACAGACCATCGTTCATCACGATATCCGCCTCGATCGAAAGCAACCCCACGCCTTTCGCGACCACAGGGTTAACTAGAAGCGCCCTACTGACCCAACGCGGTAGTGCCCGCTTCACCGGCGACTTCGGACCAGACCTAAGCGTTTCTCGTCGAGCCTCGTTGCAGCGAAAGGAGAGCAACAGCGGCTCTATTTTAACACTACCGACGGCAGAGATCTTCCGGCTGGGAGAGCCCAAGCCAGCCGGACCCCGGGCCCAGAGTAGTGCAGGACCCCTTACGGTAACGACCAACGACTTGTCCTACGACGACGATAAAACAGAGCTCATGGCGAACTCTCCCGTCGCGACAATGCACAACATATCCCCAGTCCGAGGCGCCAGACTCTCGTCGTCTGCAACAGCGCCACCCATGCCGAAGCTACCGCCCTCGTTCTCCAGGTCCCCTCCACGACCAGCGTATAACCCCGGGGGGTGGCCCAGCGAATGGAACAACAACAACAACAACAACAACAACAACAACAACAACGCAGCCGAGCAACTGCAAGTCCCGCCGATGGCCCGCACACCCTCCCGAGACCGCGCGCGGAAAGCCCAGTCCGAATACATCTCCCCCCCACCTTCCTCCCACTCTTCCAACTCCGCCCATTCGTCGAGGGCTAGCACGGGACACCGCGTGACCCCCAGCACCAGCATCGCCAGCAGCGCGCAGCGCTCCCGGCTGTCGACCGTCCGGTACGCGGCGGAGCCGGAGGTCGCGGTTCGCCAGGAGATAAGGGTCATCAGGAACCCGAATTACGTGCCGCCGAGCGTGGTTGATGTCCCGGATGAGACTGCGGATCACCCGCACCACCACCATGACAACAGCAACAACAACAACGACGCTAGTAACAGCAATAATGGCGGTGGTAACGGTAGTAGCACGACAGACATCCGACCGCCAGAGCCAGCCGCCACACTACACCCCCTGCGCATGGAGCCGCCAATGCGGCTGCAGCGCCGGCCGTCGAATTTCTCGCGTCCGATACCCCCGACGCGGGGGTCGGAGGCGGATTCGGGCGTCGAGATGAGGATGTCGGAGGAGGGAGGCCTTAGGCCGCCGAGGAGATGATTTGCTGAGTGGATGGGATGAATGATTTGTGAAAATAAACGGCCGAAATTTAAAAAGATACCCCACTGTCTCGTTGTATAATATGGAGGAGGAGAATGGTCCTGGAGATGACTACTATACCTGTTGGCTTTGCCATTCGATTCGATATATCTTGAAATAATTCTTTTGATATATAAACTGAGTAGATACCTACACATGGTTGCAGCGCGAAGTGATTGAAGTTCCTTTATTGAATGAAGAAAGAAATATCAGTGGGATTCTACATCGTCTAACAAGAGCCTTGGTGCTGCTCTTCGATGCCTGGTATTCCTGTTATCTATGAGTAAGCTGGTCACGAAGCCTTATAAAGTCGCTATCCTGAGATCCATAGGTACTGGAACGTCCAGGTTGGCTTGTAATAGGTACCTAGGTAGGTAAGCAGCTACCTTATAGGCATACCAAGTACTACGCCTACAGGGACAAATTATGGAACTCAATCTCTGGATGGACTGACTAGGTAGACACTCTTCGGCCAAACTCGACACAGCTTGACTACAAGGTCATGTACTCAACAAGTTAGGGTGGTAGACGTCACACCCATAGCCATCAAATGGAGCCCAACCTTCTTTATTAACCAACTCTTTCAGCCAATGCCAATATCAACGCCAACTGGCACATCAACTGAATTCCCGGCGCGGGTCTGCCAATCAGACGATGGCCGGGTCAAGGCTATAAGCCCTAACCAAAGCATGACTTCTAGCTCGCTTCAATGTATCGCACTCTTTCGAGAGTTGATGTACCGTAATCGAGGGTGGTAGAATGGCCCACTGAAACCACGACGACGAGGCGCGAGCTGCCGGCTTGAGGTACATGTCGGCCTCGATGGCAATGGGAACAACCGCCCCCTAATTCAAACACGAAGCCTGCGGCCTTCGGCCGCTTCTTGGTGTAAGGAAACTCAAGAGGCTGGGTAAACCTGTCTTCCGACCCTCGTTGAAGGCGGGTAGGTCAAGGGGTAGTAGGGGCACCTTGGACTTTCAAGTACGAGGTCACTTTGCCTAGATTCATACCTGGTAATATAGGTACGTTAGGCAACTACTCGACCCGAAGTCAACATAAAAGCAATGATGGGTGTATCTAAAGAGAACCGTTCGATATAGCTGTACCCAGATAACGAACATAAGTAAGTATATCGGATTGATACCTCAGACTAAGCCGTGAGCAAAGTGTTCCTGTGTCTCTAACCTTCAGACCTTCCATCAAACGCTGTTGACCAGATGGGCATGTCTTCGTGGCGATGCATAAGCTGATAAGGCGACCACATGGGGGACCAGCGTATTGAGAACCGAGAGACTTTTGCCTCTCTGTACGTCATATATGCGTACCAGCGCTAACACGAAACTGTACGAACATCACCAGTAAGACGCGATGATATCGCCACTCCCATGTACGCCGAATTATATCCACGACTGGACAGGTCCCTACCTAGGAAGGTGTACGTTGGGGGGGAGTTGTAAGACGCATACATGTATGTACTGCACATCGAGAAAACTGTAACCATTCGCAGTCTCATATCCGGACTCTTGCCATGATTTCAACAGCTTATACCATGGCATCGTTCTTCAAACTATCTTCACTCCGGCAACAACGGGCATGATCTTGCCATTGTCCTGGCCTTATCGCCGTGGCGCGACGTCGGGCCAAGTTTGGGCCTAGAGTGTTTGATGTAGTAAGGTGCCGCGCGAGACGTCTGTCTAGGACGCGCCGAACTATCAACACCGCCGCGTATAGAGCAGACCTTTAGGATGACTGCGATTGAGATGCAGGTGTCATGGGTAGTAAACCAGACTAGGCACTAGGGAGTTTCGGCATGGCTGGGGGGGTGATGTCGCTGATGCACCAGCGTTATCTCCTACCCGTCCGCCGGCCGTTTGGTCGCCGATTGTTCAAAAGAGACTCTCTCACACACATAGGAAGGCACCGAGTAGTATTCCTCTGATATCAGGACCAATGGGTGAATGTCTAGCAGGTCAGCATGATTTTAGCACCGCCTAGTTATAGGCTGACCTTCAAACAAACGGTCGTGGTATACCAACACGCACGTCATGCCGGCCACTTCCTCAGCCTTAGAACGGTAGGGAATAACCAAGTTTAATATGTTTGCTTGAGTGGCAGGCTAAAGGATAGCAGAAGCTTCTCGTCCAAGGTTGTGTATGTATGCTAGCGAGGCACCTTCCAAGGCTGAACATAGTCCGTCCTCACGCCGTCTCCCAATAGGCTACGACAGGAAGATAGATGGACGTGTCATATGCGGCCTAGTCGCCTCTTGATTCTCAATGCGCCGCATGGGATTGCCATGCGTATATACCTCATTGGCTGTCCGGCTCTGGTGATAGAAACCGTGACAATCAGGGCAAGCAAGTCAGACCATGGGAGGAGGAAGGTCTCCAATAAAAAAGTTGCCTCCTACTGAGATGGCTATCGTACTATTATACCCCTCCCTCTAAAGGTCGAGCCTGACGTTGGTCCTGAGCCCGGCACGGACCCCTTATAGCTCGGCAGTACGATAAGCCTGTGATAGACAAAAGTGTACGAAGTACTAACCCGGACAACGCTTGTTTGTCCGTTAGCTTTAGTCATTTCAAGATAGCACCTAGGCCCTAGATAGATACCTAGCAGCTGCCTAGTAGTAGCCAGCATATTCTAGATATGCATAGAAGTAGGAAGCCCCAAGCCCGGGGGAAAGGGATATACTAATCCAGGCCAGGCCAGGCCAGCATAGCATGAGCAGCGCAAATGCTTTTTTTTTTGTTTCTAAAAAAGCACTGTAGGACCTTAACTTGAAGATCGATAGCGGTGTCTTAGAATCCGGTATTTCCTGGTAAATGGTTCGTGACAAAACTTTGCCTGGGGCGGTGATGATGAGCGAGCCATGGAGCGAAGGGGGGGGGGGGGGTAAGGTAGGGGAGCAAATGGGGGAAGACCAGTTCTTTATGAACGCGAAAAACGCGGACCCCTGCATTCGATTCGCGCAAGTGGAAACAGTTCGTGTCCCACAAGAAGCACAAGAGAGAGAGAGAGAGAGAAGCGCGATCACTTTAAAGTGTACTTCGGCTTGGGGACCCGTTCGGTGGTGGTTCCGTTTGGATCGACCCCCCCTTTTTTGTTTTACCTACCTTAGGTACCCTAGAATCCTAGATACTAGGTAGGTAGCGTAGGCAGTTGCTTCAACTTGCTTGGGTGTGTGTAAGAATAGGTACTACCATGTCTACTAACCATGTCTTGGATTACAGATTGAACGCGATGATTGGCTTTCGTTCGTATGCATCTACTATGTAGCAGATGCAGTAGATGCATACAAGATGCATAGTTGCGGATTCGATTAACTTTTCGGGCGCTGTTACTACTTGGTGAGACGGTCTTGACGCTTTGAATCAGCTGAATGGACAAATCAGATATTGGGACCGGGGAATTGCATGAGGGAGATGAGAGAGATGAGAGACATTTCCAAGAATTGACGGCAACATTTTGTCCGCATCCAGTCAAGTCCCAAGTGGCCCTTGCACACTTTGATCCATGCAGGTAATCAGGTAATTGTCTCCGTCCAACTTGTGGTGACCCCCTATTTCTGATTGGTGATGACTCCAGAACTATGACCATTTTACACCAACACCACGCGTCCACAACACGAAAGGGAGAGCAAACCGATTCCCGCAAGTCCACCGAGAAGTTCATTCATTCATTTGAACTTCGTTTGAAACCTATGTACTGTACTGTACCCTACATACATAGCAGTGTCATAGCTGGAGGTATGTGATATGTAATTGAATCCCACAACTACCACTACCGCACTTCCCAATTTCCTCGCATAACTTCCTACATTGACCTGCAGTAGGCCAACCATCTATTGTTCCAATCATCTATTCCCATTGTTTCTCCCTTCCTAGCCTAGTCCCATTATTGTTTGATCTAGGTACTGTGCTTGTGCCTATCTACACACAGTACGTATTAACTCAGTACCTAGTACAGACTGTACAGTACCTACATTAACCTGCATCGTACCTATTTATGTATCTCCATACCAGGCATACCTCAGGCAGCCCTGGAGACCTGCAGTAGTACGATACAGTGTAGGATACAGGGCATATGTACTTGGAATTCCCAATTTCCAACTTTTTACATACATATATGTACATACATCACCCTACAGTACCTACTTTTTAAGCCAAGACATTGGATCTCCCGCGTCAATCCTCCACCCTTCCTGGCCTCCACTGGCGCGACCTTCCCTTTTCCCTTTACATAGTACACTCTTCTACCTCTCTACCTCTTCCTCTTCCCCCCCCACAGGCGACACACTTGCGATGCAATAAGACCTGTCAATTCCCACCCCTTCCATCTCTCGCCCACTTTTTCTTCTATTTCCCCCCCTCCTCCTCCTGCTCCTCTTGCAACTGGTCACTGGTGAATTTGAAGAATTAGCAGTTTGGTTTGCTCTCGCTTCCCAGTTTGACGATAACATCAATCAGTGCAAAAAGGAATCAAAACAAACAAACAAACAACAAGAAGTCGTGACAATTACCTAACACATTCTCCCTCAAAAAGACTTTTTCTTAGGCGTCAATCGTCCCTGTCGACTACTGCGCACCTTGCCAACTACGATCGGTGTCCAGTAAATCCTGGGTATCCTTGGTTGCCCCAGATTGAATTCAATTGCAACTGGTAATTTGGTAGTTCAATTGGACATTTGAGAAAGATCCCTTGACACGTACAAGAACCACGTCAGACACATACATACCGCAATGGCTACTATCGCACGCCAACCCTTTGCGCCGCTCGACGGACCGCGACTGCAGACACTGACGAGCCAGAAGAACCGACAGAATGGTAAGTTATGGAGGAATATATAGGTGCATGGCGTGTTTTAGACACCAATTGCATTGGTGTTTTGATATCCACTTACCTACCTAATTACCCAATGCCAGAAGAAAAAAACAGGCGATCCATCTAGTCCACAATCCAATCCATCCGCCATACTCAAACCCTGCGCACTCTGCAATTCTTGTAGAGTTGAGTTTGGAATGCCGTACTAAACAGTTTTCTCATAGCTCTTTCAAACTCTCCTGGAAAGCGAAAGGCGGCCGAAAGCTTAGATACGGATGATTCCGAGAACGTCGACCCGCAACTCTTCTCTAAGAGATCGAAGGGCTCAGATAGCAGCAATAGCTCGACTAAGGATCCTCTTGCCAAGCCGTCATTCTTTCTCACCAAGTCTATAAGCGCCAGCAACATCGCTGTTGCCAGCCCGCCCAAGGCAGCTACTCCCCGATCACGATCGCATCTCAACCCCAAATCGCCCACCAAGTTGAACACTGGCATTACGAAGTCGCCTCTGTCTGCGCCCGCTGGCCGATCCCCAACTCGTGGCAAGAAAACCGGCATTCTCTCGTCTCGCCGCCGCACCGGCGCATACTCTCGCGTGGACCCGCCTTCTTTCGGCCTCTCTAGCACTGGAACCCCATTTTCTCTCGACGCCGCTCTGAAAGGAACCATCCCCAGCTACGCCAGCCGCCATCATGGCTCCAGCAAGTCCGTCTCCAAAGCACCAGCACCCGCCGCTGCCACCGCCGCCTCGCCTAGCTCCGTGGAATTCGGCAGCCTGCACGAGAGCGAGATGATGAAGTCGTCGTGGTTCTTCGACATCCACGAGGACACGCAGGAGCAGGAGATGACGAACCTGCTGCAGCACAGCACGTGCGTGCTGGACATCAGCTCGGACGAGGAGAGCGAGAGCCGCCGCCAGCGCGAGCGCGCCGAGGGCAAGGAGAACGTGCCCCCCGCCGACGACGTCTCGCAGACCTCGTCGCGACCCCGCGCAGCAGCAGCAGCAGCAGCAGCAGCAGCAAGACAGGCACCTCTATCAGACGACGAGATGGTGTTCGAGAAGGAGCGCTACCCGCTCGGCGAGATGAACGTCCGCGAGTACTACTCGGAAGGGTATGATGAGAACTCTGTTGTTCTGGTTCTTGATGACGAGGAGAGCGAGGGCCAGCAGCAGGGAGGTTCCAACAACCACAACGGCGAGCTGCCGTCTTCTGCCCACCAACTCGAGGACCCGCAAGAGTCCGCGGCTGAAGAAGCCGTCGTCGTCGTCGCTAAGAGCGTCGCGGAGTTGATGGAGAAGACGGACGCGCCGGCCCCCGGAGCTGCCCTGCTCGAGCCGTTGGAGGGAACAGGCGAGAGCTTCGAGGTGTGGGAGAGTGGGAGCGCCAAGGATGAGGCGGAGACTACGGCTACGGAGACGACGATATGAATTGGTTTAATTGCTATGACCATGACCACCACGAACTTCACGGACAAGTGTCCTCGCAATGTATTTTGTGTTTTTTTGCTTTCCTCAGGACTGATACTGCTCCGTTCAGTCGACTAATTACCTCGGTACTATAGCCCCCACACGGAGTATTGTGATTATTACTACTGCTGCTGGCGTTCTTGGAATGGAATGGCCGGGAGGCAATGGTTACGATATGGGAATCTGGATACCGGTGGTCAACTGGGCGTTGGTGTTATGGCTCAATGGTTGGCCGTGGATTTGTACATTTGTACATTGCTCTGTTTCTTCCTTTCTATTGCTGTGTTCAACCAATGCAAGCACCGATGGTAATTTCATATTGAGATCCCCCTTTGTATGTCGTGAGTGAATTGTAATTACACAATGGCAAGGTTGAGTTAAAAGTGAATACCAATCAAATAAGTTGGAAGTGCTATAATAGAATGACAAGGCCTAATGACGTTCTACTGCAAGTACAATTAGCAGGTAGCTATTTTCCGAGTTTCCCACCCACAATTATCTTTCGCCTTAATTAAACCTTATATGTCTATCAATAACCATCTGCATGAAACTGGCGCTCTTTGGCGCTGAAAAGAACAAATGAGCGAGCTAGCTATGGCTGCCTAGCACCTACCTATCATCTTACTATGTAGTGATAGGTGATGAATTCATCACGATATAACGATTACATAAGGCAGCTTGTGACCCCACTGCTAAATGCGCGTTTAGCTAGTACGTAGCAACTACCTATAGCAGGTAGTAGGCCAGTGTTTTTAACCGTTTAACGGTTTAATAAGGTAGCTCAAAGGTTTAAATCCTTCAAATTTGGGGTCTTAGTTAATCACGATACATTCGGCCGCTTCCTCTTCATCATTCGATATCATCTCATGTCTCAAGTCTTATAAGAAGACCATCTCATACCCAATTGATACTCATCTACTGATTGCTTCTCACACATGAACTACCAACTAATTCATCAGATCTCACTTTATTTACTCTACGGAGATATCAACATCGTAAAATACCTACATATCGTAAGGAGATCGTAAAGCCAAAGGTCACATCATGGCCTCAATAAATGATCTCGCGACAGCCGCGACCATAGCGTCATCGGCTGTAGCACTTCAAGCATCGCCCAAACCAGAGGCGTCTCAATCTACCCCTCCACCACGCTCACCGTCTCTAAGCGCCGTAGCAGCAGCCTTAGCAACGCCACCCACCCAGACTGGCTCGTCATCAGAGTCCATACAAGCTGCTAGGCCAGACTACGCAAACGAAGATGGGGACTCTATAACTGTCGCCACGGGCGCCCCACCCATCTTAGCCGCGCCTCTGATCATATCTCCGCAGGCCGCGCCAGCGCCACCACCCGTCGCGTCGGACGGGGAAACCGTAGACGCGCTGGGAATTGGGGGTCCAGATGAGAGCAGGGGCGCTTCCAACGAGCACAGTCCCACGGGCGACAGCATGGACGGTGTCGAGAAGGAGGCGGAGCCGGTACCTCAGAAACCTGTGCGCGGCACGTTTGTCGTGTTCGAGGGCATGGACCGCGCGGGGAAGACCACGCAGGCCAAACTGTTACAGCAGAGGTGCATCGAGAGCGGGCGGGAAGTGCGGTTCCTGCGGTTCCCCGGTGAGTTGGAGCAGGCGAGCGAAGCTCATGACGAGATGAAGCGTGTGCGTTTTTGCTAATAGAGTCCGTTCATAGACAGGACGACGACAATCGGTCGCATGATCGACTTGTACCTGAAAGGCCAGGCGGAGATCGACGACCACGTCATTCATCTGCTGTTCAGCGCTAACCGATGGGAAGCTGTGTAAGTTGTTGCCTCCACTAATTTATTCTGTTTGAATCGAGCGAGTGAGTGAGAATCGCCAGACTTACAACTCACGCTTGTCGCAGTAAGAAAATCCACGCCGAGCTCGAGGCCGGCCACACGATTATCTGCGACCGCTTCTACCATAGCGGCATCGTGTACAGTGCCGCCAAGAACATCAAGTCGCTATCCTTGTCTTGGGCGAAAGCACCCGAGGTTGGGTTGCCACGACCTGACATGGTGTTGTTCCTGGACCTCGAAGAACAGGTGGCGCGGGAGCGCGGTGGCTGGGGCGGTGAAATTTATGAGAAAGGCGAGGTGCAGCGACGCGTTCGCGATTTATTCTGGGGCCTTAGTATGGGGGATCTCGGCAACGCCGTTAACACCACTACTAGCAGCAAAAACGCGCCTAGAATCAGGGACCTGGAGAGGCTTGGGAACGGGGCGGGCAGAGGGGAGGCTAGCTCGGAAGAGGGCGAGTTTAGGCAGGAAGAGGAGGACATCCAGATCGTGGATGCGGATCTCAGTGTCGAGGAGCTGTCCGAGAAGGTGTGGGAGCTGGTACTCCCGAGGCTGGAAGCAGTGGAGCGAGGCGAAGTGGGAAAGACGGTGAGGACGGTGCGGTGAGTTTTCCACAAATTGGTACTGAAAACGCGGTACGGCACGTCGCGACACGACACGACACGACACGATACGACACGATCATATTGGACCCTTTACGCGTCTTCCCAGCCTCATCCGGTCTATTGGGAATTGCGCTGTCTCACCTTGATCCAGGGACTGCTGTCAGAGGGAAGAGACTAGCAAGTCGCGTTAATTGAAATCTCATTTCACCCAAGACACGCGTAGGCATGTCTTAACTCTACCAGACTACGAGAACACCGTGTGGAGTCCGAAATGATGCCCAGTCCGAGCTTTGGGTGGGATCAATATTAATTACTTGCCTAGGTAGGTGCTCAGGTAGGCTGGGTAGGTTAGGTACCGTCATTAGGTAGGCCTACAGGTTCGATCGTTAGTGATCTTCTACAGCTGTTGTACAACACCTACGTCAATCAATCAATCTATCAATCAATTAATTGATCACTGGGCAAGTAAGTAGGTAGTCAACGTTTTTTGTAAAGTGTTTGTCAATTATCAAGGAAACTAGTTACACAAGGAAAGAGAAAAGAAAAGAAACATTGAATCTGTCTGCAGAATCAAAAGCTCATCGATAGTTCACAGTAGAAAACCCGCTCAGAGTCAAAGGTGTCGCCTTGCCTGTATGTATTGGATACAGGCTTTGAGTTGGCTTCTAAAGTGGCAATGAATGGTGGTGGTGGTGGATATGGGTATTCCGGTGCTGAAGCCTTGATAACGCGCTGTCGTGTTGCAGTAATGTCTGCGCGCGCGGTGTGGTGTATGGAATCATTCGTATGGTTGGCGATGTCTGTTTGTCTGGTGTCGTGTCCGGGACTCCTTTTTTTTTTTTCTTGTGTGCGTTTTCCCTCCCCATACCGGATAACTAGTGGTGTCTTGACGGCACTTTTCCTTTCCGTAATCTTTTCTTCTTTTCTGAATCCCGGATAGTAACCTTGAATAGCTTGACGACTTCCAGCCCAACCTTTCTTTCTGAATTCCTAGCTCGTTTCGTCTCGTCTCTTCTCGTCTCATCCCATCTCCATGTCTCGATACATGCCCATGGTAGACATTCCCCTACAAGCGAGGATAGGCGTGTCTTACACTCAAACACTCAAACAACTACTCAATGAACTTCCCTCCTCTCTCCCCGTCTCCTCGCCTCCCATCTTCTCAGCCCCCTAGAATCCACGGACATAAAGCTCCATGTTGTATTTCTCTAGATGCTTTAGTTTGTGGGTCACAATCAGGGTCATCTTGAGATCCTTCTTGTCATCGCCAGCCAACCGCCCCCCCAGCGGCAGTCTCTCCAGCGCCTCAAAGATCGTGATCATCCGTCCCGCGTAATCCACCAGCTGGAAGCCGAAATAATCCGTGAAAGAGCCCGCGTGGCCGGGAAGGAGCGGCAGGTGCCCCATGATGCGCGCAAAACACTCGACGGAGGCCGCGTACCGCGTCGTCGTCGCCGCGGCGTCCTAGGCCGCGCCGAAGGCGATCTGCAGGAACGGGCGCGATTCGAGGGTCAGCGCCGACACGGAGATGGCGTTGGCGCCCCAGAAGGAGGCGATGATGGTTCGGAAGTACGGGAGGTCGTGGTAGAACTGGCGGGTGAGGGAGGCGACGTACTGCTGCTGTGAGAAGTTGTTGGGGTGTTGCTGCTTCTCGTTGTCGTTGATGTACTTGGAAACGCTCTTGCTGGTAGTGTTGATGCTGAGTTTACCGGTATAGTAATCTTCGGCGGCGATGAGAGTGGTAGATGATGAAGTGGAGGAAGATGAAGATGGAGAGGGAGAGACGCTAGGGGCGATAGTAGGCTCCTCGACGTGCGACATGCAGCCTTCATGCCACATAACCGGGTAGTACTCCATGGTGAGCTGGGGAACCTTGATGCCCATCTTCTTCAAATTGCGGTCGACGCAGCGCTCGTACACCTCGAACTCGCGCTGGTACATCTGTTTCTCTTTCCCGTCGCTCTTGGAAACAAAAAATGACTTTGTGGCCGGTTGGAGGTGGAAATCCAAGAAGCTATGCAATATAATGGCCTTGTCCTTCTTGCCGGTGATGATTGTTGACACCATCGGGCCCTCGGCAGACTCATGAAGGACCTCAGGGATGGTCGGCATGATTCGGCCGTTCATGGCTTTTCTCCAACTCATTCTCATTTTCGCGGTTGCGATGATAGTTCAACTAACAGGTAGGGTGTTGGTCTCGGTGATGGAAGTCAATATGACAAAGTGACAATGATTGCTGATTCTCACTATATCTTGTTGATAAGACGTTGGCTTTGATAGTATCTTAATGACAAGATGAAGTAGAGAAATAATTTTGAATCGAGAATATCGATCTGTATGTTGGTCTCAATAATAGAAGGCAATGTGACAAAAGTGACGATGATTGTTGCTTCTAATTGTATCTTGTTGACAAGATGAATCAGAAAAATAAAATTGAATCGATAATATCGATTTTTCGATGATGAAGGGTCGTGTAAAGGGTTCGGGTGGGTGTGGTTGTAAAGTGGAATAGACTGAACTGGTTTGTGTGTGGGAGGTGTGGAAGGTTGTAAAGTTCAAGATGAAAAGAACTGAGAAGCAGGTTTCTTAAATACTTGAGAATAGGGACCCAGCTGCTCTTGCTGGACACAAGATCAGGTTCTCAATATCTTGCCAGAGGTTGATGCCTGGTAATCGACCTGAGAGATGGAAGGGGCTGGGTTCTAGTTAGGTGTCTGGTAGGGTAGGGAGGGAGGGATCGAAATCGAAATTCCTTCTCTTTCGACTTCGAGTAAAGTCGAAAGGGGTAGCACATGTATCTCATATGTATCTACCTAGGTAACCAAACAAATTAGGGAGAGGGCTGGCAATATTAGGGCTACTAGGTAATCAAAGAGCAAGTACTTCACGATAGGGGCTCCCTGATCACAAAGAATCACTACACTAGGTTCTGGGTAATATCAAGTTGCTGTAAATATATGTCTATGCTTTGTATTCTTGTATTCTAGCTACACTTCATATCCCCTATGAATGTGAATAGGGGTTCCTAGTATAAGTGTAGTTGTGGTAGCTTCTCACTCCTATAAAGGGGCACAATGCTGTGGCATTAGTGCTTGATAAACGTACAGCACTTAATAAATACCACTAAAAGCTCAATTTAGGATAAAAGCCACTACAATTAAGTACTTGAAGCTACCTAGGAGTACATCATGGTATCGACTGTCGCAAGATGGCCTTGACAGTGTGGTTAGGGGAAAGAATCCACACATTTGGCTGCTACATCATATTCAGGGGTAAACGACTTTAACGACTTTCTGGGATCCATCATACACACTTCCTAGCTTGCTTTGACACTGTACTAGGTATATATCCTCAGGTTCACTGGTAACTCCTTCCCAAGTAGATAGGCACTCAAAGTGGCCTTATATGATGGGAGACGCATCCATTGAGTTGTGAGCTGCAAAAACCCACATGTCTATCACAGCATCACGATGAAGAACTGGTGTCTCACTGTTCCCCAGCAAGGCTCCTTCCTCCTTAGATATTCAACCTTACATATATGGCTCCAACATAAGCGGAGAATTCACAGCTGGTATGAATAATAAGCATGGCATTATGAGCTTTTCCATCTGTAATAAATTCCATCTAGCTACAGCCTTTCTTTCTTTACCCATCCACAAGACGAGAGCTGTTTGTTACACGGCCTACATAAAACCCCCACGAAATAATACAAGCAACACAGCAGTTACTTATGCTATCAGCTCTCATCTTGATTTTCCTCCAGTGATAACTTTCAAGCCACCATCACTGAGCAAATCTGATGCTTACAGCTTCCAAAGATTGACTGATACTCGCAACTCTGCTGTCCATCACCATACCAACATACACACATACATTAATCTCTGGCAACTCTAGAGCCCCATTTACCTACCTCAACCTGTTCCTCACCAAAAGCCTTTTATTTTGTCATCATCTTCTGTCACTGGTCGCCATGTCTCACGCTCAGCCGGCCCAGACACCCCAGCAAGGTCCACAGCCGACCGACAAGCAGCTCATCGAGAAGCTGCGTCTTCAAGTGAACATCTTCCGCCAATGCGGACGCAGCATTCGCCAGGACCGTGCTATATATAGCCAGCTGTATCAAGAGCGAATGCGGGAACAGCAGCAAGCAGCCGAAGAACAGACTGATCAGCATGCTCCTGCTGCTGCTGGCGAGAGCTCTTCTGCTGCGGGACCTAGCGGCAGCGGTGGCAACGCGGACATCCCTCGAAGCTGTGACTACTGCGTCGGCCTCACGATCAGCAAGGAATGCCTTGAGAAAGGCGGTTGTGGACGATGAAGGAGGACTGTGATCATGCACAGGAAGTGCCTACCTATCTAGTAGGCTAGTTTGTGTGCAAGATAGATGCCTCGTGATCGACCGACTTTGTGATATGGTGATGGAGGCTCGTCTGCCGGGTTTCTGTATGAAGTTGCCCCCGGGATCAACAATCGCAACTCTTCATGTATCTCTAAGCTTGTGGTGGGTTCGTGCTAGGAGATAGCTTTCGGGTATGCCCTCGCAGTGACTTCATTGACAGTATACGGAAATTGATACGTGACCTTCATCTATTCTCTTGTTCATTGTATGCGTAAGACCCTACCTATGCTTTTGTGATATTGCTTTGTATGTCCCGTGTAGCCACCGCCTACCTAGATACGTAACATCCTGTTGTTTGTATCCTGGGTCGCCTACCTGCTGACCTACCTACTAAAGTAAGTTGCTACCTATTCTCTAAAATCCTCCCGACGCCAGTCCATGTTTCGGCGACCATCTGGGTAAGTATTGCGATGTCATTGCTAAAAATATAGACCTCTTCCCTAAACGTACCTACACGACAAACATAGGCAGCCAAGCCAAGATTTGAAGGATTGCCTAGGTTTGTTTCATTCGCGATGTCGCATAACTTGCATATTTCGAGTTCCAGAATACTACCCCCTTCAACAAAATCCTTCCCGCTTCCTCCTTCCTCCCTTTCCCTCCGCGAGGTACTAGGTGGCGCGGGATTGGGCTTCTTCCGCTTACTTAGATACTTCACTGGCATCGCCTACCTACCCAGATGCGTCCCAAGCAGAATGGCACCCAATGAAGCTCATTGAAGAACATGTCGCCGTCTAGGTACCCAAATAGGGAGGTTACTCGCCCATTAACGAAGAATTCGATCCACGTTACGACAACCCTGCATACCTATGTACAATTCCTGGCTCCCTATTAAAAATATCTACACAGTACAAGCCTAGCTGATGATAGTCACGATATCCGTCTTGGCTAATTTCGCCCCCATACCCAGGCATACACTACCTATGAACACGGGCCCTCTCTCGCGGAAGTTTTTTTCCCGCTGGTGCTTGTGCTTGCCGGCTATCGATTCTAGGCCAGATCCTCCCGAAAATAGTAGAGAGCTGATCTTATCCGAATGCTTCGATGACGGCAAAAAAAAAAAGGGATATTTGAAGATCGATCGACGGGAGGCCCACGATGTTTATTCACCGATTGCGATTTACGTGCCTTGGGCTTGGCTTTCGCGGCGAGGACTAGTATCTCGATTGTCCCGCTCCTACGATATCGCACATCTTGAGTAAATGGCAGAAAGAGTTTACGATAAATTCAGAATAGACAATGATCTACGGATTTTTCAGGTGTACAATACATATATATAGGCACGGAGGCACAAATGACTTGGCCATCTCAACGGGTAGCACAGCTGCCCTTCATATTTAACGCCATTATAAAGATATATTAAATCATTTCATTTGTCCTGTCATCTACATCTTGCATATAAAGCCGTTAAAAAAACATTGGGGGGGCCGGACCGTGGAACAGAAGTCGAACGAATTAAATAACATTAGGAAATCCTTTGCTGCATTTGTCCAGCTCTGTAATGGCCCAGTACCCATAAGCACATCCCGTAGTGTATATCAAAGTCTAACACTCCCAAAAACCCGTCGTGATATTTCGCGCACTCTTAATTAAATAATTCTCTACGCCCGCCACCGACGTGCGTTATGGGGAATCATGTATCCCAAGGCTAGAGAGGATGCGGGTGCTGGCGGCATCGCTCCGGTGGCTGTTCCGGCGGGCATGGTAGAGTTGACTGCCTCTGTCGGCACAGCAGTCTCGTGGACCATGGGCGGAGCGACGGACGTGGAATTAATGTATTGTGCCATAGTTGACGTTTCGTGAACCATGGGCGGGACAACTGCAGTTGAATGGACCATGACAGATGTCGTTTCGTGGACCATGGCAGACGTTGTTTCATGGACCATCGCGGATGTGGTTTCGTGGGCCATCGCGGTTGTTGTTTCATGGGTCATCGGGGGAACTGCATCGCAAGCTGACGCGACCTCAGTGACAGTGACATGGACGACTTCGGAAACCGTCATAACATGCGGTGGTAAGGTAACATGGACCGTCTCGTGGACAGTTTCGGTCACAGCCTGCGTAACGTGTACGGTCTCCTTGACTACCTGCGGCGGAGCAGTGATGTGAACGGTTTCAGTAAGCACCGCGGTCTGTAGATGGCTGAGGACCTCGGTCTTCGTGACAGCGACAGTCACAGGCACGCTGACTGCGACGCTCTCCTTGACAGTTTGCGTTACCGCTACGCTTTCCTTAACTGTTACCGGAACACTAACTGCGATAGATTCCTTGACAGTTACTGGAATGCTGACGTGTACAGATTCCTTGACGGTCACTGGGACGCTGACGGCAACGCTCTCTCTGACTGTCTGTACCTGCGTCACAGCTACGCTCTCCTTGACTGTTACAGGAACGCTGACAGCAACGGACTCCTTGACAGTTACTGGAACACTGACGTGTACAGTTTCCTTAACAGTCACCGGGACGCTGACGGCAATGCTTTCCTTGACTGTCACCGGCACCGATTCCTTGACCGTTACCGGAACGCTGACTGCTATCGACTCCTTCACTGTGACCGGAACACTGACAGCAAAGGATTCCTTGACTGTCACTGGGACACTGACGTGTACCTGGACCGTCTCCTTGAGAGTCTCCAACTTCGTTACCGGAACACTGACCTGCAGGGTCTCCTTCGACGTCTCCACCTTCGTCACGGCAAAGCTCTCCTTGACTGTTTCCACCTTCGTTACAGGCACGCTCACCGCAATGGTCTCCTTCACGGTTTGCGGGGGTAGAGTTACGTGTACGGACTCGACCTTGGTCTCAACCTTCGTCTGGATGGCGGTTTGGACCACCGTATGTAACTGGGTCTTCGTGACGAGCTTCTCTTCCACCTTAGTCACCTGGATCGTCTCCTTTACTGTTTGGGGAGGGAGCGTGACGTGTACGGTCTCTGGAGGTAGTGTAACATGTGCCGTTTGCGTAACGTGTACCGTCTCTTTCACCGTCTCCTTCACCGTCGAGGGTGGCAGGGTTATATGGACGGTCTCTTTCACCGTTTGAGGTGGTAGAGTTATATGGACTGTCTCCTTTACCGTCATAGGTGGCTGCGTTATATGAACCGTTTCCTTAACTGTCTCTGGCGGCAAGGTTACGTGAACTGTCTCTTTCACCGTCTCTTTTACTGTCTGGGGCGGCAGTGTCACATGTACCATCTCCTTTACTGTTTCTGGCGGCAATGTTACATGAACAGTCTCTTTTATCGTCTCTGGCGGCATAGTCTATAGCATAGCAAGTTAGTAAACTTAACTCATGATCTTGGTGTATGCTGCTTCATGATTAGAAGCTATAAAGACTGCTTACCACATGTACTGTTTCGTGCATGGTCTCGTGAACAGTCTCAGTGATGACCATCTCTGGCTCCGTAGCGACAGCTACTGAAGCCAGGGCCAAGAGTGCCGGCACATAGCTCTTCGAGAGCCGCATATTTGTTCTGAAGAAAGGAAGCGGGAAAAAAAAGACTGACTAGGCGAGTCTGACAGTGAACGAGATGATTAGAGAATGAAACTACCAGAGCACCCAAAAAAAAAAGATATTGAATTAAATGGCTCAGCCTTCAAAACGAAACGAACGAAAAACAGTGATAGGTAAAAAGTTGAAAAATGGACGGATCGACCGTGAAAGAAAGAAATCAACGAACACTCAAGTCAAGAGAGGTCTACGTCGAGGTGAAGAGAATGGATGGAAAGAGGCATCGTCCCTGATCTTCATCATGTAGGAAACCAAGACTTATACCCTAGCTTTGCCATAATCGTCCCTAGCAACGATTTTCCAGTCCAGAACGTCAAGAGTGATATCACACAGGGGTGTCTTGCGCAAAGCAAGGGGCTACGTGAAGTGACATCTCTGGCAGAGCCTTGTCCTAGATCGTGGGCTGACGCTCAGTGCGCACGCAGGTTACTCAATGGCGCAGCTACAATGCTGCTATGCAGGCTTGATGTTTTGGCTTGTCGTTGAGGATCGAAGGGGGGATTTTACATATGGGAAACACCGTGCCGAAGAAACCCCTGCCATCTGAAGTTGACGTTGGATGCCCAGCTTTCCGGGTTCAATGCAGGATGGAGCATGGGGTAGCTAAGGGCCTCAGGTGAAATAAAGTGGTTCTGGCCATGGGTCGTGACTCGACATAACCTTATCCAGATGAAAAAGGCCTATTATGGATGATGAGGAGCATCTGTGGATATAGTTGTCCGGGTGCTTTCGTGCCCGTGCCCCTCGACCACAAATATTCCCGTTAGTTAGTACATGGTGAGGCCTACTACGGTAGTCTGGCATATGATAGATATGCTTCAAGGATGATACTCTAGGACTGTTGAATCTAGAGACGGGAATCGATTTATCACTCTCTATCGGAGTCTATCCATCTTGAATAAAAAGGCCTCAGAAAGACTGCAATAGACCTTCATTTTCATACTGCTGATATACTGCTGATAGTGCATTGAATAGACTTATACCACTAAGTGTGATTGCCGGCGGCAGTTGGTCAAGCCGAATACACGTGCTTGGAGCTTTAAAAGGATGACAGCTCGAGCTACACTAGGTTAAAATGGTAGCTTGTATTCTGGATGGCTAGGTTTCATAAGGTTCTCCGGTTTCGCTTGGCAAAGGGAGATCAAACCCCTGCATGAATATCGAGTATATGGGATTCATGGGCTTCATCGACTTACTAAGATATAGATAGTCATTGGCCAGAGAGATAAGCTATTGAGTACTTTGGTTAATTGTTCAATGTTCTCTCTACTTTTTATTTTGTTGATGATCAAATATAGAGGTACTAACCTTAGATACCTAGTAATAGGTAGCAAAGCCTTGTGGGAAAACCAAAAATGAGGCTTGCTTGCTTCGTTGCCAGTAAATCCACGTTATTTCCAATTTCCAAGTGGAATTTGTCTTGGGAAATTCAAGAGATGAGTTCGTATCGGCCAGCCTAGTGACTCCCATGTTGTTATGTAAATAAACTGACCGTGGTTCTGATTTGCAGGTTCATCACCACGGAAGGGGCGCCAAGTGTTGAGATCGAGACAATGCCAAGTGTCGCGCACATACATAGCGCCAGGGTCTCACACAGGCAAAGATGAGCAGGATCGCCGTGGTACCGTCGGGCTTACTTCAAAGGATGGGATTTTGCCGGATCATACTTCTATCGCGGGAAGTCGTGATTAAAATTGGCATCTGTCAAAGAATATTTATTTCTATTCGAGGTGCTGCACTCCCCTTGGAACCGTTTGGAGACGTTGGCTTGCTCGGTCTTATCGCAAGCCACCAACTGAAGATTGGGGTTATTGACACCGCATCGGGAGGCACACTGATGATAGATTGCACCGAACCCTTTTTGTTGCAATAGGCACCGACGATTCATCGACGTCTAGGTCTGCTACGTCCCTTCATCGTTAGGCTACCAGCAAAAGTGTACTAACCTTCCTACCTTCCTACCTACCGGTCTACCTGTCTACCTGTCTACCTACCTTGGTATGTATGTAGTAAATACTGTACTGGCTACAGATCCTCAATACTAGGTAGAATTGGATGTTATAAAAAGAAAAAGAAACTCAAAACCGAAACGAGACTACTGGATAGCGATACTACCCTTTATCCATTGTGTTTGTGTTCAAGGAGTTGAAAGTGGTACTAAGGTAACATTGAATATCAAAATGACAGACAGCCTTGGAAGGAATTTAGTTGATCGAACATGGGTTAGATGGGTATTTCGGTCAGCCGGCAACTGCAGAAAGATGTTAATGCCACTTAATGGACGTGGTTGATTTGAGTCGGGCCAATTCAGGTGGGTTGGGGGTGGGGGGACAGAAGGCCTCCACGGCTTAGAGGAAGTACAGTAGTTAACTAGTTATTGAAAGTGAAAGAATTCTAGAATTTATTATTTCTGAGAATTATGAGAGTCTAAAGTTCTCGGCATCACGTGGAGATTAATTCGATAAGAATTAAACTGTGGGTTTCAATGTTTATCATCTGATTTCTTCTGTTTGAGTGGCCGTTTTACGGAGCAGCGGCAATTGAAAAGCTGAAAGGTAATTTAACAGCTGCTGACTAACAGTTTCTTTGACTGAACATGTGTTTGACAGCTGCCATAAGTCTTACATAGTACTGTACAGTTGGCATCAACTCCAAGACATAACTAGATGCTGGGCAGGTACGCTAGATGGAAAGTGCGATGCATAACAACTAACATGCATTTATTCCGAATCTCTAAGAGCCCAGTCGCCCAGCCATCATCTTGAACTATCCAATGTATCCATCTCTTCCGACACATGCCTATTATTAGTACTACTTTTATCTAAACCATCAATATGTAGTATTAGGTACCATGCAGGTACTATAGTAGGATGGGCTGAATTGTAGTTGCGATCAGCTGATACTACTGGCATCTATTTCGAAAGCGTCTTTCGTACATGCAGGTGTCCACCATTTACCAAAGTTATGATATATATTGCATGGTACCTATGCCTTCCACCGAGTGTCGGACTTGGCATAACGGATCTGATAAGGCTTCGCAACGGATCAGATAACTTTATGTGGCTACATTCCGGGATAATGCCTCACACCCAGCCAGGATGATTTCAGGTTAGATCTTGCAAGACGGTCAAGAGACGCCAAGGTCCGCGATGATTTGCCCAGGAAAAGATTTTTCTATTGGCCTTCGCGGTCTTATTTCAGGGATGATTTTCCGACCTTATACGAGCAAATGATCAACTGATTTGATCGGACCCTAGAGAAGAAATGGGGGTTCAGCCCGATTCACAACACGTAATATATAGACCATCGCGTGGGTGCGCGATCTTGCGAGATATGCGAAATACGAGATATATATACAGCGTTGCGCCGCAGTGTTTGTTCTAATGCTACAAAGGTCATCATTTCTTAAAACTTGCGCTCAACTTTGCGTAAAAATCTCATCACTATGGCTGTCACCACGGCTGAAGCCATTCCTGCCACTCCGGCACAGGATATTAAACTGACATCAAATGGTGAAAAGGTTAATGAGTTTGGGGACGCCAACGAATCCAAATCCGAGACGGATTCTGATGCACATATGCAAGATGGTGTCAAGCGAGTCGAGGCCATCACCACCGTGTGGTCTAAAGAGTTACTTATCGTCATGTTTATTTTGTGAGTCCATTTTCTTTTGTCATCTCTATGCAGCGACATGTGAGTAAAGTTGATTCTAATAGCCTTTGCATTTTCTGTTTTCTAGGCTGTACATAGTGACTTTCGTCGATATGTTGTTACAAGCTGTCCAGGGAAATCTCGTACCCTACGTGACCTCAGCCTTTGGGAAACATGGACTGCTAGCGACTACTAGCATCGTTGCTACTATAATCGGTGGTGTAAGCAGATTGACAATCGCGAAGATGATCGATATCTGGGGCCGGTGCGAAGGCTTCGTCGTTATGGTCATACTAGTCGTTCTCGGTATGGTCTTAAAAGCTACCTGTGTCAACGTCGAGATGTACGCAGCAGCCCACACCTTGTACTGGGTGGGCCACCTCGGAATGCAATACGTCGTCGACATCATCCTCGCGGATACTACTACCCTCAAAAACCGAATGTTGATAATTGGTATCAATGCAACCCCAACCATCGCAACCACCTTCGCCGGGCCCAAGATAGCCGAACTATTTTACGTGTATGCCAACTTCCGATGGGCTTTTGGCGCCTTCTCGATCATTCTCGTGGCATTCTGTCTTCCTGTCGCTATTATTTTCATCATCAGCAAGCGCAAAGCCGTCAGGCTAGGAGTCTACCCCGAAAGGGTTAAGACCCGGTCGGTCTGGGAATCAACGAAGTACTACTTCATTGAGTTTGACGGTGAGGCTATCCACGACACCATGAATATATAGGGATGTGTATGCTAATCTATCACAAAGTAATCGGAATGTTCTTGACGATATTCGGGTTCTCTCTACTACTCCTACCTTTTAGCATCGTCAACTATGCGCCCAATGGATGGAAGACTGGATATATCATTGCAATGATAATACTCGGCGCTTTTCTACTGGGTGTCTTTGCTATCTGGGAAAGGTCCTTTTCTCCAGTTCCGTACTTTCCCTTCAAGTTCCTAAAAGACCGGACTATTCTTGCTGCGTGCATGCTGTATGGTGTAATGTTTACCTCCATATAGTAAGCATTGATCTCACCCCTTGAACAAATTGACGTTGTCATGGTGCTAATATCAAGTCTAGCTGTTGGGATAGTTACTATAGTTCGTACCTACAAGTTGTCCACGGTCAGAGTATCACGGTCTCCGGCTACGTACTGAATACTTTCGCGCTCTCCTCATCCTTCATTGGCCCATTCATTGGCCTGTGAGTTTTCCTCCCACACCAATCTTAATACTGATCATCGTTCCTAATTAAAGCACAGCATTATTCGATACACTGGAGATTATAAATGGACCGCAATTGCAGGAATTCCTTTCTGCGTCCTCGGCACTGTCCTACTAATTCACTTCCGTACTCCTGAAGCTTCTATCGGATACCTTGTCATGTGTCAGATTTTCAATGGCATTGCTACCGGAATATGGTCTATCGCGGCGCAACTGGCTATCATGGCATCAGTGACGCATCAAGAAATTGCCGTATCGATGGCCATCTTCGGTCTCTTCGGATCGATCGGTGCTGCTATCGGCCTTGCCATTGCTGGCGCCTTGGTACGTAACTTTCTAAGTCATTTCCTGTGTTTCAACGTGATAGTCTTATGCCTCGTGATCTGCGAACTAGAATCGCTAGTTGTTTCTATTTTCCTCCTTCCTTTTCTCTGTTCCCTATTTCCTCTACACGTACACAGCCACTAACTAATATTTCAGTGGAACAACATTCTACCAGAAAAGCTATACGAATTCCTTCCAGAAGGAAGCAAGGACTCGGCTGCAGCCATCTTCAGCGATATCACCGTCCAGATGAATTATCCGATGGGAAGCCCCATTCGCACGGCAATTATCGCGGCTCTAGGAGATGTGCAGAGGAAGATGGTGATCGCTGGCTCGGCGTTCATTCCTCTTTGTGTCATCTGTCTCTTTGTATGGAAGAACATTAACGTTGTTAAACTCGAGGAGACGCGTGGAAAGCAGGGCAAGGGAAATATATGGTAGTTTTCGCGGCTCAAATTTTTGTATGAATTAAAAGCACCGATAGAAGTATACCCAATACATCCCCCCTTTTCAGCAAGTCTTCCGTCTAAGGAAATGAACTTTTTCACGTAGTAACGTGTCTCTTAGAGACTGATACTACCTAGTACTTACTAAGGACTGGCGTATTATTACAGGAACTATAATATTATAGCCCCTATTCCCTAACAATCCTTCAACCTCATTGTATGCCTACTAGGTAGGCATACAGGTATATACCTAGGTAGTCACTAAATATCAAATACATTGGTGGGTGGGACTTGTCCTTTGTTCTTCTTATATATAGATATGTTACGAACAATACACTTGTTTAACTAGTTAAATAACTACTTCCCTATTTACGGAACAATGAGTCTTCTTAGAAATAGATTTAGACAATGAAATTATTGACAATGAAATTATTGACAATATACCGAAACACATATAATGGTCCTAATAGATATATCCATGAAAATCAAGTATTGTTCACATCTACACTGCCCCTTAGAACCAGTGTGCGTACGACAACGATCGTATAATTGCTATCGTACCCAGCACATTAGATACCTAATATCTACTTCTGGTTTCCAACGCTAATCCAATGGAAACCTTTGGAATAACCGACAGGACGAAAATTTACGGGGCCGAAGTCCGTCCCGTGCCCGGGATCGGGTTTGGGATGTTCGCGACAAAGAACTTAGAGGTCGGGGATATCGTGATGATAGAGTATCCGGTGATCGAGATCGGGCACGCCGGGTCCATCGCGGAGCTCTGCGACAGGTACTTCAGCCTGCCGCCGGCGGAACTGCGGACCGTCGACGCGCTGCACTGCGACCCGACCAAGCTCGAGGACGCAATCGCCAATCCCCAGCACCAAGACAACGTCTACCGCTGGGTGCACAAGAAGCAGCGGGCGGGCGAGTTCCTGCCCGAGACCGACACGCACCAGGTGGCGTGGCTGCTGCTGCGGCTGTGGGCGCTCTTCTGGACGAACTGCTCGGCGACGCCGAATAACAAGAGCGGGCTGTACCCGGCGTTCTCGCGCGCGAACCATAGCTGCCGGCCGAACGTGACGTGGCCGATCGAGATGATGGACGGCGAGGCGAAGTTGACGATGACGGCGACGCGCGAGATCCGGGCCGGCCAGGAGATCTTCGTCACGTATTGCAGCAGCATGCGCACGCTGCCCTTGAAAGAGAGGCGGAGCAAGCTCATGAACTGGGGGTTTACTTGTCGGTGCGAGCTGTGCACTTCCGAGGAAGAAAAACTCGCACACGGCGGCAGATCGCTGCGTCCGCGGAGGTAGTAGTGCATATATAGGTACCCAAACGTATATTCATCATCGCGAGTAAGTAAGGTATACCTACCTAGTAGGTACCCAGGTAACGTACCTAGGCAGGGACGCTCCCACTCTCGATACAGCCGTGCTTAAAGAAAGCCACCTGTTTTCATATTAATGCAGATTTCTTTTCTAACAAATGTTTAACACTTCAAGGTTGTTTATATAGATAGAAGGAAGGTAGTAGACAGGTACTTTGAAACTGATTAATACCATTATATGACGCCTTAACCACAGCTTGTGACAGAGGTAGAGTTACATGAATAGATGCTCACTCTTGACGATATATTCTAGCTTAGGTGACCTAGCTAAAATCACCATCCCCTTTCCCCAACGAGGCCAAGGTCAAGTTCCTACTAGCCCAATAAATACACCCCCCCTTACACATCGCCCACCCACCCCCCATCCACCACATAACTACTCCCCGTAATCGCACTCGAATCATCCGCCGCCAAAAACAAAATCAACCTCGCGACCTCATCGGGCAACAACTCCCTCTTCAAACTCTGCGCGCCCAAAACCTCCCTCCTATACTCCTCCGTCAGCACCTCCTCAATCTGCCTCTGCGTCGATATCGCCCCCGGCATCACGCTGTTAACCCTGATCCCATCCCTGCCAAACTCCTTGCTGTGCGTGCGCGTCATGCCCATGACGGCCGCCTTGCACAGCGCGTAGACCGGCACGCCGACGGTCGGGATGCGCCACGTGATCGAGCCCATGTTGATGATGCTCCCCCCGGCTCCCTTCCGCCGCATGGACGGCACGACGGCCTGCGTCAGGAAGAACTGGTGCCTCAGATTGACGCCGACGTCGTGGTCCCAGGACTCGGGCGTCACGTTCGCGGTCTGCGCGCGCGCCTTGCCGCCCGCGCCCGCCGCGTTGTTCACCAGCACGTCGACGGCGCCGTGCTGCGCGACCACCGTGTCCGCGCACTCCCTCAGCCGGGCCAGGTCCGTGACGTCGCAGTGCAGGAACGCGGGCACCGTCGCCCCGGGTGTGTTTTCCAGCTTGGAGATGAGGGCGGAGGCGGAGGCGGGGGAGATGTCGAGGAAGACGACGGTGGAGCCCTGGCGGCAGAACAGCTCGACGGCGGAGGCGCCGATGCCCTCGGCGCCGCCGGTGATCAGCACGGTTTTGCCGCGGAGGCTTGGGTACGTTGCGTATTTCCCCTCCATAGCTAGCTAGGTACCGAATATAGGAGGTGTGATCAAGGGGTAAAACGATGAAGTAAGTGCCGTTGGATGTTAGGCACGGTTTAATGTTGAGTAGGTACTTAGTGATGTTAGATCTGTAGTATGATGAAAAGAGCCCTTACGTCCTGTGGATATAGGTCGTATCAAGGGAAGCTGGGTAACTAAGCTACAGTAGGTCTATATATACCTAGGTACCCCCCTAATAACCTTGGAAGTTTATGTAAGAGACACCAGATATCCCCGGAAAGCTGACCGTGGGATGTATGCGGGAATCGGACAGTATGTGTCAACCCCGCATCGGAGTTGCCCCAACTGGTAAATATACGAATCTGTTTCGCTGCCGTCCACTTAATCCCATATTTGTAGTCAAGTCCTATACTTATATCTCACACAGACACAGACACATGACTGGTCGTTCTATCCGCATACTTGCATTCAAAATTGCTTATGTGTCTTAGAGAGGGGCCCACGTGATTGGCAGATCCTATTAGCTTACGGAGTTCTTAGATACTACCCCTTTCCCTAAGCAGGTCGGTACTTATTACGGGTAGGGATTTAAAGTCCCTAGAATCTGCTTAGGTATAATATATCATTAAATTATTCCGTAAGAAAGTTGTGGTACTTGAAGCCAATTTCATTAACTTGAAAGATGTGAAGGAAAAGGGGGTCACGTGTCTCCACGAGCCAAACACCTCTTTAGCAACGATCAGGAATGTTATTCCCCTTTTTGGCATCTATAACCCAGGTACATTACGTCCTATGCAACAAGATGGAAATGATTGAAATCACAATATAATTCGTTCATCCATATTACGTACCTAGGTATCAGAGTAGGTTAGGTACCTAGTACAGATATGTATCTCGAGTTCCAAAAGTGTCGCTCCTTAACCATATAAATCCAGTATTACATGTCTCGTCCCATAATATCATAATTCATGCCTCATCATCATCCATGTACATGGAGTGCCGTACGATTACTTACAACCACTCTGACAAAATCCTCATCTCCTTCACGTTGATGTATAATCGCAAGTGGAACAGACCGTTTTGGAATTATTAGTTGCCGGATAACGATCCTCTCCATACGTTGAATTCAGCGTGACACTCCCCACGAAATTTCCGGACTCGAGTCGAATCCAAGTATCGATCTCTAGTTCCTTTAGTCTTGACTTTGTGACGAAGACTTGTCGTGCACCTCGTTCCCAGTTGCCATAACCTCCGTAGCCCGAATGTTGGCTAAAACAGAGGTTGATGTCGTTTCGCGGCGCCACTGTCATATTTGGAAGCAGTCTATCCCACTTATAGCACCACGTGTTGCCGTGATCATGGCCCGAGAAGAGTGCCATCAGGCCAGGAACCGCTGAGATAGCCTGCATGAATGGAATATCCTGCCCGCCGTACTCGCAAGATCCGTCATTTCGGCCATCAGCGCACCATCCTTGGGCCTGAGGAGCTAACGGGTCGTCATCGTTGATCCCGGGCTCTCTATGAGGATCCACGCCCACTTTTTGCAGGACGTATGACGCATAAGTTGGGATATGGACGAAGGCTAGAGACGGAATAATCTTGTTATATTTATTCACCAATTCCGCATTCGTCTCCAGAAACCAGTTTACGACGCTAAAGTCAACCCACCCGGGATTACCAACTCGGGCTCCAGTTGCATCCTTTTCTCGATATCGAAAGCCTCCCCTACTATCGAAGGACCAAAGCAGCAGTTCAGGAACGCAGTCTTCTCCTGCGCAGTTATTGTCATATACGGGGAGGTAGTAATTAGACACACCGGAATCTGGGCCAAATACCATTGGCGTCGTGCGACAGTTGGGCCATCTTCTCTCGCGGGCGAGTATCGCATTGCCGGAGATATTGAAATCATAATCGTGATTTCCATAGGTCGAGGCCCAGGGCAATCCCCGTTCTACCAAGGGACCGACGATCTGGTCAACGTACAGAGTGCTGTTCTCCAGAAACGTGTTCTCGCCCGTAATCAAGTCCCCGTTCAGGACAACTAACTCTGGTGACTCCGCGTCAAGTATTTCATTTATGACCTTGACAGAGTTGATATCTTGCTGCGGACCCCACTGATCCCAAGCATCTAATGTAGGGAGAAGGTATTGGTTAACCTTCGACTCATCCATCCGGTGTTTGAGGGAGGTAGTGGAGACATAAGTGTCTCATAACTTACTTTCTCCGAAGTGCAGGTCCTCAAATATCGATATTTGGAATGTGCCATCGCTATTAAAAGTGAGGGGACCGAAAATTCTTGTACTGTCCAGTTGTCCTTTAGTTATAGGCTTTGCTTTAAGTACAGACGCAGCGGTCAACATATAGGTAGCCAAGATAGTGAGAAGCATAGTCGCGATGAATCGAAGAAAACAACCCAGTAAAACTTACTACGATGCTGAAGACGGATGGAAGGAGGAGTCGCCGGTTGTAGAGATATGGCCAAGATGTATTTGTTCCATATCTTGGATAATGGCTGGAATGTAGATACCTAGGTTAGTACTATGCAGTGACTGGATAATTAGGTAGGCAGGTAGTAACTGGCTACTACTAGTAGTAACATATTGACTGAGATAGACACAGCGCAGGGTTGCAGCGTGTGGTTACCCCCGCCAACCCCATATCTCTTGCCGCTTCATGTGACAATATTTGTATTCAAACCTTAGTAGCCTTTGAAACTCTTGGGTTACATATGTAGAGTAGTGATATCTCTCTCCCAATTTAAGATTCAAGGAAATGAAATGAAACATTTTCAGGAGGTGATAGTTAGACTTTTGCAAAAGTCAAAAATTAAATAATAAAAAAAGTAAAAAGAGAGAAAGGGGGGTGACGATGATGGTTTCTTTAATCGTTTGAAATTGTAAAATTGTTTAAGGAATAAACAAACTCGCAATTCCTGTCCAGAATTGAGAATAGAAAATAATCTCAAATAGGTAAGCCTAATTGCTGTTCGCAAGACCATCGTTCTTATAGGTATCTAACGTGAACCGTGAACCCGTCCATCACTCGTGCTGGTGGTGGCTTGGATCGAAAATTACCTACAAATTTCCCAAGCCCAAGCCAGAAGAACCATCCCAGAAACAATCCGTTTTACTCCGCGTATTCATGTCCTGCTGCTGTCAACTCAAACTGTACCGCTGATGCTAAGTTCCCGAATCTCTTGCAACACCTGCTCCACCCTCGAGTCCAGATGACCCTGCGCATACTGCTCTCTAGTGTCTGCATCCAGGTATTGCTGGACCTGCGCCATTCTGCTATATGCTTCAGCACAGAAGCGAAGTTGAATCTTGACAAGCGCCTCGAAACTCGGGTCGAGATATGGTACTCGGAGGTCGATAAGCTGAGGTAATTCCGTGGATAGTTGTTCATTGAGCTGTTCGTAGGCCGTTCTAGCGATTTCCATCTCCTTCTCGGTGCGCGGTAGTTTCGTTACGTCCTTGTCCGGCTTCTCCGCCAGCTTCTTGACTTTGGCTCGTAGTGCATCGTAGTCCAGAAGCTTGTGGCCGCGCTTCTTGATACCTAGAAATACATTAGTCCTGATTAAGAGCAGGTTACCAGGTCACCGGGGTAATCCATACATTCATTGACATCCGGGAAATAAGCACAGAATCGTGTGATGGGTTCTAGCACCGTTGTTCTAAACTTGGTCAGCGGATATTTCTCAGTGACGTAACTGGTTTAGATGTTGTACCGGTATGGACCATCCAGCGCTTTGATGGTCTCGGTATCCAGATCCTCTACGGCTTGTTTATAGCTCCTACTAACACCGTCGTTGGCTCCTGCGTCGCCGTAGAAGGCATCTATCGTCTCGGCTATGCGCATTTGCGACGCAGTCATTGCTAAAAGTATGTATGTTTAGCGGGGGGTGTATTCGGCTGAATTTGTTGGCACTAGATTACCTCGTATCGAATCCAGGTATCCTCTGGCCTCCTTTTGAAGTCGTAGCGAAGCAGCCTCCATAGTTCGGAACCGTCTCTCCTCGACTTCGTAATCGCGGTCATTTGTCTTTTCAACGTGGCCGGTCTTCATCATGACCTGCGTCGTTGCGCGATTGACATTCTTCTTGAATCCTAGGAATCGAAATAATTAGTTCGTTGCTGCCGATGATAGATAAATTCATGGCTGGCTGTAACTGGCGTCATACCTGCCCACGACATCTTGGCGAAGTTGTAGTATCGTTTTACTCTTTTGATCTATAACGAAGTGTGCTCTCGCGGGTTTATAAATCGAGAAGATGAAATTAATGGCTCGGGAGTTAAGATTTCGATGTTGTATTCTAAAGGTGGTAAGAGAAATTGGCGAATCTAAGTCGTGTTTGGAAACGGTTTGCAGAAAGTTGGATGGTCATTGAATGGTGACTGGTGAATTGGATGGTGGGTAGGCGACAATCGTGGCTGAGTTTATGAATTCGATAACACTGTGACATACGTCACGGGCCATCGTCAGCAAAATTATTTTTGCGCCAGTTATGTACCTAGGGTACCTAATTAATGCATGTAGACGGCAACAAAGATCCGGCTCTGAGACTGTACAAAACCTAGCACTAAGTAACTACCTTGCACTCTACCGTGGTCCGTGGCAGGCTCCGATGTCTCCGAGTTACGGGATCCCACATGGCGCTAAGACTTAAGTACAATACTTAGCTGGGTACATACTTCATACCTATTTTAGCCACAGAGAGTGTGGCTGAAGCAGCCTTCAATTTTAAGAAAAAAAAAAACCAAAAAAAAAAGATCAAAGGAAAGAAAATGAAAAACTTCAAGATTGACCTGAAATAATTTGATTATCGTATGGCTCAAGTCAAAAATATCAAATGCTTGAACCTCGTTACCTAATCGCCAGCTTTGGCAACCCAACGCCTTATCACAGGTCATTGCACTCTGCTGGCCATCTTGCCCTCGAGTCCTTACAGGAGGCGTTGGGTGACTCAGAACAACCGCGATTCTCAGCACATCGCTATGGCAGTAAATCTTGCATGGCCTCCATCAGCCGGAAATATATGTTGCTTCAAAGCCCTACACTGATGAACAATACTGGGCCATGGCTGGCTAAGGCATATAAGGATATACTAGGCACCTACAACCTACAACCTTCGCAGCTGGGTTTTGTAGTTGTTCACGATGATCTAGAAGAGGAACTAGCCCACGTTAAAACCAGAGCGTGGAAAACAAGCCACCGGGGACACAATGGCGTGAAGAGCACAAACATGAGCTTCAATTCTCTGAGGTTCACCGGGCACCACTGGTCACGCATATCAGTCGGAATTGGCAGGCCCGAGGAGAGAGATCCAGAGACAATAACAAACTACGTCCTGAAGCCTATGACGCCTTATCAAAAGAAATGCATCTGTGCAGTTGGTCCCAAGGTACTCGATTGTCTACATCAACTAGAGGAGAGGTGGAAAGAGAGCTACGAGAAAAGGGCCGCATCATCAGCTGATCCATGAGTTGCTCCATGTGCAATTCCTCCCTCGACCTTTGCTCCCCTACCCCCGCAGGCGAGAAGGTGTCCACTCAGAATGCCTACGATTCCCATCAATACAATTCTCAAATCTTGCATCAACCATATCCTCTGCCACGTCGATGGAAATTCATGTATCAAAAGTCATGTGTTGTCCAATATATCCCCATATACATAATATCGTTGCCAAACAAACAAGCATGAAGTGGAACCTTGCATATTATCACAAGTCAGGATACCTAGAACATCAAGGACCTCGGGATAAACGTAATAAAGGATCAAAACTACGCCGAGTTCAATAATGCCGCCGCCGCCCTCTCGTTAAACCGGCGAATCCCCATGCGCCGATCGCCAACCCGCAAATGAGGCGGAAGAGGGCCATGCCTTGGCGGTCACTCCAGAGTACGTAGCAGTCCATGACGCCGATATAGGTGCATCCGACAGCCATCACCGTATCGATCTCGGCCAGCTTATTTTGCGCATAAAACACGAGCATGATGAGGCCTACGGCGGTGGTGCGGACGGACTGAGACACCATGACGGGAAACGTGAGTGGATCATCGGCGAAGTATTCTGGAAAGCCAAATTCTACCAGCGCACCCTCCGGATTGAAGATGGGCATAAGCCCGCCGAAAGCCATCGCGCATGCGATGAAGAGCGGCGGGATGTGTCGAGCTTTAAAATGCTCGAACATGGTGAAATAAAATCCGGGTTCTTAGGGGATTTTGAGTATTAATTGAAATTGAAGACGGAGATGTGGGCGTGCATATGCATGTGCATGTGCAGTCAGTATAACCTATCTATCACAATGGAGTTCTCAGGGATTGTAAAAATAAATACCTGGTTTGCATGACTTTATAGTCTGGGAACTCCCAGGAATATTTAAGGCACGGTAATCCAGGTGCCTAGATTAGTGAACAAAGACTTCCAAGGTTGAAGCTCGCATTCATAAACCCCCCTTTTATGCCGATCTAGTATAAGTAGGCGCAGCAGCACAAAATCCGAGATAAGCTGAGCTGTAATGTCATAAGTTCTCATAACAGCACTGAACCTTGGCTACATAAGTAGGTTAGGTAGTTTGGTAAGAGTTAGGGTCAAACTAAGCCAAATAAGCTGTCTGTAATAAAAAGCGATCTACTTACTAGGCGAGGAGCTGAGCTTTAGCAACATGTCTAGCCCTGGAGCTGACACCCGGTGCCATTTTTATGTGATTCAGCCTCATGATCCGCGGATTACTAGGGGAGAGCTGGCATAGCCCATTGGCTACTAGGTACGTGACGTAGGTTCGCAAATGGGCTGATAGGCCTCGAACAGCATTGAATCCTCCTTCTTACTTGGCTGAGCTGGGGGTTGTCTTTGTAACTATATAAGATTCGTTGGAACCCGGAGGTGTTTCACGGGAATCCTTCTCTCTCTACCTATGTAGTATAACGAAAAAAAAAAAGTAAGAAATACGCATCGAATTGTATAAGCGATCTAAACGTCAACAAGATTGCACTAATTCAAAAGTTATCTATCCTTCGATATATCAACCAAATCCAAAATGGGACACCAACTACCGCCCTTCCCCCGCCAAATGGGCATGTTCATGCCGTTCATGGCGACGCAATGCGAGACGCTCATACTGAAGGAGAAGCTCATGTCGCTGTCCGGGAACAGTTTCGACATTGGCCTCGCCAACGGGCAGCCGATCTTCAAGGTCAAGGGCGAGACCTTTTCGCTGTCCCACCGCATGACTGTCACGGACATGAGCGGGCGATTCCTGTTCTGCATCCGCAAGAAGCACTTCCAGATGCACAGCACGTATTACGCCGAGAACGCCAACGGCGATGAGATCTTCCAGGTGGTGAGCCGGTTTAAGTGTACGTTTTAATCTTCCTACTATACCTACCTATCTACGTATGTATCTACATACTAACGTGGAATGATAACAATACAGTCGTCGGCTCCAAGTTCATCGGCACCTTCACATCGGCCAACGGCCAGCAAGAAGAACTGCAGATGAAGGGCGACTGGACAGACACGAGGGCGGAGATCACAGACGTACCTAGCGGACAAACCGTCGCAGCCATCTACCGCGACCGATGGAACGCGCGCGAACTGCTCGGCGGACAGCAGACGTATCGCGTCTCGATCGCGCCGAACGTCGACATGGCTGTCATCGTGGCCATGTGCATTTGTCTGGACATGAAGAGGAACGAGACTACGGCAAATTCTTAATGGCTGTCGTATCATACTTCCTTCTTCTTTTTCTTCTTTTTTATGTATGTCTCTTAGGGGATGTACATCGCCATTTGATTCGGTTTGAAGGACATGGCAATGCATTATGAAGCGTACAGCAGTTTTATACCAAAATGCGACGGAGCATTCGAGGCGAGGGGGGAACGGGACATTATTGCGGGGGATCGGCGTTTTGTGCCTTTACTGTTCATGTCTTGGTAACACGCTAAGCAGAATGCCTACCTAGGTACATAGGTAACCCAACCCATGGGTTTGATACCTAGTAACGAGTTGAATGATATTCTTTCGAAGTATTCTGCTTCATGTGATACTCTGTCTTGAGGATAGGGGAACTGGTATTCGTAAAATGTATAGACCGGAAGGTTATTTGTTAGTGGTGAAGACAGGATGCGAATCTCTGAGAGGCATTTGGAAGATATTTGAGATCAATTAGGTGCCTATCCTTCATGTAACAAGGAATAGAATTGGGGGCGGGTTGTGTTGTACTAGCTTTTGCGATTTAATTAATACGTATTCGAAGTTCAAGGCATGATCGGCGCTCTATAATACTCGTTGTCGAGGATGATGAACGAACAATGGCGCATGTTACGAGGGAGCGTACATGTATGTTTTCAAGTGGTGTCTTGTAAGAATGCACTATTAATAAATAGCTGGATAACTAAGCTTTAGGCGGTGGATAACGGCAGTTGATTCTAATGGCCAATCAAAATGTCGGTATTTCATTTTAAGCATCACGGATCGGACTAGTTATCTCCGATGATTACCCTTGCATGGATAAATGGAAAAGTTACCTAAGCTGTGTACAAGATAGTACGAAGAATCTCTGCAATAAAGACATAGAAAGTACAGTACCGTCCAAGTACCATTTTATGTCGGAATTCTAAGCCTTGTCGCGTCCCAAAATCTTGAGCATTAGATGCAACGATAAGCTTGATTTACAAATCCGAGCAACTTCTTTTCCCCTCTTCAACATTTCAAGATCCAGTTCATAACGGATACATCGTCCGATCTCCTTTTTCTAAATTCTACTACGTATATTATCGATGGGCCCCAATAGGCCAAGCCCCTGGTCTCGAGTATCGAAACGCGTTACGTAGCTTCAGGGGGTTTCGATCCCGCCCCATCTGGCCAACTTCGGTTCTGGACTCCGTGCGCTCGAAACGCATGATGGCGGGACGCCAACCACGTCGAACAGACAAAATGGCTTTCTCCTCTTCTTTTCCGTTATTTCTACTTTCTTTAGCTATTTTACCAATGGCTTCCGCACACGATCATAGCTCTTCTCATATCGAGGAAGGACAGGCTGTCTCAGCTGATCCTATTGTAGGTTACAGCTAGAGAGATGGAATCGATCACGGCGGAAGTTCCGGAAACTAATTACTCGTGTAGGATGCGACACTATGGGCTCACATATTCATCCAAATGCTGGCGTGGGGTGTTATATTCCCCCTAGGAATGGTTCTCGGAGTAAATACACCCTCACAACCTCCTCGAATGCCTACGTAGCGTTGATTTAGAATCTAACCGGAGCTCTCTTGTTCTTCTATAGATCGTTAAGTCTCGATGGCACGTACCCGTACAAGTAGCCGGCACCGCGCTGGCAATCCTCGGATACGCTCTAGGTCATTTGCACGGCGGTCGCGAGTTTTTACATTCGAACGTCCACTCCAAGTTCGCATCGCCTATTTCCCTGCTGCTTTTTGTCCAGGTCCTCATGGGTATCTACCTAAAACTGCATCTGGAGAAGGGTATAAATGGGAAGATTAGGCGCTTCGTCAAAATCGGACACGGTTTCCTCGGGAAGGCTTTGCCCGTGTTTTCCTGGACCCAAATGTTGTTCGGTGGTATTACTGCGCTTGGGTTTTGCCAAGGTGACCATATTGGTCAATGTCTAGCCCATTTCATCATGGGAAGTGCTTTCATCGCATATGGTGCCTTGCTAACCATCCTATTACTTGTCGGACAATTATGGCTTAGGCGTACTGGCCGGTCCCAAGAGTTCTTCGACAGTGCCGTTATCGCTGCCTGGGGCGTGGTCAACACCTTTACTGAACATAGGTGGGGTACTGATTGGGTGAAGAACGACTGGCAGCATACAACTATGGGTATCATCTGGTGGTCTGCTGGGTTGGCTGGAATATGGTTGAGCTCAGATCGAGACGGCCGCCCGCAACGAAATTTTATCCCCGGCTTCGTCATTCTAATTACCGGTTGGGCAATGAGCGCTCATCCCCAAGATATGATGATTAGTGCCGAAACCCACAAGATGTTCGGTTACACCCTCATGGCAGCTGGCGCCACCCGTATTATCGAGGTATCCTTCGTGCTTCGGGATCGCCCCGGCATGTCGGAGGATGGTCACGAAACCAGCAGTTTCCAATACGTCCCCATATTTGTAAGTCTGCGACACCTGGCGTGTTCAGTGTGTGCCTTTGCTAATAGATATCAAAGTTGCTTTATGCGTCCGGATTCTTGTTTATGGGCGCTACGGAAGAGCAAATGGCTCTAGTCGAATCTTCAGGTCTAGACCATGTTGCCTACATTTTGATCATATACTCGCTCGCCTTCCTACTCTTCCTCTTTGTCAATGTGCTCGTCACCGTGTACTATCGCAATAGTACTCCCGATTTTCCTATTAAGGACACGGAGAATGGCCGATTGGGCCCCCGGGTCAACGGAAATGTCCCCATAAGAGACGCACAAGAGTTCGAACTCGAAGGCTTAATGAGTGACGACGAAGATGATGACGCGAGGCCGAGGGAAGACGACGACTTAAACAGTCCAAGTACGATAGGCAAAAATAGTGATGGGGTTGCACGCTGAGCTTCCTTTAGGTTGACGTGCTAAGGGATCTATGATTCATACTTTATGGCCTGTTTAAGGGGGATTGCATATATCACTGGCGTTTGGGTCCTGGATACGGGTTGAAATATAAGCGGATTTGGGTACGGATTTCACATATAGATACCTACATATCTAACCTAGTCATATTCAGTGACCGGTATTTAAGGAATTCTCACGACCCCGAACATTCGTTGGCTGAACCCATGGTCTAAGACCTAGAATGCTAATGTCGTCTTCCCCGACATAGAATTATCATAATATGCCAATATGCAAGCCTTATAATTTAGTTCTGAGTATCTGTTTGGCATTACCTCTCTAGATGTCCAGTCTCCCATCTATCGCCACACACCGCGGAATATGAACCCAATGGAAACACATAGGAACAGTATGGGTGATTAATATTCAGCATCCATTTTGAGTTGGTGGATCACATGGGAATTCCCAAGTAGCGGTAGTAGGAAATCCAACTTCTACTTTACTTTACTTCACTGGTACCTACCTAGGTACCTATATCAGGATACTCCTCCTTGAACCCAACAAAGAGAAGCTGGTGAACTGGTCGATAGAGCAAGGCATTTATGGTCGATGGCTACGACAGCCAATGTATTTTTTTGTCATTGTTGTATGGAGAAAGCCCCGTGCTAGAGTCGTCCTCAACTTACAATAAGGAAGGAGAAAATTATCCCCAGTTATCTGTTTCGACCAACAGGTCGCTTCTTGAATCTATCAATAGCATCTTAATCCTCGTAACCCATTCAAGAAAAAGTCGATAGGACCACACATTTCCAAGGTCTCCATCATCTTAATGTAAATAAATAGTCACCCACCTTTCCATCTTCACACCTTTCAACATAACAATTCTCACTGCACTCTCAACTTCCCTCTCCTCAAACTTGAGGGGCAGCAGCCATCATGGCTTCAGATGATGATGAGGAGTCTAATCACGGAGCCGAGTACTACTCTGATTACGACTCTGTTTCCATCTCTGATTCTGTCATTGCAAACAACGGCAGCGAAGTTTCTAGCGAACCAGACGTCGATCAGATATGCCTGGACGGGCAGAAATACAGACGTGACCTCTACGACCATGGTGACGCCCTCAAGGAACACGCGAAGGCTCTCAAGGACCTCCGGACACGATTCGACAACGTCTTTGGCTTCTTTGAGGATTATAAGAAGAAGGGCACTGCAAGTACCACAATTGACAGTAGCCAAGAGCCTTCTCAGGCAACGACTAGCAAGACGACCGATGAGCCATCTGCAGGAACCTCTTCACAGCCATGCGAAGGTCTCGACACGGACGAGACAAACATGGCCAACGATGCAACAGAGGATACTGAGGATACTGAGGATACTGAGGACTCTGAGGACTCTGAGGACTCTGAGGACTCTGAGGACTCTGAGGATATTGAGGATGACATAGCCAAGAAGAAGGTGAAGGATTTGAAGGACAAGCTGAACTCTTCAGACGACTTGAGAGTTAAGCTCAGCGATCTTATTGAAGGAGCTAAGAAAATGGAGGTCGTGGGCACTTGTTATGATAGAGAAGCCGAGGAAAAGAAAGCCCGAGAAGCCATGAGTCCGTACCCGCCCCAGGTTCCGACCCCCTTCGGACTCCACCAGCTGGGCCTCGATGACTTGTCAAACCTCATCAGTCGCGAATTGTCTGACCTTTTCGGCCTACCCTGTCCTCCACCTTGGACTGCTGCTTCTTTCGAGCCCAAGCCCAAGCCTAAGCCAACGACGATAATTGCGGAGCCCACGATGACAGTTGCGGAACCTATGATGATAGTTGAGGAATACCAGGAGGTGAAGCACGGGACCTACTACGGACCTATCAATTTGGGAAAGCGAGAGCGATGGCTAATGAGAAAGCCCATGACAATGAGAAAGGTCGGGGTCAAGGCTCCAATCCGCTGGCATAACCTAGCAGCAGACTCAAAGGCCAAACCCAAACACGAATACGAATATAAACCTACGCTCTACTCCCAAACCCCCATGAAGGTTACCAAGCTGCCTCGAAAGAAGCCCAATAAACACACCCGCTACCCGCTTCAGACGAAGACCACCGCCGAGAAACGACGCATCTACATGCGCAAGCACTGCGGCATCGAGCCTCGGGCGGACAAGATCCGCGGCGCCGACGCGCTCTACATGGCGATGTTCGTGGACACCAAGACCCGGCGCCTGTTCTTCAAGGACAACACGCTGCACTGCCGGCCGCGCCTGCGGTGCCGCCGCGAGTACTGGATGGACTCGTGGTTCATCTGGCGCGGAGAGCCGCGCCAGGCGCACCGCCGCCGGGGCGCCTGGACGCTGATGTTCTACTTCGGCTCCAAGCACACCCGCAAGCTGCCGCGCGTCCTCTCCGCGGAGTCCAGGATCCTGGACGAGGAGATCCGCGACCTCGTTGCCGCGCTGCAGTGGCTTGCGACGGACCCGGAGGTTATTGCGATGCAGAGACGGAGGGAGTTGCTCGCTACTCTGCGCGACTTCAATACGCTTCCTGTAGGAACTTTAATAATCGCAACTGCCATTTAGGTACTAGGGAGCTAGATGGGAGGTGGCTGGTTAATGAACTTGTCGTGTACTTTTAATTGAACGCATTTCTATTTGAACGAGGCCTGCAATTGACTTCTTTACTTCTTTATCATAGTGATGCTCTACGTATGCTCTTACTAAATACTGACTTTAGATACCCAGGTGGGTGTAAGGTATCTAGGTAAGCATCGTTAATAGTATACCTACCTACCTAGGTACCTACTAGGTAGGTATATTAGGGGGGAGTCGAAATAAGCATGGCAAATGGAAAGTAATAACTTAGAAACATCGCCAAAGCAATCAACAGAGGTGAGGAAACCTGGATTTGTTATTGACAACCGACAATCTATAAGTCTAGAATCCATCTAACCCTATGGTTAGCCTACGCTTATTCGCCCGGTACGAGCTACTCCCTCCTCGAATCACCTACAGAGCAAGAGCAAATTCCATCGACAAGCCTGATCGGCAACGGACGTCTTAACCCCTACTAGACCAAACATCGAACTGCCATCAATCAGGCAAGACCCCGCGCGCATGAGGCTTTACAAACACTGCCAGCCAATTCGCCAAGCCGGAAGATAGACCAGGCACTCGAGGATGGCCGCGCCCGATCAGGAAAGTTTACTATTTAGCCATCGAGCTTATATAAACCAAACGGTTCCGGCAATGGGATGAAGTAGATTGCGCGTTTCTGGGCAATGTATGGAAGGCTCCGCACTAGCTATTACACAAGCCCCTATTAGTATGGAAGAATATTGAGTTGGTCTTTAGATACCTACCTATATTTATATCCCGTCCCGGCTCCTATCATTCTACACCGATTCGAAGGATCGACGCTTCACCTAACCGAATTCTTTTCCTTAATCAAGAAAAAAGAGAAAACAAATCAAAACTCGACATATTCAAAATGAAGGGCTCAGGTATTCTGTCAGCGTTGGCCCTAGCTAGCTTCTCAGCTGCTCAGACACCAGCGGGATTCGAACCGGTCGTCGAGCAGAAGCTTGAGGTCGCCTTCGGCACCAAGTCCGTGACGCCAGGCTTAGCGTTGGCGAAAACTGACACTGCGAGGCAGCCAACCATTGGGCTAAGTACTCCAGCAGATGGAACCTACTTGTGGATGATGATCGGTGAGCTCCCTTCTCTCCTATCCCAAGATATTACCCCCATGAATGATAGTGAGGTAGCTGGCTAACAAATATCCCAGACATCGATGCGTACGTCTCCAGCTCGCTATACACTCAAGTATCCACCCACACACACTCTATACCCCACCACTAACCAATCTCAACCCGTAGATCCACCAACTTCATCAACCCAGGCGCCGGGCAGCCAGCCACGTACCTGCACACGGTGATCCGGGACTTCAAAGCGAGCGGCGCCGCCTCCGCCGACGGCGTGACCACGCTCACGTCGACGTCCAACACGCCCGTCGCGTGGTTCGCGCCGGCGCCGCCGGCCGAGAACCCCCCGCACCCGCACCGCTACACGAACCTGCTGTGGGAGCAGCCCGAGAACTGGCAGGTCCCCGCGGCCGCCAGCCAGATGCTGCAGAGCCAGAAGTCCGGGTTCAACGTCCCGAAATTCATCACGGCGGCGGGGCTGAGCGCGCCGATCGCGGCGAATTATTTTAATGTTACCGGTTAAATTAGCAGGGGTGAATAAAAGGGGGGTGGGGGGAGGGAGAGAGGGAGATAGGAGGAGAATGTGTATATAGGTATGAAGAAGTATCGATTTTGAGTATAAAGGAAGCCCCTTTTATGTTCATTCGATACCTAGATACGCTCGGATATCCGACGACGCAAATATACTTCCATTTGTCTGTCAGATTCACCCCCAAACCTATATCTTCTCGTTTAGTGATCACCCCAATTAGAGAAGCGCGTAACCCCATCACTCGCTAACCAGGTCATTACCTTCCCAGGTTAGGTGGGTATTTAACCCCTTTATCACCATCTCAACCTCCAAATCCCTCAAGCCATCCCCTCCTCAGGAACGCACGACCCCCCTCGGCAACGAATCCAGCCGCATCGCGATTACTATCCTTCAGGTCGGGGTATCCCGCGACGTTCATCAGGATATCGAAATCCGCCAAGAGCCCCCCCCAGCACGTGGCGGACGCCTTCCTCGCCGCCGGCGCTGAGCGCGTACGTACGCCCACAGACGGCCGATGAAGCTGAGCGCGAGGGCCTTGAAGATGTCGGCGCCGCCGCTGCGGATGCCGGAGTCGTACATGATCTAGGTAAGCCACCAGAGTTAGCATCGACCTCCTCTTCTTTTTTAAAAAGGGGAAAGGGGGGGGGGGGGGGGGGGGGGGGGGGGCGTGAACGACTCAGATAAACCCTCTCCCCCACCGCCTGCACAATCCTCTCCGGCGCATCCAAGCTCGCCGCCGCCCCATCATCGACCTGCCTGCCCGCATGATTCGACACCACCACGATGCCATCGACGCGGTGGCCGAAGATGGAGGTGGCGGTGTCGCGGCGCAAGGTGTCGACGAGCATGCGCGGGATGATCTAGTGCCGGTAGAATGCCTGCCGGTTCGCGTGGTGGGTCCAGTCGAGGTCGGCGTTGGGGGATGCGTGGAGCCTTTTAGGTGGGAGGTAAGAAGGGACGAGGGGAAAAGGGGGCTAGTTTGTGTGTGAAGGGGGGGTTAGGGGGGGGAGTGCGCACCATCCGCCCTGGCTGAGGTACTCTTTGGCTGTTTCTCTTAGGATATGGCCCGGCAATACATTTTGGAGAGAAATAAGTAAGCGCCGCGCAGCAATATGAGTTTTGGAGAAAAAAAAAAACCAGTAGGTGTATAACTGTTTTCATTCATTCGCACGCCTTTTTTTTGTTTGACAACTTAGTATCTATATAGTCCTCCTCCCGAGACCCCGAGCATTCACACCCCTGAAACGACAGCTAGGCGCAACAGCATTTGTGGATAACCACAAGAACGTGGTAGTTAATATAATCCAACCCAGCGACGGAAGTCTAGATCGCGAACAACTTCCCCAGCAGCGTCGAGTAATCAAAAGGCGCGAGTTGTGATCCTTATACCGGAATGCCGTTCGCGTTTAAAACGGCCCAAGGTCGATGGCAGTAGGCAATCTATTCCTCGATCTTGATGGGCCGGCACCTGACCCTCGAGCATTCCTTCTCTATCGCCTCGGGGTTCCCCTCCAGACCCCCAAGCGTGTATCTCGAATTGGCAGGGTAGTCATTCCCGCACACGTCCTCTATGGCCTCCCTAGGACACACGGTATCATTGGGATCGGGCCTGATGCCCGGCGAAGAGTCCTTGAGACAGCAGCAGCAGAGCGAGACGTCAGTCTTGGTTGGGCCGTTGTTCTGGTCGTTCTCGAGTAGGGGATTGGCTCCTGCCAAGCTAAGCAGGGTGAGGGAGGATAAGAGAGAAGTGAAGACTCGCATTTTGTCGGTGTAAGTGGTGATGGCCTTGGATTTGGTAGATGAAATGTAAGAGTACCTGGGTATGAATGAAGTTTGAATGAAGTCGGCGGTGAGGTAGGTAAGGCATTGCAGTGTTGTTTATAAGGAAAACCTTGCTGATGTCACCGCCAATCAATAAATGCCAATTCTCGTAACAGATGGAGCCATCAATATTCTTTTTTGGGAAGTTAGTCTTACTTTAAACAGCGACTATACGACGGCTTTGCCGTAGCCAAGTCTTTTCTATTCCATAAGCCATCCTTACTGTGGATCGTGAGACGCTGTTGTGAGACGAGTAGAAATGAATGAATAGCATTACTTACAGTACTTTCTAACTGCTGGCTACCTAGGTACTTAGCAAGTACTCAGATAAACCGAATCTTATGATATTCGACATGGCTATAACTATTTCCCTTTTCAGAATCAAGACCTCTTTCTATTGGCGCGTTGCAGTGGTGGCGCTCATCGGAGTACCTGCGAGACAAAGCTTCCATGGAATGTGGGGAAGTCAGAAGTACCTAAGTAGGTAGCTATAATAAGATGCAAGGTACTAGATATAGCCTACCTATTATTACCTAGTAGACAACTTGAACCATGGCTCGTTGAAGTGTGAACTGGGTAAGGGTTGGTATTATCAATTCGAGAAACCAAGTAGGCTTGATGTATTCGGCAGTGTATTGTGATTTCATGAATTCGTTAAAGCAGATGGACCAGACGATAAGCAACAGGGTATCTGAACATGGTAAAATCAAGAGATAGGTAGTCATATCTCAACCGCAACATACAGAGGGCTCTTCCAGATTACTCGCCGCCTTACTGCCCGACTGATTCTCGCCCCCAACAACCACCTTCGCCGTCATCCAATCGCTCAAGAACTTCCCAACACCAGCGCCGAGCACGATGCATATTATGATGTAGCCGTTAAAAGCCATCGCTATCAGCATGAGTATGTATGCGACGCCGAACGCCACCGCATGGATGATAGCCCGGACTAGCTGCTGCACGGGCGAGGCTCTGAACATGACGATCTGCGGGCCCGCAGCGGCGGGCGGGAGATCGTCCGCGGCACAGCACGAGCTCTCCGACTTGGACGCGCGGGCCTGCTGGCTCGCCACATGCTGCTGGAACTGCCGCAATATGAAGCTGTCATACTCCTTGCTGAGCCGGCGGAGAAACTCGAGACAGATGACGAGGAGGAAGACGCCGATGCAGGACGCCGCGAACATGCCCTCATTCTCGATAAGCCATGAGTCCGCAAGGAAACCTTTTCCAAAGTCAGTTACTCCGTCATCGACGACCATTAGGTAAAACAGCGGCTATCGCTTGTTAGATGGGGGGGATCAGCCTTACATGTGCCAACAGTATTCCAATTCCAAGTCATCTAATGTTTTATGAGATTGGTCAGTTCATTAATACCCAGTCGGCGCGAATATGGCAAATACGAAAATTACTAGGTAGTTAGTTGGGTAGTCACACGTACGGCATGTGTGCAGGTAGCGTTGCTATCCGAATCCATACTGCTGTGGTCCATGTTGGCGGTTAAATTGGAAGAGCGCAACAACAAAAAAGAGGAAGAAGAAAATGAATAATAAGGCGCGCGGCGGCAAAATTCAGATAACCTTCCCGTTGCGGGTTTTCGGAGGATGACACGAGACAAGGCCGGAGGTAATATTAGGACTAGTGAAGTAGTCACTCATAGGTTGAATAGATTGAATATATACTAGATAGGTAATTGGTAATTGGGGTGAGTGAAGGAATTGGCACAGTCGTCACTTTTGCTTCCCCCTGGTGGTTTCTATACTCGAGGGCACGGATGGCGAAGTCTTGTTAATAGAATGGGACCATGAGACCATGAGAGCATAAGAGCAAGATTTGGCTGTTTGGGAAGGTCAGTCAGTCCAATATTGCTATGCCGTGTTATGTTATATGGAGTAAGGATTTGATGATAAGGTAAGAGAAAACCATTGAAGGGCAAGAAGAGCGAGAAGAGTTAACCTTGGAAGACAATATTAATCGAGCTTCGTTTCTTTTCCCCCCCAAAGGGTCTACTTCAAAGCACCTACGTACTAAGTAAGTGGTAACTCCTCTTTTCTCTAGTAAACGGAAGATCCTTGTGATGGATCCCCATATGATCTAAACCAGCGCGGACGGAGGCGAAGTGGATACTCACCCGACCGTTAGAGCCCATCAGGGTCGAATCTTCAACGGCTTTACTCCTTAACGGTCGGTCGGTCTAGCTTATCATTGGTTCCATTAGACGTGTTAGATGTTACCCTTGCACGCCAAGCCGTCGAAGGCCCCTGGAAAACGTGCTCAATTGTTCTCATACTTTCCCTTTCGGAGCCTTAAGGCCTAGACAGCAGTCTCGTTTCGAACCATCGTGGGGTGGTATCCTGTTTCTACGTAGTACCATAGGTATGTAGTACTATCTTGGTAGTATATTGTTGTCAATCGTGAGCAAGTTTCAACTAACACGATGAATATGACGGAGGTTAAGGGTTATAGCTATCAGGGTTAAGAAAAGTAGTGGAGGAGAGAGGCTCGATATGGAACCACATTGTTGCCCCGGCACACGAGTGCGACATAATGTTGGTCTGTTAAACGGCTACACGGTACCTAGTTTAACGCCAGCTGAACTCGTTCTCCCACTTATAATGTTATACCTACCTCATACCTACTTATACAGAACACCGTTATGTTAGAGAAATGTTCCCAAGGTTAGTGACAACTGCAGATCAACGATCAACCTCGACGGAAGCTAGTCTGCAGGTTCTGCAGTCTTCTTAAACGTGGTTCTTCCCGCTTCCCGCTTCCCGCTCCCAGCTTCGCGGACCACGGTTACGTTGAGCGCTTATCGTCATACACCATTTACATTTCACCTTGTCGTCGTCGTCGTCGTCGTCGATAATCGACGCAAGATGGCAACCATGGAAGACGGGCTGTTTGCTCGCCATATCCAGAATTTCAGCGAGGCCACCAGCACAGAGAAGCATTGGGGTTACGTCGACCGAGCCGTACCGTGTACTAACGATGCCGGATCCTGTGCCTACTTGGACCAGGTCTACGGAGCACATGACTTGACCATGCTTTATACTGGAATATTTTGGGCCATAGTCGCTGGGATCTTACTTATATGGACTGTCGTAAGACGAGTTTTTCCAACCCCTCGTGCCGATGAGGTAGCTACAGGCACTGCCGATACCGAGACTCTAGTCAAGAAGATTAGCCAACGCTCACGATTGAGAAGGACAGCCGCTTCGTTAATCCGCGGATACTTATTACCAGACTCAACTCGATTCGTCTTTGGTCGAACAACAAGGCTACAAGTTCTCATCCTGGTGATCCTAGCAAGCTACCTATTAATATTCAGCTTTGTTGGAATCGTATACCAAACTTGGATCACGCCGGTAAAGAAGATGCCCGGTGTGTACAACACTAGGACGAGTCTTGGCCCGTGGTCCGATCGAGTTGGGGTATGGGCCTATGCCCTTACTCCGCTCTCGATTCTATTGTCAAGCAGGGAGTCGATTCTTTCCCAGATCACGGGCCTTCCGTATCAGAGCTTCAACTTCCTTCACCGATGGCTGGGTTATATTATCGTGATTCAAGGATCTCTACACACCATTGGCTGGACCGTCATCGAAGTCCGCCTTTACCAGCCTCAGCCAACGGTCGCGATAGAGTGGATAGTACAACCATACATAATCTGGGGGGTTGTTGCCCAGATCCTGCTTCTAATGATCTTCATCCTGAGCACGCCCTGGGGTATCCGCCTCACTGGCTACGAGTTCTTTCGAAAAGCCCATTATGTGTTGGCGATGGTTTATATAGGGGCATGCTATGCTCACTGGGAGAGCTTGAGATGCTTCTTGATTCCTGGACTGATTATCTGGGGCTTAGATCGCGGAATTAGATTTACGCGCTCAGCACTCATCCACTACCAATACCTGCCTAGCGGGTCGATGGGTTTCAAAGCAGCACAGGCATCTTTGACCTATTTCCCTGATGCCGACCATGGCGATGTGGTGAGGATGGATTTCCAACAACCCCAGGACGCTTGGAGTATTGGAAAGCACTTTTATTTATGCTTTACCGAATGCAGTATATGGCAGTCGCATCCTTTTACACCGCTCAATCTGCCAAAGGTACAAGACGGAGTTGTGTCGCACTCGTACATTCTCAGGGCGAAGAAAGGGGAGACTAAGAATATCGCTGCATTGGCTGCGAAGAAACTAGCTGCAGCACCGAGCGCCACGACACCTGTGATTTTATCCGGCCCCTATGGAGAGTTGATAGTAGAGCACTTGACCCCCGACGTCAATGTGCTTTGCGTGGCAGGTGGAACGGGAATCACATACGTCTTACCCGTACTCCTTAGCCTGGCGGAGAAACCGGAAATAAATGACCGACGAATTCAGCTGGTCTGGGCGGTTAGAAGAAAGGATGATACACGATGGATCGAGAAAGAACTCAGAATCATCCGCAAGGCAGCCAAAGTACACAAAATACAAATCCGCGTGTATGTGACGCGGGAAGGAAGCAGCAAAAGCCCATCACTCAGTGATAATATATCGGAGAAGGATGTGATGGCCGTGAAGGAAACCGGAGTGTCTGCGCCTTCAATCTCATCAATGAATGAGGTCCGGACAAACTCAACCGTCGACGTTCAAAGGATAGGGGGAGAGGGTTTCGATCGACATCCCGACCTCAACAAAGTGGTCAAAGACTTTGTAGAGGGAACCGTAAGGGGTTCTACGAGTGTGTATGCTAGCGGACCTGGCAGCATGATCAGTGATTTAAGGAGTATCGTGGCATCTTGCAATTCGGGTGCAAAGGTTTGGCAAGGGAATGAGCGATATGATGTTAAGTTAATATGTGATGACCGACTTGAGTGGTAGAAGCCCACTTGAGCAGAAATGAAGCATAAATCAAACAGCGAATAATATTCAATATGATAATCATCGTGCTTATGTGTCCAGTTAAGTTAGGAGTGGTGTGCGTTACGTTCACCTTTCCGCGGGCTTGGGCGTAGCTCATTGCACGTAGTTCTTATCGCATACATCTGGAGGAGTTTAAGCGATTGCTACCTCAAGCGTCTCGAATTTTGCGGAGTCAACCTGAACGGAATGCGCCGTGCACATCCCAACTCGTCGATATGATCCATCGCGATTTTTGTCCAGTACGAGAAAGTACCAGCTCTTATTCGCTTGTGCGATCAGTATAACCGAACAAAATCGCGACGATCGACGATCCAAGTCCATTACGCAGCCGGATAGCGTGACAGTTTTATCGTTGATAGAATCTGCTTCCCCAAATGTCAAGTTCCCGACATCGAGACCAGGAGAATCAGGAGGCGGATGGTAGAACATTCGCGCGAAGAGGCCCCGCAGCGTGACAGTCCCAATGGGGCAAGCTTCCGTGAATTCATTTTCGCCGACGCTCATGCTGACGTTTACGACCTCGACTACGAACTGGCTTGTGCGAAGAGCCCAAAAGTCTAGTTGGCCATCGAGGGCAGCCCAACTCCAGCTTGGTGCCCGTTTCTGCGGTGGTGCGGCAAGTAGCGAGATTTCATCGGTTTGGCTGATCCCCCAGACTCTTCGGCCGGGCGCGTGGTAGTAGTGGGCGCACCACAAGAGTCCTCGCGCAATGTCCTCCTTCCACAAGCCGGCAACGTACGTTCCGGAAGACTCTGTGGTCGTGGTAGACTTGAATAAAGCCGCGGCTCCGGCCATGGCAGGCAGTTTATCTGTGGAGACGGTAAAATTACGGGTTGTATATTCTTGTAGTAGCTGGTACCAGTCCTTCCACTGAAGCTTAGCCCCCTTAGCCGCGGATACGCCAATGCGCTTCCGAATGTTCAAAAACAAAGCCATGACGTGGCCACTTGAATCGCCCACGTACTTACTCCCGTCCTCGCACATGAAATCGGATCGGCATTCCCAGAACATTTGCTCCTTCCCAAAATGCAGTATCGGGTTCGCCAGAAACCTCTCCTGCATGCACCAACCACGGCTTACGAGGGGGCATTTTTCAAGGTAGTAGTTCATCTCCGGAAACACCTTCTGCACTGCGTACTCATCGTTTAATGTAGCAGATGGGATGCGATTAGGATTCAGGAACCCGGTTGTGCTGGCGGGAGCGTCGAGGGCAGATATCACGACGGTTGCACCGGCGTAAACAAATCGCATCTTGCCGGCTTCTCGAAACCAGTCGTCCTTGGAGTCCTGGATAATGCAGAGTGCGTCTATCCATAGGTATCGTATCTGCAGGGCCCGGGTGACCTGAATTGCATCCTTGAAGTTCTGTGGGAGTGCGTCCGAGTCCATTGCTCTTGTTCTCGCTGTCTTGTTCGCTGTCATCAAAATAGATGGGATCGGACCGCCCCAACAATGGCTTAGAGCAGTATACGCTGCCTTTTCACCCTTTGATTCATATAGACGGATTGGAGCCTCTTTGGTATCGCCAAGATCGATCACCCGCGTGGGTAACTCACTATCTATTGTATATTTAGCACAGTCTTTATGCACTTCGGAGCATTTTCGTTGCCATATGGTTGCCATGTGGGAGATGTGCGACAACTGTAGAGTTACCGGTATCGCAGAAACTCTCCTATAGGCATTTGCATAAGGCACATCCTCGCCATTCTTCAAAGACCCACGCCTACAGACTTTGAAGCTATGCAGAGGAACACTCCCAATCGTATGACCGCCCCAGGGCATTTTGGTCAAAGAATCACTGAATCCAGCTCGAAAGTGGCCTTTTAATTTGTTCCCCCCCGAGCGGCCTCCAAACCAAAACGGATACAACCCCAGCCAGCCTTGACAGAAGGACGGGTCCATAGGGGCGAGGTCTATGTAGAGAACATTGCAGAGCTCGCATATTTTAGCGCTGGCTTCGAGGTCACTGAAGGTCTCATGATGTCGGAAAGCATCCCCCCAAGTTGCATCTGGATTTTTCTTCGATTCTTTGGGTAGCCACTGTGATGGATACGTGTCTTGGACCGAAAAGTCAAAAGCGAAAAGGTTGCTGATGAATTCGCGACAGAGTTGGCAAAATATCCCAGTCAGGACGACAGGGGCTGAAGTCATGTTGGCAAGAGACGAAGCAGAGACGAAGGCTTGTGAGGTATTAGAAGCCTAAATGCATCAAGGCTACGAGCCTCAGCTTCATGTACCTTACCGGGCGGGGTTCACTTGGTTCGGTGGACGACAACATTAGGGCTGACCCGACTAGGATCAAATACATACCTGGGTAAGTATGTACGAAGTACCTATCATCTATTTCGGATCTTGTGTTTGATATCTACATCTTGTCTTATATTGCAATGTTCGCGCATATATCTCTCAACCATTATGTTGTCGGGAACAAGGCTTTTAATATAGATGTAGTTAGCTATTTGAAAGATGAGAGCATAAGAACATTGAAAAGGAGACGGTAGTTAACTCTTATTTCAGAATAGTTAGAAGGTTATTAACATTGAAGTTTGTACGACAATTGATTAGGTTACATAACTAATGCTTGAATGAATTAGGGGCGCGGAAGAATTCCGCTGCCTCTTATCTTAGTATGACCCCACCAAAATTTTAGTTTTCTTTTCTAACTGAATTTTTTGGGATTTCACTGTCGGTTATCAGCTACATTGATCAAATCTAATCGAATCGAACCAGCTTTTCATTACCTCCTACATAAAACGAAATTATCATGCCTTCCGTCAAGAACCCCAATGGACCGTCCAAGAACCGCCTGATGGCACGCGCTGCCAAAGCTCGGCAACAAGGTCAAAAGCGCAGCGCTGCCGGCCTGAACGAGAAGACACATAGAATCAGTAAGGCAGATGCGACACGCGGCGCAAAGCCAGGACTTTTACCCACAAGCGGCCCGAATCGGGCTCTCAGCTCAAAGGCGAGGCGCAAGCTTGACCGCAAGCTAGGGTATGCCATGCAGCGGAAGATGAAGGCAGAGGGCGAGGTCGAGATGAAAGGTATTTGTCACTTTTCAGCGGATATAGACATCATTGCTAATTGGAAGTATTAGATGTTGATACGTCCGAAGAGAAGACGAGTAAGGCTACGACTAATGAAGAGATGGCTGTTGATACGGACAGTATCTCATGAACGCTCGGTGGTGATTGACGTACGTTTGAATGGGCGCATCAGCCACCAGACATGCCCGCCAAACTACCTAGTACTAGGTAAATAGGTACTTGCTGGCTTGAGCATATGAAGCCACGCTTGGCTCGAATTAATGACTGGAAAGTCAACTAGCCTTGTGCGCCTGACGGAAACAAAGATGCAATGCTCATTCGTTATGGCGTTACTCGTACAACGCCTCAGACGCTTGCACCTATACATACGCGCAGAGCATGGACTTGACGACACATGATCTCCCCCATCTTGGCCTGGCAAGAATGGATAAGCAGTCGCCAGAACGCCCCGAACCTACGACTGAGCAATCAAATGACGGGTTATAGCGATTAGTTGGGAGTAATCTGGCCGTGGATTGGAGTTGAGATCAAATGAGGCGCCAGGGGTTCGCATTTGGGCCTGCAATGCTATGGACGATGGGCAAAGGCGAGCTGCGCCTGGTCTCATAGAACTCCGAACATTGAACCTATTAAGCTCCTTAACAATAAATCTAAACAACAACCAACTTATCATGTCTAATGGCCGTATAATCATACAGCGTTCTAGAAGAAGTCTCCACGTTAATTGTTGGCATTCTTAAAATTACATAAGTTGTGATAGAGGTGCTAAAAAGATCAATAGTTGAAAGTCTTTAGGCAACCATACAAGATAACTACACGGCGGATACAACGGCATCCCTGGTACCCGTCTTTAGGGATTGCCAAGACCACTACGCAAACTGTAAAATAAGGACCCTTGTTGGATTTATGCAGATCCCATACAATAATACTGCATTAGGTACAAAAAGTAATACTTTGTACAACTTACGGTAATCAATATTTCGACAGTTTCTATTTATCTTGACCATCGACAACTTTTGCCAATTTTCACAACACATCACCCGCTGCTGCAACATGACATGGGACTTCTACGCCGCCGACAAGTCTTTTATCTCATCTCTCTTGTATTCCTACTCTCGCTCTGCATACCCTCTACACGCTCCTCTATAAAACAGTTTGGTGATCGCGTCCGCCAGACGCTCCCCTTCACCGACCAATGGAAAATCCAACAAGAATTCGTCCCAACCCAACACGAACTCGATTGTCTTTACGGCCGCACCCCGAAATCCAATACCGGTAGTAGTAATTCGATAGAGCCAATCCCGAATCATGTTCACTTCATCTTCGGGCTTAGCAACCCTTACTACAAGCCAAGTGTGGGCACTTTTGACTTCCTCTGCTACCTTGCGGTAAGAAGCGCAATTGTGGGCATGAAGGCAGAAAAGGTCTTCATTCACTACACATACCTCGCAGACCCACCCTCGCCTGAACCAAATGCCTCTCCCCTATCGAACCCCTGGATATACCGCTTGAAGGATGACGTCGAACTTGTCCACCACACGCCGGAGGAGATGGAGGGGCTAAAGAGCTCGCCGGAAGCTACCTGGCAAGTGGCGCACGTATCTGACATACTCCGACTCAAGATTCTTCAGAAGCAGGGTGGTATATATCTTGACAGCGATGCCTTTGGCTTCCGACCCTTCACGAATCTTCTAAAGTCGCCGCGCGACATAATACTAGGCCACGAGGGCGGAAACCGCGGAGGGCTCTGCAACGCCATCATGGTCGCACGGAAAGGGAGCGCCTTCATAGATCGGTGGCTGAAGGAATATAAAGGCGCCGATCTTTCCAAGGAGTGGAACTACCATAGCGTTATCCTACCTAAAAAGCTGGAATTGCAACATCCCGAGGAAGTCTGCCCCTTGCCCCCCAATGCTTTCTTTTGGCCGACATGGACTTGGGGTCATATCGAGTTTATGCACCAAACCTTGAGCAAGGAGGAGGCGAAGAAGTGGGCTGCTGAGATAGACAGAAACGGCGGCAGTCTGTACGAGGATCAGCTCGCATACCACGCCTGGAGCCAGATGGCATGGGAGAGGTATTTGAGCAAGTTGACGCCAGAAATTGTGAGGACGCGGAATACGAGGTTTAACCTTCTCGTCCGAAATTTCCTGCAGGATGATATGGGAGGTGATACGCGTTAAACACAGTAGGGCGTACTCGGGTTGGTACATGTCTCATTGCGAGGTTGGGTAGCATAGCGTATAATGTCTGATGAGGGCATTCGAGTGCCTGTTGTATAAAATCAGCACCTTTGAAGAGCTGGCCAGTTCAGTTGGTCGGCTTATAATGTTTTAAGAATATCCTGCACCTTCTTACGTTTCAAGTGCATTCAGGATGTTAGAGCCTATGACATATGATATTCATACCTAAGTACTTGCGAAGTATTCAATTCAGGATATCCAAAACATTGAAACGAACTTAATGAAAGCAACACATATAGTCATATGTATTGTCTTCCTGGGCCCTATTTCAATGTTGCGTCCTGGCTGTAGTCATATGACTAAGACTAACATTGCATCTGGTAGGCGTCATAGCAAGCCCGTTGGATATAGCGGGTTGAAGAGTAATATGCATTGAAGAGCATAAATAAATCGATGTATACAACCAGAATTCGTTATCGTCGAAACAATCAAGATGAGGCGAGGTTAGGAGGTAAGTAGTCTTATTGGCTTAACGCAATAGGGGCATCCCCCTTTTTTGGTTAACCCCTATTCACAGAATCCATGTATACCTAGATACGTAAACAAGTAGGTATACTTGTAAAAGGAGAATATCTCTGTCGCACATGTAAGATGACTTGTGGAGGTTTTGATTTCGTCAGTAACTCTAATTTGTTTCGGGTGAATAGACTCATCTCATACCTGCCTACCTAGGGTATTGAAAAAAACAATATTAGAGCTAAACATGTATAGAATAAGCTCAGTCAAGGGGAAATCCTCATCAACTAATACAGTTTTGACAATACTATGACTCATATCGAATACATGCGTCCATTGTTGAGACAGGCTTGGAGGCCTTTTCACATTTGATGTTTCCTTGCCTCCAAAGATCCCTACTGTTTCTTACACATGCATTTGCTTTATGGATGTTTCGGTTCGTAAGCAGCATCTATGATATAATGCACTATGGCGTTCCTGCAAGTTATCTACAGCAGAATTTACTACGTCCAGGTGCTCTCTATTACACGAAGGCCTAAATCTAAGTTAGGTCTTGCCCCCGATGGGCCGCTTTTGAGTTGTAGTTGCAACACACACTTCACAATCTACCTACCTAGGTAGGTACATATTCACCTGCCTTGCCCAGACAACCGTCGAAATATACATGATACAGGACATTGAAGGGGTGTATATGTATAAATAATCTGGCTTGGAAGACCTGTCGTCAACCCAAATCGTTCCTCCTACCTAACACAACAAGTTCAAATACTGCACATGGTACTGAATATATCGAACAGACCTACTCTTTCTTTTTTTCTTCTTTTATCTCCGTTCTATCACTGAGAGCCTTGGCTCTTCATCTTTTCTTCCGCCTTCCTTCCCTCTAACGCCAAATTATTATCAACACAACCATCTCATACTTACTACCCAAATTTATAACCTGCCACCATCTCTATTGATCTTCAATCTTCTTTCCTAAGTATACACACTTCTTTACCGATGGATTGAAAGCAATTGCGCGTTTTAGGCTATAAATGCTCTTGCATGCCCTGGCCTTCTCTACTGTCTATGAAATGGGAACAACCTTAAGAAACACGGACGGCCTTTCGGTCTATCATTACTCGAGCAACACGTGATGGTGAGAAACTCAAGATAAATATCATCCAAGCCACAACCCAGACGCAATACAAGTGATGGGCTTGCCTCCGTACCTGGGATGACGGTAAACGGAGAAGTTACCGTTACGGTCGTGAAGTTTATACTATAACGGTTCAACCGAAGGGAGCATCTCCTGACGATAACCAAGAAAATCTACAGACCTATTCTCCAGTTCAAGGGCTAATCAACTGGATCAACTAACAATTCTCGGTCCCAACTGCAACGCCGACGAGACTAATGCCGCATACTAACTCACCGTATCCTAGGTATTCATCGTCACATATTTACGCCGTTTTTTTGCATCGCTACATACTTACACCTTTTCCCCCTTGTCGCACATTTACAGTATCAATCAAGAGATGCGGTCCAAAGGATATTGTTAGTATAGGACACGAATAGCCACGGGAGTGGCTACCCACTGACGTAGCTGTAGCTACTGCTTTATGGCTCCATAGCTACTGCTATATATCTCTGTAGCTGCTGCCGCAGCTATAGCTGAACCTTATTCATGTATATAACCAGCTCTGAAAGATCGAGAGCTCCGCTCTCCTCTTCTCTCTTATGAGACATGTTTTTTGATCTCTGATTTTGACTGGCCCGAGCCTTACAGATATCAAAATGCTTCGCCATTTTCTAATGTCATACGATCATGAGAGCAAGTATAGCAAGAAGGAAATAGCATAACGACAAAACCTGATGATCACATCCGCGACGACTTAGATCATATCCACTCTTCTCTCTTAATAGACAGCTCTGTTAGATTTCATACTCGTACCGTCCCCCAGGTTATGAAAATGTCGATACCCTATCAAAACGGAAAATTACACTTGCTAAGCACTCTCCCGAGTAGGAGAAGTTTCAGCGACGACTTGACACCTACGCAAAAGGTTGGTGGCCCGGTGCTCTGGCGGTCAGATATAAAGCAAACTTTCTCTATCCATCTTCTTTCCTTTTGGTTGCAGCCTTGCCTGCAACAAAAACAGATGGAACTGAGCATCATCCATCTAGGTATTGCGCATGTGGGTTGTGCTTGGTTGTATGTTACAGCAAACAGACCGCCCTTTCAAAGTCAAAATAATTATCGACAACCACCAACCTTACCCCCAAGAGAATCTTCAAAACACCCTTTGGTAAATGGACAGCAAATGTTGGGGCGGGGAGAACGAGCTTGTTTCCGTTGTAGAAATAAAGATCACCTTCAAACTCGCTGCGAAGCCCCCAGGTCAGAATGGTTGGCATGGTGGGAACAGTCATATCTCAGGGGAATGGTGAACCCTGCTTCTGGGTACCTATTCACGAAGCAAAGACCTAACCACACAACAAGTCCAGTCACGATCGGCTCAGTTGTATTACGAACAGTTTTTGGAAGACCATCCGGAAGAGTTGGAAGAACTTTGGATGGAAAACCCGTTGTGCTAGCAACGTGCTAGAATGGGAGGAGGTGTTGCCGGCCAACAGCACAGATGGTGAGCTGATGACGGCTCATCTCCGCGCATCCAAGGACCTCCTCGACGAGAGAAGAGATTATATTCGTGAGACAATTCTGACCTTGGGCGGTCAGCGGGACGATCTAAAGCTCCGAGAAAACAGATATAATGTCGGCGAAGTTGATAATTCTCTAAGCGATGGAACATATTCATGGACTGTTGGTTCCAGATACTACAGGTGTGATGAATAAGCTTGTATTGGATCTTCGAACTTGGTTTACCGCCAATTCATCGCGATCGAGTTCACTTTGAACATCTTCAGCGTCGTCGTCGCCTACTGGCTCGAGTTCGGCCTCTCCTTCATCAACACCGGCAACTCGCCCATCCGTTGGCGCTTCCCTATCGCGTTTCAAATAATTCCGCTGCTCGTGCTCCTCGCCGCCGTCTGGTTCTTCCCGGAGCCACCTCGCTGGCTCGTCAAGGAGGGCCGCGTCGAAGAGGCCCGCTTCATCCTTCACTGCCTGCGCGGGTCCACGGGCGAGGACCGCAAGAGGGCCGAGGCCGAGCTCAGCGATATCAGCAATATCGTCAAGCTCGAGACGAAGGAGAGCAAGGGCAACTGGGTCTAGCGAGGGAAGTCAGTTCAGGGCACATACAATGTACTTCAGTACACGTTGTGTGCTGTACTGCCTCCCTACAGGTACCTAGGCTATCAACTAGAGCTCATCTAGTCACCCTCGAAGGAGGATTGATTTATTAGAGTTTCAAGAAGCAGTCCCTAGTTGTACTGAGCAGTGCAGAGGCGGAATTTGAGAACTTATCACCAGCAGGAGTGTCCGGGAACTGGAAAATCCACAACCAAAACATATTATTTCTAACTAATCTCAAGCTGCCGGAACGCTTGCAAAACGATCGATCATCGGCTGGAAACAAGGCAAGGATGAGATTCAAAGACAAGGCGTTGAAACACAAAGTTAGAGACGATGCCCTCTGGCTCAGAGCAACCAAGTTGCACTCCGAAAGAAGAGTTGTCGATTCCGCACGCAAGAGGAAGTCGATTATCAGACAATGTAATCAAGATTACGGCCATAGGGGTAGAAACTCGACTTACCAAAGGATCAGCTACCTCTACTATTGGAAAGGGATGATTGCTGATATTGCAGAGGCATTGAAGACGTGCCCTCAGTGCCAGAAAGCTGACACCAAGAGAAAGCATAATCCTGCGCTACACTCATCGCCCGTTGACCTTTTTGCCTGTTGGATCCTTGATGTTCAATATATGCCTGACGATCGTGGCTATAAAGCAATCATTGAAGCCCGAGAAGAGTTGACCCATTGGCCTGAAGCAAGACCCCTCAAAGAAGTGAAGGCCGCCAAAGTTGCAGAGTTCATCAAGGAATGCATTATCACGCGATTTGGAGTCCCATTGGTCATCAAAGTCGACGGCGGTCCTGAATTCAAGGCAGAAGTCAAGGAAGCATGCGAAATGTTGTTCGAGCAGTTCCGCATGCCTGAACGCCGCTCGAATTCGACACATTGACGCTCGATACAAATGGATCATCGATAGAGTTGAACGAGGCGATATTACAGTTCAACATCCTAGTACAAGAGATATGGCTGCAGACGGTCTGATAAAGTTGGGCTTGAAAGAAAAGCAAGCTTGCTTCTTCTTTCCCGTCTTTTGCTCGCTGTAACCTACGACAACACCAAAGAAACGCTCCAAACACATAGCGGTCTCTTTATAGCTTTTGACATACTCGTTGAATGTTTAAATGGCTTAGGTGCCTATGTATTTATGTCGTTGTGAAGAAAGTGATTTGAGACGATAGTGATTGGCTTATAGACTTTGGCATATATGTGGATTGTATCAGCTGGATAGGTAACTACCCAGGTATCTTGTATCTATCTATGATAGAGCGTTATACGCGTAGTATCATATCCATACAGTTCAAGCCCCTTGCGTGGCCGGGTATACTTTAGACGACAGGCCAACCGCTAGAGAAATTGATCGTGTTCCATCCAAATCGTTTCTGACCATCTGCATAGCCTATCGTAGTATCAACGTAATGGTAGTAGAGAACCTATCAAGTGCGATTAGTGCCATCCACCTATACGAAAGGGGTAGGTTGAACAAGCGTTGGGTGAACTCACGGGACCATGCGTAGGATCATTGTAAACCCCCTGACCCCCCGGCCCGTACACGTTTCCATGAGACTCAAGGACCACCGTGCCCCCGCTACTAGTGCACGCCTTGCCCGCGGCGTCCACATAACCCCCTGTCGCGGAGCTCGACCGACACACCATGATCTTGTACTCGCCCCCCGCCGCCGGCTTGCTAGCATCGTACCCGCAGCACTGGCCCTTGCTGTAGAACAGGTAGTAGTACGCGCCGTTCTTGTACACGAACGCGCCCTCCTCGTCCGTCTTGACCGAATCGTACGCGACGTTGTACGCGCCGCTACTACCGCTCGCCACGGCCTTCGGCGGGCTCGCCATCGGTACCTGGTAGATGTCCCGCCAGAAGCTGCCGAAGGTGAGCAGATAGGTGCTCCCGTCCTGGACCAGGTTCGGGTCGATCGCGTTGTAGGGCTTTCCGGAGGAGGAGCGGATGCCGGTGGACCCGAGGTCGGTCCAGGTGCCGACGTCGAGGCTGGAGGAGGTCGCGACGCCGATGGCGGAGTCCTGGGAGCCGAAGGTGCTCACGGAGTAGTACAGGTAGTAGGTTGAGCCGACCAGGGCGACGTCGGGGGCCTACGTTTCCGAGAATTTGTTAAACAAAGATTTTTTTTTTCTGGAGGGGGTTTTGAATTCAGGGGGGATAGGTAGGTATGTACGTACCCAAAGATCCTGGTTCCCGTCGAGGTCGATGGAGGAGCCGGACGGCAGCGCGGCGCCCTTGTAGGTCCAGGGGCCGGTGAGGGCCGGGGCGGTGTGCACGGCGATCTTGCCGCCGGTCGAGAAGCGGAAGTAGGTCCCGTCGGATGACCGCCGGATGATGGACGGGTCATGCGTGTTGGTGCAGGTGCCCGAGCAGGCCCCCGGGTTGGCGTAGCCGAACGCGCTGCCGAGCAGGGAGAGCGCGCCCCAGATCACGGTGGACAACCGCGCCATGTTAGTGGTGGGAAAAGGGGGTTGGATGGATCGACGGGAAATAGTAGGGGAGGTAGGTGTGGTGGCAGAGAACAGACTTGATCGGGAGTCTGGTTACCTATAGGTACCGAGGTGGACGATTGATCTTGTTTCCGTCCCCGTTGGATGGGTAGGAAGCGATTGTCACTGAGTATTAAATACATGTATGCTAACGTACATACCTACTGTGCATACACTACTAACCTAGGTATGTAGATGGCTTCGGGTAGCTATGGCAGACTGCATCACCTGCTTTTTCTTCTCAATTAGGAAAGCTGGACCACCCGTTCGCGGCCTCTGATTGGAGGAATTTCTCATCTGCGTGAAACGTGGTGGCGGCTGGCCCCTGACATGCCTGCAAGATGCCGCGATGCAAAAAAAAAGTTGGAGTCGTCTCTTGTTAGTGCGCTTATAGGCGTGGTGTCCACTTGACTTGACTTGGGGACGACATGTGTGCTACTTAGTCTTGGACTTGGAGGAGGAGGAGGAGGGGTTTGTTCGCTTGAAGCTATTGGGGTTCGCTTTTTTTTTTTTTTTTTTTGCTACCTTCCTATTGCCTTCGTAACTATAGTAGCATTCTATCTCGTAGAACCGGAAGAAGCTTACTTACTTGAGATTTTTGTTAGTCGGGTTTTATTCCATTAGGTGCTAGGGAGGTAGGAGTGAGGATGGCACTCGATCTCGACCATTGCAAACGCTTCCCGTGAGTGGAATGTCTGGCCGTGTTGCGGGGTGACATGTCCACAAGCGTCTATCCGACGTAGACGGTCGTGGGTCGAGTCTGTACCGACCTAGGTATCTGCAAACAATAACATGAGATTTATCATCGCGGCGGTGAACAGAAGGGTGGATGTGGATATTTCTGAATTTCAGGGGTAAGCATCTGGATACCTAGGTACCTAGGTAGTTACCTGACCTAAGCTGATCTAGAGATATCAATGTACCTACAAACAATGATCACAGTAAATTCCCTCTGCATGACTGGAGAGTTGATTAGGTAGCTGTGTCGTTTGATTCTAAGTAGTAAGCATTCTAGATTACGGTCGCCAAGAGAGGCTTTCTGGGCTGTAGTAAAGGGCAACAAGAAGTGGCACAGATCGGATTTTCATGTCAATGGCGAGTAGGTACAGTAGCAGCTGCTATAGGCGATTTTCATTCTGTCTAGACTATCTAAGTATCTATCAGTCGGTAGAATTGTTGATGCCAGTCTACTCTATCAATTGAGGATTTATTTCCATGTCAACCTTGACTTCTAGCGTAAAGGGGGGTGAGTATTGTAACGATGCCAATAGGACCACGAGCCCAAGAGCAGAAGAAAATCTAGAGACATTTCCCCATTTAGTGAAGCTAGGAGAGCTTGAAGACCTTCTTTCGTTCGGTCGCGAGCAACTCCTTGAAAGCCGAGAAATATGTATCCTTGGACTCAGACTGGCCATGGGTGAGTTCTGAAATGCGGAACATTGTCAAGGATTGGCGGGCCCTTGAATTAGAACAACTACTTAGACCGTTTGGAATGACAATCGAATGTGCCGGAATCCCCGAGGAATCGAGCTGCCTGCAAGTTTCGGAAATCGCTGTATGATCTGAAGTTGAACATAAAACGTTACCATCTCCGATGAGAAGTAGGAAAGGTTTGTCCTTAGGATTCTGCTTGAGAATGGTGTTGGCTTGTCGTAAGCAATATGCATAGTCTTCGCTATCTGGGCACCTATTGATGGAATCGAGGATTCCAAATGTTGCGTCAGAAATAACTTGGGTAGGCGATGGATCAATTCGAGTGTCGTTCCCATGAATCACTACTGCAACTTTGGCCTCGCCGTTGACTGCCTTGATCATATGGAGTACATCTCTGTAAACCTGCTTGACCTCATGGTAGACTTGAGAGAGGCTTCCGCTCACATCAACACAGATAACCACCGTCTGGCCAAAGGGCTTGACCGACTTCTGCAGCTCATCCATACTCTTCTGCAGTTCTTGGGACTCTTTCAGATGTCGGTCAAGCGACTTCTCCAAAGTCTCCTGCATCTTCGTCGTCTCTCTTTGATGCTGCTTCAGCTGCACAAGCTCCCTCTCTGTGTTTTCTGCCTTCTTCGCAGATTTCTCGCTCTTATCCTGGAGGGTAATAGTCAAGTTTTTGAGTCGAGTGATTTCATCGGTTTTGTTGGCGAGTTTCTCCTCAAGCTTAAGTTGATCTGATCTGATTACCTTCTCCGTCTCGCAAATTCTCTGTCTATGCTTGTCATTCTCATCTCTAAGCTTCCTGCCCTTAGCACTGAGATCATCAATTTCGCCTCGCGCATCCGTCAGCTTCTTCTCTAGGTGCTTTATATTGTCCGCCTGGTGTTTGCAGCTCGTGGAAGCTTCGTCGTAACGCTGTTGAATTGCGTCTCGGTTCATAGTTGTATCAGCAAGCTTCCTGGCATTCTCCTGGAGCTTCGATTGCAAAAGATCAACCTCCTGCAGCTTGGGTTGGTATCGCTTTTCGAAATCGGTGGCCTGAGACACAAGTTGTTTATTCGCTTCGAAGATCTGCTCATGAAGTTTCGCACATTCAGTTTCGAGAGCTTCATTTTTCAATTTGAGGAGTGCCAGCTTGTCTTCCAGCACAGAAGCGCGAGTTTCCAAGGTCGTCTGCAGCTTTCGTTCGTTGCTGAGCTGTTCTGCTAACTGGATACGCTGCAGACTCAATACCCTCTCTCTGGTTTTATTACTATCACGTTGTAATTCTGCCACAGGCCGACCAATTACTGGAGTCCGAGTACGGATCGGTAGCGCTGCTGAATACTGCGGTTGCGTCTCGGCTGCATTCGACGCATTATTTTGAGGAGTCGATGAGTCCAACGCTAAGTTACTGGGCATATGTTCTGTAGTTGACATACACATTTCCATGTCAGCGGAAACATCTGGTGGTATCTGAGGGCGGTTGTTGCACCCCATGTCTGCAAATATTTCGTAGTTGGATCTAAAGAGGATTTCGTAGGTATCGAAGACTGTGGTGTTATGTTCACGGAGACTTTCTAGGTTGAATTTGATACATACATCAGTGTTGACGACGGTATACATACACGTTGCTCCTTTGTCGGTGCCTTAGACTATATCGTAGGTCAGCCTTCTTAGAATGTCTAGGAACAAGTCTCTGGCAATACTATATTCCAAAACAGTCCAAGATACATGTCTCTCTATGGGGAATTTACCTGGCCAAATTCTAGATACATCAGTACCTACAAACAGGATTCAGAGCATTCAAACGAGCACCAGCAGAATCTAGACATGACAACCCCTTGCACACCCCACACATAACTACTGCCTCTATCCGCAACAGAACCGACATGCATGAATAGCATTCACGGGTGAAAGCAAAAGTGATGCATCTACCTTTCTTCACGTTCTTGCCTGATAGTGTTGCACAATGGTAAGGATATAGTGGGAATGACATCGAACGAGAAGATCGATTATTGAAAGCCATCGTAAAAATGTTACAAACGAGATCCTCATTCATTCACACCCTCATCAAAGGCGACTTTCCGCCTAAGAGACAGTTATGCACGTTCTGATCGCGGCAGCCTAGATGACGAGTCAAATACCTGATCAATTCGTACTTTGTACAAGATACCCAAAATATCTTTTAGGTGCTGGTGCTGAAGACAGTACCAACCTAACCTAGGCAGTTTGTGTTCGTTCAGAAGACCATGAACAAGGTTTCTTCGAACATCTTCGTCGGTCCAATCTCGACTTCACGTTTACCTACCTAGGTAGGTACCAAGGCATCCTTCTCTCATAAAACACCCCCCCCCCCCCCTTCACTTTAGTAAAACACATATATTCTTATATTCCAGGTCTATAATCATCTCCCGACTATTCATGCTTCCAGTCGATCTTCAGATTTCTGATCTAATAAGCAGCCTTTACCAAGTATACTTATTCTCTACCAAATTATTTACTTTCGGCTAAGAACGAGCCATGGCTCCTCTACCACCAGCCGATGATATACTCCAAGTAATGGCTGAATGTCCTGGATGCTCCAAAATTACAGCATCACATTGTTTGGAGGTCTGCTTGTCTTCATGTACCTGTGGTCTGCCACAATGGAAGCAGTGCTAACGGTTTATAGCTTTGTGGGCATGATGTTCAAAAGGCAATTGAGAAGTATAAAGAGATCGAGGTTTGGATTCACTAGACATTATTCTTATTGGTATGTAACTGATTTAACCTTGATATCTATTTAGGGGTTTCTTCCGCCAGACCCTCCATCCGACCCCGATGATACTTCGAGTCAATCGAGCCAAAGAAATATGTCCAATGGGCATGACGAATCGTCAAAACCAGAAACCGAAGAGAGTCCATCGTGGATGCCCAAGCCGCCGACCCTTTCCGCCTCTGGTAGGATTACTGGCAAAGACCCACCTCTCGACCCATCTACCTTTGAGCTCCGGGAGGTCATTGGCGCAGTCCAAGCTGGTCGATTCAGCGCCGACGGTCTTCGCGACTATCTCGGGTATTATGATAAGGAAACGTTGAGGACTAACTTGAACGCTGATATCGACGGGTATCCTGCAATTTTCTATATCGTCGCTACCAACGACATCGACATGATTCGGCAGTGGATCAAGCATGGAGGCGACCCTAATACAACATGGGGACCTGATAATTTCCCGTTACTAGCATTCTGCATACTAACCAAGGGTAAAACCATGCATCATGACAAAAAGTCACTTGCCACTCTCCTACGTTTCGGCGCCAGTCCCTTCGTTATCCCAGAAGCATTCTACAGCCCTTACTGTCGAGATTTGCCAGAGGATGGGCCAGTACATGATGAACTGCATGACATCAACGACGACAACAAGCGGTGGTGTACAGAAGAGGTGCGGACACATCTTACCAAGGCTCTGAATCTGCTACAACGATATGATCTTTATAGATCCAGCAGAACCAGACCACATTCTGGCCGTGAAAAGGAGCTGCTGGTTCGGCAAAATGCCGATGAAGTTACAGGCCTCCACCAGATGATCATAGCCCAGTCAATCGCCACTCGCTGGCTCCAACAGAAGCTACGCGTGTAAGTTACAGAGACCTTACGTATCCCCAGTCCCTAAACTGATGCATATAAATCTAGATACTTAGCCCTCCAAAAAGAAAAGCCCCTGGTATTGGTCTTCGCAGGGCCGAGCGGCCACGGCAAAACTGAGCTGGCGAAAAGATTCGGAGACCTTATGTCATTGGACGTAGAGGAGATTGATTGCACAATTGTGAAGTTCGAGACCGATATGTTCGGCCCACGACCACCCTACAAGGGATTTGAGGAGGGCTCGCGGCTCAACAACTTCTTGGCCCAAAATGCTGGCAAGAGGTGTATCGTTTTTATGGACGAGTTCGAAAAGACTAACCAGGAAATTCATAATACATTACTCCTACCATTCCAAAGCGGTTAGTAGTTCAATATGCCTTCAAACTAATCTCTAATACTAACATGGCTCAAAGGATGCTACTCAGATCGCCGCAACGGCAATATTATCGACTGCTCCAAGTCTATTTGGCTCCTCGCCACGAACAAGCTCGATCCTACCATTCACTCCTATTGCGATGCCAACAAACAGGTCCTTCTCCAGGAGACCGACGAGAATGCCCAGGACAAGCTGGTGCGGGCGCTGTGCAGCCAGCTTCGCCGAGAATTCGTGCAGCACTTTGGCGCCCCTCTAGGCGGCCGGGTCACGGAGATCATCCCCTTTCTCATCTTCTCGGCGCCGGAGTCGGCGGTTATTGCCGACAAGATGCTCATGGACATCGAGGCTGAAGTCGCCAAGCGCGTGCGCATCACGCTGAACAAAGACGACGATGTCTACGTGGGGAACATAAAGTTCCACATCCAGAATGAAGCGGCGCTGTGCGCGCTCATTGCGAACGACGAGTACGACAAGCAGACCGGCGCGCGCAGCATCGCGCAGGGTGTGGAGCGGCTGGTCGAGGACCCGCTCGTCAGCGAGTACCTGATCAATGGCGACAAGTTCGATGACAACCAGCCGATCACCACCTTTGTCGTCGATGTTAACCTGGATGGGGAAGTGGAAGTCCGATTAGTGCCGGAGCCGGGACAGGAGGATGAGGAGCAGCTCGTATACTAGATAACGAGGAGCAGGCGGGCAGATTTGTCAATCATTTGATTGGGAAGGCGGTAGATAGGTATAGATATCTATTGGGGTAGTATGGCTCTTAGGTAGATTGATTAGGTACTTAGAACCTGGATATGCATTGAGTGTTTGGATTAGGAGAATAAAATAGTTAACCTAAGCACGACCAAACACCAAAACAGCTTCGTAAAATATGCTGTGCGTCAGGGGTTTGCGAATGAGGCCTTTGAAATTTCGAAACGAAACACTTAACTCTGTAGATTCCCTCACAATATTCCCCTATTAAGTTCCTACATTAGTCGACTGCGCTCCAAAAATGCACCCCTATCCCGTCGCGATGTGCTACGGCTCTAACCTAACCTTACGTAGCTACATATGCCAGCACGTCTTCAAACGAAACGATTATTTCTCTCGTCTCGATTCTTCACGGCGCAAGTAGTACTTGAAAATGCCAAGAAACAGTCTGGGCAAGGGGTTTGCCTCGCAACACAACGCCAACTAGCCCCTTTATTTCCAGAGCCCCGCGAACCCAACCAACGAACCCCCCCCCCAAAAAAAAGAATAAGCAAAGAAAAAGAGAAAAAAAGCAGTCCGATGCTAATAAACGGCTAATAGCGGCGCGGGCGTCTCTGATGACTAAAATCCCCGTTCGCGTGTGCTACACCGACCGCCGCTCCGTTTTGACCTCGGCGCTCTGGCCCCCGCCTAAGGAACATTTGCAACTGTTTTGAAAGAATAGGTACGGAGCGGCCGACCGACCGAGCTCGTGCTGCTCTGAGGAATGCCGCCTCCAGTTCAACGGAAATGGATAATTAGTATTCTGATATTTAGTTAAACCATACTTTTGACCCTTTCAACATAGTTATTGTTATTGTATAAATAGGGGGCATTGTAGAAAAGTGTTCCAGGTGCCTGAGGCACCATAGGCTCCACTAGGGCCAAATAGCCATATATTGGCACTCCGCCAGGGTAGTCAGGAATAAGCCAAGCTATCTTCCTTCTTCTTGGTTGCAGTTATACTACAAGAAAAAGATATCACGTTACCCCTCTATGACTCATTGTCTGTCATGCATCTTCATCTTACATCCGCAACGAGGAAATCCTTCCAATTTTCTTCTTCAACCCACACGACGCTTGCCAATGCGGTTGATTTGATTCCTTCTTCACTATCAAAAAAAATGGAAGAACTACACATCCACACCGCAATCCACAGCCGATACCAAGTCTTCGACGCCTCGGGCCAACATCCCTTCAGCATCGTCTTCGGTCTTTGCCGCCGCAGCCCAAACGATACAGATCCACGTCCCATAGTCTTGCACGCCGCGAACTCAGTCCTGGACGTGCCCTACGCGATCGCTCACCGGCTGCTTACGCTTCATGAGCATCATGGAAAAGAAGGCCGGCAGGAGAAACCGATTGATTTTCCAGCAGGCCAGCTGCAGCTACCCGAGAGCGAGGCGGCGGGAACGTACCTTTCCCTCCCCTCGCCAGTCGACCGCACAGCACACTGGAAGGACGCGATGACCGTCTACCAGTACCAAGTCACGCCAAACAGCGAACTGGCCTCGGTGCTGCAGCCGGGCAGGAAGTACACCATCCGGCTGGCGGGCAAGGACCTAGGCGTGAAGTGGTGGACTTATGGCGATGACACTGATAATCCACCCTCGAGAAGAAACCACAGCAATAAAGTGCCCACTACTACTACTACAAAAGCCTCGGAGACCACCAGGCTGATCAACAGCAAGTCATCAGCCGGCAGAGCGAGCTTCGCGGTGGTGCCGGAACTGCCTCGCCCGCCGAAGGTGGAGACGCATATGCGATTAAGCCGGAGCAGCGCGGACCGTGCCAACCTCGACGAGGGCGACGACGATCATCCTCGCGCTCCTCTGGAAATATCCGTCCTGCACACCGGCGCCCAGCCCCTTACCGTCCAGACCCGCGGCCCGCAGCGCTTCCTAATACCATGGGGACCCTTCCAGCCCGAGGAAATCGAAACCTCCCGCCCTCTGATCATCAACGCAGCAGCAGCATCGCCGGCACCGGCACCAACCTCTAGCCTCCAAGTCGTCGATGCCGGTACGGGCGAGGTAGTAGTACGCGCGCCCGCGAAGCACGTAGGGTGCGCCGGCTTGACGGCCGGGAATGTTGATCCCCGCCCGAGGCTGGACACACTGGTTACGCTGATGCCTGGCGAGCCGCTGGTCAGGCGCGTGGATATTAGCGGGTTAGTTAAGGGTAAAGGGGTGCCGGACGGCAGGTATCGCGTCCAGATGCTGCCGCGGGGGATGTGGTGGTGCGGTGGCAGCTGTACGGAGATGAGGAACGAGGGAGATGGTGAGAGAGTACCGTGGCAATGGTATCGAAAGGAAATCCCGCCTTTGATGTTGGAGACGGACGATACCGTCGATGTAAGGGTTGAGAATGGGAAGATCAGGTAGAGATTGATATAACTTTTCTTCAATAATTTCTTTGGTGAAACTCGGGCATACTCTTGGATATAAGGCGTAACGCCCTAGCTACCTAGGTACCTACCTAGCATTCTAGTATAATATTTGACATTTATTACCGTGTAGTAATATCGTAGTGAGTGCTAGCGAGCCTGTCTGTCGGCGTAAACGGCACCACATTCGTGAACACCACAGCCTCTTCCTTCATAATCGTAGAGGTGACTACCACAGGCCACGTATCAGTACCGTTCCATATCATGGGAGTATATCTCGGCCTCGGTGTCATCGACGTCGGGTATGTATAAGTCGGTATGGCAGATGGCGGGAGGTAACTAGCCGCCACCGTCACAGCCGCTCCTTTCTCTCTGCCGGGGTAGTAGAAGCTGCCGTCCGCCTCATTTTCTCCTCCAATCCCATCATCTATCCGTTTCTTAATATCCAAGTCGTGACCCTGGCAAGAGATCTTGGGCCCGCCGGCCGACACGATGGCGCGCTCGATGCATCCGGCCTTGATTATAAGGTCGATGTTGAGAAAGCCGAGCCTCCAAAGGAAAGTATATGCTTAAACCCGGTTTTCGCCTTGAACTGCTTGAACATTTCCTCAACTGCGCTAATATCCACGTCATAATCGGTAGAGATATTAGCAAATGCAAAATGCTAGTGAATCAGTTTGTCAGTATTAGATTTCAACTTCAGTCGGTCCGTCAAGCTTAGGTATCATACCACGTGTGTATAGTACGACGGGATACTCTGAGGCTGTAATTGGGTATTTTAGCTGGGGTCCAACCACACGTTTTTGGAAGCAAGCCGACTTACCCACATATTCAGACACGGTCTCTGATCATTCCAAGCCTCGAAGTAGCCGATCCTAGCAAAACTGTCCGGTGCTGCTGATGTTATGATATCCGTTCCGCAGTTAGAAATGCATCCGTTGCTGTTAGGTTGTGCCGTTCCCGGAGCTCCTGTGTCAGCCGGGTCTGGGATGCAGAAATCTGATGTGATCCAGCTGAAAGCATGTTAGTTACGCAAAATCCTTCGATTCACTTGAAGATGTCATCCCAACATCGTGATAATTTCATATCCTCGTACATTTTCAATAGGATAAACATCTTCTGGGCCTTGGCTTCTTCACTCCCAATAACTCAGCCCTGACTGCGATTCCCTCAATTTGCGGAATTACAGTCTTAGAGCATTAGCCATCATGTACTTTGCTCGTGCCATTTTAGGAAGCCTCGCGCTCCTCAGTTGGTTTGCAAATGCTCGATATCTAGCGCAGCGTGATCTGGTCTTCGATGGGTATGATTCCGTTCAAGTCTTATAGGAAAGTCGCTAAGATTTCAGTAGATTGCCAGAGGTATTTGCCGATATTCGGCGTAGAGACTCGAGCAATAGTGATGGCCCTACTTGTCGTCGAATATGTGGCTCTTGTGGGAGTTCATGCTCTTCTTCAACATTGTCCAAACGTACCTTACTTCAATTTGTAACGTCAAATGATACGATTCAGGACCAGGCGGCTTCTGAGAAAGAGGGGACTCACCACGTGCTGAAGAGAACGCTTCAGAACGTACGCCAGGACGACATCGGACCTTTCCTTCAGGGTAAAGCAGATGCCCTGGTTCTGCTTAGAGATAACCCAAATACCAATATTATCAATCTGGCCGATACCAGTAAGTCTTCATGACTTTAATCCAGTTGCACATACCTGAAACCATACCATTTTCAAAGGCAAGGGGTATATTCTAAAGACCTCCCAATGGCTTACCCCCCCTTTAATCCGTTAATGCTAACAAGAGTAGCGGGTACGAATGATTATACGTTCGCCACGCTCAAGCGGTTCGCGGATTTTCAAGCACCCAACTTCCTCAATATTGTCATTGCAAAACCGTTTCTCTTTCTAATTTCTCAACTAAGGCCCATTTCTTTGAGAACCTGGCGTTCGCTGCAGAGGGCGCAAAAGCACCCGATACAGCCCTCGAACAGAATTGCCTCAACCTAATTACAGGTCAGGGTCAGACATGGAGAACGAGAGGGGATAGTCTGGATCCGAGCTTGTTCTCGGGGAACAATGGTCTAGCTGTTGCCTTCATAATGATGCCTCGGGAAGATCAGGGTAAGGCGCTGTTTGAGTATGAAGCGAATGCCGACGGGAGAAACAACCCCAACTTCAGGGTTTGGTACGAGCAGAATTTGGAGACTGGCAATAACCTGGGACTGGGTTAATGGTTACATGTGTAATACATGATGGTCGAGATATCATAAGTCGCTTATAGCTTTTAATTTGAGTTTTCCCTGCATAAGAATTTTGACTTTCGTAGAAAACAAACGACCGATGGGATTCGGGCAGGGGTACGGACATGGAAAATATACTGAAAGCCACTGCCGTGTAACACTCATCCCAACGAATAAAAAGTCGTTGAAAAGGTAGTAGGTACATGTAAGATGTAAGGGCCAATATCCGCATCAAACGCTACATAGAGCTTTTGTATTTCAGACGACGCTTCCCGTAGAAAAAAAAATATAAAAAAACTTAACAAAAATCTTATTTTCTGCCACCACATATATCACATTTACCACATACAACAAACAGCATGACACCCTCCCTCGAAACTCTCCCCATAGAGTTGGTAGGCCACATCGTGGCGCTCATCTCCCTCCGGAACATCACCTCCCTTCACCTCACGAGCCACACAATGGAGAGCAAGGTGTCCCAGCAACAACAACAACATCTAGCCCAGTACTTCACCTATAAAGATATCGAGCTGACTTCGGAGCCCCTGGAGAACATGATGCATATTACTAGTCAAGGCCATCTGGGCTGTCTACTGCAACACTGCACGATTACCGGCGTTGCGGGAAACGACGACGACGACGACGACGAGCACATACGTCGTAGTCTAACCACGGCTTTCAGCAACCTGAAGCAGCGTTCGCCCACAGGTAGCCTAGCCTCTCTGTGTCTGCGTGTGAGTGTGCGCGACCACAACAACAGTAACGACAGCGACAGCGGCAGCGCTTCCGAATCATCAGAGTCAGAGCCAGAACGAAGTAACCCTTCACTACAAAGTATCTGGGCCACGGCTCTGCGCACCTTCACCATCACCATGGCCGCACTCCACGCGGCGCAACTGCCCGTGGCCTCACACCTAGACATTTACAGCGGAGGCTTGCGGTGCAGTCTTGTGTACGACGCTCTGTTACCGCTCCCCCGGCAGTTTACATCGTCAACGTCTGTATTCAGCTCGCTGAAAGAGCTGAAGGTGAGCCTCTCGTCGCCTTTCGTGGACTCCAAAGAGACCACACCCGGACACTCCCGCCCGACCGCGCACGGCAAACTAGCGCTGCGAGCTCTCCTAGACATGTCAGCCATCATGCCGCAGCTGGAGTGCCTAGACGTGCACTGGTACAACACCATCGTCGATTCCCACACCTCTGCCTCTACCTCTGATGTTACGCCGCCGCCACCACCAAACCCCGCAGTCGAGCTCAGCCCGTCTCATTTCACAAGCCTCAAAGCCTGCACATTCCGCGGTATCTACATCTCCTCGGACGACCTTTTCATCCTCCTCAAAGCCTTACACCTCACTTCACTAATCCTAACGGACATCCGCCTAACATTGGGCACCTACGCGTCCATCTTCGACTACCTGGCCCTCCCAGACACGACCATCACGGACTACCACCTCGACGACCTCCGTCAGGGACACGCGCTGGTGCATTTTGACGTGCCGGGGACAGCGAAATTCCCATATCGTGGGGCCACGATGGGACCGAGTACGCTCACGAGGCAGGAAAGTGAAGCAAAGGAGACAATAGCCTATCGTATGACTCATGAACGGCCCCTGGGGTCTGGGGAACTGTGGCGTTGATGGAGGAGGAAGATTCGTGAATTTGGCCCGGAGAACGAAGGTTATTATTTATAGGCGTAACTCGCTCCCCTAGGTACCCAGATTACGAAATCTCTTCACTTTCTCACCATCTCAACCACGATTTACGAAACAACAAGCTATCGTTTAAAGAAGTCACCCGCGCGGCCACACAGGTCATCAATCCTCGCACCAGCTCAGCCTCTCATGGGGCCGACGACGGCGACGGTGTACAAGAGTCAATTCCGACATCTGCAGTCCCTGAATCTCCTCTTCGCTTGTCCGGCCCTTCATCGGCGGATCGTGACGCGCTAGCTCGCGGGCGTGTCTCTCGAAGACTCCGCCACGTCCGCATCGGCAACATGAAAGCCCTGGATCCTCATCCGCCTGCACTCTATCCGCGGCTAGCGACCGTCTGCCCCCCTTGATTCTGACGGCCCGGTTACCCGAAAACGCTTCTTCGATACCTATGGATTGTGGTTATTGTGGCAGCTGTGTTTAGGTAGTGAAATGGTACGGTAATGGATGGCCATGGTGCTTTTTTGGGCGAAGGCGCGCGAAGTGGATGAGAAAGGGGAGAAGGGGAGAGAGAGAGTGGAAGATCACTGGATGGAAGGGTAGAAACCAAAGCTCTTAAAACTGACGATTTCATAGGAGCGATATTAAGATGTAGAGTCTATTCATCTATCACTGATACCCAGGTTCTAGAGCCTCTAGATTTTGAGTTCACTCTCAACCTGTTCCGGTCTTATGATGGCACCTTAACATGACCCTATCTAGCCAACTATTATCCCGAACCAATAGATGATAATGCTATGCCCCTTAATGAAAAGGGGTAATATAAAGCGGACTCCAACGATGCTCAAAAGTTACAGACGACACTTTCAAATTGCACCTTAGTTGAAGACTTTATTCATCACTTCGGAAAATTTGTTTCTGTCACGGTCAATTAAAAAAATTCTATGAATTTGGGACAAGGAAACTTACCTCGGAGGCGTAGGGACGTATTTCTTAGTATAATCTTCCACTGCGGCTACATCTCGCAACAAATCGACTGCTTCTGGCCTGTGAATCTGAGTCCTGTGAATAAATTTCCAGGAAAAATAAAGGACCGGGAAGACGCCAATCATTGTGTACCTAAGGGGCTTGTCAGTGACTAGTTGCTCAATATAGGCACTCAAAATGCTTGACTCACGAGAATAAAAAGCTCGGAACGCTCCACATGCCTGGCAAGAAGACGGTATAGCCACACACGAACGTCATAACGAAAGTCGCGATTCCGGCATAATAGGCTGAATAGGGTTGAAACAAGCCTTGGTAGGGTAGAGATTCGCGGCTCATACCCTGCGCTTTCATGGCGCGATAGAAGCAGACATACGTAACGGATACGACGCAGTAGTTGATCAATTGAGACGCAGTGACTAGTGAAAAGAACCAGCTGAGTACAACGGCCGCGTTCTCGCTTACTTGGAGGAATGACAATAACGCAATCATCAAAACAAATCCCACGCAGTAGATGGGGACTCCTGCTTTTGTGCACTTTGTCAAAAACTTCGGCGCCTTACCCTCGAGGGCCAACCCATAGAGTGAACGGGAAGCGCAGTACACATAACTGTTTCCAGCGGAGAAACAGGCAGTCAAGATCGCAGCATTGACGATGTGTGGTAAAATAGGGATCCCTAGCCGGTGCATAGAGACAACATATGGTGAAGCTGCTGCACCAGCAGCCGAGTTGGTGAAGGCATCGTTCATTTCTGCGTCATTGTAGGGAACCAGAATTCCTACACATAGGGCTCCTAGCATGAAGAATGTCGTGAGCCGATAGAATACGGCATTGAAGGCTGAAGGCAAGACCACACGGGGATTCTCAGCCTCACCCGCAGCCATCGAAACATAATCTGGACCGGCGATGGTTAAAGCAGCCGATATCAGACATTGCAAAAATCCTTGAAACCGGCCAAGGGAGCCAGTCGAATAGTATTCGGCGAATGATCCAGGCTCATACCAATATCGAAACCCGAACCGGTCATGCTGAGGATTTCCACCGACCATGACACAGAAAGTGTATATTATCAGCCCAATCGCAAGCAAAACTTTGCCTGTTGCCGCCCAGAATTCAGATTCTCCATATACGCCAATAGCCACGACATTGATTATCGCATAGACCACAAGCACAATTGCTATGATCGCGCCAGCTGGGACTTCATCACTCCAAAAATGAATGATCAAGTTGATTGCTGTCACCTCAAACGGCACGAGCGCAGCCTCCAAGACAAAAAAGTTCCAGCCAGCAGCGAAACCGAAAGCCTCATCAACATAGCGGCCGGCGAAGCGGATGAAGGGTGAGGAAATTGGCAGATACGTCACCATTTCAGCCAGGCACATGGTCAGAGCCAGGATGACTGTACACCAGATGGAGTAGGCGATAAAGAGACTTCCGGGCCCGCCTTGAAGTAGTGGCTTGCCGATTTGAACGAATAGTGCTGTGCCGATGGTGCCACCAATGCCGATCAATTGGATATGACGAGGCTTCAGTCTGCGATGGGTGCCATCGCTGCCGCCGCCGATTCCTGTGAGGGCCTCGATTTGGACGCCATCGTCCTGGCCGAGGGTAAATTTCTCCGCGTCTGAAACTTCATTCCCATGTCCATGACCAGAAGTCACGGCGGTCGAGTACCCGGATTGGGGCGGGAAAGATGCCATGATGAATGAGAATTTTTTTTTTTACACTTCTCTTGGTTTGGGACCAAGTATCAATGTGTATAGGTCCTCAGCTGGCGGTGAACCAGTTGCCAATAAAGGTGTCAAGGTTGACGAAAATGCCTTTAAGTAGAAGAGCAAAGAACTCTGGTACGAAGTCCATGGGCGGTGACTACCTACTAAAAAGAGAAGTGCTATCCTATGACCAGGCAATCACAGATAGGTGATCAGGAGTGTACAGACCGACCGGTAAGGAAACTGGAAAGGGTGGGAGACGTTGTGTAAGGCTAGAATATACGCCAAAATCCCACAAGTGACAAACTAGAATTCTTGTTGCGCACTGAGGACGGGAAAGATAATATACACGAAATCACTTTGCGGAGCCTTACTCGATGTATGTAAGTAAGTACATGTAATAAGTAGAGGGTATGCAGTGTATGTACATGTATGATCTAGATGGCTGTGTGTAACAAGAGGTGAGCAGAAAACGAAAATTTAACTGGCGAATTGAATTTCGTTGGCTGTTACTGGTCAGCTGGTTAGACACATGCACATGCATTACAAGATAAGCTCAACTTTACCTACCTAACCTAGGTAGGTTCGATCTATGTATCGCTTACATGGAAAGAGAAACCCCCAAAGAATCTAACACCCCTATTAAAACTTTACTTGTAAGTCTTGCTTCAATTTTGCACCGTGACGGTAGTCAACAATTTGTATACAACCCTACGCATTTTGACATTTTGTATAGAGACATATCATTGGATACGAAGCACAATTGTAGGTTACTAGGTAGTACTACTATATGTAGTAGTATAATTCTTCCAGAGTTCTGGTCAGTGTTATTCATATATAGGGGTATTGTATCTATGTAGTAGGTACTTAACAAGGGTATATAGTACCTAGTAGTACATTACTACATAGTACCTAGTACATACAAGTCATGTAAGTCAAACCAACATTTCCGAATCCAAACATCCATGCGGAAAGCCAAGTCCTTTTGCCATTGTCATTACATGTAACTTACACGTAACTTAACACACTTAACGGTGTTTTGGTATCATAAATCTATTCAATGCAAAAACATACATAATAATGCTTCCCTTTTCCGCTAGCACAGTTATATGTTGGTATATAGGTAGGTATTGTATAATCATGGTAAATCAGATTTCCAACTCTATAATTTTCAACTTGCTTCAAGTTCAGGCGGCTGATTTGACTTTGTTGGTAATTGTACTATGGTACCTGATGAAAACACCAGTTCCCGTCGATGTGCCAGAACGTCGCCAACAGCTGTCCCAACTTTAGTAGCGAATTCCGCCGATTTGAACATAATTCCTAGTTCTTGACTGGTAAACCAACTGGCACGGTCCATCTGCAACGCTTCGAATTAGCAAACCTGGAACACTAACAGCATCTACAAAATGTCAAGGATAGGGGTGTGCAAAGGAGAGTTTGTGGAGAACATATTTGCGCTTGCCAGCGCTACTGAATCGATGGCTGTGTTATCATGACATTAAACTTCGGGCCTGAGGGGTTATGCTTACATTTCCAGACCCGAGGACAGTGTATTTATCGTCCACGATGGTCAACTTAACATGTGAATGCACCGGCTCCTCTGCTGGTCCTTCAGGTTGATCAAGAGGAATTGACTGGAAGTAATATATGGTCAAGAGGCCTAGGGGTGGCCGTTGCGCTTCAACATCAACGGCGGACCCCGAATCCTGGTACAAAGGACTCCCTTCGAACTGGGAATATTGTGCTTCCAGTCTTTGGTACCTTCGAATCAGCGATCGGATACAAAATGCGGTTGTGGTTCCAGCTGTAAATATTTGTTCCAGAAGCATGAGCCCTTTGCTAGTCACTATGGATACATTGACGCCTCGTTTCAAGGCGTCGAGAAGGCCGTCGATCACTGCCGCTGATGTTAGGTTTGGTGTTTGCATATAGATGGAATGGACCGCTATATCTAAGAGCCGCAGTATAGCATAATTGAGAGGTGTTGGTGGTGGCGGTGGAGAGTCATGCCACGGAATAATATCGAATTTGGGGTTGCGGTGGTGAGAAGAAGGTAGGAGTACTGTTGGGGTTTCAACTCCTGCTGATAAGGCCACGAAAGTACTGGCAGGACTTCGAACTGATGTCAACTCAGGTCTATCCCAACTTGCAGAACTAGGGGATGCAGTGCTCGTTTGTGCCAACATCGGAGGATGGCTTTCGAGTTGTCTATCCCAGACATGCCGATAGAATTTGACCAGTCCATCAACAGCGTTCCCCGTGATCTCGACGCAGCCTTCTAACCATGCCTCCCAACTAACGTTACAACTGGGTAGCCAAGCTTTTTGGCGATCGACAATTAAAAACTTGGGGTGCATCACACTGAAAGGCAAGAAAAATAAGCTCTTGACCCGCAGATCAATGCGACCAGCGTGCAAAACTTCGGGGCTTGGTAAGCCCAACACCGTTTCCCAGTCAGATGGTGGATATACATATCCGTCCCTCGACCACGTATGAGAGAGTTTCTGGAGAAACGACCGCGATGAAAAGCAAATACGTATTCTTAGGGGTGATACATCGGGATCGCAACCAGACATGATAGCGCTGTGAATGCGGTCGCAGCGTTCTGCAGCAAGCCTTTCCAGTGCCTCTCTTAAAGCGGATAGGGTAGGGGATGGAGCCCAAAAACAAGTAACGAGAATAACTTCATGTTTGGCTTCAGTTATGGCCGGTATTAAAGATTGAGTAAATATGGAAGCGCCAGTACCGAGTTGAAAAGAGTGTATACGCGATGTACTTATTAGAGAATCAGGGTCAGAGATGTGATAGTCGGGAAATTCGTCATATAAATTTGAGGTATGTTCTACGAGTGAGTTTTTCCACTCGTCTTTGAAATGAGAAAGGGGATGATATGATGTGGTGGTACGGGTTCTCTCAGTGTCCATAGTGGTATGACACAGACATAGGTAAGTAAAGTAGAGGGAAGGCGAGAAAGGATAGGTACGGTAGGTTAAGGGAAAAAAGGATTAAGGAATGAATGAATGAGTGAATGAGTGAGTGAAGAACACGGTATTGTACGTTGTTGAAGTTTGATGTTTCCACAAGTAAACTATTACATTGTAGGTCAGTCAGGTCAGGTCAGGTCGGTCAATGTTGATGGGCTAACGGGTTGACGGGTCTACGGGGTCTGCCACGACAACTTCGACAGCTCCCAAGGCTGTGTGTATTGGTTACCTATATTACCTAAATAGGTACCTAGAGACCGCTAAAACTGGGCGGCTGGGCAGGGTCAATTCCCGGTTTTAGTGGAACCCGGTATCAAATGTTACCTAACCTCCAGTACAATACATACAACATTACAGTGGGCAATGCAGTGAACATGTGCGCGGTGGAGACTAGAAAATCTGTACAATGGATTGATCTCGAACTTTATCTATCGACAATTTATACTTTTTTTTTTTCATTTTGTAATAATTTACTTGCGAAAAAATAAAGAAATATTGAGAATTAATGTCTCGGGTGGTGGCGGAAATAGGCGCACTAATTCCGCCAAACAACTTTGAAGTTCAAGTTTAACATTATCTTCTCACAATTCTAACTATTTCACAATACTACTATGTACCGGCAGTGTGATCCGGCTCGGTTTCGTTTCGAATTATTTCGAATGAGGTCATCACATCGTTATTCTGTGTCTCCAGCTCTTTCTCTTTCTCTCTCTCTCCATGTCTCCCTCCCTCCCTGTCCCCCATCTGTGCCCCCATTTCGCTTATCGCACGTGCATGCATACCTAGTACTTACCAGGGTATGTAAGTTTAGGTACATATGTACTAATCTGTTCATGCAAACCTTGGAACGGATCTTACTCCGAGACATCTCATCCCAACATTGAAGCTATCATTCATTATTATTATATATTGTTCAAGTCTTGCATAACACCGGCATTTATCATTTTATATACTATTAAATGATCTGCTCCCTTAAGAGTGTAACAATGCTCAATGAAAGACAAGTCGAATGATCATAAAAAATCCACTTCTCATGCCCAAAACAACAAAAAATAACAAGAACAACAAGAACAACAACAGACAGACAATATATCATCAGAAGAGGGTCTTGATTTTCCCTACGTCTGTCATTTTTCCAATGTTGGTAAAAGCATCATACGCCTTTTGGGCTCTCGAACCTCCGATTTGCCTCGAGACCTGCTCCAGAAACTTGTTCTTCAAGTCATCTACAGTCAAGGGGTTATCCAGACTACCAATCGCATGCTCGACGTATTTCTCCAGTGTACTACCATCGCCGAACGTAATCGAGACATAGGCCTGATCTTCGCCCACACTGTCATCCGTCGTAACGTTGACTAGCTTTCTCATAGCGATGACTGTCGCATTCAACACCACCTCGTCCGTGAATTGTGCCGGCGTCGCCTCTCCGTATAAGAGTCCCACAGCCGTAGCGTGGTAAATGCTGAACTTACCCTCGAGCCCCGTCTGCGGGTCCGTCTGACCAGTTAGGACTAACACCTCCGGATTGACGCGCAAACCGATGCTCTGAACAGACTCAACCGAGATCGGCTTGCCCCCGGCGATCGCCTGCCCGCGCAGTTGGATACACCCGTCGATGATAGGATGCATGACGATGCCGCAGGGGAACGGCTTGAACGTGTTACTCTCAATCTCCCACGTCTGCCCCAGCTCCGCCAAGTTCGCCGTCCCGTTTTCCCGTGTACTGACTACGTGAAGCCACCCATACTTATCCTCAAGAGCGGACAGAGAGCTCGTGTATCCGTCGCGCGCGAGTAGCGCCGCCAGCATGCCCGACTGAGAGGCGCGCCCGATGTGAAATGACTTTGTCATCGATCCGAAAAACACCTGCATCCCGATGACATGCGTCGACGCGATGCCGATCGCATGCTGTGTATGCTCCGTGTCTAGTCCGAGCAGCTTACTCACACCGACTGCGGCTCCGATCGCGCCCGTAGTGCTGGTGATGTGCCACCCCACATCGTAATGCTCCGGGTACACCGACAGACCCAATTTCAACTCAGCCTCGATGCCTGCCACGAATGCAGTCAGGAAATCAGGGCCAGACACCGGATCTTCCCGCCGCAGTAGGGACTGCGATTCTGAAACAGCGAGGAGTGCACTTGCTACGACGCCCGTTGGATGGATGATGCTGGCCAAGTGGGTGTCATCATAATCGTCGACATGTGAGGCAATGCCATTGATGAGAGCCGCCAGTTGCGCGTCGGCGTACCCATACCCGTTTTTGTCTAGGGAGCCATTTAGACCAAGTATACTAGCTGTCGATGGCCCATTGAAGCCGTTGGCTAGCGATACGTTTAGCGCGATCTGCGGCGCCGCCTGCGCAAACCCTCCTATGGCGCACCCGGCCCAGTTGTAGATACTCTTCACCGCAGCATCCACGACAGGAGGCGTCAAGCTCAGATAAGTTAAGTTCGTAGACCATGTAGCTAGCGTAAGTGTGGCCATCGTTAGATAGGTATGCTTCCTTTTCTCTTAACTATAGGTAACCGGTTTCTAATCCTGATAGAACTTTCCAGCAAGTCGGGCGCTCGACGTGATTTATAAAGCACGGCCTTGATCCGGACAATCACCACGTTAGCATCGCGTAAGGAGAGGGGAGCGTAGTAGCCACCCCATAGATAGATACGGTAGGTAGTAGGAAAGCGGAGAGGATGTCAGGTTCTTTCTTGTTCCTCGTGGTAACGGTCTCCAACATTCACTTTTCCGGGTGCCGGAAATAATGGGGATGGGAAATATCTCGTGGGGGGGGGGGGGGCTGCTATCTATAGATTAATTAGTACTTAGGCTTGTTAAGAGTACCTATACTTCTAAGGGTATGATATGATCATAGTCCTAACCTAGGCTTATACACAGTAGCTTCAGAGATATAGGGGTAGATGATTGTAAATTGTGCTGGGTAGCAGAAATACCTGTTATCAATAGGTAATGGCATTTTCCTGTCATCACTTAGTTACCCCTATTGCATTGATAATATACCTACCTACCGCATCCCTCACTATTAATGTTAAGTCAATCAAAGTACAATGCACTAGACTGAGCCTTACAGAACATCGGTTTTCAATAGACGAAGCATTTAATGGGAAGAGGTATCTGAGTGTAAACTAATTCCATATCATGCCAATATTCCTCTCCATGCGGTTGATATTTCTTGGTGTCTGGTAAGCTACCAGTCTGTACCGTAAGCTCGCTCGAAGCCCATATTAAAGCAGTTCGACCCCGTTCGTGCCAATTCATCTCCTCTCTCTGTGACCATAGAAAATTCTCAAGGTAACTTTCGGTGATACGTATTGTTGCTGGTTCCGCATTTAAAAGCTTACAGCAACCCTCTCTAATTGAAAACAGCACCAACAACTTTCTTTGCGACCCCCTTAACGCCAGTAACCTTTTCCTTCTCAACATCCGCTCCATAAAACCTACGCCCTTCGTCGAGGTTGATGGTATCTAGATCAACCCACCAATGCCGCCAGTGCCTCTTCCCCCGTACACTGTAGTAGACTGCAGCGCCGATCCACAACACAACGATGACGATAACCGAGATGTAGTTTGCGAAGAAATTCTCAGCGCTCGGAGAGTCTCCTAGCGGCCAGACAGAAAGGTAGAATTGGACTATGATCAGTAGAATGCACATGCAGAGACCCCACCATGGACCTACTGGATAGATCCAAGATCGCCACGGAAGTTCCTCTGGTGTACGACCTTGTCTAGCCCATGCGAGACGGAAGCGTATATGTGAAAGACAAATCATACCCCAGCCGAATAACGTGAACAGGGACGTAAGGTTGGAGAACCATCCAAAGACGTCCGCGCCGGATTCGCTGACGTTCAGATACGCAAGACCGCCACCGAGAACGAATGTTGGGATGAGGCCATACCAAGGCCGACCCTTTGAGTCGGCCCTCGTCATCCTCTTGGGCGCCATGCCAAGGAATGCGAGGCCCATGGTGGTACGCGACCCGCCGTAACCCGAAATGGATCCCGTCGAGATTACGGAAATGAGGATAATAGCATTCATCATATGGGCTAATACAGGAATGCCGGCATCGCGGTAGGCAATGACGAAAGGGGAAGCGTTAGTGCCAGATCCACCAAAGAGATCGGGGTTTTCAGGCGAGACATTGATCGTACTGTATGATAGATGTATAAGGTTAGTGAATGCACTGCTTGATACGACTTGATGACTTGACGGTTATCTGAGAAGTCTAGTTCGTGTTCTTGGCGACAAGTTGAACGAGGCGGGTATACCAAGCCAGGATCTGAAGGGTTGAAGATGGCACGGAAAGCTACTCACACCATGAGTGAACCTATCAGGTAAAAAAGAGACAGCCGAAGCCAAATCGACCCAACGGCACGAGGTACCGACTTCTTCGGGTTCGCGGTTTCAGCAGCAACAAGCCCAGCGTTCTCCGAGCCAGACATAGCGAAGATACAAGTAGGCATGACGGCAAGAAACCCTTTGAAGCCATGTGTAAATGGCATCGAGTTCCAGTACCGGAAACCAACTGGACCGTAGCCTGCCCCTCCCGCAGACATGACGATCATCGATATGATGACAACGAAAATCCAGCCAAACTTGATTGTACTGGCGATGACTTCGATCTCACCGAAGAGAGTTACGGCTCCTATATTGATCAGGACGATGACGACGAAAAAGATGGAAATCCATCCTGCGACGGGCACGGCGTGTGTCCAAAAGGAAATAATGGTGTTCGCGGCTTGCAATTCGTTCGAGATCGTGATACTAGTTTATTTGAATTTCGATATTAGTATGCCTTCATGGCAATTTGTCGAATCGCCACTTAGGATTGTAAACCGCGAACAAAGGGGTATGGAATAATTGAGGGAGGTACCAACCAGTATGAGAACCAATAAGACCAACCCAGTGCAAAAGCTGCGGCGGGATCGACGAATTTTCCTTATCAAATTTCATGTTAGAAAACAAACGAGCAAAATATGAGGCTTGCATAGGTGGCATTATTGTACTTACCGGTCCATTGTACGAATGCCGATGGGAGAGGATACATACACGCCATCTCTCCGATAGAGTGAGAGACACACCAGATCATGGAGCCAGCTAGACAGTAGCCCAAGAAGATTCCAGCGGGACCGCCTTGCGCAAGCGACTCACCACTTCCTAACCAGAGACCCATACCAATACTGGATCCCAGAGCTATCATGGTCAAATGACGGGTGCTAAGAGAGCGTTTGAGATCAGTGTCGGCGCCATGGTCCTCATGATAGATATTGTCAGAGATGGAGGTTCTCTTTTCGTGAAGTCCATCTACATTGGCATGATAGCCAGGCGGATCTCTATCGTCCATTTTCGTTTTCGATATAAGGGACAGAGAGAGATGTCGAGTTTGGAACTATAAGGTACTAAGTATTGAGAAGAGCATTGAACATTGAATGGAAACGAGAAAATGAATACTAGGTAGTGAGTATTAAGAGTAAGAGCTCTACAGCCTAAGGCATTAACTACCAAGGGATGAATTGGTGGAGAGTGTGCAGGATGAACGATCCGAAGAAGAAGAAGATCGCGGGGGGGCTATGCGGCTGCCTTTTATTCAATTTACACCAAACTACTGTCAGGTGCACTCCTAACAACAATTGAATCTCTTGTTTCGCCTCCAACACGCAAGGTAGGCACCCCTGAGCCGAGGATGGAAAGAGCGACACACACCTTACCCATAAGCCATACAAGTAATGTTGAAGGTACACCACACCACACATCTCCCTACCTACATAGAACAATACATATAGGGGATAATCATCTGTAAGACGGACCGAAGATAAACTAAATTGCCCAGGCTCGGTGTACGAATTGTCGCCCAGAATTGCGGACAGGCTGATTTCGCTCCCTGGCTAGGTACATACATACCATTGATAAGAGACGGTATACAGTATCTTGTCTCAAGCCAGACAAATGACAAAGCCTGAGTGCGTGGTACATTGTAGACATAGTCATAAATCCAACTACCTATCAGCATCCAAATGGATAAGCTGAAAGTGCTACCAGTACCGGGTTACCCGGAATGTCGTACAAGGCATCCTCCAAGACTCAGAGAAACGCCACCGGCGGAATCACAAACGTTTGTCATACACCCTCATTCGTTGGACGACCTACTTACCTACCTACTAGGTAATCATCTGTCCTGCAAGGTCATGTCGTGGAATGTTCCCCCTTTCTACATAGTACAGCTCGGTAACCCTGTGCGGAGAGGGCATCACTTTCACTTTTTAAGTGACCGATCTTACCTGGTACATGATAGATCTTCTCTATCTTGACATATACGAGCTTAAAAGGGTCCAGCATGTACAAAACTCACTTGTGTAACCTCAGATACGTATGATGGGGAGGTGCACGTACAACGCCAACCCCTTTGTGGGACGCAAATCCGAAGGATTGCAGAAAAAGATATTATCACCTGGGCAGCCATGCTTCTGGGAGAGCTGATTGATACCATTGATATTATGGCTCGGCTTCATGTACGATCCCGCATGCTTATTCTGTCAAATCAGAAGTGTCCCTGAGCGCCTCCACGTTCCACGAGGCGTTTTTTCGCTAATCCTATTAAGGCTGTATCATTTGTTCCTTCTTCGTGCGTTCTCTGGGGGCTCCGTGCACTACATGATGTAGTCTGGACTACTGACCTATGTACATGCACAGTCTGGTGCTATGTCGTATGTTACAGTCTTTGTCCTCGAAGTCGTATGGGATATTCCGAAAACATCAGGTACGGACGTAGATATGTATATATTAAGTCCTCACCCGAGGATCATCGTTCAGTTCGTTAATAATTAAGTATCTGCCTAGGTAGGCTGAGAACAGCAAACGATCCTATTCAGCTTTCTCTCATCCCTATCCCTCACTGCTTTCTTATCTTCGTCTGACATGTCACATTTTCCCATTCGAGAAGGCCATGGTTTACAGGTATCGATCATGATTGGCTGATATATAAATTGAGATAAGCTTTTTGGCTGTGGATGTTGGATCGCACATTTACTCGGCGCCCAGCATGCTGGCACCTTGGCGCTCAAGAGCAATCGATGGTTCTGCTGGGATGGTTAATCCTAGTGTACCGTTTTTCCTTATGTCGAGGAAGCTATGTACGGGCTCTTTTTAGTCATCTAGATAATTCCCTGGAGGATAACTATATATTTGTAGTATAGGCTAGGTAGGTATGTATCTTTATCACGACCAAGGGCATCTGGAGTAATAACCTTATGATTATGATAACTACTAAACACCAAGGTAGATACAAAGTCACGTGACACTACCTTATGAATAATTTGCATATTTCCTACTTATTCAATTGTGCAGTGATGTTCTATTTTCATTGTTTATAAATGCAAGTAAGTTATTGAATTTTAAACTTAAAGACAAACCTACAACATTCACGTGACTTCCTCGGTTCTAGTACCGAGGTCGAAGGATAACCGATTAATACATATGCAGTATTTAATACAAGGATCCTCTTCCATTTTGAAATGTTATGCATCAGCTTTCTCACGAAACGATGCTATTACACCTATTACGTACTATATAAGTTCTATATAGGTTGCAATTCATCCATATTGGGGAAGCGCTTCGCTTGAGACTCGAGATTTAATCTATGAAATCCATTTACCCCTTATTCACGTAGCTACCTACCTACCTAGGCATGTACCTGTGGATATTACGGCACAAAGCATCATAGGCTGTTTGGTGCTGGTCAATGGAATATCACGACAATAGGGCCGAGGCATTAATTGCTCTATTATGGATGTATAACTATTCTGCTCCCAGCCCTGATTTTTATTGTTGTCAAAACAAGCTAAACTTCAGTTCTACGAATAGAATAGTGGACATTGGACAATGCTCGGAAGTCTTACCAAATCGAAGATCTGACGATATCCACTTGAACGCGCCTATTGCAATTTCTCGTGTTCGAAGCTCCATTGACACAACTCCATTTCTTCTCACGTGCGCAGATATCTATCCTCGACAATGCCAATTTTACATCTCACCAAGGCCTCACGTGTTGGCTCTGTTACTTGGAAGAATGGCATTTACTCATACATTTCGCGTGAACACGTGCCCCCATAGGTGAGCAGAGATTTCGCGGCCATGGCAAATTTGGAAGGCCAAAAAATGATGGATCCTTGGCGGGGCCAGTAGTGCACCAACAGGGTCCCCGAACGAGCCCACGGGGGATGCTACCGAAGTTGTATGATCAGCACCAGGATATATTAGATCTCTCAGGGGGTTTTCCAAGTTCGAATTGCCGTTGCAACTCTTTAAAGGGAACCGCGATGGCTTCGCAAACTTACCAAGATCTGCATTCCTGTATGCAAGATCGATTCTTCTTCTCGCTGTTTCAATATGAGATCTCTTTCTCTCTTAGCCGCTTCTTTGGCCGCGACGGCGACGGCAGCGAAAGTCGATTTGCCCATCTCAGCAAGAACGGACGACGTTGACTCGGACACAACCGCGGTATTCTATAATACGACGAGCCCTGTGTTGATCGGCAACGATGGTGGTGCTAGCACGGGCGGATTCCGTCTATACAGCTTAGATGGTAGCACCCCGTTGACGGAGACAAAGCACGAGACACCCGGCCGAACGAAGCTCGTGACGAATGTATACGATGTTGGCGGAAAGGATTTGGTTGTTACCATCGCCCAACCAGACTCATTCTTTCGCCTCTACGACTCGATCACTGGAGAACAGGTCGGTGAGCCTCTTACTCGTACCCTTGGGGATTGGTCAGCTCTTTGCACCTGGAAAAGCCAAGCCAGTGGAGAGCAATACGTATACTTGTTTGGGAAGAAGCAAGCTGTGCACTTTCTCTTGAGAGAGCAAGATAGCTCTTACGAATTCGTCGAAATCCAGACTTTCAACACCTCAACGGAAGCGTCGTCGTGTGCTGTATCCTTGTCTGCCCAGGCAGTGTACTTTGCAACTGACGATGACACAACTGTTTACACATTTCCCGCCGCGGAAGGAACCGCTGTTCCTGAAATAACTGTTTTAGGACAGGCGGGCGACAGTGTAACTGGTCTTGCCGCTTACATTGGACAAACATCGGATTATCTACTTGTTTCCCAGGACCATGCCATAGAACTATACGATACTTCTTTCGCGCTCTTGGGCTCTGCTACACTCACCGGAGATGATGATATCGAAATTAAGGGATTAGGTCTCTACCAAGCAACTACGCAAAACTACCCAGCCGGCGCCGTGACATATGCTATTGAAAGCGACGGCGGAAATGGCTTCGCTGTTAGCTCTTTAGAGCCAGTTTTTGACGGACTGGACTTGGAATCGAATACCGCTTTCGATCCTCGTCAAAAATCCAACACTTCAATTACTACTGTCTGTTCTCAGTGCAGCCTCAGCGGATTTTGCCAGAATGATAGCGGTGACGAGAGCACGGTTACGTGCGCATGCTTTGCAGGGTTCGACGGTGCCGACTGCGCGGCTTTTACGTGCCGCAATGACTGCTCTGGCCATGGCCAATGTGTTGGCGCGAATTCGTGCCAATGCGACGATGGATGGGGTGGTTTATACTGCGCTTTCAAAGTAGTCCTACCTGTTGCCGAGACGGATGCAAACGGTGCTGATGGTGATGACCCGGCCATTTGGATATCGCCAGTCGATAAATCGGAGTCGCGAATCATCACTACAACAAAGTCAGAAGAGGGTGCCGGACTCGGAGTGTTTGACCTCAGTGGAAAGCAGCTGCAAACCATAGCAGCCAGCGAGCCCAACAATGTTGATGTGATATACAATTTCCAAGCTGGAAACCGGACGGTTGATCTGACATACGCCGCTTGCCGAGAAGACAACACTATGTGGTAAGTTTGAGTACAGACCCCGATCCCCTTTTCATAAGTTAATTAGTTCTAGTCTCTTTGAGATCACCTCGAACGGAACCCTACAGACCATAGCAGGCGGTACGCAACCAACCAAGCCGAATTATAAAGTCTACGGTAGCTGCGTGTACCATTCGCGGAAAAGTGGCAAGCAATATGTGTTTGTTAATGCGAAGACTGCCGAATACCTGCAGTACGAGCTTACCTGGGAGGACGATTCACTGCAGACTACTCTCGTACGCAACTTCACCGGTGGATCCGGAGGGCAAGTCGAGGGTTGCGTATCGGACGAAGCGAATGGGTGGGTTATCATTGGCGAAGAACCTCATGCTCTCTGGCGTTACGGTGCCGAGCCAGACGATACCACGGAAGCATTTATGATCGGTGAGGTCGGCGACGGGACGATGTACGCAGATGTCGAGGGCGTGACGTTGGTTGAAGGTCCTACGGCTGACAAGGGATTCATCATCGTGAGTCAGCAAGGTGTCAGCGCTTATAATGTGTATCGCCGCGCTGCTCCCCATGATTATGTCGAGACGTTTACGATTATGGAAAATGTAGAGAAAGGGGTCGACGCTGTGACGAATACGGACGGTGTTACAGCTGTCGGCGCGGCTCTGGGTTCTGTATTCCCTGCTGGGCTGGTGGTTGTTCATGACGACGCAAACCAGCTACCCGAAGGGGGCACAAGCGACAAAGCGAGCTTCAAGCTAGTCAGCCTCGCGGATGTACTTAGCGAGGAACTCTTGAAAGAGGTTGATCCCAACTGGGACCCTCGAGCTTCAGCTTCCAAGGCTTCAAGTTTCAAGGCTGCAAGTTTCAAGGATTCAAGCTTCAAAGGTTCAAGCCCTAATGCTTCAAGCCCCAACGCTTCAAGCTCTAAGGGTTCAAGTTTCAAGGCTTCAAACTTCAAGGCATCAGGTGCCAAGGGTTGTAAACGTGCCCACTAATACTTCTAGGGTACATGCATATATAGGAGTGTACCTACGTAGTATTAAGGTAGCTACCACTAAGAACAAGAGTTAACTCAAAAGATTCAAAGATAGCCTAACTTTATTGGACAATTGTCGTGATATCAAAAGCAACTAGGTATCTAGCATGGCATATAATCACTATGCACATCAAGCAAAGAGTGACAGGAAGGTTCATATCAAATCATCTTCTAATTACTACCAAGATAAAAAGGGTTACCTATACTAAAGAGAACTATTACCATCCATCCATATATATCAAAAACCCGAACGACGTAGAAAATTTCCTCCCAATGACAGCTATAGAAGATGGTAAAGCTTTGTATACAACAGTAATATTTTTCTAGATGATCAACAATCACCTGTGAATGAACCGCACTCTTATAATGGTCAGGTAAATACCTATGTATGACCGTGTTGTATTAAAGAAGACAAGATATGAAAAGAAAAAGTGTAAGGTGGTAAAAACAAAAATGTAATCAAAGAAAAAAGGTTGGAGAATGGTGGTGAAGGTCAAAGCCTTGGTAACGTCCATATCATCTACTCGTCTCGCATATGTAGGGTGTGTGTGTGGGTGGGGGGGTGCACTTTATCTTTAGTGTGTTGGGTCCTTCGGTGTTGATAACCAGTGCCCAGGCAGGTGGTAGGTAGCATTAAAAGTTGACCAGCTTGCTCTTCACACAGACTGCCTTGGACAGCGTCTGTATGGAGCCGCTGGACAGCAGCTCGAGGACCTGCAGGGTGGCCTCGAACTCGCGCGTGATGAAGTTGCGGATCTCGATCGCGACCAGCGAGTCCAGCGGGTAGTGCGACAGCGACCGCGTCACGTCCAGGTCCTCCAGCTCCATCATCATCACCGCCGCCAGCTTGTGCACCAGGCCGTCGCACACCACGGCCTCGGCCTCCTCGAGGGTTTTGGCGGCTTTCACGGCCGCGTTGTACGAGATCGTCTTCGCGCCGCTGCCGGAGAGGGCAGCGTCGGCGGCGGCGGCGGCTTCCATCGCTTCCCGTAGGTACTTGCATTTCGCGTCGGAGACCCAGAAGGGCTGCATGGTCGGCGTCATGCGCATACCGGTGATGGTGTGGTTGTTGCACAAGGATGCCAGGCGCCCGCTGATGGCGGCGCCAAGGAGCGCGAGGACTTCGGCTTCGCAGATGGTGTCGCTGCCGAGGTTCTTGGCGACTTCGGCGGCCTTTTCGAGGTCCTCGGCGAGGTAGCCCGAGTCGGAGATGGCGGTAAGATCTAGGGAAGAAGCCGGGAGGCCTTGGGCGAGGCGGTACTGCACGAGGGCGTTGAGGAAACAGTTGGCGGCGGCGTAGGAGGCTTGCCCGCGGTTGCCGACGGCGCCGGCGACGGAGGAGATGGCGACGAAGAAGTCAAGGGGTGCGGTGGAGAGGGCGTTGTGGAAGTTCCAGGCGCCGTGGACCTTGGACTCCATCACGGTGGTGTACTGGTCGTATGTCATCTTCTCGAATAAGACGTCCTATTTCTGGTTAGCAGCGTTCTCGATATTGGGAGGGAGGGATTCAAAACTTACGTTGAGGACCATGGAACCGTGGATCACACCCCGGACAGGAGGCAGGCCTTCCAAGCCGTTCTTGATAAGGTCGTCCACGGATGATGAGTCCACTACATCGCAGCGGCGCACCACGATTTCGGCGCCTTCTAAGGCTGCCTCGTCGATCAGTTCCTTGACTTTCCCTGTCGCGCTGCCGCTTCTCGAGACGAGCACTAGATGCCGCGCGCCACGGCTGACCATCCACCGGGACATACTTCGACCGAGACCACCGGTTCCACCGATGAGGATGTAAGTGGCGTCAGCCTTGAGGAGCTGGGCTGGTTTCTTCGGCGGCGTGGCCTTGACGATATCGTGTGCGTGAGGCACGACGACAAGCTTACCGTGGGCCTTGGCGCCGTGCAGCGTCTTGAAGGCAGACTCGACCTCGGATATGGGGAAGACGGTGACAGGAGAAATAGGGCGGATCTTGCCGTACCGCATCAGCTTCGCGACGTCCACGAGAACCCTCTGCATGACCTTGGGCCTCTCGGCGGCAATCGCCATGATGTCGACGGTCATGAAGCTAGCATTGTGCTCGAACTGCGTCATCTCCAGCCGCGTCGTGGTGTTGGAGTCGCGGGCCCCAATGTCGATGAGCCGGCCGAACTTGTTCAAACACTTCCAGCTCTCGCGCAGCCCGTCGCCCGCGAGGCAGTTGAGGACGACGTCGACGCCCGCGTTGCACGTCGCCTGCAGGACCGCGTTGCCGAACGACAGGTTGCGGCTGTAGAAGATGCGGTCCTCGGGGACGTGGTACTCCTTCATCAGGAACTCCTTCTTCTCCGTGCTGCCCACCGTCGCGTACACCTTCGCGCCGATCATCTGCGCGAGCGCGATCGCCGCCTGCCCCACGGCGCCGGCCGCCGCGTGGACCAGCACGGTCTCGTCTTCGCCGAGGCGCCCCAGCTCGACGAGCGAGTAGTACGCCGTGCTGTAGGCGAGCGGCAGCGTCGCGCCCTCGTCGAACCGCATGTCGGACGGCAGCTTGAAGGCGAAGGACGCCCTGGTGCGCGTGGTCGTTGCGAAGGCGCCCTTGGTGATGGCCGCGACGCGGTCGCCGACTTGCAGCTTCTTGACGTCTTGGCCGACGGCGGTGACGACGCCGCTGGCTTCGACGCCGAAGTCGTGCGTTGCGAGCTTGCCGTGGGCGGCGGTGAGATCGCGGTGGTTGACGCCAACTGCGTGGACTTTGAACTCAATGTCTTCGGCACCGAGGGGTGCTTCGGTGGATTCATCGTCGACGAAGTGGAAGGTGTCGAGGGCACCAGGATCTGTGATTGCCATCTTGAGCTGGCGGTCGGTCTCGCCGAAGGGGATGGGCTGTAACGCCGAAGGCTTGGTCTCCCGATGCACGAGCTCGTTCATCTGGGGGTCGTTGATGATCCGTGGGGTGAAGAATGAGCCGTCTCTCTCCATGAACTCTAACTCACCGTTCAAAGCGCTGCTCTTACCGAATACCGAGGTGAATACTTTGAGGATTGCCTCCGATACCTGGTCAGGGGAGAGTTGGTTCTGGCCATCCAAGTCCAGAGTGGAGAAGGGCAGTAAAGTCTCCGAACGAATGGTTCTGCTTAGACCGAGAACCATGTTCAGGTCAGGGGACGTTGACGCATCGTAAGCGCCGCGGACTACCCACAGAGCGCCTTGTACAGTGGTAAGCATCTTCTGTAAAGCCTCGAACTCGGTGGCCTTCAGTTGGGATAGAAGAGGCGTATCTATTTCAGATAAGAAGATGAGGAACTTGTTGGCGGGCTGGGCATCCAGTAACGTGCTCAAACTGGGGAGCTTGCCAGTTATCCTCTGCAGAGCTTCGGCCAAGCTGAATGCGACCTGGGTTTGTAGGCTGCCTTCGCCGTAGACGATTTCAATGTCCGTGTCGGGAAGCTTAGAATCGTCGACAGGAACCCACTCCGACGATGCACTGTCAGAATCAGAGGACACTCGGTCTAGGATTGGTTCCCAGTCAAGCTTGTAGCAGAGCTCAGAGTGCGCGTCCTGGTCTCCTGCAGCTTCGCGGTCCAAAATTGGTGCGATAGTCAGGTCATCCAGCTTGATCAGGGGCTCAGATGCGTTTGCCTCAGCGGTGGCAAACATGGACATCTTTGATGGCCGAGGGCTATCTTGGGGAAGAGAGCCGACGCAGTAAGCTCGGAAAGTCTTGTCAGGGGTGTTGCTGAACTTGGTGATGTCCCTTGAGATGGATATCCTGGACACTGAGGATGGGAGGTAGATGGTGTCGGGCGACTCCTTGACGGAGCTGGCAATAGGCCAGTACATGGAGATGAGGGACTCGAGGAAGGAAGGTTGAATGACGGTCTCGGTAACGTAGTGGTTGGGCATCTCCTTGGCTACATCCGGGACAAGCAGATCAGCCTGTGAGCAGGTGCTGGAAGCTTGGCAGTTGTTGACTCCCTGGAATGTAGGGCCATAAGCAACGCCAACTTCAGACAGGTCATCATACAACTTCTCCATGGCTATGGGTGAGGTTGCAGCAGCGTTTATGTCAGCAATCTTCGACTGTAGAAGAATGCGTGATGCAAGGCTTTGTCTCGCATCATCCACGCCATTTGACTCGTGAGCCTGGACGGCGATTAAGCCCTTGCAGTGCTCTTTCCAACCCTTACTCTTCGTCCACGAGCAGATGCGGAACTCGTCCCAAACTTCTGAGGAAACGAGGGTGCCTTCTTGGTGTGGCCTGAGGGTCGTGGTCATTTCAACGTCCTCGTCAGGGATAACCAAGGGGGAAAGCACAGATACATCCCGTAGTTCGAACTTGTCGAAGCTCACGTTGGCTGACGTGGCTCTTTGGAAAGCTGCCTCGACAGCCATGGAGACGAATCCTGACATGGGGAAGATTGTCAAGGACTGGATTCTGTGATGTTGTAGCCAAGGGAGGTCGTCTAGGCGGACAATGTTCCTCCACGTCGGCTCAAGCTCGTTGGAATAGTTGGCGAGAGTGCCGAGAATATCATTCCGGGGAGCAGTGCGGTTCTTGTGTAGTTGAGTCATGCGAGACTCGTGCCAGTACTTGGAGGAGTAGTTCCATGGGTATCGGGGCAGATCACTCAAAACCATCGGCGACTTTGCGGGCCTGGGGAAGTTGATCGCTTGAAAGTCGACTGGTGCACCCTTGGTGAAGAGTAAGGCAGCAACGTCTAAGGCAGTCTCAACGGCATCCTTCTTGCGTGCGAGGGCAGAAGCGTAGGGAATCTTGGGAGCATCACCGCCGACCTCCTTGAGAATCTGCTTCAGGGGTCCCTGAAGAGCGGAATGGGGACCAAGCTCAAGCAGCATGTTGACACCGGTCTTGTGGTCGTCGACTGGCTGCAGCATGCTCTGGACTGCTTCGTTGAATCGTACTGGGCATGTGAGGTTCTGTACCCAGTAGGAAGCCTCGAGGTCTTGGCCGTCTAGGCGTCGACCAAGCAGAGAGGAGTGGAACCGGACATCCGTTGACACGGGGCCTTCGAGTTGATCAATCGACGCTTGATACTCCTTGGCGAGCAAGTTCATGTGGTGGGAGTGGTATGCGGTATCGACGAAGAGCTTCCGGTTGAAAAGCTGCTTCTCTTCCACCACCTTCTTCAACTCATCAATACCCGCCTCATCACCAGAGATTGTGAGACTAGAAGGACTGTTGAAGCACGCAATCTTGACCTCTCCCTCTTTCAGGTCCGCAAGTAAGGGTTCGAACTCCTCTTTGCTACCACCGACGGCCATCATAGCGCCCTTGAGAGTAGGATACCTCTCTTTCAGGACGGGAATAAGGCGACCTCTGTGGTAGGCAATAGAGATACAAGACTCGAAAGTCAGGATGCCGGCAGCATACGCTGCACCAATCTCACCACTAGAGTGTCCGGCGACGGCTGTAGGTCGGATACCCCATGATCTCATAAGGTCAACCAACGCCAATTGAATGGCTGTGCAAGAAGGTTGGCTGATGTGAGCAGCACCAACTGCGGATGTCTTCTCATCTTTGCTTAACTCTTCAACCAACGACCAGCCAGCCCCTAAGGTGGCCAAGCACTCGTCGGCATAGTCTATAGCCTTGGTGAAGATGGGGTATTGCTCGTAGAGCTCACGTCCCATACCGTACCATTGAGCGCCCTGGCCAGTGAAGATGAACCCGATTCTCAGCGAGTCCACCTCTTTGCCCGGTGATAGCTTCTGGCTGTTGATGGCGTCGATCAAGTCAAAGGACCTAAGGGCAGGAATTGCTACTCTCCACTGGAGATGCGATCGTCGTTGTCCAAGAGTGTAAGCGACGTCTGCCATCAAATCCTTTTGGAACATCTCGGGTCTCTGTTCCAGATAGATGACAAGGCTCTTGAGAACTGCCTCGAGGGTGCTCTTGTCGTTCGCAGTGATGGCGAAGAGTTTCCTCCCCGGGTTGTCATTCTTGAGATCGGCATCATTCTTCGGCCCCCTTTGGGTGAAGGGCACCTTTTCGAGAACAATGTGGGCATTGGTACCGCCAAAGCCGAAGTTGTTCACGCTAAGATACTTCTTGTTCCGCGGCCAGGGGCGTTGGGTAACGGGTACCTACATCATGTAAGCAAACGCACTCGACTTATCATTGATACCTTAGGGAGGAATTATTCGAACTAACCTTGAAGTTCCAATCTTTCCATGGAATCTTTTCATTGGGATGTTTGAAGTCGTAATTGGGTAAGATGAAGCCTCGCTCTAACATGAGAGCTGATTTGATGATGGCGACAATACCGGAGGCACCCTCCAAGTGGCCAATATTGGACTTGACAGATCCGATGTATAGGGGATCCCTGGGCGTGCGACCAGTTCCCAATACATTGTGAATAGCTGTGGCTTCAATGGGATCTCCCACACGGGTTCCTGTACCGTGTGCCTCCACAAAGCCACAATCCGCTGGGTTTAGTCCAGCATTATTATACACTTGACGCATTAATGTTTCTACAGAATTAAGGTCAGTTAAGGCATTCTTTCTAATTGGGTGGGTGTATTGGATTATGAGACATGTCAAATGAATCTCTCAAAAGGGGAAGTAACTCACCTTGCGCTTCACCAGAGGGCATGGTAATACCAGGTGTCCTGCCATCCTGGTTGATGCCACTTCCGACGATGATCGCTCTAATCTGGTCGTTATCTCTGCGAGCCTGCTCGAGCGGTTTGAGAACTACCATGCCACAACCTTCTCCGCGGCCAAATCCTGTACCTCTACTGTCAAACGAAAACGAACGCCCCGAATCCGAAAATAGACTGATCAACAGCCGGTCAGTGTCAATGTCATCTAAAATCTAATCTGATAAGGAGCGACAACTTACCGCGATTTAGAAAAAGAAATCCAAAACTCCGGAAGCATATTCAGATGGCACCCACCAACGATCGCCATGCCAGATTCCCCAGTGCGTAAGCTCTGACAAGCCACATGCAGTGCAACCAAGCTCGACGAACAGGCAGTGTCCGTAGTAAAGCTGGGACCTCTCAGATCAAAGAAGTGGGATATCCTGTTGGATTGCATTGCGTATGCGCAACCTGGGGGGCAACGTCAGCGTCAGCGGTAACTCTCTTTCGGTGTGGTATTCAAACGGCGCGAAACGGGAGTGGACTCGTAATTTACTCACCTGTCGCTTGATGCATGGGAATGGTGTCTGTGTCCCTGAACAGGTGTGATTCGTACTCAGGGAAAGATCCACCAACGAAAACTCCGATGTCCTGGCCAATGATCTTGTGCTTGGGGATGCCGGCGTTTTCCAACGCCTCGAAAGTGCACTCCAGGAGCAGCCGTTGTTGCGGATCCATCGAGATGGCCTCCTTCTCCGTTAGGCTGAAGAAAGGTGCGTCGAACGCCGCCAGGTCGGTGTTGAGGAAGTGCCCGCCCACTGGATTGTGGCAGCCAGCCTTCCCGGGGTTCGGGTGGTAGAAACTGGATGTGTTGAACCGCTCCTTGGGTATCTCTGAGTAACCACTGCGGGCTCTTGCACACAACTCCCAAAACTCTGCAGGGCTTGCCACATTTCCTGGCAGCCGACAAGACATGCCCACGATGGCGATAGGCATCATCTTTTCCTTCGGTGGTGCAGAAGGATTCCCGTTCACACCGTTGGCGTCGCCGTTGGTGTGACCGTTAGTGTGACCGTTAGTGTGACCGTTGCTCTGGCCGACTCGATGACCATTTGCTTGGCCAAAGGGTTGCGAAGCATGGCCATCAGCTTGTGATATTCCATCTATGTGAATGGAGCCATTATATGACCCATTAGATGAGCCATTCGAGTTACCGTTAGAGTGGCCATTGGTATGTCCGTTTGTGTGTCCGTTGGAATACCCGTTGCTATGACCGTTGGTAGCATGGCCGTTGGTATGGCCGTTGTTATATCCGTTAGTAGAAGACCTCAACTCCTCGCCGTGCACTCCGTTGGATGCGCTGTACGCATTACCGTTGATGGCTGATGGGGCCATGACTACGGATTTCGTTACGACGGTATTATTGTTGAAACCAAACTTCCTCTAAGAACAAGCTCTCTCCTCTCATTATCTATCTTTTCGAGTAGAGACGGTGGTTTATATTCTTGACTGCAGGGGAACCTCCGACATACGTAATATGTAGTATCTGCCAAGGGTACCATGTAGGTGTACCATCACAAGCTGTAATAGAGCCTGATATTCGGAGCACAGGATAATCTTTCCACCCTGAGCACGGAATCATGGCTGTAAGTTTAGGCGAGGAGTCTGGCTACAGATCTCGTGGCGTATATTGGAAACATCAAGACGGAAATGGCATGATCCAATAGTGTAAATTGTTTAGCTAGCTCATTTGTCATCCCTGACTATCAGAGCTGTGCCTATGCCGATCCCGTCCATAATTTGTCTTAGACAATGTGCATTGCTTTCTGTGGTATCATCGCCGGAGGGCAATCTTCAGACGAAGCTCATGCAGGGATCGAGCTGCTGGATCTGGCTGGCTGTTTGTTTCTATTCTGGCGACAACAACCCAATCGGCCTTACCTGTCTAGATGAACTACCTGCGGCCGTAACCCATCCTTTACTAGTGGTGCGAGCGAAGGAGCATTAGCAGTGCTCGTAACTTCGTAACTGACAGTTCGCTAACAACTAACAAGCAGGTAGACGGTAGACGTAAATATCGTATTGGTACTGTAGGTTACCCCCAAGCAAGATGACTAACCCAACAAGATCGCGTTATCACACACTACAGGGGGGCAAGATGCTAGCTAGTAAGATGCTTTAAAAAGATTATGGCAGTTGAGTGCCGATCTTATCCTCAATATTGACACCGTACCTATGCATCTGAGCCGACTAGGTAAATATATCAGATAGGGTAAGATTTGCAGTGGAAATATAGTTAATACTTTTTGGCTCTCCGGTCTTGGGAAGTTGATGCCGGAAGTTTTTCAACTACAAAACGGGTTAAGGTAGTTAGAAGAAGTGAGACATCGATATTGTGATGATACAGGGGTTGCTTATGTGGCTGCCCTATTAGTAGCAGTAGTGGTTCTCCTGTAGCTCGATAAGGGTTCAACGAGGACTTCGCGGCCTGGCGTTCCTGGCATATGTTACCGTTCATGGATGTATACAAAAGTGCTATAGTAGCATATATACTACGTAGTAGGCGTTCTCTACTATGCGATAGCATCCTTGGCGACACGCAATATAGGATAGATTGTATAGTCCCACCCCGCGGCTTGGCACCCGGCACTTTGCGCTCCTTTTGAGGGTCGTGGCGCGGGTGGGGGACACTGACCGGACATAGAGATTCTCATGTCTGCTACCTAGGTACGTAACAGGCTGTCACAGGCTGTCACCTTATCCAATAACAATATCCCAAAAGACTCAACTTGGTAATTTTACAATACTAAATACTATATAGTTAGTCCCATTTTACCCGGGTGGCGCCGAACCATGTCCCCAAAAAGTGCAACTAGCAGTGACTAGGAATAACTATCCAGGGGCAACGTACTTTGGAGTTATGTAGGAGTATTGACTATAACATCGATCTTGTCCTTTAAGGCGCAGTCGTACCTGTCTAGCGTGCTTTAGGCGCATAGAGCCTCAGTTCCCACGTTGTTATACATACATAGTACATATCTATAAGTCCGCTACCCTACAGGGATGAAGAGCCATCGATCAGCCATCGATGTAACGCAACTTGGTGTGATAGGAATACATGTACATACATTACATACACAGGTACCTACCTCGGTATGTATCTAACCTACAGATGTACTTTCAACACTACTACTGCGGGATTCCTGCAGTGCACCCGCCAAGATCTGCTTCATTCGGGATGAGTGTATCTCAAACAAGCTATCTTTGTTTGTACTTACATCTATATACAGAAGGTACCTACGTAAGGCAGATAAGTAGGTACATATGATACCTACTCTAGTATAGGTTGTTGACGGACATTCTACGGACACCCCTAGACAGAGGCTCGGGACATCAGGGTCTCAGTTCCCAAAAGAGATATCAAGTATCTTGCACGTAAAATACCACGTAATGGTGTCTTCATGACTTCCAATGCTCTTCTTCAATACATGACAATTATTTTACCGCATTCTTTACTCCCTATACCTGCGTGTGTTTTTTTATGGACTTGCTTGACTTCGATTCGATCTCCTTCCACTCGGTGTAACTCGGCAAACGGCATCTAGAATCCCTCTATCCATCTATCCACCCACGTCTTGCAAGATGAAGTTCCTATGTCTATCTGGCGCATATGGAAGCGCAGATGTAAGTCTTGGTATTCCTTCCTGCGCGATAAGATACTCCACTAACATACGAGAAGAAATTCCAAGTTCAACTAGGTACCACCTTCCAGCTATGCATACAATACTAAGCGCCATTGCGTTATTCTTGCTAACTAGATCGACCAGCACCTCTTGTGAACGAACTGATGTCCGATAACACGGCCTCATTTCGCTTCATCGATGCGCCATGTGAGGCCGTACCTCCAGAAGGATTCGAAGACTTCTTCGGAAAACCACCCTATTACCGATTCATAGAGCCTGACGAGAAGGAGACCCAAGATACCGATGTCTTGTCTCGAATTCGAGATTTCCCCGAGTGCGATACTGCCGAAGATACGATGCGAGAACTTATGAAAGAAGGTATCGCGAGCAGTGTACTCAGCACGAATAGAGCCATCCAGTTCCTCTTCGACATCATGGATAAAGAGGGCCCCTTCGAGGGAATCATTGGGTATTCCGAGGGAGCTACCGTCGCCGCCACCTTGCTCCTCGCCGAGCAGAGAAGGTTTGAAGAGACGGGGCGACAACCCCAGATCAAATGCGCCATCTTCTTTGCCGGTTGGCCTCCTCTAGATCCTCGAACATTCGCAATGGTGCTCTCCGATGAATCTGATCTCATGATCAACATCCATACTTGCCACATCAGTCAGTCTTAAACCCCAAAACCCTGAAACCCCTCCAACAAAGAAGAATCTCCCATATTAACTTTACATCAAGTCGGTTCTCTAGATCCCTACGTGGCGGGTTCCATGGCCCTCTACAACACTTGCGAGCCCGATACAGCTTACATCTTCGATCACGGCAAAGGACATACACTCCCAAGAGAAAAGGGCGTAATCAAGGAGCTTGGAGACGTCATTCGTAACATGATAGAGGACGCATCGGCATAGACCTGAGTCATATGATAGAACGTTGCTATAGATTGTTGCTTGTCTTTGATTTTTGCCCCCTTGTACTATGTAGGTATATAACTTGACACCTATTAGATAAAGTCTTGAAATTTGAATTAATAGCCGATATTGAATTTCTCCCCTGTTTCTCTATAGTGATGTATTGTATAGGTAGCTATAGACTTGATCTAGATTTGAAATTTCTCTATTACCTATGACATGATGCATGTGACAAAACATTAAAACAGCCAAAGTTGCATTCACGGAGTTTTGTAGGGGTACTACCTTACCTATCTAAGGTAGGCAGGTAGCTATTCTAGGTACCTACCTAGGTTAGGTAGGTATGTACGAAGTACGATACGTTTTAGTGTGCTGTAGGTCGTAGCTATTGGAAAATGGCCGCTTATATTGAAAATGATCGGCAACAGGGGATACGACGATCCTCCAATACTCCCGAGACCTGCAGACGGATAAGGCACGACTAGGGGGGCCCTGCCAATGGGATATATCGGCTCATATTGATTTAATTGATGCTTAATCTTCCTGGCTCCTGGCGGAGCTTGTCTCCGCACAAATACCTAACCCGTTTATCCACGATGCCTTACTATGGTATGGTGGCCACATATGGTAGGGATGCCTTCACACGTAGTACTAGTAGCTTCATTCCATATTCCATATTCCATATTCATAGCGATTTCAGTCTTCTGTTCTTCTTGACAATGCTTAAAATTTCTCGAACTCGGTTATACTAAGGCCCCCAGCTGTTTAGATCTTGTTCCCCCTTTTCTTGCTTCGATCCCCTGCTCGGGAATCATTGCTGCTGCACAAGACTCAAGACTAACTCGCTTTGTGTGTATGCAATATGGAAAAGAATTACACCGAGTTGGAAGAAGGACCCGAGAGCCAACGCGGTCATGCTGCTGTCAATGTGTCACGTCCGGTTAATCATGAACACCCTATAGGCTTACTACCGGGAAGTAACTCGGCGGCGGACTTCCCCCAGGTGGATACTTCTGTATCAGTCTCGATAGAAGCAAACCCCCCTTCACCTGTCATAATCAAGGAATCGTCAACGATGGATCTACTAAGAGCCTCAGCTCCACCGGGGAGAACAGCCTCGATAACCTCACAGTCCTCATCAGCCTCGCTGTCGGAACATGATAGTCCTGCGCGGCCCACCGTCTCCCACACAATATCCGTGAAGCCATCTCTATCGTCACTAGCTAATCCCCCAGAGTCGCAAGCAGGAGGAACAGCTCTATCTCCAATTCCCTCGGCGTCGCCTGGGAACAGCATTGCCCCAGCTTCACCAGCCCACATCCCCAAACCAGAAGCTCCCCCCGCTCCCGCAATCCCAAATCCCCCAAGTCCCAGCCCGCCTAAAAAGGCAATGTTGAAAAAGACCACCTCAAATTTCATCGTAAGTCCATCACGGTGAATTTTTCAAATGATTCCAATGGCGATAATGCTGACTTGACCAAAATAGAGAATATTTGGGTATTCAACATGGCGCGACAGGACGCTGTTATCAGCTTCCATCGTAGCAGCTATGGGCGCTGGTGTTGCCTTTCCGTTGATGACCATTGTATTTGGTATGTAATTTCAAGTCTGATGATATATATGTACCTATTTAGGAGTTGCTGACCATTCAGGCCAACTCGTCGGCAGCATCGCAAGCACCAGAGCAGATCTAAGCGCTGAAGGCGCCCAGGCACACTATACCGCGCTCATAAGCGACTATGTGTAAGTTCCCACCACAACCCCCTGATCGTTCTTAATCACTAAACAGCAAAAATTACAGTCTGTTTATGGTGTACCTCTTCATTGGGAGATTTGTACTTGGATACATAGCCACGGTAAGATAACCAGCTTCCTGTTCCGTTGAAAGAATCCCTGGCTTATCATAACCCCAGCTGGGCTTCCGCATGATGGGCCTGCGCATCTCCTCCGCGATGCGCCTAGCCTACTTCAAAGCGCTGCTGGGACTGCCGGTGTCGCTGCTGGACACGCAGCCGCCGGGCCAGGTCGCGGCCATCATCACCACCACGGCCAACACGCTGCAGAACGGGATCTCGGAGCGGTTGGCGGCCATCATCCAGAACGTGTCCATGTTCGTGTCGTCCATCGTCATCGCCTACACGCGCAGCTGGAAGCTGAGCCTGGTCACGAGCAGCGGCCTGTTCCTGATCACCGTCTGCTACTGCATCACCATCCCCTTCGTGGTCAAGAACATGAAGCAGGTGGAGGATGCGAATATTAAAGGGTCGGCCGTTGCGAGTGAAAGTTTTGGGTCTATCAGGATGATCGCGGCGTATGGCGCGGAGCTGAAGATGGTGAAGAAGTACAAGGATTGGGTGGACGAGGCCCAGAGGCGAGGACTGAGGTTGTCCAAGATTGTCGCTATCCAGCAGGGAACCAGTGAGTTGGATTTGGCCATGCCCCCATGATGCGTCCATTGCTAACCCGAATATCCATCTAGTCTACTTCAGCGTTTATGCGTCAGTATTAGTTACTACCCAGCTTAAGTGATCACATGCTAATAATTCAATAGAACATTTGCTCTCACATTTTGGTATGCAGTCAGGATGCTGACCAACCTTGAGATTGACAGTGTCGGGACACTAATCACGTTTGTCTCACCCCCCCCCCCCCCCCCCCCCCCCCACACACACACACAAAAAAAAAAAAGTCACATTACTCGTAGCTGACCACATGTCATAGTGTCTTGATGTGCATAATGATGATAGTCATGGGTGTGGGTGGTGTCGCAGCCCCCATTTCCGCGACCGCCCGTGCGGCGGGGGCTGCCAGCATTCTCTTCAACGGCATTGACGCACCGAGACCCGTCGTCACGGGACTCAAGCACCCTGAAGTTTCAGCAGCAGGGGATATCGTGCTCTGGGGTGTCAACTTCACGTATCCGACAAGGCCAAAGCTCAAGGTACTGGATGGGTTGAACTTGATCCTGCCTGCGGGCAAGACCACGGCCATTGTAGGCCCTTCGGGGTCTGGAAAAAGTACGATCGTGGCTCTGATAGAGCGGTGGTACGAATTAGACGGGGATGGCGAAAGTAAAAAATTGGTACGTGATTGAACTGCTACCGAGAAAAAAAAAAGGGTCATCTGCTAACATATCCGCACCCAGATCCAATATTTCCGCAACGGCTCCCTAACCATCGGCGGAACCAAACTGACAGACATCGACCTGAAGTGGTGGCGGTCGCAGATCGGGCTCGTGCAGCAAGAGCCCTTCCTCTTCAACACGACCATCTTCCAGAACGTGGCGAACGGGCTCATCGGGACCGAGTGGGAGGCCGCCGACCCGAGCAAGAAGAAGGAGCTCGTGGAGCGCGCCTGCAAGGAGGCCTTCGCCGACGAGTTCATCTCGCGACTTCCGGAGGGCTACGAGACGCGCGTCGGCGATGCCGGGATCAAGCTGAGCGGGGGCCAGCGCCAGAGACTGGCGATCGCCCGCGCGATCGTCAAGATGCCCAAGATCCTGATTCTCGACGAGGCGACGAGCTCGATCGACGTGCGCGGCGAGAAGGTCGTGCAGGCGGCGCTCGACAAGGTGTCGAAGAACCGCACGACGATCATGATCGCGCATCGCCTGTCGACGGTGAAGAAGGCGGATAACATTGTTGTGCTGGCGAAGGGGAAGGTGGTCCAGTGGGGCAACCACGAGACGCTCATGGCGCAGCTCGGCGGGCCGTACTGGCTGCTTACGAACTCGCAGAAGTTGTCGATGGGTGATGGTGATGGTGCGGAGACTGCGTCGGGAATCACCGAGGAGGAAAAGAGGACGATGGATCTCATGACGCTGGATGAGACGAAGCCTGAGGTGAGGGATAGCGAGAGTACCGTGGTTGATGGGCCGGCGTACAGGCCTAAGGGTGTAATGGGGAGCTTTGGGGCTATGCTCCTCGAGCAGAAACCGTTTTGGCCGTGGTATGCTGTCATGCTGTTCGGAGCTATTGTCGCCGGTGGTAAGTATATGGTTAATACGGCTATTGGTAATTCTACTAACACACAATTCAGGGAGTCCGCCCGTGCAGGCCTTCATATTCGCAGCCCTTATCTCGTCCTTTTCTTTATGGGGAGACGTGCTAATCGCCGTTACCAATTTTTGGTGCCTGATGTTCGTCGCGTTGGCGGGCGCAGCAGGGGTCGGCTACTTTGCCTTAGGATTCACCTCCACGGTTGTCTCATTTGTGCGTCCATCCTATTCTAACTCTTATTTTGTACGACAACTAACTTGGGAATACAGTACATAACATCGACATATCGTCGCGAGTATTTCCAGAACATAATTTCTAAACGCGTGTCCTGGTTCGATGGCGAAGGTCGGTCAATAGGGGCTTTGACCGGGATTGTCGCCAGCGACCCAACGCAGCTACAGCAACTCCTCGGCACCAACATGGCTTTCGCAGCGATATCAATTTTCAGCGTTATCGGCTGTCTAGTCATATCCTTCTACTTCGGCTGGAAACTCACCATTGTTGCGCTCTCCTCGGCCATGCCGCTAGCTCTGGCGGCCGGCTTCTTCCGAATTCGGGTTGAAAAGGGGTTCGAGGCCATGAGTCTGCAGGTGTTTTCCGAGAGCGCCAAATTTGCTACGGAGTCAATTGGGGCTATTCGGACAGTCTCCGCCTTAACTCTGGAAGACAGCATCTGCAATAGATACGAGGAGTTACTGGAGGCTCATGTGAAGAAAGCTTTCAAAAGAGCTAGATACGCCACACTGGTATTTTCAGCAAGTGATAGTCTGCCGCTGTTATGCATGGCTTTTGTTTTATGGTACGTCTTATTTTACGCATTGACATTACGACTAGGTACTAATGTGAGGCATTGACTATAGGTATGGAGGGAGGTTATTAGTATCAGGGGAATACGGCACTTTCCAATACCGTAAGAAAACCATATCAACCTATTGTGCAAGATCCACACTAACATATTTCTAAATAGTGGTTGTATATATAGCCGTGGTGCAGGTAAGATTATCAACGCACCATATTAATTAACAAATGGAAGGAACCCAGCGACTGACATTACTTCCAGGGCGCCATGGGAGCAGGCCAATGGCTCAGTTTCGGACCTAGTAAGTGTACATCTACTCACGATCACCTGACTCTGAAGGCTTACAGGGTGTCTTAGATATTGCGCAAGCCACCGCAGCAGCGAACCGAATTCAAGCCATGAGACGCAATGATAATGACGACGAAGGAGGAGTTACCCTAATTAGTGAAAACATCGACGAGAGCAACAGGGGTGTCAAGATCGAGCTCCGAGATGTATATTTCAAGTACCCAACACGAGACGTCCCTGTCTTGAATGGGCTGGACATGACTGTAAGGAAGACTCCTCCCACCTGCTTGTTGGGTTTGCCCATATTAATTTCCTTACAGATTGAGAAAGGCCAATTCGCTGCCATCGTTGGGCCCTCCGGTAAGTTCCACCGGGGACTCTCTACATAAGCGAGTGTAACTGACAGGAATTGATTTAGGCTGTGGCAAAACCAGCGTTGTCTCCTTACTTGAACGGTTGGTTTCTATATCCCCATATTGATCACCTCATTTTACTCATCGCTTTGCCAGATTCTACAAGCTCAAGTCCGGAAGCATAACGTATAACGATATCGATATTGACAGCATCGACTTGAGAGACTACCGGCAATCCATCTCGCTGGTAGCTCAAGAGCCATCGCTCTTCGATGGCACTATCCGCGAAAACATATTACTTGGAGTGGATCCAGACACAATCTCCGAAGAAGCATTAGAGCAAACGTGCCGCGATGCCGGAATCCACGACTTCATCAGCTCGTTACCAGATGGCTACAACACGAAAGTGGGCATCAGGGGGATACTGCTATCCGGTGGGCAGAAGCAGCGCATATCGATCGCGCGAGCGCTTATCAGAAACCCTCGGCTTTTACTCCTGGACGAGGCAACTTCTAACCTAGACTCGGAGACGGAGAAGATGGTGCAGACTGTGTTTGAGCGGACGAAGAAGAGTCGGACGATGATAGTGGTGGCGCATCGACTGGCCACCATCCAGAACGCTGACGTTATCTTCGTGCTCGGTGACGGGCAGGTACTTGAATCTGGAACCCATATCACACTGCTTCAGAAGAGAGGCGTATACTATAGCATGGTATGTCCACCTACCCAGATCTCTCCCTAGAACCACTCCCTGCAACCAAGCGCTAACAGAAAACTACTACAGTGTCAAGCACAGGCCCTTGACCGATAATCGTCTGCATGTTAGATATTAGATTTGGTGCGATGTTGATACATAATAGCTACATCATGTATATATCTACCTAGACCTAGTACATAATGAGCGGCAGTACAAGCCGGTAATGAGGAGATCATGAAAGTACTTACCTACATACCTACCTGCATGTATACATCGCCATGTGAAGCCATCAATGTATAAAATATCAAGAAAGGGTATATTATACTACCTACCAACCAGGTACCTACACATGAGCAATTTCCAATACTTCCCACCCAAAATTACACACAATGGCCTAGTCATGAAGAACCACCTAGCTAGCCAGCCCCTATTTTATTGTACCACACTGAAACCCAAAGTTCCCCCTGCTGCAGCCACTGCAGAGCAGCAAAAACACGCCACAGTAGTACCGGCCAACGTGTTCGGCAGTTGGAGGCTAATTGTGTCTTAGTGAATCCTTTCCCATTCATACCCCAAGATTTCCGGGGTCCGTTGCATCCACCCCCCCTTTGAAAAATTCAGCATAAATCCTGCATGCTGCATCTGTGTAAGTAACTATGTGCTTCAGTCCCTGATCCTTTCCCCTACCTACATGTACACCCGCAGGTATCTAAGTATCTATCTCTAGGTATGTATGTGTCTGGGCAGGCAAGTAACACGATCTTTATCTTAGCCCCCCACGTCGGTGTACATGGTGTGGTTATGCCGCACGCTCAACTCGGAGAACCCGTCCTGCAACGTCCCGGAACATGGCCGAAAAGCTTGTTGCGGTATTTTTTTTCTTTTCTTCTTTGCTTCTTTTTTTTTCTCCCCCTTTGGTACTACGTAACTCATCTGGTTTTTTGGTGGTTTTTTTTTCGTAAGATAGGAAATTCGAGATTTCGTTGCACGTACGTTTCTGCTGCTGCTGCAGCGCAACCGTAGCCGCCTAGGCCCATAGGACCTGCATAATCTCTCGCTCTATCTCTCCTTTTTCTTTTGAAGTAACCCGCAGCTTCGGGACCGTGGAGGGAGAGACGGTCACACATGGTTACGGAGAACTCGAGGTTTCGGCACAGTATCGTGGGCGTTTATAGTAGATCTCGAGCAACGTTGTTCAGTTTTAGGGCCACCATTACGTCTACCCTTCTCTAGGCTCACCCCATGCTATACTACAGGCGATAATGAATGATTATACACCTGAGCATGTATACTAGACAGCAGGAAATAGGGGTGAGCTTCGGCCCTATCGTCATAGATAATCTTCTCAGACTATACTCGCCGAGGTTACTCAACTATCTACCTACTAGGTAGGTAGATAAGATGGTCCTATACGTTGTCACTCAACTACCATCACCGAGCAGTATACGCACCTCGCTTGGATACCTATGTCACTACAAGCCACCTTGACATCAAAAGATCACAGAACTTGGCAGTTAGTACACTCGGACAATAAGCAATTGTCTCTGCCTAGTGTTTGAAGTTATCTTCCTACGTCAAGAAAGACGTAACACGGCCTACTAGCAAGGTTCAAGGAGCTGACTACACACCTAACCTACTCGGTTCTTACACGATAAACTTCAAATATTCTTCGCCTCGTATGTCCCCAGTGGCTTATCCGGTCCGAGTTCGTGTCTCAGGCCGAAGGGAGCAGCAGAAGATAGGTACCTGATCAGCCGAAGATGCTATGCGACGCAAAAAAATCGTATCATCTCTTTCTGCTGATAAACTGGCTTCTACGCGGACGTACTTGTCTTGCAGCATGAAGCATGCAATCCCGAACAAGAGCCGCAAAGTGATATTCAGTTAACCAAGTTGCCAAAGTGGTTGCATAAAGCTTATCAGGTTCTTTCGACATGGAGTGTGGTACTAGCAACCCCGTTTCCCGGGTCTCTTTCATAGAGGCCCCTTTATTAAAGTTCTGGGATCCGGACCCTGCGAGGCGTTGCATTCGTGATATGATCACCACTCCATACCGAATAGCACATTCCAAATACATACCTACTGGATGTCATATGTCTACTATCGTGTCTGTAGTATCTAGGTATCGATTCTTGTCCACTGATGCCGTCATTAGATGCCGAGGCACCTAGCCGTACGATGGCAGGTGGGTACCTAGGGTAGTATGCGCAAGCGAGAGTCTAGAGCAGGCTATTCTTCCCAAAACAGGAACATGAATGAAACAAGTCCTCTTTGCACATGTGCGTGTTATCTAATAGCAATATACCTTCTAGTTTAGATAGATAATCCTAAGAGCTGAACGGCACGGTAGATATTCCATGGGACACTGAGTTTGGTCCGGTATGGGAAACGGGGTTTGCTTAGGTAGGTAGACAATTTGCATCTGAAGATGTTGCAGGTATGCTGCAGCTGAAAGACAGAAAGATGAAAGGAAGAAAACTTGCTTTATTCCCAACTACGATGGCGCAGTGCCGATATCTAAGGCAGGCCTAGCCTAGTAGAGCTATGGCACCTAAGGCACCTGCAACATGAGATAGTTCTGAGTGGTATGTTGTAATTAAGTCTACGAAGAGCATGTCTCGTTCACATTACTATCAAGCACTTACCCCTATTTACTTATTCTACTCATTATCATGCCTGGTAGAGACCACTGGGTATGAATTTAACATTGAACTACCCATCAAGGACATCCGTCTATGATAACTTTATAATATCCGGAGATTGATGGAAGATGGAAGTTGGGAGAAGTTATTCCGCACCAAAGGATTATTCTCAATCTTATACATGTGTTTAGAATGATTCTCGCGGATAGGGGGTTTCCGCTACGGCACCTACAGCATGCCTCAACTTTAACGATAAAATTTACCATGCAATGAGTTTCTCATGCATAGCCCGAATCACTCATATGGTGGACTTGATACGTGTAAAACGACATAGCATATTTCATTATTTCATCCGTTGCTTATTCAGTGACTATGAAGCCGCGACTACCTGAGTCATATAACTCCATACATCATCTACCTAACCTAGGTAGGTACCTATGCCAAGTGCCTGCAATACCTCATGCCTCAGTATCTCCCCCCAACGCACTATACGGATGCCTCTCCCCAACCTCCTCCTCCTTCTCCCTCCCACCCCCTCCCGTCGCGCCCGTATTGGCCGCCTGAAACTTCGTGAACGTCTTCTCCGCCGCCCTCCCCGGGTCCCCCTTCGTCCCGAACTGCGAGAAACTCGCGTTCTTCATCTTATCCTGCGTGCCTATGCTCTCGTCCTCCGTGATGTTCTTGCCGTGCGGGCCCGACGTGTCCTTGGCGAGCTGCGTCTGCACGTACGACGGCGCGTTGTGGTCGCCCTGGCCGGACTTGGTTGTGGAGGAGTGCTGGTGGATTCCACCCGAGTGAGCCTGAGGGGCGGATGTGAGATTGTCGCGGGACAGGTGCTGCGGCGTGGCTTGGTTGGATTGGCGGAAGGACTGCGACTCGGCGGCTAGAGAGTCTGAGGCCACGAGGCCGGCGCTCTCGTGGGTGGTGGGGGCGTTGTGGCCCGCTGTGACTTTGGTTCCTTCGCTGGGTGCTTTTCCAGACATATTGGAGGTTGATTTGTGTGGTTTGTTCGTGAGGAGTTGATTATAAATGGTGACTGGGTAAAGCCTCGTCGTTCCGTGTTGGTATGTAGTTGATATTGAAAGTGTATATAATAACTTCAGATTGTTTCGATGAATAAATTCAATGTTATCATCAAGTTAGATGTCACTTAATCATGTAACCATGATCTAGTTCTTAAATATTAATGGTTTCTCTCCTTAAAAAAATCCAAAGGGTTGTAGACTTTACACTCATTGACGTCATCCGGAGCAAAACGTCAGAAATAACATGGCTATGACCTCATTTGCTTCGGTGTGCCTGGAAGCATGCTCGCTGTTGCCATTGACAGAGCCTTACCTCATAGTGTGTGTGTGTGTTCTTTGCCTCCTATACTCTGTACACCTCCTTCACTTACGGTGCCATTAAACTTACTCATATTTGAACAGATCTCGATATCTTTCCTTCAGAAAAAATCTTTGATTAATCTAATCGCATTCGTTATGTTGTGTTGACCCCCCCCATTTTATGCCTTATTGTATGAAACCGTCCTTGAGTTAGGCAGGGTATTATTACCTGTGGTATATGCACTTCTTCCGCAGCATTAAGAAACAACTCTTGAAGTTTCGGCAGATTGGGAAGAGTGCCAGGTTATAGGTTTGTGGTATGAATATGCTGTGTGTTCCACCTTTGATGTTCAGGGGTAAAGACACACCACCTTCTTTTAACTACTGCTACTCAGCTACATACCTACTTAGTGTTCTACGAATATTTAAATCTCTAATTATATATACTTCTTACTTCACTAAGACGACGTATCATTAATATCCCTCATTGGCTGCTACAGCTTCTTTGGCTACACTGTGAAATTTGATATCAGCATTGAAATGGCTGTATTAGTTCACCAGCCGCTGCTGCCTGTATCAACGAATATATCGTGGCGTACAACCCACCGACACAAATGAAGGCGCCCGCGAGGATAGTAAAGACATTGATAGTAAACATCGTAGGTTTTTGAAACCAGGCACTGTATCCCCCCTTAAAGTGATACGTGTCATGCAACCAGAAAGCCCCTGCTAGGCCGTAGGTATACCACGCAGCAAACAGCGAGGCGGTGATGCCGACAAGGTAGTTGAAGACAGGTATCCCGACCGCAAAGACGAAAGCTGCGGCATTGGCTAAAAGGATAAGCAGAGTCCAAATGCCCCAGCCCGTGAACGTGTGTGAGTGGATATGACGGCTCCGTCTAAAAAGGCGTACAAATACGAGCTTGGCTGCTGTATGACTATACAGACTACCCGAAATAAAGAAATTGGGTATGGCAAGCCCAAAAGATATCTTGGACCATAGAGGGCTTAGGCTGAGGAGGCTCGGGCTCGATACCCCTTTGCCGATATACCAATAGGTCACAACCGAAAACACGATGTAGAAGGCAGTCGCGATAATCTGCAGCGTCCAGGCAGCCTTCATGGCGTCTTTTGGATTCTTCATCTCGGAGATGAGGATGAAGAACATGAAATGGCCCGCGTAAGCGAACACGGGATTCGTAATGCTGATGAACGCCGAGGGGAAATCGGTCGCTCTTGCGATGAACACGTCACCAGGGTCGACTGGCACGGCGCCTGCTCCAGCCATCGCAACGACTCCCGCAACGATGATGGATGCACCGCCAGCAACAGAGAGCCAGCTCAAATGGTCGAGAGTGCGAGAGAAGCTGCAGATGGTGGTTGCCACTGTGAATATGCCCGCGAACGCCAGCGCGCACAGTTTCGCGTCGGAGAGAACTGTTAGTGCGAGCTGGCCTGCAAGGATCTGCGAGCCCGTGGCGCAGATAGCAAAGATGATGGTTCCTCCGGCCAGTATCTCTCTGCCAATGGGCCCAAACAAGATGTATCCGGCATCGCCCATATTGTGAACTACACGCACCCTGTCAGCCTGAGCTCGTAGGCCGCCGCAAAGGGACAATATTGTAGTTTGGTAAACACCTACCTTCGGGATGTCGTAATTTGAACTCTATGAGCACCCAGGATGTGAAAGTAGCGAATGCGCCGAGGAACGCGATGACAATAACGCCAGGGACAATGCCTACAGCGTCGAGAGAGCTCGGCAAGGTGAGCATACCGTTCGATACGATTTCCGTGATCATCATGACGGCAACCAGTTGCCAGGTCAATGTTTTGTATTTGATGTCATGATTCTCCTCTTCGCCGAAAACATCATTGACAAGTCCAGGACTAGTCAAATCCATCACGCCATCTGCCTCCCCTAAAGCACCTAAACCGCCTGAACTCGGTTGATGGTCCTTCTCCTGGAGGAGTTGGCCTGGGTGGTAGGTGTTGCTAGCCATAATGCCAAACGTGGTGGTGTAAGTGAATGCCTGGGTAGTTATGCACACCCCTTAATTACCTATGCGAATGAGTGACTTCAAAGTTATTACCTAGGTATCTATTCCTCGAGATATGAAGCAACGTTGTTTACCACTTTCGTCATTGATGCGGAATAGCGGATAGCCAACGCGACTGGGTAGAGAAAAGCAAGAAGCCCTACTGTGAGATGTCAACAATATATATCTGACCCGAATAATCTGATCATGCTTGTATTCGTCCTTATTGGAACCTAAGTTAGGTATTTACAGTAATTTCGAACATGATAGCATGTCATCTTTAGCAACGTACGCGAGGTGTGGGACGCGACAAAATGGGAGATAAGCTGACGGCATTCAAAAGCAATGCCTGTTAGAGTTTCGCGATAAGAGTTGAGAGATGAACCTTGGATGTGCATTGGAGGGTTTGGCTTAGCTAATTCATCCCTTGTGTCACATCTCGAGGCCATGATGATAACTGCCCTTTTTTTAATGGCATCCTCTGTCCTGTATTTTAATTTTTAATTTTTTCCAAATTGTTGTAAAGTCTCTAATGATTGATGTCTCAAGTTGTTACGGAGATGCCCCTACGGCCGTAGGTCCATGCCTGTCCCCTACCCACATCGGATCCGGTGTCCGGGAATAGCTCTCGACAAGAAACCAATCATAGTGCTATAAATTGTCATATTAGCTCTCCAACTAGCGCGGGGTTCAGTGGGTCTTGGCATGCACAATTACCTCCAAATCCTTAAAGCCTTTTCAAGCTTTACCAATCAGCTGTTGGACATTGTCACCGACCGATGTCGCCCGAAGATTTTAGTTTTTTTTTTCTTTCGTTAGTGATGTCGACTCACCTGGATTTACGGTCAAGTTTTCTTCAAAACTTATACCCTCCGGAGAGCTTGACGATTGAATTTCTTTATATTTATACCGGGATTAACTTGTTTAAAAGTGTTTCGTCGCCAATTGGCCTCTCATTCAGCTAAAGGAGAGCGTTCGCTTCTCACAGAGCAACCTCCATCCTTGTCTCTTCCAAGTCAAACAAGCCAATAGTCGCCAGCATGGCATTACATACTCTGCTTCGAGCAAGAGCTCCAGCTCAAGCAGCTCTTGCTCGAAGTGCTCTACAGTCCTCTAGACAATATGCGTAGGTCGGATTCACTATGACTTGATCTATATGTCAAATAAAACTGAATTTTTTATATTTTCTATTAGTCGTCTCTTAAGCACGACACCTTGTCGCCGTTCTAATGACTCCGATCTAAACAAAGTCTCGCGCAACATCACACAACCTAAAGCTCAGGGTGCTTCACAAGCTATGCTCTACGCCACAGGTCTCACAGAAGAAGACCTATCAAAAGCTCAGGTCGGTATTTCCTCAGTATGGTACGAGGGAAACCCCTGTAATATGCACCTGATGGACTTGTCGGATGTGGTCAAGAAATCTGTTGCGCGGGCTGGTCTTATTCCTTATCGATTTAACACAATTGGTGTCTCTGATGGTATATCTATGGGTACAACCGGTATGCGATATTCTCTACAAAGTAGAGAAATCATTGCCGACAGTATCGAGACTGTGATGCAGGGCCAATGGTACGACGCGAACATCTCGCTACCAGGATGCGACAAGAATATGCCCGGTGTCCTGATAGCTATGGGCCGAGTGAACCGACCGAGTATCATGGTCTATGGTGGTACTATCAAGCCGGGCTGTAGCAAGGGTGGCGCGCCGATCGACATCGTGAGCGCTTTCCAGGCCTACGGACAGTATATCTCAGGAGAGATTACGGAAGAGCAACGTTTTGACATTATCCGACACGCGTGCCCTGGAAAGGGCGCATGCGGCGGTATGTACACGGCAAACACAATGGCTTCGGCCATTGAAACCCTAGGCATGACTCTACCTGGCAGCAGTAGCACGCCTGCAGACGACCCTAACAAGATCAAGGAATGCGAGGACATTGGCGAAGCTATCAAGGTTGCAATGCGGGAGGATCTTCGTCCACGAGACATCATGACGAGAGAAGCCTTTGAAGAAGCTATGGTCGTAGTCAACATCCTTGGAGGTAGCACGAACGCCGTACTCCATCTTATTGCTATTGCCGATTCTGTGGGCCTCAAACTCACCGTCGACGACTTCCAGGCCGTGTCGGACCGGACGCCGTTCCTTGCCGACTTGAAGCCATCAGGAAAATATGTCTTCGAAGATCTATATAAGATTGGCGGCACCCCGGCACTCCTCAAGTTCCTAATTGGTGAAGGCGTCCTAAAGGGCAACGGCATGACTGTAACGGGCAAGACGGTTAAGAAGAATGTTGAGTCTTGGCCGTCGTTCCCTAACGAACAGAAGATCATCCGACCCTTCTCTAACCCTATTAAACAAACGGGTCACATCCAAATCTTACGCGGTTCACTTTCACCTGGCGGTTCGGTGGGCAAGATCACGGGCAAGGAGGGGCTCGTTTTTACGGGCAAGGCTAAGTGTTATGACCAGGAAGACGACTTCGTGGCAGCACTAGAGCGGGGCGACATCAAGAAGGGCGAGAAGACTGTCGTGATCATCCGATACGAGGGACCGAAGGGCGGACCGGGTATGCCGGAGATGCTGAAGCCCTCATCGGCTATTATGGGGTACGGACTCGGCAACGACGTAGCACTACTCACAGATGGCCGGTTCTCGGGTGGCAGCCACGGGTTCCTGATTGGACACATCACGCCCGAGGCGCGTGAGGGCGGGCCCATTGGGCTTGTACGCGACGGTGACATCGTCACCATCGACGCTGAGAAACGCGTCATCGACTGCGACGTCAGCGAGGCTGAAATGGCCGAACGGAAAAAGGCTTGGTCGCCCCCGCCACCCCGGTATGCTCAGGGCACCTTGACCAAATATGCGGCCCTCGTCAGCGATGCCAGCCACGGCTGTGTCACTACGGGACCTATTCGGCAACAGTAATGATATTTCGAAGTTTATCTCGGAGGCGAATGTATAGCCATAAAAGGCTGGGATAAAAGTAAAAAAACGACATAGGATATCTATGCAGTGGATGTCTCATGTACTTATTGGTCTTGGACCGCACGATTCCATGATGGTGTGATCGGTATATGGCCCTGGGCCTGGTCTACGGGAAAAGGCGTATTCTTATTTCCTTCGTGACGGCGGCAACGGAAAAAAATATAAAGAAAGTTTCAAATGGCCCAGATGAATATGCTTGAACAGTGCTTGAGGTGCGAAGTATATGACACCCTGACCTTGGGTAGATTGACGAGGCACTCCTCACTTTGCCTAGTAGTAGCCTGTTTTAGAAGACTTAGTTTGATGTTTTGAGGACAGATAGATATCTAACCCAGCATTCATCGAACTCCATATTCGTAATTTCTTGCCATTCGTTGCTTCATTCATTCATCCAGCCGTACGACCACCTATGCATGTCCTTCCCATGCCCTCACCTTTCCCTCCCCTATCCTTTCCTTTCCTTATCACCAGAGAAGCCCACTCTCCAGTCACCCGCAACCCCCCCATCCCCCGAATTTTTTTTTAATTTCCTTCAACAAAAGAGAAAGAGAAAGAGAAAAAAAGGGCCGAAGCAAGGTCACGCAAAGCAAGATCGACTCTGATTACTTGGGTAGGGTACTGGGTAGGCACCTACTGTAGGTACGTACATACCCAATAGACGTTGAAAACCAACCAACATTGAATGCATGCTCCACCCCCCCCCAAATCCAAATCCAAATGCACAACAACCACATGTATGTATGTATGTATGTAATAGTGACGTATCTAGACAAATGCCAGCCGGAAGAAAAGCAAAGCAAACAGCCAGAGATAATAAAACTGCGGTAGGTATTCGGTATTCTTGGAAAATAAATAAAACAAGGTTGACTGCCTACCTGCCTGCCTGCCTAGATGCCTAACCTAGGTGGTTTGTTTTAGAACAATGTGGTTAAAAGCCGCCTTCCCACGCTCCCTCCCCTTTGAAGAATCTCCGTATGAAAAGTTCATGCAGCACATAAGCCTCCTAGCCTTTTCTTTCTTGTCGTTTCATTTCGTTTCTTTTGTTTTCTTAATTCTATACCTCGCTAGCTAGCTAGGTAGGCGGGTAGACCAAACATATATTTCCATTTACCTCTTCCCCTTCTTCCAAGCCTCAATAAACGCCAGCTTATCGCGCAGCGTCAGGCCAACCCGCTTATTGCGCGCAAGCCTAGCCAGCGTCTCCGCAATACGATCAAGAAGGGCGCGCTCCTCGGGCTCGAGTGCCACGCCGTGCATGCCCGCGCCCCCCTCGTCGGGATCCACCGACTCTTCGCCGCTGTGAGGCGCCTGGGTAAAGGCGTTGTTGTTGACGGCCTCGGAGATGCGCACGCGGATGAGGTGGGTGGGGCGGCTGAGAAGGTTCCAGAGGAAGGCGGCGTAGGCGCCGGGGACGGGGGTCGCGATGTCGGGGGGCGTGTAGCGCATGCTGACGGGGAAGATCTTGGCGTCGGCGGGGGCGGAGAGGAGGGAGGGGGAGAAGGGGAGGATGCCCTTGCCATTCGTGGTGCTCATCTCGGGGAAGACGGCGATGACGCGGTGAGGGTTCCGCTCTAGCAGCGATTGTATCGTCGTCAGGCTCTTCGCCGGGGGGGCGGTGAGGGTGGGTGGTGCGAGGGCGAGGAGGATGGCGCGCAGGAGGGACACGCGCTGGACTTTGCGGGTGTTTGGATAGGAGACGGTGAAGATGGGGTCGAAGATGGCGGCGAGGTACAGCGCGTCGATGGGGCTCGTGAACTGGGCCGCGATCACGGAGCGCCCGGCGTTGCCCGGGAAGCGCGAGCTCGGCTGCTGCGAGAGCGAGCCGCGTTTAACACCGTCGAGCTGAAGGTCCACCCACCAGATACCCGGGATCCCAAGCAACGTCCATAATAGTAGCTTGCGAAGGAACTGGGGGATGAGAAAGGAAGGTAGGTGGTCGAGTACGATGAAGAAGAGGGCGCTGTAGGAGAGGAACAGCGGCAGTCGGAAAAGGAAGAGCGCTCCGTGTACGAGGGTTGCGAGGGTTGAGGTCGGCGTCGAGGAGGGGATAAAGGGTGAGATGCCGGAACCTTTTTGTAACAAGATATATGATTAGGTTTCGGTCACGGAGTAGAATACGAATATGGTTGAGTTAGGTTAGTTGAAGCTTACCCCGATCGCGATACTGGCTATATTTCTCCATGCTAGACCAGGATACCCTTCCTACGATTTACTTATCCTAGGTATGTATGAAATGATCCAGTATTGTAGATGTGGAAGATAGTGTCTAGTAGAGCAACGTGGCTAATGGAATATGAAAAGAAGCTCCCTAGACTTAGACAAGTCTGGCTGCTTGGATTTGAAGTTGGGAACTACCGAGACATCAAGCATAAAGAGGCTGGCTGATTTGGTGGGCATACGAGCGATCGATTTAAACCAGATCTGACAAATTGTTATGAATTGGGCATGATCTGACAAATTGTGATACCGTTGGTTGTAAAGTTATTGGTTCTTGAGTTTTTTTTTTGGCATGTGAAGAAACCTAATTGACTTTTGCCCCCCCACGCCGTCCGTCATAACTGGCCTTATGCCTATGCCCTATGAGCCTGCCTAAGAAAATCGATATCTGGCTCTGCGCTGCCAGCTGCGGTCGTGCCATTGTAAAAAGCTTGGACCACATTGAAGGCCGTTTTTTAAGCTTAGAGGTACCTAAGCTAAAAAAAAAAGACCCACAGAAGCTCCAATCTTTCTCCAATGTTTTATATTTTTAATATTCAATTTGACGCTTGAACGGAGTAAAGATACTAAAGATACCAGAGTACCTACCCGTTGCTGGGCCAATATCGCCAAGTAAGCAGAAAAACGAACTGCATAAGCCAAAACGTGCACAATTCACACAACACACTCGACACACCCTTATACATCAATTAAACAACGCCCCTCAAATGATACCCATTTGCTTCCCTTTTGCTTTGCACTATTGCTACTTTACCATCTTTGCTTCATGGAAAATAATATTATCCTGCAAATCTGAGTCCTGAGGTCTCCGGATTGAATACTACTACACACTGTTATAAAATCAACAGACCGCTTCTTCTCGAGTTGGCGCGTGCCCCGCTAGAGCTTCATTTCCTTTCACTATTTTAATTCATCGCCCACTTCGATCTTCGTCGCGTTTTCGAGAATAATCATAATGGAGGGAGAGAACATGGTATGTTTCCATCACGTTTCCATCCCGGGCACAACTCGCACTTTCGCCGCTATACGCGATTCCTACCTACCTACCTATAAAGCCATCGTTAGAACGAATAGGAGGTATAATTAATTAACCGTCGTCGTCACAGCAGCAAAGGGGTACCGGCATTCAGAAACCCATGACTCGGATACCTCAGTTCTCGACCTCTGTTTCGAACGCAAGCGGCCTATACGAGATGACCAACTCCCAGAGCAATATGCGCTCGCAACCAACGTCTTCGATACCCGCTATGAACGGGTTGAAGCGTAGCGTACCTATGCCAGGTACAAACGATCCATTTGTCCAACAGCCTAGCAGTAAATACTCACATGGTCGAAATACAGCCGTACAGTCCGATGCAAAGCGGGTGCCTTTGTCTAGGAGGGCAGGAGAGTTTCCTGACAAGCCCACTACTTCGTCTCACCATGCATCCCAGAATGTTAGAGGCATGTCCTTGAGAGATACGGTAAGTCAACCTATTGTTAAACACCGGAGGTTCTAAACTGCTTCAAACCCTCTACTTGATTCCATGGGCGATATCTCAGGCCTGCTGTTCACTTCATCGGTGGTCCACGTCTGTTCAAGACATGGGAAACTTCTTGAATCATCATCTCTAGTTTTCCCATAAAAAGACTCCAGAAACCCCGTCATCTCCACCCCAATACTTGACGCCGCCCAGCGCACCCGCGGCATTAACAATGATGTCACGTTTTAGATGTCGCTTTATAATCTTTCAAACCTTACATACTAATCTTACCAATGAGCAGGCGAGACCTCATCATGCGAGCATCAGCGGCGGCATCGGACCTCGACACACTTCGAACAGCAGCTATTCTTCTACCAATAGCTACACTATGAGTGTCGGCCCAGGAAACCGCCCTCCTTCCCGATCACAAACCCAACACACACGCGCAAGATCGACCGCTAGAATCGGGCGACCAGCAACATCGATAGGCACACGAGGGGAAGAACCGAGTAGCAATGGGAATATCAATGGGAATACCAATGGCAACACTAACAACAATGGTACAGTGCCCCCATATATGCGTCCCAATACAAAGAAACCAACTTCGGGCTATTCATACGGCAAGGCCTTGCGAAAGTACCAATCCCTCCAAGACATGTCAGAGGATATTTATGAAGATCCTCTTCCCAAAGCTAGAGAAGCCTCTATCTCCGAAAAGTTTGGAGCATTATCAGTGATGGATACAAAGAAAGCCAAGGAAGGAGTTCAAGTGACTTCGAACTCAATCATGCTTCCACCCCCTGCGTTCTCAGTGCCGCCAAACGTCTCTGTGCGCAAGAAAGGGAATAGTAAAATCGAGCATGTAGAAGCAAGCATGGAAGAATCGCGTAGGGACTTAGTAGTTCCTGCTACACCTGGCAAACAAGAGTTGATGGACAGTCTCGAACTGAGCATCAAGGCCATCAAGAAAACACCACGTGCCGCCATGTCGCCCTCACCTACAAAGGGGCCATATCTGTCCAAGTATTCTAACATCACTGGCTATGTAGTAACGGAGATCGAAGAGAAAATCGGCAAAATGGACAGCGAGTTCCAAAAGCTAAAAGAGATCATGAACGCTACCGAGATGAGCAGCACCACCGTCAAGGAGGAACTAGAAATGGCGAAAAAGAGAGGTGAGCCATTTGTCCTGGTGGCATATTCTTTAATGTACATTTGTATGCTAAATCATAACAGCGGCGAGCCTAGAAGACCAGCGCAACGAGTTACAAGCCGAAAGAGCGAAAATCATGGACAGATTGACCGATGCGGAGCGCCAAGTTCGTAACCTCAACATCGACATGCAGGACCAGCAGAGGCGTCACGACAGGTATTGCGAGGAACTAATCGCAGATCATGAGAAGAAATTAAGAGCCAAAGTAGACGATTATGAGCGCGAGATGAGCAAAGTAGCTAAGATTCAACGAGAGTTCGAGGAGAAGTGCGGTGTCGAAGCTGAAGCTAGGTTAGAGAATTTGTCTCACGAGAACAAGGAACTACGCAGTGCCATGGAGAGGCAGAAGCGAGACCATGAGCATGAAACACGCTTGCTCAATGTGGATTTGGAGAGACAGTCGCTTCGAATCAAGGAATTCGAAGAGAACTTGAGAAAGTCAGAGGAAGATCACCGAGCACTGCAGATTCACATTGAAGAAAACGTCAAAACGATCGATCGACTCAGAAAACGAGCCCAGGATGCCGAGGAAAGCCTCTCCAAAGATAAGGGGCATCTCGGTGGCCAAATCAGCCTCCTAAGTCAGAAATTGGACTTAAGTTCGGAACGCATCCAGAGCCTCGAAGAGCACAACAAGGCAGCACTTTTAGAATGCGAGAAACGAATCCAAGAGATCGAAGCTACGGCACAGAGAAAGATTGACGAAGAGACGAGCGCACTGAGAGACAGGCTCATCAAAGAAGAGGAGAGACGTCACAAACTCTTCGAACAAGTACAGGAGCTAAAGGGGAACATCCGCGTCATGTGCCGAATCAAGCCACCATCTGACTCCGAACGTGACTCTCTGATAAAATATAATCCCCGAATGAGCGAGCTTGACGAAGACAAGATCGACGGCATAACTATACCAACGGAACGAGAAGATTTCCGCGAGCCCGGCAAAATGATCCCCGGCAAGCCCAAGGAGTTCAACTTCGAGCGGGTTTTTGACGACAATTGCACGAACAAGGACGTATTTGACGAGATTAGTCAACTCGTACAATCGGTCATGGACGGCAAGAAGGTCTGCATCTTTTGTTATGGCCAGACGGGGTCCGGCAAAACTTACACAATGAGCCGTAAGGAAGACGGCATCATTCCTCGTACGCAAAGTATGATCTTCAGCGAGATCAAGCGGCTGCAAGTCCTAGGCTGGGAATACACAATCGATGGTGGTTACCTAGAGGTCTACCAAGACAAGTTGTACGATCTTCTCGCGTCGCGTAGTACCAAGCCCGAGCCATTGACCGTGGATCCGGTTAGCGACGAACTCAACATCAGGGGCCACTCATTTACGCTCCTGCAAGAAGAGAAAGACCTGGACAAGATGGTGCAAACAGCAGACAATAACCGACACGTCGCCGCGACGGCTATGAATGACCGGTCTTCACGCTCTCATTCCATCCTCGTTCTCAAGATTTGTGGCGTTAAGAAAAATGCGGATGGCGAGGTGATTAAGACGCGCAAGGGAACCCTCAACTTGATCGACTTAGCAGGCTCTGAGTCTCCGGACAAGGCACGCGGCGACCAGATCTACCGCGAGGGTGTGGAGATTAACTCATCTCTAAGTTACCTCCGCACAGTGCTCTCAAGCCTAGGCCAGGGGAAGACCGAAGGTGTAGATTTCCGGTCTTTCACCCTCACCCAGCTGCTCAGGCCTTCTTTAGGCAAAGGATGCAGAACGCTCATGTTCGTCATGGTGAGCCCGCTCAAGGAGAATGAGAATGAGACCGTCAGGAGTTTGGAGTTTGCCAAGGATGTAAGTGATCCCCCTAATCCAGCACTATAGTGCAAGGTATCGTGAGTAACATGATAGCTAACCGTTCAAACAGGCGCAAAAAGTAAAGATGGGCGGCAACGGAGGTGCAAGGAACCGAAAATAAGACGACGGCAATGTTTAGTGAGTCCAAAAGAATTTGAGACCCCATGCCTTTTAAAGGGGGGTTTAGCAAGGAGTGTTCGGAGTATATCGTGCCCGTTGTTGCGTTGCTGGGTGGGTTGAGGCAGAATCAACTTCATCCGTGGAAAGGAGGTGCGGTGGTAATGCGGCGTTTCAAGGGGCGTTTTTTCTAATCGGATGGATATATTCCTCGTCGTCTTTCGGAAGTTTTTTGCTGGCCTTGAATTAAAACCCCTTCTTCTTGCCTTCCCCTACCTACCTACGTACGCCTTGTTCTACATACATACCTACTTATGGGATGGATATACACATTGGGGGTTATTTTCCCCAACACTGTTGTTGATAGAAGCTGAGAAGTGAGAAGTATAGCACGAGTATAACAAATGTATCTTGAACATACCTACTTACCTGGGGTACTTAATGACTATCACGCTATATCTTGAATTGGTGTTGTTGCGTGGTTGTTGGATGGGAGTTCTTCATCTGCGCTCTATTGCTATGCATATACTCCGTAATGGATTGGCCTTAACCGTGATGTACCATTCGAGCCTACCTCGCATTAAGATCCTGTGTTCTTGACGGGAGATCATCCACCGTTAGAAGCTGACATGGCAGGATCGATGGTTCTAGTAGTACATAATCTCGTAACCCTAAAAATTTTGAATTACCGCCTACTATGTACCTACCTAGGTAGTCTCCTATCTATCTAACCCTTCCCCCCTTTTCTACTCCTGAGTCACGTGACACGCTTGACACATGTAGGTGACCGAGAGCTTGATGGGTTGGAACAACGATAGCACGTTCAACAACTCTTTCGTTTTTTTTTTGTTTTTTTTTTTTTTTGTTTCTTCTTCGTTTGTCTCTTCTCGCGAAGAAGGGTACGTTGCAATATTGATTTATGTCGTCCAGAGTGAAGATGAGAAATCTCACGATCACCTCACCTTGCGCCATCATGGCATCAATGCGGAATGCTACCTATTTTTTTTTCTTATTTTTTTTGCCAGCGACCTGGTTCTCGTTCTTTTTAAGGATAAAGGGCCGGTGAGAATAGGCTGTTATATTTAATTGCATTTTTTTTCTTTTCGGGGGGGGGGGGGGGTTCAAGGTTCTTAATCTTGGTTTCGGGTTGATCGAGAATACGGTCCTACCTAGGTACCTATGTAAATTGTCATTTCGGAGGTTATGTTGGGGGGTAATGTAAAGTTGGTATGTACCGGGAGTGGAGACGAACGAACAATAGGCCGTGTGGTTTTCACCTTGGACGTGTTACTGCTGCTGCTGCCGTGGAGAGAGAGGATTGGCAGAGCTCGGATAGTATGGGCATTGCTGAGTAACCTAAGGGCAAAGAAAATGGAAGCGGTGCAAGCTTGGTGGATGAGGATATATTATCAGGTGGGCAACACTGATTACTTCGTTTTCCTGGTTAGCTCTTATCACTTGATACCTAGGTAGGTACAGGTTCCAAGTGCTAGAATTAAATATGTGGAGAGCGCCTATACTAGCACATATGCCTTTTTCTCTCAATTCACGAATCGCAGGAAAGGGGGTTAGGTATTGAACAAGTCAACGAGTTCAGCAAGCAAATGTCTTTCAAATCTACCTAAGGTATTTTAGTTGATAAGTTCTCAGCGTATTAAATGTAAATGGCCTTCATCGCACACTCCTTTCCATGGAATCACAACTCAGCTCGTACAATACAATCTTCGTGAAGTTCTATATTATGCCTATGCCACTCTCTCCTATCACACCCGTCACCTATAAACCCCTCCCCCCCTCCTCAAAATCATCTCCATCCCCCACACCATCCGGAACCGGCAGCGGCGGCGTCAACGGGACCGCCGTCGGCGCCTGCGGTGGCGGCGGGACAGGCGGCACCACAACAGGCACAGGCACGCTCGGCGCCGTCCCATTCCCATTCCCACTCCCATTCCCGCCCCCGCCCCCACTCGGATACACAAAGCTCCCATTCGGCCACGGCCTCGCCGCCGCGTCCTCGAGCAGCTTCCCCGCCAGGTAGTAGGCAGCGGCGGGCACCCACTTGACGTAGTCGAAGTGCACGGGGAAGACGTAGAGGGTGCCGGTGCAGACGAGGTCGCCGGCGTTGCAGATGATGAGGGTGCGGCCGGGGTCGAAGTTGCGGATGCGGCCGCCGTCCTGCCACACCTGCGTGTCGCCGAAGGTCACGACGCCGGCGATGCGGTCCTTGGTCGCTTGGCTGAGGCCCTCGATCGCGCGGTGCGTGAGCGCTGCGCCTTGGCTGCGCGGTTGATTAGGTTAGACGGTTTTTCTTCTTTTTTTTTGGCTGTCGGTAAGGGGGGAGGGATTTACCTGTACCCGGCAGCAACGATCTTGGAGTTCGGACAGGTTGCCGCGGCGCTCAGGAGCAGCTGCATGTCGTAGATTCCCCAGGGCGGCGCGCCGCCGGGGTAGAAGTTGGTGTCGATGAAGCCCCAGTAGTCGACCCCCTGAGTCGCGACGTTCGCCGGCCCAAACAGCGCTTTCAGTCCGTCGGACAGCCGCGGCCCTACCGTGTTGCCCTTGAAATATGATAAGTTAGCGTCTCGAGAATTCTCGTGACAACACCTGTCTAGTAGCCATTCCAGTTGCTTTGTTGGAACGGAAGTTACGTAGGTAAGCGTCCAACCACGTACCATATTCCCAGGCTCTATCGTGGCCTTGGCCCAAATAAGTATTATCGGTTTACACCCATAGTCTGACAAGTCGTGCGCCCAGTACCCAACAGTCCATGTTTGGCGAGGCTTGAGAGGTGGCGGGAGCGCGGAGGCGGCGGCAGCGATGCCCATGGACAGGAGCAGCAGCAGTAGAAAAGGCGCCATCTTGGATTTTCCAGTGCGCCAGCCAAAACGCATCAACCACCTGTTGAATTCTAAGCCGCGAGAACTGGCTGCCCTAAGAAGGGTCGACAGGATAACCCCCGTCCTTATAAACGGCACCGAACGCGAATGAAGTCTTCTGTCAACGGCACATCCCGATCGATCGGTCCCCCCCTTTTCGATGTATATTCTTATTTGCTAAGGAAATGTCGTTATGTAGGTATGGATATAAGGAGAGAGAAGACTTAAATCGGGCAATGTGTAACGGTAGTGCAAGAACAAAAAAAAACGTATCTCGGTTTGGCGTTTGAGGCGAAAAACTGACTAAGGTAAGGTACCCAACCCAGTATGCTATGCTTGCTCTCCCTAGGGATTGACCCAGGGATCTATCTAATAGATCTCTCTTCGCAGCTTTAAGCAGTTTTGATTCGCCGGCCACTCGTGATAATCAGAGAAAATGGCGCGAAAAAAAAGGCCAGGATAGGGGATCGTCAAACGGTTGCATCTGTATGTCCCCTGCCATTGAAGAATAAATTAATGCGCGGAGCAGCGCCGCCCGTAAACACTGAGCAATGGCTCCTTTTGGCCGCAATTGGATGAACCAGCGCTCGCTGTTGGATCCCAAGTCGATAACCCTGCACATGGTAATTGTCCCATGTCCTATTCTGAGTAGTATATAAAAAAGCGTTGCAATAGTCCCGGTAGTCTTCGGCAGTAACGGTAGGATATTTTTGGTGATATGTGCTTTGGGTAATACCAGGGATCGTCGACACTAGAAAGTGCCGTCGACCCTCAGACTCTTTCATGTGAAGATTCATATTTATCTGAGTACCTAATGTCTCACGGCGACGGCGATATGGATGGTTACGCCTACAACGAAGGTTCGTTGGGTAGGTACCTATCCAGATACCAGGTAAATCAACAAAGAGTTTTGGTGGCGAGGGGGGAGGTATGATCCCATAGGTCTACAGCTGTGTATACCACGCAACCTCGTTGTCATGTGATGCCTTCCTATGCCAATATTTATTCGTGTCTACTACTTCCATTAGTCCATTGTGGTATCTCGGTGATGCACTACCAGGTAAATATCTAGTTTTTTATTGCTTTGGATACCTACCTAGACGTACCACCACCACCACCACCACCACAATACAATCAGATGACGAATAGGTACATCTTCGTCCATTACTTGCGTTCACGTTCAGAGGCTGAGATTATCGGCCATTAGATATTCTGGGCTGGGAACTCACTCTCAACCAAGCTCTGAACTTGATGAATATAAGCAAGGCTAAGCCAACAACCTCGTAGATATCATGCTTAATGCGCCTCAAGAATTTGCTCGCAGTTGTTGATATGCCACTGCCATCAGGCGTTGAATTCTTATTCCCAGTCGAGATGATCCCAGAAAGTAATTCGTAACATACCTACTCACTTGGACAATATGGAAACGGGGGGGTTTTTTTTCATCAAGTGCATTGTATCTTGTCATTTACAGTAGTTATACAAACTTACCAACCTACCTAGTAGGCATATTTGCACATCTGTCCCGCAAGGCCAAGATGAGGCAACCCTGAACTTATACGCAGACCGGTTTCAGCAGATCCCATCGTAGCACCAGGGGCCATTCAAATGCTATCACGATTCGGTAATCAAGTCACCATTCACACCGCCAAAATGCTCTCGAAGGAAGCTCTGCACCTGCCGGTTTCCGCCGAGACCGGCAAGGAGCCCTTTGGAATCCCCTTCGATCCTGAGACCGTGGAGCCCTGTGGCTCGTGAGAGGGCCACATACACTTGCCCCTCCTCGAAAGCCCTAGACAGGTTGACGATAACCCGATCGAGAGTAAGTGACTGGCTCTTGTGGATTGTCATAGCCCAGGCAGGCGCTAATGGTATCTGTGTCCGCATTAGCAGAGTATAGGGCTTCTCGTCCCCGAGTTCCGCAATAGTGCAGTCCGCATAGATAGTACGGGCCTGTCCGTTGTGGAATCGGACCATTGGCCAGCTTTTGTACTTGACGCCCGGATCCAGTATGAATTTCTTGATCTGGTCTTCCTTCATCGTGGCACGTTCACCAAATAACCTATTTTGAGGTTCCTCTTTACCGACCTTAGCCTTGGGTAGCTTCTTCGGGTCGTATGCCTCAAATCCGCAAATAATCCCTTGGCTACCGTTGCATAGGCCCGCCTCCAGATCTAGATTCACTAGCAAGACAACAAGCATCCCTTTCTTGAGCTGCACACACTCGTCATATCGGTGGTCTTCAAGCGCACGAAGAGGTCCCTCGGACTGAGGCCCTTTAGGTTTTCGAACGCTTTTCCAACTTAAGTGAGGATGGTGTGGTCTCCCAATAAAGTTATCGAAACACCAATATGCATGATTTACGGTCTTTAGCCTCTCAAACTCACGTTGATTGACCACGCCAACTTCCTCGCGTGTAGCAAAGAGTCTGGTAGCATGATGAACCATGCATGGGTGATCCATCAGAAGGTCCGTATCGTCGGAACTAAGTTGTTGTCCAATTCTACACTTTTGTAGAATACGAATGAAGGTTTCATCATTCTGGCGGTGAATAGTGTTGAGATGGAAATGAACAAAGTTGCACTCTTCCCAAGCTTTGCTTCGGAAAGCCCATTTATCTTCATCACGATACTCGCCGTGTCGTTGGCAAACATGGACCTTTCCCGTGGCGGTAGTTCTCGGGATGAGCTCAAACCCACACTCTATACAATGCTGAAAGGGCTTTACCGGGGGAAGTTGGCAGAAGTCACCGGTTACCACCAGTTGTACTCCGCCAAATGCAGGCTGAACCTTCAACTTTGGGTCGTGCCGTGCTGCCTTCATAACTTCGTTTAGCCTTTCGAAGTGCAGATTCTCTATCATGCTAATCTCGTCGATTACCAGTACATCGGTACTCGTGAGACGTTTGTATACGAATTTTCCATGAGCTGCCGCTCTGAGTTCCTCTAGTTTGCGCTTGTGATGATCCGGAGTCCAGCCTGCGTATGTCCACGTGGTAGACCCGTTGACTTGTAGAGCCGCACGCCCAGTAGGTGCCACGATGTCGACTTTCTTGCCCATATCTCGAAGCTTCTTCGTAAAAGCTTTTAGTACAGTGGATTTACCACAGCCAGCCGAGCCCGTGTAGAACACATTCTTTCCACTTGCAATTAAGTCGACTAGACGTGCCTGTTCCGGACAAAGTGGAGGTTCTTCAGAGTTAGAGAGACTCGGGACCTTGACCGGGGCCATTGGTTGTGATGGTGGCAATGACTCTACATCTTGGGATGAAGAAGGGGACACTCCTAGGAATCGAGTCGAGGGTTTCGAGTCGCCAGCTGTAGGAACCTGTAAACTTTCATCTAGAGCTGACGAGGATGGTGAATGCAAAGGCAATGAAGATGAGGGTTCCTTCGTTGTTTCCTCAAAAGGGGACTTTTCTCTTGGCGAACTTAGATGTTGCTTGAATCTAAATCTGTCGAGTGCTTTAACAGAGCGCATAGGCTCTCGAGAAGACTCGGAGGAGAGACTCGATGCTTGATCCATTATAGGGCTGTGTTCGGGCAGTACCCTTGGGCTATGACGTTGCGCATATGATGATTTTTTACGAGGCATTCTTATGGGGTTAGCTCTCTTATTCGAAGGGGTGATGGTTGTGGCATCCTCTTCATCGTCGCTGAGTAGACTGATGATTTCCGTGTCAAATTGTTGCACCTTGTGTCGTTTCGAAGCCGGCGGGGCACATGCAGAGTCTACAGAGGACGGAGAGTCTGGACTTGACTGTGGTGGGGGAAAGAAAGCTGGGGGGCATGGTTGCGGCTGTACTAAAGTTTCCTCATGATGTTGTGAGGAGGCCAGCTGACTAGGGGACGAAGTTGGCGGTGGCGGTTGTGGTTGTGGTTGTGGTTGTGGTGGCGGAGGGAGTTGGGGGTAGGGAGGATGAGCTTGGTAATCCTGGTTGTCCTGGGATGTCTCATCGCCCGGGTGAGGATGTCCTAGATGACGGGTAGATAGATGAGTATTCTGAGCCAAGGGACTTCAATGTTTGAAAACTAAAAGGGTCAAGTCAAGGTGGACTCGGTGGAGGATATGCATATGCATGTCATGTCATGCCCCTACATGCCCTAATATAGGTATGGTATTATGGGTATGTATGTACGTAGTACTACTGTGTAGTAGTATGTACAAACAGTAGATGGATCATGGATATTTAAAGAGTAAAGAGTACTTACCGAATTGATAAACACAATCTGGCATATTTGAATAATCAGACAAGAAAGTAAGTTACCCCAGGAAAGTGCACTGCATGATACGTGACATACGTCAAGCGCACATGTAGTTAACCTTGAACTGGCCCGTTAGATTTACCTCGCAAATACTACTAGTACATAGTAGTTGCCATGTTAATTGCTGCTAGGTTGTTTTTGTTAATGGGAAGGCGGGTAATTATGCAATTGATGTTTTTGACGCGCTGCACTTTCCCACAACGCGTAGAGATATAAAAAATTGAATAACCTTGGAAAAAAACAATCAAACAGATGCCTTAGGTAAATATGGGACTTGAAAGTGTGTAAGCCTTGTCCTTGTCCTTGTCCCTGTCCGAGTCCGATAGACATCCATGCATATCAAATATCAAATATCAAAAACCAAATGTTTCAATGTTACAAATGCATAATTTCAAATCGGATTGGATCATATCACAAACACATAAATCAAAACACCATGGACTTAGTTATTAGTGATTTTACTTTATTCTTAACTAGGACTCTCTACCTAACACGGTAATATCTAGTACCAGCCCCCGTATTCACCATCACCATCACCATCACCACCACCACCATCATCATCATCATCACTAGCCCCTCCTCTCCAAGTTTCCCTCTCCCTCATCAATCAACACAATAGAACCGGAATTCCTGCCGATCGTGCGTCGTCATCTAGACTTTATCATATCATCTCTTCTCTTCTCTTCTTTCTCTCTTTCCCAATTCATTTCATTTCACTTGCGTTCATCCTCCTCTCTTTCTCTCCTGGACATGTTTTGGCCCGGCAATTCGAGATGGCGGGCCACGTCCAACGTTATATTTAATACACTGATCTCTTTCTTTCTTTCTCCACACCGATAAATGGGAAAGGGGGATATTCCAGAACGCCTCGTTTAAATAAATAAAAAAAAAACTATGCCCTGAAAAGACAATGTAACAGCAATAATGGTAGTAGTAGTAGTAGTAATAATAGAAAAAACGATGATGATTATCAGGAAAAAAAGCCCCGGCTGATATTTCTGGTTTCAGGGTTGGGGGGATCTGGTGTGTTTTCTTTTTTGGACTCCGGGTTGTTGCTAGGTAAGTTCGGTATAGATTTCATATGCTATGATATGACCGTCGTTGTGAGGGTGCATATCTCTCTGTCTCTTCTCGCAGATGCGGAAGGTGAGCAGGTATATAGGTTGTGTTTGGCGGACGGACGCCGTGAGAACGTAGGTATATAGGAGCCAAGCTTCCAGGCTAGGGGGTATATAAGTATATGCTGAGTGTAGGTAGGTATATGCACATAAAAATATATGTAGATATAACGGATCCAAGAAAAAGGCGAGTACTGCAAGTGAACGAGTCGGTTCGTTTACTGAGCACCGTTCAAGCGGTACTACCTTAGTCCACTAAAGTCTACCTCGGCGTTCATATGGCTGAGGCCTAGCGTGTTCATCGCCACGTTCTCGGAATTCGCTCGTTGCAGTGCGTGGAAGTCTCCGACTGTCCTGGGTATTTGGGACGGTTGGTGCTGATGCTGGTGCTGGTGCTGGTGTGGCGGATGCATGATAAAGCTGTTCGCCCTCTGCTGCGGTTGCCGGTGTAGCATATTGTTCATCATGTTGAACTGCGGGTTTTGCGCTATGCTCTGTTGTTGCTGGCTTATATTCGCCATGTTGTTCTGTTGACTTAAGCTGTGTCCTAGGTTCGCGTGCATGTCCGTCTGCATCGGGTTGCCTATACTGTGGCTCTGGGTTATGCTGTGCGTGGCTAGGTTGTGGTGTTGATGCGCATGGTGCGGCTGTGGCGGGTTCAGAGACCCTTGTTGACTTAATGTGTGCTGTGGTGTTTGTCCGATGGGGCTCATGATATCGGGTATCGAGTTGAAATCGCTCCCGTGGTAATCTACACCACCAGGAGACATGATGGCGGGAGAGCTAACCATGGGGAAAGGTGACTTCATGTCATCTCCACTGTTCGAGTGGCCCGAGTCTGCTCCAATATCTTGTATGTGCTGCATACTGCTCGGTGTGTATGGCTCGGTCTTGCAAGGAAAGTCCGTCATCATGGGAGGTTGGGCCATGCCCGCGTTACCGAATCCGTCAAATATGTCAATGTTCTGCAGGCAAGCATTTTCGGGCGCACGCTGCAAAACAGGGTTTGCAAGTCGAGGCAGGATATCGTGAACTTTGTTTAGCAGCAGCGGGAGGAAATGGTGGTCTCCGTTGCGCAGAACCGATAAAAGTTGCAATAACGAGTTGAGCTGCTCCCGGGGACCCATGCTGAACGGGTCGCCTGATGAGGGAAGTAGTGTTAGGACTTCGATGAGAGCAGATGAGATGTCCAACAACTTGGCAACGAGCGGCATCCCTAGCAATTCCGAGCTCTGCGTAGAGAATTGAGAGGTCATCGACATCAGATCCCGAGACATATCGATGGGGTATTGCATTTGCATCTGGTCTTGGTTGCTTTGAGGAACACAGCCGTTTTGCATGTTGATATGCCAGTTGATCGCCTTAAGCCACTGCTGGTTAGCTCGCAGATCCGATTCTTGCACGTTCATGTACGGCGGTATCATGTCTGCGAATTGCTTTTGCAAGGCGGTCAGATATGACGGTGAGGATTCGCTTCTCGTCTTATTCCATAAAGCGACGAACACATCGTCGAATGATCTAAAGAGATTAACCAAGTGGATATAGCCATTCAGTTGGTGAGCGAGGGGATCCGTCGGGTCGTCGGTCATCGTCGGAAGGTTAATCGAAGCCTGCAGAGTTAGGGGTCGGCCACGTTGCAAAGCATACGCCCTTTACCGTTCATGTTTAGTAAACCAATACACTTATCAAAAAAGAGGCGAGAAGAAATACCTTTCTGTTACAAACAGAAGCCAATAGAGTCGTCTTCGTCGCGAGGCTTCAACATTGTCGAACTGCAGATAAGTCTCCTCCTTATTCATCCCAATGATATGGGCCAAAGTCGTTGCCTCCCGGAGGTAAAACCACGCCTTGTCATGCATGTCGAGGGCGTAGTGGGAACAGAACAGAAAATAGCTGGTGCAGAGGCTATTCAAAGTTGGCGTTTCTTGATATTCGTATCCTTTTCGAACTCGAATTGTCTCCTCGATTAAAACCATTCCCGATGCAATACTGGCTCCTGGTAAGTGGTCGAGAAGAGGATCGGCGCCAGGGACGTTCATTCCGGGCTGGAACATCATCCACGCACACAGCGAAGTTACTAGACAGTAGGTGTCCAAACTCTGGTCCAAGTACATCGACTGCTGTTCTAGACGCTGTCGGTGGAGAATTGGCATGGTCGGGTACATGTTTGCGAAGAAGAATTCGATACACTCCTTGGCCATCTCGCTGGCTAGGAGACCAGGAGTCGGCGACAGTGTAGGACTGCATGGAGGACTGTTGATACCGTTCAATCGGCTCTGCACCTTGGCGGAAAGGCTAGTCTGTCTTTGTGTTTCGCGTAGCTCGCTGATGACCTTCGCTCTCGAACCTTTAGGACCCTTCTTTTGTGGAATAGCATTGTATGTGCAGGTTAGCTGCGCCGAAGCGCAGTTGCGGCATGGGTTGATGCCATCGCACTTGACCTTACGGCGATGGCAAGCATCGCAAGCTCTTTTTACGGCCTGCGACATCTTGGCGTCGCTATCCTCGATTTGCGATCACAAAAAACTCAAGAAATTTCCAACTCGAATTCTTCGACGTAGACGGGCTTATTTTAGACGAGCGCAGCGCAGTACTTTTTGTCCACCTATCTTCCCTCTTCGACTTCCAAGGTTATTTCCAAAAATCCAATCAACCCGATCTTTACAAGGCTCGTGTGGAGAGCCAAATCCGAACACGGAAGTATTTGCGGAGAGAATCTGGAGTGAAGCAATTGGACAGGTTCTTAATCGGCCCGTCGCTGATAGAAAGGCGGAGGGATCACGCTCATTAGAAAAAAACGCGGGGAATTCGCTGGCCGGGGTGCTTGAAGTGGGTGGCCGGATCTTTGATGGTTAACTAGGTGATAGAGAAGTACCAAAAAAAGAGGGCAATAGATGAGTAACTGTCACAATGTTTTTGATATATGATGATGAGAAGGCGGAAATAGAAAAAGAGATCGTCGTCCGACACAAGCTCACAATCACCAGAACGAAAAGTAAAAAATAATCGGAGGGAGAGGAGGAGGCAAATAGGTTAGGGAAGAGAAAAAAGATGGGGATGGACGGATGGATGGGTAAGGCGAAGGACATAGGAGGGTTCCCCCGGCTAGAGGAAGGGGAAATGGAGATGAGAGCGGCTTAAAGGCCTTCTTAGGGCCTAAAAGCAGAGCATTGAGGCAAGAAACAAAGACGGGAACCCTGAAGACACACTGTGAGTGGCCGGTGCGACTATCCTGACTCGGGCTAGCATATCCCGATTTGGTAACCGACTCCGACGAGTGGTCGTGTGCGCTGGTATAAGAAATTGAGTAATAGTAATATGATACTAATATCAAGTAAAATACTACAAACCAGCACTGTGTGGCTTTTATGCACCTTTAGTACCTACCTACTGTACACTACCTACACTACCTACACTACCTATGAATATGTACACTATTATGTAGGCCAAAGACAATGAATCAATGATATGTATACAGCTAGAGTAAGTGTCGATCGACTTGTTAATCTGTCTCGCAGCCACCGGCGAGTCGGCGACCCCCAGTTTGGATAAAACTGTCCCTAAACTCAGACAGGAAAAGTGACCGATCTGGTGACGAGGCAACAGGTTTTAGGATAGAGAGAGAGAGAGAGAGAGAGAGAGAGCATTGAATTTCAAGCATGGAATAATATAATTGTAATTTAAACCAAGGGCGGAGCAGGTACATAATAGGATGTAATTGGCTTCAAACATGATGAAGTTGCCCAAGGTCCAAGGAGTTGAATCACAAGTTTCTCTATGTAATTACTCTCTCTATAACTAACAGTATTATTACATGTACAGTACATAGGTATTCTACCGAAATATGTATGTTGATATGTACAATGCATGTAGATGAAATGGGGAAGCCACTGAAGTATGTAGAAATAAAAATAAAAATAAAAATAAAAATAAGAAACTCTGGGGAATGCCAAACAAGGATGCTGACGACAACCGTTTATACGGCATAGTAGAGGGTTGATAGAGGGTTAATAGAGGGTTAAAGTGGAGGAATACGGTACCGATATTCATACATAGTTACAGCCAAGTTCTATAAAATCCACGTTGCTTGCAACAGATCCTGCTATCCCTATCGTAATCCTCTCGTACGAATCGTATATCGTATCGATCCCCTTGACGGTACTCTTAAAACCATCGGGTTTCTGTTAAATAGGCAATTGCTTATGACTATCCTTTAAGGCTGACTCCCAATAGAAAACAAGGCATTATTAGGTAATTAAACATGATGAACATCAACTTCGGTATCCATTCACGTTCGTGTTGACGTCGAACAAGTCTCGCCTACTCCGCTCCTACTATATTACATGTATGTAGGCACATTCGTCTACCTATCCTACATATGTATTGCCTCCAGGCTGTTGTATCTTTATTTACTTTTACACCGTACTCAGCAATCCGAGGCTGACCGCATAAACATGTATTTGTCAAAGGATCTTGACAGTGGAATGGGCGACATCGATCAATTGAAATGCCCGCAAATTTCACAGGAAGATTGTCTAAGTGCCAGCGTCGCAAAACGCGAACTTTTGTGGCACTACATTATCAGGTAGCAGCCGAGACGTTGGAATGCCTATCTGCATGGAACAAATCCCCAAACATTCTTCATCGAGTAATAAGTCGAGAAAAGGCATCAGCCATCAGCCAGTATATCACGGATATCACCACGGTGGGCGACAGTGATGGAGGGTTAGGTGATGATCTCCCGCGTTTCCTGGTGGACGAGCCAAAAATAGCCCTGAATACCTAGGTACAACCTCTCTGCTGCTACGTTGTATGCATAGTGGGCGTTGCTATCCAGGCCATCATTGGGTACAAGTTCTTCCCACCATGAGCAATTGCAACGTAAGAACAGAATGGAGCCTTGGAGGGCTCCCCGGGTATCCGACCTACATGTATGTAAGTAGCCTGCTGGGTAACCAAGTGCTCTTCAATATTATGTACCTAGTCAAGCATTATCACGACTTCATTGTGCATCAGGAGACAGAGCTCACCTGTTTCCTAAAAAGAAATCGACTTGAGGGTTTATATTTTAGTAGCTGTAGATATTACTATTCGTCGACACTAGTTGACGTAAGCTATTCATCCTACTTTTCGCCTTTCTTGCATCTTTTTTTTCCCCTCTTACCTCTATTGTCTCTACTGTCTCTAGTACATCACTGTCTCCACTAAGATGCGTCCTTAGGGCTGGACACTAGGTACCAGATAGTTCACCGATGCAGCGATGATCGTGACACCAACGGCATGGGTTGACTTTGAAACGGGCAAGTCGAACATCGATAACGAAAAGAGGTCAGCGAAACTCTATCATGTAGGTAAGAAGATTAATCAGGAGATAGATCGAATCGGAAACCCAGAGAAAGAGAGAAAAGGGGTTATTAAAAGATTACAGCAGAAAAGTAAAAGGAACGTTTGATGCACAACATTGAATTGCGCAGACCATATACATATGATATGCGGTCGGCTTTCCCGTCTGACCAACATGTATATTTTAGGTCTTGGCCTCGGTGACGATTTTGGGTGATGATGATGACTACAGTATTTACAGGACTGAACTAAGGCTGTAGATTCAAACCGGTCGCTAATCATGAAATCAACAATAACCAACCCTAGCAAGTCTTCCCCATACCCAGCCAAGGCGAACAAGGTACTGAGACTGGTGAATTTTGGTGGGTTTTGCAAAATCCGGAATCTTCCTATTCAAGAAAGGGAATCGTTGGCAAGGGTTTTAATGTGTTTGCTCAATCGCTGTGAATACTGTGAACATACATACCTGCCTATGTATTATGTAGGCAGAGACTACCGCAGAGTTCCTACCTACCTACCTACCTACCTACCTACCTAGTAATAAGCTATTACCAGAACCTCGGGACCTTTCCTCTCCGTTCTGACCGCCAGCAATCCCAGAATCCCACTACTGTCGTCCTCGCGTCCTACGGAGAGGCGTCATCATGATTGATTGCGCTGAACGTATGTTGCACAACAGCTTACTGTGAACAGATATGATACGTGACATAACAGCATGGATGACAATCCGCCAGCTGTGCTATGGCTCAGGGCTCATAGTGCGAAGGAACACGGTGCGCGTCTATAATGGTCTCTATGTGTGGTCTCTGTGGCCTTTGTGGCCCTGTGGCCCTGTGTCCCCCAACTGCCGTAATCGTACTCGCGAATCATAAACAGCAGTACGATATTTACCTGGCGAGGCATCTATCTCTGCTATCCATCAGTAGAGGCAAGGCGCCCGTATTGGCCTACAGCATGTCGATCTTATAATGAGATCTTCATCATGGGCAAGCAAACAGAACTTCAAAATCTTGCTAATAAACCTCCCCCCTACTTAAATCACATGCATCAAAATTCGACAAACAGGTCTACATCTACACTATTCCGTTATAAAGTACTCAAATCACATGTTTTCAAGGTTACCCCTTACCTGTACGCAGTAGAACCCCTAAAGATGTTCTGTGTGTCTGTGTGTGGAGCAAAGAACACTCAGCCTAACCCCAGCTTTTCCTCCCTTCTTCACAAGCCCTCTTCTCTTCTTCCTTCCCCCATCCCCCGCAAAATAAAGAACTGACCGTCCAGTTAGTTATTACAAGGTACGCTAGGTAAGCACGCCCAGGGCTGCCAGGTTAGAATGTAAGGAAAGCCTGTCCAAAACCTCATGATGGGCCTCACACATAACAGGCGATAACAACGCTATGGGGAACTCGGCCCGAATACATAGTAAAGGGTACTTCTACCATATTTGAGTATATTTCCCCAGATTTGCGTGCATCTTGACACCAAACCGTCGTCTAGGATCTGTGCATGTATAGCTCGCGGTTTTTCCACCAATCCTGGCACGTATAATAAGCGTGGTTGATTCCTCTTAACCTGCCGGGACTTGTGATAACATAGAAATCCGGGGTTTATTCTCTTCGTCTAGAAAATCGTTAGCAGCAACAATTTATATTATGCTTACTGGGTAGGTAGTCAGATACCGCCAACAGTCGGTATTACAGGAGAAGCGCGTGAATCTGCCTTATCAAAGGACCAGAAGACAGGTGTTATCTTCCAGGCATCATCATACCCGCCGCGGTGGTTCAAAGGGTCCGCTATCCATTCTGTACCCCATCGCCGACTGCGCCGCCATGAAGCATATCACAACATTGCGACCCGAGCATACGAATAAAGCTCGGCATCCATCTCTCATCCACCGCGAGCCGCCCCCTTAAACGATCTTACGATGTAACCTCGAAACCCATCAAGCCGTGCATGCCTACCAGGTAGTTTGCAACCCCGTAACTACTAATAGAGCCCAGGCTGCCAATTTCTTATAGGCGCACTTACGGTGATGTATACTCAAAACTGAAAGACGATATGTTTCATGTCTGCTCGTCAAATTTAAAAGGGGGCGGCATAGATTATGGTCAGACGGGAGTTGTATTCTAGATCGCCTCAGGGCTGAAGGCTTTCTCCACTTCCTGTCTATGTTTAGCTAGTCTGCTTCCATGCCTACGAAGTGCAGGTAAGTATCTGGTTAGGCTAGTATCTAGCATACAGATCGTAGTCGGCAGTCAAGTAATTAATTAGTCTCCAAGAACGAAAGTAGGTACTATGGTAACTATTCACAAGTTACAACCACTTGAACGAAGACGCATGTGGCCCTGCCTTCCGCGGCGATGATTTCGGCGAGATGTAGTGATATATCCCCATTCCCGTGATCTCCGTGCAGACAAGAACAACAACAACAACAACGCACTTCCTCGGCGACGCTACTCTCCAAGCCAACCTCCAACTTTCCAGAGCTACATAGCTAACTAGCCAGACTATAGCAGACAAGTAATATACCTCTGAATACCTGCCGGGAGCCAAGCGGACCCTTCAAGTTACTTACCTATCTACCTATCTACCTATCTACCCACCTACCTACATAGTACCTGCCCGACTCCCTACTCCATCTATAACATCATCATATACCCCTAAGCGAGGCCTCTAGCTCCCCCCCGATCGCACTATATCTACCTACCAGCGCCTAGTCTTCCCCATACATAGCAGTCTTCCCCGTACATATCATCTCAAGATCCAACATGTGTGTGTGTGTGTGCTACGCATGAAATGAGTCCACCCAGGCCCGCCCGGGCCTCCACCACGGCTGTATTCGGCCGATTGGAGAGCCCTCAGCGACTAGTCTCGGCGGTTTTCTTGGCTACTAAGCTACGTGCCCTAGGTACATAGGTATGTAGGCAGGCAGGCAGGTAGTCAAGCACATGCAAATATCATGACATTGACACCGTACCCAGGTATATCGTCTACACGAGCGAGGGGCTCTGCGGTTTGGCCTCTGCTGGCGCCATATCTAGGACTGGGGGAAGTGATGTACCTGCCCAGCAAGTAGATCCGGGGAAAGCACTAAATGGAGTGCGTTATCAGGATCTAGGCCAGGTAGACACGGGGTTTGCTTTACGGGGCCTGAAGATCCGAGATCCAGTTGACGGCGATCATCTCGAAGGGGAGAGAATGAAGCCAGGTTAGTCGGGTTATGGAGGTCGACCGTCGATCAACGATTCCAGAGCCCCTTAACCTCTCTCCTAAGTTCCAAGGTTGCTTTGTGCCTACTATTTCTAAAAATAGGGAGAATCCAAGCCGGGTTTCATTAGTCGTCGCCCCTTTATCCTTTGCATCTCATGTCATGATGATTTTTTTCTAGCTTGCTTGTTCCCAAGATTAGTATGGTCCTCATAGCTTTCAGCTTTGAAGGCTATGCTTCTTGTCAGCTTTAGCATAGCATATATCAACCGGATGGATGGATGGAACGATATAACGCTCAACCAAATCTTCTGGTAGGCAGCGAATGCCCAGTATCGTTATGAGTATGATCTAGGCAATCACTCACCTATAGAATAGGGGGCCGGCCAATACTATAACAATTACACCAGTGTTTAGTGAAGCATTATGCAAGTGACTTGAAATAGAATTATCTATGATAAAGGCTCGCGCTGCTTGTGGTGAAAACGCTTGATATTATACCGTAAAGCTGTAGCAGATAATCATGTTTCGTCTCGGAGGACCACCTACAGTCTTAGCACCTTCAGGACTACCAAGTTGGCAACGTTGCCGCCGTAGAGCCTTGTACACCTGTGGCCATGTCATCAAACTCTAGAATCAGGCCTGGTTCAAGTTCCGAGACCATCTCCCGGCTAGCATAGTATACTGGCACCGGGTACACTTTTATTACCCAGCCCTTTTCTCGCATGTTATCCAAGCTGATGGTCTTCTGCAGCCGGTAGAACTTGTGTATCTTGTAGACGTACCCAGGCCTGCTGTTTCCTGGCTCCAAGGCTCTGTATAAGTCCAACTCTCGTTTATTCGCCTCAGAAAGGCTAGCATTGTCAATCCCATCAAGTGTCATTCCGAGCGAAACTTCCGCACAGTACCGGATACCTCTAATTGGACTCGCCTCGTACAACCATATTCGTTTGCTTCCGAATCCAAGCCTATCGTTTCGATACAGATACTTCTTGTTCCTTGAAAGAATTTGGGCGACGTCTGGTGGGTGTAGTGAAAGTATAATGTCGGTACAGATTAGGTCTTCCGCCATTTTCTATACTTCGTGATCCGTTGTTTGTAGTAGTTAAAGGATGTAGAAAATTCCTCTGCACTCAAGGCAAAGCGAGTAGGTAATGTTTTGGCCTGGCTTGACGTATGGCTAGTCAAACAATCGTCTTGCACCCGAATCTGATCTGTCAGGCTGGAACTTGAAGCATAGGACAATGTGTGCTTTTTTCAAAAGTCAAGAAACAAATGATTTATAGTGAATACGTTTGTGTCTTCTGTCGACACCTATGCAGTCTGTTGGATGAAATAATGTTGGTGCTATTCAAAAGGGGGAAGTTTGAGGGCTTCAAGGGCAGCAGATGAATACGTAACTAACCACAACAAACTCCCTTTAGGTTTCTAGAGAGTATCAATAGACCCATATATAGGTCATATCTAGGGAAATTGTGACGACGCGAAGTTAATACGAAAGGGGGTGTTGACTACCTAAGTACCTACCTACCTTAGATACCTAACCAGGGATCTCCTTCCACATAAGGTGAGCAAGATGTCAAATCGAACACTGCTATTCATGAAAATATTAGGAAAACTCAGGTACAAGTATCACTAGAGATATGCAGCAGAATGTAATACTTGCCCCAGCAAAAGAAACCCAATCCTTACTTCCAGGAGATTATATCCAAACATGAACACCGTGACACTATAATGAGCTTTAAACCCACCATTATGATAACTTATTTTTCAGCAAGGCTGACCTTATCTTTCTCTATGTATCTCCATCAGCGATAGCCGCCCAGCCTCAGCCTCAGTCCCCAACCTTCAACCTTCAATGTTACCCCTTAACTTTCAGGGCGCAACAACCATCGCCATCGCCATCGCCAACCCCATCTACCATCCACCATCCTCCGTACCTTTGTATCGCGTACGTAGGTACCTAGGGTATATAAGTCATAGTTGCATTCCACTTTTCCAACCACCGCCGGCGGGATCACAGGTATGCTGGAAGCGTCACTTCGACTAAAACGCCACCTTGACAGTACGATCCGTTCGCAGGTGCTGGGTTCGAGCCTGGTACCCTCCATACCTATAATACATCTCTGGAAACAGCAACGTTAAGAGAGAACCACAACATGAGTTCTAGGAACCCAGAGACATATACACTAGGTATGCATTAAAGCATATGAGAAGCAAGCGGGACTAGGCAAGAAGAAGGAAAGAAAATGATATCCATAGGTGCCTATCCTCGTACACCCTTGATACTCCCTTTACCCCTAACTCACTTACTGACAATGGCTTGAATATCTCCTCCAAACCATGCATATCAATGTAATGTACCTAGCCGGTCCTATGCTATACTCAATATCTATCTAAGTACCCAAGCACGCATCTATGCACAGAACGAACCTTTTGTCATCGTTTCCCTACCAAAACACTGGGGTTTAAACCCCCCTGAAACCCTATATAGGTATCTATAGGCACATAGGTATCTACAACCCCGCATAAATCATCCCAAACTCCTCCAGCTGTCTCCCTATCGCCCCCCCATATCCTCGACCGCGCCCTCTTTATTCCACGTGAGCCTCTCAAGCGCCTCGACGCGGCTCTCGAGCCCCAGGATCCTGGCCCTCGTGGCCTGGCTCTCCTCGTTCTGCTGGCGCCAGATGCCGCGGAACGCGCGGAGCGCGAAGTCTGGGATGAAGGTCTTTTGAGCAGCGGCGTAGTCGTAGACGACGATGTCCTCCTCGGTGCGCGCGGCGACACGCTTGTGCACGTGCGAGATGACGACGCAGTCGAGGATGAGCGAGGTGTCGGCTTGCTCGGGGAAGGTGCGCACCTTGTGGTACACGGAGATGGTGTCGGGGTAGGTTATTGGCTGTGGCAGAGTTTAGTTCCGGCTCTGCGCATAAGTAGCGAGAGGGGGACAACGCACGAGCTTGTATTCGGCTTTGATGGACTTCATGATCAGCCCGACGCCTTTCGGCGTCATGAGCTCCCGCCACTCTTGGGAGTGCGACTTGTCCGCGCCCGCGAGGTACATGATGAAGTTTACGCGCGCCGACTCGGCCCAGCGGATGTAATTTGCGTTATTGACGTGGCCCTATTCCCGTTGCGACTTGCTTATTAGCGGTGCTGTCCATCTTCACACATTAGCACGTATGAGTACCTATACATAGGAAGATAGATATAGTGGCGTTGCTGTTCACAATCGCATCGCCAGCATCTACTCTAGTCCCTTCTTGTGTCGTCTATTCGGAGTACGGCGAGGGACTAGGACTACCTACGAAGCTATCCATCTCCCCCCACACGACCTGTTGGTTTCTCAGGCCCCTACGGCCACTTGACAGATAGCCCTCGGAGCCCACAGTCAGCTCGCGCCATTCCGTCGCGAGGATCAGCAGTATGTCGGACGCGAGCTGTGTCTGCTCCCTATTACATCCGAATGAGAGACATCTCCCGATCCGCAATTCAAGTTCCGTGAGCCATTTGCGAGAAGGGGGTGGTAGCGGCGACTCGGTAGGATCCGAAGATGAAACCGGTTTGCTGCTGCTGCTGAAGGGGGCGTGTTGTGTCTGACGCGCGTGCGAGAATACGGATGCGACAGTAGCCGGGTGTGTGTTATTGAGGGGCGGTGGTGATCGTCGCTGCTGTGGAACAGGACGTAAAACGGAGGTAAGAGGCCTTGCTAAACGCGATCTCGGGGACATTATGGAAAAGGAAGGCGAGTATCAGCAAAGAGGATGCAATTGACCTTCAATTGTTTTCCGCGAGTACCTAGAAGTACTTCCGGACTGCAGTTGGTGACAAGGTACTAAACGATCAAAAAATTAAGAGGTTATTCACGAATCAGGTTACCCAGGTATGTACATAAAGGTAGTTATCTGATTGAAAGCTTAACTACATGTACCACTACCCTAGGTACCCCACAAGCTGATAGCCGCAGCTTGCAGCATCCAAGCTTGGAGGGGTAACCTCGGCACATTACACAGCTGCTTCCAGGGGTTGTCCCTTACAACGTTAGTTGAAGTACCTACGTAATGTACAATAGTTACCATCGTGATAACTATCAGTGATATGATAAGATACCAATTGATAAAGGGATCCCCGTATTCAGCCGCTAATGCCCGTCCCTCCATCCATCACACCTAATCACACCTCTGTAAACCACATCCTCGTCTTTCTTTTACAACAATGAGCGAGCTATGCGCCTCCCCTACCTAGGCACCTAGCACCTACTACCATACCATACTCCACAATGACCACGCCAAACCCGCAGCTACGGCAGCAGGTCATAGCCATCTACAAGGAGCTTCTCAACCTCGGCCGCGACTATCCACAGGGCTTCTCCTACTTCCGCCCTCGTCTCCATCGCGCTTTCATGGCCAATGCGCATCTGCGCGACGACGACGCCATTCGGGATGCTATCGCAAAGGCCGACTATGTCAAAAAAGGTATTAATCTTCTTCCACTACCCCCCTCCGCCACCCCTTATTCTCTTACGGCATGACAAATAGATTAACGTGACGTCTTCAATCCGCTCAAAGAAATCGAAGCTTTGTAAGTATCATATACTCATCATATATGCCTATGTACCTACTCCCTTCAGATCTACGTACTCTGGTAGCCCTAGTTGCAAAGATCAACCCATTATCCTGTCACAGCAGCAGGCGAATCAATATCTTGCAAGTTTAATACCATTCAAAAAAACTTTCTATAAACATCAGTCTCCGGACTCGGTGACCATTTCCCTTTAAACACATGTATATATACCTAGGTATGTATAACTACTATATGTATACCAAAAAGACTAGAACAAACATAACATGCCCTTGGTCTAGTCTTGAATTCCTTCCATCCATACACATATACTTCTGTACTATATGCCCATATATCCATCATGTCAAACGTTTATACCAAAAAAAGAAGAAAAAAATAATAATAAGATATCCGAAGACTGGATTTCCCTCCAAAATATGTACTATATCCAAGCTCAACCACTCCTTTCATTTGCCCTTTGTTGTAACCCAGACGATGTCGACGTCGATGTCCTTCTGCTAAGAAGAGTTCGAAAAGGTGCTTTCGTCGGGTATGGTGTACACTTCGTGTTAACGCATGGCGTACAGATATTACTTGAAAAAGTATCGGGCGCTAAGAAAGCGATACGAGGTAGGGTGATTACCAAGCGTTCGGCGTCTAGGCCGGTATGTCGAAAATGCTGGTTGGCAATCGCTCCGAGAAAATAGAAAAAAAGTGTAATCGAAATTGTGCAAGTTCAGATCGGTGGAGAAGACCAAGCAAAAATGACTTAAGATAGGTCGAAGGAAGGATATATGGCCATAGACGCTTCTAGCCAAAATATATAGACCAATATCTTCATTATCATACCACCGTGTTTAGCTTCTTTCTGGCGCACCAGGCTCCAACTTCCAAACACTCTCCCCAACTTGTGCCCCCCTCACGCAATAGATCGTTCATCATCTTGCCTGTCCACCCATCCCATTCGTCTTGACTCTTCCCGCTAACCTCCCTCAGAATAGGTTCGAGGCAGAGGATCATGCCTACCACTGTCTCGAGAGCAGTTCGTCGGAGAGCGGCTTGACTAGTAGTTAGGCTTTTACCTCGTGGCTTATCGTTTCTCGAATCCATCCTGCCCTTCCCCTTCATCGAGTCAATGTAGCTTTTGCCATCCTTGGTTACAACACCGCCAACGCCCTCACGCTCCCATCTGATCTCGCTAAGTGGTACTGCTAATCGCTTAGATCGTACATCCATAAGCGTATCCGCTTCTTGGAGAAGATGCGGGCCAATCAGCGTACAAGGGACAGCAGACAGGCCTCGGGCATCAAGCGCCTTAGTCGCCCAGCCGTTATACTCTACGAGGAACGGATTGAGTGGTGCGCTGAGAGGGGTGTTATTCGTCATGATGTAGGCTCCTAATTTCTCCGTGCTGTCCTCTTCTTCACTGCTATCATCCGAATCAGAGTCGGAGTCGGGTTTCATGACTGCCGATTTCTTCAGGATGTGAGGTCGTAGCATGCGAATGGTGTGATCGCTTTCCCAAAATTCTAGTACTCCACCTGGCTTAAGCAAGCGGAGATACTCCTCGAAGAACTGCTGTGGGTCGCGCATCGAATTCGAGAGTGACATATCTTTGACCATAATCAAGTCAAATTCATTGTCAGCTAGTGGCCATGGGGTACGGCGCATATCATGTTGAACGAATCGCCATCGCATATCCTTATCGGGCTTCCAGTTCTGATCGAGCCCGGTACCCACGAGAGGTACGATATCAAGACCAGTGAAAGATATGGAGCTGTGACCGTGCTGCGCGAAGTATCGATGACACATCATGCTCCAAAAAGCAGATCCGCATCCTACCTCAAGAACACGTGATGGTGGCTTGTTGGAAAATTCAGGGGCTGTCGTTGGGCCGCCGAATAATTGAAAGAGCATGAGGGTACGCAGGGACTGGCGATGAAGTTCCGCCAAGTCCACAGGTAGGGGGTATAGTAGCGTAGGCTCATGGATATAGATACGGTTATGGCGATTGATGAAGGGCTTCGTCGGGATCGATGATGGCTTCGTGGAGTTTGAATTGGAAGATGGTGTTATACTTCCCTCTGCCGACGAGGGCGCCAAGTTCTCGTTCGATGCCATAATTACAGTTGAGTTCGATTTAGTAGGGGTTGTAGTAGTGATGGAAGGATGTCTTTGAGGAGAGTTGTGATGACTAGGCTCCGTGGGCATTGCGTCATGATGTTTGCCCCTGGATGACCTTCGGCGAACTGACGAGGACAGGCCCGCAAGTGTCTTGATAGGAGAAGTCGGTGTGGGTGGCTGTTGCGGAGTATGGGGTTGAGTCGATGATTGGTAATGAATAGAATCGCGTTTCTGTAGTCTGTTCTGAGTAGTAGATAGGCCGATTGTATGATGGTGGATATGATATGCGCTGTCAGTGCTGAAAATTGGCAGAATAAATGGAAATGATTTTGGTGAAGAGGGCCGCCGCTTGGAAGTCGAGACGGGTGAGGCGGGTGCAGTGGTAGAGACGGACGAAGGAGAGGTAGGGACGTTAGAGGATGAAGCCAGAGAGACAGTGCCGGTGCCGGCAAGCGGCGGCGCGGATGCGGATGTAGAATACTCTCGAGTATTGGCGTCCGTGTTGGTATTATTACTACTGCTGTTATTTATTGTAGGTGAAAAGGAGGCAATCGGGGCGTTTGCGCTTGTTCCATTATTTGGGCTAGACTTGGAAGTGCTAGCAGGCGGTGACGGACCGAGAGAGTCGACTAGTGTGCCGTCTGTTGCGGCATGGGTCGAGGTTAAGTTTACTTGCTGTTGTGCTTGTAATTGTGCCTGTATCTGTACTTGTGCCTCTGCCTGTGCCTGTGCTTGTGCCTGTATCTGTATATATGTATGTGCCTGTGCCTGTACCTGTGCCGCTGCTTGTCCTTGTGTTTGTCCTTGTCCTTGTGTTTCGTGCGACGCTCGGGAACAGGCACTTAAAGAGGAAGAAGTTCTCGAATGAGAATGATGCGACACTGGTCTATGAGCCAAAGATTGTGGGATGGTTCCGGCGGGTGGTGGCCGACGTCTACCAGGTATCCTGGACCTAATGGACCTAAGGGATCTAGTATCGCTACTCTTATTCTTTTTTATCTTTTTGTTATCTGGTTGATGATGTAAAAACTGATGATATTGGTGATGATGATGTCGATGATCTTGATCTTGATCTTCTTCGTCGTTGCTATTGCTAGGATTGTTGTGATCGTTAATGTTATAATTAATATCTTCTTCTTCGAATTGATTTTTCTCTATATCTTCATCTTCTTCAACAGTAATTTCCGTATTTTTATCTGGTGGTTGATCTTGGTTATGTTGATGGTTCTGCTGATTTTGCTGATGCTGATGATGATGATGATGACTATGTTGCTTATTTGCCCCGTAGACAAAAGTGTAGGCGGCGTTTATATTGGTAGACGACGATTTTCTAGCGTTCGCGGGTCTTACTCTGACAGGGGGGGAGTACATGTTTAAGCTGTACGCGAACTCCATTGTGCCCGCTGATTTGCGCTGCCCAGTGCCCGCCCCAAGTCAAGTACCACCTTGAAATGTAGTTATGTATATCAAAGTACTTGTACAGGGCAAGCCTGTCACTTGGAAGTATTTTCCGGGGGCCACTCCTTAGAATTGCAACATAAAAACTACCCCGACGCAACCTCAACGCAACCTCGGTGTATGTACCTTTTTTTTTTTTTCTCTTTCTTTCTTTCTTTTTTTGGGGATTCTGGAAACTAAAAATTCTTCAGCGACAGCGGGCAATAGCTCACTGGAATGATCCGATTCCCCCCCCTCGAGGCGCTGACTTGCTGCTGCTGCTGCATGTGCTTTCTGCACCTCTTTGCACCTTCTTCACTTCTTCCGCTTGCACTTCTTGGTTGAGTCTGCGAACTGAGAGACTCTCCTCTTTTTTTTTCCTTCTTTCTTCTTTCTCCCACTTCAATGTTCTCCCCCTTTTTTCTTCTTATCTTTCTTTTTCTTTTTCCTTTTTCCCTACCCCCCTTCAAACTTCCCCCCTCCCTTCCTGGGAATCTGACAACTCAAACTGTTTCTCTTTTGCGACTGGATGTTTCTTCAAAACATCCCTAAACTGGTTACTGGAACCAATTCAACTGGGATGATCAGTGGGCCCCCCTGACATTAAAAGAATATTGTTCTCAATGCGCCTTCTATTGCGTTTTGCACGGCCGTTAGTTCGATCTCCGACACCACCGTTGCAATCAATTGTGGACTGAGTTGGTTCGCTGGTCTGTGTTTTTCTATCAAGCCATGGCCTTGGACTGCTCTATCTATTTGATGATTGGACAACCTGATTTCCGGCTTGCGTATCCGGTGGAGTGGTTTCTGTCTCGTCTTCGTTTGGGAATCTTCACCCGAAAGGAATCCCTTTTCTCGTTTCACAAATCGGTCTTGCTTCCTGATCCGAAGATGTGCAGCATATGCGGGATCTGTCCTGCCCTGTCTGCCCTGCCTGCCAGCCTGCCAAATCTGCTGTAACAATTGATAGACATATGACAGCACCGCTGTTGATATCGTTTTACTGCTGCAGCGGATGGGCCCGCGGTTATGGGAGCTAATCGTAGCACTGCTTTGTAGGTTGTAGCCAAGTAAGTCAATCTGGCTGGTTGGTAATCGTTGTTTCTTGGTGATTGTTCCCCGGGTTCCCCCTCCCCCGCCTTCGCTTATACGTGCTTATGTATGTACTTGGGGAGGTATAAAACGTTGGCCCGTAATAGTATATAGCGATGAAGCGTTATAGCTGGAATGCGACCAACGGCCCGAGACGACCTAACCGCAATATCCCGTGGTCTTTTTGAATAGGCAGCCCCAAGGCTCGAAAACTAACTCCAAGCACCTAGTGTTGAGTGTTTCGTTTGCTCTCCTTAATAATTCTATGCCATGTCCAATGGGGAATTTAAATCTCCGGGACGGTGTCTTTCTCGGTGAGTTTTCAGGAAGTCGACGAAGCAGGTCTCTTGGCGCGAAGGAATTCGGAAAATCGGGTTGTATGTCCAATTTGTTCTATCGAACATTCGAACACTAGTCTCGGTAACCTATTCCGAACGACTCTGCGAGGAATTGATCTCGAAATTGGAAGCCTGCTAATATCGTATCTCTCATGTGCTTCCCGTCTGACGCACGTGACTGATGTTGCTCTCCCTCTACAAGAGACGGGACTGTCTTCAAAACATCACTTGCCAGACAGTTGAGGCAGCATACGAGATATCGCTTACGATCTCATGGCCAACTCAGTGGATATCTCAAATCAGATTCGCAACGACACCCGAGCCCCGTATAATGTATTTTTGTTGCCTAGTGGGTTCTGGTCCGTTCGCTCACTGAATGTGATAGAACCGTGATGCTTGGCGCTTTTCATGCAATTGTCTGGGGTTCGCGCATTGACTCGGTGTAGAGAAGTAATCTAAGAAGGTCCTGTAAGACCGACTTCTACCTGGTGTTTAAGGGAGAGGTTCCATAACTTGTCAAGCTATATAAGAAACCTGGGCATGGTCTGGCTGTTATGTACCTATGGTTGTGTATATATATAAGTAAATGCCCCTCCCATAGTAGTTCTTCCTTCTTCCGCCTAGCGCCTGTCTGCATAGTGATCACGATGCTTGAATTCGATCCTATTATAGCTGTTTTGGGACGAGCAGTTTTTACCTGTCACCAGAGAACCCAACTTGTGGACCGTCGATCCCTGCGGGTAAGACGTGTATGGCTCCCCCACATTTACACCTGCATACCGACGTCCAGCTATCCTCCCTCAAGATGGGTTAGTGGCAACTGGGCACGCTGTGCTGCGCTGCAATTGAAGCTTGTGATGGTTCCAAATGCGTAAAATCCCGGACCCTTCGATTTACTAGTCGTTTTTGGTCCCATCCATTCCAACTTTCACAAACAGCGCCAGTATTGGGGGGGTTCGGTTACTACCTGCAGGACGCAAACAGGTCGGAGCAAGGGAATCTTTAAGGGCCGGACGACCAATACCAGGTTATTGGTCCAATCGAAAGACCTAGACTCCGAGGATACGGCCTATTATGCGGTGCGTCCTCGCAGGAATCCTTTGATCGGAGCAATATGGATCTGGCGGTCTGCTCATACTCCACACAAGCATGATATTTGAAGACCTGGGAAAGATACTTACCTCGGCATGTAGGTACTTATTGTAGAAAGCAGAGATGCAACATCCACATACCCATTGCCATACTGCTGAAAATTACGGCTCAGCAAGTCCAATAGATGCATAGTATGAAATTCTGGTAATGTTGAATCTAGGTTGTCAAGTCTGTGAGTACATATTCGGCAACCTTGACAAGCTTAGGTAGATAGATGCAACCCAAGTTTAACCAAGTTTTATGCCAACGGCAAGCTTTTTTTTTCGGCTCGCTTAATTATCGTGCAGATTTCCATCGATCAGGCTGAAGTGCTGAAAAGCCAGTAAAGTGACTTCCTGGTTTCCCCAGCTTTCCAAGTTCTTGGCATAGGACAAGAGCATTGAGGCTGAAGTCCTCAAAGATCAAGCTTGGTAATGAATAGGTGTTGTACCGGCCGGGCTTTATAGACCTAAATTAATATGAAGGACATTATAATAACACATTTGGAAATTTTGTAGCTAGCTATCCAAATGTGTTGATGATATAACTGAGCTTCATCCGTACTATAGAGGAATAGAGGAATGGGTTGGTCACCGGTTACTTATTAGGTATAAACCGTAACACATTATACCCAATCATTCAGAAGCCACGTAGGTGTGACCTAGGAATTCATACTAGTACTAGATCAAAGAATAGCATGAGTGCTAGATGTAGTTCTTCGCTAAGGCGGTCCGATACTAGATGAAGGATTGTGAGCTATAAGTCCTTGTGGAAAAACATCAACGGAGTCTTCACCCAGAAAGGAAGACGAGTAAAACCAGCAAGATGCCAAAGACCACGTTACTTGACGTCATTGACGAATATTTTATCAGATCAAATGTCTTGTGATAGCGACGTGGATATAAATAAAACAGACAGTTTTATTTTTATTATATAGTAGTAGACAAGTATGCACCGTGACCTATGTACGGTGTGTTTTGTCCACAAGCATGTATGTATTAGGTACTATGTATCTTCAAGGTAAGGTACTAGGTAGTATTGAGGTCCGAACTGATTATGTAAGACCAAGATAGTTCGATGCACTGACACCAAAGTGGCACGAGCGTTAGCAAACATTGAGTACGTAATTGTATTTTAGCCCCCGCTGCTGCAAGGCTGAGAAATAGAGTTGACTGGTATAATGGTTTCAACAGTTCAAAATTTTCAATGTTGCTTCTTCCAAGTCATGTGATAAGGCTAAAGATAACTCCTCCACATGTACCATTGTAAATCAAAGCTTGGGCGTTGGAGCAACCCGTAGATACCTGCACTAGGTAGAGCAAGCACGACACGAAACGAAACGACACAGTACAGAGAAAGGAAAGCACCAGTCCTTATCAATCTAGAAGGTAGGTACCTAACTGCGTGTACATTTGATCCTTACCCAGTGATCATTTTTAACCTTAGATCTCTTTCTTTCCGACACCTGATAGGTTATAGCCCACCTGCACTTTTTCACCACACACTACATACCATACCACACTCTACACACTCTACACACGCATACCACACGTTGATACCGCACATCAAATACTACAAATCTACAAATCTACTACACTACATCGAGCCTACTACACTTGCGAGAACCTTGATACTTGCAAGCAAGAACACATGCGACACGACATCAACATTTACCTACCTCTAACTTGGTCTTGGTCGAACTATCACCATCACCAATACCCTCCGAGCGCCCTCACTTTCACCCCTCACAATCATAGTCGCCATCATAGTTGCCTGCATAACTACTACCCACGACTGTACGTAATAATCTGAGCGCACATTGCGCATCTTGAGTAATCAAGCACTTTCCTTTACCTCCTCCTAGCATCACCTCGTCCATCTGTGCATCTTCATCCCTTTGTTCTCTTTTCCTCCTTCCCCATTATACGTTTCACCCTTTCTAACAAGGCTTACCTTACCCACTTGTTTTCCAGACCCATTGCTTATGTCAATTTGTCCACTCGCCCCCTCCTGCTATACTATACCCCCTATGATATTGCTTTACTCCCAGGAACTCTAAAAAGACTAGACTGTTAAGTACCAATGACTAACATGATTATGTGTTCACAGAAAATCGTTGCCTCGCGACGGCCACGGCCCACGGTGCGGAAAGAAGCAAATATACGCCGAAATCCAAGCTCGTGCGCCAGCTCTCCCATAGGTAAAGATCGGGTTGTCGTTTTGCGCGAATCGAGAAAGAATCTGTACGAGACTAGGCATCCAGATCCAATATCTTCAGCCAATTGTCTACTTGTTACACCCCTAGTTACTACGTTCGCGATAGAGTCCGGGTGGATTCAAGATCCTAAATCCACCATCCATATACGACTACCCCACGTTTTCCATGCATCACGACGAAGCTTTCGATCTCTATGCATGGATATTCGCTAAACCGTACCCCAACTTTTTTTTATCCATTAATAGTTGTTAAAGGCCATTCTGGACAAGCTGTGGTGACTTGCCTCTACCGGTGCGACAGAGTTGGTCTTCAACATCTCCATGGCAAGTAGTATTCAATATACATTGCAATACTGGACATTTTATACACACCTACAAATAACACCCAGACGAGATATTTCTGTATCTCGAAAAGGTGTCTACAAATAACAGTACAGCCCACTAGGTTCGATACAGGGCCAACCCTAAATCCATAATCTATCCCTTTCCTGTAATAATCTCTGTACCCTTAGTACAGAAAGGGCCTTCTCTCGGGATGTACGGCCCTAATCATCAGCAAGGCCATGCCTCGCGCCTCAATGGCGTTCCTGGGGGTCGCGGAATTGGACCACAAATGATGTACAACTTTGTCCAACAACAAAATTCCCAACACCATCATACACATCCCCAGCAGCACCATCAAAATATACCACAAGATCATTCAGCCCATACTACCTCCGCCACCCTTACACACTCAACTTTCTCCTCCGGACTCATGTCCAATGTAACACCCTTCACCCCCAGTAGCCATCAAAACGGAAATACCCCAGGTTCTCGTGGCGGACAAGCCCAGCAATATAGCGAGCACTGGAACGAGCAGCTCAGATCGTACAAGGAGTCCGAACGGGCCCATCAGACAATGACAGAAGCCCATCAACCTCATTACTTTGCTCGGCTCAGGGCCAGTGAAAATAAGGGTATTGGACCAGTGCTCACGAGCGCCAACTCGGCTGATGCTACGGATGGAGAACTAGAAGACAGGGGCCGACCCGTTAATGTCGATAAGGCCCTTGATCGACAAGATTGGTTAAATCTCGATTTCAGTGGGCAAGGGCTCAAGAACATCTCTACAATGCTTTTCGACCACTATGCCTTCCTTACGGAGCTATACCTGGCTTCGAACAATTTGACCCGACTACCACGCGAGATCGGCCAGCTTCGATCATTGCGATATCTCGATATATCCCACAATCAGCTGACTTCTCTGCCACCTGAGTTGGGCATGTGCACACCTCTGCGCCAGTTGCTTTTGTACAATAACCTCATTCAGACTATCCCCCCGGAGCTTGGCGCTTTACATTTTCTCGAGTTGCTTGGCATTCAAGGCAATCCGCTAGAACAGGACCAGAAGCAAAAGCTCGTCGAGGAGGGTACAAAGGCCTTGATCGCTCATCTCAAAGAGCAAGCCCCAGGTATGTGAAGTTTATATTATGTCGTTGTTCAATTCGTCTTCTAGATACATGCGATCTTCGAGTTGGAAGTCTGCTCATGAATGTGTAAACTGACTTTCTTCAAGTTCCTATCCCGCCAAACCCACGTGTGCCCATCACTATTCAGGAGGATGTCGGCTCCGACAAGGAACGTATCCGCATCCTGTCCTGGAACACCCTTTGTGACAAGTATGCTACCAGCACGCAGTATGGTTACACGCCTGCGAGCGCCCTCTCTTGGGAATATCGTAAAGAGAGCATCATTCGCGAGTTTCGGGAGAGAGATGCAGACGTCATGTGTCTCCAAGAGACAGCCATGGACGCATTCGATACATTCTTCACCCCCGAACTTGCAAAGTACGGTTATAAGGGCGTTTTCTACCCGAAAACCCGTGTCAAGCACTTGACAGGAAAGGATCAGCAGTCGGTTGATGGTTGCTCCATCTTCTATAAAGCTAACAAATACATCATGTTAGACAAGCAATTAGTTGACTTCCGACAGACAGCCATCAACCGACCCGACATGAAGTCCGCGGATGACGTGTTTAACCGAGTAATGCCGAAAGACACTATTGCTGTCTACTGCTTCTTCGAGTCACGTTTTACCGGCAATCGGTTCATTGTTGTCAATGCGCATTTGTGTTGGGAATCCTTCCTAGCAGACGTGAAGGCCGTTCAAACAGGAATTCTTATGGAGCTTGTCACAAAGCAATCTGAAAAATATACTCGAAAGCCAGCTTGCACTGTGGAGGAAAAGCAGCTTGCTAGACCCTCTACAGCAGAAGGGGATGCAGATAACTCTGCCGAGGAGTGTCCAGATATTGTTGCCAGCCAAGAATATCGCACTAATACCGATATACCCTTACTTGTCTGTGGCGACTACAATTCCATGGCGGACAGCTCTGTATACGAGTTACTGGAGAAGGGTCGGATCCCCCCCGACCACCCAGATCTAATTGGCCACTCTTACGGCAACTTCACACGGGATGGCATTGAGCATCCATTCAGCTTACGCAACGCCTATGCTCATCTCTTCGGGACCCCCGACGAACTCACGTTCACCAACTACACCCCAACATTCTCCGGGGTAATCGACTACATCTGGTATACTACTAATACACTGGATGTTGTGGAATTGCTAGGACCACCTGATTATGAGTATCTCAAACGAGTCCCAGGCTTTCCAAACTACCACTTTCCAGCCGATCACATACATATCATGGGCGATTTCGTCTTCAAGTCCCGGAAAGACAAGAAAGGGATTACCGATCAGGACAAGACCGGCAGTATGGCAAAGCCTTGACTCTAAACTCAGACTAGCAACCCCCACGAGAATTGAATATAACAACTCACATACATCTTTGAACCCCTAGTCCTAGGAGCCCATGAAATGTAGCTGGATTCAACTAGGCAGCAATAACAGGAATGCCTTATGCCAATTGCATTTCAAAGGGGCATTGGGGAGGAACCATTAGTTGTACGTAGATGAAGAAACGAGGTGGAATGCGGCAAATCTTTTCTCATACTGAGGATCGGTTTTGGCAGGGCAGAGCTTGGTTGGACATATCGAAATGGTTGTCTTCACAACGTGGAGTGAGGATGGTTCTTAATACGATCTGATAACTCTACACTCTCCGTCTCCCAATTTTTCTTGCTATGGCATCCCGATATGTATGTACTTTTTATTACCCAGCAAATGAAGTTGCGAGGTTTTTTCTCGCAACTTTACACTTCAAATGTTGGATGCTGAACCCTGTGATGGTGATCTTTGCTTGGCATTTGTGTTGGGTTCTATCCCTCGATGGACCGTTTGGTCTCCCCAAGTATGGGCTTATTGTGCATTATTAAAGAACCATACCTTTCCCTCCTCATTGCTAATTTTACATCAAGTTGCTCAGTTGTGACCAAGACAATTGCTTCCAATGCTGTACCTAGGTAAATGGCACTATAAATACGCAGAAAATACAAGACTGGCTCGATCCATACCCACCTACCTATTTTGGGCTTCATCCATTCAGCTGTAGATCCTCGTAGAGTCTATGTATCTTGTCTCCCTAGTATACTCAAGTGGGAGACTGGGTGTTCAGTGAGAGGAGCTAGGTATGCTATTTTGCTGAGTGTGTGTTCATAGAATAGAGTGATTCCTTTCTGGCCTGGCCTAGGTGCCGGGCGGCAGTATCTAGGTACCTATCCCTATTAGGTATGTACAATACACTATAAATGCTCTCCGAACATTAACGAGGAGGATAATTGTCTCGGTGGGGAAATCGTTCCAACCTTAGGTATCTAGCCATACCACTACTCTAATTTCTCACGATAGGTAGCTAGTTGTTGCTTGCGTGTCCCTGAGAGGACGGGAGTTATCTTTATCGGTAACATCTTTTTGGGTGATGGTAGCGTAGGTAAGTATACCTAGGTAGTCGTAAAAGGGGGGCAATTACATGTAGACTAGGCCTGATTTCTCCCGAGACCGAGTATCGATTGTATGTATTTACTTATAATGGATATTATACATTTCAAGTCCTGATCTTGATGTGAAGTCAAAAGATTACCGTACACAAAGCTACCTCGTGCAGCCTTTTCCCGTCCCAACCAACTCCACATAATATTCGACCAAAAAAGAAATCCGGTAGCCATACATATCGTGTATATAAATGGTAGATCTGAACCGACGAAATAGCCCCCCCCAATAAGAAAATCTCGTCGACATCTAGTTCCCGATAGCTCGAAGCACTTGGGGTACCTATGGGTTTAAGTTCGGTTCAAGAAGAATCGAGTCATTCCTCGTCCCCATCACAAGGCCCATCCTCCCAAGACCCCATCGGGACGACCATGTAGGCCACCCACGGCCTAGGATTGTTGTTGCAGATCAGGGGCACGTTGTCGCCCGGCATCGTCCTCTTGATGATGGTCCCGGGATCTTTACAGTTGGGCGTGCTGTACGCTCGGACTAAAAGCAAGCAAAGGCATTAGTCGCGATTGATTTTAACGGTACCTGAAATAAAGGCTACGGAACACTAGGCTAGGCAGGTGTACTCACAGGTCCAGCCATCGGTTAGGTGGATGGATATGGAGCTGAACTTCAGCGGGTACGATTGGCAGATGTTGACCATGGACTCGGTGAACGTCCCGACCCCCTGGTTCTCGGCGTAGCAGCCGGTCACGGTGAAGGTCCTGAGGTCGCCGACGTAGGGGTCGTCTCGGTGGATCACGCGAGCGGATGCGAACGCCACGACGCCTGCGAGGACGGAAGCGAGATACATTTGGTACGAAAAGCTCAAAACGAAATAAATGCTAGAACCTTCGGGCAGAACAAGACCAGGCGTTCGTTCTCGCGAGTAAGATAATCCCCCAACTTTGCTGATTCAAAACATGCGGTAGACTGGGCTGGACTGGACTGGTATGGTATGGAAACTGTTTGTTGTGTGGGTTTATAAAAGAAAAACGAGCGCAAGTTAGGAACGGAAAGGAAGGAAGTAAAAAAGATCAATCTAGATGCGACACGATCGAAGAATATAACGGGCCGTTCAAAGTTTATATATCTCGAACGCTCAAAGCTTGTGAATCCGAAAAGAAAAAAAACGGGTCGGAATTACGCTACAGCAACTCTATCGACGTTGGAAAAGTGAGGAACGGAATTTATGATATCGTCATACATACGGTGCCTAGTAAATGTTTGGGAGGGCTAAGAGACCCGATGTGCTCGACAGAGTTCGCAACTGCATGAACACTTTGCTTGAAGGCCCAATCAGAAGCCCTACTTACCTGTGATAGGTTGTTTATGTCAACTATCGTTAGGAGAACGTGACCTACTTAGCTTTGCTATCGTACTGTCATCCGGAATGCCGGGTATGCCATATATTCAGATATTGGGTTTGGTTTACATGATACTAGGTATCTAAATGCAGAAGCTGTCCTGGAAGTTATCTCATATTTGCCTTTCTATACCGCAGATGAAGTAGTATTGACCCGGTGGAGATTTGGAAGGCTTGGGCTTGGGCCTAACCTAGCTTACTCGTGTCTTTGTATATAATATTGTAAACATTAGAGAGAAAAGTGTCATAGAACATGACTCAATATTTGAGAGACAACATCCATATATATCTCGGGGTTTAGGAGTAAGGGATTTATAGCACTAACTGCCTAGCACCGAGGTACCTCCCTGTGCATACGCATAAATAGTCTGAACCCCTATTTCATGAACTATGCTACACGTTAAAACTCCATCATAAGTTAGACACTCCACTATGACATGCTATGTATTTATTTCCCTATGTATCGGTTCTCTGACATCAATGCTCGACCGTTTCCCCCTAGCCCCTTTCTTTTACAAGGTACCTGTCAAGTTACCTCCCGTCTGATGCCAGTTGCAGTATAGCTTTAACCACCTGTCATCCTTATTTGCCAACTTTTGACCATCCGATGTCTATTCTTACAACTTATGTACTTAAGTCGGGCTTATAAATGTTCGTCTACCTACTTAGTAGTCTTAACCCTATCAATCATCAACAACGCTGTAATAGGCTCTAGGTATTAGACTACAACAATAGCTGGCACCCGGTGATCCTTGGTTAAACCCAACTCAGATCGTATACCATTATCATGAACTCTTCTTGTGGCCCGGGCTAAACTACGCCTACGACCACTCGCCCACGTCCATTCCACCACTATCGCACCGGCCGATGAAAGACCTATCTAACACGGAGCCCGCCCCACAGACGTTATTTGTCAATGCTGCGATCGAAGGTTTGAGTAACGCCGTGAGAGAATCTACCAGGCCGGTTAGAAAACGAGTAACTTGGGTACACAATTACTTGCAATACGGTATTCTAGAAGGGAAGATTCTACCACCCATTACATTCCCTAGGTACTCCCTATTCCAGGTAACCACTTGGATTGGACCTACATGCGTTTGGGCTCCGATTGTGGCGCCATTAGTAGACGGATAGGCACTGAAAAGCAGAAAGGGGGTTAGAATAGCCACGAACAATTCCTCAAATGACGGGATGTCCAAAGCTCCTTAGAACTCAGGTGTATAATATCAGGGATCTCATTAACTAGCCGACGCCTCATAAAGTTAACCGTCTAGCGACATGTTGTAGAAAATATCCATTCCCGATTACATGCAAATGAACAGCATGGAATGACTCCACATTTTCAACGCAGAATGATCACATTGATAACACTTGAAGCCGTTGAACAGGTAGGTAGCAAACATAAAATGCCCTTAATGCTATCTACAGATTAGTCCTATAAAATACATCTTTAAAACCACCTTACGTGATTTTGATAAAGTCGTAGACTTGTGTTCCTGTGAGTTCGGCATAGATACGTATCGTATACTAGACGTCAATCCGAAGCAATGCGTGCAGGAATGGTTAGTATTAAAATAGAATCAATACAGCAATAGCGAAATCATTAGTAGCGCAAAGTACGAATCAAAAACGACTCGTCTGGATCCGGGGCGTTAGTATCGAGGCAATCTGGCCGGTCTGCGTGCTAATCACGCTTAAGCACCAGGAGGAGGAGGAGGAGGCTGATCACCCGGAGGTGGAGGAGGAGCCTCGCCTGCAGGAGGTGGTGGGGGAGGAGCAGCGCCATTGGCATACTGCTGGATCAAAGCGTTAATGTTTCCAGGAGGCAAGCCAGGCGGAGCACCTAGAGAACCACCGGGAGGAGCGAGGCCGGGAGGTGGGCCCATGCCAGGAGCGGCACCGTAACCTGCATAACCGGGATAACTAGGGAACTGAGGCTGGGCGACAGGGGCTTGGTGCCAAGGAGCTGCTGCAGGAGGAGCTGCACCACCATTGTTGTTGCTATTATTGTAGTTCTGACTCTGGCCGCCATAATAATTATCGCCTTGATTGTTATCGCTTCCGCGATGACGTTCACGCCACGGAGCAGCTGAGCCACCCTCGTTGCTTTGTTCGTTGTTGCGTGAGCGCCAAGGAGCAGCAGCGCCTGTTGGGCCTCGTTGCCAGGGTTTGGCGTCACTGCCTGCGTTGTTGAAGGCACCAGGGCCGGCTTCAATACGGGCTGGCGGTCCACTAGAGCCTCCAAGCTCTTGCATGAATTGCTAAAACCTAGGGTCAGATGTTGCAATGATCTAAAGAGAATCTGGTGGGAGCATACCTCATATTCGCGGTCAACGGCATCTCCGCTACCGATGCGAGCAGCAGCGCGTGGAGGGCCATCGTTACGCCAACTAGCTCCCTTCTGTCTATCGGGACAATCGCGGGCCATGTGGCCAGCGTTGCCACAGACGCGACAAATGATGTTGGCCGTGAAGTTTTGCTTTTCAGGGCAATCGTACTTGCGGTGACCAATTTGGCCACAGTTCTGGCAAGCCTGGTTCTCATCATCACGTAGAGTACCGTTGAGCGTCGCAAGTTCTCGAAGTTGGTTTCTCTTTAGCTCATTCTGACCTTCAGGAATTGAAGCGGCCTAGGTACATAGATTAGCAAACAGTTTCGTGCCGCAAGTCAAACAGACCCATAATACTCACAGTCTCAATGACATTGTGGATAAGCTTCTTCGCTTTGTTAACTTTCTCCTCAGTGTCTGCCATGATCAAGCAGTGAAGATCCTCTTCCTGGTTGCTAGCGTGAGCAGCATCAGACCGACCTTTGCCTTCTTTCACGGAACCTTTTCCGCGGATGGCAATCTTGGCACCTGATTCAGTCTCCATTTTCTTCAAAGTGTTTCCACGAGGGCCGATAAGTAGACCAACTTTAGTAAGAAGACCTAGGTGTTAGTATATGTAGTAAGACAGTTAAAGCATGGGTGCGAGTTAGACGAGGCCAGGATCTGGCATGTCACCCGTCGAAATACGACGGCACTCCTGGCAATCTCCTGAACAAGAAGGGGCAAGAATATGGTTAGAAAGGTTAGAGGGTTAGCAATCTCACTGAAGTTAATCTCTGGATAGTCATTGACCGGCACGTAGACCTTCTCTTGGGTCTTGGTGGGCCGGCGGTAGTCCTGAGGTGGATGATAGTTAGGAATAGTCTTCATAGCCTTCTCGACTAGCTTGTGACGCTCGTCTTCAAGACGCTTGCGGTAACGGTATTCCCTAGTGTTAACACGACGACCATGATTGTCGTACTGCGGTGGGGGAGATGGCGAACTGGATTACACATTGTATTAGTTAAAAACCTGCGTAAATGACAGGTTTAAAGATGACTGGAAGATCTAGGTACGTACCGGTCGCCATCGGCTGGAACGACGTCGTTAATTCTCAGCTTCTGGCTGATTTCTTCAATCCGTAGATGTAAGGTGTATGCCTCTAACTGCTCGCTGGTCATGTTGGCGACGATAGCTGTTGGGAGACCCATGAGACCAGCAGCTTTATTCTCGGATGCATCACCCCATCGGTTTCGTTTCTTTCGGCGTCGAGTTCCATCGGCTTCGGTTCCTATGAGATTCATGATTAATACATGATTGCTCCCTCCAAAATTAATTAATATGCTTGAATGTGAACTTACTAGGCTCGGGGCTGCGACCGCGCTTCAAGTCACGGTCGCCGTTGTTGGAAGCACTGAAGCCATCACTACTGCCTTCGCGCGTTCCGATCGCATCGTCTCCTTCACCTCCAAACCTTCGGCTTTTGCCGAGAGGAATGTTGTTCGATCCAGTGATACCTTGGTTTCTCCACGACATATTGATAATATGGCGCGTTTGCGAGATGAAGTTAAAGAAACTAAAGTTGTTCAAGGTTGGAAAAGAATGAACTGAACGTTGTTGGGTGAGAATTATTATCTAAGGCAACTTTGCCGTCCTTTTCCCTGGTGCCGCGCTAAAACAAGTTTGGAATAAAGTGGGGGTAAATGCATGGACCATTCAAGTTGAATGTGCATGTCAAAGGGGTACATACATGTACACATGTACTGCTGCTACTAGCCTATTAGGTATTAGGTACTAGGTACTAGGTACTGCACAGTGCCATGTGTGTACTTACATCGCAGCCTAATGTAGGTGCAATGGTGCATCATGCACCGTGCATGTAAGGAAACTTTAACAATCACGTGCATCGGATGCTGTAGGTAAGTCACATGACATATGTACTTAATATTTCCTGACAGACTGTGAGTCTGTGACAGTAAATAACAAATTGTGTACATACCTGTAGTTAAGTTGCACATACTCTAACACACGCATAACAATTCTAAACAAATTACGCGATGATACGAAGCCATCATGACAATTATTATTCTTTGTTTCATTCCTTGAACTACATAACAATCATACTAGCATCGATGACGTACAAAGGTCTACCCTTGAGGCAGCAGTGCTAATCGCAGCATTAGGTATTTATTTCGCGTCCTCTTTCATCCCGGCTTGAACCCATCCTCTGGTCTGAGCAGCTGCCGCATCCATCTGCTCTTCTGTGAGACTCCGGATCTGCTCATAATTATGCTTCGACGGCACATGACGTCCCTTTTCAACTCCTGGCCGTTTCAGCATCCTTTGGACCCATTCCTCGAGAACTGGAAACTCAGACATATCGACTCCAGACCAGTCTTGGGCGCGAAATGTTGGCTTAGCGATTCCTAGTAGGCACAATCAGGAATCAACTTACTAGCTACTGAAACCCATCCCCAGGACGCGATGTCAGCTGATGTGCATCGGTCACCGACTAGATAGCCGGACTTAGAAGACTTCAGCTGTGTCTCCATCGTTCTGTAGAGGCGCCGAGTCTCGTTCTTGTAGCGGTCGATGCCGTATTGGATCTTCTCCGGAGCATAGCCTAGATATCACAAGTTGAGTACCATTTCACTGGTAAATTCTTCTTACTGGTATGCTACGTACGGTTGAAATGATTCAATTGTCTGTCAATTGTTAGCATTTACCATCATGCTCAGGATGAATTCCACATACCCTTGCATTGGACCGAGGCCACTCATTTGCCACATAAGCTAGATAAGTTCTGGGTCAGCAATTCCTCGAAGCCATGCTATTCCCGACAGAGTTGATCGTAGACTCACCCAGTTGTTTACTTCATAGTACTCCCTGGAACCTTTCGGGTAAGATACTTTATGCTCGGTGTCATATCTGTCGGTGAGATACTGCATAATAGAGCCACTCTCAAACAAGTTGATGGGCTTGCCATCTGTGAAAGTGTCCGTCAGTGCAGGAATACGGCCGTTCGGGTTGATCGCCAAGAACCACGGCTCCTTCTGGGTGTTCTTGCTAATGTCGATGGCGGTGGTCTATGCACTTGTCAGCCATATACTATAACGATTCCTAAGCGAAAGTGCAAAATTTGCCGTAGATCGAACGAACTTTATATGGCAGTCCTAGCTCCTCGAGCAAGATTGAGATCTTGATACCGTTAGGTGTCGCCCCAGTGTATAGGTGAATGTCAGACATTTTGGATTTGAGCTGTGTTGCAATTTGTCTAAGTCTTGTTGTCATTCGAGGTAAGCTATTGATACTATATTGTTAGGCTAAGTGCTAAGCATAATAGTCAAGCTTGGAGAGTTCGCAACGTAAACTTATATCAACACAGGACCCCTCAAAAGTTGATTAGCAATCAGAGCTGCGACGATAAAGCGCTAGAAAAACATTATTCCGGCTGAATAACAAATGTCTCCATTTGTATGATACATATGTAGGTTACACCGGTTTCCTACACAAGTTCAACAGTTCTATTTCCGGTGTTCTCCCCGGAGAAGATAATAATATGGATCTGGTTACGATATTTTCCCCGCATACATACATATGGATTTATCATCATTTGGGTTTTCTGTTGTGCCGTCTCGTCGGCATAATTTACATGTTCCCATTAGGTAGGTACTGGATAGCCACCTGGGTTAGGTGAACCTCCAACTAAAAGCACATCTGCGCCAAAATCATTAGTGCACCAAAATGTGCTTAATAAATCCAATAGGTAGTTTCTATAATTAGGATGATGGATGACATGACACCCGCACTATGGCTCTAGATAAATTAAATACGGCCCGGGAGAATAAGCCAAATAACACTGCAACAATGTCGAATCCGGACTCCAGCTCCGCAACTCTCGGAACACCACACGTCTGAATACTATTCTCTCAATTAATTATTTGATACCAACAACATAACCTAGATTTACGCAATTTATATGTCCCGAAGTGTATGGGATATGAAATAATTGATGTACATACCTAACTATGGTCTGGTTAAGTAGGTAACTAACCTAACGTAAGATTAGTCAGCCAACCCCTATCTACTGACTTCACATGTAAGTCACCTTACCTACTCTAGAAACCATCGAAGAAAGGAAATTCGAATATCTACAGTAATGCTCGCAGTAATCATGTTACAGCTGAATTTGCTATTAGAGGTTAACGCCTGAAGAAGGTATCGCCATTGAATCGACGGTTTGAGAAGAAGCAGGCTTGCCCATGTGGTTACGGAAATCAGATCGTTAATAACATTATCTATCTAGATAAAGAGGCATAATAGTCACGTCTACTTTGCAATGAGTCTGTCATTACCAAGACTTTGCAAGAGCTAGTATGCTCATAATAAGATGATCAGGGCGGTGTGGTATAGTTGCTAGATGCTGTGAATCTATCGGGGTAGGTAAGTACTTACTTAGAACACGAATTATATCGCTAGATCATAGCACAGTTCGTTTCGTTTGAGTTTCTATCTAGAGTGCTTATGCTTGGTCGGCTACTATTGCGTTAGCATCAAAATCAAGTACGTTACTTGTCATAAACTTCATGAAGTAGCGCTTATACGCGTTTTGCGCCAGCAATTGCTTGCCGCGCGACTCGAGGTATAAATTATTCGCGTTTTGGCCATGTGAATTATAGCCATTGAACTACCCAATTTCAATTTTTGAATGGGGTGTAAGTAGAGAATTTTGTGTAGATATTGTGTGGAGTAGTTGAATTTGGTGGCGAAGAAAAGACTCACCAGCCGCCGGGCCGGGCTTCATCTGCTGAGGCTGCAGTTGAATGGGATAGTGGTGGTTAAAATATCGGTTGACCACGAACAATGGGCAACTCTAAAAACCATTCATACCAATATTCATGTATGAAGTAATCCATCTTCTGGGCCAGGGAATGCATATTTTCTGGGTGGGTGCCCTACATCGAAACCTGCTCACACAACACTTTTCGACATTGAATTATTGAGCTCTCTTCTTCTCATTCTGCAACTTAGCAACTTTTCTCTACTCTAATAACCAACCTTGTGGCCTAATATTCTACTTTTCCACACGGAGGTACCTATGTACCCTACTTTCCACTACACACAACAACCTTCTGGTGTTTCTTGTGGTTAACTAAGCTTCTCTTGCCTTGACGCCAACTTTCATCTCATCTCGCACCACATCCTTCTTCCATCTGACTTCTCTACATCGCATCATCAGTATTAATCCGAGGGAAAAAATGGCGAATCATCACAGCTTCTTGCGAGAACCCAAATCCGCCGCGGCGAACGCCAACATGGCTGCCGAACACTCCCAGCAGTTTCGCGTCCCCTTCGCTAAGAACTTCTCTTTCACCATCCCCGACAAATGGATTCCCAACAATCCCTCTGTCGTCCGTTGGATCAACAACCTTCCTGGCTCCGTGGAGCGTGAGCAGCCCTTGGAGCCTGCCCGTTACTCGACTCCAAAGCACTCTTTGGTAAGAACAACCTACCCAGCATCATTTTCATCTCTTCTTCCCAGATACCTACCAGAGATAGGTTATAGGTACCTAGGAACACAGCTAACACCAACAAGGACGTCATCTTTGGTGATGAAGAATCCGAAAAGGACGAACATCGTGCCAAGCGAGCGCGACGGAGTTCAGTTCTGAGCATCCAGCCTAGCATCCAGAAGATTCGCCAGCACACCGCTAACAATGGCCTGGTGCGCCGTGTCTCTAACGTGTGCCGTCGCGTCGTATCTCGGAACAAGAATCGAGACACCTCGACTGGATTCACGATCAGTGACACGCCCTCGCCTTCCACCCCCATCTCTCTGAACCGGCCACGAATGAGATTCGTTTTCGTCGGAGAGTCGGGATGTGGAAAGTCCAGCATGTTACTGTAAGCTACACACTCCATTGCCCTGGAGAAGATATACTTACGCGTTCCCGTTTAGCCGATACTATCAAGACTTCTTCAGCCTGGTAAGCACTTAACCTTATCTACCTACCCAAAGGCCTACGGTAGTTTCCATCCTAGTGGGCATCTGGGCAGAGAAAAGGGATTTACATAAGCTGACACGAAGTCTGAAAAAAATATAGGCCTATGTCAAAACTCAGTATAAGTTATTCAGCAAGACGACCACGGTTGATGAGCAGGACGTCGATCTCGAGATCTGGGACACCTCCGGCGACCTGTCGCTCCACCAGCTGCAGAACCTGTCCTACCTGGTCTGGGACGCCGTGTTCCTCTGCTTCAGTGTTGACAGCCCCACACGTTGGGAGCAGGTCCAAGAAATGGTACGCCAGGACCCATGGGTTTCATGAATTGGCGCAATATTTGAATGAATGAAGGAATGAATGCTAACATGTAGGCGCGATGAAAATGTAGTGGGTTGACGAGATCCACAAATTCTGCCGCGGCGCTCCCGTCATCCTCCTGGGCCTGAAGAAGGACACGCGCCGTGGTATCGGCATGACAAGACCCCTATCCCTACATTTGCAATCTCGTCTCTGTACCTCGGAGGTAAGCACCTATTAATCCCTTCGCTTACTTACCTACCCCCTATCTCTACTCAAGACCATACACCATACTGACAACGAGACACCAGAACTCAAACAACTCAACAGTCTCGCGCGGAATGCAGTACATCGAGTGCTCAGCCAAGACCGGCGAGAACGTCGACCTCGCGTTCGAAGAAGCCGTGCGAATGGTTCTCGCCGAGCGCGCCGAGGAAGAACAGCTCGCGCGCATCCGGGAGCTGAGCCTGTCCGACCATAGCAGCAGCAGCTTCAATTACCGCTGCGACAACAGCTACAGCCCACCGGATAGCAGTGACGATGACTATGATGAGGAGGAGGAGGAGCGCGAGTTGAATCGCCGTGCGTCGTCGTTGTTTTGCTTCAAGTAGGCGAAGTTATGGCTGTAATGGGAAAGGGTGTGTGTGTGATTCCTGGCCGTGAGAAAAGGCTTGGGATTATCATTTTACATGAGTTTCGGTGTTCAGGTTTTGTTGGGCAGCTTGTTTTGGCTGAACCCTTGTGAATAGGAAAAAGGGGGGTACGGCGTTTGGGTTTACAAATACTTCCCGACGAAAAGGGATTGACAGATTGGCATTTCTGGGCGGCTATGAGCAGGTACCTATGCTACTAAGGTACATATACTACATTCTTCTTGTGTGCTGAAGGTTTGCGCGAAGTAATTGTGTTTGGTGAAGGTTAATTCGGTCTTTGTATATGAGAAGAGGTATCGAGAAGACGTTGACTATCATGTAACTTACACCCCCTTTCTAAAATAATGTCTCCATAACGTCTTTCGCTACTGTAAAGACTCCATTGTCATCTTTGGGTAGGTAAATGGCGTCCAACACGCTCCCAGAAAGATGGCAGCATATGTCTGAATTGAACCACGATAACTACTAGTATTTGAGAACTTGAAAACCCTCCTCGGAGATGCCGAGGTTTGTCGATCTCCGCATAGTACCCATTTTGTTGATATATGGGTCCGAGGTCGTGAGAGTCTGCTGCCAGATAGACATTCCGCTGCATTGGTATCTACGCCGTATACTCAAACCAACTATACGTCCTCTCATGGAAATAGGGGTATGAGTCATATCACCGGTGCGTCAGATTTAAGCGGCACTAAAAGTAGTTCAATTGGGAGAGCATGCCAACAGAACCCCCCCCCCCCCCCCAAACAAGGATCGATATGTCGGAATGGCATGATAAGCTACGGCCAACTGCACGGGTCTTACATACATAGATCTGGCGTAGTGTAAATTGAGATCACTTCGAATCCTTCGACGACAGGGGACGTTATTTGTCAGGCATATATATTACGTCCGGCACCTATCACTCTCTGACCGCCACCTAACTTTTTGAAAACCTTGAAGCCAAAGGTTCTTTATATCTCACTCACACAGGCCCTGTCGTGATAGTCTCAATCGCCTAAAACACCCTTCCTCAACACATACTCCTTTCTCTCTCTCAAAAAAGGTAATGATGTCGGGTCCCGTACCCACCGTCCACAGCTCCGCAGAGACCTCCTCCGCGGGGCCTACACTATTGCATTCAAGGTTGGTAATGGTTCCTCAAATTGGTGACGCGAGCCCTGTTGCTAATCACGACTTGCTTTCTTCCTCAGAAGCAGACAAGCATTCCCAAGCTCCTCCTCCTCGACGTGAGGAAATCGACCAGCCACTTCTGGAAGCCGATGGTCGTGCGGCCACTGAAGACGAAGTGCGCGATCTCCTCCACGTCGTCGACCGTGTTCCCGCGAGACTCTGGGTCGCTTGTCTAGCGGGTATCCTGGAGCGCTTTGTCTGGTATGGAGCGACATCTCCTTTGCGTGAGTACATTCTTACCCCAATCCACGGCAGTGGGTGATGAGTCTGTCCAGATCGCTAACCGCCTCTGCAGAAAACTATGTGCAAAACCCGCCCGGGGGCCAGGTCCCTGGGGCATTGGGTCTACGCCAGGCCGCTGCATCGGATATTGTTAATGCGCTCATCATCGGGTCCTACATCACTCCCGTCCCGGCCGCCGTCATTGCCGATAGCTGGTTGGGCCGCTATAAAACCATGCTATATGCCGCTATGTACTGTGGAAAATCTTATTACCGCCCCCCTTTTCATTGTTTTCACACCAACCATTACTAGAAAAAGGGGCTAACATCACTACAGTATTGAGTCCATTGGGGCGACGATTCTATTCGCGACTTCTTTTCCTGCTGCTGTTGAAAATGGGACTGCTTTGGGCGGAGTTATCACGGCTTGTGTGCTACTAGCTGTGGGTTCAGGGGCGTTCAAGACTACCGTGGTTCCCTTTATCGGTGAGTGGACAACCTCGCCAGGACTGAGGGTACGCGAGCCTAACATTGCCCAGCCGATCAATATGACGGGGTAGATTTTCAGTTCCGCGTTCAGGAAACGGGAGAAAAGGTCGTCGCCAGTCGCGCCTTAACTATCACATATATTTACAATGCGTTCTACTGGTCTGTATCCTGTACCTATCTCCCGATACGCCTTCGAAAGGTTCTAACATACGGTACAGGGCTGTAAACGTGGTGGGCTTCTTCGCTGATTCCACACCACTTCTAGAAAAGTACGTGGGCTTCTGGGCCGCGTATTTGATTCCATGCTGTTTCATGTGGCTGGCCTTGATTCCGATTCTGCTTGGTCGCAACTACTTTGGTCAGTCCACCCGCTTAACAGTATAATACCACCTACAGGAATCAACTAGCTGACACACATTTAGTTCGCACATTACCAACCAGTAACATCATGTCAGAGGTGGTAGCTGCCTTGCGGTGCGGTATCGCCGGCGGCTTTCGCATGGATGCCGCAAAGCCCGACGCGCAACTACAGCAAGGTCGACAGGTCTCCTGGAACGACTCGTTTATCGAGGACATTAAACGAAGCCTTCTAACCTGTCGAGTATTGTCCGTATAAACATCTCCCCAAATGTTATTCCATTCCACCATCTGACATGAGATCTCACAGGCTCCTCTTCCCCATCCACTGGCTCTGCTACAACCAGACCTTCAACAACCTGATCTCCCAGGCGGGCCAGATGGTCACCTACGGCATCCCGAACGACATGATGAAGATCGCCGGCGCCATCTGCGGCATCCTCGTCGCCCCCATCATCCAAAAGGGGCTGTACCCCTTCCTCACCAAGAACCAGATCTCGTTCAGCCCGATCGCACGCATGACAGCTGGCTTCGCCATCCTAACCCTGTCCATGGCCTACACGGCTCTAGTGCAGAAGCTCATCTACCAAGCCGGGCCATGCTACGACACGCCCCTCGCGTGTCCCGACGCACACGGCCGCGCGGTGCCCAACCAGGTCTCGGTCTTCCTGCAGATCCCGTCCTACGCCGGCGGCGCGCTCGCCGAGGTCTTCTGCCTGACCACCGGCACCGAGTACGCGTATAGCCATGCGCCCGGGCGCATGAAGACGCTGGTGCAGGCTGTTTGGCTCGCGATGGCGGGTGTTGGGTCGGGCTTGGCGATCGCGTTCACGCCGCTGGCGAGGGATCCGCACCTGGTTACGATGTATGCTGTTTTGTCTGGATTGTTGGGGGTTGCGTCGGTCTTGCTGTGGGTGGTCTTTCGGCGTGTGGACGAGGTTGAGGAGGAGAGTGAGTAATGAAATCGTTTACATGATCGGTTGGTTGGGGGATACTTAGTCGAACGCGAAGGGTGTGTGGGATGGCTGAGAGGTTAGGGGTAGGAGGGTAGAGGGAAGGGTTGGAAGGTAGATGTCTTACATAAGTTGGATTTACATGCGTGTAGGCTGAAACATGGCGACATTACTAGGTACACGAGATCGCGAATAAACACTTTTTTGGAGTATAGCCTTACTTACCTATCTACAATACCTCGATAATATTATTCATCGATTCCATCATGTCTATTATTACTAAGTTAGGAAACTTGCATTCACGTAACCCTAACCCTGACCCGACTCCTGACCACTGGCAACCCCTCCCTCCCTATCCCTTCCCCTTCTCCTCCGCATCCACCCCCCTAAACTCAAAATACCGATTCCACTCCTTATCCTCAACCAATCCCTTTGCAAGCTCCTTCTCAAACCCAATCGTAAACTCATTGCCCTCATCCTCGCCCGCCGGGGCCCCGTTCGTCCGCGGCGGGAGCACGGTGGCGAGGCCGGCGGTGACGGCGTCGAAGGGGAAGCGGCAGGCGTGAGGCTTCGCGAAGCCGAAGTTGGCGTCGCTGGCGCGCACGTCCCGCCAGTCGGTCGTGAAGTTGCTGGTCGGCGGGAAGGAGTCGACGCGTAGGAAGAGGCCGCTCTTGTCCCGCACGGGGGCGATGGCGGAGAGGGCGGTGGAGAGGTGCTCTTGGGTTACACCGTTGGTGAGTTGGCGGATGTACCTGGAGGTGGGGTGTTAGATGATATTCAGAGAAGAAAAAAAAAGGGGGGGGGCGTGCTAGTAGGGGTTGGAAAGGAGTAAAGGGGGTAAAAGGGGGTTAGCTCAACTTACCACGCTAGTTTCGACAACGGCGCCTCCGAGACAACCTCCTCAAGGGTAAGTTCCGGCACGGAGCTCTGCGTGCTCAACGCCACGAAGACAACGTTTCCCTGTATGCGCTCCGGTACCGGTGGATCATGAAATCGCCTTCGCATGTCGACGGCCTCGCCCCAGAGGAGTTTCAGCTTCGGGTCTGATTTAAAAAATTTGGCCCTGTGCTTCGTCAAAATGCGCCAAATATACGCCATGTAAGCATCATAGCTCGAGATCCAGTAACTTTCGTCTACGGGGCTCGCCAGTTTCTTGAGCTCGGCGCTCTTGCTCTTCGGCAGATGGAATAGTAGCCACTGGCCGAGTTTGTGGTCGGGGTGCTTCAAAGGCGGCACGGGCCCGTCGATGCGCTGGTCCTCGGGGGGGTTCGGCCTGCTGATCCTCGAACGGTCAAGACAGGCCGGGTCCCAAGGTGGAAGACCCGTTGGATTATCTGGAGAGGCCCAGAGGGCGGCACAGTTCTCAGCCAGCTGATGTAGTTCGCCAGCCCATCCCATAACATCGTTACAGGTATGGTGATGGTGCATCATGAAGACTAAGCCGCCACGTATGAAGTTGGCCTTGAAAGCAGCTGCTTTAGGCTTGCTCGCAGGCTCGGCTTCAGGCTTTTCTCCATAGGTCATCGGCGCCACACACCACGTGTCTATGTTACCTAGGGCTTGGGAGACAAAGTGACGCTTTTCCAGGTCTTCGAAAGAAGGATACCTATCACCTTCTTCATCTAGCCATTGCAAATGCAATTGGACGGTGTCTTCTCTCTTCTTGTGGAGGCACATCCCGCCATCTGGAAGTTCCTCGAGCCTGCCACACAGTTGGCGGCATTGGCTTAAGGTGATTTCGAGGCCATGCTTGAGTACGGGGATGACTTTGGGTTTATCGGCATCCGAGAGTTTGAAGAAAAGAGCATAGTTGCAGTACACTTGTCCAACGCAATAGTCTAGAAGGGATAGGTTCAGGAATTCATCCGGCGGGTCTGACTCCCACCCTATAGGGTGCAATTCTAAAACTTCTTGTCTGGGCATCTGAGCAGATTTATGCAAAGGCTCGAGTAAGAACAGACTGGCGTGTGAGTCCTCAGATGAAGCAAGTAGGTCAGGAGGAAGCGCGGACTTTCAACCCAAGATATATAATACTGCAGCCTAATGGCAATGGAACTGACACCTTACCTACCCGCGATACTCTTTAGCTGCCAAGTGTATGAATATCAGAGCGAAGAATAGTCTACTTCACTTTACGTAAGGGATTATAAGCAATTTTCTTCGCTCGGGATCTGATTCAATATCACACTCCAGTGCTGGATTACATCGTTCGGTTCATTACTCAATCAGTGTAAGGTTGCTCCATATCTCGCGGTAGTTGTCTGGGCAATGCTCCTTTCCTACTATGGACATTATGGACTTGTGGTCCCCTGCTTGCTTCAAGATCTCACGCAGAGTGAACATCGTCTTTCGGCCAAATAGCCTTCGGTGGTATAGTGCTTACATATTTCCTCAAGATCGTTAACGCAACAAATGAAATAATTTTTATCCTGCAAGCTATGGAACTCAGGAGGTGGGGGTTTGATGTTAGGTGAGGAGATCATGAGTGGAACACTTATCAATGGCCGCAGATGGTAAAGATCTATGATACGGAGTGCCAATCCCGCTTACACGTTTATTTCGGTTAACAGGCTCTAGCCTCCGCAACGCCGGCAGTACACAGACTCCGTGTCCCACTGTTAGATTGGCTGGGTCCGAGGCCGAAGTCCCCACCATGTCCTTGTCCGCTCCCGTCGCCATTATAGATCTCTGATATAGGTAACCTAGATACTCTGGGTACTAGGTAGTCAGATATCGTTTAGGAGATCGGGCGATCTGATAGTTAGTATTCATCCGGGGGAGTCGTCGCCTAGGCGACCTTTAGTAGTATTTTGACGAGTTAAATCGAGAACATTATGCACCTCACCTCGGCCCGCTTGTTGAGTCTCCTATTAATGCTCGTATCACCTCACCTCATGTGGCACATACCTATGTAAGGGATGTTTCCTGCGGTGTCTCATTCCAAAAAATAAAAATAAAAAAAACGTCTCTAAAATGCTAACAGCTAAAAACTTGGAATTTTAAAAATCCCATGTGATTTGAACCCTTGAAAAGAGATCTGTGGTTACCTAGCAGCTTAGTACCAGGCACCTCCTAGTAGGTCCCAATTAGGAAGTGCCGAGGTCCACGCTCCACTCTTCTTAATCCCTTAGGCACGCGATCGCGACTCGAAGAATAAGCACAACTGAACTTATAGCAGCATGCTTGCATTCTTACATAAAGTAATTATATACTTCCAAGTTGTCAAGTAAAAGAAAGTCTACTCTTTATCCCCTTCCCCTCCGCCATTCCACTAAGAACCATGGCGTCGAGTGAGCTGTTCACGATTCCCATCCCTCCCCTCAAGGCGCATGTAGGGGGGAGCATTGTCTGCACATCGCCTGCGCCGAAGGTGTACGTCCTGACATGGAACTCAACCCCGGACAACAGACTCACGCCCGCCTTCAACACTGCGCTCATGACCGCCCTCGACGTCATCGAGTTTAGCCATCCGCCCGGCGTGGTCATAACCACTTCCGCCATTTCCAAATTCTACTCCAACGGCCTTGACCTACAACTTGCCTTGGCACTGCCCGGATTTATGGAAAACAGCCTCTACCCGCTGTTCCGGAGGTTCTTGACTTACCCCATGCCGACGGTCGCCTTGGTCAATGGCCATGCGTTCGCCGGAGGCTTCATGCTGGCCATGCATCACGACTACCGAGTCTTCACGGGCGCGAAGGGCTACCTGTGCATCAACGAGCTAGAGTTCGGAGTCCCGTTGATGCCGCCGATGAGCTCTATATTCCGAATAAAGGTATCTCCTCAAGTATACCGCGACATGGTTCTCGAGGCGCGACGGTTCGATGCCAAGACGGCATTGGAGGTTGGCTTAGTCGATGCGGTTGGCGAGATGGACGCGGCGTTGCGCTTGATCGAAGACCGAGCGCTGGTCAAGAAGGGACAATCCACGGCTTACGGATCGTTAAAGCAGGAGATGTACCGCGAAAGTGTAGCTTTCCTAGATGCGACGGGCAAAGATGCTGTCAGCCTTCTGGCTTGGCAAGGAGCGGAGAAGAAGAGGAAAGCTGAAGGACAGAAACGGTTCGATCAGTGGAAGGATTCCCAGAGCGCGAAGGCTAAATTATGAGATTGCCTAGACTGCATCAAGGGGTACCTATTCAGAAATCAAATAATTAATCCGGTCACTTCCTTAATCCCTAATACCACCATTATTTCGAGGTCCAGTACCTGCTCGGTGCTCAAAAGATGCCTGACGTCATTGATACGCGGACCTACGAGGTCCTTCGTAAATACTGGATTTCATGGCTTAGAGGATGCCACACTGCCTTCCTGCGTGGGGTACCTACATCGCAATTCCTCGAAATGAACAAGTTTCGGTCCACGCAGTCAAGTTGCAGCATGACTACCGTATTTTCAACTCATAACGACAAAGTAAAGTAATGTCGTAGAATCAAAAGGTAGATTCGAGATTATCGAAGTAGTGTATTTTCTTCATCCCTTTATCAGTCAAGATACAGACGTTCGTTGATACACACAGTACAAGCCACCAGATATAATGCGAAGATCGTCTAAATTTAGTTCATGAGTTCCACGTTGTCTTAGGGCTAGGCGCTGCAGAGGGATCAATTGATGTGTTTTACCCACATGGAAGGCCATATTAACGTCAAATGTTACGTATTTCCTAGAAAATGAAAGACGAGTACTTCGTATTATGTACATATGTAAAGTGGGGTGCTGCGGCAACGGCGATTTGGGTGGATTAGTTGATTTGTGCGGCTGTGGTGCTTTTGTTCTTACGACTATCAGATCTTTGAGAATCATGAGACGATAAAATGCGTACAGTACAGCCTGTATGTACAATACATACATACATGTGCAGTTCCCAGATATCGTGCATGCGTGGAATTGGCTGACAGGATCGTAAAAGACCTATCTATATGGGATAGTATTGATGTTATGTATGGTATTAAGGAAACATCAAGTTTTGATCGAGTTAAAGTGAAGCTACTATTGGTTGCTAGTCTTTTCTCGGCCATTGAGCTGGTATTGTCTTACCACCATCAAGATTCCACCGAGAATATCCCACAGACGATATCCCAGAAAGAATTAACGTCATCGAGTCCTCGACATGCACATGTGTACATATCAATATTGGTATCTTTTGACTTCTCAAATTAGCGTGCAACTTTGTTGATATTATGCCTGTACCTTACATATGAAGTATGTACCTACCAGACTCAATGCTTAGGCTTATTATGATACATTTAGGGGTTTCGTATGCCCAATGGGTTACCTAATTATATCTGCCTGAATGTTGTAGGTAATGACGGCGTTGAAGATGGCTGAGGTAACAAACAGCCACCTAATCTTCGAATGTAACTACCAGTGACATACACATAGTTATTGGACTAAAATATTGATTGAACAGATCAGAACTCCTGGCCTATGGAGGGGAACGGTAGCGCGGTTAATGTGCTGATTGGTCAAAAATGCTCGGGAGCTACAGGGGCAATGCCATCATCCAGCTGCAAGTTTCCAAGTTAAGAGCCGGGCTGGCAGCGCTGTTGACCCCACTAAGCTCTTAAAGGCTACGATAGACCCGCTTAAAACACTGTTAAACGCTACCTAAGCGGGCCCAGCCTTTCCTTTTTTTCTCTTAAAGAGGTGCCTTGCCTTGCTGTAATGGCCCATGGAAGGTGATGGTGATGGTAGTCCAGGACAAGGGTGCAAGGGTTATTATGCACTACTAGGTACACAGTGAGTGTATTGTAGGATCCATGGATGTAATGCAATTGCATTGTTTATGTCTCAACTTAAGTTATTGGTTGCTACAGCACAACTACCACAACTACAGCACAACATTTGAACATTAACCAACCAACGCAATACTACGCCGTAAACTCAACTTTTCTCACCACCCTCTCTTCAACTCAGGAAGCCACTCACTTCCTGATCAAATACCTTACATATATACAAATCTACTTAAGGTACAGTGCGATAATCACTCGCATATGTACAATACTTAACGCAGAAACATACAACGCATACACATAAAAACGTATTCACAAAATTCTTACTTTCAGAAGAGCACAAGGCGAAAGATATTACCGGCCAGCCGGGTCTACTGTACCCTATTATGCTGCGGCGGAGACGGAAATGCAGCTTCTGACATATGCGATTAGCTGTCACTTCATAAGCTACCTTCGAAAATCTGTATCTTCATCCCATTGACATGGGAATTTGGATGCACATTGCTTACGTTGTCTGTTCTCTCAACGTCAGCATGAAGCCTGGGACATGAACCCGATCGATTTAGGTAAGGAATTGGATTTATTCAATGTTTTAACCTGGGGCATCAAATAGAAGCAAATGCGGTGTGATAAGTGATGCGGTGGTACACTTTGCTCTGGCATGCATTTTTACCAAGAGCATTGACCCATTCACACATGACAGCCCAACTCACGGGACCCTGCATCTATACATACCAGACTTTGCTCAATTGCCTACATACCTACCTACCTACGTAGGCATACAACTGGAATGTTGCTGAGACTAATTATATCTTTTCCGACAGATCATGACTGACTCGACGTCTAACGACGAAGATGATCCATCGGGTCCTAAAACCCCCCAGGCTGCCTCCGAACAAGGCCACGCTACTGAGAAGCATGCTTCCAATGATACAACTGGCACATCCTCGACCTCTAAGACTTCGACACCTAGCAAAGATGCAACCCCCAAGACCGCGCCCGTGGCCGGGCGCCCCGCCGGTCGTCTCGCTGGGCGTCCCCGATCAGCTACAGCGAGAAAGGCCCCCTCTCTTCTCGGTGACTTCCTACTAGGACGGCCATCTCCCGCTCGAGTCGCGGCAGACAGGCAGGCGGCACGCGAAGCAGCACAGGCAAGAAAAATGGATTTGGAGATGGTAAAACAGGAAATGCGTCAAGCAGCGGTTATGCGAATCCAAGCACCGGGAGGGGTGCATGATCGAGTCAAGAAGTGGCAGAAGGCAAACGCTGCAGCTGCAGCCGATGCCGATCCACTAGCCACCCCAACAGAGCCGAGCGAGGTGAACATACAAATTGACGACGAGAGTGTGACGGAAGAAGATCGAGTGAGAATCAAGTTGCGACAAAGGAAGTCGTCACCCAAGTCCGAGGGGGGTACTAGTGGGAAAGAAAACCAAACGGAGTCGAGATCGTCAACGATTCCACCCAAGAAGCGGGTTGTTAGTGATACCAATTGGGTGAAAGATAAGAAGAAGAGCCCAACTAAGACTCAACCACCAAAGACGAAGCCAACCGAAAGCACCGGATCACCATTACCTAAAGACTTCTTGGCGCGTACAGCTGCCAACCCCTCCGTTTCCAAAAAGATCAAAGATTGGGCTAGTAAAGTTGAAGTTCCTGATGAAGCTGATAGCGAACATCGTAGTGGGCCAAGATCAACCAAATCAGCAGGTAGCAGGGATGGTATCCGTGTTAGACCCATTCCCTCTGGGAGCGAAAGCGCAAGTGGAATATCAGGGTCTGCTTATGTCACCAACAAGACAAGCAGCTCATGGAAATCTAAGGAGCCAGATAATGATGGGATTCGTGTAAGACCTATCCAAAGCGAGAAGGGTATGGCAAGTGAAAGATCAGGATCTTCCAATGCTACACCTGAACCGTTAAAACCGCGGAAGCCGAAAGCGCGCCAGGATGATGGTATTCGCGTTAGACCTATCGGTGAAAGCGATACTTCGGGTGGAAAATCAGGTCCTGCTCGACCTGTCAAAACCTCTACACCACCAAAGCCAAAGCCGCAGGGAAGCATTGGTAATAAGACCAGACCGATACCAAGACAAGCACCCCGGAATAAAAATTCGAAGATCGAGTCTTGGAGAGCCTCTATTCCCAGTGATCACACCGAGGTGTTGTCTGATCTTGACTTGTCTGACGGTGCAACCACCGTTCGTGCCTCTTCTAGGCAGTCTCACAGAAGAGCAGACACTCACGAACCTAGCTCCCGCAGAGAGCCATCACCATCAGATAGGATAGAAGTCATTGAAGAGCCTGCATCTGATGAACCTCGAACACCGACCACAGGGGCATCGAAGAAGCCATCCAAAAAGCGGAGCAATCATAGCAAAAGACCTAAGGCCAGCCATGCTGACACAAAGACTGAAATGACAGAAGAGGTGTCTGACAGCGATTCCTGGTCGAGCGGCTCGGTATCAGACATGCCATTCAGTGTGTTGCCGCAGTCTTTAGCAGATATACCTGTTGGATATTCTGCATTCAGTGAGCTCGACTTGCCTTCAGGATCAAAGGCGCGAAAACCAAGGCCAAAAACCAAGAGACAGTCTAGCTTCAAGGGCGCTACTAACGTACTGAAGAAAGCATTGTCAGAAGGCAAGAAGATTCTCACGGAGAAAGCTGATCATCCAAAACCTGCTGTCAATCAGCCACCAAATATTGAGACTTGGTTAAAAGATACAGTTGACCCCTTTGTAGATTCTTCGTCTACGGCTGAAGCTGAGCCAAAGAGGAAGTCCGAGGATGAATGGGTAGATGAGAGCAGGACAGGATACTCAGCATCTTCAAAGAATCAGTCCGCTGACAGTGCATGCTCAACGGACGTCAGCAATAGTGACGAGACAGTCAAGCTGAAGGAAGAAGAAAAATCAAATCATGACGAGCACAGCAAAGTTGAAGTCATCAGCTCATCCTCGCCCAGCTTGAAAAGAAGCCGTGCTACTAGGATCTCCTCATCCCCTTCAAAAAGCAGCAGTAAAAGGGGCCTTAAAGAAAAGCTTATGGATGCATTCCGAGGGGAATCCACCGGGCACAGCCCTCCACCAGCTGAATACCCAAGCTGTCCTGAAACAGTGGATCTCGACAAAGAGCGCGAGGATGAATATCGCGAGAGACGACGCTCGTCTGGTACGAAAAGAACCCCATCTCCCGACGATTATGATTCTTTATTATCCTCAGAATCATCAGCAAAACCAATGCCACCTCCTTACAATAAACGTAAACCACCAACTAATGGATTTCACGAACTATCAACAATTGCGTCTGAAATTGAGTCACATAACACATTTCAGTCAGATCTCTCATCAGTGGTGTCGCAGACAACAATAACAGAAAATGCCACTACCTTGACAAGGAGTACAGCCATGTCTCATAGAAGAAGTCATAGGTCTGGTGGCCTCAAGAGACGGCATACAAAGCACTCAGACTTGGTATCAGTTCTATCATTGCCAAATGATACATCAGTACCAAGCAGAGGTAATACTCTGCGTTCGGCACGTAGTGTAAGAAGATCATCTAACCATCCAAATGGTGCTACTGTGGATGGACTTTTACTGGAATTTGAGGACGACGAAGATCTATATCAACGAGAACTAAAGACCCTCGTAGATGGAGTAATTCCAGTGCTCCTAACACAATTCGTAAACAATACCAGCAGCGCACGAAGAGATCTTTTCGGTTCCCCCCCAAAGAAGTACAAGGAGGACACCCTCGACAAGGCTGTCGTTAATATGGGTATGGTCCTCGACAACCTCCGAACCCACCATCGACTTTGCCCCTCTCTTTCTGATATCCACAAACTTTCCCAATGGCTTGAGGCAGTACATCCTATTTACAACAACTATCTTGATGTGTGGCGTCTTGGCTTCCAGGGCATTATCGTCAATTTGGCTCCAAAATCCCCCGATGATGCAGACTCCCTCATAAATGCCATGCCTCGTAACGAGCAAGGTGATATCCTTAATGAGGATGGGGAGCGTATCGACGTTGCGCACCTGCTAAAACGCCCTCTTGTCCGCATCAAATGGATAACCAAATTCATCAAGGTAAGCAATCTCCGCAGCTTCTCTTCGTCATGATTATGCTAACCGAGACAGGGATATCGAATGGTTACAGGAACGAAAGAATTCGAGCCTCTTGCTACTAAATGGGAGGCATTGCAAGCAAAATCGAGACGTCGACATAAGGAAGAAAATGCAAGAGTAATCGATGAAGACGCCCGTAATACTGATACATCCCGGACCAGAGATTTGAGGACATTGGAAGCTCTAGATAACGTCAAAATTGATCGCTTCCGTCAGGTCTTTGCCAAAGATACCTTCTCCTTAGACCTCCGACATTCTAATGGGCAACGGCTTGGATGCCAAGTTGAGCTCATATTCAGGGACAATCAAGTATTTAAGTCTGATCCAGGAGATCTTCTTATCAGAGAAACGGGCAGCGGAGGACGCTCGTGGCTTTTATTTGCCCCTGTGACCGGAAACCGCTTCTCTGCACGAAAGGGAGATGATGCTTACGAGCTAGTTGTTATGATCCGGGGCTCTAGAAATGAGTGGTTTGAGCTCTTATCCTTGATGGCCGACAACCAAGAACAAACAGTTGAGTGGCTGCAGATGTTGGGAAATACTCCAATACCGCCCTCTATTGCAGGCTCAACACCTTTGGTGCCCCAACCCTTGGCCCCGTCCCCTAGGTCAGCTGCAAGAGAGATTCCCATGGGCGAAAGGAAGCCACGCCGCGAACCTCCTCCACCTCCAACATCCTCTAGATACCACGAAACTTTGGAGGGGCCAAAGACTCCTACTCAGTCACATGAGCGAACTCCCAGCCAAACTGATGCGTCAACACCATCCCCTGAGAGAACTCCTACGCGCGATTCTTATCTAAAGTCAACCCATGAGTCGCCAATTCCTACCGTAGATGATGCCGATGAAGACGATTCGCACTCCTTTGACGATTCCGATCATCTAACTTCCAAGAAATCACCCCCGAACAGTACTCCCTACCGCCAAGATGGTGCACCCCCTCCTCCTGTCCACCGAACCTTCAAGGGCAAGAAGTCTCCAACTCTTGCTCCTCCGGCAGACAAGACTACATCACGTCTCAAGCGTCGCAATTCTTCCCCTCTCAAGCATGAATGGCATCCCTCAGACGTGTCCTCTGAAGGATCCTCGTCGCCCATGTCTGGGTCGGGCGACGAAGACTCGGTTTCAGATGAATCATCTGAAGATGAATTTGAGGCGGCCGATATTCCTGACACTGTGCCTGCTATTAGTATAAGGAAACAGGCAGATATTCCCAGCGAGTCAATGATCTCGGAAAGCATGGTTAGCCTCACACCATCGGCTTCAGCATCTCAAGCTGCTCTCAGTGAACCTCAAAGCAAGCAGCCAGAATACGTCATAAAATCCGTCGCTTCGATTTCTTACTGGGACAATAAGCACGGTCGTTGGCAGGATCTATGGCCGGATCTTTGTTCCATCGTTACAACCCCAGGCCTTATTGAGGCGTATCCTTACCGAAGAACACTTGCGTCATCCGATCATTCACAAGAAGAGCGACCTCTTGTCGCTTTAGATCTTACGCCCCTAGTCATGTTACGAAACAGCACAGTTGTTGACTTAGAGATACGGTCTCCTGTCCTTAATTATTCTAGGCTCTATTCTAAGGTGGTCAAATTTGACACCTCGTTCTTCCGATTCCGAGTCCAGTCGGTCCAAGACTGTGAATCACTTTATAAGGCAGTACATCGAGCCCGCATGGACAACGCAAAATACAAGGCACTTGAGGAAGAGACACGTATCCGGTCCTTCGGGCAATACCAAAACACTGACGCTGAAGGCGATGGAAGTGGCCAACAGCGAAGCTGGTTTGGCCGAAAGAATAGTTATCGCGCCTCAGCACGCGCTCCATCACAGTCAGCTGGTAGTGCATCCCAATCCCAATCCCAATCTTCTGCCATCTCTGCGTCGTCCTTTTTAAGAAAGCTCATGGGAGGTGGCAACCAATCCTTTAACATAGCGATGTCAACTGTCGATCGACCCTCTCGCTTTGGCGGCGGAGATGCATCACTATATGCATCTTCATCTTCAGACACACCGCCACGCTCTCCTTCGGTTAGCGCTGCCAATAGTGGCAATTCTAAGATGACACTTACGACGAATAATCTTAAGATTCGTCTCCATCTATTAATATCTGCCAGCAAGTGGGAGGACCACGGAAACTGCTTCCTCGAAGTTACTAGACCAGACCGAGGGACAAGGCAGAACCTGAGAAAATACCAGGGCATGGAGAAGCGGATCATTGTCACAACAATCCCTAAGAAAGACGCAGACAAACCGGTAGTGGTCCTGGATGTTGTACTAGGCAGTCAATGCTTCAGTCAGTTGGGTAGCAGAGGTGTGCTACTCAACGTATGGGAGGAAGTGAAAGATGAGGCTGGGCAGACAGGAGTCGCGCCCCAGGGAGGTAATAGTGGAGGAAATGTGCGCAAATGGTGTTTCCAATGCTCTTCAGTAGGGCAGGCAAGGTGGATTTTCGGACTCGTTACGCAGGAGGTTGTGATTGTTTAGTTGTTAGTTGATACCCTTTCCTCTTAGGACTCAAAAACAGTCCAGGTGCCCCCTTTTTATTACAAAATTCATGTCCATACTCCACTACACTTTTCTTTTCTATCGATTCCATACACCGCATCATCGACATCACGGGGGATAGGCGAAGGCGTCGGATATTGCATCAGAGTCTCAGGGGAAAGCATAGGACGGACAGGATTAGATGAGTCGAAATGACTGGACGACCAAAGGGACGGTGAACGGTTTTGCATTTTTTTATCACGGCATTCTGCATCTTTCTCCTGCCCCCCCTTTTTTTAATTTCCCCCAGTTTTATGCCCTCTCCCACTATGCTGTATAAAAATGTTTAGGCTATTGTACACAGCACTCCAACATACGTACTAATGATTATAAACATTAATGATAAAACCATATACTCATCTTTGCGTTTTGGAATTGTGAAATGTGAAATGTTCTGGGAGCATGTCCTGCCCATCTGAAAACACAATTATACGTAGTTATCTACTCAGGTAGATATTACGAAGTTTCAGAGATAACCAGTAGGCTTTGATTTCTTCAATTTATCTAGTACCACTAACACATCATAAGTCAGCAACCCCATATCGCAAGGAAAGAAAGCAACAGGTAGATACACACCATGACACCACTCTCAGGACCCTCCTGCTCCCGCGTCAACTTATCCAAACACATCCGAATACGACGGACCAACTGGAAGGCGTACTCAGGACTTGGAGGCGCCGGCGCGGATACAGATACGTCAGGGTTGTAACGCAAGATTACGGGAGTAGTGGATTCGGAGTTGGGTTTGGGGGGGATGCTACGGATCGCGGCTTGCACGCTGGCCGCGTCGTCGGCGTCCCAGGCTGAACCCATTATTATGGCGGCTGGCGCGGTCGTGTAGTTCCCGGTGCCGAGGGCGCTGGTTGGTGAGGGGGGAGGGATGCCGCGGAGGACTTTGGGGGGGGGGGTTAGTTGGGAGGGTTGAAGGAGGCAGGGGGGGGGGGGGGGGGGGGTTGAGGGCTCAAACTCACTATATGGCACTTCTGCGGCAGTAGCCTGGGCGCCGAGACAGAAGAGGATGACTGTTGGTGTTTTAGGATGAGGGGGTTGGAAGGAACTGAGTGACTGGCTACGTGACTAACTACTTGATGGATATTTTGAGGTACTTTCTGTTATGGGTTTGGGGGGTTTTGTGTTGGTAGATTAGGTAGGTAGGCCGCTACATACCTTCATACTCAGGCTTCAGACCCTCGATCACTGGTTTTGCGACAACTTCGGCCTTGCCGCAGAGGACGATGGGGATCGGTTTTGAGGGGGATTCCATGTTTATTGTTGAGATGTGGTGATGAATACCTGGTGTAGATTGAGCGAGGTATAGATATTACTTTTGTTACAGCTCACGAGTATGAATAAATCCGAGGTTGATCGAACATTTTGGATTATCCACTAAGGTATCAATCAGCCTTTTTTATCATCCCAGAGAGGGGGGTTCTAGAGTTTCAAAACAAGCTCATGTCAAGATGAATATATATCCGATGGTGTAACGCTCGCTCCTGTCAGTTCGTCGGTCCCGAGAGAGTTTATAGTTGACCTGCCGCATTCGCTTGAACAGCATGGCCCTCTGTCAGATAGCCGACTGCTGGCCTGCGAGAGGTTGCATGTGGTTGCAGGAACGTCTTACATAACTATGTAGCTATCGTCCGATCTGGAGGTTTCAACCACGTGCAGATTATACATACCTAACCTAGGTATATATACTTAACTATTCACTGCATTCTTCGATAACGCTTAAAGGCACTTATATCCAGTGCCTCGTGTGGTGTCTCTACAGCTCGCTCTTGGCCACCAATCTTTTTATTCTCACTACTTACGCAATATCTTGAAATCGCATCCGCATCTACCTATCCGTATATCTGTCAGATATGTGTTGGTTTCCGATACTCTTTGGAAAGTCGTGAGTAGGTCACATATGAGATAGAAGAAATACGAATAAATTCTTGAGTAACATTAATTTTGTGATAGAGATAGTTATGTAAGTTAAAGCTTCATCATATGCAACTTCTATTTATGTACCTGTGTATTTTGACTGGTGACTACGTACTATGTAGGTAAATTTTAACCAATGATAAGATAAGAAATCTGACGGATCCATGATGTACTACTAGTACATATGTAGTAAATGCAGGTTGCTATTTGCGGTACCCAGTACATATGTGTCCTTCTTTAAGACAACAAATATGGTCTGTGCACATTCCGACCCGCCTTGTTTTCATTCAATTGTGAGGACGCGTTCTTTCCATTCATTCATTTGAACCAAACAGGCCAAGTACCAGGTACATGTACATTTCATACGGGACTAGGGTACGTTGTACATGCTAAGCCTGTCGCGCTTCAATGTTAGGACCATCCACCCCATTTTCCAGTTCGCTCTTTCGTTTCTCATCCATCTCCAGCTAACTAAAGCTAACCTTGAACTTTTTTGTTCATTACCAAACTTAATTCGACCTTTCTTCTCTTTCTTTCAACCACCTCAACTTAAATAAATCATCTACTCAGTTGCCATTGACAATAACTTTTTTGCCCCCTCCTTCATATTTTCCCACACATACATACATAGTATTGTATCATCAATCCCATCACAACTTCTTCCAACCCTCGTCGCGTCGCGCATCCATCACGATGTCCGACTACGCCTCTTTGAAGGTCCCCGAGCTCAAGAAGCTCCTCCAGGAGAAGTCCTTGCCCGTCACAGGAAACAAGGCGGACCTTATCGCCCGACTTCAGGAACACGACAAGTCCACAGGTTAGTATTTATTCTCAGATTGTTGTGGATATCCATTACGATGGAGCTGTCGTGGTAGTCATGCTCTTGATATGCTAATACATTATTTATAGCCGCGCCTGTTCGTGAGAACGAGGACGAAATTGATTATAGCGATGATGAGGTCCCAGTCACAACAACAAAACCCGCAGAGCCAGCCCAACCCGCTCAATCGGCCCAGGCTTCTGATCCTACCCCGGCGCCTACTGAGGAGAAGGCTGCTGAGACCGTTGAACCTGTGAAGGATACATCCGACCCTACTCCAGCCACAGACAAGCCAGCTGAGGTTGCCGCTGAAGAGCCAGCTAGCACTGAAGCCCCAAAGGCCGACTTCTCTGCGCATCTACCCGCGAGCAGTGCTGATGAAGAAGCGCGCAAACGCGCCGAACGCGCCAAGCGATTCGGAATTGTCGAGAACGACGAGATCAAGAAGAAGGTCACGCGCGCTGAGCGATTTGGCGTGGATGAGGCTACTCTAGTGTCGGGACTTGATGCCGCCTTACCTGAGAAGAGACCACCCAAGCGAGGCCGAGAGGGAAGCAACGCCGATGCCGCCGATCGCGGTGCGAAGCGACAGAACAATGGTGGACGACAGAGGGGTAGGGGTCGCCGACACCAGGGCGGAGGCGGCAGACCTGGTGGTGCGCCAAGAAACGAGGGCAGGAATGAGGGAAGGAACGAGAGCAAATCGAACGGCGGAAAGGGCAGACCCAGCTTCGTAAACGACCCAACCGAGAAAGCAAAGGCTGAGGCGCGCGCAAAGCGATTCGGCGGTGGCTCGTGAGGGTCGAAATAGTGCCTGATTTTCGACTCGACCGAACCAGTTCGAATCAGATTTTGAGCAATCCTTCCAGCTCCGTTTATGGAGGGTCATGCTTCCTGTCTTCTATCATGAGTCGACGTGCCGGACGATTTAGGAATTAAGTCCGCAAAACCATCGTACGCCAGTGCCATTCACGATTGTTTCCGGTTGCCGCTGTACACTAGTTTATTCACCAGTTTCGTTACATAACACGCATCATAGGCTTGCGGCTGGTCATCAATAATTTTTTTTCACCTCGTCTCTCCGACTGCTATATGGACAGAAGAAGCTATATAGGCTGAACGGATAACCAGACCTCTTTTGTATGAATCGACTCGGGTGAACGAATATCAAATTGCTGAGTGAAACCGTCATGTCCGGTTCTTAAATGACTTCCATAAAAGAAGTGATAATTCGGGCTACCACCAAGTCAGGACAATTTCTACGACATGTGCAGCTTAGGGTACCTCAACATGCCTATTTCGACTGGAGGATATATTGTTCAGTCAACACAGGGAGAGGATATACAGTGAATACGGGACTATAACATCATGGTAATGCGGGATTCCAAACCAATGTTTCTATTATCGTAACTTAAGTAATGGGCGGTGAATCATGGATAATGGATTGATTTTAGGAGTTGGTCTACGTAGCGATTGTTTTTTGAGCCATAATCACGAAGGCTATCGGCCATCGTAATGCCTAGTTAAACTAGCCGCGGTTTATTTATTTTAGAAAAGTAATGATTGATACCTACTTAAGACGAGCATAGTACAGAGGAAGGAACTTAGAATCAAATAGAAAGGGCTGATCAGCGAATATTCGGCTGTACCTATATAGGTATGTTCAAAAACCGAGAACTAAATACCAGAAAGTTCAACAATTTACGAGTTTCAGGATCATCATTTCATCTTTCGTCTGGAGCTATTCTTTTATTATTGAGCAATACTTGGTAAGTTGTACCTGGTATATATAATATTTATGTGAACCAAACTACCTACTAGTTCTATCTCGCTTATTCTTTGTCAAGTGTCAAGACGAAGCTTTCATAATCAGAGCTGGGCCAAGCCAGGCTCAGTCCGATATTCATCAGCGTCGATCCCGACCAGCTCTGCTCCCAAGTCCCGTTGCTAACCGTGTACTTGGCATTGGTGTCCAGTCCCTGCAACTTCAGCGGGGGCGGGAGCGGCTTCAGGGCGGACCGGACCTGGAACGCGAAGAGCACGGCGGAGTCGAGCTCGGGCGAGACGAACATGGCCGCCGGCCAGTTGGACTGGTCCGGAAGAGCGAGGCGGTAGAAGTCGCCGTTGATCACGATCGGGTTGATCTTCTGCTGGGTGGCGATCAGAGACGGGATCGCGTCGCGCTCCTCCTGCTCCAGCGTGGACGGGTCGAGCTCGAAGCCGAACGATCCGCACATGGAGGCCACGGCGGCTCGGAAAGCCAGCGGCGTGGTGCGGCCGGTCTGGTGGTTGGGGACGGCGCTGACGTGGCAGCCCATGGACGAGGGCGGGTAGGGCAGCGACGTGCCGAATTGGATGTACAGACGCTCCAGGCCGTCGGTGTTGTCGCTCGTCCAGCTCTGGGGCCAGTAGTGGAGCAGGCCAGGGTCGAATCTTGCGCCCCCGGATGCGCAGCCTTCCCAGAGGATCTCGGGGTGGGTGGTCGTCAGGTTGTCGATGACACTGTAGAGTCCTAGTATGTACGCGTGGCTTGCCGCCGGGGACGACATTTCGTGGATGCCACGATTGTTGTCCCATTTGATGTATCCGATCGGGCCGGAGTCGAGGATTCGTTCTATGACGGTGATGATGTACTCCTGCACCTCCGGAAGGCCCAAGTTCAGGACAAGCTGGTTTCTTTGGAGGGTGCGGTTGTGGCTGCCCGAGTGCATACACCAGTCGGGATGCTCCCGGTAGAGGTCGGAGTCGGGGTTGACCATCTCAGGCTCAACCCACAACCCAAACTGCATGTGCTCGGAGGAGTTGCCGATCGTGATGTTGTCTACCTGCTCGATGTACGGAGTGAGGCCGTCGGGAAACTTGGCCGGGTTGGGCGTCCAGTCTCCCAGGCCCAGGCTGTCGTTGTTTCGTGGGTAATCCGTGCCGAACCAGCCATCGTCGTTCACGAACAGAGTGCAGCCGAGCCCCGCAGCGTCCTGGGCAAGCTTGACCATGGACGACTGGTTGAAGTCAAAGCCGAGACCCTCCCACGAGTTCAACAAGGGTGGCCTCGTCTCGGCAGTGTGGTTGGATCGGGACAGATGGTTTCTGTAGAGCGAGTGGAAGGATCGCGACATCCCGCCGAGCCCCTGTTCCGAGAAGACGGAGACTACCTCGGGGGAGGTGAAGGTCTCGCCCGGGGCAACGGGCCACGAGAGATGCAGCGGGTTAAGACCGAGGAGAACTCGGACCCAACCGGTTGACCAGCGCTCGACATCGGCGGAGAACGAACCCGTGTACACTAGGTTGTACCCTGTTGCTGGGCCGAGCGACTCGGTAGTGCTCGGAGACGTGAGGGCTAGGAAAGGGTTGTGGAAATGCGACGAGTATCCTGCTGATGAGCGGAAACTGCATGCCGAGCGTTAGCTAACTACTTCACGTAGCATAATCAAGATTCTAGCTCACCCTTGCTCTCCGAAGACGACCGATCGTCGATTGATACGCGCCTCGGCGGCCCAATCGCCGTGGAGGTCAATCATCTCCAGCTCCTCGTTCGGCATGTCGATGCTCCAGCTGCTCGCTCGCAGCACCGTGATGTCCTCGGTCCCGTTGTTCGTGATGCTGAAGCTGCGGACCACAGCGTTGTACTTCGGGAAGATGGAGTAGTGCAGGTCCGCGGAGACGTCCGAGTAGTTGTCGTACATGTGGACGATCAGCGTCGACACGTCCACCTCGCTGCCGTACGTGGCGGGCAGGCCGGGCAGAGCCGGCTTGCCGGAGCTCACGTCGTGGCCTACGTAGGAGAAGGCCGACACGGTGTTCCCGTCGGCGTGCTGGATGTGGATCGCGGGCACGCGGAAGTCTCCGCGGCCGAGGTCGGGAAACTCGCGGCGGCTGTAGGTGTAGGGGCCGCCCCAGCCGGAGGTCACGCCGTCGAAGTCGGGGACGGTCTCGGCGGCGTAGCTGCCCCAGTGGTCGTGGATCAGGTCCAGCGTTAAGGGGTCAACGTGGAATTGGTAGGAGATGTTGGACGAGGACAGAGTGAACGATGGACCATCGCCGACGGAAATCCCTAACAGAGAGTCAGTTTGTCTCCTAGGTAGTAGGTATAGTGTTGGAAGCAAGATAAAATAAAATAAAATAGTACTCACAATCCACGGTATCTTGGCATGATCCTAACGAAGGGAATTGACACCCCAGCAGGCTCACGGCAGTGAGTGACTTTGGGACCTTCATGTTGTTGTTGCTTGGCTTCGTTGGTCGATAGAAACATGAGGGAACCGACCCCCCAAACCCGAAAGCATGGCGGAATTCATCGAGCTTTTGAATCCTTCGGGCCTACTACTAGAAAGAAAAAAAAAGCCAAGTCTTAAGACCAGACGATCACATCACTGCGTAGCTACCTGGATGTAAGAAGTAGTTCGGTGATTACGCCACGTGCATTTCAAGAGAAAGAGAGATGGAGAGCTCCGAAAGTTCTTTTGCTCACGCCAAGGCCCCTTTTCAGCTCGGATGTGGTCTAGTGCCTAGGTACCATCGTGAAGAAAGCCGCAAGCCTCATGGCGAGAACAAGGAGCGCCCCGTAGAGCTAATGCAGTATCTACCAGTATCCCGGCCTAGAAAAAAATCTTTCTTGAAGCTCATCCCATCCCATCCTCCTCTGCTAGGTGAGCCAGAGAAAAAAAAATACAAAAAAACCGGGAAATGTCACTCCGGAGGAATGCTTGGGCTGACTGGGCTTGGAGTAGTTGCAGCTAGGCAACAAGATAGCTCTTAGCTACTCCGCATCTTACCTCGCCCATTAGCCCATTAGCGGAATCTACAGTGCGGGGAATTTCGGCGGGGATCTCGGCGAGCTATTTAAGCGTTGGGTCTTGAGCTCGGCTTGATGGGCTCGTCACCGGTGGTGTGTGTGGTGTGTGTGGTGTGTTTACTGTGATGTTCATCGGGTGTTGTTCCCCCAGTTTCTAGGCCAATGGGTGGCCACAGGGATTTCGCCTGTGGGAGAGATGAGATCGAATATTATACCGAACTTGGATCAAGGATCAAAAAGGATTCTTTTGAAGAAAATGACAGGTAATTATTAGATTATGTAGAAACATGTACATGTAGGCATTTATTTATTTATTACACCCTGATGTCCTTCTTGCCCACGAGACACCTACCTAACCTAGGTACCTACCTCCTACCATCCACTACCCACATAGTATGTGATCTATGTAGAAACATCAGATCCATTCATGCGAGATTCAAAGCGACCAAACGAAAATGTACGAAAAGATCGCCCACCATCGAAAATATGGGTACCTAGGTAGTTCCCTAGACTAGCTCTCCTCCTCGCTGAGAGATATAAGTAATGGAGATGTTCACCTTGGCGCGGGGATTCGCAACCAAACTGTACTATTCAAGGCAAAATTCCCGCGGCTTGCGTATGGCACCCTGTATCGCTTCCTGTCCTCGATGTGCAACACTGCAACGTGCAGCAAGCCGAGCTGTGGCTCCGGGTGGTCCGTGAAGACAGCGCCGACGAGCTCGCCGGGCCAGGGCTCCCGAGGTCATCCCAGCGCTCGCGCAATGAAATCATGTCCACGAACCCATCTCTGTCTAGGTGAACAACCGTTGTATTATGAAGCCATAGCACATTAGATCTATAACGCACAGCTCATCGACCTGATTAATATGTCCTTATCTTGGCATTTGCGAATCTCGAAGGCCTTTACGACTTCTGCTTAGTTTCTTTCAGTCAAGTACGTCGACCATTGCTTCGTGGTGGACCTAGGTTAGACATTACATCGAGGAAGCAAGCGAGCAAACAAGCAAGCAAGCAAGCTTTCACACATCAATCTGGGAACCATGTGGATTCGAAAGCGTCTCCAAAACTCCACAACTCCACAAACCCCAAGGTCCCCAACGCACTATCCTTCCCCATACTTGGAGAAATCCGACTAGCGTAGTGAAGTTCGACATTTGTCCAGCCTTGGCTCCCAGTACTAGCCAGCATTTTCTCCTCGTCTAAATGAAGAAGGCCCTTTTCGAACGAACGTTGCCGGTTCTGACAAGCCGCTAGTATGGATGTGCGGTAGCGGTTTCGGTGACGATTTCCCATGTGCCAGGTGACTAACCTAAACGCCGGTAGCAACGGTATAGTTCAGATATAAAGCTTCTACTGGCCATGGCTCTAGCACATCTAGATCTAGCAACCCCCTGGGTACATTGGCTTTATCAGATCCCGAGAACGCTATAATACCTAGGTATGTAAGCTTCCGAGTGGTGCGAGGTTGGACAGCGGCTTCGACGTCATAGACAGGCTGTCGGATGGATAGGTACGCCCATGTTATATGTCTCTGTCGTTGGCGATGGGCAACTACCATTAGGCGGTTGCGCATCGAAGTGTAGAATAATGCGGGATGCAGAAGCCAATATCCCGGTGGCAGCTCTGTGGCGGCCTGAGCAGAGTGTTGTTCCCCCATTCCAAAACCCGCGGGAGGCTACGGGGTCATCTGGCCTGCCTTTTCAGCCCAGCACTTGCAAGAACCGTCTGGCTTCAAGTTTACCCACCTTCTCGCCGCATACGGTTGCGTGAATATGTTGGGGCATTTGTAGAAGAAGGGTTTGGCGTGAAGATGGTTATAAGTCGCCGATAAGTTGGGAAGTCAGTTGGCCTTTTCAACGGGAACAGAGGTGAACTGAAGTTGATGGACATTATAATTTTCTAGAGACGTGGAGGTCGAGGTCGAAGAAATCATTCCGGAGAGTAACATTCTAACGTTTCTATAAGGACGGCTCTGCCCTTACTTATAGGTAACCTAGTGCAGTCGGAATCAACTGGCAGCACACCCAATATACCTGCGTAGGTAGGTACCTATATGTGTAAGCACTTCGGTGGCATGCACCTACATACATACCTATGCAAAGGAAAATATCTATAAAACATGGCAGGAATGGGAGATTTTTACCTCAGAGTTTTTCAGCCCCCTAACCTAGGTAGGTAGTATATATCTCCATTGGCACCGCGCAACTCGAATATGACCAACACTGCGAGCTCGAGGGTACCTAGTCACGATGTTCTTAGTACCCACCCCCCTGACATATAAACAACCGGTGGCGGCATTTTGTTCTGTCACTGCTTGGCCCCAAAACCAGCGGCGAGGCCGATACGGTATCAGATCCTGCTACTAAGGCTTTGGATGCGGCGTCGGCTTGCACATGTTCGTGGAGGTGCCTAGTTCAAGCAGCACTAGACTCCGATCTCTTGCCTAGGTATCGGCGTGTCGCTCGTCAGTATTTTCTCAAGCATTCGGGGGTTCTGTCATCATAAAGTCGCAAGCGTCCGTCTTGAACAACGAACCCATGGCGAATCTTCATCTCAAGTTGCAACAAAGTTGTCGTGGCAGATAGAACGGATTTCTGATTAATGTTGCCTGGCTGGTACCTTGAAGAGTGTTTGAAGTGGTAATTTGCAGTCTTCAAGTGCTGTGTTTTATGTACCAGCCATGTACTTCGTACATTTGCGGCAATGTAGTGTACCTTGTACTCTTCTGGAGCATTGAACGGACAGGCAGATGTCAGGAAGCAAACACATAGTACAAGCTACGGAGAGAAGTAGGAATATTCACTTATAGTAGAAGATTATGAGCCACCTCTATGTATTGTTTAGCAGCTAAAGCATCAAACGCCCGCGGGCTCATCAAGTGGTTCAGAATACGTTAGCGGCTTCCTACAGCGTAGAACGCCTCTCGACGTCCTCGTAAGGAGGGGGTGGATCTGTGATACGTGACACGTTGATATGATAGAAGAGGAGATGCATAAAAACATGCATGTAAGGAAAAAGAGCCAAGTCATGGTCAAGTGATGTTGTATAGCAACGGGAATATGTACATATGATGGTAGTAAGTACATAAGGCCTCTCTATATCACAATCGGATGAGTGTGGAAATACCAAAACCCCCTTTACCCGACTAAGATGACACTCGTCATGTAGGCCAAGACCCAGAGCTAAGCAGTTGTCGTTGTTTTTCTAACAACGAGATATCAAAGCCATTCAAGGTGGCATTACCATCCTACGTGATATCAATGGTGCGTACAATACCTAGTAGTATTGCAATATTATTGTCTTCTTAGGTCGCCGATGAATGCTACATGTCTATAACATGATAACCTCAGGAGCTGGCTATGCTAAATACCTAGCTAAGGTGCGTATAGGTAGACCACTTATGGACAATGTCTTGGTGGTTCGAGGGACTACGACGTCACGGTGTCTCAAGTGCGTACGAATCCAGAATCGCGGGCCGTGTAACGAATTTACCTGTCCAATGTAAGTCCTAAAATTCAATCCTTTATTCAATTCCGCCTCCTCCATGATGTACCAGGAGCTCGGAACGGGACAACATGCATAACCAAGCTTTGTCGATCATCTCCAGGTTTTATGCTCGATGGACAGATCTAAAATGCGGGGAGCATAACACTACTTCTGTTTCTCCATAGCTGGTGGCTTTCTATCAGCTAATCGGATCTTCTCTTGACGACATCGACTTACACGTAATCGAAGTCCAAGTATAAAAGTATTCACGAGTACTCCCTGGATCAACCTGAGTGCTAAAATACAGAAAGATACTCCTTGTTGACATATAAAGAACATCAATGATGAACCTCAATGTTGGAAGACGAAGCACAGTATAAAAATGGACCACAAGGAGACGCCAGGAGTTACTACTGGCTAGTATGCATCGTTTGTCTCAGCAGGTGCGAAGATGGTGAGTCCATCTGATGAAATGTGGCTGACCATTCGGATAAGACGGATTTAGCAAGGCAGTATAAGTCGCCCTTTACTGACATTTGCCTCGTCATCAGCAGCTTACGAGGCACAAGAAGCTGGCTGTGAGGCGATCTTGATTGGCCTCATAGATGTCTTGGCCCTGTTCTCAACATCATGACTTCATCAGGTCTTTGTTCTAAACAACAACCCCGCGATGGTGACCGTCTGCAGCCATGGAGGGTCCGGCTTTAAATGCAGGACGTTGCCTCCAGCTTCTTCTTGTTGTTCTGTGAAACAATTCTCGTTAAAAATCGAGGAGATACCTGCTGCAGCTGTACTGCATCTCATCTGAATATCATAATATCGGTGTTTATATGATCCTGTCGCTACCTTAGGTTCCATACCCAGCAATCACGATGCAGTACAAGACACCTCTCCTACTAGCATTGGCTTCTGTGGCCTCTGCCCAGACACCGAGTTTGACCGATGCTCTCGGATCTCAGAACTCGAGTCTGTCGTCTCTAAGCGGTATGCTGAATTGCTTCCATTGTCTCAAGCCCCTAACTAACATTTCATAGCTCTCATCGCATCCGACTCTTCATTCGCCGATGCCTTGAACAACTTACATAATATTACCATCTTGGCCCCCAGCAATGATGCTCTAAACGCTCTGAACGATAGCACTTCGTTGCTGACCAATCCGGGATACCTCCAAGCATTGTTGAGTTATCATGTCCTGAACGGCACACATCTGGACTCGAGCTTTGGCAACGACTCCGTGTTCATCCGGACACAACTGACCAACTCGACTTACACCAATGTCACCGGTGGCCAAGTAGTTGAAGCCCGGCTCAACGATAATAACGTGACGTTCTTCAGCGCATTGAAGGAGAATGCCTCCGTCATCACACCGGTTAGTTTACCAGCTGACTCAACCCAACACGAACATTGATTACTGACAAGTCATAGAACATCAACTTTACCGGTGGCACCATTCACATCATCGACAATCTCCTAGTAATCCCCCAGAACGTGACAGAGACCTTGTCCAACGCGAACCTCACCGCAGCTGAAGGCGCCATCAACGCTGCCAACCTGACAGACTCGCTTGCAAACACGCACGACATCACCATCTTCGCGCCCAACAACGATGCGTTTGATGCCATCGGCAATCTCGTCGCTAACTTCAGCTCAGACCAGCTGACCAGCGTCATCGGCTACCACGTCATCAACGGCTCCGTAGCCTACAGCAGCCAGCTATCAAATACATCTGTACAAGCCGTTAACGGCCAGAACCTCACCATCACTGTGATCGATGGCACGGTATACGTCAATTCCGCCAAGGTCACTGTCCCCGATATCCTCATCGAGAATGGTGTCGTACACGTGATTGACGGGTAAGTTTCCCCTATCTGCCTACACCCTCATCACCGCCCAAAATATCTACTTAGGTAAACTGTCGCTGACGGTCGGTTCACAGAGTTCTAAACCCAGACAACGCCTCTGCTACCCCCGACACCACGGCCACAACCACCGCGCCAGCTTTCTCCGGTGCAAGCACTGGCACCGACGGCGTTCCCTTCACCAGTGGAGTCACCACACCTACCACCACATTCCCTGCTGCCACATCGGCGGGAGGTTCGGAAACGACTTCGAGCTCCGAGGGCGCGGCAGTCCCCAAGCAGACCGGTGCCATTGGTGCTGCCGCGCTTTTCGGCGGTGCTGTTATCTTTGCCAATCTATAAGGACTTGGCATAAGCTATATCTTGGAGTAAAGATGTTTAAATGAAGTAAGACGAGGTCATGAAAAATCGTCGGTTGGGAGAAGGGGGATTAATAATGGGGCTTTCATTGCACCTGTATTGTAGTTATCCCCGGTGCAACTCTTTATACACCTGTTACCTAAATACACGCTTATTTGTGACATATATGGGGTGGGGGGTTTCCCCTACGGTAGGTAGTATCATATAACGCATTATTATGTCGTTATTGAGTTCCTCAATGAACAACGTTCTCACCCCTTTATACTCAGACCTTCCCTCACCACAAAGAAGTGAAATTAAGAGCATAAAGTAGAAATAATCTTTTTCGCCAAGGTAAATATCAAGCAATCCAAAACCACACCCTCTCCAACCAATTCCTCGGCACCGGCTCCTTCCACGTCCCCTCCAGCCGATCCACCTCCGCCTTCCCGCTCCAGAGATCCATATCCCCCAGCTTAACCATCTTCGTCCCCTTCACAAACTTATACCCCAGGAACAACGCCGCGAAGATCGGTATATCGATATACGGCGGCACGAAAGTCTTCGCGCTGAACTTGCCGGGGAAAAAGGCATCATACCCGTTAAAAAACGCGACCACGAGACAGAAACAGATCGCGAAGTACGCGAGGAACGGCTGGAAGGGCGATTTGTACGGCAGCGTGTCCCGCGATATCCCGTTATACCGCAGGCCGTGGTAGAAGCGGAGGTAGGTCAGGCAGATGGACGCCCACACGATCAGCGTCGAGACGGCCGAGATGTTGGAGAACCAGAAGAACACCTCTTCGCCCTGGTGGTCGAGGTTCATGTAGCTCAGCAGACTCAGCGCCGTCGTCGCAGCCACACACGCATACGGGACGCCCCACCTCTCGTACCTGAGGAATCTCGGGGCTTTCCCATCCAGCGCCGCAGCATACAGCACGCGCGTCGACGCATAGAAGAACGAGTTCCCCGCGGACCACGCCGACGTCAGCACCACCGCGTTGATAATCGACGGCAGGACCCTGATCCCGCCATTCTCAATGGCAATGACGAACGGCGACGCGGCGGCGCCCGGGGCCTCGGCCGCGATGGCGTCGAGCAGGCGGGCGTCGCGCGAGGACACGCACAGGGTGACGAGGAAGACGGCGAGGACGTAGAACAGCGCGATGCGCCAGAAGACGCGGCGGACGGCCTTGGGGATGTTGCGCCGCGGGTCCGCGGTCTCGCCGCTCGCAACCACCACCATCTCGCTGCCGCCGTACGAGAACGTCGCCTGGATGAAGACCTTCCCGAACGCGAGAAACCGCCCCGCCGCCCCCGCCGCCAGGTACGCGTTCATCGGCCCCGGGTCGTCCCAGTACCTGAACCCGATGCGCTCCCCGCCGGGCGCGCCGCCGAGCGTGATGACGAGCATGAGCAGGATCAGCCCGACGATGGTGGTCAGCTTTACCGCGCCGAAGACGAACTCGGCCTCCCCGTACACGCGCACGGGGAAGCAGTTCACGAGGACCATGGCGAGGAAGAAGACGGTGATGAGCGCGGCCTTGGGGATGCTGTTGGGCCAGTAGTCGACGACGACGACGGAGACGGTGACCTCGAGGGGGCACCCGATCGCCAGCTGGTACCAGTAGTTCCAGCCGAGCACGAAGCCGAGCGCCTCGTCGACGTAGCGGCCCGCGTACACCGGCACCGCGCCCGGGAGCGGGAGGTAGGTCGCCATCTCGCCGAGGCTGTGCACGACGCAGTACACGTTGAGCGCCGTGATCAGGTATGCCAGGAACGTGGACAAGGGCCCCGCGAGGGAGAGCACTTGCCCGCTGCCGACGAAGAGGCCGGTGCCGATTGCGCCCGACAGCGCCATGAACTGCACGTGCCGCGACTTGAGCCTCCGGTCGAGCGTGCCGACGTTGCGGTTTTCTTGCTGCTGCTGCTGCGACGAGGCTTTTAGGTCGTCCCCCATCGCGTCGGCTTCCTGGTTCGCTTTCGTCTCCCCCCTCTTGGACCCTGTTTCTATATCCGCCATTGGTAGGTACCTAAGTCTGCATATGCGAGTTCTGCGATATGCGCCTTACGGTGGGTTGGGTGTATGGTATGTGAATACCAATACTCCCCTCCTAAAATCCAAAATATAATCTATCTAGGTAGGTAGGGAATAGGGAGTAGGCTGAAGCATTGTCCCCAGATATAGGTAGATAGGAGAACTCGTGCAGTATTAAATCTACTCCGCACGCGCTGGCTGCATACCCGTGCCATCGTGGGGAGTTGGCACATATTGCCCTTTTAGGGAGGTGGCTAGAGGGGGGGGGGGGTTGATGCGATACTACGCTGATAGGTGCTTACCTAGTAAATATCGTTGCAGGCCATGGCGAGGTCACACGGCCGTTTGATGGTGCGTATTATAGTTACCAAAACGTCGGAAACGATTACCTTGGGGCTGGCAGGTAGCGTACTTCCACGGATGCTAACGGCCAAAGCTCGAGAGCTGAGTTGACGGGTTTTGGTTCATTAGTCCTGGCGTTTATCGTGTAGATAAAATAATTTTCCATGATAAAAAAATATCAGCTTCCAAGGGATCTTTGAAGGGATTCATGCCGAGCCGCCAAGACTGTAAGGGTGCTTGCATCGTGGTAGGGCACGGGAACGTTGCTATCTTTTTCTTTTTCTTTTTCTTCCCTTTCTGATACGGCACGAAAGAGGCGTCGCAGTGCAGTCCTACATGTAAGTTCGTAGATACCTGAATCATCATAACTTCGGTGAAACACTCAGCGATTTCCTTCATCACCGTTACTTCATCAAACATACCTATGTACCCACCCATCTATATACACACACGTACAACACTTCCAAAGGGTATACCAACCTCTCTCCTCTCCTCACATCATGCTTCAGATCACGCATCATGATTCCACCCAGGCATATCCGCCAGATCTTTCGCGGGCGCCCCGCGCTTTGACCTGAGCGCATCGCCGCCAGGCCGCCACCTCCACGCCTGCACGAACTTGTCGTCCAGGCTGCCCTCGATCAGCTCGACGACGTGCTTTCCGATGTTCGGGAGGAGTTTGAAGGTGTGTCTGTGATTATGGTGGGTAAACGTTAGCGTGGGAGTTTTGTTAGATATTAGATATCTCCGACAAAACAAAATGATTCGTTGTAGTTAAGTTATGTCCCGGATTTGGATTGGGTGGGTATGTAAGAGAGAGAGGGAGGTAGGAAAGGCAACGCACCCGCTGTCCCCCGTCGCGAGGATAAAGTTCTTCCACCTCGGATGCTCGCAGATCAGGAGGGCCGTGTCCGCCGTATCAGTGCACCAGCACAGCGCCCGGTTAAACAGTTCCTTGTCCGCGAAGCGCGGGAGGAACGTCGCGATGGCTCTGCGGATGCCCTTCTCCGATGCGTCGGGGTACGTGTCTGTGGGGTGCTTTGCGTGAGAGCGGGGGACCGAGACGGGCTTGGGCTTCTCGGCGCCGTAGGGCTGGTGCTGCTTGAACCGCGTGAAGCCGGGGAACTCGTCGCACACTTTGATCACGCCGTTTCTGGGTACCCGTTAGCACGTTCTGTCAAAAAGAAAAAAACCCAATGTCTTTTTAAAGGGGTGGCGCGTACTCGTTGGGCTCGAAGAAGAACCCGACGTCGCCATTATACACCACAGGCGTGTCCTTGTATGCGGCAGCTTCTTCAGGCGTCAGCTGCATCATGGCATATACCCAGGCCTAATGTTGGCGATTAGCAGATTTTTTTCCCCATAAAGGGTTCTTGCCATGCTCACCTTCGAACAACACTGGTCTTCCAAATCCACCAACGCCGGGCTCCAAGCTCCGGTAGCCAAAACCACCTTGTCGGCGTAGTACTTCGTCCCGTCCACCGTCTCCAGCCCAACACACGTCGTCCCACCTTCCTTGAAAAGCGGTTGCTTGAAGGATCCCGCCCTGCGAAGTCCGTTAGCAAACCCATAGCCGTGTAATCGACGCATTTGGGCTTCCGCTTACCCTCCGAATCCAAACTTGACTCCCTGCTTGCGCAGCTCCTCTCCGATCGCATTGATCGCCTTGGCCGCAGCTAGCCAGCCGCCATCCTTGCAGAATATCGCTTTCCAGCCCTGGATCTGGTCCCGCTCCAGCAGGGGCATCTTCGCCAGTATCTCGTCCTCGGTTTCCAGCCACTCGTTGGTCTTTTCTAGGTCATGGCCCGCTTTGAGGAGGGTCTCGTACTCTTCTCTGAGAGATGCGATGCCCTCTTCTGTTCTCTCGCAGTCAAGCTAGTCTACGTCAGTGTTAAGATTCTCCTCGTAAAAAAAAGCTCCCCCGGTAAAAGGAGGGAAAGAAATTGTGTTACCCTGCCGGTGTTGTGGAAGAACGGCTTGAACAGCTCGTCGTTCCTCCACATATCCCTAGCCTCGAGACTAAGCTGCAGGTCAACTTTATTCCGCAGCTGGATGCCCATGATCTTGTTGAGGTCGTTCCCAGCGGACTGCGCCGACGGAATGGGATACGTGTCGAGGACGGTGATGTTCGACGGCGTGTACCCATTCCGTACCAGGTGCAGCGCGGTGGAGGAGCCCATCGTGCCGCCTCCGCCGACGACGACGATCGTGGTGTTTGCGCGCGAAGTAGCCATTTTTCTTTTCGTCACGAATTTCTATAATATCCTCTAGTGTTTTCTCTAGAGTTCAGGTTCTAACTTTTATTGTCACTTGTGTTGTCAAACGCTTCTTCACATTGGCCCTGCAAGTTGCTCGTCTGTATATATATAAGTATGCTAGATGTATTTAGTCTAGAGGCTAAGTCGCAATCAGCAATTCTGAGTGGCACGATGTTGAGTTTAGAAAAAAAAAAGTCGACTGACCACCTCTAGAACTATATCTAGTATGGAGTCTCGGGCCCTAGGTCTGAGTAACGGCTCGGGTCCGGTCGGTGGCGGGGTTTTCTTGACTCCTAACTTCTCCGTTACGAGAGTTCGTCTATTAAATGGAGCCGTAGAGGAGTGTGGGACGATGATGATTGTAAGTAATCCGATGTTCGCCGTTATCTTTGCTGGTTCGCATCCGAGACTGTTAATATGTCCCAATATGTCCCAAATAGGAGTCTTGGTTGCGATACTTGGTATTCTCTATTACCGATGTACGGGTGTAGATACCACAGGACAAGCAATCGTGAGGCTCAAGAAACAAAACCAAGGTAATAGGTTAATTCATACCTACCCGTTTCTTGTTACTTGAATCTCTGCCGTAGATGGTATACTAAATATACTAGCTTTCAGATAGGTTGCTTCTCGGCCCTAGAGGCCCGACGATCGATGCTTAGCTACCTAGGCGAGTAATGGACCCGGGCTGTTATGGTTACCGAACTAGGACAAGTGAGATACGGGGGGAAAAGTCCCTGCAGGTCACTCCTAGCTGTTTCTCGTAGTCTATTAGCCCAATTGGTGTCGTATGATACGACACCACTCGTATCGGCCGGTATTGGCCCGTCAACCCTTTCACCTTCAAGGGATCAGACGCTAGAGCCCGGAGAACAAGACTAATAAGAGGTTCATTCTCCTGGGACTGCTATCATTTCCAGACCAGGTTTAATTCTACATGTCTGCATGGTAACGCGTGTTCCGAACTAGGAACCTGGGATTTTGTAGCTGTTCTATTCGAATAAATCTGTAGTAGACGATTGTCAATCCGTTCTCCTCGAGCAGGTCTCGGGTCCATGATATAACCACGCGTTATCTGATCCCTTCAGTAGATTGCCTAGTCCCTCCTTACCCCTGCCTAGATATCATAACGTAAATGCTTTCTCAGAAATCCGTGGGGCCCCAAGACGTCTTTACCCCAGTTTGATGCACAATCTCCATTGCCGCATACGGAATGGGAATCCACAGATTGGTGAAGCTGAACCTGATAAGCGACAAGGGAAGTATAGCTCCTTGGCATTAAGGTTCGCGATGCCTGGGGATGTATATATCTCGAAGGGATTCGCGTGCAAGCCCATGGAGACTTTTTCAACTTCAGCATTCCTAACTTGGCCCAGACAATTATAGCTGAAGGGGTAGTAGTTTGCCTACACAACATCAACATCATGTCGAATTTCGACGCGGCACCCCCTAATACTCATGCGGGTGGGAACGATAATGCCCTTCGGGGCCAAGGCTCACTTCCAATGAACCCGACTACCAACGCCGACGAAAGGGTTGACATGGGCGCATACAGAAAAGATGTTCCGCGATGGAAGCAAATCTACCAACACAGCTTGACGCAGATGCTGCTACTGAGTGTGCAGGCTTTCTGTGGGCCGGCTATGGCAGATGCTATTGCAGGCCTCGGCGGTGGTGGTTTGGCGACTCCTCAGACTTCCAACATAGCGTACGTTTTGCCGTTTCATCACTTCATCGTTGCATAAAGGAGCCCGTGAAGACTGAAGGGAGAGCTAATAGCTAACTTCAACTGGACAGTACCGCAATCAACTACGCTATGCTCGCTACAGTCTGTTTATTCGGCGGCCCGCTCGTGAACAAGTTGGGCACAAAGTGGGCGCTGGTCATTGGCGCCATGTCGTTCCCTATCCGCGGCTCGTCTTATTACTGCAACAGCAAGTTTGGTAATCAATGGGTAGGCAATTTTTGATCAGAACTTGTATAATCTTCGAATATGACTAATAGAGAAATCTCTGGCAGTATCTCATCTTCGGTGGCTTCGTTACGGGCATAGGTAGCGGATGTTGGTATGTTGCCGAGTCTGGATCCATTATGTCACTCGCACCGGCGAATTCCCGTGGCAAGTATCTCGCCCTATGGATTGTCGCCCGAAATCTTGGACAGCTAGTTGGAGGTGCTATCAAGTGAGTTTTTCGACCAGAAAGCCCCTTGAACAAGAAGTTCAAAATGCTAACTGACATCTTCCACTAAGCTTGTCTAAAAATCATGTCAAGGGCGTCACTGGCGGTGTCACGCCTGACACTTATGTCGCATTTTTAATTATCGAGAGTTTGGCGTGAGTAGTAACGAAGCGTACTTAAACTTGACGGCATGCTAATTCAATCAGGTTACCATTCGCCTTTCTTATATCACCTCTTGAGCACGTCGTCCGATCCGACGGGACACGCATTCTCGTCTCGGAGAAGCTCACATTTAAGCAGGAGACGAAACTCATCAAGTTTACCATGTCATCAAAGCTCATCCTGCTTTCGGCGCTTTGGGCAGTTTGGTCCTTCTTCTATAGGTGAGTGCTCGGCAGCCCAGATTCTTACTCATTGCAATTCTGAGCTAACCGATGATATAGCGGTACTTGGTCCACATACTTGGCAACATACTTCTCTGTTCGTTCTCGTGCCCTGTCATCGCTCATCTCGCCATTTTTCTGCATGTAAGTATTTCCCCTTTCGGCATTTGCCTTTTTAAAAGCCGATTTTAATCATGAACACAGCATCGGTTGCTTCGGCCTCGGATTCATCCTCGACATGAAATCCCTTAGCCAACGCCGTAGAGCGCAAGTTGGTCTATTTACTGTCGTCGTTGTTAACACGGGTGTGTACATCTGGTCAATCGTGATGCAAGCAAGATTCAACACCACGAATCCCGGGAAAATCGACTGGGACGAACCCCTCTACGCTTCCTCTTTCTTGCCATACTTCTTCGTCCAAACCACCGGTCCACTCTCGCAGTCGTACATGTACTGGCTTCTGTCCTCATTTGCTACAGATGCACAAGCAAATGTTCGCAACGGCGCTGCTTTTAGATGTCTCGAGGCGGTTGGCCAAGCCATCTCATACGGCATGAACACCCAAATAAAAACTAGCCCCATGATCGGATTGTACGTAATCTCAATTTCCTTCAACAAATGGTCGACCACCACGCTAACATACATATCTAGTTGTGTAACATTTGGTCTCATGGCAGCAGCTCTAGGGCCTATGCTAGCCCTAGTCAACTCTACGCCAGATCGTATTCCAGCTGATGTGATCCTAGAGGAACAAGAAATTCCGGAGAAGAAGCTCGCTGATTTCAAGGCGGAGGCATAGCCTGGTATATAGGTACCTAAGGGAGATTTGGGAAAGCTGTTATTAGCAAATTTAACGATTAATAGAGAAACTCGTGCTGTGTTTCTGTGGAATGGAGAAATATGTAATGCGTATTTCAATTCATGGCCATAATCTTTCGTCATTCGGATTGCGAAACCAGATTCGCGTCAATGATCTTTTTCTCGTCATATGATAATCGTCCTACCCCGATCAGCACAGTTACCTGATAGTTATACGTGCTGTGGTACATCATCAGCAAACGTCGTTTCCTGGGGGCCATGGTAGTTTATTACGTGCTATAAGCGAACTTCAGGACCCGAAATCGGTACGGTATCGTATAATCGTAAAACGGTGTCGGGGTTTCTGGGTCTCGGACGGGGTCGGAATTGCCGAACGATTTGCAAAATAAAATAATAGGACAATGGATCGTCGGTAGGAAGGAGGCTCGCGTTCATCGTCAAAGGGGTGGTCCGAAAATATCTTCTCCATTCGAAGCAACCTTTCGTCTCTTAGACTCGCGTTCTTCGTTGTTGCTATTTCCAAATACCTTCTCGTCTGCTTGAAGACCTGCTTTAGCCTTGGGCTTATGGGTTGCCTGCTCTCTTCGTGATTTCTGCAGTGCAACCAGGTCGACCCTATCTGGGTCTCGACACTTGGTGAGCTTCCTCCTAATAACTTTGATGGCCTTGGTGCTCTCGGCCTATTCTCACGGGGTCAGCGGGTAAATTGTTATGATCTTGTATCGAGGTGTACTTACGTCTGTCCAATATGTATTCATCTTCTCCGGCGGTTCTTTTTCTAGCATGGCCTTGCAGCCTTCTATCACACCCCATATCTTTTCCCTGGCAACTTCGCCTTGGCCAGTGAACGCTTCTCGCAGCATGCATTGCACCAACTCTTCGTCGGCTATAGCCATAGCTGCGTACATGATCTGGCTCGGTGTATAATGGAAGTAGACATCTGTAACCAATGGGCTGAACTTTAAGATGTCTCTTGTTCTCTTATGTGCTCTGTTTATCCTGTCATCGTCAAAATCGCCTAGTCTTCTCAATTCCATGATGGATCCTTCTAAGGCACGGAATGGATGTCGCACATCGAATGCGAAACGTATGCCCTGGCAAAGCACGTATTCGGCCGCAAGAATCATCTCGCCCGTCGTGTTTGGGAATATGTCGGCAATCTTTTGCACTCGTATGAAGGAGCCTTCCGCCTTGCAGCCGAAGAATAGACATGTCTTGATAAGTTCCTGTGGCGGGTAGGTCATAACACTGTTGGTGACATAGAAGCGTCGTAAAAAGGTGGCAGCGGTGGCTTGTATGTCGGTTGGCAGATGACAGTAGGGTGCAGCGCGTAGGAGCTCGAGGGTAAAGTGGTTCAAAATTTGGTATTCCTCGGCTGGGGTCAAGAAGTTTGGCAATGGGTCGACAGGTGTGTCTGAGGAACGAAGGCGATTAGAAATCTGGGTTTGTGCGAGAGAATTGGTGGTTTCTCGGAGACTGGCGAGGTGAGCAGGCGTGAAAGACCACAGCCGATATTGGCTGGACTGCCTGTACCTAGCATCCTCGGTTGCCATTGGAAGAATGGCAATCTTTATTTTCTTTTGTTAAACAGACCGAGTTAGTGTCCTTGTGAGGTGAGCATCCAAGTACGAGACTGGAAAATGAAGGTGTAGGAAGGTGAATTGATTCAATGTTGTTAAAAGAAGAAAGGCCAAGAATCAAAAAGGAAAGAAGCACATGCAGCTTTGGAGCTTGGGACACATTAACTTTCAGCTGGCAGTTGGCAGCTGGCAACAGGTGTCGGAGGAAACTCGGTTTATCTACCTAGGTAATCGAGACCCACTTACCGGTTGTGCCCCTCCCCCCTATTTCTCTACCTAGGGTAGCTCACTATTTTTTCATACAAACACATAAACAAGACTTAGTTGTTCAGAATTTCAGAAACTCTCATCTAGTATTTTGTATGTGCTCATTGCTCAATTACTACGAGTTTCATTAATATACTACCCAAGCTGCCTATATAACACCTGATATTAAGTACTTGTCACGAAGCAGAACCTAGAAGGCGCAGAACAGCATTGTTGTTAGAGGGAGTCTGATGGAACAATTGCTTTGTTGTTAAAAACACTTGGAGAGCTGTATCAACTACATAGTATGTATCTTTGAATGTATTGTATGATACAATACAAAGTTACCTTCGAGTTACTATTTCCAGGTACAGTTAACTGCTAAAGGCTAAACCTTGGGGGAAATATTTCGAATGCACTGATCTTGATTCTGCCAATCCATCTCGTTTCAATGTTCTATCGTGTTGACTGTGGTAAATCAATCATTGAAGTCTATTTTAGGTAGGCAACTAGCCTAGGGTATATTCCCATCAATCAGCAAGTCTCCGATTCGACACTGAGTTAGGACTATACGGATTTTATGACATTGATCGGACTAGCTCGGAAAACAGCACCCAAGTAAGACTCCGAGCGGCCAAACCGTTAGGTTAGAATAATCTCCAGGGTCAAGTTTCCAACAATTCGGTAATAAAATGTAAACCACGATTCTTAAGTCCATTAATAAGGCCGTATTTGATGGTATTTCTGCCTTTGAAGTCGTGTATATAGTATGTGTATATAATGTCCCAATTCCAGTAGGTATCAAAGGATTGCGAGAGAATCAGTTGCACTCGAGCCAGGCATCAACAGTATTAAGTAGCTACTGTAATAGATATTTACTATAATTTCACCAACTTAATTCTCTCCCACAGCCATGCGCTCTCACGACCACGCCCTCATCGGGGACGCCGCGCACATCCCCGTCAACCCCCCCACCCCCGTCTTAACATTCAGCCCCATCGTCCTCCCCTACCCATCCCGTCCCGTCAACCTCGACATCAAAGTATCAGCGCCATCCACCGGCGCCTCCCTCCCCATCATCCTCCTCTCCCACGGCCAAGGCCGCAGCAACAACCTCAACTCCCTCGAAGGCTACACGCCGCTCGCCGAGTTTTGGGCCGCCCATGGCTTCGTCGTAATCCAGCCCACGCACCTGTCCTCCATGTCTCTTAGACTCGAGGCGCCGGAGGACAACACGTACTTCTGGAAAGACCGCGCGCAGGACATGGTCCGCATCCTCGACCAGCTCGACGCCATCGAGGCCGCCGTCCCGGGGCTGCAGGGACGGCTGGACCGCACGAGAGTGGCTGTCGCGGGGCACTCGCTTGGCGCGTGGACGGCGTCCATGCTGCTGGGTGCCACTAACACCGACCCCCGCGATGGCTCGGTGACGGAGTCGTTCGAGAGGCGCATCAAGGCCGGCGTAATACTGACCGGCACAGGCAACGCCGGCTCGGACCTCTCCGACATGGGACACGCCATGGTTCCCTTCTACGGGCCCGATTTCAGCTCCATGCACACGCCCGCCTTGGTCGTCTGTGGCACCGAGGATGTGAGCCCGCACCTGACGACGCGCGGCGCGGACTGGCATGCGGACTGCTACCACCTGTCCCCGGGACCGAAAGACTTGCTGTGGGTTAAAGGTTCCGGGCACATTCTTGGTGGCATATCAGGCTGGGATGCCGTGGAGACGACGGATGAGAGCCCGGAGCGGGTGGGACTGGTCCAGAGGATGACGCTGGCGTATCTGAGAAGTGCGCTTTGTGACGGAGATAAGTCTTGGGATGAGGCGAGCCAGGCGCTGGAGAAGATTGAGCGGCTAGGGACCACTGAGAAAAAGGGCAAATGAGCAAGGTGAAGAAGGAAAGCTGGAATGAGATCTTGGGTGCAAAGTTTGCGTTTGCATTGATAGCTGATGCATGTGCTTCTCATTTTTATGTACATACCTCACCACTCATTAGAAGCTCATTAAAACTACTTTCATTTGTGAATTTATGCGAGTAGAGCGCTGTTCAACTTGAAGGTTGATTTTACGGCATACAATGACGCATCTCAGTAGGTGACTAAAAGTAGTATTATTCTATACACCACCTAGGCAGCGAGCAAGCATAACTCTAGATATACGTGCGGCTCACCATTACCATCTCACGTATCACAGCATCCATTTTTAGTCCGTCATCCGTCAAGGTTCGGGGGGGGTTTGCTGTTTAATCGGCCCCACCATAGCGCCCCTTTTCTACTTGGCCCGGTCGTGGCATCCCGTACCCAGTAGTTCGCTCGTAACTCAAGATTTCTGCATTCCAACAACTAATTAGAAAGAATTATACTATTTATACACCTCATATCCCTCCTTCGCATATTTACCCCAATAGCGACGCGACTTAATGAAACCAAAACAAGCATTACACCCAGCGTTCAGGCGCCTCTGTCGTAGTGTAGGCCAACCAGGCCACTTGACTAAAACGGAAGTTCACTCAACGCTGATTGGCCAGCGTCAACTCTCCCGCTGAATTTTCATCTCCCACATACATACTACTTATTAGGAGCCATCAAATGCTTTAGGGTGGAATGTAAAAACCGTTCGGGAAAGTCTCATCGCTACTAGGAGTATTGCATACTATATTGTGACACGCATGTAGGGTTCACGTAGCTGGCTTATTTATTTATTTCATTTTGTCAGCTGTCTATCTTGCTATGTACAAGGACTGATGAAGCCAACGGACAGTCATCTCGTTCTTTGTATGGCATCTCTCTTCTCCTTTTGTACCAATTTCCTAGAGGCTAGATAGATACTTTACATGCATACTGGACAAAACTCGCCCAAAAAAGTAAGGATATCGCCCCTTCTCACCTCAGCACCAGAGCCAACCTACGCAGTACCTACCTACCTACCTAGGTAGTGCCCATTCAACCCTTCGCCAAAACCTCCCCATAGCACCCATTACACCACAGCTGCTCCCACCACCCCTCCCGCACCACCACCAACTTCGCCGTCTTGTCCTTCTGGCAGCGCCCACACGTAAACTTATGCGATTTATCTAGTCTGTACTGCTGCATGCCGCCGCGCGGAGGGAAGGTCTTGGCGATTGTGAACTGGGGCGGCACAGCTTCTGCACTCCCCTTTTGGGCAGAGGAGGGCGGTGGCGACGATGATAAGGGCTGTTGCTGCTGTTGTTGTTGGTCAGCGGCTCTGTTGCCGGAGGACATTGTAACTAGGTATAGGGGAGGTGTAGGCAACGAGGCTGTTCGGTGAGTGTTGGCTTGAAGGTAGGTAGGCAACAGCAAGTAAAATCAGGTGGTTCATTCAACAAGGGGTGTCTAGGTGTACCCGTTAGAAGTGAGTAAGTATGAGGCTCCCTTCTATGGTAGGTGGATGGATATAGGCTTAGATTGATTGATAAACTGAATATCTCTTTACCTACATAAAAGGGGCGGATATCTCAATCCTTATATATCTATTGGCTACGATGGCTACAAGTGAGCCAAAGTAGCCAAAACAAAGTGGGGTAAATTTCTAAATTTTGTCACAACTCCGTTTTCCACACGAAGTGCAAAAAGCACACGGCAAGCAAGGATCGGATAGGGACGTATTGTCCGTTACGGCAACTGGCATCTGCGGGCGGGAAGACCTGCACTGCATGTACAAGCACCTACGGCGTCATGCATCATGAGGTTTCACTCTGCCCCCCCAACCCGTTAGCCATTTATCCCAATCACAGTTCAACATCAACAATGCCGTTACACTGCGCCAGCCAACATTCTGAAACTTAAGGTAGGTGCCTACGATTTCTGCCCGATCAGTCAGTGTGACTCCTACTCCGCGCTGGTCAGTTGGCAGTCCCAGACAAAGAGAAAAGGGGGAGCAGCCTGACAGTGAGACGATGTCGAGGTATAAACAATTTATTTTGTAACCGATTTCTGCCATATACATATACTTACTTCCCCTATTAGGGAGGCTATTTACAAGATCAGCAGTTTCCCCTCAACCCCCCAAGCTCGGCGACCCATGCCCACCGAGAATTTGGTACGATTGATGTAGGTTAGGTGCCTAGGTAGGTAGCTATCTCTTGAAGACATCAAGGCAATTGTAAAAGACGTAAGGGTCGGGACTTGCCCCGGACAAAAGAAATAGGATGCGATAAAGTGGTATCTATCATGGTTGTAGTAAGTCGAGACAGAACACAGAACAGAAAAGAAGAAAAAGAAATACTTCGGAAGAACAAAGCCAAATACAATTACTCCCCGAGACTTCTATATGTGTAATCGCGACTCGCCATATCAATGCAAATGTAGTGCTGCTCTCCCTCGCAGCCCCTCCCCCCCCGACAATTCTAATGAGGCGCAGCGTTCTGCTACCGATATACATGGTGCAAGTAGGGTATTCTTCAGGCTCTCTCCGAAAGACAAGTCAAACCAAAATTGCCATCACTTGTGATGGTTATGTAAATCAATCATCAAACCTTACAATAACCTAAGCAAACTTGACTTCTTCGAATAAGCCCGCCCGAACTTGGATCAAGCTCGCCAATTCTAACAAGAATTGCTGATAGATAATAACATTAGTTAAAATATGCGAGACCGAAGCCGTCTTGGCTTCAGGGGGAGTTTCGGGCGGCGTCGGAGCAATAGACGTGTTATCAACTTCACTATTGTTATCACCATCCTGTTCTTCCGCGGGCTCTTCTCCTTTACTTCTGTTAATTTGCTGTTCATCCATTTCTGACGAGTCATGGGACTTTTCTCGTTCAAAGTCTAGTGGAATCGGCTCGAGCTTTTGTGGCGGTAGATTGACCTGTCGGTTAAGTATGCCTTGATCAACCGCCGCGAATGCAGTAAGTTGACTGATTACTGGACTATCCCGTTCGGAATGGTGGCTTCCTGGTGAAAAGGATCGTACCACTCCAGCCTTAGTCGGACTGTCATAGTTCGACGAAGTCGCAAGCCCATACCCACCCGGAAAATTGGACCCTGTACTTGCACTCGAACCTCGCATTGTATCATTTCGCTCACGTGGAGTTGGGGTTCCGAGCTCAGACAATATCCTCTGTGCGAAGCCCTCAAGTGCACTAGGCCGCGTCGGCGACGTCCCGCGGGAATCGGTTTGGCTTGCTTGGTCCGGCATGGAGGCCCCCGTCGTGGAACGCTGTCGGGCGCTCGTTGGGTTTGGAACGATGGCGTCAGCCGTCATGAAGGCCTCACGACGTTGCTGTAAAAGGTCGTCGAATCTCGGGACCGAACCTCGAAAATACTCAACCTGGTCTGCAAGAGACTCCAAAACATTCAGTATACGGGGAAGAGTTGATGCTTGCCATGCGGGTCGACGACGACATCTAACAATTGCCTGCAACTTCTCATATTCGGCAAATGATGGAACTGAAGTATCTAAAGGTGAGGACGCGGATTCATCCGCATCCTCGTCGTAAGAATACCCCCTCGGGTGACGGAGGAGCCATCCTTCCACAGATATGTAACCACAGACGGTCAGGTCAATGATCGTCTCTGTCGCCGATAAATTCATCTCGACGGGGTTGATAAAGAATGTTTCGAGAAGATCTAGAATGCTGTTAAAGAGAGGGTCATTTGCACTAAGTGTATGTGGCGGTACATCCCGAGGAGCACCGGGCAAGCTATCAGGAATAGCGGGCAATTTGTGGTTGTTTGTTGAAAGCCTTGGTGCTACAAGCTTGAGAGAGCACGGATGACCTTCTACTCGTGCCATGCTATCCTTCAAGATGTTATCGTAGACCTCATCGAAGTTGTCCTGTCCTCCAACAGCCCCGGCTAGAGTTGTGAGGAATTCGACCTCTTGCTGGTGGGCGCCTATAGTCCTACGCGAAGTATCACTATCAATGCTCTCGGTGTGAAGCAGCGTGGTGGTCGCATATCGGTGGTGCCGCTTAAGGATCGCCGCTACGAGTTGAAGCGTCACACACACAGTCTGCTGGTTTCGAGACTTCAGACCTGAGTGAATTAAATCGACTAAATTAAACAGGAGAGGTGTGTAGCTAGTTTCGACTTTAGTAGCCATCATGCTGGCAAGATCCATTGATTTCCGTTTTCTTGCAGCGCTCACAGACGGCTCGGCAGTAAAAGCGTCTGCTGATTCCGAATCGGGAAGAGCTAGTAGATAATGGAGAACGAGGTTGATCATGTCGGGATGGTCTAACGTCTCCAGTATGCGTCGAAGATAAGTTAAAACAGCAACTGATGAGCCTCCATCGACATCAGATGACTCCAAAAGAGAAGGGTACCTATTCACGGTCAGCATGCTCGTTGTCTACAGTTACCCAGAATTAGATATTGTACTCACAATAACTGCTGTAAGAAGATGACCTGAAAATGTTCAAGGAGTGTTGACTTGACTTCCACTGATCGACAGTGGTTCAGAACGTCCTGCCAAAATAATAAATGGGAAAGGAAGGTGTCCAGGTGTAACTGGAAGTCTGGACTACAGGAGCTAACAATTTCAAAGGTTGATGTAGGATGCTCATAATCGGAGAGAGCGAGAACTGGAGGGAGGTATTCTGTAGGGTGGTCGATAACAAGCTTTCGACTGAGCTGACTATACAAGGCCCCAAGTCCAGTAGCCATTAGGGTCGAAAGGTCACTTTCCACAATCCATTGCTCAAGAGCGATAGAAGACGAGGCCGCTTCGATGATGTAGAGCAGACCAGTTCGAGCAAAGTCGCCGATTTTCCCCTCATGATGTATATAGTCCATCAACAAATAAAAGAGAGGGAAATCTTGCTTCTGAGTTCTACCAGCGAACTTTTCTCTCGGGTCCTTAGTTTTGTCATCGTCAGGACGGGGTTCGGTGCGGGACTTGAACCAGACGGGAAGGATATCAGGTTCGAGTCGAATCTTGGTGGTGATGTTGAAGGCGAGTTCGACGACCTTTACTTCAGTATCCGGCCCAAGTCGGATGCTATTGGCGCCAGTGATACGGACTAGAAGATTAGTCAAGCTCGCAGAAAAGGCTTCATTCTCGACGAAACCTTCCTCCTCACTCTCGATGAGGGTGGCGAAGAATAGAACGGCTTCTTTAATGATCCATTCGTTATAAGAAGACGTTGCTATTTTGGCAATCGGAACATAAATCTGTTTGGTGGCAGAGAAAGCTATGCAGGGATGGGGTAGCGGTCGGCGAGACTCGTCAGAAAGAAAGTTGGTGAGGGCCTGGAGTCGGATTTCGAGATTCTCGGCAGCGTCCTCGTCCCTCGAGAGGTTTGCACAATTTCGCCATATTTGCTATAGCCACGTGTGAGTTATCCGGCCAGATACGGTTGTAGATGCCGAGGCATAGATCGATCACCTGAGCAGAGCAGTAGGCAGGTAGGTAGATAGATGCTTATAAAACTGACCAGTAGTTGACCATATTCTTTCTCGTACCGTTGGCGGCGCCTTATGGGATCCCGAGCAGCATCCTTGCTGGAGCTTCCCGAGGACAAGCGGGTGTTTGCTATGAGGCGCGACCACTGCAACTAATGGTTAGCAAGACTCGGTCGCGAAAAGTAGCGAAAAGTAGGAAGGTGACAAGTGAAAAAAGGATCAAAGCTTCAAATTAAGAAAAACTAACAAAGTCCATAGCGTCATGAGAGACATTTCTCGGAAAAATTGGTTAATAAAAGAAAGTATCAAAACAGTCGAACCTCATGAAGAGGTCTTGATCTAATTGAGTTTCCGCATTAATGACCGTCCAAAATCCGATGCCCAAGATGTTTCTTCCTGATCTAGGCGACTAGGGTTATCCTTGTCCATTCAATGCCAGCTCACTCACTGGTTCAATGGTTGCTTTCGAGTCCAGCAGGTCCAGTCACTAACTAACTATTGGAGGTGAGGCTTGGCTAGGTGCATAGGCAGTACATAGTACGATGTACAATACATTACGGCGTAATAGACGTTCAATGACGGGGGCTCTGTGGCTTTAACAGGCTATTACGTTTTAAGCCAAGTTCAATGTTTAAAGTAAAGACCCATATTTCAAGATTCTCTCAAACGTGCACAACGTTGGTAGGTAACTTTTACATAAGGTGCTAAAGGTGTTAAAGGTGCTAAACCCAAGTTACTTCAGAAACCCATTTATTGTTGATGCATGTATTCACATGAATTATTTATATCTTCACCCCTACAAACATCTGCTTGAATGACTTGACCTACCTAGGTAAGCTAAAAGAATTCAAAGAAAATAGGAATAACGGTCCACATTAGCCCACTTACTCGGCACTTTCGGGTCTCAGCTACAACTCAGCTACAACAATTGATCCGTCCTGTCGGGATCTAATCCTTGACAACTGACCTCAAAAGGCCGTCTACAATCCAGCTATGATGTAATATTCGAATTATCAACTACCGAGGTATGTAACGAAGGGGTAGATCATTCTGTATACCGAATACTCTTTGGATTTAGTTGAATGGGTATATTATTTTCCTATGTTATTGAAAAGAGTTAACAGTTGTACATACGTCAAAATATACAAGTGAGGCTAACATGAAGACTCAGCCCCCCACTTTATCAGGTACGCCTTTCTTTCACCGACAGACCGAGTCATATGTGCCTACTTACTACATAGTATGTTCACGGGTCTGTTGCCCGACCAGTCCGAATCAACCCGAGCTTAAGCTCTTATACCACTCCGAGTAGACTATCAGTATAGCAGGTATAGTACCTACTACCTAGCATCATAGTAGCATGTAACTGAGTCACTCACTAAAATAGCACTTACAGAGGTCAATACTACCATACCTAGGGTCAGTATCCGCCAACAACATTATCACGCCGCCTCTTAATTTATACATCATCTATATTCCATCCTCCACTACTAATAGGAACTCTTCATACTCCGGCGGCTGCACGCATTACGCATATGCATGGTGCCCTAAATATCCCATAAATCATAAACTGTTTCTTCCATCTCCAAGAGGATCGATGGATGTCAACAAAACCAAGGCCGGGCAATCTAGAGCTATCTGGGCTCTCTAGCAAGTCATCATGATATGTTCCGCCATGCTTTGCGGGGGCCACTCATATGGCAAACATGCAAGGTTACCTGCATAAGTCTATTTCTCTGCTCTATCTGATGCATGTGGTTCGTCTATTGTTCTACCGGGCTAGTCTCACTGGTCCGCGATCAATATCCTTGATGCAATGATTGGGGCTGAGTGATTCTCCACAGACGAATCATAGCTCAGAACTGCCATGAATCCAGGTCGGTGTTCTGTAAACGGCAAGGCATACCCGCTGGAGAGCACACCAGTCTCGATAGCTTCTATTCGCTTAGGACAACTTAGGAGCTTGTATTGTAGGTTTATGATCATGGTCCGATTGTTACTGTGACACACATTTTCTCAAAATTGCAATGGACTCTGGTAATATCTTCCCTTTCTTCGTCCAACTCGAAGAGTCGAATTGTCATCCTCTCTTCTCGTGTTCTTGTGTTTCATCATACATCGTTGCTAGTCGTCCGTAAGAGTTGTTAGCATATCACCCCGATCAATGAGCTTTCCTATTATCTAGTAGCCCCTTAGCCATACCATAGACTCTTCAGCACCTATCTATATGCTATATCACAATCCAATATCAAATCATCATGGGGTTCTTCGGTCGATCTAAGAAGAAACAAGCCCCAGAGGTTCCGACTCCCAAAGTCAGCCAGCTCGTGTCACCAGAAGCACAAATTCCACCACCACCATCATGGCATCCCCAGGATAGAACACACCAAGCTCCAGCTCCTGGACAGAGTCCTGGCTATATGCTCCCGTCGCCACCACCACTACCACCATCACCTGTCTGGACTAATACATTACCTCCCATCACAGGCCCACCTCCTCAGTACTATGATCAACCGCCGTATCCACCTATCGTAGTAAATCAGCATTACTATCTTGGACCACCGAATTCTCATCCGGTAGGAGCACAGCCGTATCCCTATGGCAGCACGCCATGTGCCGTTAGCAGACTCAAGCTTGGCTCTGCGGTAAACTTAGCAAACGAGATAATACCAGGGAACATAGCGCATCAGTTTCTGGGCGATGGCCTCCCGAGGTGGCACGCCTATGGCACACAGCTGCTCAACCAAAGTGCCGCGATGTACGATCAGATCTGCAGCAGCTTCAACGATGTCATGACGCTGATCGACACGGATAAGTACACTGGAAACGAAAATGACTTATTCACATATGGATATACTCCAGTTCCCTCGGCTCTGCCTGAGACTCCGCAACCACAACCACAACCACAACCACAACAAGCTGTCGTGCATAAGGGGACTGCGAAGAAGTGCAGAAAGCCGACGCCGAAGGAGACTGGCAAAGGGCAAACAAGTGCCTTGGCTTCAACGCTTGCCTCTCGGGGTTATTTCGCCAAAGTGGAGTTGTATGCAAACTCGAAGCTATCTCCAAATCTACCTGCCCTCCGACTGTATGTGCTTAATACCTATATAACTTATATGACTACGAAAAAAAAGCTAACATCCATAGGCACATACCAACATACCCTCTCATCTGCCTAGCAGCGCAATACTCAGAGAGAGTGTACGAACACCCGAGAGGGGCAGAACGAGATGCTCACGTAGATGCGGACTGGAGGACAGGAACTAAAGCTATGCGCATCAAGTCTGTTCCCATGGATCACATGGACACGATCGTCTTTGCTATCCGAGGGACGGCGACATTCTTGGACTGGTCTGTCAACTTGAACACCGCGCCGACGACAGCAGCCGGATTCCTTGTGAGTAGAGAGCTTGGTTAGAGATTTGGGTCTGCCGTATAGATATCTGACTGAATCTAGGACGACCCCAACAATCTTTGTCATGCAGGCTTTTTGTCAGTTGCGCGTAAGATGATATCCCCTGTCGCGACAAGACTTCGCCATCTCTTGGAAGAAGACCCCCGGCGGTGTTCATATTCGCTTCTTATCACTGTTGGTTTCTACCCTGCTTTAAATACATTCAACGTTTATCTGACTATATATACCAGGGCCACTCCGCCGGCGGCGCCATCGCCTCCCTCCTCTACGCACACATGCTCGCCACCTCCCCGTCCGCATCCTCCGAACTGAACAACCTCACCGGCTGCTTCAAGCGCGTGCACTGCATCACCTTCGGCACGCCCCCCGTCTCCCTCCTCCCCCTCCAGAAGCCCCACCGCCCCGACCTCAAGAAATCCGTCTTCCTCAGCTTCATCAACGAGGGCGACCCCGTCGCGCGCGCCGACAAAGCCTACGTCAAAAGCCTCCTCGAGCTCTTCACCGCGCCCGCCCCAACGGCCGATCCAAAGGCGTCGTCGTCGACAAGCACGACGCAGCAGCAGTCCCCGCCTCTGTCGAGAAGCGGCGCGCCCGCGAAACACAGCAAGGCGCGCGGCTCCAGCACCTCGCTCGTCTCGCGGACGTCCAAGGCGTCCGCGAAGTCTTCTTCTTCTTCTTCTTCTAGCCGCTCCCCCTCCTCCACCTCCAAACCCGGATCCGGGTCTGGGAAACCGAAGCCCCAGCCCCCCGTGTGGAGGGTCCCGCCCAGCACGCTCAGCAACGCGGGGCAGATCGTCGTGCTGAGGTCCGGCGCGGCGAACGCGAAGATCAGGCGCGCGAAGACGGTCGAGGATCGGCTGGGCGAGGGCGTCGTGGCCCAGGTCGCGACGGATGAGCAGCTGAGGGATGTCGTGTGGGGGGACCCGGTGTGCCATGTCATGAAGCTGTATGTGGGACGCGTGAAGATGTTGGCTGTTGATGCTGTTACGGCGAAGGGGCGCTGAGGTGGGTGTGGTGTGGATGAGGGAGGGGCTGGGGGTGCCGAAAGGGAGCTTTGTGTTCCTCATGACTTTATGGCGAACTTTTTTATGATGTTACTTACTTACTTACTAGTTTGATGTTTCTTGTTTTTTTTTTTTTTATATATATACCTAAAGGTACTTGGGCGTTGGGTTAGGGGCAAGATACCATTTTGGAGATTTTCTCGTTTCTGGTAGATGCAAAGATACACAATTTCAACTCTGGTTTGGCTTGGTTCTTCGGTGTTTTATATATGTCGGATTTGGCTTCTTTATATTTTCATGGGTTGCGTTTTCGTTTTCGTTTTCGTTTTTCGTGCTTTATCTTATGCTGGACTCTCTACGCTCTGTGAGTGTATTTGCTATGCATGACTGGGGGGGTAGGGAGAGGGTGGAGGGTTGAAGCAGCGCTTCGACGACGAAATTAGCGGAAAGAGGTTGAGGTTAGCAAGGAAGCACGTCACAATGATTCTACTTTCACATATAAAGATATGGGTGAGGTTTGGGGGGGGGGGTGTGTGCAGGAGCAGGGGGCTAGAGTATATTCTAGGATATAGGATAAATTATCACGGTAGAGAAGACAAGATGTTAACGAGCGACCGAAGTTGGAATTACTAAAACACTAAAAGCATGCTAAACGATACAATTTGGCACTCTCCCCAACATTACAAGCCCCCAAAATCTCATATCCCCATCATGCTATGCACCCGCTTTATGCAAGTCGTATAGAAACGAGCCTGAGCATTTATAGGAGGCCACCGAGGGCAACGCAGGGAAGACCGAGGTTGACAAGACCCTCCTGTTAAAGGGGTTAGTAAACTGTGGTGAGAGGAGGTGATGGATGGGATGGGAATCTTACCTGTTCCATGCCGGAGTGCTGGCAGCAGGCCGGGGTCTGACTGCATTGGCTGTCGAGGATATCGGTGAGACCAATGACTGTTTGATAATGTTAGGAACGTGACGAGAAGACATAATTCCTTAAGTGATAGGAGGGTTGGTAGGTACTTACCAGCAGCAACGTTCAGCTTGGAGCAGCCATCGAACAAGCCGAGAGAACCGCCCTCAAGACCACCCTCAAGGAGACCGGCAAGAAGGCCGCTGGCGGTGTTGATGGCGTCGCCGGACTGGTCGACCTGGTTGCAGCAGCTGAGGTCGAGGTCGGAGCCACAGGTGTCGCCGGCCTGGCCGACAGTGACATCACCGGGGACGGGAGGGATACCGCCGGCAGGAGGAGCGATCTGGGGACGAGCGACAACGCCGAGGGCGAAGGCAAGAGTGGCGACGATGGAGAACTGCATCTTGACTGATTTGAGGTTGGTTGGTTGGTTGTTGTTGGGTTGTTTTATTTTGGTGTTAAAAGAGTGAATTGCCTGTTCAAACGAAGCGAGCGTTGACGAGTTTGTGTAAACGAGTGTGTATGTTGTAAAAGAGAGAGTGCTTATTTTTTTGGGTGTTTTGATGCTGGGGATGCTGAGAGCAAGAAAGATTCAGACTGAGGAGTGGCGATGGATGAGACTTATATATTGAAAATGTGGCCGCGTGTATTGACTTTCTTTCCTTTTTCTTCTTCTTTCCTCTCTTAGCGGTCTGAAGCCATTTTTTCGCATCCAACCGTCAATAGTTGACGCTCTCCGCCCAGTAGAGGAATGGTTCCCTATGATGATCGACACACCTTTGGCGCACTTGAGAATGGCTTGTCTCATACCGACCAGCACTACTGCGCGCCACCGAGGATATTGTATGGCTTCTCCCGCTATCCATTTCTCGTTTGTAGACGCAAAACTCTGAGCCATTTCGATGAGCCTCAAGCATACTTGGGCCGGCCGAGTGAAATGCAGGTGAAAGTCAAGTCTGACTGTCAATATGGCGGAATGGTGGAAATTGACGTCGTCTCTGAGGCAATCACGGCGGTGTGCTTTCCCACGCACTATTGTATGTTCTAATGACCTTGGTATTGATTTGATAAGATCTTCAAAGCCGATTCCGAGTAAACAGGCCTTAGAGGTTCTCGTTTTCGGAGTTGGAGTGATCCCTCAACAGAACTGACATCTCCAAAGTTCCTCTCCCCCCTGGCGTCTACTTCTCAGTTCATGCTCCACCAACTCGTGAAGCGCGCGGCGATCAGGTGAAGCCCCTTTGATAGGGCGGTTCACAAGGGATCATAACATTCGACGTTTTACATTCTATAATTCTTCCATTTCACAAGCCTTAGTTCCTTGCTTCAGAAGAATGACTGATCTCTCCCTGCTAATTAATATTATTAACTAGATTCTTAAGAGGTGGATAAGTGTGGTGGGTAGGTACTCAACGGTTTTGATGGCAGACTTTTTCGATTGATTCAGATTCAAACACCATTCTTCAAGCATGCCAGGTTCGGCCACTTGAGACCAGTAACGGTCAACGTGGTCAATCACAACCCGCCTTCAAAGAACTCACCCTACCTACCTACATATGTAGTAGTCTACTAGTAGAGAATTAGATATTTACCTTGTTCAGTTGCATAATACCTACATACCTACCTATGTATACACTAGGATGTCTTCCTAGATTATCGTCTAGGATCAAGACAGTTCTTCTTCGCCTTGCTACCAGTCATTTTCTTGATAATCGCCATTCCACCAGTTCCCCAGCACAGGCCGAGCCAGATAATCACAGTAACATCTACGAGATCTGTTCTACCTACATCGTTACTACCACGACATGCATGTCTGCCCAATACCCCTTTATTAAATACTAGGTACACTATCAAGACAACTTCTTCTGTCTGCGATATATATGACACCCCGCATTGATGCAGTGCCGGGTACCACCTTTGGGCATCCCGCATCCCGGTACTAGGTAGGCTGGAGGCGTGCAGCCGCCTTCTGCATATGCCATTCTTCGAATGCTGTGACCCCGCCCAGATTTTCGTCGACGATGCCATTGGCCTCCTATATCCAACCCCCATCTAATTTACCGATTCCTATGACATAACAATACCTTCATACCTACACTACTACTGCTGTACTCTGACAAAAATATCTACATGTACATATGTAGGGCTAGATGACTACCTAGATACAAGACCTATGTACCACCCCGAGCTATCTCTCGCCATCCTCATATACGTAGGACGACCAAGGCACAGAGCCCTCTCGAGAAAATCAATCCAATCTTGAAATACAGGTTCATGAGTGGCACTGAATGCTGTGCCAAAGTCACACAATTCTAGATATTATATTTTAGGCACTCTGTCCATCATGCCATGTTTAACACTTCTCGTAAGTGTGCTCGTTCTCTGCTGTGTGTGTAAGCAAGGCTAAGAAACACACTTCGAGGAGAACTCGTCGCTTGCTTGGATTAACCTTGTGTGGTCGTTGGTAGGACACAGCAAGGCCCAAATACATATGTAACTTATGTAGGTTAGGCACAGCTTCTTAAGTAAGTCTGAACCAAGACATAACATAAAGAGGGTTTGCCCGGGTCTCGGCCGATTCAAATCTATCTATCCGCAACTATACCCGTGAAGCTTGTCTACTTGTCCAACCAGACACACGGAAGAAGGACTCTTTATTAAAGTAGACTTCGGGTATCGATCCTCATCACGGCTCGGAAGTTTCTCTGTCTAAAGGGTATATTAACGGCAAACAGCATCCCTTTCTCCCGTGAGCTAGAACCTATCTCCGCTCGTAACCTTCCGTCATTCAACGCTACGAGATGTTTTGGCTTCTGGAGCACATCATAGGTAGTTAGTACCGTTATCAGTTAAGCTGATATTGAATATCCCCATAGCACATATGCCAAAAGCTCCCAAATCTGAAGAATATAAGTTTCCCCTACTCTGCCCACATATATAATGAAACCATTGGGTGAGCCGATTGGATGGTCCCATACGTGTCACTCCCTCTGTGCGCTGTCGGACGACATCGGGAACCTGCATCCTCAGCAGCTGCAAGGCATTAAAATTACGATCAAGGCAACATTGGACTTGGTGTTTGGCCAGCCTACCAGATACCCATCCAAGGAAACGTGTAATAACCGCATCATTGGTGATACATACCTACTACTCAGTACACAGCCAAGAAGCATTGTTGCAGCAGCAGCACCAGCGACTGTTAAAGTTATCGATGCAATATACCATATAAGTCACAGACAGTAATAAGGAGGTGCTTAAGTTGATCTTCGATCACCTAAATCTGCATAAAGTCTAGCAATTAGTGCAACGGGCATCTGCATTCTACTCCACCCCAATTCCCGCGTCGACTTATAATGCCAGGAGTTCAGGGTTTGGGATCGGAGGTCGTGTTAAACAAGATCTACATATATATGTATGTAGTCCCCAGTACTGGTACCCTAAGTACTTAGTAATAACATCGTTTGCCGGGTGGACTGCGGCGTGCCAAAAACGGCATCAGCCTTGTTATATGCCAAATCACATGTAATATCCAGCCGTGTCAAGCAAACCATGTGGCAAAGTGAAGTTAACATTAAGCTTAGAATATGCCTTCAGCTACATACCTGTGTTTGTTGGTTTGCACGGCAACGGGGCCTCTCGGGTAGCCGGGAAAGTAGTCAGCCGTGATACCAACAAATTCGCTAGAAGCCCATCCCGAAGCTTTACTCGCGTCGTACATCCACGAGGGAGCATAACCGGGTTGGTTTCCCGGCACTGAGAAACCACGCCCACCTAGCCTAACCTTGTGTCTATTTTTGAGGAAACGTGTGTGTGAAACCCACATGACCGTTGAGAACCGCCCAATAGTCTTGTGAGAACCACCTATATGTACATAGAAATTCGAACATATGCTGTCTTGGGATTGTGATGAGCTTTTAGATGAGATCGTTGGAAAGTTGCACTACTGTGGCGAATAGGGGGGGCATCTCACTTTACTCAACATGAATCATACTACAATAATATACCTAGACAGACAGATACCTAGGTAGATATGCCTGCCCTGGAAAGCTTTCCCCCGTCGGGATGTCGCATGGATCTAGAAAGTATACGAACCTAGATGATCCACCTTGCCCCCCTGGCGATGGTAGCCGGCAGTTCTATGTTGTCATAGTACCTCCGTTGATGGGCTACTACAAACACTCTCGTGTAAGTCGTACATATGACAGCCGGGGCTATGGAGGGGATCTATAAAGACTTAGTGTATGTACTCGAGCTAGACCTGTTTTCGGATTTTGTTTCCCTAAACCCTTTGCCAATTTGAGGCACTCACACTCGTTTTATTTACCTACTCCCTTGCTATCTCGAGCTCTACGCAATGCGTTCTACCACTCGCTTGGCCTTGATGGGCTTTGGGTAAGACCCCTCGCTGGTGTATGTGTAGTCTCTCTTCATACTAACATGAGGCCAGTTCTGCCCTTTCCAGCGCTCTACCTCAACAGCTGGAGGGAAACACGGCGACGACTACGGTCACGGTCTGTGGCAGTAACTGTGCATCTACTGTCACGGTCTTCACTGGATGTTCTGAGACACCGACAAGTCTCCCATGGTACTCTACTTCTACGATCAGAACCTCGTTCACAGCCCCTTTTGGTTCAACTGCTTCGACCGCTTCGACAGCAAGTACCTCCCTCAGCGTTCCGTCATCCTATACCGGATCAACAACAAGTGGTACTTCGCCCAGTAGTCCTGTAGATTCTTCGTCTAGCTCTTTCTCTTTTCCTGGCACTATCGTTCCATCGCCGAGTCCGCCTTACCCCACAGGGTCGATTATAAACTCGACAACTAACACTATTACCATACCAGAGACCTCGACCAGCACATGGTAAGGACAATAGTTCTGTGTATAAGTGCCCTGAGAGAAGCATGGATACTAATAAATAGCAGCACTGATGAATACACAACTAACACCGAAAGCTTTCCCACGCCCGGATTGCCTAGTGGAAGCACATCGACCTTGACCGCAACCGATTCGACGGGCATTCCAGGGGTGTCGACTTCGAGCACAGCGGAAACGTTGCCGACTGGAAGTAGCACTGACCTGACTTTCACTTACCCATCTGGGACGAGCACGCCCATTGGTCCACCAGTGAGTACTGGCAGCACTACCTACGTATCCGGGTCGAGTACGGTCGTTGGCCCGCCAGTGAGCACCGGGAGCACCACCACCGACCTAACGTTCACCTACCCCTCTGACTCAACAACGCTCGTCAGCCCACCCGCAAGTACCGGAAGCACCACTTTCCCCTCGGAGTCGAGCACCGTCGGCCCACCCGCAACCGGAACACCATCTACCACGGGGTACTCAGCAAGCACCCCGACACCATCTCTGGGTCATTCAACCCAAACCTCCACCCTGACCCTCACCCTCACTTCCAGCGAGACGGAGACCCTAACTTCCGCGACGTCCGGCACAGATGCCCACGGCTCAAGCACCGCCACCGCCAGTGAGAGCGATTCCACCTCAACCGAGTCGTACGGGTCTACTGCTACTACATCCACGGAGACAGAGACAGCGACAGCGACAGCGACGGGGAGCATCTCAACATCACCAACATCGCCCAGCAGCATTGGCTCGTCAACTATTAGTAGTTCGAACTCTACCACGGGCACCTGGACCTGGTCTCACACCTACTTCACGTCGTCCTACCCGTGGCTGAGCACCGGGACGGAAAGTTCCCCTGCCACAGCCACGACGAGCACGTTCAGCCAATCGACTACGACTACAACAGACTCGCTCCCCACGCTCCCCACGCCGACAGGATCGTTCAGCCAGCCGACTACAACTACATATTCGACGCCCTCGCCCCCCACGCCAACCCCATCATTCAGCAGCGGGACCGGCAGCTTTTCTTCATACCCCATCTCGCCCGGCCCTTCCATAGGAACAACAGAGACGCTACCTAGCACCTCCTACTCATACACAACGACCGTCTTCATCGGCTCCTCGAGCTTCTCGGAAACACTCCCTACCATCCCCTTTATCACACCCAGCAGCAGTAGTAGTTACGGATCCATCTCGTCGTCGTCGTCGTCGTCTTATGATGGGTCATCTACATTGACCTCCACGCTCACGATTCCCTCGAGCTCCACGTACGCGACCACCAGCGTCGCGGGGCCGCCTGTCTCCACTAGCGGAACATCTGGCAGCTCGCCGGCGACCGGCTCCGGTTCTTCGTCATTTTCTTCTTCTTCTTCTTCTGGCGTAGGATCCTCTTATTCTTCGACGACGACGACAGCTCCCGTGACTACTTCTTACTCGCAGCCCGAAGTCGTGCCAACTGGTGGCCCAAGTTCCACGTGCCTTGAACAGCCGATTTACGGAGGCGGATACACCTACGTCTGCTACAGCATCCCGGCGGCGTCATCGACGCCAGTGATCATCAGCACTAGCGAGACAAGCGCAGTCACGGGTCCGACTCCCACGCCCAGCTTCCCGTCAAGTGGCCCTTCCAGTAGTAGCAGCTATCTTACCTCGCCACCGCAGACTTCAACCTTGACCATACCCTCCGAGTCATCAAGTACCATCTACTCGACCGGCAGCACGGACGCAGGATCCGGAACAGCATCATCTTCACCAGGCAGCACAGGGACAGAGACATTCCCCACTCCTCCTCCCCTGACCACTGGCTACCCAACCAGCATCCCAGGCCTCAGCACTACCAGCACCGTGATCGCCACGCCGTTCCCATCAAGCTACGTCTCCTCCACCGGCGGCAGCGACGCCGTCACCGCAACCCCGCTGCCGTCCACCACATGCATCTCCGGGGGCTACGGCGGCGAAGAAGTCTGCTTCCCGCTCGAGACCGCGGAGCCGACTACAGACAGCGCCCCCGTCAGCGGGACGTCTGCTACTGACGCCGTGACGGGCTCGCCGTCGACCCCGACGACCTTTCTCACCCACTCCCAGTCTACCACTTCAACAGGCACCGGATACCCCACCGACATCCCTGGCAAGGTCGGTGGCGCTGGGGAAAGCGAGTACGGACATGTGGGCTGGAAGTGGTGGAGCGGCCCCAAGGCTCACGGGGAGAAAGCCAGAGGTGGTGATCGCGTGCGCCGCGGGTGGCGTATGGTCTAGTTTCACATTTACTCACGACTCACGGGTAGCTCTTGAGAGCAAGAGAGGGGTGTATCGTACAAAAAAAAAAGGGGGGGGGAAGAGGGTTGGATGCATATTTCACTTCTTGTCACTCGTTTGCTGGCTCCTCAATTTGGACTGCCATTTATTTACCTTCATTTCTTTGGGAACTAACAAGGCGGAAGAGGGGTTTGAAGGGACTTGGGGATATATGATGGGGGTGTATTTGATACTATGTATGTAGACACGAGTTGCCGAGATCATGCTCGCGATAGGTAATAGGCATTTATCCTAGGTAGGTTAGTAGGTGAGGTGGTTACTATTTGGGTAGGCATGGAAACAATTGATGAGAGTTCTTAACCCGGCTGCTTGGACTTTTGCGTGATGTTTTTGAATTTGGACAATCAAGTCTTGGCTCCATTGGAACGTTCATCCTTCTCGCTGTGATAGGCAAAGGCAGAGCTGAGTTGGAGGGAAGGATCGCGCCCTTGGTTGGGTTGGTGGAAAGACCCCATGCTGGATTTGAGAAATCCCAGGGCTGTACTTCGTACTATGTACTGTAACTTCAAATGTTTGACGGCGGCATTTGAAAGTACATAACGTTAACTAGATGCCATGTGCCATGTGATTGCTGTATACTTCGTACAACTTGAATATTGAATGTATCCAATTGATTAGTACTACCATACATCAAGTATGAGCCTATGAGATAGTTAAAAAGACGAAATTGTGGCTCTCAATTTTAAATCTTGTAATCTTCTCAAATGTCACTCGCTCAACTTGAATAATTCTAACGATTTTGAGTTTGAGTGGATTTTGCATCAGTCTGTTTCGTGTTGGTCGTCCTTTCTTTCTCGGGTCAGCAATAATCACCCCTGGACAGTTGGTCCGCATTTAACCCTAATAGGAAAAGCAGCTGGGTAACTTATCACTTTGATGCAAGTATTGTAATTGCGGCTGGTCCGGAAGTTCGTCTCTCCTGGAGGGCACTGTAGAATTCCCTTATCGATTGCATCCTTTAGAGTTCCAAGTTCCAACATTGAACAGTTTAAACTTCAAGGTTGCCAGGTACCCAAAGTTTCCCAAAGTTTCTCATGCAGCTGCCATGCCATGCTGCCATGCTACCACCATGTACCATGTTGGGGGTAAAATCCATCCATGATGCCTGTATTCCGCCTGTATTCCGTTCAATCACAGAAACTCTTAAGATGTACTACTATTAGTATGTATCTAATATTACTTTAGGATATTGTAAAGTCATCAATATTTGCATTGTTGGATTAGTTGTTCCTTTCTTCTTTTCTGTTCTCTCTCTCTCTCTCTCTCTCTCATTCATTCTTCTTCCCATCGCGCTTGGCAACATTTACCGATTTAGGACATCCAGAGTTGCAGAGTTGCATGTGGTGGGTGGGTTAGGTAGTGCGGAGACGATAGAGCACAGGGGTCTATAATTGGATGAGCGGGAGACAGGGATTGTAAGAACTCGACGTTTCTGTGGAGGAATTTTCTGCTCGGATTTTATAAGTGAGCCCTATGAATGGTAGGATAGATGCGGGTCTGGGCCTAGTTCCATTCTACCCCCAGCCTGGCTCCGTCTTGGATCGATCGTCACTTGTCACGGAATAACAATGCTTGGCGGGGAGCTGCTGCCCTGGCCAAGCCCTGCAAAATCAAAAAAGTGAGGGTGAAGGCGCGAAGGCGAGAAGGCGAATACTCTGTGAAAGTGGACAAACCATTTCGTCAGGAGGACACTTATCAGACGTGCCATCAGTTGCTATCGTGGACCACGGCAAGGCAGGAACAGAAGTTGCAGTAACGGAAACGGGCTAATTAGTTGTCTCCATATTCAACACTTTACCTGGATGCCTTGGATGAACTTGGATGGCATTGGCTAGCACGCGATGGCCTTGTCCTATCATGTGTCGTATTGATCTCTTTTTAGGTCTTTTTTAGGTATTTACCTAAAGGTACGAAGTCATCACCACTTCGGCCCTCACCCATCCATTCATTCATTCATCCTCTCTACCTTGAACCCTTAACCCTCACCTTACCTTTACCATACCTTTACTTGCCTGCACGCACCCTCTCTCTCTATCTCTATCTCTTCTCTCTCTTGCTCTCTCTTTTCTCTTTCCCACTCCTTTCACTCTTATTTCTTTTACCCATTTCCCTTCCCTTCCTGCATCTAAACCTTTTATTCTCTGTTTCTTTCCCATTTTCTTTAGTGCGAGTATCTTGAGCACCGGGTATGGTTTCAACATCGATCGGCATTGTCGCATTCAACCAGTCTTATAACCCACCGCCTTCACTAGATTTCGCATGTATTGGCAACCATGATCTAGATTAGATTCTCGGCCCCAATTCGATCTAAACCACCACGGAAATTGATTCCTAAGCTTCAAAGCTGTTCCTATTGAAATTCGCATCTATCAAAGCCATCTTTCTACCGCCGCGCATAACGTTTGCGACAAAGAACTCACATTGAACGTACTAAAGTAGACAAATACGTAACTTACATAGGTATCTCTAGGCATCTGGTATCTTTGCTTTTACCTGAACCTAGGCCACTCGCGCCACGACGTACTACAACTCAAACCAAAATACCTATCTTCATATACATACAATCTTGCATATCCCTCATCTTATATTTCGATCCAAATCATCATCGTTGTTTACGGCTTCGCGGTGGCGGAGGCAGCACGATCCAACCCACTGTCTTATCAAAGTACTCAGTACTGTCGTTTTTTTTTCTTCTGTCGTTGCACCTCCACGATTCGGACGATCCTTGTTTCACAAAGACCGCGCCACACTCAGTTACGATGTGTTAGGCAGTTAGTCGGTTCAAGTCGATTAACGATCTCTTCTAGAAGGAGGTGAACGAACGAACGAACGAATGAGTGAGAGTGTGGCCCACGTGTGTGTGCGAACAAGTTAAAAAGTCGAATGCAAACATGGCGTCGAATGGATTTCACGCGACAGTGCTACAACGTTCATCGAATGATAGTCGGGATGACAGTAGAAAAAGCATTTCTCTTTCTCCGACTCCGACCCCAATAGGTACAGTGCCGACAGGGACAGGAACAGAAATAGGAACAAGATCAGAATTAGGATCAGGATCATCAGTGTCTGTGGCGGGAGGAACAGAGTCAAGATCAAGAACAAGACCAGGAATAATAAGCTCACCATCTGCAACTAACAGTAATAATAGTGGTGGTAGTGGTAGTGGTGCTGGGATGTGGATGGGGAGAAAAGTGACAGATTCGGACGCGCTGGGACCACGTTTCTCCAATTCTACCAATTCTACCAATTCTAACGGCGAAACCAACAAGCTTGACGCCAATGCCAATGCTAATGCTAATTCCAATTCTATTACTCTTACCCGAGACGCCAGGGACGCCCAAGTAGCCCGTGCAAATCACGCCGCTCACGGCCACACCCAAATCCACACCCATAATGGGAACGTTGGTGCTGGCGCAAGCATTGGCACAAGCAGCAGTAGGAGTAATAGCAATAGCGATAGCAGCACCGGCACCAGCAACAATACCGTCACGACCTCAAACCATTCCCAGTCTCATTCCCATTCTCAATCCCAATCCCAATCCCATCCCCATTCAATTCATTCATTAGATTTTCATCAGCCCGCCGCCACAACTAAAACTTCAACTTCATCCACATCCACATCCAAAACAACTAACAGTTCTTCTAACTCCAACTTAATCCTCCATTCTCCATCGTCAAATCCTAATTTCTCCGTCTCATCCATCACGACACCTGCACCCACACATACACATACACCTGCACTTGGACTTGGAGTTGCATCTGCACCCGCATCTGCATCTGCGTCTGCATCGCCACCTACTTTGAACTCGACCTCAATACCTTCAACTTCCATTTCAACTCTTTCGACGCGACTATCACGACCGCCACCTATTACAACCACCTCGTCTATTACCACTGCGCTCGCGCATCCTTACAATAACGCGTCGCATCAGTTATTTTCGCCTTCTTCGTCCATTCTGGCACGTCCATTAGCCGGCCTGGCTACTCTGGCTCCTCCGCCAGGAGCCTACAATTCAATCATGACACCATCGTCGGCCATGTCATCAACCAATGGTGCAAGTGCATCACCGCTACAACCTCCAAAAACCTCAGGTCACCTGTCGCCGCCAGAATACCACCCTCAGAGTTCGCGAGAGAAGGCGCCAGGCAGCTTTTATGACCCGCTGACGGATACGACCAGAGAAAGGAGGGTTTCTGATAGTTGGGCCAACTTGAAGCAGGTAAGTCAATCAATCATTTTTCTTTTCCTTTATTGTTCATTTATTGTTGTGAATAATCAATCTTACATGTCAAATCCACCTTCTTACCCAACACTGTATTTTTGCTTTGTGCATTTAAATCGTTATGCGTATTACGTGGGCGTAGCTTTGGGGCAGGGACTTCTTTTTTTTCTTCTTCTTCTCTTAGTACTGAAATCAGTCTATCTCCCTCGAAAACCAAAATCGCGGCAGTCATCGTTCGGCTAGCTTGGACATTATTTCCCTATTTCCCTTAAACACTACTACTTGCTACTGTACTTACCATATTTATTTGCACACCCAAAACATTCCAAATGCCCAAGTTTGCTTAGTGGCAGTGGGAACATCCTATCCCATTTCCATCCCTCTCTCCATTCAATTCATCTATCTATGTTATGTTGGTCGGTGTTCAACCCAGGATAAGGACAAGGACCATCACCGAGTTTTTTTTTATTACCAGCCAGTGATTACCACCCAACTCAACTCAACTCACTCCCACCAATTTAACACCTAAGGCCATCAGCCATCAACTTTATCAACTAACCTTATGCCTTTCTTTACTAGCGACCTGATCCTTTCGACATTTCGCAATCCAAGGCCGAAAACAATCAACATCGAAATGGTAATGGGTATGGTTCACCATCACCTGTGAATACCAAGTATCTTCGAAGTCCACATCCGCATTCTCACCCAAAAACTGATGGTCGACCGACCAGCCCTTCAAACAAAGCACTTAATTTGGGCTCTCCCCCTTCGCGGCACAACCGTACCGCACTTGATACCATTTCATCTACTAATCGCCACACCCCTACTCCGGCACCCTCTCTACCATCATTATTAAATCCGGAACCTGCTTCTTCATCAAAAGTATGTATTCCACTATGAGCATCCCTTAATGTTACTACTTGACATCTGAGCTTGATTTTTATCGTATTGGAATTTAATTTTGCGATGATTATGATGATTGCTAACATTCAGCCTTCTCCTCAGACCCCAAGCCGTGCAGCCGAGTTGATGTCCTTTTCAAACATTCTGTCCAGCGCCGAGCCTCTTCCGAAGCCCAAAGCTCCAATCATGACGGAACTTAAAGAAAAGCCTGCTCGCAGGAGCAAGGGACGCGAATCAATACTGAAAGACGCGGAAAGTAGTTCCAAGAAGGAGTCGCGCCGACCTTCTACAAACCATGCAAAGGACACTCCGACAAGAGCTCCCAAGAGACAAGCTAATGGTCAAGTCAAACCAAAAACCATCCCGGCAGACAAGGAAAAGAAGATTCAGAGCGTGTACGAACAGCTCGAGGCTGGAATGGACGACGTGGACCTATCCGAGCTCGAGATTGAGCGGGAAGCCTTCCGCGGACGCCTCAAGAGGCGTAAGTTGGACACGGAACAAACGGAATATGATGATCGTGTTGCCAGACGTAAAGACTTGACCGATCAGTTGTCAGGCAAGTTATCTCTCCACGCCGATAGTGGCCGAGGCCGATTCGAGGCAGTGCACTACGAAGACGCGTTGCAAGAAGTTCGAGAACGCGAGATTTTCGCCGAAAAGGAGCGAAAGAAGGACATGCAACGTAAGCGTCGCAGGGAGAAGTCTATGCAAGTCACAATCGAGCAGAAGGAGGCTGCCTTGGCAAAGGCGCTTGCTGCTGAAGATGAAAGTGAACGGGCGAAGTGGCTACGTGATGCTGAACGCGCCAACAAGAAGGCCCAGCAGACCAAATTGATCCTACAGAAGGGTATCAAAGGGCCGGCACGCAGCCTAGCGCCACTTGAACTGAACCTAGAGGGCGGTACGATGTCCACGTTCCAGGCAACGGACCTGGAATCCAACTCCAAGTCGAAGAGCAAAGGCCGCAGCGGCAATCGGCCGAAGAAGTCCAAGGAGCAAAAGCAGGCTGAGAAGGATTCGGCCATCGCTGCCCAGGCTGCTCTGGATGCAGGTGAAGAGCTCCCTTCGAAAGAAGAGACCAAGATTCGCATCAAGCTAAGCAAGAGCACGCCCAAGGAGCCCAAGGAGAAGGAGAAGGAACCCAAAGAAACCAGTGTCAAGGAGCCTAAAGAGAAGGAGAAATCGGTCGAAGAACCCCCTGCCAACCCTCTCGAGACCAAGTTCCAGTCTAAGGGCTATAACCAGATCTATGATCAGATCTGGCGCGACCTGGCACGCAAGGATGTTCCTAAAGCTTACAAGCTAGCCAGTGATTCATACAGTACCAAGGCTTCGAATCTCAAGAAGACCGCGATATTGGCCTCGAAGGAAGCTAAGCGATGGCAACTTCGCACCAACAAGGGCACCAAGGATTTGCAGGCTCGTGCCAAGCGTTGTATGCGTGACATGATGAGCTTCTGGAAGCGTAACGAACGCGAGGAACGTGATCTTCGCAAGGCAGCAGAGCGACAGGAGCTTGAAAATGCCCGTAAGGAGGAAGCTGATCGCGAAGCTGCTCGCCAAAAGAGGAAGCTCAACTTCTTGATTTCGCAGACCGAGTTGTACTCTCACTTTATTGGCAAGAAGATCAAGACGGACGAAGTAGAGCGTAGCACTGATAACCCAGACATTGCGCCAGATGCTCATGCTGTTACTAAGTCGGCCAACGCTGATGTGGCGGAACCATCGGGCCCGATCGCTACGAAGATTACGGACTTCAATCAACTGGATTTCGATGCCGAAGATGAGGAAACTCTCAAGGCCGCTGCTATAGCCAATGCCCAGAACGCCATTGCTGAAGCCCAACAAAAGGCCCGAAGCTTTAACAAGCCTGACAATGACATGGATGAAGACGGCGAGATGAACTTCCAGAATCCGACAGGTCTTGGAGACGTGACCGTTGAGCAGCCGAAGCTGCTAAATTGTCAACTGAAGGAGTACCAGCTGAAGGGGTTGAATTGGCTTGCAAACCTTTACGAGCAGGGCATCAATGGTATTCTGGCAGATGAGATGGGTCTGGGCAAGACAGTTCAGTCTATTTCCGTCATGGCCTACCTCGCTGAAGTACACGATATCTGGGGTCCGTACCTTGTAGTCGCCCCAGCATCTACCCTACACAACTGGCAGCAGGAAATTGCAAGGTTCGTTCCTGAGTTTAAGGTCCTGCCATATTGGGGAACAGCGGGCGATCGAAAGGTGCTGCGTAAATTCTGGGATCGTAAACACAACACATACCGTCGAGATGCACCATTCCATGTACTGGTCACGTCCTACCAACTTGTCGTCTCAGATGTTGCATATTTCCAGAAGATGCGTTGGCAATACATGATCCTCGACGAGGCCCAAGCCATCAAGAGCTCTCAAAGCTCACGTTGGAAATGTCTGCTTGGCTTCCATTGCCGTAACCGGCTCCTTCTCACCGGTACTCCCATCCAGAACAACATGCAGGAACTTTGGGCCCTGCTTCATTTCATCATGCCCTCTCTGTTTGACTCGCACGACGAATTCAGTGAATGGTTCTCCAAGGACATCGAATCGCATGCACAGAGCAACACGACCCTTAACGAGGATCAGCTCAGACGGTTGCACTTGATCCTCAAACCTTTCATGTTGCGTCGTGTCAAGAAGCATGTACAGAAGGAGCTTGGTGACAAGATTGAATTGGATGTATTCTGTGAACTCACCTATCGACAGCGAGCTTACTACAGAAACTTGCGAAACCAAATCAGTATCATGGATCTTATTGAGAAGGCAACTCTTGGAGATGACCAGGACTCAGGCACGCTGATGAACCTTGTCATGCAGTTTCGTAAAGTCTGCAACCATCCTGACCTCTTTGAGCGTGCTGATACCACGAGTCCGTATTTTACTGGCTACTTCGCCGAGACTGCATCATTTGTCCGTGAGGGCAATAATGTTCGAGTTGGATACTCGACGCGAAATCTCATTGATTACCGCCTACCACGACTTGTTTGGACTGAAGGAGGTCGCTTGAACAAGGCTGGCGAAGACAACGAGAAAGCAGGTTTCAGGAACAAGTGCCTCAATCACATGATGAATATCTGGACGCCAGAGAATGTACGAGAAAGTTTGTCTGAAAATAAGGCGTTCTCGTTCCTTCGATTCGCTGATGTCAGCCCCGAAGAGGTCTACAAAGCTAGTCATCGAGACGTTTTCTCGCGAGCTGCAGATTTGGTACGAAAGGAAGATCGGCTAGGCCGCATGCAGGTGGTCTATAACGAGCCAAGCGAAGAGAACTACACGCCTGCTCATGCACTGTTCCAAATCAAGGCACGATCAGACAGACGTCCCTTAGCGTCAATCACTGGTGAGGGCATACTAGATAACCTCATGAACATATCCCGAACGACATGGCGAGACTCAGGTCTGAATCGACTGGAGCAAGCAGCCCTACCTGGCGCATCTGCTCCTCCAATTGAGGTTTCGTGTGAAGGTACACGAGCCCCAGTTACTGAGCGCGAAGACACCCTGTTCAACGTATCTATGCGTAAGGTGTTGTACGGACCTACTGCAATGGAAGAGAAGGCTCTTGTGTTACAAAGCACTCCAGCAGAGCGCTATCCACGACTTGCGGCTCTTCCTCAGCCGGATAACGAGAAGCGACGATTTACAAACATCACCGTCCCCAGCATGCGCCGCTTTGTTACTGACAGTGGGAAATTAGCCAAGCTCGACCAGCTGCTGTTCAAGCTTAAAGAGGAAGGCCATCGCGTGTTGTTGTACTTCCAGATGACGAGGATGATCGACTTAATGGAGGAGTACCTCACTTACCGCAATTACAAATATTGTCGACTGGATGGATCTACAAAACTAGAGGATCGTCGTGACACCGTCCACGACTTCCAGACCCGTCCGGATATCTTTGTCTTCTTGCTCTCAACTCGTGCAGGTGGATTAGGTATCAATTTGACATCGGCCGACACAGTCATATTCTATGACAGTGATTGGAACCCTACCATTGACTCGCAGGCCATGGACCGAGCTCATCGTCTCGGCCAGACGAAACAAGTGACAGTCTACCGTCTCATCACGCGTGGCACTATCGAGGAACGTATTCGAAAGCGCGCGATGCAGAAGGAGGAAGTGCAACGTGTCGTCATTCAAGGAGGCGGGGCTCGGGGTGTGGACTTCAGCGGTCGTCGTCCAGCTGAGAACCGCAACCGTGATATTGCGATGTGGCTCGCCGATGATGAGCAAGCCGAGCTCATCGAGCAACGAGAGAAGGAACTGCTCGAAAGCGGCGAGATGGATAAGACGAGTAAGAAACGAGGTGGCACGAAGAGAAAACGGGAGGCGGTCAGTCTGGATGAGATGTATCATGAGGGTAAGTTTACAGTGCATGGCTCAGGTGATACGTGTGCAGTGAATAAGATTGCTAACGGTACATTTCTAGGCGAGGGAAATTTCGATGACGGTAATAAGCCCTCTGGTACAGCCACGCCAGTTGAGGTTGGAGACTCGAAATCGTCGAAGAAACGAAAGGGTGGCAGTAAAAAGGCGAAGACGACAAAGCAACGACTTGCCATCGCCGACGGCGAGATGGATCTTTAGGTGTTGGTCATAATGAAATTCACCGAACACCGGTATTAGTAGGAGATGAATAGCCTCCCCCCCCCTTCTTGAGATGAAGTTGGAGGTTGGCCTTGTACAAAATTAAGAGGTTTACGGCGTTACATTGACATCGGTCACGTTGCAAAGGCAGGCTCTAAGGAGGGGACGAATACGCATCCATAGAAGCTAGCTAATTGTCATTTCACACTAGCTGAGCAGGAGAAAGGCATAAAAAAACACTGTCGCACTAGGCGGCTAGACTTTGCAAACTTGAGTTGCATTTTATTTTTGCAATTCATGCATCTTTTCTTGGACTCTGGTCCTAATGTATTTTTGTAAGGCTACGTACGACAGGAGAATGGGAGTCATGAGATGAATACAAATGCATGTTGTTGAAACCTGGAATCGAAGTGTTGAGCCTCGCTATGGCAGTGACTAATAAGTGATGGTGATGCATGTAATTAATGAAGATTGCTTTTCAAGTTACTAGGTACCTACCTACTGTACTTTGTAAAGGACTTGCGTGGTTACCCCCCCCCCCCCCCCCCCCCCCCCCCCCCCAATCGCCTTAAGTTTGGGTAGACGAGTTTCCGTTTAGCCCCCTTCTCTTCTCCCCTTACCTACGTATGTAAATTGCTAATATTCCTACCCTAGGTAGGTAGGTAGGTAGGTAGGTGTCTCATTGAATCCAAAAAGAGAGGGAAAAAAACCCCGCACTGTCTATCGGGTTGATTGAGTGAGTGATAGACAGACAGACAGACGTCTCACCATTGAGTCAACCGGTCGTTGTTCGCTCCCTTGCTTGTATGTGTACTAATAAATACGTATTGCGTTGTTAAAGTAGTTTGGTTACGTTGCTACAATTCTTAACTTATCTTTCTGCTTCCATCACCATCGCTAGTGTACGAGTCATTGTTTAAAAAGGCAATTTTTTCATTCGTCTCTAATCTATCCCTATGAAGGAGAAATCCGGCGCACACCGATGTTGGTTGGCTTGTCGCAGTTCGTAAAGGTCCTCTTTAAAAAGCAGAGCTTTTCAACCCCTAGGCTACGGCTCTATGCTGCGATGCCCATTCTATAGAACCCCCGAGTCGCAGCCACATGTGTATGCTTCCCAATTCCGTGCTGCTTTAGCACGACCCTGTCTCCTCTAATCCGAGGAAAGTGTTCGTAAAAGTCAACTAGACCAAAATATCAAGCGCATAAAAAGAACGGCGCTTAGACTGCGCCAGAGGCCAACATCTTCTTTCGGAGATAGTTCTTGTACTCTCCTATTGAGCCTTCCCAAGGCTTGATGCTTCGGTTCTCGCAAACCAGAATTTGCTTGGCAATTCGGTCAAGCAATCTATTATACTGTCAGTGATGGCCTACACATAATTGACCCAAATATAGACGGAGAAATCTTACCTGAAATCGTGGGAAACTACAATGACACCTCCACTGAAATTCTCGATGGCATCTGCCAAAGCATCGATCGTGGGGATATCTAGACCGTTGGTAGGTTCGTCGAGGAGAAGCATATTGGGTGAGTCGATAGCAAGGAGAGCGAAAACAATACGGCTCTTCTGGCCTTCAGAAAGTGTGCCCATCAAAGCAGTCTGGACGGGACCGGATACTCCATATCTACCAAGAGTTTGTCGCCAAAACTGGTAATCTTGCGACTTCTCACGGTACTTGTCGCGGACAAAGTCCAAGGCACTCTTGGTCAGATCGAGTTGCTCAGAACTGTGCTGCGAGTAAAGGCCGAGCTTAAGATGGGTGTGGCGACGAACAGAGCCCGAAGTGGGTGAGATTTTGGCCGTCATCAAGCGAAGAAGGGTACTCTTTCCAACACCGTTGGGTCCAACAAGAGCAGTACGGGAGTCCATATCAAAACCAAGGTCGATGTTGCGGTAGAGGTCATCCTTTGCCTCACCCGAGTACGAGAATGTTACATCGTCGAACGATAGAACCGGAGGTGGTAGCTTGTCAACATCGGTGAATCTGAACTTGAAATCCCTCTCTTCCTTAATTTCCTCGATGAGGCCATCGGCAATCATCTTGTCGAGGATCTTTTGTCGGGATTTAGCCTGTCGGACCAAGTTGGCGTAAGTACCGGCGCTGGCAATGAACTCCTTGATATGCTTGATTTCATCCTGCTGCTTCTTGTAGGCGGTCATCTGGTTGATCTCCTGTTCCTTGCGGGTCTTCATGTAGGAGTCGAAGTTACCACCATAGTACATGAGTTGTTGCTTTCGCATGTCAATCATGTTTGTGCACACGCCGTTGATGAAATCCTGGGAGTGGGAGACTAGAATGAGCGTCCGCTCCCACTTCTTGAGGTACTCTTCTAGCCACACACAAGCCTCGAGATCCAAATGCGCAGTGGGGTCATCAAGAAGTAGCAGAGTTGGCTTAACGAAGAGTGCCTTGGCAAGAGCAACACGCATACGCCAACCACCAGACATATCCTTCGTCTTCTTGTGGATGGTAACTTTGTTGAAACCAAGACCGGTCAGGATAAGAGAGGCTCGGGTGGCGAAAGTGGAAGGGTCCATTTTGTCCATGTGCTGTTATGTCTTGTTAGCAAAATAAAGGGAAGAAAAGCTGTTTCGCATATGTACATACCTCATAGATATCCATCAGTACGGGGCTGTCGGGACCCTCGTCCTCAAGCAGCTGCTCCGCCAATCTATCGAGACGGTCCATCTCCTTCTCAGCCTCCTTGAGAACCCATTCTAGGGCACCTAGGTCGGATGGTGGCGCACCTTCGTTTAGAAGATAGATGTCGACATGGTCAGGGATAGGGTATTCTCGTGCAGCAATGGCCTTGAGAAGGGTACTTTTTCCGCATCCGTTCTCACCAAGTAAACCATAGCGACGACCGAATGACAACTCGAGATTGGTTTCGTTGAGTAGTACACGACCATGGAAGGTCAAACTGGCACTGATGATCTTGACGTCTCTGCTGGTGACTACAGATGCTAAGACACCGGTAGTAATACGGTCAGACAGGCCATGCTTATCCTTCTGGTCGGATAGAGCCTTGACCTTCTCCATCTTGGTATCGTCGGTTGCGGGGACATCATCAAGATCGGGAGGGTCATCGCCAGCGACGGAACCGGAAGCGCTCGCACTCTTAGATGCGGCCTTGGATCCAGCCTTGGATCTCGAGACAAGTGTCTTTTTCTCGCCTTTGCCGTCGGCAGCCTTCTTGGCGAGTCTCTTCTCTTTGGATGCGGAAACCATATTGAAAATCTCTTCAAATGACCTTTTCTCGAGTTATTCCTCTATTTGTTATATTGTATGTATGAATTGTTGGTCGACCGGGAAGAGGAAAACGATGGTGAGTGACGAAGTTATCTACCCCGCTTGGGTTTTGGTTGGTTCTGAAATAGCGACCGCGGGCTTTTTGATGCGATCACAAGTGAATGAGACCGATTATCAAGGACAAGAAAACTTAATTAGTGGGCTTTTTATCAAGGGGGATAAAAAGAAAAGGACCTTGTTCCCACAACTTGAGAAAAAAGGATGGAATGGAGAAAGGGTAGAGAGGAGATTGTTGAAAAAAAGATTAATCCTCGTCAACCTTTTTTTTTTTTGGTTGTAGGAAAAGTTTAGGGAAAGTTGTATGACAGACAAATGGAAAATTACGCGGGGCGATAAAAAAGATCCGTAATCCTTGGTCTTTGGCTTGTGGCTCTTTCTACTATGCCAGTAAAGTTGGTGGGTTGGCTGCTTTTAATGGGGCTTGGTAGTGGGGCAACGAAAATTTGACCCTTCCATTCACAAGTAAAATCTTAAGCAATATTCCAATCATTACCATACGTGGTTGCCTCAGGCCATAACTTAAACACTAGGTGGGGGCGGGTCCTCCTTTCACCGCTTTCGTCCTGCCTACGTAGTAGGTCAATTTGCTGACGTCAGGGTTACTATTTATCTACTATCTATTTTAACACGCCATGTCGGCAATCATTATCTCCTTTACTTCGTACTACGAACATACTGTAAGTATAAAACATACACTTCAAGGAGCAAAGCCATCCATGTGGGAATTGTCCTTCAGTATAAATACATAGTCACCTACCTACCTACCTACTTACCTCCCTAGTCATAAAGTATCATACTCGCTAACACGATAACCTATATCAAAATGAAGCCATATAATAATAATTTTACGTGCCCCATATCCAGTGGAGGTCGAGCGCCATTTCGCCCTATAAAATGGTTGAGTGGGCAATAAGATGACAACAGGACAACATTTGTTTACACCCGCAGCGTCGTTTTGTTTCCTCCTCGAGGCAGGCCAATTTAGTGATCTAAAGTTTTGTTTACTTTTACCTAAAATGCTATTTAGACTATCTACCCTATTAGCAAAAAAAGGAGAAGCCTCTCGCCTCAACTCAACGTTGCTATCAAATTGACCGATCGTCGCGAGAATGGCACTCGTACATTGAATAATCTGGCACATCAAGCTTTTGTCGTGGGTGAGTTGCTTTGCTTTATTAATGGCGGCGCTGTTGAACTCAAATTAAGCTCCGTTGTGAATGGGTTGCTAGGGAGATGGAGGTACAATCCACGATGTCAGTTTACGAAAGACTAAGATGGCAACATTTGAAGAGTCGAATGTACCTAAAGACTTGAGTATTCATGTTCTTCTGCAGAAAACTGCCGCTTGGCTTCGTGCTCTCTTTGCTGGTGGTCTTCCGATTCTCTACCTTGAACCATTTTCCTACCCCTTTTTCTTCCTACTGTGTTCGCGTAGAAAAAAACATCAATCCGGAAATCTGCCATGAATTCCTTCTAGGGTTGCCAACCTTATAATTATTCTCCCAAGAGTTATTCCCAGCTATTAGCCTATCAATACTCAAGTTTACTTCTTGGTTTCGAGCACAAAGTTTGTGTCCTCTTTGATGAGATTGCAACCTTCATAGAAGAAGAATAGGGGAAGTGGGCGTTCTATCCAAACAGCCACAGTATCCCCTCTCCTTGATCAAGGCCTCGACGGCGCGAGTATCTGCGAGTATCTGCATGCATGCAGCCAACAAGCATATATTAAGTGTGATAATGCTGTGTAACAAACCAGCTGCATTCGTTCGAATATTGCGTATTGTTTCCAATATTTCTCACCGGTAACGTTAATTACCACCACACGAGCAACAAAAGGCTATTTGAGTGAAGATAGGTAACCTAGGTGTGTATATCTGATATCAACTAAAGTACATCTGGGTATATCCACGCAGGTATGATATGTATACACTGCTTCAACTAAAAAGATCGTACATCGAACGATATGATCCCAGCCAATCCCGTAATTGCAAAACTCCAATCCAAGCCAGCCGCTATTAAACGATTCCCCTTTATATGATGTCTGTCTGGCCATTGGCCACAGCTCATATCAATGATATACCATGTATACCTCATATTCACCAGTACTCATATCCCGCACGACCCATCCAGATAATCAGGATTCGCCCTCGAGGTTGAGGTATGTCTTGTTAGCCCATTCGATACTTTCGATAATCCTTAGGTAGTCGATCCATGAGCCTTCGTATAAACCCACCTCTGAGCTATTCTCGGCTGTCTCATGATCCTCACAAGCTGAACTTGCTCTCCTTCCACTGTTTCCCATTGACTTAGAGGTATCAAGTCGAATAGATACCTAGCCTAGGCCAGTCTCCTCATCCCACCAACCGGCCCAACTCAAGCCCTCCCCTTCGGCACACCCCCATACGCCCCGTGCGCCGCAGCATAGCTCTCCCTGTCATACCGCGGCGGCATGTCCTGCGAATGCAGCTCCAGCACCCTCGTCTGACTCCCATCCAGCTCGCCCGTGACCGCCTCGCCGTGGATCTCCGCGGGCTGGTACTGGCTGTGCAGCTCGTGGTACACCTCCGGCGTCTCGAGCTCCCGCACCCCGGGGCCCTGCCATATCGGGTTCGCCAGCTGCGGATCATTGCCGGGGGCAGACCCGTCGCCGAAGCCCTTCTCGTTGTCGGCGTTGGCGTCGGCGTCGGCGCCCGCGGCTTGCTGCTTCTTGGAGCCCCGGCGCCGCCACAGGAGGACGGCGGCGCCGCCGAAGATGATGAGGGCGCCGCAGCCGACGCCGACGCTGACGCCGATTATGCCGCCCACGGAGAGGCCGGAGCGGCTGGTTGAGGAAGCGGCGGATGTGGAGTTGGAAGAGGCGGTTGCTGATGTTGTTGGTAGGACGAGAGCTCCTGCGTGGGGTGGGTTAGCACCGAGGTACCTAATAGTGATAAGACGACTGTGGTCTAGCTAGGCTTTTGTCTGTCTATGAATATCCAAATTGCTAGAAAGGCAAAACGTACCTTGATGATTACAGTCGTACACCATATAGCAGTTCTTATCGTCATGATTATACAAATACGTCTCGTTCACCTGCCAACACGTGAAATTCCCATACCCATTCGTCGCCGTCCCCGCGAGGTCCCCCGCGCTCCCACGCACCCCCAGCACGGCCTTGAACGTGACGCCCGTGCTGATGAAGTACGCCGGCGTCGTGGCGTTCGCCCAGTCGCGGAGCTGCCCGCTCGTCACGGCCGCGACGTCGTCGGGGGTGTCGTCGGGGGCGCCCGTGAAGTACGAGGCCTCGGACGAGAAGTCGCTCGTGTTCGTCACCCCGGTGCAGTCTACGAGCGCCACGTCTGTATATTTTTAAGTATATGTGTTAGGGAATCTTTTAGGCTAGGTAGGTAGGAGGCTAGTCTAGAATGAGATGTTGACGTGGGATTGTCGACGAATGAGGAGACAGTCAGGCCTCGCAGTGTATGCGAGACCGGAGCAGGCGTCATGCTCAGCACGTGAAAGTAGTGTAATATGAGAAAACAGGTAACCTTACTTTCTAAGTTTTCGCGCTTCCACGACCGATATCCCGTGCTCGCGGCCATGCAGCTCGAGAAAGCACACGTGGTAGCTAGCAGGAGGCTGGTAAAGAAGAACCCCATGTTGAACAGCATTGTCGTTCCCACCTCGATCGATCACCGCCTGCGGTCTGTCACGCAGAGGAGCGAAAGCTTGTGTACCATGTGAAAAGCGGGAGGTTGATTTCTCGCTCACTGCTTGCTATCCTAAGCTCTAGACTTTTTTTTTCTCGTCGCCCTGAGCCTAGCCTAGACGCGCAATGGTGTCTTGTCTGTCTTGCTTTCCACAGGACGAAAGAAAACGGTAGCGAAAAAGCCACAAAAGCAAAACAAGAACTGGTGGACTTCAAGCATTCGAAAACATAGTCATTAGAGAAAGGAGAAATGTACGGAATTGAATGCGAGGGGGGTTTCCTCTGGGAGTTAAAGCACATTGGACCCTGGAGTCCTGTCTTGCGGGACCCCCCCTGGTAAAAACTGCCGTTTTTTCCTGATATCGCATTGGCTACCTGCGATAATATACATCTTCCAGAAGGGTTCTATCGCATCCTGATTCGCCAAACTGGCATCCCTACAACTGTGCTGGTGTCAGCAGTATCCATCGTTTCCAGCGAAGCTGAATTTCGAATCCAGCCAGGGGGGAGGGGAGGGGGGGTTGGACGATCGGATGCTACATACTAGGTAAGCTTTTTTTCTTTTCTCTCCCCCCTTCCCTTCTCACTTTATTTTTTTTGTAAGCCGGATAACTAATCGCTAGATCAAGCCCTCCAAAGACAAGGAAGGCAAGGGCACACATGCATCTATCTGTGACTAATAGTTCGCGAAGCTTGGCGCATGCCAGGCCTCCTCCCTGCTGGCCCTATCAGGGGTTGATATTTTTGGTGTCATGGCCCGTTTGTAGTTTAGGGTGCATGTCGCCAAATAATGCAACGCTCGCGTCTTTTCGGCGTTCGTCAGGATGAATATCCTCGCTATATGGGACCAAACTAGAGAGGTAAATATTAGAAGATGGATTGTGTATTAATGCTGGGTTTCATACATACAGCCTATATATTGTAGGTGCCACGTTTCAGCGATAGTTGACCAGTAACTGACTGATCACATAATAGCTATAGGCAGGTAAGTAAACTCGTTTGGGTTGGGGCTGGGTGCCGTTAATGCGCAGCCCAATCCACAGAACTCAAGCATCAGGTACGCCGGATGTCGAGTTCCTTATTCCAGCCTCGACATAATATCATTCCGCTTCTCAAATGTGTAAGGACTGCGCTTGGGTTACAATATGGCTAAAAACAACTGTCTTGTGAGATTCATTGCATGACTATGAACATACACTCAAGCCGTTATGGGTTAAACAGGCTTGACCATCTAGGTAATAAATGTCGCCAAAGCACTATAAGTCTATTTCAATACACCTGGCTCGGCATCCATACTCAATGAAACCTCATACCCCGAAAAGGACACAAGCATACCTACCCAATAAACAACCCACCTAACCTAATAGGTTAAGAACATCAACAAGTTGAAGCGCGACATGATTGCGATACACTATTACCTACAATACTCTAAGCAGATAGATAGCCAATAACATGCATAAGTATTCATGAGCATCTTACGCAGAATACGCCTTCAGCGATTTGATAGCATCCTGGTATTCTCGCTCAACAACCTCCACGTGTTCAGGCGACCTAGGCTTTATCGAGCAGGGAAATGGTAGCGGGCTCGAGTTGAATCCATCCGAGAATGCGAATCTAGACGATGAGATAAGCGATCAATACGAGTAACTTTTTTTTTGGGAGAGGGGGGGGGAGATTAGATAGGTAGGCATGCTACTCACATATCGACGTCGATATCCTCTCCCCGCGAATTCTTTGCCGCACCGACTTCGAAAGCCCACAGGATTCGCGCGATGTTGAGCTCCACGGACGCAGAGCCGAGATGCATGCCGGGGCAGATGCGGCGACCCCAGCCAAACGCACTGTGGCCGAACGTACCGGGATACTCGCGATCCTCGATGAAACGTTCCGGTCGAAACTCGTGTGGTTCAGGGAAGTCAGCCTCGTTTAGGTGAACTAAAGAAAGTTCGACCTCGTTAGCAAAAAAACGGGCTGATAATGGGGTATTATACTAGGTATAGGTATATAAATAGGTGAGTGGGTGTTGCTGTGCACTTACTACTCCATAGTGGCGCAATGACGGTGCTCCCCTTCGGGATGAACATGCCCTTATATACGTCATCGGCCGTGCTCGCGTGTGGTGTACCTCCCAGCACAGCCACGGGCCTCCATCGTAGCGTCTCGGATGCGACAGCTCTGGCATATGGCAGATTGGGCAAGTCTTCGAACGTGGGGAGTCTGTCGCGGCCCACTACTCTGTCGAGTTCCTTTTGCGCCTTGGGGATAAACTGAGGGCCGAATTTAGCACACGCGAGGAAGAAGCTGGCAAGTGAGCCTGATGACTGTACCGTACTATATTAGCTTCGTATCTTTTGAGGGGGTTTGCTTGTGCGAGTGGATAGGTAGGGAAATGCTACTCACTGTCTCTACGCCTGCGCCGAAAGGGGTTCCTGCCGCATAACCGATCTCGAGGTCCGACATCCCAAGGCTTTGTTGCTCTTCCAAGAGGTGCTTGGCAAAACATGTTGGCAGAGTTCCCTTGGCCTTCTTTTCCTTGACTTCATCCATGAGCTGGTTGTACATTTGGATATCCTTCTGTCGCTGCTTGAGGACTTGGACTTTCCACGGCGCAAATATGCTCGGTATGTATTTCAGGGCTGGGTAGCGTTCTACTGCGTATTTACCGGGAATGCTATGATGTGATGTTTAGAAGACGAGATCAAAGGTCTAATGAAGAGGAGATAACTAACTTGGATTGAGTTAGGCGATCCATGGACTCTCCATTTTGTCTCACCACGATGTCAGTTTCAACGTCTTCTACTCTCCTTCCATACGTCACCGTGACAATGACCGAAGCCGCATAACGTTCAAGATGTGTTCGGAACTTGGCGGGGGTCTCTAGCAGCTCTTTCATCAAGACCTTTGACTCCAGACTCTGTATAGGCCGGTAAGTTTCGCTTTGGCGTTGCATGAACCCGCTGTGCAGCAGCTTTCGCCAGCGTCGCCAGAAAGGCCCGTAGGGTGCCATCAGCCCGCGCATCCCCCCGGACAAGAGCTCACCGCCCATGATGAATCTCGGCCTAGACGAATACTTGGCGCCGCGTTTTTCTAATAAGTCCCATGCCGCCTGCGCAGACCCCAATATGATCGTGGGCGTCGGCCCCATCTGGAGGTAGACGACATCACCGTATTCCTTATTCAGCTCTCGAAACCATAGCCATGGTTTATTAATACCCGATTTGATAGATTTAGGTCCTGGGGGAAGTTCTGAGCGGTGCGCATGGAGCTTCCACTCTTTCAGCAACTATTTCCAATAGAGTCAGCGAAAATAAAACCATATCCTTGATCTTCATCCTCGAGATAAGCATGTAAGTCGACTTACCTTTGGAAATATCAAGCCTAAATATGATAGCGCAACAGCGAAGCCTATGCTGGCGAGAAGGGTGGCAGACATCTTCGCGTTCACGTCTAAGACTTGGCGATGACTTTTTGTAAGCTCGAGACTGTTCAAGCCAGAAAGGAGGAAGTCATTTCATTTAATCCTGGACATCCGTCATAAATAGCAGCGAGGTAGTAGGCCATATCTCTGTGCTGCTACCCACCTCTGCGAACTGCCGACTCTGGCGGGGAATAACCCATGTGGATATTTCCCCAAAATACGGTTGTGTTTGCGGAGTAGTATACCCCATCTTTGACCAGAGCTCGCTAACGCAACCCCTTTCAGGTTAGTGATTCCGGGGATTTCGGTAGGAGCACAATCAGAGAACTCTTGGGGGGGATGATGAATGTGATCTAATGCCTTTGTAAGCTGGGTAGGCGGGTAGTTATCTACTAGGTATCTAATGCTTCGTGATAGGCAGTGAAAGTCGAAGAGGTACAGTAAGTAGAAATAAGGCGAAGTCGAGGGATCCGTATATACTACTTCGTTCGAGTTACCTCGGATTATTGAGAACGAGGCAAGACTACCCTACCATACCTAGGTGCCTGGTATCCTACGCCGTAAACCCCGCGTCTAGCCCCTTGGCGGGATCCAACCCCATACAGCGGCGCGAACCAGGTTGCCGGGTGAGGTTACCCCGGAGAAGCGTAGGATCTAGATTTCATCGTGTAAGCGAGCTCTGAAGCGATGAATAAAAGGGTCATTCAGCCCCTTTCTATGATGTGGTGAAGGTGATCGTATATCAGCTCCAGTTCAGCTGCCTGGCCGTGCCTGCTTAGGTATTTAAGTAATGATCATGAAGACCAAAAATTACTTAAGCAAGCCCTTCTTGACCTCCCTATTCCTTGGAATAGGTGGGTTCCTCTATGGCTAGTAAGTCTGCTTAGTAAAAGGTAATAGGATCTCTATCATTGGGCTAACAACAATCCAAGTGATTCGGGAATCATCACGCCAAGTCTGGCACTGCATTCCTTCTTGACTTATTTCGGACAGCCAGATGCCCCGACCCGTGGCGCCATTGTGTCGGTGTACCAAGCAGGAGGTGCGCAAAATTGTTGTTCTTCACGTTTGTCCCGTGCTAATTTTAGGTATCCATAGCCTGGCTTGGAAGTGCTTCCGTTGGCATTACCAGTGACAGATTCGGTAGACGAAAAGCTATCGCGTTTGGGTGCATATGGGGTGTCATCGGGGCTGCGTTGATGGCTGGAGCCGCACATGTTGCTATGCGTGAGTGCTTGCATCGAACTTAGTCCGCGTATACGGGTGAAATTCTAACTCGTTAATATAGTTATCATGGGTCGTCTTTTAATAGGTTACGCCGTTGGGACCATCACTGGCGTGGCTCCTGTGTTCGGTGCTGAGATTGCGAAGGTTCGATTATCCCCCCCTTAAAAATTACTAGATGCAATGTGCTAATTCAGGGGCGGCGGCAGACTCACGAACGTGCGAAAATCACGGCCGCCAATCAAATGAGTGAGAAACCTACCTCTCTAGAGATTTCATTATCGAGGCTAACCGGAAAATTGAAGTGGTCGCTTGGGGGTTCTTCGTTGCTTTGTGGACTGGAGTTGGTGAAAGCCGATGGAATAATCCGAATCAATGGCGAATTGGGTTTGCCATTCAGGGCATACCGGCTGTTCTACTTGGCGCTGGCGTATTGTTTATTGGCGAGTCACCAAGATGGCTCTGTCTCAAGGGTCGGCACGAAGAAGCCAAACAGGCCTTCAATAGATACCATTACGACGGATCTAACGAAGAGTGGTGCGATACCGAGTTTAGTGTTATCCGAGCCAACATTGAAGAAGAGAGCAAGGCCCAGGGCAGTCTGACTTGGGGAGACCTGCTGAAGATACCAGCGTTCCGGAAACGTCTGTTTGTAGGATCTTTCGTGTGGGCTGCTGCGATGCTGTCGGGTATCTCGTTTGTGCAGTATTACCAAACCGCCATCTACGCGACCCTTCAATTTGGCCAAAGCGAACAGCTTCTCGTCAGCGGTCTCTACGGCTCGGTTGCCCCAGTGGCTTGCCTCGCATCTCTATTCTTTGTTGATCGAATTGGGCGCAAGAAAATTCTGATATCGAGTTCCGCGCTTCTCTCGATCTGCTATACCATCATCACCATCATTGCCGCAGTCTACCCAGCGCTCCCCGGTCAGCCTACAAATGCCGCCGCACAGCGAGGTCTTATTGCATGCATATTTGCCGTCTCCGCTATTTACTCGGCTTTTCTTGGTCCCATGACTTGGATCATTCCGTGAGTCTGCCCTCGATTAATGTCATGTGTAGTGTATGCGCTGACTAACTGTCATTTTAGTCCGGAGGTTTTCACAACCGAGCTTCGAGCCAAAGCCAATGCGCTGGTGCAAGTAATACATTACTCCATTAGTTTGGTAATAACGCAATGCTCCCCTATTGCATTGGCGGCGGTTGGCTGGAAATACTACGTAAGTGTAGAGCGTGTCCTTGATGAATCTGAAAGAACCTTAAGCTAATGAATTATCGAAGATTCTCTTTATCCTTACCAACGCGTTTTGCGCATTGGTTTTCGCTTTTGCGTATCCCGAAACGAAGGGTAAGTAACTTTATCCAAGATTACCTAGGTAGATATTGTACTTCTTGCTAACATCTTTCAAAGGTAAATCACTCGAAGAGGTCGATGAGATTTTTGGTGATGTTAAGGTTATCCATGAAAAGAACATGAAATTCGTCAATGATGAGGAAAATGCTGTTGAGGTATTGGAAGTTCATGGTGGGAAGGATGAATGTAGACTCTAGTGTGTCAAGGTCAAGATGGGTAGGTACCTTAGGTACTGTCTCACCCGAATCTCCTGACTACATGCATCTACCCTACCCTGGTAAATAGTGCGCATACCGGCCTGCAAATAGTACAGTTGTCTCAAATTTAGTCACAAGTGATGAATTATCAAGAATTGTAAGGAGCATATGTACATACATAACTACCTAACCTTAATTCATCTGAGTCCAATCCGGCAAGTAAATACAATGGCAATTTCTTAGTCATATCCATGATGGATCCAGTAATTTGATCGATATTTCTCACTCAAATCTCCAGGGCTACCACCTTGTATGCCTCCAACCTATCATGCCCCCAAAACCCCCAAAAATGGCATTTAAGCCATCTGTAATGCTATGCATTCTATGGCTGTCATTGATGCTGGTCGTCAACACTATGGGTATGTTTGATTACTCTTGACGACCCACTTGCTATAGGCAATGACTTTGAGAGGATTAATTACCTAGGTAGGCATATTTATTCCAGCTCAGGATGACGTGCAGTCTAGTCGCCACTGGGAGCGATATGACAGTGCCTTAAGCTACAACCAGCCACCACCACCAACGTCACCCCTTGCTGGAGGTGTGCCGTTGCGTGTCATGTTCATGGGCGCCTCGCTCACCAGGGGTGACGTATCGACTGGAAATCTCGGGTTCCGCAAACCTATTCGTGACAGGGTCGTGACAATGGGAAACGCTGTCAACCTGGTGGGATCACAGAAAGTTGGCGCGTTCAAAGACAATGATGTAGAAGCTTATTCGGGGACTCGGATCGACCAACTGTACGAACACTCTACCTATATTGTACCCGAAACTAGCCCGAATCTCTTCATCATCCATATTGGCACGAATGATTGCCTCCAAAGATGGGACATTGAGAACTTCGGTGCACGCTTGAAGATACTCGTCGATTACTTGCTAGTGACATCTCCGAAGGCTACGGTCATCATATCGACTCTGATCACAAACACGGTTCCCAATGTCGAACCTATTATATTGAATGTGAATGCCCAGATCAGGGGGATTGGATCCGTGCTCGAGAGGGAAAGGAAGCCAATAGTGTTAGCTGAGATGCACTATGACCAGGGACTCCCGGATCGGCCACGACCTAGTGACATATCTCCCGATGGCACTCATCCCTTTGATCCGGGATATACTATGATGGCTAACATATTCTGGGCTGCCATCATTGATGCTAATGGTAGAGGTTTCATTCAGAGGCCATTAAACAATGGCATTCCAGATAATGGCGATGTCAGAAAGATAGATAATGAGACTGATATATTGACGTAGACTTTAGATTCTGAGAATATTTCCTTGCCCCAAAATCATCTGGGGCCCTCCTATTGATTCATTGGATTTTCTTCGCCGGAAGATTCATGTGAAGGTAGTAAATCTGACTCATTTTTTTTTTCAAGTCCTGAGGTATATCATCTCGGGGTTTAGATGAGATCTTGTATCTGACGGATCCAGTCCGCAACATAATACATGATGCTCGAAATACAGAGAATGTGTCAGGTATTTCTTTCATGCATGTCATTTTGAACTAATCTCTTTCTGTGTCCATAGACAGACTTAAGCCAGTCTACTTGGTAGCCAAGAGGACATAGGCTTCGAATCTAATACCCTTGAACTCCTCTACCTCTTCCTTCACGGACTGGCCAACAGCCTCAGCCCACCTAGCCTCTTCCTCTGGCGTGTACCCCTCGCGCGCCCTAGCCATCATGGGGCCAGCCATAAGCATCGTAAGCCCCGCTATATTTTCCTCGTCGGAAACAACCAACACCTTATCGAACACCGTTATGTTCTCCTTCGCAAATCCGCCCTCCTCAACCTCCTTCTGCAGCACGCCCTCCTCGTAGAACCTCGGGCCCGGCGTAGGCATAAGCGACAGATCCGGGCGGATCTTTTTCTGCGCAGCGTGCACGATATACATCGGCGCAAACCGCCTCCAGCACGTCACGACAGCGAGCCCTCCCGGGCGCAGCGTGCGGTACGTCTCCCGCACAGCGTCAAGTGGGCGCGAAAACGTAAAGATGCTGAAGTTGTTGATCGAGTGCGTGAAGTAGTTGTCTGCCACCGACGGCGACAGGTCCTGGGAGTCCAGCTCGCGGCAGTCGACGTGCGGCAACGGGGAGCCGACGAGCGAGTCCCGCGCGGCCGACACCATCATCAGGTTGTTGTCGGAGATGAGCAGTTCTTTGGGAAGCTGGTCCTTCGGCAGACGGGAGACGAGAGCGACGGCGCCGATGCCGGGACCCGCGGCTGTGTCGTGGACGATGGAGTCGGCGCCGATGGGGTGGGTGGAATTCTGCACATGCTCGCTGATGACGTCGGAGAGGATGTTGAGGGTTGATTGGCCGGTTTGGCGGACGTAGACGTTGGCGAATTTAGAGAAGTAGTCGGGGAGGGGGAGCTGTGAAGTCATCTTGATGATTATAGTCGGCTAAATTGCCAATTGGTTATATCTTATAGGTAGATTGTAATTTCACGGGGATGTCTAAGAGTTGAGAAATAGACCTCGATCGCTCTCTTTTGTTTCATATATAGAGAAAGCACTGAGGATATTAAGTGAGTGTATTGACTACCTACCTATGTAGGTATGGGAAAGCTGAGATATTTATCTCATGCCTTCGATACTATTGGCCCGTATAAAATCCACCTCACCTCAGCCTGGAGATGAGCTGTCCATTATTCCAATCCTTCTTTCTTCTTCTTCTTTTCCAAATAGGCAGCAAGCTGAAGGCAAAGGAGAATGTAGGAAACAGGCCATAGTCTTGCTATGCGTACCGCTAGCTTATAATGCTGCTTACGTTCGTTTATCGTATAGGAGGTGTACCTCCTTAGCCGCGTACGCTAAGGCCAAGCCGTCTCGCTCGGCAGCGGCAGCGGCAGCGTGAAATCCTGCAGGAACGCCGTTTTGTTCTAGCTCGTCATCCTCGGCTTCTAAATGCTTTCATCTCTATACCCTACAATGGCGGTGTTGCTATGAATGGCGTAGTTTATGTGAATGTAGCGATACAGCAACTTAGTTTCGCGCGAGAGACGTCTTAAGCTCTGTCGTGAAGTTATTGGCAGTTGCGAATACCCAATTGTCATGTCTTAGTGTCAATGGTCTGTCGGGGGCTAGTTAAGCCACACGGGTAGTTAGCTAGAACAAAGATGAATAGGTACCTAATGTATATGTGAGATGTTAGAGATATCTAATAGTAGTGACCAGATTAGAGGGGGGTGGCCATCGTGTTGCCGCCCAATTTTGCTGAGTTCTCACGGAGTGTTTTTGCTAGAGGGCGAAACCCGAAGGAAAAGACAAACCTCACAGAAAATTTGACCATATCTAATGTTTCCAGCTATTTTTCATGGGATGCATTCAGTAAAGGGAAAAGTTTGGCTTGTTAGTGATTGAAACCCAATATTGCCTTTAAAGGGGTAAGTTGGCATGCACCTTAGGCAGGTACCTGATTTTCAATTGAGTCTGGGGCCCTAATAATCGTGATCCATCCCATGAGAACTGAGAGAGCTTCTCATACAAATAGAAATTAAAATATGTTGATGTTCCGCATCGTAGTTATTTGCTTGATTTGTGACTCCGGGGCCGTAGTAGGGCGCTGCAATGAAAAAGGGGGTTCCTTGACTTATGTGTGGTACATGGCACACGTAACGGCTTTGTGACCAAACCCATACCCAAACAATGCGCTTAATATGAGTGTCCTCGTCTGTTTCACCACGAACAAAGCCGCAGATTTTTTTTTGGAGGAGTGGTGGGAAGATATCAGGCCGGTAGTAAGTCACGTCGGCCCAGATGTCTTCATTGTGACTAGCATCCATTGTTAGAAATCAACAAAGACTTAGCCCTGAAGGTCTCTGCTTACCTACCTGGTATCTAGTAAGTTCTCGGGTGCTTGCTATGAATCCTATCCGACCTGTCGGAATCTATGTTACGTACCTAGAGAATGGAGCCTGGCCTCGCAATCATTGGGAATGTGCGGTCAAATGCTAGAGGATACGGTGGCCTAAATATTCAAGATGGTAAAATGGTCACGATTAAATAAGTAGGTACATAGGTACCTACCTGTTAAGTTAAGTACATTTATATTTCTTTATGATTTCTGATTGTTGGTTGTTACAGTTACTATGTAAATAGGGAGGCAAGTGTGTAACGGCCCTTGGGTTCTCGGGTAGATCCCCGGACGGATTATCTTATTTGCTCAATACTTGTGACTTACCCAAGTTCCATGTTTACAAAAGCTTATTGTGAGCTCTTGTCTCTGCTATACAAAATGTGATTGTATCTTGTTTTACCTAGTACGTTAATCAGAAACAACTTCTTTGTTTGGCATCGTAACTCGGCTTTGTTTACAGTACACTTGCTTTCAAACACAACAGTAGTAATGAATAGATACATCTATATTTAAACGGGCCCCATTCTGTAAACCTTTCTTTCAATACATCATCTTTAGAGGCCACACTTCTATCCTTTCAAGCAATAACAGTTTCTATCCTAAAAGGGCCAATAGACAATTCACGCTCATTACTAAAACCACTACTTCGCCTGCGCAAATACAAAATTCAAAATGGCCAGCTTCCTCATCAGCTGTCTGGAACAACTGTACCATATACTCTCAGTCATAAACTTCATCAACATTCTCACGATAGAAACCTCCGCAATGGAAAACTCCACGACTAACGAAGCTCCACCAAAGACGCCTAGCACAGAGCCTAGTGTAGAGCCCGAGGAGGATATTGAATATGAGGATATGGGTATGGCTGTTATGGGCATCGAACATGTTCAGCTGTATAACGCAGGCGGCTATCATCCGGTCCACCTCGACGATATTCTCATCAGCCGGTTTGAAGTAGTCCACAAACTTGGTAGTGGTGGCTTCGGTATCGTTTGGCTCTGTCGCGACTTGAAGTTGGGCAAGTGGAGGGCAGTTAAGATCATAGTTGCCAATCGTTCGTCTGATTGTGCTGAAAAGAAAATCTACGATCGTCTGCGAAATCGATATACCCTAGAAGAGCTCGAAGAACACCACATAACAGTACCCTTGGAGGAATTCTGGATAGAGGGCCCCAATGGTCGCCACCTTTGCCTCGTAATGCCAGTGCATGGCTCGACGGTCGCAAGCTGGCGTATGTCTATGAGAGATTGGCAAGAGGGGGCCGATACGACCTCCAAAAACGTATGCTCTCAGATCATAAAAGCTGTAGGCCTTCTGCATAGAGAGGGTATATGCCACGGGGATCTCAGACCAGACAATATTCTCATGAAGTTAGAGGGGATTGATGGCTTGAACAAGGAGCAAGTTCTGAATCTCATGGGGGAACATGATCTGTATGAAATCGGGACTGTTTCGGGCAACCCACCAGGCCCAAGAGCTCCAGAATATTGCGTTGTGCGGGCAGAATCTGATTGGTGCGAGACCATGTCTACCAAGTCTATCACGATAGTGGATTTTGGGGAGTCCTTCTTCATCGACAACCCCCCAAAAACTACTGGTATTCCAAATCTCTACGCCGCCCCTGAGATCATGTTTGAAGATTCGGGAATCCCTGGACTTTACAGTGATATATGGTCATTGGCCTGTACATTATTTGAAGTTCGTACAAACGAGCCTCTATTGTATTCCTATATCGGTGGCTCGAGTCTCCCTATAGCCGAACTCGAACTATATGTTGGTCTATTGCCACCAGTATATGGAGCAGCTTATTCCAAAATGCTCGGCGAATATCTAAGGAAATACAGGAGAGCGCCCAGTGCTCCCGCAGTTGATCATGAGGCGGAATCGAATGCAAATTTAAACTCAACTGAAGATGGAGATAAATTTGCAGATCAAGATGACGATGATCAGCATAAAAACATCGACAAAGACAACAGTCTGTATGAAAACAAGGATGAAGATGATGAAGACAAGCATGAAAGTGAATCTGAAAAGAAGTTGAGACATAGAAGAGAAGAATTTACCGAGGGAAGCGGATATTCAGACGTATTGGAAGCTAGATTGGGGGAAGAGAGACAAGTAATCCGTAAATTTCAAGACCCCAAGTACCTACCACCGGATGATGGCTCGGAATACATCAAGTGGCAATATTCACGGAAAGAAGTAGTGGAGTTAGCTGATCTATTGCGAAAAATGCTGAAATACGACCCATCTGAGCGTATCAGTATGGACACTGTCATTTCACATCCTTGGGTTGGGTCAACAACAAAAGATGGATTTCTCGGATTTCAGGTTGAGGATACAAAATTCTGTTGGACACGGCCATCCTGCACTTTTCTGTAAGATAGGTATTAGGTTATTATTATTGAGGTACTTAGGTAGTTAGACTTCTAAATGGGACTTTAGAATATATTGGTTTGGTTATGGTTATATGAAGCTCTTAAATTATGCGCTGTTGTAATTGCCGTGATCGTGCAATTCTAATTTACAGGCACATAGTGCGGTATCGTAGAAGATGATAGAGGCAACATAGAATATAAAGGAACCGTGAAGAGTTGATATCACCTCAAATACCTAACCTAGTACCTTCTAATACTTCAGGGAATGTTAGGTACTACATAGTTAGGTCTCGTGTAAGTTTGAATGCGTTAGAAAACACCAAGGTGTAGGAGGTAAGTACCCAATTAAGTAATTTATAACTGTCATTTCTTGGATTAGAGATTGCATTGCTCAATGACTACCCGTACTAAAGGCCAACCCCTGGGTAGGTATCCGCTCCAATATTAAACACTTTAACTATTATGTAGATAGTTTCATGGCGTTAGTGTTGCCGTGGTGCCAACGATGTCTTGTCTCCCCGTTTCGCCTTGGGACTACCATAGTTACCTAGTAGATACACATCTTCCCCTTACTTGCATAATATTTTCTATCATGATCTCTAAATGTAGCGTCCAGCAAGCAGTGTTAAGCAATATAACGGCATTATAAAAATAGCATTCTTTGAAGTATCCTTAGATAGACATGAGGTGCTTTGAAAGAGTTTATAAATAACTAGGTATGTACTTGGCCCCTTGAGTAATACACCACTTGATACCTAGATATCTAACAACTGGGCAAGTCTTGTAACAATATTATAGTATTCTTTGTTGCATTATACTCTTTGTCGATATGGATGTGTATAATTACTGGCATTTCTACTTGCTGGTGGAAAAGGGGTGTTATAGTATTAGCAAGCCTTTCGTGTCTACACTGAAATATACTAAAGCAACTAAAAATGCCGTACCGTAACGGAAAAGATAGTACCATCTGGGTAAATGGGATGAAGCTTGGAAAAGGTGCGCCGCATGATCCTGAGTTCAGAAAAAGAATAGGCACAGCGCGGCGATCTTTAGGCAGCGGCACCATAGCTGATCCAATGGTTAGTTTCAACCTACAATATTTATATTCACTTATCATTATTACTAACTTCCAAATGTTCCAGGTAATCTGGCCTACTCCTGGCCCCAAGCGCTCGGCGGAGGTAACTCAAGCAATAGAGCATATAGTTCATCAAGTAGCAAAAAGATGCGGACTCCCTTATGCCTGGATTGCGTAAGTACTATACTTTCATCTATACTACAATCTCTCGACTAACTATATACATACAGTGCAGATGGGCATTCATATAGTACTACAGCCTGGACCATGGATGGAAGAATTATGTCCCACGATGATCATCATATCACCGTTCGAATGGGCATGTCCCCAAGCATTTGCAATATACAAGGACATATATATGTAATTTGTGAAGATAACGACGTCAAAAAAAGACCACTTCGCGTAATGGAAGAAGGTGAACGTGGCATTGTAGGGGGCAAAAATCCTCAATTTTGGATTTGGGGGGGATACCCTTCCAATTTGCCCCCTTCAGGGGTCAAGTATCCAAAGTCTCCGTTTGAAATTGTGCCGAACTCTATATTGGAATTTCAGATGGAAGTGAAGCGGAAAGAGGAGGAAGCAGATTACCTCAGGAAGCAGGCCATGAATCCTCCATATTAACCTGATATTAGGAATCGCGAACCAGCTATCGCGTAAGAATCGATCCAGTAATGGCACCAAGTCCATACCGAACTAAGTAACCTAGGTACTTTACTCGGTTGCGACGACGATATTAGCTACCCAGGCTTTTACAATAAGTTGAGTCTGCCTCGGAACAGATTTTAATCACTCCTTGAATCCATCTATGGTGAGCAAGTTCGAGGAATTTGATCCTTACCTAGTATTTACGATAATGAGTTAAGATATGGAAAGGAAACGGAAAACGGGAAGCTGGCCTTCGGTTTAGGAGAGAAACGATTCTATATAATTACGCTAATCGATGTACAACTAATACAATTTATATTTTTGAGGCTTGAAAGTTTCCAGGTTAAGGAGGTCATCGCTGGCCCCTCGACTCTAAATCGGTCTCTAGATTTAATATCAGGGCGGGCTCGGGCTGTGGAAGACTTCGTTGCCTCAGCAAGAGTCCAAACCAGCCATATAATAGTAACTACTTACCTAGTAAAACGAAACTAGGAAACGTTATGAGATAGATACGAATATATGAGATATATTTGCTTTTTCTTTGTTTGCACCCGACTTGACCCGAATAATCGTCTTGAATGTAGTTTTCTATTGGCTCAACTGCTGTGTCATGCCGTGTGATATTGATGCAACTCTATAGGCTTATTTTTCTTCACACTTCCAAAATTAGGTATTCTCCAACAATGAATACCTCCTTACTGAGAAACCTGCCTTAAGTTTTTTTTTATCCTTTTAGTCTTCCCCCTTACTTTTTTTCTATGTTGGCAATTGCTAAGTAGGTAGCTAATGTTACCCTGCCTCCCAAGTTGATGTTGATGGTTAAGCTTGTTACGTTACAGCAAAAAGGGCAGCGTAGCACAATAGTACACTGGTCCTATAACGCGAAGCTTACAGCATATTTGGTGTTACCTAGGTCAAAGGTCTTTGGGTGCACACGTTGATGTCTCACGTCCAGTGCAGTCATTCTTCATCTTCACCCTAGGCTTGACTAAGCTAGCCTGAGGGGAGATTCATGCAGTATGATATAGCAAAGTGATCATTACTAACGCTTAGCTGACCGCCTTCGCTGACCTCTTTCCGGTGATGTATTCAATAATTGGTCGGAGTTCAACTTCAACAGTTATTTAGAACTCTGCCCTACATTGGATACCTTAGGTACCCACGGACTAAAGCCCGCAAGGCTCTAACTTAAGGAACTGGCATGTAACATTTAACAACGAGCTATAGTACCGTCAATAACCGCCAAGCCCTTCACACATCACGTCACTATCCATACTACCTGGGTAGCCTTGATGTTTTGCCATGTTGTCGACAACGAAGGTCGAAGACTGATGATGATGTGGAGTACCTACGTACGGGGTAGTAAGCATCCGGATGACCAACAAAAGAAATCTGACCAGCATCCCCGGACCCCGGATCTTTGGCGGGAATGTATACTCCAACATCAGGTATAGTCCAACGCGGGGTTGCCACGCGACTATGCAGAACGAAGTCGTGACCTACGGGACGTCCCAATGAACACCCATCTGCGCCGTCCAATGGACCCCTTCGGCACAATTAAATGTGCTGCATGTCATCTCAGGCATGCCCATGCCCATGCCATGTCTACCGGTAGTGCAAACATATGGGCGGCCGAATTGCGGCTTTCGGATTTTGTGGTTACTTACTACCTCCTAATGTTCCTAATAATTCCTAATGAATTGTACCTAGGTAGGGAGGTACTTTAAGGTCCACGGGTATTAAGCATAATAATTTTCCTGGTTACGCTCATCCTCCATCCTTCCAGCCCGATGACCAATCACGAAATCCGGTATCAGCGGCATATAAATCTGAGCTCATAAATATTTCCTCCGAGCCACAATACACATACCCAGTACCTACCTAGGTACTTAAGGTACCTAGGTTTGTACATATGGATATATGGCACTGCATACATAGTAGGTAATGTGGTGCCATTACTTCAATAACATCGGATAGTAATTCAGACTATTGTCGGCTAGGTGAATAACTTGGAAGGCAGTGAAACATTGGCGTCGCCTCTCGGTGCTTTTCTGCTTGCGGAGTCCGTTCGTTCATCTCATATTACATACCACAACCACAACCACAACACATCTACATAGCCTACATACAATACAAAGGTACATTACATATATCTAACCCACCACCTACCTACATAGCCAACATGGTGGATCCGAGCTGTCGGATACGTAGGGTCCATTGTATATGTATGTACTATATGTAGGTACGACCACTGCATACGTAGAGTAGGTAGGGCGAGGAATCAGCATTTAGACCTGGTTGTTGGATCCATTAATCAATCCAAGTTCAATCGCGACTACACAACACTATCTATCTGTCTGTCTACTTAGCAGGTTAGTAGTCATCTATTAACCACCCCCTTGTTCGCATATCGGCACATCCCTTGACTGGGTTAAAAATCAAGAATTCTAAATAGTTTCTAGTTTCAGCGTATCTTTTTTTTCTTACCCCTGCGCACATCTCACGCTCCAATGCGTCCAATGCGTCTTTTTATCTCCCTCTTTTCCCTCCCTTTTCTTGCACACCCCGTGCCGTACAATGTATGTAGGGTATTCATGTACGTATGTAGGTACAGTAAGTAGGTATGTATGTATGCACAACAAGTCCAAGTCCCTGATCCTACCCGCGTTCATCCACCGCTGTCCAATGTCAGCGAGTCCAGAAAGCCCGGTGGTGCACCGCCCTTTCTTTCGGGCAACCGTACCAATATCAAGTGATCACGCACCGATTGTGGGCCGGTGATCAGGCTGCAGCTTACTTTTATGTATGTACATGCTGCTCGGATTCGTGACTGGCTGTGTTTGGGCACTAACATGTGTCCGCTTGGCAACAACATCAACAGCCCCCCTAACTAACTAACGGCGAAAAAAAAAAAAAGAACATGGCCAATTAGACCGGTTTCCAGTGGTAAATTCGTGGCAGAGGGTTATACGATGGCCAACGAGATGGGTAGGTAACAACGGGCACTTTGGGAGGTAATCCTTCAGGAAACTCGCGAAGCCTCGTTGGGAAGCCCATGCCCATCCTCCGGAATCGTCAATGGTTTTTTTTTTTTTTTTCGGCTGCCATGTGATGTCGAGGGCACGGGGACATTCCGTTAACCTGCCTGCGTCAAAATCTGATACAACATGTGTACGGAGGCGTACTAATGCCTGTGTCTTCATCGTGGGCCTATATGTGCCTGGCTAGGCTAAGAAATGTATATAAGATCACTCATCCCCGTGTCCGCTGTCTGGAATGTACATGTAGGTCTAGTTCAAGTTATCTTAGATCTCAATTTCACTTAAAACCCCCCAATCTACACTCTGCTTCTTAAGTAAGGAGTTGACCATCTGAGTCAGTGTGTGTGACTATCACAATGGCTCGGCATCCCTTCAACAACACGCCACTCCTCCTCCTTCTCCTCCTCAACTTCCTCTTCCTCGCCTCCGCAATCCCCATAGCGAGAGACGACACCAAACAAATCACCTCACGGGATGAAACCATAAACTTCAACGAAATCGGCGCGAGCTTCACGCTCGGCTCCGCCGAAACCACCGTCGCGACGCAGGGGACGTACCCGCGGATGGTGCGGCTCGCGGACAACGGGATCCTCGCCATCTCAACCGTCCGCGGGGCCGACAACCTGCGGATCCTGACGATCACGCGCAGCGACGACAACGGCAGGACCTTCGCGCAGATCGGCGAGGTCGCGCGGAGCACCGGCGAGATGGACAACGGCTTCCTGCTCAAGCTCGCGTCCGGCTCCCTGCTCGCCGCCTTCCGCAACCACGACCTCAACGCCGCCCGCGCGCTCACGTACTTCCGCATCACGGTGTGCCGCAGCGACGACGGCGGGCGCTCGTGGTACTACGTGCAGAACGCGTTCGAGCAGCCGGCCAGCGCGGACGGGTACAACGGGCTGTGGGAGCCGTTCATGCGGATCGCGCGGGACGGCAGCGTGCAGCTGTTCTACTCGGGGGAGCTGAGCCGCACGAACCAGGAGACCTTCCGCGTCGTCTCGACGGACGAGGGGCGGACGTGGACGGCGCCCGTCAATCTGCGTCTGCACGGCACGGACCAGCAGTTCCGCGACGGGATGACGGGGATCGCGGCGACGACGGATGCCGCGGACGGGAGGGACGCGCTCGTCATGGTGTTTGAGGTGCAGGACGGCACGTTCTTCCACCTCGCCACCGTGCTCTCCTACGACGACGGCATCACCTGGGGCACGCGGACGGACATCTACTCCGCGCCGCAGCACAACGCGGGCGCGCCGCAGATCAAGGCCGTCGGCAACAACTTGGCCGTGGTCTTCATGACGGACGAGGACACTCCCGCCGGGCAGCTCAACTGGGCGCAGAAGGCCGACATCAAGATGATCTTCTCGACGCAGCTGAGCGGCGCGAGCGTCAGGTGGTCGACCCAGACGATGCACCTCTCCGAGGACAGCTCGTACTGGCCCGGCCTCTTCCAGATCGACCCCAACACGCTGCTGGCGGCGTACGAGCGCGGGGGCGTCTCGCTGGCGCGGTTCGTTACTAAGGTTTAGGGGTAAGGGGGGTTATGCATTAACTTGGTCTAGCGTGGGATGGATCATGGGTACTATCGCATGGAGTTTTTTCAGGGGGGCATTTTCTCTTTTTTTTTTCTTTTTTTTTTTTTTTGTTCAGTCTACTTTCAAAGATATCCCCTAGCATTGCATTCGCTTAACGCTGCCCTAGCTAGCTGTAAGGAAGATACCTAAGGGCCAGCCGGAATGGGAAACTCGAGAGTACATACATATTTGGGGGTATATAGGTGAGCATACTATCATAGCAAAGGCGCTAGGTTGGATGGACAGCGAAGGCTAGGTAAGGGATGGAAGGAGTTTCTAACCTACCTACGTAGTCTCTTATGTATATAGGTATCTACCAATAGCAAAGACAGCTGCATCTTTGCCCTCTACCAGAGATATGCACGTTAGGTATCTTGTGAATGCTAATTTGGTCATCATGAGTCTGAGAATTGATATGGAATGAAGTTACGAAGTGCCCACCTGAGGAAAGGGGGCTTAACCGGGTGAGCTATTAATAGGTTACCAAGGCAGGTTGTTGACTTTATGTTATCTGGGTCGACTTATCGAATCCTTCACTAGCCATGCCGGCGATCCTTCCATTTTGACCAATCAAAACGCAATGCTGGCCAAATACTTACTGAATCAAGTAAGCACCTAAGTTAAGAAGGTAAGATAGTTCGGATCGCCCCGAGCCAACAAAGCCACGTCGCTGAGATACAAGGGATAGCATGGGTTGGGGCTGTGTATAAGCTTTGTTGGCATATTGGCACGGGGATGGTGTTTGGATTAAGGCTTGATGAAGTCCCATAGAAATCACACACCTGGGTAAGGGGCCTATCTCGTAGAAGAGTCCTCGGTATATGTACATACTAAGTATGTACTGAATTGGTAAGCCGGCGTAATCAGTTTTGGTGTCAGAAAGATTGTAACGACAGCCCCTGGAGTTTTCCAATTACGAAGGAGTTACAGTAATTACAAAATTGCACTCCTGCCCTCAAGGACCAAACTGCCCGCCGCTTCACTCCTCTCACATCCTTTTCAAAGCGGCGCAGCTATATTACCATGCCACTATTCACGATAAGAATCATAGAGAAACAAAGCCGAGCGATGGTGCGATGACCAGGCTTGAAATTAAATCCAAAGTAACCTCCTCTTTCTAGAAGGTGCCTCGCAAAAACCCCGATATTAGAAAGTTTCATGATAGCATCATCCTGGTATGATGTAGGAATGGAAGGGCCTGGACTACAGTTCTAAGTTGTGTGAAATGTAAAGCGGCATACAATTAGACATCATGCCATAGACTCGCGCAGGCAAGCCCCATGATAGTAGGGTTAGGGTCACGACAGAATGCTATATCGTAAATCTCGCCAATGGGATCTATAGCGTGGAAAGCCGGCATATACCAAGTAAACGTTATTCCGGGTTCTATAATACCGAAATCTTAAGCCGGCCGTCGGTCGATTGTGGCGGGCGCTGCGAGATATCACATGTGGATGGTAACGTGGGAGCTCGACGTTACTTCAAGTCTACGTCGCATTACTATCACGCTCAATAGCTATTTCAGAAGGTATGTATATCATAACTCATCCGACATCGTTTCGACATCTACTTCTCCCGTCAGTTTCTCTTGGCTAATGGCTGCAATCACAGGCTCCTGTTCCTAATATTTACCAGTGAATTCTTGCACCCATTGTTGCACAAATGTCGCAATTTGCTTCTGAGCATCTGCGACAGGAAGAGGCGGGAGATCCGCAGTTGTCTCGTTAGGGAAAAGACCATTCTCATCCCAGTGGTGGACGGCGCGCTGGTGACTCGTCAGAATAAAATGTCAGCTGCAAAAGATACCTCTATCCCGGACTTACATCAATCAAAATGTAGGGCTCGCTTGGCGTGTTAGGCCTCTCAGTGAGACCGATCGCGTGAACACCGGCGGCACGCCACGGGTCCCACTCGCCATCAACGAACGCGAGTCTCGGATAACTGAGGTTGAATCCGCCAAGCTTGTTGATGTGTTCTACATCGGCTGGCTCGGTCAGGTTGAAGGCTGCTTGGCAGATAAGAGCCGAGTAATCGACGTCGATTGTGCGCGAGATCAGAGGTAGTTGGTCTTCCGGAACACCGCTTCCGGTTTGGAGATAACCCCATCTATGTAGACGATGAGCACTTGACTTGTTGCTTGGGTGGTTAGTTGTAGACTTACTGGGTGCAGACCTGGTATTGCCACAGCCGCCAGCTCTGGGTGAGGTCGTCTTTCAAGTAAAATTCGCTGTCATGCGTGGAATAGCATGAGTCTTGTGACCCTCTGCATCTAGAAACCGAAGTTAAGTTGACGTAGCCAATATAATTCAGAAATCGGTTTGCTAAGGTCTCCACTTCCTCTTCATAACCACCGAGAGTGATCAACTCTTCGACGGAAGCCCTTCTTGCCTCAGTGGCGGGGTATAATACCGTGTCCGCAGAGACATTTGAGCAGTACTGGAAGAACGAGTCACTGCTCTGGGTAGGATCCCAGTTCAAGCTCTGTAGACCGTAAATGCCACCATTGATCGCGCTAGCAAAGTCATTGTCGTAGGTCACGTTCGGCAGTCCAAATACTGCTTTAAGCTGTGCTACCGAGTCTGACCCCTTCTTGCCAATGAGGATATTATCGACGACATGAGTAAGCTTCTGGGTAGTTTCAACACAAGCCGGTGGACCGTAAACGGCAGCAGCCTCAAAGTACTTCCAGTAATCCCAAATTGCCTCGGGCACCCCGGACGATGAGATGGCGCCGAAGTAAACATCGGGATACAAGACGCGTAGAAACGCGACAAAGGCACCAGCGTAGCTGCCACCGTATGCGATCCAAGGAGTGCTTTCGGGGCTAAGATCTACATCTTCCAAGCCAGCGAATTTGACATTCTTAGCGAAATAAGCAGTATCCGCCAAAGCCTGGTCTGTTGTTAAGAAGCGCAGGTTTTCGGTGCTGAAGTCCTCTACGGGAATGCTGTCGCCGTAGTATCTATGCTCGAGAATGACGCCGAGCCCATTTGTTGCTTTCGCAAGCTGATACACGATGCCTTTCTGTAGGAAGGGTAGTCGATCAGCTCCGCTGGTCTCGCCGCCTGCGAGCACGATCACTGGGCCACCCGGCTTGTAAAATTGCGCGTCGTACCAGTATCGGAGGCCGAACTTTCCATCGGAGTGCGGCTCGTATGTGGAATCGTTATGGAAGTGGTCAATTGGCGTCGAGAGGTTATACTCGGGGTAAATCGCTGAGAGGTCATCATCCCTAGCGCTAAGATTGATACGCGGTGCGCTGCCTCGGATCTGTCGCGATTGGTGTTAGTTATTGATTGGCTTTCGCTAGTAGGGCGATGATTATGAATCCAAAAAGATGCCATGTACGTACCTGCTTCGCAAGCTCACTGATGGGCAAAGGATGCTTTTGGATTGCTTGAGCTACAGGGGCAAGCGCCAGCAAGCCTGCGGCAACACCGAATAGAAGCATCGTGGTTGTGGTTGTTCAGTACCTAAACAGCTACCTGGTAGTTATCTGATAGTCTCAGAGATGCTTTAAATGAGGGGATATGTAGGATAATCTACACATATCTAAAGAGAGAAACTGTTCGGCATTGTGCAATCGCTTGTCCCCGTTTGCGTCTTTGATTGATTTAGGCAGGACCCATTCGCAGGGTCGTATAGAGTCGTATTATTCTGGTTCGACAAGTGCTCGAGCTTGATAATGTTGATAAAAATACGGAATACAACCTGAGATGAACGACGATCCTCGGCCACATGCAGTAAGACCCTATTGTACCCCGTAAGCTAGGCAGAATATGGAAGGTATTCTGGGCATTCTTATCCCCTATCAAGCCAAGGCCAGGTACATCCATAGGTACTACTACTAATAGTACCTCAGTTCAAAGAATGTAATGAACAACGATATAACACATAGTTATAATACTCTTCAAAATACTTAGAATCTTTGGAGAGATCTGATAGACTGATATGCATAAGCAGGTACGATTATCTAATAATACATAAACAATGTCGCGGTGAAACTAATTAAGTTATGTAGGTTTACTAGTAAATTCTATATGTTAAAAGTGACCAGGTACCCTAGGATAACCTTGAGCATTACGGCTACCTAAAGTCACTGATTTGATACCCGACGAATACAACTACTCTGTCACTATTCTCAAAGACAGTTGAAAGACTAAGCCATTTATCTTGTCAAGTCTCATATTAACATTACGACTTTCATCTAACCATCCCCTCGCCTGCCTAATTATGTGTACCTGGGTATATACGAACGAACGCTAGCTACGTTATGCAAGCACGCTACATAGTCTTTCAGATGATACTTCGAGGTTGATATCAATTGCCTCCTAGACATAACACTGATCAATACTTGAAAAGCCGAATGTCCTCTCCGCCCACACTTAAGATTTTCTTGTTGCGGCGCGCATAGTATATCCTCAGTGCTACGCAGCCAACACCCACCATGAACAGCAGCGCCGCATTCGTCCAGTGACCTGTGGGATATCCAGCGGTGGCCTCGTTCGGCTTATATATAAATACGCCTACGATCTGGCCGGGAGCACCTCCTAGACCGATATTCAAGGCAATGGCAAGGCCGACGGAGGCGGTGCTGAAGATGTTAGACGACAGCCATCCTAGTAGCGGAGGGATGCAAGCGAATGCGCCAGAAGCCGCTACAATCAAGCACCCATATCGTGATGCGTATGCGTCGGCTGGTAGGACAGCTGATGCGAGGAAGCCAATTGCGCCGATGGTGGCCATTCCCGCTGAGTGGAGTCCGCGGGCATTGAAATGGTCCGCTGACCAAGATGTCAGAATTGAGACAACTAAAATGCTTGTGAGCATTATGGCACAATTATGATCAAGGGAGCATGCCGGTTTTCCGGATACTTACCATAAGCGACAGCGTAGGGTGGCACAGTCATCAGCTGTGCGTGAAGGTCGTGATAGCCCAAGCCGGCAGTGATGGAAGGCGTGAAGAGCGAAAGAGAGCTGAACGGGGTTGAGATCCCAAAATACACTACGTAATGAGCCCATAATCTCCAGTCTGTCAGGGTCGCCATGGCGTCCGACAAGCTCATTGCCTTGTGGTGACCCTTGCTTCCCTCGACGCGCAGTCGCTCTACCGCTAGATCCCTTTCTTGAATAGTCAACCACGTTGCCTCCTCTGGGTAATCTGGCAGGAAAAGCCAGACCAGGAATGCAGAGAGGCAAGACGGTATACCCTCGATGATGAATAACCACCTCCAGGCTGACAATCCGCCAGCCTTGTTCATGTGCCCGATTCCATATGCGATCGCACCTCCGAAAGCGCCCGCCAAGGTGGCGGATGCTAGGATGAAAGCAACCCGGATGCTTCGCTCTTCGGTCTTATACCAGAAGGTAAGGTAGTAGACCAAGCCGGGGAACAGACCGGCCTCGAAAACGCCGAGGAGGAATCGTACAACAGTCACCTCGGCGTAGCTATTCACACCACCGAGACCCATGGTGAGCGCGCCCCAGCAGAACATGAGAAAAGCTATCCAGCGCGAGGGCTTCAATTTCTTAAGGAGGATGTTAGAGGGAACCTCGAATAGTCCATAGGCCACGAGGAAGATCATGAGCGCGATGGTGTATTGGGTATTGCTCATCCCAGTCTCGGTCATGAGATCGTCGCCAGTGCTCGAATTCATGATCTTTGCGTTCCCTATGTTGGAGCGGTCAAGATAGCACAGGAAGTAGATGCCAGCCGACAGAGGCACGATTCGCTTGTCCTGCTTCCATCGCAGCGCCTTTTCAGCTTCTGTGATGACACCAGAGTTCTCATCCTGAACGACGTTGGCGCTAAACTCCTAAGATAATGTTAGTCATGATTTATTTTTTATTTTTTATTTTTTCCCCAGGTCAATTATAAAGACCCTCAAATATCATACCTCCTTTCCGCTCTCGGCATCAAACGACTTTTGTTCTGTCATCTTGCGTCAAGTTGAAGTACTAGATACCCAAAGTATAAAGCTCAACACAAAGTCCTTCCGTCAGTGGAAGGGTTGAAAGGGATGAGAACTGGGGAAGATAAGCCATTTGGCTCAAACGTTGAAAAATTCGAGAAACAAAGCAGGGACGCCCCAATCATGCATGATCCCGCCTCTCCAAACAACCCTGGAGGTGCTGGCAGCCTGCAGTGGCAGGTAATAACTATATACAATACAGACCGCCGGCGCGGGGATTGTGGGGGATAAACTTTTAAAAGTTAGCGTAAATGGTAAATAGGTTAGTATTTGACGATGATAGCAGTCACGTCCCAGGATCAGTTGAAAATTAGCAAGGGTAAGTCAAGCTTTCCCCCGACTTACGGAGTTGTGCATCCCAATGAAGTAACCAATTATTAACCAATAGGAACTTTCAGGATTTACACCAATTTCTATCTAGCCTTAGAGATTATAGCCCTTTACCAGATCAGACATATACATACTGAATTAACAAGTCAAAAATGTATACCTTTTACCAGGGCAATCGCAATCTCCAAATCTCGGTTCGGCGGTTTTCTACCCCGGATTTCGAACATTTCTCCGCATCGACAAGATCTCATCTGGGGTTAGACCGTTGACCGTATGGACTGAACGACCCGGTTGTTATACAAGATGTCTCAACCCCATTTGCGTAACCACCGCTTCCCATGACCAAAATTGACGACAATATACAGCCAAAATGAAGGTTGGAATTCTCTCGACCTGCTTTTGGATCGTTTCTGCACGTGGTTTGAGCTTTGGCTCCCCCTGGAAAGTCGAGGAGTGTTCCAAATTTGCATCCTCGCTCCACAAGATAGACGACTCGGGCACGTTCATTCTAAATTCCAGCTTTGTCCAGGCGAAAAGTGCAAATATCAGCGGTACTTTCAACGCCTTTCCAGTATGCCGTCTATTCGCAGAGACCCCGTATTCCGGGAACAATTCTGTGGTTTCTGAACTTTGGCTGCCTGCCACTGAGAGTTATAATGGTCGTTTTGTGGTAGTTGGTAGGTCAAAAACCGCTGTGGATGGAATCTTAGCAACACTAAAACTCAGACATAGGAAACGGTGGTATGGCTGGTACCATTGCTGAGGGCGACGTTATTCGTAACCTCAACAAAGGGTACGCAGTAGCAGGAGGTAACTCGGGTCACTTAGCTTCCGAAAACAATGACGGAAATGGCGAGCCTGGCGTGTATATACCGTATATGCATGATCAGGAGCAAGTAAAAGCTTGGATACATAACTCCATATCATACTTCACGCCAGCGGCTAGGCAGATGGCAGCGGCATTCTATCTCAAACCCCCCAAACACAGCTACTACGAAGGCTGTTCAACGGGGGGCGCTCAAGGTTTTGCTCTTGCCCAGTTTCATCCGAATCTATTCGATGGTATCGTGGCAGGATGTCCCGGTAATTGGTACTCCCACCTGGCTCTATCATTCTTGTGGAATGCCCAAGTAACCCAGGCAAGTCCAGAGGTCTTCCAAGATGGAATACCCCAGCTAACCATTCCAGAACTCGAGTTTCTTGCCACAAATTACACTAGATCTCATAACTCAAGCAGTTCTAGGGAAATGTGACGCCATCGATGGAGTTGAGGACGGGGTCCTAGAAAACCCCCTGTTGTGTGATTTCGACGTCTCATCATTGGCATGCGAATCGTCTGACACCAACTCGTCTACGTGCCTTGCGCCAGCTCAAGTCGCAGCAGCACAGAAGATATACGAGGGGCCTGTCGACTCCCGGACAAATGTCTCTCTATACCCAGGGTTCAGCGTAGGAAGCGAGACACAGTGGATGAACCAGGAAGGAGGGCTCGCGGAAGCATTTTCCATCCCAATTCTGCAGAACATGGTTTTCGATAACTTGTCATACGACCACTTGAATTTTAACTGGGGCACCGACGTCGATGCCCTTGACGCTAAAGTCGGCACGTTTATTGATGAGATTAACCCGGATTTATCCTCCTTAGAGGCTGCCGGCGCCAAGATGATCGTTCTGCAGGGATGGGCTGACCCCTATAATGCCGCTACATGGCCGATCCAGCATCTTCGCAAGATGGAAGAAGTCTTCGGCGGGGATGTAAGCGAGTGGTTTCGGCTGTTCATGGTGCCTGGCGGCGGACACTGCGGGTCGGCCTCGAACTATCCCCAGGTCCCGGGAACTTGGCACGCGCTCGAAGCCCTTGCAGAATGGGTCGAAACTAAAATCCCGCCGGCTTACGTGCTCGGGACAGACCCCTCAGATGAGAGTTTGAGTGGGAAGACGAGCAAGCTTTGCCCCTGGCCTCAGACTGCTAAGCTTCGCGGTGGTGGTGATCCGGATGATTGGAGTTCATTCGATTGTCAAAATTAGGTACTGTCTATATATCTAAAGCATCTTCCCATGTTAGTAGGTTCTTAAGAGGGCATATTTCTCAAATCTTTCAACCGAGGGATTAAATGTGTCTATGATATAACACAGTTTGGTTTGTTTCGATCAGTCGCATTGTAGCACAACATTCATCAGTGGAGGAGCAATGATAGTGTTACTTTGTACCGATATGGGGTACAGCCTAGATGGCATGTCAGTTGATGAGTGGCGAGAAACATTTGATTGGCCGGAATAATGTATTTGGAACAGTATGTACATGCATCAACACATGGCATCTGGTCGATCTGATCCATCTGCTCGGAGGTCTTACACTAGGCATTATCGGCCCCGACGGTAGATCGTATGACCTACGTCCGCCAATGTGTCAAATCGGCCTATTATTAGATCAAGTGCCTACATACCTAGGTACCTAGAATAGCTCCTCTGGAAGCCACCTCTTCAGCCATTTGTATACACCAGGTAAGTAACGTAGGTAGATTAGGTACTCTACTTCGTATCTATGTAGGTAAGTTATGTGCATGTATGTAAGTAGTAGGTCTGAGATCTTTTCCAGGCCGTACCTTCATGTTATGTATCTGGAGGCTTAAGTTATGTCTCAAGTTATGATACGACTAGGCACCTACCCACCTAGGTAGGTACGTATACAGCTACACACCTCCCTATATAAGGGGGTACCTAGATATATCCATGCATTGGATCTAACAGTGACAAAGGTCAGGAATAGATCTTAAATATGAACAAACCTATCTTGAACTTAGGGAGATCTAAAGAGTTGCTCAGAAGTATCGTCAATAACTCCTACAGAATCCACAATGAGCACCCAATCCCTCGATATCCTCGCTCTAACAGAGAATCTGGAATTGTTTCTAAAAGACCCGGAAGCTAATTCTAAATCACTGAGCGCCGAGGCGCGTTATCGGCTCAGCGAGGCTGCCAGGAAGGTGAGCTTCTCTACGGAGGCAACGGGAGATACCTTCCACCGCATCGCACATTCAGTGAGTCCCCGTCAAAATGATTATTACTCGCCATGCTGAAACCATAGCTAAAAGTTTCCAGGCAATACAGCTTCCCCTTGCCTGCGTTGGGCTCGACACGAAGATCTTTGACATCTTGTCTGACGTCGAGGACTCTGTCACCGCTGCAGACCTCGCGAAAAAGGCCAATGTCGACCCGGCGCTTATGGGTATGTATGCCTCTAGCGATTAAAGGAGTTGAACTCAGCTGATAAGGAACTAGTGCGCTTGCTGCGGTATTACGAATCATTTGGCATTATCGCCCAGAACGACGAGAAAAATGCCTACAGCGCCAATAACGTAACCAGAGCCATGACGACAGTAGCTGGGAGGAACGGAGTCAAATTCTTGTAATGGACTACAGGTAAACTTTCATCGTCTGCAGATAGAACTGACACAATCGTGTAGTTTGTACGGACACACTCGGGTGTGGAATAGTCTTCCGCAGTTCCTTCGCGACAACGGATACGTCAACCCCACCGACGCGAAATCGAGCCCATGGTTTACGGGCCACGACACCGACGAGCCGTTTTGGGACTGGGTCAACAGCCATCCGCCGATACTAGACTATATGCTCGGGTGGATGCAGGGCCAGCGAGACGGTCTCCCCATCTTCCTCGACGTGATCGACTTCAAAGAATTCGCCCAGGGCGCAACCAGCTCCACGCCGATATTCGTCGACGTGGGCGGCGCCAGAGGCCACCAGTGCATTGCTCTAAAGCAGAGATACTCGGATATCCCTGGCCGCGTCGTGCTCCAGGACCAGGCGCATGTGATCGGAGAAGTGAAAGCAGACCCGCTCCCGGGCTTCGACGGCATCGAGGCAGAGGCCCACGATATTTTCACGCCGCAGCAACTTCGAGGTAAGTTGCGCTCTTACTGCCTAGGTAGGTATCTATGAATGGCATGCATGCTAACACCATTCCAGGCGCCCGGGTGTACTACATGCGTTATATCCTCCACGACTGGCCCGACCACAAGTGCGTCGAGATCCTGCGGAATCTTAGACTTGGCATGACGGAGGAGTCTAAGATCTTTATCGACGAGATGATCATGCCCGAGGCCCACGCCTCCTGGCGGGCGACGCAGATGGACATGGTGATGGCGAACTGCTTCGGAAGCACCGAGCGGTCGCTGCCGGAGTTTGAGGCGCTGCTGCACGAGGCTGGGCTTAAGATTTGGAAGGTCTATCAGTATACGAAGCAGCTCAATGATTGTGTTATTGTTGCTACTCTTCGGTAGCTCATCTAAGGTGAGGTTCAAATAACACGATTCTCCGATTGATGCACAAAGCAAGGGTTGCCATAGTTATATTCATAGCATAGCATCGCAGATGCCTACCTAGTACCTAAGTGCATAGATTGGACTGAATAGTAATTCATCTGGTACGGTATACACTCTGGACATAGGTTAAAGTGGCGACTCTCTTAAGATACCAACCGTAAGACCAACTCAAACCGGACGAACCTGACCGACTATCATGGCAAAGGTGTTTTAGATAAGTGTAGTGCTGGTAACTGCCTTAGGTACCTACCTGGGTAGGTGTGTCCGCCCCTGGAGAGAGCTGTACTTGGTGAAGGGTGAAATTGAGGCTATTTACCGTAAGGTACTGCGTACCTCGGTGTGGGATATCCCACTCCACTATCAAGGCTTACATGTGTAGGTATGTAGGAAAGCTCTATACATAGTATAAACTCGCACCCATCTTGGATAGGCAGAGATAGCCTTGGATCCTTCCTTAATATGACAACACGTTATCCCGGACTTCGGATTCTTACTAGGTAGGTGGTACGATACGGAATAAACACCAAATATAGGCCTTGTCTTTTTATTTCCAGGGGCGTTTAGCAGTTGGCAATTCTTGGGACGCCGTGGCGGCGTGGATGGATAAGTTGAAGGGCTAAGGTTAGGCAAATCACTCTGTAATTCGTATGGCCCGTAAGCCACGAAGCGCCTACATGCGCCAAGGTTAGTAGGTGAGGCATAACTAGGCGTAAATGGTTCACACATTAAACAGAGGAGTGGTCTTGCATAACAAGCCATTGTATTACGAGATGGCTCAGGTTGACTACAAGATGCGAAGACACATGCAGTATGCTCTTCTAAGACAGGATGATAACCTATTAATACAGATAAAATAAAGCCACAGCATCACGAAACTCGCGAGACAAAGCGAAATTATGTGAACGGTGGTGAGTCAGATAGATATAGAGTTATCTTTCCTTGTGCCCAGGTGAGAATATAGTAGCTATGGCTTGCGAACTCCTTGCTAGCTCAAAGACTTCCCTCACGGGATACTATGTGAAAAATGTCCTCTCCAGTCTATGTAGGTCCCGACGTCAACCGGGGAGGTGTTTTGATCGGTATAATTTTGACAGAATATGGTCTTTCGACGGTATTTCTGGCCTTGCGTATGTGGGCTCGACTGAGTGTTGGAGGGACCAGTTGGGATGACTATTTCATGATGCTTACATCTGTAAGTCGAGACCAAAGAGCCTTGAAGTTTCTACTAAACCAAATCTAACTTTGACTGTTTATGTGATCAGGCCATGTTCACAGGCGTTGCGGTCCTTGCTGGTATCCTCGGTGGTGAAGGGGGCATACGACACTCGATTTATCTAAGTAAAGAACAGAGAATATACCTAACCAGGGATTTCTATATCGCGCAAGCCTTTCATCTCTTGGCCATTGGAGCCGGAAAGCTTGCTATTGGCTTTTTACTTCTACGACTCTTTGGGGCTGCCTCTATACGGAGACGGTACCTCATATGGGTCTTGATGGCCATCCAGACTATATTCACTATCCTCTCTGTCATTTTTTCCTTCGTACAATGTGAGAACCCAGCGGCGTTGTGGGATCCAGATCTACTCCCAGCAACGTACTGCTGGGACCCCGAGGTTCAAAGCCGATTCACCATCTTCTATGGAAGCCTGTCTGCCGCGGTTGACTTTGTATTTGCACTGCTGCCGATCACTTTTATCTGGAAACTGCATATGTCTGCTCGTAAAAAGGCCGGGCTAGCCGTTTTGCTCGGCGGTGGTGTGCTCTCCGGGATCTGTGCTGCCATCAAAACCAACAAACTGACTACACTCACGGTGCGATCCGATCTTCTCTGGTCGATTTTCGAGCTTTACACTTGGAGTGGAACAGAGATCTGTTTGATCATCATGTGTGGCTGTGTGCCGGCTATCAAGCTACTGTGGGATCGTTTCTTCGGCCAAAAGTCACAGGCGATGAGTGAGGGTACTCCACCTCAGTCAGACGCCTCTCGGGGGCGCTTGGCAAGCCTATTCAAGAGCCCGAAGCGGGACAAGTTTGAGCTCACAAGCCTTAACGATTCGCTTCAGAACATCTCCCATCCCGTCGATGCAAAAGCCTTCAGCAGTCACAGCACTTCGGTTCGACCGGAAGTTTTCGAGGACGCTACTTCGAGCAATAAACCATCAGACTTAGAAGGTGGGATACAGATCAGTAACTCCTTTCGGGTGGATTGGTCAGAAAGGGTCTAGGAACCTTCGGCATCATCGATCGCGGCGATGCTGGCATTGCAATGGGGGAAACAATGGTCACTCTGAAATGCTAGCCTTATTGATTCATGTATTTTCTGGTAGAGATATATATCTAACTAGGCATCAAAGTTAGATACACAGCTTCTCAATATAGGAGCCTTAAGCATCAGCTGCTATATTCCTTCATCCCTGAAAGAAAGGCCGGCATTGAACCTGCATAACATCGAGCTGGGAGCCTCTGTGAATTCCGCGTCAACGATATGAGCCTTTTGGTGCCTAGGGTAAGAAAACCGCTGGAGCACTCTGTGTGGTAGATAAGAGGAGCCTCAGAGCTCAGACACGCCTTCCACGGGAAGGTGGCGTACTCTACTACCAGACTTATGAATTCAAGTGGTCATTTCTTTGTCTTTGTACATCGTATAGGGTATTTTTTGTACACTTATATTACATACATCGAAATCGTCACTATCGGATTCTCTTCATTATCCTATCCCTCACGATTCGGCTTGCTGCCTTGCCGCCTCGGTGCAATGCGACGGCACCAACGACAGCATATACGGCACCTGCCATGACAGGGTCGTAACCGGAACCCTTGATATTTTCCGGCTGCGTAAGTTGTCAGTGCCAATGCCCAGCGAGTAAGTAGCACGCAAGCAGAGGGTGGAGATTAGATAGCAGGTCTTACCATTCGCGGTTTCCATCGCACAACTCTTGATAAGCCGATATCGAATGCGAACTTGGACAACTTTTCTAGCGTAAAAACGTCGCTCGGCTGCTTTGCGGAGAGGTTGTCGAGACTACGGAGGGCGGTACTTTCGAACGGTGCTCGTCTACCCGCATAGGGGTCGTTCTCGGGTTCCTTATAATCAGGCGAGGATGTGATAATGGATTGTGTACACTCCAGGGCGCATATTTGGCGGCCTAGATGATGCGGATATATTGTCAACATTCTGTGATCGCTGGTACATTACAGCAGTTTCAAGGCATTGTAATATGGAACCATATTGCTAGAAATATGCATACCAAGGAATGCTAGACGATCGTTAAAGCCTCTTCGTCCTTGATCAAAGCTTTTGTGTGTGACGGCTAACCACTTGAGTTCGTCAGGTAGCATGCGCTCTCCGTCGCGGCCCAGAAATGTGTTCAGCACATCGTCCAATTTCTTCGGGTCTTCATTGACCTCCCATATGGAACGAGAAGGGTCTTTGGTGATATGCGGCGAGAAAGGCGCCCTCATCCTCTCAGGTGTATACGCCCATCGTGGTCGATGTTCCTCATATTCTGAGCGGGCTACTGCTGAGGTTGAGAAGCAGGTTGACAAGCAGGTCGCGGGACGGGATATGGGTGCTATGGACTGGCTCTGGCAGTTTCGTATAGCTTGGCGAGCAAGCCTCGCAGTTGATCGGGAGGTGGTGAGAGCCATTAGCCACGATGTCGCTTCCGTTCTTTATTTTATCGCATCATTAAAATGTATAAAAATGAATCCGATGAGCAATTGTGCAATTGGCAAGTTACAAATGGAACTTTTTTAGGGTGGGGAGTGGTGTGGATACTACAGTGGGTCTTTACCTATGCACCATCGTTATCGATTTGATGGATCTCCCCGCTTATCAAAGCGACCCCGGCAGCCCAGCCCAGTAAAAGCACTGAGCTCAAGCAGTATGTGCAGGGCTGTATTGTACCTAGGTTACTGAAATCCCAACCATTAACTAACATCGTGTGCGCTTCACTTCAGCTAGTTATCAACCCCAACATTGAACGCGTCTTGTTAAGAACAGTTGCCATGGTTTCACAAACCTTATATGCCAATTAATGGCGTGTCATCCCTAGTTTACTTTCCTTCTTCTTCTTCTTCTTCTTCTTCCCCTTCTTCTTCCCCTTCCTCCTCTATTGTTCTATGTACCTTAGGTAGGGTAGTTTTACCTCACAATGTCGAATCAAGCTTCAACTCCCGACTCTTGTCGCGTGGCCGACACCGATCCTTTAATGGTAGAACTTGCGAAAGTCTTACCAAAAGGTTGCAAGTTCACGGCGCACCATCTTTCGACACCTCCAACTATCACAGATCCTCTTTGCCATCCTCCAGCATATAATCCCATTACTGATTCAAAGACACCTGAGAACCGTGATGTAGCGCAGTCCAAAAAGCGACCGAGTAAACCACTGATTACCTATTGCGAGAAGCATTTCCTGATCATTTCCATTGATTCTAAAAAGGAAGGCCCCGATTCTGATACCAATGCACAAGTTATGGTTCTGGGGATTGAGATTTACATCTACACGACGTCCTTCTCGACCATCATATTCGTAGCCAAGGCTGATTCAACCGGATACCTGAACCTCCTCAATCTGCCGAAAGGGACACCTTCCCCTATCCGAGAAATCACCGCCTGTTTCCTTGCCTTCCTAGTCACCAACCGAAGACGCGCAACAAAACAATTAGTCGTGAACCTCTTCGCCCGATCGCAGTCGCAATACCTCTTTGCAGGAAGCGTGGACAATAGTGGCAAGCACATTCTCGATGATAGAGGTTTAGTGAAATGGTGGTGTCGGGTGCTCAACTCACTACTCGAGGACGATGAATACTTAGAGGTGAGAAAGTTCTGGGACAATATCCATGGTTACCTGATCATACCAGGATTAGACAATTATGAGACCCGAGCTTTCCTACCACGGTCGAGCGCTGCGGCAACGAACTGGACACTAGGCCATCCTCTCGAGAAAATGTCTCCTTATACGAAGGATCACACCAAATTTGGCCAGACTATTCATCCCAGATCTCTCATACCAGTCTTCCCAGATGACCCAAAGGCGCGGTTTATCCAGGAGTTAGAGGAGTCGGTGTCTGAAAAGGCCAAGTTGCTAGGCGGCTGGAAGACACCAAGAACACTAGATCAGTTCTGGGATATGATGGCATTTCGGCAAGAATGCTCCAGTGGGAGATTGACTGGATTCGTTTGGGTTCTTTTCGAACCTCGGGCTAAAGCACAGCCTGGCTCATCAGCGGCCGGCTTTATTGCACCATCCGCCAAAAAGGCTCGAAGAAAGCCCAAACCGAAGAAGAAGAAGAAGTCGATGACTGGCCCGATCATCCCTCGAAAGCCCCAAATCAAAACACATCAACGAGCGCATTTCCCAAAACAGGTAGAGACGCCGTATTACTACTGGCCAGAGAATGGCAGGGGCCGAGTCGTTCTTAGTGATACCAACTACAAACGAGCAATTGAGCTTCTGCTTCATCTCGAGTTTGCCACTCTGGACAAGGCAGTTGCAAGCACCACGCGATGGACTAAGCAGGTCGATATGGGCGAAGACTGGTCGCTGGAAATAATTGGCAAGAGAGAAACCATCCCTATCCGCACATTGTCTAGCCCTAGCGCAGTAGTGAATAACTTGGGTGCACAAGTAAGACGGAAGCGCGGACCCGATGACAATCTTACAAGCGATACGGCCGCATCTACACCTTCCGTGAACACTCTCGGCGAAAGTCTTATTAGAAAGAAGGCTAAAGTTGATACCAACCCTACGCCTGAGATTCGTACGCAGGAACCAGGCCCGACCCAGCCTGACGCCAAGCAGGAACCCACGGTCAATGTCCTCGGAGGTGGTTTGGTTCGAAAGAAGGAGAGCACATCTTGATTTTCAACATCGTAAGTGAATTTGCAGCTTACAGGCGTATATCGGGATTCTTTGACATAATAGTTTGAAGTGTTTGGCGTTGGCAGGCGTAAGTCGACAGGTTACACATGGTAGGGAAGCTTGGGAAAATAGCTCTGGGGCCAGGAAACAGGGCATGATTTCACAATACCCCCTTTTTCAAGTTCGAACCATTTTTCGAAAAAAAAAAATATTCGGGATATCCATCGTGGAGCTTCGGATAGGCACCTCTATCATAACGATGTTTAATGCCAGTAGCTAGGTACCCAATAATAATTCCAATGACATTTCACGAAGCATCGTGACTTCTCCATAACTCCATGATCTTAATCCAGGGGTACAGATGGTAAGACGGGCCTACCTAGGTGTCTGTGTAGTGTATTTCACGTTCCTATTTACAGAACTTCGCTCTCTACGGTCTACCTAGGTACCCCAGTGCCTATCGACTACTATGTATGCCAGCGAGTTCACAGACCCCACTCTAGTTTAAAGTGAGTAAACCCATTTCAATGTTTATATATTTGCTTGCTAACTGGGACAATGGGTATTCAATGGCATTATAGTCTAAATTTGGAAGCAATAATGAACAATACCCAACTATGTAGGTCTAATGTACTACTTATGTATGGTTGGGGTTGAATGCCGGCCGGAAATCCACTCCGTGCCTATTGGCTACCCTTCCGAAGCATGTCCGAAACGGCGTTCCGGTCCTAGCTCTGATTGGCTAAGAGGAGCCCCGACTTCCATTTTAAGGTGCGGGAGTTCCCCAATTCAAACTGAACCGCAGTTGAGTAACAGACTTCATCCAAGGTTAACTTATGCATAACACCATCAATTCCCTCCCAAGTTGATTGTCCTTTTTTTCTAGAATGGAAATTATATGAGTGTTAAGACTTCGTTGCCTGACCAAATTTCCATAGGTTACCTGTTAACATGATTACAGGTGACAGATCAGTTCTCGACATGATGGGTTCTGATAAGACATCAGAACGCACATCTCACATATTACATCTATGAACAAAGACCATATAAAAGGACCTTGGGAGAGAAGTCTAATAACACGCATGGTTTCATGGTAGTCGAATATCTAGCGTTGCTGCACACTGTTCACTTCCATCAGGACAGCAGACTGTATGTTTTTGCGTCCAAACTAGAACCCCGATGCAATTCACACATACCTGTATCCAGGTATGCCACCCAAAATTCTTGGTTGATGGCCTGGGTAAGCTCTGTCTTATGACCCCTGGCGTATCGTCGAATGTCATATTCTCGTTGAGGGTCACTGTGCAAAGTTGCAGAATTATTTAGCAAGAAATATGCCAGTGTATTTTCCCCCCCTATATAAGCATGGATACCCAAGCCGATAGATAGCACGTTTGAGCAGATTAAGGATAGCTAGAGCTTGCCTTTTCCTCAGATGTATTATAGTTACCTTAGACCCTCTCTCTGCTGTCTTCTCGTGTCGGGCCTTTCTGTCCTAGTATATGGTATATCAGATTCTGTCTCTGCTCGTCGACTGCAAGCTCATGTTCTCATCCTCCTTCTCCAGGGGGGGCACCTCCTACTAAGAAGCTCGTGGCCCTAGCTATCCATGCCGAGAAACTCGAAATATGTGCCCACAAGTAGTTGCTCCCTCCCACTCACAATGCCTATCTGTTCTTCCACCTTTCTTTTCTTCTGTCTTTGAACAGCTACTAAGGTCATCATCTATTTTTCTTTTTCCCTTTTCTTTTCTTCTTCTCTTCTTTCCATTTTGGACACCCCACTCATTGCATGTAGGTGGATGGCAACGCCATTTTCTGCAAATTCTTAGGCTGTCCCTCCTTGGTTTTTTACCCTACCTACCTTTTCATTACCTAGTACACTCCCTCACTCAAACTTAGCATTTGCTTGTCCACACCACACCACACTGTCTTACACACACGTAAACAAAAACCTTCTTTTCGTTTACTCGCCTCGCTTTGCGTTTCTTCTTCGGGAACGGTTAGAGGTGTGAGCCCAATCAGCCATTCTTTTGTCAAGTACCCAACCACCAATCAATACATTATCTGCCCTCTTTTGATATTTGCGCAGTCTTTTCCGCGACCATGCGAGCCTCCAAGTTGCTGGCCTTCGCAGCCTCGTGCTGCATCGTCGGCGCTGAGTGGTTTCGATGGTCGGCCGGCGACGAATATGTCCTCTCTGCCATGCCGCAAGAAACCGGCATCGCGAGCGCGCGTGCTGAGGTCGGCTGGACCCCAATGCCTACGCCGGCCCCGGGCGCTGCTGAGCCAGAGGGCAATCGCGTTCTGAATGTTCTCCTGCAGCGAGAGGAGACTACTACCAACTGGACTAACAGTGAGACTTGCGGATGGTTCTCGGGCGTCTCTTGTAAGTTTCAATTATTTCTTTTCTCGATGAAGAATCATCATTTGAATCATTGTCACTTAAGCTCACCTTCTATCTCTAGCCGAGTCATTCGCTTGCGGCACCAGCGCTTCGTGCGTAACTAATTCCGATCACATCGTCGCCTGTGCCTCTGGCACGTATTCTCCCTTCTTTTCGGTTTGTCTCGACTACGCTGCCTTCCAGCGCAGCTCCTGCAATAATGACGGTACCGAGACGGGTTGCTGGTAAGTTTCCTTCCCTCCTTCCTATCCCCTTATCTAGATGATGATTTCCTCTCCACTCCTCTGAATTAGAATCACGTATAGCTATTTCAAATTCTCTAAACAATCTACTAATACTTTCTTAGTATGGACTCAAAGTACGGAGCGTGTGAAACCATGTTCTGGACAGGCCACCCAGTGCGCTCCATGTATCGCTGCGCCAGCTCATCAACGATGGTCACCATGCTCGATGAGCCTCAATTCGTTATCGATGCTTCTCTGTTGTCCGCCTCGCTGGCTTCTGCTTCCGCGACACCCACTACCACAGATCACGTAATTGCCACCGGAGGCACTCCCCCCGGTAATACCGAAGAACCCGTCCGCCCTACCGTCAACATCGGCGCCCTCGTCGGCGGCGTCCTAGGCGGCACCATGCTCATCCTCGCCTCGGCATTCATATACTTCCGCTACCGCCGCCGCCGCAGCACAGCCGCCAAGAAGGACCGCCGCAAGCTGCAGGCGCGCCTCGATGATGCTTTTCGATATGCGCAGACGATCGACTCCGGGACGCCCGACGATAGCACCACGAACGCCGGCTCCACCCCCGCTCCCTACGTGAACACCCGCTACCACGGCCGAGCCGCCTCGAGCCCGACGCCTCTAGGCGGAGGCGGAGCCAACAACAACAACAACAACCGCGGTAACGGCAATGGTGGTGGTAATAATGACGATGGCGAAGCCCCAACGAACACAACAACCTTCGTCCGCATCCCGATCCGGCGCCCCCCACCCACGCACCAGCGCCCGTCGTCATCGTCCGCCCGCAGCCCGCCCTCGTACAACTGGATCCTGCACGGGCTGCCCTCGCACGGCGACGTCGGCACCAACAGCAACCGCACCAACTCCGCCACGCACTCGTTCTACGCCACGCAACCCACCACCACCACCACCAGCGGCGGCAGAAAAGCCAGCAACGGAGGAAAAACGACCCCGCCCCCGCGCTACTCGACGTCGAACCCGTTCGCGCGCAACCTGTTCTCAGCGGCGTCGTCGTCGCTGGCCTCGCCGTCGCCGTCCGACGGGTCGCTCGTGCAGATCACGCCGCCGTTCTTCGAGAGCTACGAGTTGGCCGAGGGGGTGGGCCGCGGAATCGGCGGCGCGGGGAGGGGAGGCGGGGGTCTGCGATGGAACCACGACAGCGGGTCCTCGGTGGCGTCCGGGTCGGACGACGACGACGACGACGGCCGCTCGACCGAGTGGCAGACGGAGACGATGAGCGCGGCTACGTATGAGTATGACACGAAGTGAGGAAGTCGGCTGCGCTTGCCTGTAGGTATCGTTGATGGGGGGTATCTGGGCGCATACTAGTACCTACCTACTTGATGCCTGGTTGTCTGCTTACTACTTGTACTACCTATGATGGGTGTGCTTTATTAGGGCATGGTCACTTGATAATATGGTTGGTTGGTTGGATGTTTGGCTGTTTGATGGTCACGACGATGATGATGATCATGATGCCCACATCGGTCTCTTTTCCTTACCTATAATACTATCTCAAACAGGAACTTCTCGCATGTTCATGCCTAGGTTAGGTACTTATACAGTACCGGGTGTGGGAGAGGGGTTCGTTTGAAGAGACACGCAGGATAATAGGCACAGACATGCATACGGGGAAGGAAGTACATTGTCTGGATGGATGGAATCGGGTAGCTAGCTGGAAGTATTGAAGATACTTGCATGGAAAGAAAGGCAGTGGCTGCTGAATACCGTACCTAGGTGCCTATACCTAGGTAGGTATCTAGACTTTAGGTACTAGGGCAGATACTACCGGTATAAAGGCAAGTCGGTATATGCATGTGGGCAGACTGGACGTCCAAATTACTTAATACTGTACAGAGAACAAAAAGACGAATGCACACTCACATTAATAATAACAGCCATGGGAACTTAGACTCATCACTCAGTACCTATTGTTCACCGTGAACCACCTTCGGGCTATCACTTAGAGTATCCATCACGTATTTTCCTGTCCATAGTGTATCCCAAGCCCCCAACCTAGTAGGAATAGGTACTATAATGTGCCTAGGTACCTAGGTAGGTACTAGGTAGATAGTAGGTACAACTTATATAGCACAAACCCCTAAGTACCTACCTACTATGGCTACAACGATAGCCCGGGTGTCTATAACCTCATCATGCTGGTAGATATCCATATCACATCATGCCCCTCGGCCCTCTTCCCCGCCCACGGCCACTTATCCTCCAATACTCCAGCCCTCCTAGACAGACCCCCTTATCTACAAATGCTCCATTGTCCATCTATGGGTATTGATTTCCTGTCAACGTAACAATCAACGCACACTTTTTTGCATCTTCTTCCACTTCAGCACCCCTTTTCCTAATAAAAAACCAACCACTATACAACTTTATACTCTGAAGATGAGAATTCTTATCTCCAAGTAACCCAGATAAGCTAGCTCGCCTCTTCACATCACGCCACGACCTTGGTCTTTAAATACTGCAGATTGACAGGTGTGATGGGCTTGTCGCCAGACAGCACCGCTATAATGTTCCGCATGGCCAGTTCCTCGAAGCCGATATGTGTTTCGACAGTACCGCCGGCGTTGTGGCACGTAAGCATGGCTCTGCTTCCCGAGAACGCGAGTAATCTAGGGTTGACGTTCGGCTCGTTGGCATGCACATCGAGCGCAATGCTACTCAAGCGGCCCTGGTCCAGGGCATCAGCGAGCGCCTCCTCGTCAACAAGAGATCCGCGTGCGATATTCACAAAGCGCGAGCCGGTCTTGAACCACGCCAGACTGTCCTTATTAATAATGCGTCCAGCGCCCCCAGGCGTACATAAGACGACACAATCGGAGTCGCGGATCAATGCCTCCAAGGTAGTGCAATACCGAGCATGCAGTGCAGCCTCGAGGGCCTCGGTTTTCCGCTCGACGTCGTAGTACGCGACGTCCATGCCAAATGCGGCGCTGCACTTGAATGCGATCTGCTGGCCGATGTTCCCGAGACCAACAAGACCTAGAGTGCGACCGCGTAGATTATGCGCTCGCGAAGTTCCGTTGTCGTGACACTCCTGGAAGTTAGCGGCCCCTGTTAACGCGGAGGTGATGCAATACGGGAAAACGCGGAACGTCGAAATGATCATGGCCACGGCGAAGTCGGATACCGCTTCTGCAGCCGCGAGACCTCCATTACAGTATATGATGTCTAATGTTTTTAAGCATCAGTCAGTGTATCATCTACTTTTCTACTGATGAAGTTTGATAATAAAATATCGAGGTTAGGGTGTATGTGTAGAAGAAAGGGAGAATCTACGAGCTCCCCCTTTCCCCCGCCCCCTTTTTTCAATAGGCACCCAGCTGAGCACGATCACACAAGAAAAAGAAAAACACACCTCTTTGACCCAGTAATTCTGTGTCGGCCCAATCGAAGCCAGTCCCAGCACTCGCAAAAATTCTCACGCTATCCGGCAGTAGAGAAACCAATTCGGCATCCCACTGACCCATCTCGCCGCCAGTACCCCAGAAAGGACGAAAGATGGCAGAGAAATCGCCCCAGCGCTTCTCGCGCAAAGCCTGGATGAAGGCGGGCCTCTGTCGCTCATCGGCAGACGGGCGCACTACCTCGTAGTAAGTCGTGAGCTCGGCGTAGGTATCAGGGTTATACTTGATGGGATCCCCAATGTGTAGAACGATAGGTTTGCTCTGTGGCGGATGCCCTAGAGGACCCCCCAGTATAGGCAAGGATGTTGACGTCGACACTTTAGGGGGACTCAGGGTGTTACTGCTGCTAATGCTGCCAGGGCGCGTGGCCGTCAGTGCGGGGGAGGTGGAGCGTGGGGTCGGCGGTGCCGTTGGCATTGGGGTGTTAGTTGGTTCTGCCATTGGTGATGTTTTCACGCAGTGGGTGATAAAATATTATGATTGTGGTAATCGTAATCAAATAAAAAAAAGGAAAGAAGAGGGTTGGGTGAGTAGGTAGGTAAGTAGATAGATGAGAATGAACATGTAGGTTAGGTACATGTAATCCACCTAGACCCATCAACAAACATAAGCTTTTTTTTTCTCAGGTGAATATGAATATTACATACATGTAGGTTAGGTACCTAGGTATGTAATAGGTATGTTGAACACGTTTGTGTGTAAGTGCCTTGCCCTAGGTAGGTATGTAGGTATGTCCCTCCAGGTTCAAGTAAGATGGTCTAATTCGTAGGTCGGAATAGAACCCTTCACCGCCGAACTTCGAGGCCTTGGCCTTTGGGGAAAACTACCCAAAATTCACCACAAAATCAGCTGGACAAAAGTGCAGCGGGAGATATAAGCCGTGGTCTAGCTGAATCCGTGGAGATGTGGGGGCTAACCGCTACCTAGTAATCAGTAGCTAGATCAAATCGAGGCAGTGATGGGTCGAAAGACTCGATAACAGTCCAGGAATAGTCACAGATGGATCTATGACGCTACATCGACTAGGAATGTCGATGATAAGTAATATAGAGGAAGAGATGGGAAGGGTATTTAGATATTCTCCGAATATAGGAGTGCCAGACATGCCAGGCCAATTATACCAATGTCGAAAAATAATAAAAATAAATAAAAATAATGAAAAAAAAGTTTAGTAGAGGGACGATCAAGAAAAAAACCCCTCCCTGTCCTTCTCCCCTCCTCCCCTCATCGTGGGGGAGCTTGGAGACTTTTCTCCTTCAGAACTCTTTTTTCTATTTTCCAGTACGTACCTGGTACCAGGCCAATTGGTTTGCGCCCTGGTTTGCGACAACGGAAAGAAGTGGGCGGGATGCCGTTTCAGGCAATACGGACTAGCGCAGGACATTCTTTGATTGGCTGATGATGTGTGGGGTAAAGTACCTAGTACTGTACATAGGTACCAGTATGTAGTACATATGTACCTAGTACACATGTATGTATCCAGATGATACCTAGTACCTAGTACCTTGTGTTGGTAAAAGTTGGAGATGATTTACCAATATTGCTTAGATTCGATACTGTCTAAATACGTTCGAGGATACTCATATATTACTAGATAGGTACTAGGTATACAGGATATCTATCTACGGTACGAGGCCTAGCATTCTTAATATCTTAACGATAGGTGCAAGTAAGTGAGATAAAAGTAGCTTGGTATATAAACAACGATGTCCATGGATAAAGGGAAATCCGAAAATATATATCTTGAGAAGTAGACAGGTATTAAATGAGCCCGAGGTGCTGCCCTCTGTTCCACCAAGGCAAATGTGTATGCAGCATACGATATGTTGTGGAAAAGTACATGGAGTGTGGAACAAGAAAGTAAAGGGTAAAAATAAAAAGGAAGAGGAAAAGGATTTACAAAAAAGCTCGATACCGGGTTCGAATCCAGTACCCACAAGAGAGATATCAGGCCGGGATGAAGTTCAGGCTCATGAGCAGCAAATGCTCAGCATCAAAGAGTTGCCGCACCATCGTCATTTGATCCCGCGTAAACGCATCCAAGCCCCCAAGGCGTTGAACCGTGCACTCGCCATCTCGAAAGTCGGAAGGGGGTAGCTTCTCGATATACATCAGGAGCACGAATGCCTCCAACCGTTTAAAGTGCTTCTTATTCCAGACCATCAGGGAGAACTGAAAGTGGTTCACGAAGCAAGAGATATTCAGCCCAAAGCGTCGTAGACCGCGGCCGGTAGGGTCCAGCTCTTCGATGGCCTCAAACAGATCAGTCAATTGCGAGTAATTAGCCTGGCCCACGACCGCGAGCAAGTCCACGGCGGGATTGATATACACGAGACGTGACAGACGCCCATCCAACTTTGACGAGGAGATGGGGAGAGCAACGGAGAAGTATTCCAGCGCTAATTCACGGGATTCGGAGCAAACGGACAAGGCGCTCGGGTTTCTGCAGCTCGATAGCCATTGTGATGTGCCGGTCCGGGTATGTAATTCCACCACACGGAGCTGAAATGATTTCTTCCAGATCATAATGCGCAGTTCGGCCGGGAGCAACGGGAATAGCGTAAACTCATCTAGGGGTTTCTTTCGCTGAGGCCAACTTGGTGCCATCTTCACTAGCTCTTTGATATGCTAAATACCGACGTCTCACTCAAATTTTCCAGTTAAGTAGGTAGGTACGTTTATTTAGTAAACGTGAAGCAAACCGCTTTTCTACACCCGTAGGGAAATCCGGGATTGGGAATGACGGAACACTTAAAAGATAAGGAGTTTCAAAGGTCGTTGTGGTTTTTAAGTTTATATGTATTTTCTATCTTCAGGTTTTCATGGGAGAGACGGGGTGCTTTGTTGCGTTTTCATATAAGTTTTATGTAAGGGGTAACTTGAAGTTGTTAGCATTTAAATTCAAGACAATCGCGGAAATAGATGCAGCGGTGAGGTGCTTCGGAGTTTTGTATCTGTCGTGATCTGGTTCCTTCCTGTTAGAATTCAGTCACGTGAACATTGTTCCACGTGAAACCCCACTGAGTAGTGCGTTTATACTTTCCCCCCTTTCCTGTTGGAAATGCCGAGACGAGATAGGGAGATAGGGAGATAGGAGATAAGGAAGTAAACCTTGTCCAGGCATTTCACTATTTCACTCCCATGTCCTCCAGACTCCTCCTCGCCAAAAAACTTTACTCCCATCATATCAAAACATTGAGCATCGATTGAACTTTTGGTCATTAAATAGTTGTACACACATTATCTGGGGACTTTACAATACAATTCCAACTCCAATCCCCACCCTTCCCTATCTATCTATCTATCTGTTTGTCTGTACATCTCTTACACATCCGTCGCTCAGAACAAGAACATCATAACGAGTACAATAAAATTAAAGAATGATATAGGACAAGGTGGCGGAAGTACCGTCGCGGACGAGTCCTTCGTTTGGTTGCCCTTACCAAGCCATTCTTTAAGGTGCTCTAGCTTGACATCCCGGATCTGACACGCGAGTGTTAGCTTCCTTCCTTTCTCACAGGATTCACATGATGTGGGGGAAAGGAATCCAGCTCACCTGATCCAATTGCGGCTTTAAACCGCGCGGTTCGACAGCTTCCGAGACCGAGTCCTCAGCGTGCGCCGCGCCATTTACTAGTATCACTCGAGAGTGGTTGAGCATTTCCGTAACAGTCAAAATCGGTGACCCGATCGCCGCCGTGCGATCATAGCTGCCTTGGACGATGAGAAGCTTGTCTGTCGTGTCAAGGAAGTCATTCGTCATCGCGTATTTCTGTAGGAAGTACTCATTTTCTCGACCGTAATCAACAGCCTTCCAGTCGGGGTTGGTGCAGATATCCACGTTACCGCGGGCGTACGTCTCTGGTAAGACGTTGTCCGCTGGGATCGATCTATCATTAATGGGATAGTAGTCGCAGACGATATAGCCAAATGCCGGTTGGTTACTCGCCAAATTCCCATTGCTAGCCCTGGATATATTGCCATTGAAAGCATTGATGCATGCTGATTCATTGGCCCACGAGGTGGCAAGAAGAGGAATGCGCAAGACCTCGCCTGCTGTTTTTGCTTGGATAGTCTTATCGATTAAGTCCGAGAAAGGGTCCGCCGTCGGATATTTCTCAATCCACGGGTAATTGTACTTGGAAATCGCAAGATAAGTATTAAGCGCCGCATTGTACAGCCTTTCGTAACCTAGTGATGTAGAGTTCTTGCATACGTCAAGATCGGGGATCGTCGTGTCACAGGTATTGTCTTTCTCGTCAGTCAGCTTACTAAAATGCGGGTCGATCACAAGAGCAAGCTTTCTCCTACCTGCAATACACTTCTTGAATGCAAGCATAGACGTCTTGATCTTGCTAGCTGCGTTCCCGTATTCCTCGTAGACCTCGCTTGCCCATTTCGCCGATTCGAACTTGTACCGGTTAGAACTAAGGGGACCAAACGAGTTTAGTGCAGGCGAGGAGGCGATGGCGCCATAAAATGTATTCGGATAACGGATACGCGCAGAGACGGCCAGAAATCCGCCGTACGAAGCTACAATACCGCATCAGTTCACCGGCAGCCCATGATCTTCGGTGTAAGTGCGGTGTTACTTACATCCCCCATATATTACCTTACTGTCCGAGGCCCCTAATACCGTCTTCTTGATCCAATTGACGAAATCAACACCGTCCTGGAGCACGTTATCCAACGTCAACGAAGTAAGCGACTCATTCGAAATATTCATTGGATCGTATCCGGCCGGGTAGCTACCGCCGCGCAGATCACCAAAGAAACGATGCTCCAGCATGGCGACAAGTGCCCCGAGCTTCGGCGCATAATCGATGAAATCGGTGGCGTTGATCACCGGCATCCCGGCCTCGGCGCTCTGTATGAAAAGGATGGGGCCGCCGGGTTCAAAATATTGCGTGACAAGCTGATATCGCTGCTTGAAGGTCGCGGAGCCCGAATCAACTGTGTGGTTCACCTTTTGGGTGAAGTCCTGCGTGGCTATGCCGCTTGTGTTCGATTGCACTCGCGCTGGTGGGTGGCTTGCCATCGCCAGGGCGGAAAGCAGGAGGAAATATTTGAGCGCCATGATCAGCAGTATTCCTCATCTGTAATAACGACCCACTAGTAAATGACCGCGCCCTGAAAATCACTTTTAGGTCGCGGTCGAGGCTAGTCGTCGATTTCTTTTCATAAAAATCCCCGATTACAAAGCTGATTACTGTATGCAAGTCCAGATGGCCCTGGGCACTCGACTATTACAAGAACAGCTGAAGTGAAGCGAAGAAGGTACCTACCTAGGTAGTTAAGGGGTCATGGTTCACTCTCAACATTATGTGGGGCCGCTTCAATGACCGAGATGGGGACGACTAAACAAAGATACTCTGGTCAGGACGGGGTAAATTCCAAACTCTATCAAGTGATGTTGCGGCCATATAGCAAGGATCCGGCAACAGATCGGTTTAAGCATCGGATGACAAGTTGTCAAAACTTGGGATGACAGGTTAAATAGGGTTGGAAGCGGAGTAATGACACATCATACTTGGGAGGTTGAAAGGCAGCTCCCGTTGCCACATGAAGGTTCACTACAAGTAAGGTATACATACTCTCTCATTCTGAGATACCTACCTAGGTAGGTTACATATGTAAGTAAACCTTCTTGGGGGCCTCATAAGGATTTGCCAAGGGAAGTGCGCGTTGATTCATCATCTACTGCAGACGCTCCACCGTTGATCACTCGTTTCTTTAGGTATGCTGGCCCATTATGCTATGGGTATAAAGGGCTACACACCGCTATAGCATTTCGGGGTGTATTTATTGGAGTGATCGTGGTCTAATCGTCTCAAATCAATCACTTGCAGCTTTGTGTATACGAGAGAGTATGCGCAACATAAGCCCCCTCGTGGCGATCCGCTACCATAAACTGAACACTTTCAACACACAACATATGCTTTACTATACCTCGGTCCATTCCCTTTTCCCTCTCATGCTTGTATGTATAGGTATGCCCGTCGGTTTGATAACCCCAGACGACGGACGCCGAAACTCTAAGGATATGGAGAGGTAGGTGCTCCACGGCAGGCGAGCGAGCATCATTATGCAGCCCAGAAGCTTCGTTGCCACATAGTTATATCTTACCTGTAAGTGCCCTAAAAGGGTCTTCCTTACACGCCAATGGGTGACAATTGACAGCATGCCACATTGGCTTGCATCTTGCGTCGCCTACCTACATAGGTACCTCAATACCTACACCCAGCCCGTGCTACGCCCATTGTTGCGGTGGCGGAGTCCCATATGGTACCTATGTATGGCAACGACTCACTGTCAACTAGATGGGCGGTTTTATAGTAGCCATGTAGGTACCTAGGTAGGCACATAACATGCCTATATCGGTACGTAGTAGATAAGTACTTAGAAAAGTACCTAAGAAGCCTACCTTAGTACCATAGAGGTAGGTACCTATGTAGATGAAGATATCAATGTTACTACATATGTACCTACTATGTAGGGTACATAGATAGGTAGGTACCCGACATCAATCTACTCAAGTAACACTCATCTTGTATACCACACCTAAACCCCCTATAATGGTTCAAGTGTTTCGTCAAATAGGTAGGTAGGTACCTAAGAAAACGGACAAGCCCCCCCTCCAAAACACACCTACAACAAGTAGGTAGGCACCTAGGTATTTTTCTATAGTGTCGACCCAGAACATTTCATAGGTAGGTACCTAGTACTACACACTGAACACGCTTCACCAAATCAGATTCACAGACCAACAACAAAAAGGGGCAGTAACACAGTCTGCCTATTCCAAGAGTCGTAGGTTAGTTGATTGCCTACCTAGATATGTATGTACCTACTTCCAACTTCTAACCTCCTGACTAGATGCAACGTTATTTCAGTGTATAGGTTCATCCACATATCCCAGCGTCGCTCAAGCATCCAACCCATCTAGCTCTATAAGTTTTGCCACCATTCTAATGACCTCGTTATCGTGCACATCCGCGTGCGGGTCGTTGACCTTCAGCGCGATGATGTTGTCTACCATGCCCCTGAGCCTCGAAATCAGGACGCCGATACGCGCCCATCCACGTAGTCTATAGATGGTATTAGTATATGTAAATTATTAAATATTTCGTGCTTCGAAGGGAGGGGGGGTGGGGGGAGGTAAGCTTACCGTAACCAGCCATCGACCACGAGGCCCCTGCCAAGGGTGTCGAGCTCGATGGCCCCTGAGAATAGGAGGAGCGTGAAGGCATTGAACGCTGTGCGACCTGAAGTTAGCAAATAGTTCACTTGCAGATAGTTTGATATGAGAAGTCCGGAGTAAAACTTACGTGTAAGGTCCCGGATGAATACTTTGCTCGTGGCCATCATATTGAAGTAAGACATGAAAGCGGCATTGCCCGAGAACCCCTGGCTGTCGTGTAGCGTACTGGAGGGGTGGATGAAGACACGGCCATTCTCCTGGGTGAAATACCTAATCGTTCTGGCCTCGGGGTCTAGTTCCACAGCGCCCGACATAGAAGACGCGAACTTCTTGTCCGGAAACTGGATGCGCGCTATCTGGGGCGTGAACGCCGATGCTGTCAGAGCTCGGATCAGAGCCAAGGATGCATGACTGCCTGCTGGGCGGCTCTCCCGTATGCCCAGCTCGGCGAGAGAGGAATAGTATTGCGTCCGCGTTGCTGAGATGTCCATGAGCGTGTTGTACGAGAGAAAGTTCTCGTCGCAAAATTGTCGGAGACTGCGCTGCGGCGTTCCTTCATCCATCATTTTGTTGAATTGCTGGCAAGCTCTCAAGTCGGTGAGAAGGTCACCATCTCCCCTGGAAAACTGCATGCGAGCGGCTTTGGCCTCATCTCGCCTATCTGGTGGAGAAAGGAATGGGCTCCTGGTGCTCAAGATCGAAGCGATGGTGGTGCTTTCGTCGAGACATCCAAAGATCGCGCCGTAGATCATGAGTTTTCCACAACGAAGGTCGGCAGGAATCATGGCTAGCTGCTGGCCGAGGGCCGTTAGCTCTTCGCCATCCAGTGCACCCATCCGCTGCAACATCTTGACGGCATTCTCAACAGCAGATACAGTGGGCGGTGTTGGGGTTCTCCCCAAGAATCCACCGACATCTCTAGTACCCATAGCTCGAACTGATAGGCAGAGTTGTTCGAGGGGAACACGACGGATCTCAGGCTCCGGGCGCTCTGCCATACGCTCCTCGAGCGCCTCGGTGTACAACTTGTAGCACTTGCCAGCTTGTACTCTTCCGGCACGTCCTCGACGTTGTTTACAAGCGGCGCGAGAAGCCCATGTCTCCTCAAGTTTGCGCATGTTGTTTTGGGGATCAAAGCTTGTCTCCTTTACCTTGCCCGTGTCGATCACAGCAACGATGTCGTCAATTGTAATTGACGTCTCTGCCACGTTTGTCGCAACCACAATCTTTCGCTTCCCAGGAGGAGGATTCGTGAATACCCTTCTCTGCTCCCGTGTATCAAGAGAGGCGTGAAGAGGCAATACGTGAAGCGACGAAATGGATCTGAGCTGGTTTACCGTCCGGTTGATCTCTGCCACACCAGGCAAAAAGATGAGAATCCCGCCCTTCTTACCGCCGTAGGATAAATCTTCATCAATGGCCTTTACAGTCTCTGCCAGTAAGAGATAGTTAATTCTAGAGCCTAGTTTTTGGATGATCTTATTAATCGGATCTTGTGCCGCCTTATCGCTAGCACTTTGGCCCGTTGGATTGGTGTTGTCAAACATCCCCTCATCCCGATCACGATCACGATACCTACTAGTATCCACGGAAAAGTCTGTCATACGGATGATATCATCGAGGTAGTAGTCCTCAACGGGGTAAGTTCTGCCCGAGATCTCGACCAGTCCGACTTGCAGTCCCTCGGAAGTAAAATACCCCTGAAACGTTGCCGCATCGAGCGTGGCACTCATGAGGACGAGCTTCAGATCTCTTCTTTTCTTTAATACATCGCGAATAATGCTCAAAAGGAAATCGGTATCCAGACTACGTTCGTGAACTTCGTCAATGACCACGTGGCTGATGTCAGCCAACGAAGCAACCACATCATCAGTCTTTCCACCAGACGTCTGTAGGCGCCTGAGAAGCACACCAGTAGTCATGAAGGTAATCTTGGTCTGATGACTTGTCTTATTTTCACCACGGATTGTATAACCCACCTCTTGGCCAACCTTCGAACAGCGTTCTTCGCTTACTCTGTCGGCAAGGCCAAGAGCGGAAATTCGACGTGGTTGTGTGCATATAATACTTGCAGCATTTCCAAATCCTTTGCTATAGAGGTCATCGAGGATGAATTGGACCGATTGCGTAGACTTTCCAGAGCCTGTTTCACCGGCAATGATAGTGACTTGGTTTTCTAAAACCGTATCTACAACCAAGTCCTTGGCTTCCCATGCGGGGAGCTTCTGGCGTTGAGCCAACATCTCTTTTAGAGCAGGGCTTCCTTGCCTATTTCGCCATGCTTCTTTGCTCTGTGCATCTACAGTCCAAGAAAGTGGCTTCGGATGCCGAACGACCTTTCGCTTGACGGGGGCAATATGACGTGTTTCTGCTGCAGTCGACGCCACGCCAGATATCTCTCGCAGCTTCCCGGGGTTTTCAATTATGGTGTTGATGTGCTGTTGGATCCAATCAACGGCAAAGTAAATCTTCATCGGCTCGTCGCTTAGAGACTCGTTGAGATGGGCAAGTGCTTTCTTAACCACGCTGAGCTTGATGTAAGAAGGTAGGTCTGCCAAGACGGATACCACTATCTCTGCCGGATATTTTGGAGACTTGCGGAACTGTACATGCGTTTCGACATCTGACTTGGGGCCATTTTTGACAGATTCGACGCGAATTTGGCAAACGTCGTCAGATAGGCGTTGGTAGTTCTCACCAAATACGGATGCAAGACTCTCCATTTCATCACTCCAACATTCCTCTGGCGTACCAAATATCAGAGGTTCCTCTGCAGGGCTACTCTCCGAATCGTTACCGCTAGAAAGCAAAAAGTGTTGCAGGGCTTCAGCAGTAAGCCCTTCATTTCCGCCTTTCTCGTCGTAAATTTTCCTACATAGTTCGGCCGAATATCCAGTTTGTGACAGCCGTTTTACTGCTGCCTCACGTCTAAGATCTTGCGTCGCAGCAACTGAGACGCCCGCACTGTAACTCCCTGGCAATGCCCATCTTGGTAGATCGTCCTCTGGGACATGTATAAGTAGCCATTCCAGAGTCTCTTCGCGATCTTTACATTCATCGACAGCTTCTTCCACGTGAGTTTTTCGAAAGCCGGAGTTAGTAAGTTCCTTGATAATAGCTTCTTTCTGCGCATTGGACATCTTCACATCGTGAGGATTCCATATGACCTCTCGCCGTAGCAGGTCCTCTAATTGAGAGCGTGTCTTTCGACCCATCTCAACTTTGGGAATTGTAGTCCATCCTTTCATGGGATTTCCACCTCCACCCGAAGAAGATGAAGCGTTGCTTCGCAGAACCAGACCAGATGCACCCGGCATGTTTCTTGCCTTTTCCCTGATGGCTTCCTGTTCCTTTCGCTTCTTCTCGGCAGCAACTTTTTCATCATCTCGCTGTTTCAAGGTGGCGAAGGGATCTGCATCGTACAGCCAGGCATTGCCCTTCTTTACATCTTCCTTCTTTAGTGCTTCGAATTGTTTCCACATTGCCCTATAATCCGGGGGTAAAGTGGTATGAATGTTCTTCATACTACAGACCCTAAACAGAGCATAGGTAGCTGCGGCATGTCTAGCCTCGAGAGGCGTTTCCCTAATTACAAGGTGTTTATAGTCCGGAGGTATCTTGAAGGGGGGCACCTTCTGGACCTCATGGGTCTTGGGGTGTTTTGCGCTTAGTTGAACGAAGTATGAGATGCCCTCCGAATTTCGCATCTAACTCGAATAAATTAATTATCTAGGTACCAGTAAATACATCAGCAGTAAGCAAAACAAGCCGCTTACAAGTTGATAGTCGGGCTTGTCCCACTTCTGTCTTTGACAGTGTTCCGAAAGTAGGTTTACAGGCAATTTTCCGGTCCAGCTAGCTCCACCGATGATCTGCTTCACTGTTGGCTTCGGAGGCCCAGGGGGCTCCGCCGCGGCATCGTCGCCTTCAGGTTTCTTCCCTCCTGTATTTGAAGAACCCCCTGCTCCAGTCTTCTTATTAGACTTTGTGTCCTTTGTAGAATTAGTGAATACTATGAAATCGTCATTTGGCTGTGAGGTGGCGGTATTTTTAGTAGCCTTAGAAGCCTTAGATGAGGAAGACTTCTTTGATGATGAGCTGGCAGCCGCAGCAGCAGCTGGAGGTGCTGCTGATGCCTTTTCCTTGCCTTTTTTTGCCATGTTGATAAGCCATTTGGCGTCCTAGACGATTTCTTATCTTAGGATGGTTTTATGAATTTGTTTGTAAGGGGGAAGAATGGCTGCTGAGTTTAGCAGAACATGTGAATGAATATGACGGACCCACATAAAAGGCTATGTAGTACATGGTGCCTGGGTTACACCGGAAAATGTTCGGGTAAGATCCAAGCTATGATGGATACCTAGTGCCTACTAGTGCATCTATTAGGTACCTAGGTATCTATAACCTTGAAGTCGATCATTAACTATGTACATCAACCTGAACTTGTACATCTTCAACTCAAGTCCAATAATTAATAATTCCACCTACCTAGGTTAAGGTACTCTTCACACGTCAAATCCAAAACATTCAAATATTTCATGCTAAGATTCATAACCACGCGAGTCACCTTCAAGTTTACTACACGGCAGATTCGGGAACTTAGTAATACCAAATGTAAGACATGCGAAAATGTGCACGTTCTGACCAACCTACCGTCTCATCCACCTAACCTAGAATCTATGCCGGCGCTTTTTTATCACCGAAATCCGTATACTTAGATCAGAACATCTGCCTAATAAAAGCAGACTTTGAAACCAAAACATCCTTTACAACATCCAAAACCACCTCCAAGCTCATAAAAAGTGGTATGGCCTCGACTGATTTAGGCCCAGACGATGCGATCACCAAAGAAGAGATCTCAGGCACTGCACCTGCGCCCCACGCTTCAAATGTAGGTGTTAGTCAGGGCACAAAGCGTAATGCATGTAAGTGAACCGAGACACACATAGCTACAGTAATATACCTACCAGTCCCATCATACCCACCTACAACTAGTATGAAAGAGAAAGAGAAGCTTAACTGACAGAATGTCATCGACGTACAAGTCGCAGAACTCATGTCACCCAAGCCCAAGATCCCCAAGGAGGAGGGGGAGCCTAAGAAGTCTCTAGCCTCGACCCGCGGGGCATTAACACGATCCTTCAAAGAGCGTGACGGCCTCGGTGCCTACACCCACGACCCCGCCGCATTCCCAGGCAGCCGTGTTATCTACTACAACGACGACTTCGTCGCCATCAACGACCTATACCCCAAGTCCACCGTGCACGTCCTGCTGCTCCCCCGAACGCCCCTCAGTCGCCTCCACCCCTTCGACGCCTTCGACAACCCCTCCCTCCTTGCCTCCGTGCAGGCCGAGACCGCCAAGCTAAAACACCTGGTCGCGACCGAGCTGCAGCGGCGATACGGGCGCTTCAGTGCGCAGGACCGGGAGCGGGAGGCCATCCTTAACGGGGAGAAGGAGTGGGAAGCGGGGAAGGAGCTGCCGGTGGGGCGAGACTGGGAGAAAGAGCTGCTGGTCGGCGTCCACGCGCACCCGTCGATGAACGACCTGCACGTGCACATTCTGGCGCCGGATATGGTGTCCGAGTGCATGCGCCACCGCAAGCACTACACCAGCTTCAACACGCCCTTCCTCGTCGACATCGCCGACTTCCCCCTCGCCAAAGACGACCCCCGCCGACATCCTAGAAACGCGGAGTACCACCAAAGAGACCTGATATGCTGGCGCTGTGGCAAGAATTTTCTGAACAAGTTCAAGCAGCTCAAGGAGCACCTCGTAGAAGAGTTTGAGGAGTGGAAGAAGGAATGAGGCATGATTGTAATGTGTAATGATTCACAGACAATAAACTCTCCCAGCAATGACGATATAAGGTGAGAAACGTGCATTACAAAACACGAACTACTAATCACTTGTGGTATATTCATAAACACCTGTAGGTATCAGTAGGTCAGGAGCTGCTACGTATTGCATTGCTAAAGCTATTATACGCTACAACCAATGGAGGTATTACATAGGTAGCTGAAAGATTTTCGGCGGAACCCCATATCCTATACACTGGCAAGGGTATCGATCATGGTACATGTAGTTATTCTTTGTCTCTAGAACAAACAACCGCGAGTAAATACTTTCAAATCGACTAGCCGCGAGAGATCGAATAACAATACTTCGTTGTCGTTTTAATAGTACCTAGTAATATCTGAGCGACAACTACCTCAGATGTGTGTACAAGCCAGTTTCCTTCCTCTTAACGCCATGATTCACTGCCAGTCGTAAAAAGAAACCACCCTGGGCCGCTGTGTGTGTGTGTGTGTGGGTGTGTTATGTGATATCGCCCCGCTTCCGACCATTCCCAGGATAGATATAAGTAACAAACAAACTACCAACCTAGGAACCTAGGTAGGTAGGTAGGTAAGACAATCACCAGATGAAACTATACAGAGCGCATAATTCAGCTGTCTGGGGTAGTAGCATGAGTGCTCCTGTTCACACCACTTATCCGTCGAAAAGCACTGGCAAGGCCTCGAACGAGGAAGCCACCCATATCGCCAGTCTAAACATCCTACATAGCCCGGATTAGTAAGAGTTGATTTAATTGACCTAAGCTGTAAATTGAACAAAGGGAAGAGGCGGGGGTGGGATCCTACCTGAATTGGGATGTCGTCATCATCTTCTCCTTCAATGTCCTCCTCGCCGGCATCATCTAATGCCATCTCATCAGCTACGGCATCTTCTATTTCGATTAGAAAGCGCACCCGTTAGTAAAATATTTACAACATATAGAGGATTAAATTTTGTAATTAGATAGCTAGATATAGCTTAAGCGAAGAACGGTTATGATTTACCCAATAGCTGCGCAATAAACTTACCCTCGTCGTCCTCTCCTTCGGCCTCCTCCTCGCCGTCCTCTTCTTTTTCGACCACAGGCTCCTCCACCACAACCAGGCTCTTTCGCGGTCTGCCGCGTCCCTTGCCGGTGCTGGTAGGCTTGGTAGCGGAAGCGGCAGCAGCAGCGGCAGCCTTGGTCGCAGGCTTCACCGGCGTAGCAGTGGTGCCGTCAGACTTGCGAGGTCGGCCACGTCCCTTGACGGCAGTACCTGCGGCAGGCTTTGGCGGGGCGGGCTTAGCAGCAGCCTTCTTGATACCGGGGGGGCGGCCGCGGGGGCGGCCGGTGGGAAGCTTCTTCTCCTGCGCTGCGACGCCGTTCTTTGGGGGACGGCCGCGACCGCGCTTTACGGGGGCAGCTGGGCTAGCTACAGCCGGATCGCTCGTAGTGCCATTTTCCGTCACAGCTGTGCGCGATGGTCTGGTGGGAGCCATTGTGAGATTTTTTATTTTATTTTATTTTATTTTATTATTTCTTCTTCTTCTTCTTCTTCTACTTCGATGATGTTATGTGTTGTGTGAGTTTTCACTTGGATGGAAGAAAGAAACACTTTGAATTTTTTTTAAATTTCGTGTGTAGGAAAGAAAAAATTGATAAAATTGATAAAAAATCGGGTGAGAGTTATCAAGGGCGGGAAAAGGTAGGGAAAATTTAGTTGATGATGCCTCTGGGTGAATGATGGGATGGAGATTCAGACAAAAAAAGGTGAAAAATAAAACAGGAAGATAAAAAATCGAAAAAAAAGAATTGGAAAGACGGCAAAGTGTACTAGGTAGTTGGGGTTGGACGCGCCAAAAAGCTGCTAAGGCAATATCCGCACGCGTTCTGTTTATCAGTAAGAGGCAGGTACCAGGGGGTACTAAGGGGTACTAAAAAGGGGGTACATGGCTATATGTACCTCTTAGCTTCCCATGCAAAAAGTTAGATGTCCACCCCCCAGTCATGCGCCCTGTTACTGTAATTGTGCCCTGTAGCTTGTAGGAAGCGACGGAGTGGTTCCCCTAGCGGAAATGCGACATGTAAACTTATGTAACTCATGTAACTTCCTTCTTTGGTTTGTACATGCAGAATATCAAATGTACTACCGGCTAATAAATTCACAGATTGTCGGTGCACGTAACACTGACGAAAGAGCAGAAGAAAATTAAATAAAATTAATCTCGCAAATTTTCAAATTTAGATACAATTATCAAACACAAATATTAATATTAATAAATTTTTGAAAATTTTTGAAATTAATCCCTTGATTTTTGCTTATTTTATTTGATTTTCTTTCCAATGCTGGAAATGAACGGATTACTAAGGAGACCTGGATCTCACAATTTTACCTGCCATTACCAGGTACAATATGTACCATTATCATTATGTACGTAGGTACCTAACCTAGTACCTAGTACTATGCAAATAACATTGAAGGTTGTGACTATTCGAACGCATGTAGCAGTTATGGGATTAATATAAATCAATATTCATACATACATGTAGAGTCATTTTAACCATCATGTTTGCTTTGTTAGTCCTTCCAGCCCCTTTGTCGTCTTTGCTCATATTTGCAACACAACAATGAGTAGAGTCTAGTACTCGATTTTCCATTACCCAGCTAGTTACAGTCATCATGAGCAAAAAAACCCCTATTGATGAAGTGCTGCGAGCAACCAGCGGGCCAATGCACACTTGAGTCCTGAGTATGTACTAGACATACAATACAGTCAAGCTCACATTTTTGAGTTTAGTGAGAGTAATGATAAAAGATTCGGTATACGATGGTTAAACACATACATAGGCATGCACGATTGTCTCAAGCCCAGTGTTTGAGCTTCAACTTCAACATTGAATCAGTCACCATGAATGTACAAGTTGTAAGTACTACATACTATGTACATGTAAACCGGCGGCGGTCTCCGGTTAATGATAAGCCGGATAAGCTATCTGCGCAGGAGGATAATCCCCGTTATCCTTCTCCACTCCGGACCGCCCCGCCGTCCCCGATATATAAGAGTTATCATAGTTCGGGTCCATCGTCTCATAAGACTGGAACAAGTAACGTCATCTCCTTATCAGATGCGATAAGGATTTATAGAGGTATAGGTATCTATATAAGAATTCGATAACCAACTCGAGTTGGAGTCTGTATATCTTCGAATTTGGCCAAAGTATTGATACCTTAGCTATCGACCGCCATCCTCGATTCTAATCCCCGACCCTCAATCCCCTCAAACTCAAATCAACAACCACACCTCTTCATCATGGCAGAAACCAAATACTCTAACCGCAGCATCCCCAAGATCTCACTCCGCGACTTCTCCTCGCGCATCGACACCATCACCGCCGAGCTCGTCGCCGCCGCCGAAGCCGACGGCTTCTTCGCGCTCGTCGACCACGGGATCCCGGAGTCGGTGATCGCGGCGCAGTTCGCGACGGCGGAGCGGTTCTTCGCGCTGCCCGACGGCGTCAAGGCGACCGTGCCCTTCACGCACCGCAACACGGGGTGGGAGAAGGCGGCGCAGGTGCGGCCGAGCACCGGCGCCGCCGACCAGAAGGAGAGCTACCAGATGCAGTATGGCGCGGCGGCGATGGCCGGGGCCTGGCTCCCGGACGCGGCGCTCCCGGGGTTCCGCGACGACTGCCTCGCCTTCATGCGCCGCGCCCAGGACGTCTCCGAGAAGCTCATGGTCTGCTTCGCGCGGGGGCTCGGCTTCGACGACGGCTTCTTCGTCCGTGCGCACGACGTGTCCCGCCCCACCGCCCAGACCGTGCTCCGGCTCCTCCACTACTTCGCGCTCGACCCGGCGGCCCCGACTCCGGACGGGTACTACCGCGCCGGCGCGCACGCCGACTGGGACTTCGTCACCTTACTGTTCCAGCGCCCCGGACAAAGCGGATTAGAGATTTGTCCCGGCCGGCAAGCTTTCACTCAGTTTGCGCTCGGCGACACGTGGACCAAAGTCGACCCCGCTCCCGGCGAGATCGTGTGTAACATGTGAGTTTTGCGCGCAACGCCACCCCACCCACTACTCTCTTCCTTTCCTGTCCTCTCACACAACCTCCGCCTCTCCTTTCTTTTTAGATACTTGAAAGTATTATTTGTATTGCAGAAAGGTGCATTTTAACTAAAACGAAAATAAAAGTGGCGACCTCCTCATGAGCTGGAGCGACGACCGCTTCAAGTCGACCTTCCACCGCGTCAAGACGCCGACGGACCCGGCCACCGACTACTACGGCCCGCGCTACAGCATGGCGTACTTCAACCAGCCCAACACGGACTGCGTGATCCAGGGCCCGCTGAAGAAGTACCCGGTCGTGACCGGCACCCAGTTCACCCAGGCGGCCATGAAGCGCAATTACGACGCCCTGGAGGCGACGAAGAAGAAGAATGCGCTGGTGGATGAGGCCGCGCGTGGGGAGGGAGACTTGGTTGCTGCTGCTTCGTGATGGGTTCTGGCTATGTTGGTTCTTGCATGGGTTAGTTTATACATCTGCAATATATTTCAATGATATACCCCAAAGAACTGCCTCCGTCCATCTGATTCCACGCATGCTCACCTGCCTAGATAAGCATCATCTGTTAATCTGCTCACAGCTAAGACCTCATCCTACCTCTTGGGTTGGATTCCCGCGAATGCATATACCAAACAGTAGTCGTAATCGCTTCCACCCATCGATCATACCTAACCACATATACCTACCCAACCGCACCCCTCTAATGCCTACCTACCTAGGTACGTAGCGACATCCCAACCACAACCCCTTCCCGCCCGCCATCCATCCCCTACCACACCACCCCTATCATCCCCATCCCCATCCCCATCGTCGTCATCGGCGTCGCCGCCTCGTCCCCACTCTCAAACTCATTGCCGTTATACAGAACAGAACATTTAAACCCCCCCTCCCCCACCGTGCCACATTCGCAATCGAAGAAAAAAAACAAACGCGTGATTCCCCACCAGAAGCTCGCACCAACTGCTCCACCGGGCCCGCGACGACCTGCGCCGGCGCATCGCCACGTATTACGCCAGCCAGCTGCGCCTTCGTGTCGCGTATCATGTCACCAGCCTTCTCTCCACCCCAACCGTCTCATTGATCGAGATCGCGCGTTCAGGGGGGGGGGGGGGGGCAGAAGAAGGGACAGCACCGCTGCTGCTGCTAACGCTACTGCTAATAACTACATACTATTATACTAACCTTAGCACTCTCAGAAAGACTTAATACGTACGTACGTACGTACCTATATGAAGCTGACGATATCAAACGTCAATCTTACCTAGGTGCCTAGTTATGTTCCGATTAACTATGGTAAAGGAAGCTAATCAATCAGATCAACTAACGCGCGCGAAGCGTTTAATAATACCTACCTAACCTACTTGTACAATACTACATAGCACTACATAGGAAACTTCTAAGCCCTAAGATTCAATTCTTAGTACATACCTAACCTCCAGCCTGCCTTCCTAGAGTCCCCACACACCTGAGCACCAAGATAGCAACGCATAACTAGGTATATAACAGCATTGAAGTTAAAACCTGAATTGAGTTACAAAGTAGGTATCTAACCTAGCGTATGTAATTGGATACACACTACATATGTACGTAGGCTAGGTTGGTAGGTAGGTACATACCTAGTGCCTAGGTATGGCTCAATGATGAAAGCGCAATTGAATGGGAGCTATGCGACGCGATGCGATGCGATTGCGCCCTAATAACATACTACCAACCTAACCTTAGTAGTAAGCGGAATGAAATGCCAAGAAGTCGCCTCATCTCGTTACTAGTTAGTACCTAGGTCCTTAGTATCTTAGATCTTGCACCCCCTTTAAATCGCAGGCCCTAACCTAGGTATGTGTCAATTTCGAGCGATGACTCCAGATCTTACATACGGTTGCCTAATAATACTTGCCGTCCAATGTCCATATCATTAGTTTTCTTCCAGGTTCTTGACACCATAGGTAAATAGTTTAGACGGGCAACGTAGCGTCTTAGCTGCTCGCAAGTGCCTACTTTCATCTACTACAGATCTATCAATTACTTATGTAGGTTGCTATATTAGAAATCTACGATGAAGCATACGATCCACGGAAATCTCCAGTATGGTATAACTCAAGTTTTTTTTTAATTGAATTTAATTTATTGGACTCTACAGAGTCGCAAATCTTAAGTATATAGAATACCTAAGCCATTATGACAAAGACTTTTTGTCTAAGGTTCTATCAACCGGGCCTTTAAAAAAAGGCGTGGGGAATCGAAATGGTGGTGCTCGAGCAGAAATTATGTAACTCAACAAGAGATATTGTAATTCCTTGCTCCGCCAACCTATTACATTGCGACGAACCCAGTCTGCATTGGTCATTGCCAGTGCAGAAATCATCCATACCTCATTTGCCTATCATGTCGTTTTGCCCTTCCGAGGCCTTAAGCCTGTTCTTATGCACAAACCCCCCTTGCCATGCTAACCTCTCGCCCCCCCTATTACGGGAGAGAGTTGCCGTGAACGCCATCGGGGAAAAGTGAAATGCTTCAAAAGAAGTAATACATCGCATATTAGAGGGGGTGTCGTGAGTTTCATAAACATCGTGTGAGGTCGTAGACCATGACATATTAATGTCGAATTAGTGTTGATCGAGTATTGGCCCGTATAGTGTGATAACAACAGACAAGGCCATCTGACTGTATCTGTAATTGGTCTCGTGGACCTCATGCGTATTTTACTGTCGCCAAGTACAAGTGGGTATCATGTGATTCTAGTCGAATCCATCATTCAAGTTAGAAGAGGAATGGGCATCGTCAGGGTGCGGGTTTCCAAGGCCGCCGTGTCTGGGCCTACAAGGAGACGGTTGGTGAAGTGATGTTCATACGGTAAACTGAATCCATCCAATATGCGCTCTTCAACATAGACAGATGCGCGTCGGAACACCTTGTTAGAATACTTGTCGTACACTGCGTTGTGGTGCGTATGAGCACTTCGACAACAGTCGAGCATCATAGCGACTAGGGGCTTCAACTGAGTATATGTATAACCGGAATAGTGCACATGCTCGATGGACTGTAAGATTAGTTAGATAAAATAGCCATCACGATGGAAGGAGTTGCACTTACCCAGGTACCTTTGCCCAAAATCATACGAGCTAGACATTGAGCTCCGGCGGCGATGTAACTCGGTGGGCTCGCAACAAAGCGCTCATCCATGATGGTGACTTCCAGGAAGTACTTGGCCACGGTACGAATCTCGTTATCATAATCGTCCGCCTTGCTAATGCGTCGCATAAAACTCATTGGCCCGGGCCAGCCAAGCTGGAAGTTCAGCATGGTCAACATGAATCGCTCTGCCTTGAGGACTTCCGCTTGCGAGTAGCCTCCATCCACCATATAGACAATCTCTTGTACAGAAGGACAGTTAATCTCTTCATATTTCGCGGCGATCAGGATAGCGGTTGCGCCGACAAGCTGAAGCTTGTTGATGGAAACAATTTTGACCGAGAGGAATCGGTCGATGTAGTTGACGGCTAGGAATAGCGTCTCGGGAAGAAGGCCGAAGCGGCAATGGACCTGAATGACCCAGTCCATGAGAAGTGAACGCATGGACCACTTGATCTCAGTCTGAAAGTCCATATAGTTGCCGCTGGGCGCCAGTTCAGCCTACACAGCGCAATGTTAGCGATATTTCATTCAAATGTAGCGATATGATTGCTTGCTTACCTCAACTTCCCGCATATATTTGAATATGTCCTCGCCATATTCCGCTACCATGCTGATATCCCACTCCTCCTCGTCATCAGGAGGGCGGTTGTCCTCTACAATTATTCTAGCGGCCTGAATTTCTGCGGCACCCCTGAGAGTCAGCTGCGGAGGCACCATAATTGTAGTAATTCCCGTTGTATTGTCGAAACCGGAGTGAGCAGTGGCGTATCCCTGCTCGTCGTAATCATTCTCTCCCTCGGAGGAGTCGATTTCAACACGTCTGTCAGTTGATAAGGGAGAAGCCGGAGTAGTTCGCAAGTCGACTACAGCATCCTCATTGCTTGGGAGGACAAGTTGGCTTTCGTTTTGTGCGAGTACGAGTTGATTCTCGTGGTTTTGGTTGTTCGCGAGAACAAGCTGGCTCTCGTTGTTCACGTCTTTCGCGTGATTCGTGCTGTTCTCAGTGGAAGCTGGACCATCCGCTTGCGGTTCGAATGAGGAAATGTATAATCTTCTCCAACCCTCCGGCATGTCCCAAGGATTGCTGTTCTTGGGCTCGAGTGCGGGAAGCGGGTCCTGTGGAAGCTCCTCGACAGCATCGATATACTGATCCGCGGCATCATCATCTCGATGAGTCGAGGGGGCCTTGCTGCGAGAAGCGCCACCATTAAGATTGTGGCTGGGCTTATAGGGAGCCAAGTACTTGGAGCGCTCGTTCGTGCAAGCTTCGTCCGCGCGGCCCTCGCGGGGAACCTGTTCGTCAATATGCGGATGAACACTGTACCTGGACGTAGTAGAGGCTCGACTCGCATTACTCTGAGTACTCTGAGTACTCTTTTGGCAGTTCAGATTCTCCTTCGGGGGCGGGTTGTCGTTGTAGACAACAATGGGAGCGCCTCGCTTCACTGGGTACTGCTTCGAGATAGGCTGAGGTTGAAACAAAGACTTGGGCTTTGCTTCAGCGATCAAAGGCCTAAGATGTTGCGTCGAAGAAGAGGGAACGAGTGATTTGGGAGGTCGCTGGGCAGGCTGTAGGAAGGCCTCCTTGGGATTGCCATAGTTTCTGTTCTCTTGATCCATGCCAACGGCACCTGTAGGCTTCGCTCGGACAATAAACTCGTTCGACGGGTCGAATTTGGTTCCAAACTTCGAAGGGCCGCCAATGGTTGGCATAGAGTTCAGAAGGCTGCTGGCAGACTTTTGCGGTGGGTTCTGTGTTTTATTGGCAGCTGGAGCAAGATTCTCATTGCCTCGGTTGGTCATGCCATAGGCAGAACGGAAAGGCTGGTGAATGAAAAGATTAGCATTGAGAATGGAAGAGAAGAGATTGGATGAGGTAGACTAAAGACAATAGACAATTTTTTTTAGGTTAAGTGGTCGGTTACGACGTGAAGCTCTGATAGCTTCATATAAGCCCAACCTTGGGGTAAAAGTTCGGTTCAACTTTGTAGAGAGGGAGGAACAGTGTAAATGGGAATCCAGGTAGAAATTGTAAGATAATAGGAAAAAAATGAAAACTCACCCTGGCGTCCATCATGTAAAATATCGTGTGGAATTGATATTTTTGAAGTGCGATCAAGAAACGCGACAGAAGAGGGGGTATTAAAATGCTTTGGTCCAAGACCGCAGCGAGGGGATCAGAGAGGAAGCTGATCAAAGTGATGAACGTTTCAAGAAACCTCGATACAAGTCGTACACCGAGAATAGAATACCTTGATGATCTAGTTGGTGGTCTAGTTAGTGACTTGAACATGAATCAGGTGTTGATAGGTGGAATGCTGTAGTGGTAGTGGTAGCAGTAGTTGAAGTTGTAGGAGTGAGTGAGTGACTTTGGGTACCTAGCTTAGAGGTAGGGTGATGTACGATGTAAGTAGAAAGGTGTAGTGCATATAAAAGTAATTAAACCAGCCAAGGCTACCTAGCAATTGCTGCTACTAGACTAGGCTGGTTCAAGGTCGATGGAAGTCAAGGGTAGGGTGCGTGTACATACCTTTTCGTCCTGGAATTGGTGGATGTTGTTCTCTATCAGGCTTAACCTTACGATGACCGGGGACGAATAGTAACCAATTATGAGAACGACAAGGTCAAGACTAATCGTCTAGTGGTGCATATGTTGACAAAATAAACACCCAGGGTCGTCGTGTTCAGTTCTTGGGATCAAGAAACAGAGCAGTAACCGTTCGCGCCACTGACTGATAGAACACAACGGAAAGAAAATCCAACGGTCTTGACCACTGCGAAGGACGTCTCTTCGATAAAGTTTGTAGATGACCAGGAAAGAAAGTCCTGGGTCCTGGGGTGTGGATGTGAGGAAGAAGTTTTCTGGGTATTTTTGGTTTTTTACCTTCTTCTGATTCGAGTAGAATGTGGGTGGGGGGGAATGATGAACGGATACCCGTTCAGAAAAGATGTCCAAGCTCCAGCCGGTCCATCAAGATGTAGAAGTTGACAACGGAAAGGAATACAGATCTTAGGGCTGGTGATGAATGACTGTGTTGACGGGTTTATGGGTCAGGTCTCCGAAGAAAACAAAGCCCGTAATCCTTGGTAGTAACAATGGGGAAAACAAGAAGGGTTCTTAGACAATCTCGACGTGAATGAAGAAACGATCAAAGGAGAAGATGACAAGTTAGTTGGAGGGATCTGTAATGTGGAATGTGGAAGGAATGTGGAGTGAGGGTTGTGTTGTGAGGTTAGGTGAGTGGTGAGAGGTGTTGAAGTTGAAGGACAAGGTAAAGCGCCGGACGACGATTGTTGATGTTGACGTTCAAATTCTCCAATCCCCCCAGGCGTCAAGGTTCAACTCCCAGAAAATGATCAATGTACAGTACCATGTAACTAGTAGGTATGTGGCTACATAGTCCACATAATAGTTTGTCTATGATATGTATGCACTTTAGGATGTAGCTAAGGTGCTATCTTTGGAGAATGGCCTAAGGGTGTACAGTACGTATGGCGGGCAACTGTGGAGAGAAGAATCAAAATAAACAAATCGCGAAGGAATAAATCTCGTTATCCCTGTCTTAATTCCAGCTTGTTGCCCAGTCAGGCAATAAGTGCTCACATACATAAGGAGTACGTACCAGACTTAATGTATGGCAAGCATGGATCCTAGCTCGAGTTTCGTGGATCCGTTCAAGCTCCTTCAGGTTCCAATCGTTTTCTCAGGTTCCAAACTGCGGCGTTGTGGCTTCATAACGCTGTATTATGGGGCATTGTAGTGTTGTACCCCCCTGTTGGCCGCACTGCACTGTGCAATGCTCCCCTCAGGCAGGCCGGCGCCAGGGTTCAAGATTATCGCGGTGTAACTAATATTCCGAACTCTATTACCCACATGTACTAACTAACTACATATGTACATAATAATGAATTGATGCATCGCGAGTCTTAAAACGGACTAGCGCCGCTCACAGGGCAACGGATTGAATTTGGGCGTTTTAGTGGTCAATGCGTCATTATCAGAGCGATGACGTAGGGCTCAATTTAAGATCGCGTCTCCCACAAGCGAGATGAATCTCGCCAGATTTGATAACGCCGACGATAACTCTAATCACATAACTTTTTTTTATTTTCACATTTTCTCATTGACATATCATTTACCTAAATTATATATATCCTAATTGATTTTACCTTTATTCGCATCGCGTTCGCTACGAATTGTCGGAGTTAATTTTTGTGCGCCGGGCGCGTTAATATTCTGTTCCAAGTCACGACCATAACTCGAAGTCACGTGATGTCTTAAGTGGCCTAAAGCGGTTGCATCTCAACATGTGTCGACGACGATCTATCGGCGCTACCACACTCCCCATAGGGGTTATATGGGGTTTTAATACCTCAAATGGCTTATTATTTCTTATGCGACATATTATTCCTATTGTTTAGCCCTTATTACTGCCCTAAGTAATATATCTATACCCAACTCCCCACGACTACACCATCCGGTGACGCAAATAGGATGGGTGGGTAAGGGCAGCTTGAAAGTAACTACATGTAGGTAGGTAGGTAGGACTGGTAGGTGCCTACATATATAGTTACATGTATTAACCTACTACTGTGTTGTCAAGATCTACTAGTTATTTGGTATGTAGAATAGCACTCACTCATAGCAGCAAGTAATTTTTTATGGATTATTATAAGCAAGGGGGTCGCTTATAAGATATGTGCGCGATCCTAAAATTCCTTTAACGTTGAGGTCTGGAACGAGAGTGTCGGAATACGACAACTCACATGCGAGTTTGGTTGGATAGAACCCCTCCCTCTCATTCAAGGTCTTCCTGGCGCGCGGATTGCTAACTGGCTAGCTTATCCGGTATGAGACGACAGAAAATCCTAAACCATATGGTGGCACCATTTGGGGCTATCTTTGCAATAATTGATAGCATTGGAATAAAATTGAAATGTTAGGCAGGTAGCTACCTAGGCATTTAGAGATCTCCGTATAGAGATGCTTCATTGTGGTGTCTATAGGTATGTTACATAGGTAGGGAGGTATATATCCTACTATGTATCTACATACACTAAACAGATAAAGTAGGTCACACATGGACTGACTAAGTATTCAATGTTGATGTCTACGATGTATGTATCTACTAGGTAGGTAGGTAGGTAGGTAGGTAGGTAATGTTGAAGATGGACATCTCACGTCGCTTGACTTAAATGATGTGACATGCATGCGCATCATGCTGTTGCCCTCCCAAACCCGCGTCGCAGCAGCATAAGATGATAGCCGCAGCGAAATCGCATATGTTTCATTGGATGCGACGTCTAACCCTAAGACCAAGAACAATGACCAGAAAAAATAAGCTGGAAACGTTCTGGGCTGTAACGATGCGATGCGCTGCGATGACTAGCACCGACGGCAATACGGGATCAGACGAAAACCTCAGGCCATGATAAACAAGTCAAAAAGTATTAGGCGTGCGAAAGGGAAAAGGATTTAGGATCGACGTCGGGAACTACATATCACACGAGTTGGTAGTAGGATGAGAGTAGGCAGGTACCTAGATTAGTATTAGCAGCACATAATGTCTCCCAATGATGGCTCCGTGTTCTTTTATTACCTAATTAACCATAGAAAGCTCGTAATTTATCTAATTGGTGAGGCGAGACGAGACAGCCCAAATTATCGTGGCAACATGCGGAGGTTAGCAGAAATTGCTCGCTTTTCCGCTTGGCTAATAAAGTTGTCGCAGTTTCGGTCGTGATATGAATGACGAACTTCTAATGTCGATCTTGTTTGGTGCCTATGGTTTTGGAGGGGTTTTTTTTATTCATTGTTCACCTGCGCGCATCAGCGGAACGTTTCCCCAATGTTAGGGTCAGAGTCGCTAGCGATGGTCTAGACGGGTTTTAGGGAAGAGAAGAAAGAAAGAAAAAGAGGAAAAAGACTGCAGACGGGATCTCGTTAGGTGCGGTGTGTAGATCAGCGCCACGATAGTCTCAACAGACCGAAAGAAAATTAGGCCATAATGCTTGTAAGGGAGTAAGACTATTGGACGTTTTCGTGGTTCGATCTAAGCGGTCAAGATAAAGAATGCCTGGGTCCACGGGATGTACTAACTATGGAGTTATCAAGTGTACAATACAAGGGTAACTACCTAGGTTAGTAGGTAGGTAAGTAAGTAGGCAAGTTGTAGGCAAGTAAGTTAAGTATGTACTTGTGATGCGCTGACTTGCAATGTTCGCAACATGACCTGCTCTCATACATAAGTATGGGATGTATGGATGTATGGATTTGTTCCTTTGGTTATTTTGGTAATATGTTGTACCGAAGACTAGGAACCGAGAAACTGGAGCTTTCTGATGTCGCGCACAAGAAAGAGAGAGAGAAACTTGAGAAAGAGCAGGAATGTTCTGAAACTATGGTAGGTACATAGTAGGTAAGAGGATGGCCGCGACCTTGGCTAGATCCTCGTTTGTTTGTTTTGAAGTGACTCGAATAGGCGAGTGAAGGGTCTAAAGAAGTCGTGGATGTTTTTCTGTTGTCATTAGCCAACCAGTGAGCTCCGGCGCTGGCGCGTGGAGAAACAAGTTGTCGGGCGATCCGCAAAGTGCCAAAGTGCGCCCAAAGGCAGGCCGCGCTTGGCTGCGCAAGAAGAGCATTCGAACTAAACCTACTATGTATACCTTTTTATCTATCGGCTCAGTTCTTGGTTGAAAGGATCTGGGTTGTCAGAAGCTGGTCGTCTTCCCAGGGTTCTGATTCGATCCATGTGGATGAAACTCGTCGCCAGCGCATACAAACCAAAACCAACATGAAGTCGCCATCCAACTCCAGTTCTAATGCTTTTCCCAATGATTTCCCAATGCGATCTCTTCTTTTTTTTTGTGTCCCATATCCCGTGTCCGTGTTCCCGTATCTCGTGAGAATTTAACGTACATGGTTCAAGGTTACCTACTTGGAGATGTAATAGGTAGCTAACTGCGCCTTTTCTTCAATGTTTTTTTTTCTTATTATGTGTGCCCTTTTTCCTTATCCTTTTGCGCCTATCGCGAAAACTGGCATTCTGTAGTGGATACTGGGTATTTGTCCAACCCTACCACTAAAACAGTGTGTCACTCGCTTCCTAGTCGGGTACAATGGCATCAGTAAGATAATAACCAGTAAGATGATAATCAGTAGGATGATAATCAGTAAGATGATAATAAAGATGAATAAGAGCTACTACATACACATACATATATGTAGTATACTGAAGGTAGCAGACAGCTTCACATGTTCCCCTTCCGTCTCACGTTCTTAAATATTACACGATTCCTATGACCGAGACGGCGTATCCATGTCGATGTGGTTTAAACATAAAACATAAGACCAAACATGGGGTCAGATCCCACTTCTTCTTTTTGCTTTTCTTCTTCCATCTGGAGCAAGGGGGCCTGCCCGGCCTGGACGTTCAACTTTTCTGCTACTACGTACATACGTAGGTAGTAGGTACATACATGAAGTTATGTAAGGCTAACTAGTACCTACCTACCTGCCCCAGGCCCCCTACCAAGCCGGGCAGGCCCTACTACCTACATGCCTAGTAACTACCTACTGTACCTAATGACGAGATGACGGGCCATCAAGGCCCCTTCGCCACGTTTGCCCGCTCTCTACTGTACATCCGTCCATCAGTTTTGTGAATTGCAAATTCTAGATTCTCCCGTGCCCACTCACACCACTATCCAGAGACCCTCAGGTATCCTCTAGATGCGCTGAGGGACCTCTCCGAGTGGTCCTTGATTGTTTATCTGCTGCGTACGTACCCTACCCAATTTTGCTGGGCACACCTGAGTACTCGAATCCCTGCCTTTCTGACAAACTGGCGCACCTAAGATGACGTGCCATTGGCTGGATAGGTTGTCTACTTGCCCGCTTTGCTCACCTCAACTCGCATACAATAGGTACGATGAGCTTCGTTTGCGACCACGAACCGCACGGAGCTGGTACGGAATACCGAGGACCAAATGGCACCTGATTGTTCGCTCACTTCAGATCCCCTCGTCGATGACCCTTTTGTGAAGGATACAGTTAACTACCTATGCTATGCGATGTAAAGGCAAGACAGGTTTACTTATTCTTTCTTTTGCGCAATGCTTCCAAGTGAGTAAATTAGGTAAGTGAGATGCGATATGCAATGCGCCCCAGGAAAATAGGTGTTGTAGAGGTATGATGAAGTGCTCAGGTGATGCGCAAAGCGCCAATGGCTTCTTTTGCAAAGCTCGAGCCTCAGCTCAGCGTTGATTCGGATCGGCAACGCCTCGAGCAACGGCGGCGCATAGCTTTTAAGTAGTATTCAGCGTCAAGGGGACGTCGCAAAAAGAGCGCATTCTTCAGCATGCATCATGGAAAGCTTGAATATGCACCAGTACAACCTTTTTGGCCAACTTCCCCTGGAACAAGAAGAATCGCACGAATGCGCCTAGTGTGACTTTGAGTACTATGCAGTGTAGGCAAGTTGCGAGCGTGTAGTTATGTGTGTGTAGTTATATAACTACAGTATGTGCCTGAATCTTGAAAGAGAAAGGCCGGGTGATGCCGTAACCTACCTAGGTGCCGCACATGCCACATACATAGTTAATTACGTGCCGCCAAGTAGCACCTGGATAAGTTATTGTCTATTAATGTATCTGTATCTTGACCTGCCGGAAGCGCGCAATAAATGTATGGCTCTGGCTGTCTGGAGCAATACACGGGATGTCAAGATAGGCCATTCTTACATACAAGCTTGACGTCGCAATGCGCAAAGTCAAGGGGATACAGATGTATATTAACTACATACATATAGTGTATTATATTGTACAATACAATGTATACTAGCCCCTAGGTAATAGACATCTAACAAATTTGTTTGCGCTCATCTCTATGGGATCTTAGCACGATCGATTAGATCTCCTACATACTTCATACATACCTAGCTAATATCTATTACATATCTACTGTTACGGTCTACCTACTACATCGTAGTTATTGATGTGAAGCAGCTTCATTCGAAGGCAATGCTTGACGCAACGCGCAACACAAGCGCACCGTCGAATTTGCTATGCAAGTATCCCACACTACGTACGCGGAGATCCATGTATTGCTGTCGGGCAATATGTGCGAATCGCCATCCATTCCATAATCCTACACACATCGTATACATGTAGGTATGTACATATGTGTGTGTACATAATATGTATGTAGTATGTACGAAGTACGTGGCTAAAGTACTTGGCCCTGCGCAAGTCCGTACTATGTATGTATGTATGAAAGGTATGTACACATAACTAACGTACTTGTATCGTGCGTGCTTGTCTCGGCCCTCAAGTGTTGTATTATGTATCTCTTCATGTTTGCGACTTCAATATCTCCAAGTATGCAGAATCGGCGGAAAGCTGCTACAGATTTAGGTGTATTACATTAAAGGGGGAGAATTCCCAAGTCGCAAAAAGGTTCAACTTGGACCAACATTATGATCAGCCAAGTATGTATGATACATAGGTATAATGTATTAACTATACCTAATAACTATTGTATAATACATTTTACATAAAATAAGCAAACTTCTCCCAAGTTGCAAACCCAAATTGTAGCTTGTGCGATGCTTGCTGTCCCTGTCAATTCTGGGCGATGTCAGTCTCGTGCTAGTCGCATTTCGTTGCCGATCTTGTAACTTGACAAACCGACTGGGTGACAGTGGGTGTACTAGCTAATGTATATGTAGATTAAGTATGATACATATGTAGTCAACGTGGAGGAATGCCAGAGACATTACGGACTTCAGAGACATCACGCTAAGCTGCATGTGCCTTTTTTGACTTTTGTAACTGTTCAACCTCTGATTAGTAGGACTGGTTAGTATGGTTAGTATGTAACTATGTAGGTTAGATGGAAGTGTCTGGTCTGTCACTGTCCTGTCTGGTCTGCCACTGTCTGGTGTATATGTATGTAGGTTAGGTACTTGTTGTATCCATCCATCCATCCAATATTACATACTGTAAGTATACATAGTAGTATCCATGCAGGTAGATGTATGTATGTACTGGTAACTATCTACATCATCAATAGTATTTTCCAATTTCTGAATATGAATATAATAACAACATGTATGATCATCTATAACCAGACATACCTAATCTTCCCCTTCTATTCTTTTTTTTTTTCCCCTTTCTTCTTCCTTTTCAATCTTCAAACACATACTTATCCTCCAGGACTTCTTCTAATAAAACTGGTTAAAATACAAACTTGTAAACATTCAAATGTTTAACAAGATTGGGTTGGGAGGGGATGGATCGGATGGGATGGATTGGATGGTACGGAACTGTACTTGTAACTTTAGACCCGTTCTTTTCTGGCTCTTCAGTGGTACGTTGTCGGTTTTGTGCATCTATGGATCACTAAAACAGCCTACTAGCACCCGCTAGCTAGGTACATTAGTGGTCATGTAGACTGGTAATTGGTGTGGGTGCGGGTGTGCTGGTGCGCTGGTCATGGCCTGGGTGGCCCTGGTTTACATGCCCCCCGAGTACTGGTTCCCCTCTGATCGTTAGGCAGGTACTGCGCTGGACGGGGACTGGATGTACTTCCCTTTTAGTGCTTTTAGTGGTTGCTTTACAACTTGTGTGGGAAACCTTGGAAGCCATTTTTTCTGGAGACTCACTCTCTGCAAAACCTCAACTCTCTCTACTCTACCTCTACCTTGCTCTACCTACTCTACCTACTACATACTAAAATACATACTACTCTACTAAACTCTTCCACCTCCTCTTTACACCAACTTCCATTTCTCGAACAACTCTCATCCAACATATTTCCATCTTCCTTGGTAAGCTTCTTAATCCATCTCTACATCCATTCCATCAATTATTGTAACCGCTTTCCACCGTCCTAGCTCGTATTTCCCATTGCTAGACACTGACTCCCTTTGGTGCCGTAGGTCGATCGGGGGTTATACTCATACATCTCCAGCTCGAATTGAAAAGCATCTATAAGCGCAACCACGCCATCCATTCTTCTAAATAGTAAGTTATTTCAGCATTGGTACCTAATGCGATCACGTATTTGCTTCATTTGGACCCCTATCTATCCAATCTACCTTTCGTATTCGTCCCTCACTTTCGACCTCCTCCGACATCACCAAGGAAATCCAAAGAAAATCACTGCTCAGCAAGTGCTAGTTCCGTGACCGGGTTACCCAACCGTACCGTACCACTTGTGATTCTCTACCACGCATTTCTATTCGTATCTATAAGATATTCACTAACATGTCTTAAGATTCTCTCTCTAATCGAGAAGAATTGTTTTTACCTACTCCCAACTCCTCCCGTAAATTCTTTGCGATCGACCCTGACCGCTTCCACCAAGCCAATTTGCCCCGACGTATATCCTGGTCTGGTAGGACCGTCCGTTCTAGGTACTCTAGGATCTAAAAGGCGGGAACTTGCAAGAAATAAAATCAAATAAAAGCATTGACTACCTTTTGGAGTCATCGAGTCTGCTGGCGACGGAATCTCCTTTTTCTTTTTCCTCCCAGCAAAACCAAACCGCATCCCGAACGGTAGTTGAGCGCTTTTCTCCACTTTGAGCATCAGCTGTCCCTCCGTCATCGACACTCTCCCTCTCTACACGGAAGCGATCCGTGAGGCAGGCGGAATGGCGTCTGCTTCACCCATTGACGTTTACCAATCCGCTTCTGCCGGATCCAATAGTGGCAGTGCCTCCCCCCGACAACCCATAACCCCGAAACATGTTCAATTCGAACTTCTCTTCCCCGAATCTCCCCAATATCGCGCACGACTCCCACTGCGTGTTCAGATTTACCCTCATGATGACACCGAATCAATAATCTCGACTGTGAAGAACTTTTATGGCCTCTATCATGGGGGTAAGGGTGTCAGTTTCGAGGACGATCGACGCAACACCCTCATTGCAAGATATGAGAATTTCAGTAACAATATGGTCGTCTATGTGAGAGTCATTGAAGAGTCCCCTCCACCAGCAGGTGTATTTGTGCCGAACAATTTTCAACCTGCGCCGATTGAATACGCGGGCCAACAACTAGGCCACCATATTTCACGGCCCACGTCAAGAACTTCTCGAAGACGTAGTCCTTCTCCCAACAGAGGTCGCGGCCGACGTAGCGCGTCTGCTAGCACGAACCCAACAGCTGGGAAGAAAGGTCGTTCACGCTCTATCAAGAACCGTGCAGCAAACTACGACAACCACAGCGATAGCCTCAATGGATATAGCAGTGGAGACGGCGCTTCTGCTTCTGTGTCTAGCAAAGCAAAGGAACAGATTGGCAACACCGACATCAGCGTCGAGAACATTGTAGAAGGTGGTCGCCGTAAACGCGCCAAATTTGAAAGCTCGGTAAGTCTACCCCAAACAAAGCATGCCGAAAAGCACGTCGAGAAAGGTCTTGGTCTAACCGTCTTTGATTACAGGAACTACCACTCTTTGCGCCGCCTCAGATGCCAGCTGCGACTTCTAACCCGTCGGTCTCGCCTGTGCGTCGTGTTGAGCACCAGCGACCATCTTTCCCATTTGCGCACCCTGGGCAGAACGCCTTTACAAACCCTCGACCCCTCCAATCTCCCCAGAGCTACAGCAATGGGTACGGCCAAGCTGGCATGTTTGCGACGCCAATTAGCGACGCCAGACGCCATCGTGGCAGCACTGGTTATCCTGGCAATAGTGCTGGTATATTACCTACCCCTGACCCAACTATTGGAAGTTGTGTCTCTGAGGAGGACAAAGATGTCGCCATCCAGCTTATGAGACTGGGTGAAATGTCCAACATTTCACACGGCAGAACGTCTGCCTCGACGTTAGATGATACCTTCAGCGGTAGAGCTGATGTCGCTTCGTCTACCGGTGCCACGAGCGACGCCGACAGTGAAAGCGAGAATGACTTGCCACCATCGCGTCGGCAGAAGCTTGACGCGTCTGGTAACAATCGCAAGGTCTATCAGGCAACGCACAACCACTTTATACCGTCGCGCGACAGCGCTGATGCTAGCGGCGATGACGCTGATTACGAGGACGGCGCCGACGATGGTCCTCTTGCAGGACTGAAATCCAATGACACCAAACCTAAGCCCCAACAAGCTGGAAAGCCGCAGGCACCAGGTGCAAAGCCCGTCAAGTCTAAGCCTTTCAAGGCTCCCAAAACTACCAAGACGAAGAAAGTTAACACTGCCATTGCCGCCACTGCTGGCCCAATGTCGCCTGCCTCTCTACCGACCCATTCACGTAAGCCTTCTATTGCTTCAGCCACCGCACTCCCCGGGCAGCCGGGTGAGGATGACCAACCGGACTTATCTACCAAGCCCCGCTGTCAGCGATGCCGCAAGAGCAAGAAAGGCTGTGACCGTCAACGGCCTTGTGGTCGTTGCCGTGATGCCGGTCTCAGCGCCGATCAATGCATCAGCGAAGATGAGGGCAACGGCAGAAAGGGGCGCTACGGCCGCCACATGGGCGTTCCCATCAAGACAGCAGCAGATGTTGCTGGCCCCCCTACTCTCCTACCCGCTGCTCCTATTGCGGTTCCTGCGCTAGCAGGCGACAAGCACAAGAAGCGCAAGCGGTAGGGGACCTGATATACAAACGGGCACCTACCAAGACGTCAAAACTCTGCAATACGTGTCAGGCGAGATGAGTTATGGTATGCTAGCAGCAGATGTTACGCTACCTTTCTGAATTGCATCTACTTTGAGGGTGGAGAGTCGAATCTGTTGGCTTCATCGACGCCAAACCTAGCTTGCCAGCTAGGCGTGTTTGTATCTTTGAAGCCAGCAGTTCGCACTTATAACATGGATTCGTGGCGATATGGTGTGTACGTGTGTTTCCCGCTTAGCGCGAAAGCGAAGCGATGCGATGCGATTGTAAGGGGAAGTTTGGGCGGAAGAGCGCTGTCTTTGTTTCCTGACGTCGGAGTTTCATTCCTCCTGGAATCGGGTGAGGCGCATGGAAAACAAGGTACTTAATATGGGCCGCGAGGCCGTTACACTCCTTTTTCTTTTTTTCCACACCAAGAAATGGTATGCCGGGAATGATTATCTTGCGAAAGGGTTTATCTGAAAAGGGCGTTGGATCGTACTTTGCTTGTCAATCCACAACGTCGCCTGCTTTTGCTATCAGATACAAGGTTGGCCAAGTCATTGGCTTCGACACAACAAAACACAAAGCAAGCTTTGGAAACATCTCAAGTCTGTTCCAGAGGCAAGAGGCAAGAAGACGGGGCGACAGCAAGGACACACTTTTTTTTTCTCTAGAAAGAAAATACCGGAGTGTCACACAGGGGACTGCATGCTGGAGGGTGAGGTATACATGGCACAGATGCTCGACCGTCAATTTCTAATAGGGCGTACGAAAGGCTGGGCAAGGAACCTACACCCATACGGAGTGGGAAATTGTGTTGAAAATGGGTTGTCCTGCTTCTCCTATATTTCTGGACGGTCGATAGTTGTTTTGAAGCTTTTCGCATTGTGTTTCCTCTTTTCCTTTAACTCTTATCTATCGCTACCTGGGCGAGGATGAATGTTAGGTATCATGAAAGAACCCTAGCCTGCAAATATAAACGATGCTTATAACTGTCTCTTCCCATCTACTTGGCATACCTAGTGTGCTACCCTAATACCTAGTATTCTATAAGCCTACTTATACGTACCTACGTACCCTACTAGGTGATAAACCTACAAGATAGATGGTATTAACTAGGTAGGTAAGAGGTAGGCACTAGTAGTAGGTAGTGTGTGACGACATGACGATCTTGAATTGTCTAATAAATACTCATGTGTGTGATGGATATCAAGTATGTGATATGTACGTATGTAAGTATAGATGTGAGTATGTATGTATGTAGGTTGTATGTAGGTTGTATGTGCCTCATGTCGGTATGTTGGTATATATGGATTATATGGATATATAGGATTTTTATGTTGCCGAGAGAATTATCATCCGTCTGTCGGGTAGAGCCGCCCCGTCTAAGACATATACGGGGTAGATCAACTAGGGTTACACGAGGAAAAGATATCCAGATATTATCGACAGCACCACACATGGACATATGGAGTCAGGCTAGAACTTTCGAGTCTTCAAAATCATGAGGTACCCAACCCATACCGGGTTGTTGGAAAAATGTTTTTTTTTTAGTTATAAAAATGGACCATGGATGAGACGTTAGTGGTACGGGTCTAAAAAAAGAGAAAGAAGAAGAAGAAGAAGAAGAAGAAGTTGAAGAAGTTGATAAAAAGAGAAAGAAAAAAGATGAAAGGAAGCAGGTAGTTGGAGGACTTTAGTTGAGAAAGTTCAATGTTGGGATGGGGTTGAAACCTAACAAGCTTGGAAGCTATACAAATTGATGTATACATACCTTACCTACCTGTAACCTAGGTACCAACTAGGTAGTAAGCAGCTAGCTCTACCTTGCACATGTGCAGTTTCTAACAACCTTGGAAGTTTAAAACCCACATGTCGCTGTTAAAACCATCAAACGTCAACTAAAGCGGCGTCGATTGAAAACTAAAAATAATAAGCTAAAAGCAACAAATTGGAGACGATCATTGGCGGCGCATCCGGCAGTTACCGCCAGTCAATATCCTTCCCCGGGACTTGTGACGTTGAGTTAAACTAGATCGGTGATGCGCCAAACCTAATACGGTACTAGCCTCTGGTTTCCCCTGGCATGGTAACCGCCTTGGCGCCAGATCAGAAAAGCGGCTCGGGGCCAAGTGGTGACTCAAGTTACCAGTTCTTTCCCTTCACACACCCAAGTTCCTCACCGTCGCCCACTTTCAGCTAAAAATCATTCTCCCATTCTCCACCCCTTCCTTTCTTTTTACCTTTTTTTTTTATCTTTTCTTTTTTTGGCTCCTCCCCTCCCCCTCCCTTTTCCCATTCCCCTTCCCTCGTTCCCGGTTTCCAGTAGACGTGACCGATGACCCATATCACGATACCTACTACGTACATCTATGTATTTTTTCCCTCTCTTTTTTCCCTTTCCCCCTGCAAGAGAGGGGAGTCGGAGGCGGAGGAGGGTCAAAGTGAGGGTAACATGGAAAAAGGGCTAAAGGAATTGATGCCCAGTCTCGACTGAAAAATGCTCCAACCCAGACACTATCGAGATGACAAAGTGGAGTGGAAAAGATGGTAAAGCGTAGCCCAGACGTTGCCCTCACCGTTGTTCTTCTCCAGTCTGGTGCGTTATCGGTAATGAAGTGTTAGCCATGACACACCTCGTGATATTGTGCAATTCTGCTTCGTTATCGTCACGTTGAGGTCTCGACGAACTCCGTGTCAACGCGAAAGCTTCCGGTTCGCTACCATGCGTGTGAAGATCTGCCAACCTCCTCGAGGAATACGCATGGGATAGGCATGGGATAGACATGGGATAGGCATGGGATATGTTTTGGGGATGGCACAGTTGCCGTAGTGTCAGCAAACTGCGGCCAGACCATCGCCCCTATGCGCTTTTCTCCACATGGAAATTCCATGACAAGTCCGCGCAGCCGTTAACGGACGCTGGGGCCTTGTTTTTAGCTCGATTGCGACATCGTGGCAATATCGTGATGTTTTTGATGTGTAATATGTTCCGTTCGAGTTTTGAGGCCCTCGAGGGTCCGATGAATATATGAGAGGCCGCATCGTGATGGCTAGCATGGCGATGATCATATTACCATCGTCTCTCATCTCTTCTACACTATCAGTGCACTTCACACTTCAAAGGCATCTCAACCCGCCAACATCCTTCCCTCTTTGCCAATCATGGTTGTTACTGAGAGCCACAAAAAACCCCAACATACGGTCACAGTTTCTCATCTAGCCCACAGCGAGGTATCGCTCCCCCATAGTGAGGATGTCGTACCAAGCCCGGCGAGCGACGATGAGGATCTTGACTACCCCGATGGTGGTTCAGTCGCCTGGCGCCAGGTAGTGGCTTGCCATTTCATCAATGCGATGGCTTGCGGCTACGGTGCAGCTTTTGGCATATATCAGTTGTATTATACTGAGACCCTCAAACTCCCCGCAGCGCAAATCTCTTGGATCGGCTCCGTCCAGGTCTTCCTGAACAACCTCATCTGCACCGTGGCTGGACGTCTCGCTGATGCGGGATACGCACGAGAGACCGTTATGGGTGGCTCCTTCATCGCTCTGGTAGGCACCTTCATGACAAGCCTAGCCACACAGTACTGGCAGATTTTCCTAGCACAGGGTGTCTGCACTGGTATTGGTCTGGGCTTGATGTTCATGCCTACCATCACCATCATCTCCTCATACTTCAACAAGAGGCGCGCCTTCGCCTTGTCACTAGCCACAGCTGGAACGGGGACAGGGAGTATCATATTCCCAGCGACTGTCCAGTACCTTATCCCCATCATTGGGTTTCCCTGGGCCGTTCGGTGTGCCGGCTTCGTGGCTCTGTCCATGGTTCTCATCATGAATGTCCTGCTCAAGCCACGTCTGGTTCCCCGCAAAGCTGGTCCCGTTGTGGAGTGGCCTGCCTTCAAGGAGCCCCCCTACGTGATCTTCATCGCGGGGACTTTCCTGTTCTTTTGGGCCCTCTATTTCGGCTACTTTTATGTAAGTAAACTATGCACTTACCACCCTCAAGCAAAATACCATAGCTTTAAGGGGCCTACATATCCATCTATCTTTTTTGCTAACAACTGTATGCACAGGTAAACACATACGCTATCACTGTTGCCTCCTTCAGCCCTACCTCTGCTGTCTCCCTACTACTCATCATGAACGCAGTGGGAGTTCCTACTCGACCTATCATTGGCTACATCGCCGACACCTACCTTGGCCCCCTCAACACTTACATTCTGTCGGCCATCACCCTAGCCATTACTTTCTTTGCCTGGATCGCCATCAAGACACCGTCTACCATGTATGCCTTCGCGATCGTGTTTGGGGTCACCAACAACGCGACTCAAGGCTCGTTCAGCACCGCCCTAGCCAGTTTAACCACGGACCCTTCGAAGATGGGGGTCAGGTTTGGCATGTGCTGCACCATCATCGCCTTCGCAACGGTTGCTGGCCCACCAACAGCGGGTGCGATTATTGATTTCTCGGGTGGGTCCTATGTCTGGGCCCAGGTGTGGGCCGGCCTCGTCACCGTTCTCGCGGCGATCACCCTAGGTGTGGCGAGGTATTGGGTCACTGGCGCAAAGCTCAAGGTTAAGGTATAGACAACGGTTCGCTAAAACAACAAGGGAGGGTAATGGTAATAAAGTCTTTTGAGCTCTAGAACGGGGAGCTGTAATGAGATGCGGATTACAGCGCTTGGGAAGTTTCCATTTATTGATGGAATAAATCATCTCGCGCCGTTTTTCTTCTTCGGCTAGACAGAACGATTACACTCTACTGTAATGTCTATAATTTTAGATGATGGAATGGATATGTCTGGATGGATAACGGTACAACAAAAAAAAATTGGGGCGGTATTTTCTGCTTTAATGGTGAGGGTTGAGGGTTGAGGAGGATTTTTTTTTTTTTTGCAAAAAAAGCAGGAGAGAGAAAATGGAATGGAAAGGGGAAAGGGAAGGGGAAGGGGGTTTTAAAAAGGAGTTACAGAGCGGTTGGAAGATAAAATGAGATATGAGATATGACTCTTCTCCTCTGTATGGCGACCTTATATTCCATACAGAGCTGAGGTTTAATCCAATTAATGCTTTCATCGCGGTATAAAATACTTTGAAGATTCATTCTCGTCTTGAAATGCGATATGGCGACCTTATATTCCATACAGAGCTGAGGTTTAATCCAATTAATGCTTTCATCGCGGTATAAAATACTTTGAAGATTCATTCTCGTCTTGAAATGCGATATGATATTGTAAGAACAAAACCCGAAGTGAAGAAGACTCGATTGTCGATGATGAGGAGACGTTGCGACGAGTTCACCTGATTGTCACTAACATGCGATATCGAATTCAAGTTGGCTTGAGCTTAAGCTTAAAGGCCCCAAAGTCGATAGCTTTGTTTAGCGTTAGGTTGACACTCCGAGATCTCCGATCAATGTCCAAGGAGGTGGTTGACCGCTACTATTGGCTCATCGATAACTATCCAAAGACATTATTCTTGTTTCCTTCCAACAACTGGCACAGCTTCAGTCGAGTTCGTCAAATAAACGTCGAATAAAATAGATAGGCAAACGCTTTATCCAAAGAGATGGCAGCTGGTGTAGGTAGGCAATATATCATCGGACTTTACTAGGGATTCGCTTTCTCACTCTTTCTATCTTTGCCGCTTTATTTGACTCTGCGGTCGTTAATACGCATCGAACGGCCCAAGCGACTCCTTCCTTTCCATGGGTATGGGTGGCAAAAAGTTATGCTTCGGAGTCGCGACATCTACCTTACCTATATAAAGCTTCAAATTCTACTACCGACGTTGTTGGAAAAAGAAAAAGAAGAGAAGAGAAAATAAAAGAAAGTTGCGCGCTTAATTTATTAAATTTTTATTAATATCGATGCAGGAAGGGTTCAACCCGTTGCCTTTTTTGCCGCGGTCGCCTTCTTTCCAGAATTCTTCCACCAAGGACGAAGGTTGAAGTAGGTAGGAGGTCTAGATTAACGTCGCACGCAAAGATTATGCAGCCGCAAAACATTGATGCACACATCCCATCTAGGTACCTACCTGGCTAGGTACTAGGGGAGTTAATTCACACTTACATCGAAACTTACATACATAATCTACCCTAGGTAGCATACTGACTTACATACATACCAGAACCAAGGTATGTAACTTAATGTAAGTCCATACATGCATAGGTAGTGTAGGTTACAAACTTTGGTAGAAACCCACCGCTTCCTCTCATTTACATAATTATGGATCCCACCCTTCTATGGATACCGGCCGGAGTCGCATCGCTTCGATCGATATGCGCCGGGCAGCTTACGCGTATATAACGTTTTACAACACGACACCCTCTAGAAAGTAGGAGGTACTAAACTAAAGAAAGGGTTTTTTTCTTGGAGTATGGAGTGAGGAGTAAGTAAAGTTGAAGTTGGATAGGCTTGACTTTACCTATCATGCCTATTCCTATGCAGCCAAGCAAGAAGATAACGGGCCGTCTTTTGTAGGTAGGAAGGTAAGAGGCAGATATTAATAAACATCTACATGGTTATCATGCTCTATTTCACCGAGTTCGATGGCTTGGACCTTGAATCTTCCCATGTCGTGATGCAACTTCGTAACAAGTAAGTACCGGTAAGTAGGTAATACTACATATATTGTATTGTACATACCTACATGTAGGTTAGGCATGTAGGGGATTGTAGTATCGGCCGAGCTTGGCTTACTGTATTTCCATCTCTAGCGTCAAACCGGTAAAAGTCAAATACTCGACGCTGATTGGAAAAGAGTCCATGGGGAATTCGAAGAAGCTTATTGGATTCCAAGATGCCGGCCCCACGACCGGAAAAATGGCCAAAAAAAATGAACGCCCCCAAAAACCTGGAGCTTCAAATGTTAATACAATCTTCAACGAATGGATGTTGTGGCTCCTGTGGCGTTAGTTATAGTAGTTATTATGTTGTGTAGTGCTGCAGCTAATCCAGTCTAGGCCCTAACGGGCTTAAGGTAGCACGGCTGCAGCTGTAGTCTGTAGAAACTGCTTGCTGCGATTAACCTTGAACAATTCCAAGACTCCAATGGGATTCCATCTCCATGCTTTAAGTTGTTTTACCCACCTTGGGGTAAAAGGTGGGGTGTACTACACTACTAGTAGTAGAAGCAGAACGGGAGGTTTCTTATCGCCCTAACGAGCTTACAAAACAAGGTTTACAAAATCAATTACCCTATTACAACAACGGCAACACAGTGAACACACACTATATAAGTAATTATTGGCGATATGCTCTTTCACTTTATTCTTGGAGCTTTCTCGGTAATGGATGCTTCGATATCCACATAATATGCTTACAGCCTGTACTAAGCAGTCCTATGCCTATGCGTCCCGTGTCGCCATTGACCATCTATCTATGGATAATAGCAATGACAGACAACTCGGGGGTGTCGTGTACCAACCCCCCTCCCCCCCACCACCACTTGACAACGGGCAGCATTGCCAAGTCTTACAACCGACGCGGTGTGTTCGAAGCTGGGTCACCACCCAACCACGACAGACACAGCATGGCAAGATATCCAATTCCCTTGCTGGCAGTCAAAATACAATGCAAAGTCCGGTTATTCTTATACCACCGTGATCAGCCACAACTACAAATGATCAGGTAATACTTCATTGACTACATATGTATGTATGACTAAGTATTAGTTGCACGATGAAACTAGTTTCACCACCATGATTTTTCTTGCCGAAGATTTGCGGAGAAAGATCTGAAAACGAGACAGAGCCAAGCCCTATGCTACCAGCTATTTCGCGGGGTAGCGTCCGTAAGCAAGCATCATCCAAGGCACCCTTGACCGACGCATTTTGCCAAGTCTAGTGCTATGTAGAATATCCGTCTAGGCGAAGCCACCAAGAGTAGATGGTGTTGATTTCATCAAGTCCTCTTACTACCCAGGTAATTTGCCGAAAACTCATAACCAGGGTCTGGACCCCCTTCTCTCCTCCAGGCTACTGGGAACCCCCCCATGTGGATAGAGCCCCGAACTTTTCCCAGGCGCATTTTCTTTTCTTTTAAAAACTGCTTGCAGATCACCTTGTAAGATAAAGTTGGGAACCCCAGGCCAGTTTTCTCGCGTTCTCGGCGCCCTCTTTTAACTTATCCCTCACTTCGTCAGCTACCCGCACAAGGACTGTTCGCAAGAAGGACAGACACCATGGCACCGATACGAAGCATAGACGAGAAAAGCGACCTCGATCACCCCGAGGCGGTCGCGCTCGAGACGAAGAGCCAAGGCTCCTCCGATTCACCCACCTGGACTGTGGCAGAGGAGACGGCTGTTCGCAGGAAGCTCGACTGGCAATTGGTGCCTGCCGTGACCATCTTGTACCTCCTTTGCTTCCTAGACCGGTATGGTTATTTGGGCACTCTTGCTTACCATTGCGTTGTGCTGATTAAGTAATATAGAATAAACATTGGAAATGCTCGGATTCAGGGAATGCAGGAGGATTTGGACCTCTACGGATACCGATTCAACATTGCGACCAGCATCTTCTATGTTGTTTATTTGACAGTGGAAGTGCCATCGAACATTTTGCTCAAGCATGTCGGCCCGCGCTATTATCTTCCCGGCCTCGTGGTTGGGTTTGGTGCCGTCTCCGTGGCGACAGCCTTTGTGAGGACCTTCGCACAGCTTTGCGTGGTTCGTTCTCTGTTGGGGATATTCGAAGGTGGCACCATGCCGGGATTGGCGTTCTTCCTCAGCTCCTTCTACAAGAGAGAAGAGCTTTACTTCAGAGTTGGCATATATGTCTCGGCCGCATCTATTGCTGGAGCCTTTGGAGGGTTGTTGGCCGCCGGTCTATCGCAGGTCCCCGATTGGGGAATCGCAGGTTCGAGGCTGCACACTTGGCGCAATATCTTCTTCTTCGAGGGTCTTCTCACCATAATCGTTGCGATGGCAGCCCCTATCATCCTACCCCAAAGCCCCGAAACTTCGAAGTACCTAAACGACCGAGAGAAATGGATTGCTTCCGAACGACTTCGTATTGAGCACAAGTCTCACCCCAACGAGAAGGTGCAGGCGAAACATGTCAAGCGCGCACTCATGAACATCAACAATTATATCTGTGCTGCCGGGTTTTTCGCCATCAACATCACAGTGCAAGGACTGTCTGTCTTCATGCCCACTATTCTTAGGGAACTCGGATGGGAAGCGTTGGAGGCGCAATACTACACTGTTCCCGTATATGTGGCTGCTTCGCTTGTTGCTATCGGCATAGGTTTCATCAGCGATAAAACGAGGATGCGAGGGCTCTACCTAGCCTTATTTACGTTCCTCGGCATAACAGGATTTTCCATGCTTCGATGGGGCTCGGGCAGTCATGTGAAATACGCTGCTGTCTGGCTTTGCGCTCTCGGCGCTTTCCCCGGCGGGCCAGGTTTCCTGTCCTGGGGCCTTAACAATGCATCCGGCCCCGCCATACGGGCTATTTCCGGCGGTTGGATCGTCACGCTGGGAACCATGGGCGGTATCCTCGCCGTCTGGGCCTATCTCCCCAACGACGGACCTAACTTCCCCATCGGACACACCATCAACCTTGTCGCGCAGATATTCGTCTTGTTCCTCTCGAGCTTCGGCATATGGTACTGCCTCAGGGAGAACCGCCTGCGGGCTCGCGGCGCCCGCAACCACCGGTTGGAAGGACTGACGGAGCAGGAGAAGGCGGATCTGGGATATAGGCACCCTGAGTTCCGCTACATTGCGTGATTTGATTCCTGTCAGCGAGCGAGCATGCCACGTTTTTGCTTTTGGAGGATACCTACCTACCTCTATATAGAGATATAGTGTGTTGTTTACCTATACCGATAGATTATATGATATGACATATATCGCAAAATCTTGTAACCTACGTACCTATGTACTTGCTGTATTCCAGACTGTGGCATAGAGAGACGGACAGGCAGGCACAGCGTTTGTTTGTTATCTTAGACTAGAGGACTGAATGCGTGCGCGGCGTGTAGTTTTGTTGTCGTATTTTTAGAGATGAGACGATGCCGAGGGTTTAGACTGAATAGATGCCGTGTAAGCTGTTCGCAAACTTGTTTGCGGCTTGATGGTAATGATGTTAACCTCGTGCTTACCCGAGAGCGAAACAACCCAGGGATGCATTTTCTTACGGGGAATTACCTATAGGTATATATAACCTATGTAAGCACCTAGTCGTTCATACTATGATGCGACGTCTTATAGCCAAGAAATGACATCGTGCCACTTGCTTGCTTGCACCGAACGACGTAGACTTCTAGTTGGGTTTAGTTAGTTTAGGTCCGGTCAAGGGGGGGCGCGGCGGGGGAGAGAGGGGAGGGGAGGGGAAGGACTGAGCCGCAATAAAACCTCCGCTCTACATAGGTTAAGAGTGTGAATGTTGGTTGCGCTAGGGCTAAGTTAAAGAGTGTCGCATGGCTTGTAGGTAACTATGTACATAGATCTGTTTACTTATCTATATGTAGGTCCTGGGGACAGTATCTGGCATCTATCTGCATTGATTCTGCAGCAGCTTTGCTTGCATGGTAGGTACCTACGCATGCATGCAGTATTTACATAGGTACCTAGTTTAAACTAAGTTTTTGCTGGGATTTTACATAGATGTTCTTCTGGCTCGGGTAAGGATAAGCTAGGATAAGTTGAGTTGCGTGCGATATGGTTTGGATTTTGGTGTTGGGTTATTTGTTGTATTTGAATATAATCCGGGAGGTAGGCAGGTTATAACTTGGAAGTATCGCGCAGAGTTAATTAATTAGCTATGTCGCGTTTGATGAAGCGGGTGGCGTTCTTGAAGGGATTGCTTCTTGCTTCTTGCTCCCCCCCCCCTTTTTCTTTTTCCTCTTTTGTCTTTTTTATTTAGTTTTAAGCCCTATGGGATTTTCTGTACATACTGCTTGCCGAAGGTAAGTAGATTATCAGGAAGAAACAAAACCTCTCCGAATTATGTTGACCAGTGTGAAAGGTTCATGTACTAAGCTGGCGGTGGGGATCCGCTTTATTGTATACACCTATTAATACCTACCTACCTAGAGTACTAAGGCCCAGATCGAAATGAGCCTTAAGTTAAGGAAAGTTAAGGGAAAAGATACATTGCCCCGTCCCACAAATCCTTATGCATTCAGATGTATCTTTTCCCTTCCATGCCATTAATCTAAGCTATTTTCAGAATAGCCACTATTGCAGCGGTTTGTAGCTGACAGTATCGCAACATTTAATCCATTTAATCCATTTAATCCATTCAATCCATTTTATTTAATTCAATTAATTCAATTAAATTTATCTAATTCAATAAATTCAATATTTACCCAATAAACATTCAAAATATTGCCATATTTAAGGTTGCATTATTACTGAAAAGCTATATGCAGGGATTAGCTGCGTGGCTGTTATGGCGGGTTGTAGCAGTTGTGGCTAAGGGCTGTAGCAGTTGTGGCTAAGGGCTGCAGCTGTTGTGGCTGGATTACAGCTGAAGTCGCTGAAATTCAGCTGCCTGTTAACTTTAAGGGCTCTTTTTCAAAATAAGGGACCTTGAGAAGGGGGGTCTTATTTTTTGCTCTTAACGGCCGACTTAAGAGCCCTCTTGGCATCCGCTAAACCCTTTATAGTTTAGCCTTGGACCCAATTAAAAGAGTACATGGCAGACAGGTCTTAAAAACCAGTGACAGGGGTCTTACGGATTTATGCAAAAGAAAAGGTGCCAAATTAGGTTAGGGCCATTTTTTAGCGTGGTTTTGAATATTTTATACAGGTGACCCACATCAGTTAAGAGACGTCTCTTAACTTAAGGCTCATTTCGATCTGGGCCTAAGGTTAGACTGGTTAGTAGGTAAGCTCTTAAGCCAAGGTCATCAATCGCATTAGCGGCCGCAAAGATGAACGGTGTGCTAGTTAGGGGTCCGTCTTCGATAGAAAAGAGACACTTGTAACTAGGCTAGCGCCCATTGTAGGGACCCCGTCCCGTAGGGCCAGCGTTAAGGCAGCTACGTAGTTATTGAATTTCCGCCCTTTCGTGGAAGGGGCTCTACTGTACCTATCGGTCAGACCTGTATACATGGGCTCTTGCAGGCTGTCCTATCCTTTTTTTTTTTTTACCTGGACTTATGGTATGTGTTGACGTGGGCTCGAAATTGCAGCTCGCATAATAGGTAATCTTATACCTAGTGAAAACTTTTCTCATCTGGGTAGATTTGTAGACGGGAGAAGCTTCTTATGAGTGTTTTTCTGGCATTTGCTAGTTCTTACGCTTGGCCTTTGATTCCGGTGATGACGATGTTGAAAATGGTGAGGGCGAGCTTTCAAAGGGGTCGCGACTCGGCGCTAGGTCGTCAAGCGATTCGGCACCTTTCGTAAGCGCGAGGAAGACTGGGCATCGACAAGATCTTCTTTTCTATTATACACTAGGAGCTAACTAACTATTGCTATGTAGCTAAAAAGTCAAATCCCTTTAGTCTCACTCATGCCCCTTAGAATCCCTGATATTCCCACGAGGCTACGACGGATTCCATTCCATACACAGAAGTTATTTAGCTTCAAAATTCCTTCTATCGATAAAAAAATCTCTATCAATAACTAACTAACTAGTTAGTTATATCTATCCGCCTAAGCTGTTTGCCGAGGATGGGTCTCCGTGTCTCCGGACTAACGGGCTTGCCCAGCCCTGGAGCGTTAAGATTATGCGACTAATAATAATAACTAAATCGTGATTTTAAAGTTATGGCACCCTGGTCATGTCCCCTGGCTGCCTTAGCTGTGTCACCCGATGTCGCTGTTAGATGAAGAGATATTTTGCAATGCCAAGAGAACTAGAATTAGTCAGATCGGTGTATTAAATCTACTGATTTTAAGTTCATGTAACTCGTGTTTACCTGGTAAATAATATTGAATATTAAAAGTGGTTGAGGACTCATGAGACTAGGTAGGCACCTATTCATGGATGTAGGTGGTGTATAGGTAACACATGTCGTTATCTTGCTCTTGCTCTTGCATTGCATTGCATCTTCAATTGTTGTCTTAAACAAATGCAACATCAAAACGACGAGAACAAATCAGAATTCTATGTACATAGAGTACATTGCAACTGCATGTGGTTTAACTTTCAGGTAAGCAAGACTTAGCAAGTACCTACATAAGTATTCATCAAATCAGGTTATCCCAGCACTAAGATTTCCATTTCTATGGGTCCTTCTATGTAAGAATGGCTGTAACAGTGGGACAAGACCCCTGAAAGTTGCGGCTCGATGGCCCACTTAAAACTGTAGTCGATAAACCCATGCACAGACATGCAGCCATCATCGAACGTGTTTCTCTAGCATTCAAATTTCAAACTCTTAACACCACTTTTTCTCTTTTTCTACCCTCATCACTATCATCATCTTGCCACTGGTCATTTGTTTGTTGAGTTATGGAATCTTGTAACCCTTGTTTGATTGTATTCATCTTTATTATGATCAGGTTAAATGTCGACCTCGAATTGCTCTGACAATCAACAAAAACCATTCCATTAATATGGTCCCGTCCTCGAAGGCAACCCGTGTGGCCCCGAGCTCACGGTCCCGGCTATGTGGATCCTTCACAACACCGAGATTCGCCGAGTCATCTCCCATACGGTTACTATATGTAGCTATATTTAAAATATTTACTCGAGTCGCGCCCAAAAGAATCCACGAAAATCCATGCATTTTAGCCCTGCCTAAATCCAGCTTTGCCATCTTCAATAATCGACCTATCCCATCACCCGTAACAATGGGGACTTACTTAGATGGGAAGTCTTGTAGATCCGCCACCGGCCTACTTCCTCTACAACTTCCTCAAACTTCTATTACCCTAGCCATAACCTCGGCCAATGAGACACCTTACCCAGAGAGCCGGTTGAGGTTGGCCGAAGTTCATGGGTAACTAGTACAAAACCTGGAGCTCAGTAGATGATTCCTTTCTCTTATAAATAGGATGGGGCCTCCCCCTGACTTCTCTACCGAGAGTCCATTTTCTCTCTGCGATTAACTCTCATAGAAATAGACCTTTTCTTTCATTCCTTTCCTCACCTTAATTTACTTGGAGGATTTAATAATTACTTCGTCATCATGGAAGACACATCTAGTGAGTCTAATGACAACCAAGAGCCAGTCAAGTACGGAGCTATCGTTCCTGCTTCACTGGCTCGCCATCCTACGAACCCCTTAGCCCGTAATTCTACCAAGGAGACTATTCGGGACCCGCAGTTGGACGTCAATTTACCATACCGAACACTGTCCAACGATGCCAACCTTTCCGAATACACCACAGAAACGGCGACTGGAAACATACCTGGTCCTATAGAACCAGATGGCGAAAATCGCTACAAACTCGTCACCTTTCTCCCAAATGATCCTGAGAACCCCAAGAACTGGTCCAAGGGATACAAGTGGTACTGCACCATGGTCGTTGCCGCCACTTGCTTTGTCGTAGCATTCTCATCCAGCGTCATCACACCAGACATTGCAGATGTAGCTGAAGAATTCGGTGTCAGCGAGGAGGTAGCATTACTCAGTATTTCGCTATTCGTCGTTGGGTTTGGAGTTGGTGAGTAAAACCAAAGGGAAAAGAAAAAGGGGCGACCTTAAGACAGCTACTAAACATCTAACAGGGCCCATGATCTTCGCTCCTCTATCTGAAGTCTATGGTCGACGTATTATCTACGGAACAACGCTATTAGTTGCGGTGATTTTCATCATCCCCGGTGCTCTCGCGAAGAATATTGCAACTCTCCTAGTCGCTCGAACCATTGACGGAATCGCCTTTTCTGCACCCATGACACTCGTTGGTGGCACCTTGGCGGACCTATGGAGGTCTGAGGAGAGAGGTATTCCGATGGCTGCTTTCTCGGCGGCCCCCTTTATCGGTCCTGCAAGTAAGCATCTATCATAGCTAAACTTGTCCCGAGTCCCTTTTCACTTGCTAACACGTGGAAATAGTCGGTCCCCTAGTTGGCGGTTTTTTATCCGATGCTGCCGGTTGGAGATGGCTATATTGGATTCATCTAATCTTAGCCTTCATCGTTTGGGTTCTAATCACATTCACCGTGCCCGAGACTTACGCTCCGACGATCCTTGCGAAAAGAGCTAAGAAGATGCGCGAGGAAACCGGTATCCCGGACTACGTTACCGAAGAGGACATCGACAAGAGACCCTTTGGCGAGCGGATGCGCATCTTTTTGATCAGGCCTTTCCAACTTCTTTTCGGCGAACTCATCGTCTTCCTGATCAGTCTATACATGTCCGTGCTCTACGGCTTGCTGTACATGTTCTTCGTCGCCTTCCCCATTATTTTCCAGCAAGGCAAGGGATATTCTGCCGGCATTACAGGTCTTATGTTGTAAGTTTCCCTCGGTTTAACGGTCGCTTGGCCCTGATCGCTAACACAGACCCAAGTATCCCTCTTGCAGTAGGCGTCGTCTGCTCGGCCTGTTGCGCCCCTCTCGTCAATGACCATTATCGTAAGCTCATCGCAAAGCACAACGGTCTTCCCCCACCGGAACTCCGTCTCATTCCCATGATGGCCTCCTGTTGGTTCATCCCCATGGGCCTGTTCATCTTCGCCTGGACTTCATACCCACACCTCTCCTGGGTCGGACCCGCACTCGGCGGTTTCCCCGTGGGCTTCGGCTTCATCTTCCTGTACAACAGCGCCAACAACTACCTCGTCGACGCATACCAGCACCAAGCCGCATCAGCGCTAGCAGCCAAGACGTGCATCCGATCATTCTGGGGCGCGGCCGTCGTGCTCTTCACCGAGCAGATGTACGCGCGCCTCGGCTACGAATGGGCCAGCACCCTCCTCGCCTTCATCAGCCTAGCCTGCTGCGGTATCCCCTTCCTGTTCTGGATCTACGGCGCGAGGATCCGACAGAAGAGCAAGTACGCGTACGCGGGCGAGGACGACGAGAAGATTGCGAACGCGAGCGAGGGCGTTGGTCCTGTCGTCAGGGAAGACGACGAAGAGGATCAGGACCTTAGACGCGCTAGGAGCTACGTTAGTAACCCCTGAGCGCGGGATTAAGATTTGATACGATTCACACGATGAATCGGTTTAATATCTACATTTTTTTCTGTTACCCGATAGAGGCATAGAGAAATGGACTCTCTTAGTTGGGCGGTCCAATGTTATAGGGGCTGGTTTGACTATATGCCGAGTCAGCGGCATCGTGGCGTGGCAGTCACCCGGGCAGTCTTCACATGATCTGGGCTGCTCTTAAGGTTGGGAAAGAGTGTAACGAAGATATAAAATCGACATGCTTGGGAGGATATAGGTGTATGTCGGCGTTTTTTCTTTTGCGGAAGATCGATTATAGACGGGGATTATCTTCCGCTAGAGAGGCAAGGGGCACCCCATGACGAATCAGGGAGACAATAACACGATTGCCATGTCTTATATGATATGATAGAAGATATATGGGTTGGGGAGGGGGTGTCCTTCATCACTGAGATACCATGGTCAGTCACGTTGCGTTACTTATTAGACTAGTCGCGCAGATGCGCCGTATAGATGGACGGCATGATATATGCATATAATAGAATAATGGAAGAGTGGTTTTACCTATCTGGAGTGTTACGTACTTCACAGTGAACCTACGACGATCTCATGATGATCATATAGGTAATACCACCTGTCCAGGGACTTATACATGTAACGATTAGCATAGTTGCTTGTATTTTTCAAGTTACAAACGTTACTTTACAACATTGCCCACCCATCTGTCCTGCCATCCCTTCATCTACAGATACATACCTAAGTAGATCTTATAAACCCCCATTCATCACTCAAAACCCCCACCGATCAACCCACAACTTCATCCACTCCGTATTGACCGGCTTCATCGCGCTAGCCGTCAGGCTCGCCCTCAGCGTGTTATCAACCTGCCACGTATAATCGTCTTCTCCCCCCCCACCACCATTCTCATGCCCATTCACACGCTTCCCATTACCGTTAGTAGTAGTCGTAGGAGGAATAAGCGACCTATAAAAATCCACCAGCTTGACCGCCGGGTTCTCCTCCGCGGGCCTCTTGCGCGCAGCCGGGTCGTGGGCGCTGCGCTCGAGCGCCTCGATCCAGTCCTCGAACGGCACGACCTCGTCCGCGATGCCCTTTTCCTGGAGCGCGGGGAGCAGGGACTCGAAGGTCACGGGGCGCGGGTTCACGAGGTTGTACACCTTTGCGCCGTCGACAGCAGCGGCGGAGGAGTCCTTGCTGCTGTCGCTCCCGCTCCCGCTCCCACTGCTATGCACGACATCGTCCACAACCTCCAGGATGACCCGGCTCAGCTCGTCGACAGGCACCCACTCGACCCGACTGCTCGACCCCAGCGTCCGCGGCAGCCTGCCAAGAAACTTGGCGCTCCGCACCAGCGACGGGAACCACTCCCACTCGTTCCACCTGCCCCCCAGCTCCACGGGGCCCGCCACCTGCCCCACCCGCAGCACCGCGGCCTTGCGCCCCGTCGCGCGCGCGTAGCTGTCGAGCAGCCGCTCCCCCACGTACTTGCTCCGCGCGTACCCCTGCCTCAGCACCAGCTCCGCCGGATCGGCCAGCACGGCCTCGGGGACGAGCCGCGCGCCGCCCATCGCGGCGGAGATGCTCGAGACGAAGAAGACGGGCGGGCGGTGGCGCGCGCCGTGCGCGAGCTGCAGGAGGTTCGCGAGCCCCGCGATGCTCGGCTCGAAGGACTTGAGCGGGAGCAGGAAGTTGACCGGCCACGCGTTGTGCAGGATCGCCGTCGCCTCGGCGGCAAGCGTGCTGTAGTCCCTGTGCGGGAGCCCGAGCCTCGGCGCGGAGAGGTCCGGGGCGGCGAGGAAGACGACGCGGCCGGAGGCTGTGTCGGCGGGGGGCAGGCCCCGCGACTTCAGGGCGGAGGCTTGCTTGGCGGGGGCGTCGGGCCCGCGGTTGAGGCAGAAGATGCGGCGGACTTGGGAGTCTGGGAGGGCTTGGAGAGCGGCGAGGAGGTAGGTGCCTAGGGAGCCGGTGGTGCCGGTTAGGACGATGGACTGCGCGGAGCGCGTGGGGGTCACGAGGGAGACGTATTTGTCGAGGATCTCGGCGACGCCGCCGTCGGGTAGGTCGCCGCTGCCGATACCGCCGTCGCCGGAGAGGAAGGCGGAGAGCGTGGCGGCGAGCGAGTCTGCGGTGGTCGAGCTGTACATGAGCCCGATGTTGATGCCGCGCAGCGTCTCCTCGGGGACGCCGTAGTTGCGCAGCGCGGCCTTGAGGCGGGAGATGGTGATGGTGACGCCGTTGGAGTCGAGGCCGCGCGCGAAGACGTCGGTGTCGGGGCCCACGTCGGCGTTGTCGAGAGCCTGCTGGAAGAGCTGCGTGAGCACGGGGGCGAGGGCCTCGGGCGCCAGCGATGTGATGGGGCTCAGGTCGGAGACCAGGATGCCGCTCTCGACGCGCTCGTACAGCGCGTCGATCTCGGCCTCGTACGCCTGCAGCGTGAGCTGGCGCTGAATGGTGCCCTTGCCCGCGCGCAGGAAGGGCTTGCTCTTGGTGGTGAAGAGGACGAGCTCGCGGGGGATCTGGCCGAACTTGGGGGAGCTTTGGTTGGCCTCGTGGATCTTGGGCCACAGCGTTTCCAGCGCGTTGTGATACTCCTCGTCGGTGGAGGGGACGAGGTGGTCCTGCAGCTCGACGAGCAGGCAGAGGCGGAAGCGGTGGGAGCCGCCCACGATGACGCCCTTGACGTCGGGGTGCGAGCCAAGGACCCCCTCAAAGTCGGAAGGGTCCATCTTGTAGCCGTTGGCCATGGCGACCCAGTTGTCTGTGCGGCCGCGGAAACGCCACCACCCGGGCTGGCCCGGGACAGGGGCGAAGAGGTCCTTGGTGCGGTATTCTCCCTCCAAGTCAGGGTAGGAGCGGAAGAAGGAGTAGAGACGGTCGATAGCTTCCGTCTTGGGGAAGACGAGCTCATAGAGCCCGGGGAAAACCTCCTCCATCCGTTGACCGACGTCGACGAACCGGAGCGCGTCCCAGTTCGTGCTGTCGGCCGAATAGTCCATGTGGTGCAGGGCGCCCTCCGTGCTCCCGATGAGACTATAGAGGTGTGGTGTGATTTTGGCGAGCTGGGCGCCAAGTACGGGGTTGATGGGCCCGCCGACATAACCTATATGCTTCAGTCGTGAAAGTACCTCGACGCCAGGAGGGTAGTTGAGCATGTTCTCGATAGGCACGGGAGGGCAGATCATGCTATTAGCACCTGTCCAGTTGATCACGGCGGTAATGTTGACTGGAATGATGGGCAGATCTGGGTGCATCAGGATCGACGTCGAGTCGGCATGTAGCGCGATCATCGTAATGTACATGGCGCCGGCCTTAGGAAGTTAGAGAACAAGCTTCTCCTCATAGAAGAGATGGATATGATAAGCTTTAAACTTACATGTGATTGCGACCCAACGACGAGAACGTCGTGGTTAGCAAGAGTACTGCATGTCGGCCTCTCCGCAACGACTCCAGGAGGGAGAACACCCTCCTCTAAGGGTGAGAACAGATTCTCAAAGTGTTCGTGAGTCCACCAGATTGGCTTCGGATGACCTGTTACGTACGTGTGAGAACATTATCAAAATAAATACTAAACAAATTGATCTCTTCTGACCTGAAGTTCCAGATGTATGTAGACCCATAAATCGCTTCTTCCTGATATTCTCAAAGCTTTCGTCGAAGGGGTAGTCCGGAACAGGTTCGGGTGATATAATGTCTTCGAGCAACAGCCCCGGCCGAGCCTTGACAATCTTGCTGGCCTTGCCGATGAGCTCCGCCAGAGTTTCGGATGACTCGGGCCCATAGAACATGTGCTTGGCCCCGACGGAATCGAATAGTCGGAGGTTCGCAGAGACCCGGTTATTCAAGGACGGGAAAACCACGACCTTGCCGGTCTTCATTGCCGCTATAGCCCATACTATGTAACGAATATCGCTCTTGGACATCCATATAAACGTCTCCTCGGTCGGATCAAGGTTCTCGGTAAGAAACCAGGCAGCCCGGTTGACGGCATTGTCGAGAAGAGCGAATGTGATTTCGATGGGATCACGATCTGGAAACCCAATCTTAAAAGGAGGACGGGTTTGATTTATCCTCCTTTTTATTACATTAGGAATCAGCTCATGGAAGCCAGCCATAGTTTACGTGGTTGGGATGCAACGAGAGCTGTGGGCTGTAAGCTGTGAGGGCATATGACGGGGGTTATTAAGCTGAGAGACCACGAGCAACTCTCTCCTCTCCAAATAAAGAAGCAACGGCATTATTTCGACCTAATTATATCCCTTTCTATGGGAAGGTGGCAACCACCCCCTTTCCTTCGAAATGTTCTTTGTTGTATCTCTTTCATTTACTTGTGAACGAACTGGAAGCAAACAGGCCCCCAATCCTTCCGCTACGTGCTAGGGTAGTATGCATCTAGTACCCCTTACAGATATGTACGAAGTAACACAGCAAATAACCCTAACAAGTATACTAGGAATGATTGGGGCCAACTTCCGCGTGGGATTCTTGTCTAGGATTCAAACATAGTAAGTCATTATATGGATACATGTAGTCTTTCTACAGTAGCTCGGATAGATGCCGACACTACATAAGGCCCCTGTACATCTTCAATGTTACTATGTAGGTACAGTTAAAAGGCAGCAAATCAAATGAAAGCAAAGGTTTAGAATAACTTACACAAAGGTCGATGGTAACTAAGGATGATGAAATGGAATATAATCTTAGACTCACCGCCATGCTTAGGTAGTTACAGTACCATTCCATAAGGCATAAGTGGTGGAACGTGAGAACACAATAAGGTGATAGGCATATGGTCCAACGAGACTCTCGAAGATCTGTTGCGGATGCATGCGTGAGGAATAATGCAACCTGTAGTAGTGTTGGCTTTGTAGGATGTAAGCAATGGAACGGTTATATCGCGGAAATAATTACCTCAAGTGTCCATTTCACATGCAGTGACAAGATACAACTTACAGGTAGGCAAATTAATTCTTACATATCTACCTATCCAGCTGCCCAGATAGGTAAGGAACTTGACGAAGAACTGAGGTTGACCAAGATTTGGTACGATGGGTAAGTTGACTTAGCCGGCGCTGATCTTGAAAGGGAGCTTATGGAGACCTAAGCTCGGTCAAAAGGTGTTTACTTTTGGATAGTTACATGTACGTGGAATGCCTTTTGAGATATGTCATCGCCGCATACATACATGTAGAGTAGTAGTAGGACCTACTTACAAGGTACCAAGGTAATTATGTGTTAGAGAACCTTGGAATATCCGTGTAGGTAATAACGTAGTGATCCAATAAAGCCATTTGGATATGCATTGCTCGTATAAGGGAGAACTAGAATTATCCGGCCAGATTTATCGTCTCATTCTCAACGTTAGCATTACCGAATATATCATGACCCTACCTACACCTACGCCTACGCCTACTGATGAAGTCCCTAGGTAATCCTTAATAGCATGAGGCCTTCGTCAAATGAGACCGAAGGTGCTGCAATACCAAAGATAATCACGTTCGCATTTTCGCACAGGATCGCATAGAATTAATTTATGCTCGAATTCTCGTAGGCATTGTCGTGGTGGTCTAGTTGTCTAGTCGAACTGAAGAGCCGCATTTGCTCATTCCTCCTCCACGCGCAAGACCCGTGCCGATGCCTATGCCTATGCCTCTCAAGGCAAATGCGTAACCATGTTCCTAATGAAAACCCAACAACTCCATTTCCGCAATCGCGTCGACGACGATGCCTGGCGAGATATCGTGGTAGGAAAAAGTGACTATCCGAAAAGGCGTTTATCGGTGCTAGGTGGAATGTTAGCCTCCTTCATTTCTTTCTTTCTTTATGTTCAATATCGTGGCATGTATCCATCGTACCTTGACAAAGCCAATATCGGTAGACTTCTCACGGAAGCATTGACGGCAGATGTTCAGGCCGTACTTGCGGATCAAACCAGCCTTGTGGGTGCAGACTCGGCTATAGAATATAGTTGTTAGCTATGACAATCACGATATCCCTTGTAATCATAGATCTTTCCTCCTTAAATTGAAAATGGAGGCGAGGCGACATACCAAGATCGAGCGCCCTTGCCGTAGCTGCGCGGTCGCGAGTTCCAGACGGATTCGTGAGACATATTGGCGGTTTTTTATGTTGCGATATTTGGTTATCACGAACGTTCGGTCGGATTCGGGTTGGCGGTTGGTGATGCTGGAAAATGGCTTAGATACAATGGGGAAAAAAGTTTGGCGAGAATTTGGAAGTTTTGGGTTTAGGAAGAGTCGAAATTGTTGTGTGGCTCGCGTAAGGGTTGCAGGGGTCAGTACCTAGTACTACATACCAGTAAGGTTAGAGAGGTACATTGCTACTTACTTACCTGCCCCTAGCCCCGAAGAATTAGCGTCAAGTTAGAGTTGTAAGCTTTGACCACATTAAGTTGTAAGTGAGTTCGTTCCGATGTTATCGATAAGCAATTGATTTTATCCAGGCCAAGGTTCCAGGTTTATTAGTAAGTCAGTAAGCTACCTAAGGTTAGGTTAGGGGTATGATGCCACTATCTGCCCGCATCTATCTATCTATCTGCCTATCTATCTACCTACCCTGGGTAGTACCTTGAATGCAAAGTGGCATCTTCTACATAGTGCATACCTCTACACTTTGTATTTCAAAGCATTCATTGATTGCTTGCTTGCTTGTCTACTTTTCAACGCGTTCAAGTTACGGCGAGATAAAACAATTACTTGCGTACCCAATCCTTTTTCTTTTTTTTATATAGATCGATCACATTATTTCTCTACTATCTAATTCCCCTATCGCCCTGCATATCTATTTTTGACCCGTGCGGCGTTATACATTCATAATCCCGAAGGAGAAAAAAAAAAGAAAAGGAACCATGGTTCTTGTCAAGAGCTTCGTGCTCGCCGGCCTTACTGCCGTTGTAGCAGCCAAGTCTGCTGTCCTCGACCTTATTCCCTCCAACTTTGACGATGTCGTCCTTAAATCAGGAAAACCTACTCTTGTCGAATTCTTCGCGCCTTGGTGCGGCCACTGCAAGAACCTCGCCCCCGTCTACGAGGAGCTAGCTCAAGTTTATGCCACATCTAAAGATGTCCAAATCGCTAAGGTAGATGCTGATGCGGAGAGAGACCTGGGAAAGAGATTCGGCGTCCAGGGGTTCCCTACCCTCAAATGGTTCGACGGAAAAAGCGCCAAGCCTGTTGATTATGATGGCGGTCGAGATTTGGAAAGCTTTACCAAGTACATTTCGGAAAAGACTGGCGTCAAGGCTAAGAGAAAGCTGGAGCTGCCTAGCCAGGTGAACATGTTGACCGACACCACCTTCAAGGAAATCATTGGAAGTGACAAGAATGTCCTTGTTGCATTCACCGCTCCTTGGTGTGGCCGTACGTTATCCAGCCTTCTACTATATTAAATCTTAGTTATGCTAACAATGGACATTAGACTGCAAGGCTTTGGCCCCTACCTGGGAGACTCTGGCTGAAGACTTTGTCAACGAGCCCAATGTCGTTGTCGCCAAAGTCGATGCTGAGGCTGACAACAGCAAGAAGACTGCCGGCGAGCAGGGCGTTTCTTCTTATCCGACTATCAAATTCTTCCCCAAGGGCTCGACCGAAGGCGAACTCTACTCCGGTGGCCGAACCGAGAAGGATCTCGTTTCTTTCCTCAATGAAAAGACCGGTACTCACCGTACCCCTGGCGGAGGCCTTGATGCCACCGGTGGCACTATCGATGTCTTGAACCACATCGCTCTGAAATATGCCGCTGGCACTGAGAAGCTGGCCGACCTCATCGCCGAGGCCCAGAAGGCTGCCGCTGATCTAGCCGAGGATGCGCAGTACAAGTACGCGCAATACTACATCAGGGTATTCGACAAGTTGTCGCAGAATGAGGGCTACATTGCGAAGGAGGCAGCTCGTCTTGATAAAATCATTAGGAAGGGTGGCCTAGCTCCCTCCAAGCTGGATGAGCTGCAAGCCAAGAACAACATCCTCAAGCAATTCCTCCAGAATGTTGCAGATGAGGTTACCGGAAAGGACGAACTATAAACTTCTCAGGTAGAAGAAACGTTGATTTGGCATTTCTGTAACGAATAACGAAAGCAGCAGCAGCCTAAATTAAAGAGGCACATCATTGTGTAAAACCACATTGGACTTGTTACTCAGTCCTGGTCATGCATGTTCCATGTGTTACTTCCGAACTCCCCTAAACCTCCGTGACGCCATGCAATGCTCAGAATGATTACCACCGTATTTCCTCCCTTTGTGTACCTAGGTAGTATGCATTATGCATTCACTAGGATTTCGATGGAGAGCTGTTAGAGGGGTCGTCGCCGGCTCGAAGGGAGGACTCGAGGTTGTCGATGCGCTTAGCCATCTCATCCACTGTAACCCAATTAGTACCTATCCAATATATTACGTAGTACCCTGAGGGTGGCTGGGCAGCCCAGTGTAAGTGTTACGCGCAGATATATGTAGGCAGTACTTACTCTTAGAGAATATCTCGTTAGAGACTCCATCGAACTTGGTGGACAACGTGTTCAGGAGGTCCTCGATCAAGTTGGACAACTCATCGGCGCCCTAGATAGCGTTAGCCTTAAGCCTCCAGGGGTGTCGCAAAGTAGGTGGGTAGGTAGACTTACGTTGTTGCCCGGCTCCTTCTTCTCGTCAGCCTTCTTGGAAGACATATTGTCGGAATACCAATGTGATGATAAGTGAAGTTGGGATTGGGTTTTGTGTTGCCGGGAATTGATTTAATAGTTTGCGTTTGCGTTTGGAGGTTGGAAGGTTAGTGGATGAAAGAGACCAGTTGCATGCGCAATGCACATGTGTGTAGACAAGTGCTTTGTACCTAGGGTAGATTGAAGGTTTGCGAAAGTAAATAAAAAGTTAAGTTCTGGTAACTAAATGGATTTATCAGTCGCGGCGCGTGAAGGAGCAATGGAGGGCAGCTAATTGCTGGAGTGCAGCTGATCCATACAGTTACGGTATATGCATTAACCCGGTAAATAAATAAGGTCAACTGATTAGTCAGGCGATAAATTCCGAGGTCTCACTTGGCAGTGACACTTTTATTTTAGCGGCGACAAGAGCTTTGAGCCTCGAATATGTTCCTGGCACCTACGACTATACCCGACTATACTGTAAATGCATAATTAATTCATCCCAATCACGAAAATCATACCGTAATAGTTGTACAGTACCAAGTACTCGGGACTATTATTTAGAATTAAAACACAATGGAAATAATATAAATACTTTTGCTATGCCTCAGCCGCAAGATAACGCTCGTGTCATATTCCTCATCATCTTAATATTCTGGCTTGCCACCACTCCAGACTCCGGTCCAGGCCTCATAGCTGGTCCATCGCTAATAAAGAGCCGACTCGCCCGCCAACGACATGCACTCGGAATCCTAAATAGCACCCAATGGGGTGACTTCTCGCCACGCCTTACCGACGACCCCCCAGAGACCGAGGCCAAATATTTAAACCTGACGGGTTTCCGAGAAGAAGATGGCTATGCTTGGGATGACCTTCAACGTTTCAAAGACCGATGCGAGGAGTGGAGTGCGAACGCGGTGGGAATTCCGGAAGTCGCCGAACCTGTATGGCAGAATGCGACGGGAGTAGTACGCGGTTGGTGGCAGAGGATAAACGCAACCACGTCGAGAACCCATGAAAGCTATAACTTGACCGAGATTAGCCCAGGCGTTGCATGGACTGGCTCCAGCTCCGACTGGAGGAGGAATGTTACTGGCACGGAAGGGAAGATCATGATGCGCATAGAGGATATCGAAGATGCTGCGACGGAACCCGAGGAAATAGATAGAATGGTGTTGGAGAAGGCTGAGATCAAAGCTCGGGAAGTGTCCGCAACCGTGAGCATCGATGATATAAAAGGGACTGGGAACAGTTGGGAGATGCGAGTCCACGGTGTCCATTGGCCTCACCGGGGGGTCATGCTTCTGACAACTACGAGCGAGAAATACGCCGGCATCTTCGGTCTACCTCACCTTACCACCCAACCGGATTTCTTCCAGTCTACTCAAGCTCTATTGAACAGAACATTAGACAAGGCGCTTGCGAAGAAAGAGCAACACACTTTCACCGACCAGATCGACCCCTGGAGTTCTAATTTAGATGCGCCGGGTGAAGTTTGGAACCCATCTCCACATTGTGAATACCTGCTTTACGTACAAGTCCATCCTTTGGACCAAGACCTACTAGGGGTGCAACCCAGTCTCACAGGACCGGAAAATGTCGCAAAGGCTATCCACGACATTGAAAATGAGCTTCGTTTCCCTCAAGGAACTGGCCACCGACATATACCACGGCTCCAAATGTCCGCTGTGATATATTCACCTGATTGTGCCTTCTTCCTTGAGACAAAAGGGCCTCCAGCATTTGCGCCGGTTGACGGAAAACACATGCTGGGCGTAAAACAAGAGATTTTCCTCTACGGCGTTACTACGTTCCTCTTGGGTCTAGCATTAATCATCTTCGGGCAACTCCAACTACTCAAGATGCAAATGAGAGAAACTTCTACACCGTCAACATTAGGCCGTGTAAGTTTTCACACTGGATGCATGATGTTACTCGCCGACGGCATGCTCTTCACCGGTTCGGCAGCATGGAGCTTCTCGGCTTCAACAACACTACTCCCATCCTTGGCAGTTACATGCGTCTCGTTTTTGTCCATGACTGTCGAAACATTCTTTCTAGCTGAGATCTACAAAGTACAAGAGCCCGAATGGAGGCGTCAGGAGAGGGAGAGGGAGAGGGAACGGGAACGTCAGAGTAGGGCTAGGCTTGCCCATGTGGTTCCGCCTTCATCTGGGGGTACGCCTACGCGTACTCGTACACCTACACCTACCTCGAATCCAGCAATGACTACTACAAATCTTCCTAGTTCCCGCCAGACTCCTGTAAATAACCCACCTCGTCCTCCAAGGTCGCCCCCAATTATTATTCCATCAGATCAAGACATCGATGCTGAAATCGCCGAGGTTACGAACAATAATAACAATGCCACTCTTCCTGCTCCAGCAACAGCAGCAAATGCTACACCCACCTCCCAGAATATTAGAACACAACTAAGCAACATATTTGGTCGTTTGTTACTCATCGGCATGTGTGTCCTCTTCCTCAGTCTTGCCGCAGCCAGCTGGCGACCCAATCTGCGCGCCACGTATTTCAACATTCTCCTCTTCGCTTATCTCTCGTTATGGCTACCCCAGATCTATCGCAATGTCTACCGCAACTGCCGTAGAGCATTATCATGGCATTTTGTCATCGGGCAGTCCGTGCTGCGCCTGATCCCCGTAGCCTACTTTTATATCTTACCGAACAACTTCGCCTTTGCCGAAACCGACTGGACCGCCTTCATCGTGCTTTCCGGCTGGCTCTGGATCCAGATCTGGGTCCTGGTAGCCCAGTCTATCCTCGGCCCTAGGTTCGGCGTGCCCAAAGGCTTGATGCCCGAGGCCTGGGAGTACCACCCTGTGCTTCGCGAGGACAATATCGAGGCGGGTGGGTTGCCAATCGGACTGGTGTCTACGCCGAGTAGCCCGACGTCACCAGAACGAGTCCGGACAGGTGAGGAAGGGAAAGATAGGAAGAGAACGAACATACATGTCATCGACTGCGCTATCTGCAGGGAGGACCTGGAAGTGCCTGTCGTCAAAGCCGGCGACGACGACCCGACGGCTGGGGGCGTCGCAGGCGTGTTCGCCAGACGCATGTACATGGTTACCCCCTGCCGGCATATCTTCCATAGCGCGTGTCTGGAGGGCTGGATGCGGTTTCGACTGCAGTGTCCTATTTGTAGGGAAGAGTTGCCGCCCTTATAGTTAATTGTGTGTATATATACATGTGGGAGTACTATGGAAGTAGGTAGGGATATTCTAATTATTACATTGTTCCAAAGGACTACTTTACATGTGTACTGTACCTCTGTTGCCTCTGCCTTGATATACTTGTAATCGAATAACGTGAAGTAATGGTAAGAAGTGTTACGACATAGATATCATCCAAGTACAAAGCTTCCACCCCAAAACTATACATTCTCAGTGACTCAGATAACACTGCACATTTTAGTTGGAGGTCAATATCGTCTTCCACCCCATCTCTTGCTAGGTATCCAACTCTCCTTCTCGGCGCTCTAGAGCAACCTCTTCCCCAGCTCGGGCATCATTAAACACCATAGACAGTTAATTTCAAATCTACCTCCGTTCTAGGCGCGTGAGCCGCATTTCAAGTACTTGCCTTCTAAGAGGCACGGGGCTTTTTCATAGTATAGTCTTTAGGCACTTATATATATATAGAAGAGGCACCATGAGGCGAGCTTAACAATGAAGGGCATCTAAACTCTATTATTGGGAGATACGGTAGGTACCTCGGAATCGCCGTGCTGGAATACAAACGCCGACGATTCTCACGACCAGAGCAATAATCATCACGCATAGGAACTAAAAATATGAGGACTTTTTTGCCTCTGACATAGGGGAAACCCTAACATTGAATATGACAAATATGTATTGCCTACCTTATTAGAATATTAGTCCTATGTATGCACTTCGACGGTGCAAGCAACGCAGCTACCTATGTTAAGAGCAAACAAAGCATGCATAAGTAGTAGTTGACTCACCATAAATAACAACATTGAATAGTTATGAGGCACTCCAGATGTTTACTCCAGGCATGTTATTGCATCTCATGATCAATTCCCAATTCCCAATTCCCAATTCCCAACACCATCAAAAAAAGTTCAAAATAAAAATAACTCCTCAAAAAGATTATGTCGATGGACGGGCAGGGGATTGAACCCTGGACTTCTCGCATGCAAAGCGAGCACTCTACCACTGAGTTACGCGCCCTTTCCACGTGTTAGGTAGGCACCCAGAATCCAAACTACTACAAATAGGTAGGTAGGAAGTTTGTGGGACTGTCGTCGCCGACCCGGCAGCTACTGTAAGCCGGTGGGGCCTGGTTTGCCTAGGGAGGTAGGAAGGTAAAAAAAATCCGATTGAGATTGATTTCTTTCGCTAGGTACATAGGTGGATTGATGCTTTGGCGGCTTTTATTTTAGTGTATAGTTACGAGTAGTTGCAGTAGTTGTCGTTGTTGCCAAGTCTAGGTAGATAATCGCCTCACGAACAGACAGACAGACACGCCGACATGCTTCAGACACTGGTACCTTTTGCACACAAGTTCTTTCTCCTTACTTTCAATTTCGCCTTACTATTCCTGCTTTAGCTACTATCTAGGGCACTTCCCCCATCTTCCTTCGCGACACTTCATTTCTTCACTTCCTTATTTTTCCTCCTTAAATCCCTATTGGGTAGCCAATCCTCCGGCACCAATCGATCCGATCCAAACTCAACCAACACATCAAACACGCCCACAGATAGCAATTACTGTCTTCTTCTTCTTCTTCTTCATTGATGTCGTCGTGCCTCAAACAAAAAAAAGATTCAAGGGCCCCGAATACTGCGAGGATGGAAATGCCTGCCTGCAGCGAAACCTCTGTAGGATGGGAAATTCAGACGAAACCCAAAAGAAAGCCCCCATAACCTACGGCAAAGCAGCAGCAAGCTCCTCTTCCTACCGAGCCGCACACATGTGTTCGTAAAAAACAAAAAAACGTGGGTAAGTACTGTACCTAGGTGCTATGTATGTAGACAATTGTAGTCCAGCAACCTACCTAACCGGGACGCATGCAAATTTCAGTGTCAAGTGTCAAGACTTCACTCAGCCGCGACAGCAATGCAATGCGTATAAACTCCCAAGGGAGAGTGTCGTTACAAGTCCTGCCATACTACCTAGGTGTCTAGGACCCTAGGTATTTACTTACTGTTTGTTTTAGCCCTTTAATGAGGAACAGGGAGGTTGCGCTTTCTCCCCCTTTGCCCCCTTTCCCCCAAAGCGCACCTACCTATCCAAAGGATCCGTTCGAGAACGTTACTTCTTTCTACTGCCGGGTTTTGCGGGGGTTTCTTTTTTCTTTTTTGATGCAGAGTAGGTAGGTAGGTAGGTAGGTAGACGGGCCGGCAATGTTTCAATGCCGAAAGAAGGGGACATGCAGCAGACAGAGCGGACAGGCTTAGTCGAAAGGAATGAGGCGCAGCTATTCCCAAGCATAGCATGGCAGCACACGTTGCGGCATGCTGCATGCTGTATGCTGCGACTCAAAGATAGATCTGGATAGATAGGATCCGAGTTCGATGCTTCCAATTTTCCATAGCACGTGGATAATTTTGTTTGTTCGGATCGGATACGATGTATGTTTAGATGCTGGCTGGCAAATCGGCTCACGGCTCCGTCCCTTCTGATGGGATCACATTGCCAGAAGCACACAATGAAGAGGCTCAGCTAACAAACAAGCACAGCACATCACTGCCAATTGTCGCCCTTGATTCTTTAAATCTTGCCTAAAAGGAGAGGTATCTTGTAATAGAATATGTAGTGATCCGGAGCTGCACCTAAAGGTACTACTGCCTACCTAGGTAGTTGCCCAGCTAGATCCATAGGGATACCAGGTAGGCGCAAACAACAATATCTAGATCCCGCTGTCGTCACGGAATCTTCTTGTCCCGTTCTTAATCTGCACGCAACTGTCCCTGGCTTGTCTATTATTAGAACGAAGGTTCTTTCTCCAGCCGGCTAGCCGACTTATCGCCGACCCCACGAAGGAGCCCCCTTACGTTGAACTGAGCAAGTGCATATCTCCGACAAACTTCATATTTGCCTACGTACCTTAATGTGAAAACACGAAGCCATCTTCTATCCTACCTTGGTAGGCGATTCGGTTTGGTGGTATTGTGGTATGGTAGTAGTAGGTAGCCAGGTTACGGACCCCAGCCTGACCTAAAGCTCGGTACCTAGGTAGAGCTTACGCACCCAATCGGCTTCAGGTGTCTGTTTCAAACCTGGGGTCTATCTGCGGCTGAGGGCTAGTAATACCATCGCCTTCCTCTTGGCTTATTATTTGCGTATCTAGATTTGAATCTAAGATATTTGCCTTTTGAGATGAGATGTGCGCGGCTAATCACGGCGGCGGCGATGTGAACACCTTTTATAGTAAGCAGGAGCTTCATGGACGGCGACTCAAAGCTCCTGACACTCAAAACTCCGTAAACCAATTTGCCATTGAGGGGGCTACGACTGTGCCTCGAAATAAACACGATAGACACATGTGTGCCAAGATGGGTAGTGTAAGTGCCCACGCGAAGGAAGCTGAGTGAGCTATGTAAGCTGAATGACTTGACTGACCTCGGACTTTATCTACCAAAGAGATTAGTGAGCAAGCCGAGTTCTTACTTCAACGTGTTACCAAGAAAAGACGATCAATGACTCCTCGCACCTGAGTAGGTAGGTACTAGGTAGACACTGCTTGAATCATGGGGATGCTAGATTAGGTGTCTGTAGTTCCGTACGTACGGCGGGATACTTCAAAGCTCGGTGAGTAAGTAGAGTCTAGCGGACTAGGAATGGGGATCAAGAATCCTTAATGCGAGTCTTGGGCGCAGGAACAAACAATACAAACCCATCGAAGGAACGTTTGAATCCGGAGCGTTGAACGCCTATGGTGGATTGTTATTGTGATATGTATCGAGTCTCTTCCTAGTTTCGCTTGAATCAAGTAGCTAGAACCTACCTAGGATTAGTGACTGTTTGTCTTAGACGTCCATGGGTTCATGAGCTTAATTCCCGATAACCGGAAGATCTACGCTATTAGACTCGGACAGTCATAGTCGAGCATCGATTTGCTTCCTTTTGTTGGTTGATCAATTTAAGGCAACGATTTCGTGATTGTCATGAAGAAGTTGCTGATCTCATAGTTTAAGTGAATTGTTACTACTAGTAGTATGTAGTTAGGTGCTAACTGGCTTACAGGTAAGGTTTTCTCTTACTATGTATGCTAGGGTTACCTAGTAGCCCTAATGGACAAGGTTGAGGTAACGTCAATTAGCTCGTGGGATGCATTTTTAGAAATACGATTAGGATTAAGGTTGTGGATCCTAGTACTGGGCTAAAGTTAGCTTGGCCAGATTCGGGAGGAGAACGGCAGTATCTCTCAAAATTATTGGCTGTCTTGGATGGCGGACACCTAAGTGGATCTACTTAGTGACGCCATAACTGTCAAAAGAGAAGGTTGGATCACGCCGTTTCCAAGTATGTATCTAGGTACTAGGTACTAACCTACAATGTACCTAGAAACTTGAACTCTTCCAATCTTGAATCTTGAATCTCGAAGTTTATCATATGTAGGCGAGTATTCTTAGAAACAAGAAATCAAATACCAACCTCGTTGCTACGTACTTAGGTACCTGTTAGTTAAGAATGATAATAAATCTCCTATAATGGAACCTTGTGGCGACCTCATCGGAAGCAGGTTTCGCTTAATTTTGTACTCGCTCAGACGGAAGATTATTCGCGGGTAACTAAGGCAGGTACTTGGATAGATTCAGGCTATTTAGTGGTATACACTTACCTACATGTAGTACTATCATTTCCTTGGCAGAGGTGAAGTTGAGAAACTTCCATTATCGAAGCATACCTACCTATAACAGAATGAGATATAAACATTGATATGCTATGCACGAGCAAATCTGAAGCGCACAAGATCTCAAACGGGTGTTTCGACACGATCGGAAACAATTTGAGGTTAGATCAGACGAAAAACTTAAACAGAGGCGCTGACACTAACGGAATTGCGATAGATATCGTTTCATGGCTGCATGCTATTTGTCTTGATTTGGTGTAGCGAACCAACCTTTTTTTCTGGCAGGGGTGGGATATTCCAAAGATTCAGATCGATGTTTGCCAACCGAATCAAGCAGGCAGAGGAGCAAAAAACCCGGGGGGAAGGATTCGAACGCATTAAACACATTAGTAAGAGGATGCGTACTGTGGATGTAGTTTAGGATGTGAGTACGTAACTCTCCGTGAGGGGAGGGCTATATCATCTTTTGGTAGGGTTAGATATACACAAACGATATAGGTAGGCACCTGAAGTATGTAACCTAGGTTTATTGCCCTCCTGATTTGCGGAAGATTCTCAACACTAATAAGGTAGCGAAGCCGGGAGGGATGGATAGACTCTGAAAGCCGTGATGGCTGCCAAGAAGACCAAAGTCTACGAATGGTCAATCGCCCGGCAACTACGGTTAACAGTGTTGCAATGTCTGATGTGGGTTGTGGCTTTAGGATCTGGTTGGCGGTTTCGCATTTTCGCTTCTTCATATTCTGTTTTCCATCTGATTGCCTTGATATTTCGATCACCCTTCGCCTATAAGGTTCTCGATAGTACTGATCAAATCAGCCTATGTATCAGCCAGACAAAATTATGTGTGTGTGAAAAGCGCCGAATTAGATAGCGCAGAGAATACCAGTATTACCTGTCTTAGTATCTCATTGGATGGCCCATCACGGTGTCGCTCCGGTGGCATGTAGACGGCGGCAACGCAGATCAGTAACAAGCTTGTACCTAGTGAAAACTAGTAGTAATGGATGCAGAGAGGCCAGCTCTTCCCGATGGGGTGTGAAAACAGTTGGCCATATGCAGCTCATGATGTCGTACATGAATAGCCACTATTTTGTCGCTATTAGAAATAAGGCTTTCTGGATACCTACTGACCTACCCATCTCGGCGAATAGCCAGATCTTAAAGGCACGGAGACGTCCTACCTACCTACCTAACTACCTACCTGCCTAGGTAGATATATAATTAAAGAACGGGTTGTGAGACCCGACACAATGTGACAAGGCGGCTTACACGTTTCCGAGTCGTCAACATACATGGACACAGCAGTATAACGAGCGACAGCAGTGGCTGACGTTAGTGGGGTCCGGGGGGTTTCTAGACATTGCAGAAAGCTGACGTTACCAACCTTGGAACGTGTTACTCACGCGGGCAAGCCGCTGTAAAAAAGATGATTTGACTGGACCGCATCGTACGGATTAGGATTCATTGCAGATACTTTAGCCCAGACTGCCTACTCATACAGATGTCATACGTTGAACGACTTTCATTTAAAGGTCCCCATTCATAAACAAAGTGCGAATTGTAAAAAAATACTCTATCCGATTCATCTGTACACATCAACCTACATACATAGTAGCAGGCACAAGTTAGCCTACTATGTAGTCGCCTAGAAAGGGAAGTACAAATCCTTATACATTCATCGCTGGGATTACACTGTGCTAGGTTAGCTTATACGAACTTTTGGCTTGCTAGTTATCCGGTAAATCATCGCCGTAGAGGATTCCCCCGACGGATGGATCTGCTTAACCACCGTAAACCCTAATCCTTCCTACTGCTTGTCGTCTCCCGTGTGTAAGATTTAACCTACCTAGTTAGTGGGCTTTTGGACCCTTAGACGATCGTGACCGGAAATAGAATCGTGTAGAGATCCATTGTTAGGCTCCACTTCACTTTGTTCTGTCTCTCTGTTTCTCTGAGACTCTGCCTCTCTGCCATGTATTGTGCATACATATGTATGCAGGTTAGTTAAGCCCTTTCGACGAATGCTGCCACAGTCGTGAGATAAATATGTGTGTAGGTACATACCAAATGAAGGGGGTGTAAGTTCCAAGTCTCCGGGGATATGATGGCATCATGGCTTTAAAAAAGGCGGCGAAGCTATTTATTTATTTGGCACACCGTTGGCTGAAGACGAACATTAAAGGGAAAAAATAGATTTGCTAAGAATTACATGTGTACGTGCTTAAGGTATGGAGGTCAAGTACCTAGATAGTAGGCATTTAGGTACATATAATAGGTATGATGTAGTCTACTGTCTGTATAATTGGTGGCTATGCTACCGGTTGTCCGGTTTCCACGCCCAACCGCCTGATTATTTCATAGTCAGCCTCCCTGAAGTTTGCTACTCGCAATATGATATCTTTACATAGTACTACTAGTAGTATGATATCTTTTATTAGTATTCATCTTCCTCATACACACAAGTCAAATAAAATATAATAAAAAATATCCTGCTGTACTACTCTACAACTTACACTTACTTACACTTACTTGGAGACTAGTCCTACTTGAGTTATTGTTATTGCCTATCTGCGTGACCTGAGGTCCTGAGGTACCTTAGGTAGGTTGTAACTAAATTCCCATACTCACCTTGAAACATCACATATTAAGCCAATGAAGCCAACGCCGACTAAAACGAATATTCGTCGATCCTACTTACATTGATAGCTGGGCTGGCTTGGGTAGTAAGTAGGTGAACACTTGTCTCGTGCTTTCTTGCTCCATTGCTCCAGATTTCATACAGACACACGGACACAGTATGTGACTAACCTATAATACTCTACCAACAGGTTATTTCATTACTGTATCAATATATGAATGTTTCCATTAAATAACAACCTGGAGGTGTACTATGTAGGTGTGTTATGTAGGTGTATTATGTAGGTGTACTATGTAGTATGTACTATGTAGGTAAGTTTGGGGGGGGCTGTGTGCACCTACCTGTCTACCAAGAAACCCCTCCTAGCTTTTTATTCCAGGGTCTGAAGGCCTGAGAGTTACAACCTTCGCTAAGAGTTCGGTTCCAGTGTTCCAGATTTCCAGGTTCAGGGGAACTCCTAGCCCCTGTCCAAACGATGCTAGGTACTAGGTACTGTACGTAACTACGGTACTACGTAGTAGGTACTAGGTACTCTCAATCCCCCTAGGTTAACTAGTATAGTCCACCCCACCCACACTACCACTAGCTAGTAAGTACCTACCTAGTACTTACCGTACCTTCTCACCACTTATAACACTTCGAACCCACACGGATTCCGAGGAGACATACCATACATACATATGTATGCCACCCACTACCCAACTTCTCTTTATGAGAAAAAAAACAAATACCCTTAACTTTACAACTCCAACTCATTCGACTTTGAATTATATTTCCCCTTAAAGTTCTATCAATTTCTTCTAAAAAGGGCTGGTCTCAAGAATACACATTAGTCGAATCCAACTGATTCAGTTTATACCTCCACTCGTCAACTTACATACTATACTACCGCTACTAAACTTATAAGATATTCCAACCGGCCCACACATAGCGGGTCTTCTACGAAGTATTACACCTTCGATACGAAAGCCGTGATGTCTTTAGAACAGTCACGCCTCTCAACTGGATTAGGTGATACTCGGAGGAAGCCTGCAACTTCTAGAATTAACAAGGATTCCAACGAAACCTCGAGGCATAGCTTTGCATCATTCTCAACTTGTGAAGAAGATTTATCAGACGTGCTCACCGATATGGAGGATCCGTGCTTGGTAGAAGAGGCCACGGTTATGGACGCCCGGGAGGTGACTATCGAGACACCGAAGATACCGGAGAGGAGTGCCCTCAGGACATCAAGGTTCCTCGACGATCTCAAGCTCAACTCGGCCGAGTCGACCGTTGACCCTCACGACATATATCTCTCCTCAGAGGAGGACGCCTCGTCTTCGGCAGATGACTTCTCCGACTACGACTACGACTCGGACACCGATGAGCCTCAGAAATCACCAATTCGACGCAAGAGCCAAGAGGACACTGCGAGAGCTGTCTCCGTGATATTCATTGGAAAACCTTGTGTAGTGGACTTGACGAGTGGCAGAAGATCGGCATCACCTATCAGGAGGCCACGAACTAGGTCTTCTTCCCCCTCTGTCCGCGCAGATTCATTCGAAGGCCGACCTAGCCACCCACCTCGAAAGAGTAGTCTGGCATCCACCATAGACATGCCTAACCGGGACAGCTTATCGTTCCTCAGCCAAGATCCCTTCGCTGCTAGCAACTACAAGTTAGAGGGCAATTCGAAAGAAGCAGCACCGGCCTGCTCTAGCCCCCGAGTCCCCAAAGCCCCGACGGCAGCATTCCACCGGCTCCAGAAGTCCCTTAGTCTAGTTCGGAGACGAAGCCGCCCGAATCTGAAGGACCTCAAGGGTACTTGGGCAGCAGGATCCGCCTCCACTACCAACCTGTCACTCGATTTAGATTTGTCACGCACATCTAGGGAAGAGCCATTATCAGCTTCTACTTCGCCACCGCCGACACCAGCAATCTATCACACCTTGACCACATTAAGTCGCAGGAGTTCGACCCCACGAGTACTTACCAAGCAACCTCCATCGATACAACCCATGTCGCCAGGTCCGATAGGAGCAAAAAGGGGCTTATTGAGCGGCCTCAACATAAATCGACGGCGAAGCTTGCAAATCAAGTCATGAACATTTACACTATTTACAGCCATGACTTCATATTTTCCATTTTCCACTCTGTTAAGAAAAGAAAAGTTGGCGTTGATGAAGCTATGGGTGGCATGAAAGGAGTTACAACACATGGAGTTATGGTTTGAGGATGCATAGTCACTACTGCAAAGGTTGGCGCATGGGTTAGGAGGTTGATTTTTTTGTCTTTTTTTTTTTTTTTTTTTTTTTAATTTATTTCTTTTTCATTTTTTATGGGAATGTAATGATACCCGGGGGTAATGCCTGCTAATGAGCTACGGCCACACGGGTATTGAAAGTTGGAAGCAAGCAATTACAGTATGAAGACTACCGACGCTGATGGGGAAGCTTATGCACCTGGCAGTTCAATTAACGCTGCTAGTATAACTACCTACCTCCTTAGGTACCTGCCTAGTTTAGCAAAAGACGATAGCCTGAGATGAATGATACCACGCTACTATTTTTTTTACTTTTTTTTTTACTTTTATGCACTTTGATCTGACGATGGCTTCCTATGTTGAAGTTTCTATAACATAACTTACTCCTTTTTATGGATGGGAGTGATAAGTAATAAGGTAACATGGTAACTATATCCTAGTTGCTAGTCAGCCTAGTCTAAGTACTTCAATCATCATGTACTAGTACAGACTGTACAGTAGCACGGTAAGATGCTCGTTTCGTCTGAAGTTAGTTGACTTGAGCTTGATCACTGTTTCACTATAACATGCTTCCCCTGTTGGTGATTGGTGAAAATGTGATTTGGAAGATGCTGCCGAGCCTATAATGCGGTGTCTCGATGTCTCGACACAAAAAGTTTCAAAGCTTCCTTCTAGTTTTCTACGGCGCTTCGGCTCCCAGTACAATTTTGGCCTCTTCACGCAACAATTATCTTTTCCTCCTCCCAAATCCCGATAGCGGTACGTTCTATACCCCCGAGTTGAATAGTCCGCTATGCCATTGTCGTCAAAAGATTTTCATAGTACACGTATCGCCACATGCAAGGAACAGGACTAAGGACGCAGAGTGGCCTATCACGACTTTCCATCGCCACATCCCCAGCCAACTCAGAACTTGGCACAACGCACTGCCCATGTTCGTCGTATCTAGAAGCCAAACCTGTGAGTGCCAGCTTCTTGTTTGTTCCTAGCAGAACTAATAAAGTCTACTATGAGATATATACTATGTCGTAGTAACAGTCGTAGTAGAAGGAATCATAGATGCATCAGTGCACATATGTGTCTTTTACCTGCAATGTAAGACCTAACTCTCGTCGCCAACCCTCGTCGTCCAAGTGATGCAAGCGGTGCAGGTAATGACATACCGACCATGCCAACTACCTACCATGATGAACAAACAACAAATACTCACTCACCTACACTACACTACACTACACTACACTACTTTACTTACACCACCCTCGGAATATAGTCACCGAACAATTTTGAGGAAAGTCTCATTCAAGCGTCGGTCTATATTAATGCGCATAGTCCATCTAACCAATCCGTGATGGCGAGTGCCCTACCACATTACCACCTTACCACCACTAATTATCACTAATACCTATGTGGCCTATGTGGTGGGGGGTTCGCGCAATTGCCTACACACATATCTACCTAGTAGGTTAGGCAGTTGGAAATCCTTCGCTGATTCGACGGTCATGCGCATCACGATTCTCATTGGGGGGTTATCTTCACTCCTTCCTCGGAGACCGATGTGTGTCTTATGAGCATGCATCGTTCGCGAAAGATGTACAAAGATGGAAGAAGATGTGCCCATCCACAAACATAGTCGGGCACTAAGATGGATGAACTGACTGACTGACTGACTGACTGACCTTGACCGCCACGCCCGCATCGTCGGAGGCATACATACATACATGTATGTACGACAACTCTATCTAGTCTCTATCTACAAACTAAGTATGTACATGCCTTGGTAGATATTACGCACATCTGTCCCCGGGTTGCTCGAACAGGCTGCGCGACGCGCTAAAGCGACTTTTTTTTAAACAGGAAACTTCCAAGTTGCTGTATCTCGTACTTACCGATTCGATGGTATGCATATGTGCTACATGTACAGTATGTAGGTAGAGGTAATGCATGAACCTAACACGACAGCTCGATAAAGCAAGGGGCAGGGCAGAATTCTCCTAAGTTAAACTAAACCTCCTAAACCCCTAAACGGGACATCAGGTTTAGTGGTCGTGTTAGTTGGCCCCTCCCTCCCTCTCTCCCTCCCGTCGGACGAATCATCTATCTGGAGAGCCCTCTAGGCCTTACACTACGTAGACGCTGAACGGCACATGCATGAAGATTTGGGGGTTTAGATTCCTAGACCCCAAAATCTAACGCGATGAATATTGTCCTATCCATTAACAGACAGGCCTCCCTGCTTACCTAGTAACCAGATCTTAACAGCCGGCTTAATTATTCATCAGATCATATACCACTCAACCAACAGTTTGCGTTGAGTTGAGTAGATGGCGTACTCGTCACTCGGCTTCGTCATATAGACTAGCCATTGATTGATTGACTAATTAATTAATCAATCAAATAAGCTTTCTATCACATCCAAGCTGTTGGATGAACGCGGGCCCGGAAGATGCCAGTCAAATGTCCCCTGATTTCCCCCCCTGATCCCCCCTAAATGAAACAGAGCACGGAGGTGAGATCAAACAGCAGCGTTGAGCTTATCTCGTCGCAATGGACGGCGAGTTTTAGCTGCCTTGCCCCTCCAAATCACTTTTCGCGTCCCCCGCCGCCCGGGTTTCGTGTGAGCTGAAAAAAGTTGCGAAATCGCAAGTCGCAAAGTCGCAAATCATAGGTCAGGTCAGCTGTGGCCTCGCGCATTGAAACGAACAAAAAGTCTTTGCTCCAACTTCGCGCTTCTTAATTCGAGACCGTTTATTCGTCAGCGCTTCTTAGATGTCTCTCAAATGCAGTAGCAGGGAGGAGGGGGGATGACGAAGAAAAGAACCTGGGAGGAAGTCGAAATGGAAGCCAAGCATAATCGATACAACCGCATAGACCATGATCTACGTGCTGCGTGCTGCGTGCTGCGTCCAACGATGATCCCGGTGTCACTAGGCAGCTAAGTACCCTAGAGGTAGAGCCTGTTTACGATACTTTCTTTACTTACTCTACCTACACATTGACTTTACAATCTGTATGTCTTACTTCCATAGCTCTTACATACAAGCATTGAATGTCATGCAAATGTACCTACGCCGCTACGCTCCATTGAAGCCCCCACCGTTTCCTTCCCGTCCCGCCGGAGCGGACTGGCCTGGGGCGGATAACGTTATATGAAACGCATCGCGAACAGACAAAGCTGCACGTAACTATCTGCATACAACGTGCTCTTTCACACGCACGAAGTGTATGATGACATTTGGGATAGAATAGATTCCGTCCTCGCACAGACGATGAGCTAACCTAATCTTGCTCCTCCTCCCTTGCAACCCTACTTTTCTTCAGAGAAAGAGAGAGAGAGACAGAGCATCCCCTGCATGTTTCACCAGATTTCATCTGGGGCGGGAACGTCTAACATAGGTTAGGTGCCTATATATGCGGCCTGCTCTCATGAAGATGGTCCGGCCGGCACGGTCGTCCAGCACGTGGATATGGAGACTGAGATTACCAAAGTCGATCTGAATACATGCCTGGTAGAGATTCTACAGGGCCCTGCCCTCGTGGAAGTACATATGTATGCAATTAGTTAATGTATGTCTACTATGTAGTAGGTACACTATGTAAGGCCCCCCGTCCGGCGTCGCCGCAGCAAGAGGGCTCGTGGGTCTGGACCTCAAAAAGGTTCGAGGTCCGGATCTTTCCCTTGTCAACTGTTGTCGTTCCGCTGCCCTGCCCGGTAGGCTACCTACCTGGGTATACCCTCGCCAGAATGGCACCTTGAGGGTTGATAGTGTGTCTCTCAACATATCTCGAGTCCAGAATACCCTGTTTCTGCACAAGCTTCTTTTGCTTACGTATGGTACAGCTAAGCTGGCCTGGGTTAGTGTACGTGGACGGAATATGCCATATTTCGTATTATTCCATTGATGGGTAACTATACTATATATAATTATATACTGCTAACTTCTAAGTAGGTAGTTGACTAGGTACTATCTCAACTTTGCTGCTATTTTTGTTAGCGGAGGTTTGCAGATTCTGGGTTTTACCTCCGGGCTCGAACGCTATCGAACACGTAATTGTCGACCTATGTTTCAATGCAGAGAGGGGATTTGTTTGTCATGGTTGAACGTTACTTTCGAGGTTTAGTTAGCATCGTGGATCGAGAATCGAGAAGTCAACTCTCTAGGTTACGTTTTGTGTTATGTATGTACTACTAGTAGTAGGTAGGGTAAGAGAACTCACTTCGGCATGATTAAGATTAACGTTAGTACTATTATCTATTACGTCTCGGCAAGACTGGCAATTGCCTACTTGCTTTCCTGTTGGTGCCTGTGCTCAACTCAGTTCATTAACATCGCCGTCGGAGTACATGCCAGAGTTCGGTTTGATCTTCGTCCAGTCCGTGCGAAACCTGGGTCAATCAATTAAATACCCTACATACACATGTTGGTACCTAGTTAGTAGGTACTACTTACATAACTAACTAACTACCTGGAAAGGAAACTTTCTGGGGGTGAAACTTTTGCGGAAACACTCTTTGACCCTTTTTTTTCTTTCTTTCTTTCCCCAGAGTTAACTAACGTGCTCAAGCCCTCGAAACGTTGAAACTTTGGCCAGCATTTGGTTTGGGAACTTTGGTTTAGTTATCTAATCTTGAGAAAATGAGATCGTGGAGATGGGATGTATATCTTGGTATGTATGTAACGTAGGTCATAAATAATATGGACCCCTTGAGCTTTGTTAGATTGGTGATGCTCTCGCGATGTAACTAGCTTTGAGGTGGAAAGTCTCGGGTAAGGTGGGTTTGGTCATTTATGTTAGATTACCCACCTGGTAACTAGATAGGTACGCTACATACCCATCTTATCCTGATCTTGATGGCGGTCTGGGGGTGGTTATCTAACTTGCGGCGCAACTAAGATTACCCAAGTACCGAAGCTTGAGGCTGAAAGAACGGGATAGTTAGGTAATTAACCTCCAACGTCATCTCTAACTACCTAGATATTATAGTTATGTCTGTCTGGCGTTTAACATCGCTTGAGGTTGTTGACTGTTGACTCTCGCTAAGTAAGAAGTATAACGTTAAGTCGTTAACTCCTAGAACTAAGTTAATAACTATGACTACCTATACAAGATTATAATGGTAGAAAGAGGTTACATCTCTCTTGTGTTTGACATAACTTTAACTTAAGTATTTACTGTTACTGTAACTCTCGCTGGGTAAGAAGTATAACGTTGAGTCGTTAACTCCTAGAGCTAAGTTAACATCTCAAATATTATACTATTAGAAAGAGGGTTAACTACATCTCTCTTGTGTTTGACATAACTTTAGCTTATCCACTGTTGACTTTTGCCGAGAAAGAAGTTTAACGTTGAGCCGTTAACTCACAGAACTAAGCTAAGATCTCAAAGATTATAATGACAAGAAGGGCACAGGAAGGGCATCCTAACGATCTGTTCTTTATGGTTTATCGAAGTATATCTATCTCATACTTCGCTCCTTATGAGTCGTCTCACGTTGTTGTCGAACATCTGAACTTACCTAACTATTTCTAGAAACTATACTATAGAGTTGTGTCACTACCTCACCATCTGCCACGAGAGTTGAACGTTAAGTAGAGTTTATCAACTTGAACCATCTACTCGCTCATGTTATGTGTCCTCTACACTCGCTCAGGCTATGTGTCCTCTACGCTCGCTGAGGATACGTGTCCTCACGGGACGACTATAAATAACGCGGCTCCCTCCTTTCTCTCGGACTTCATCTTCACACATCCACACACACAACTCCACACACACAACTCCATACACACATCTCCATACACACATCTTCACACACACATCTTCACACATTCCTCCTACCTCTCTCCTACCTCTTTCCTACCCCTTTCTTCCTACCTCTTTCTTCCTACCTCTTTCTTCCTACCTCTTTCTTCCTACTCTTCCTACCACTCTCTTCCTACCTCTTTCTTCCTACCACTCTCTTCCTACCTCTTTCTTCCTACCACTCTCTTCCTACCACTCTCTTCCTACCTCTTTCTTCCTACCACTCTCCTCCTCTACACTCCGCCCTTCACCCTCTCACGATCTCACAACTCCTAACACCTGCGAAAGGCCGTATGGGTATGGCCTAGCGAGGTATTCTTATAAGTATTCTTATACAGTATTCTTATGATAGTATCTTTAGGCCCTAGGGTTCGAATCCCTAGATGGTCAATCCCCCCTCCCTCCCGTCTCTCTCTACCTCCTGTGTGGCTCGTCTACACAGGTGTTAAAGAAAGGCCGTACTGGTGTGGCCTAGCGAGGTATTCTTATAAGTATTCTTATACAGCATTCTTATGATAGTATCTTTAGGCCCTAGGGTTCGATTCCCTAGATGGTCATCCCCCTCGCTTCTCTTTCTCTCTCTCGTCCACACGGGAATAGCAAGGCCGTATTGGTGTGGCCTAGCGAGGTATTTTTACAAGTATTCTTTTACAGTATTCTTATGAAGGTATCTTTAGGCCCTGGGGTTCGATTCCTCAGATGGCTACTCACCCCCCGTCTCTCTTTCTCTCTCTCTCTTTCTACCACCTGTGTGGCTCGTCCATACAGGAATAGTCAGGCCGTACTGGTGTGGCCTAGCGAGGTATTTTTACAAGTATTCTTTTACAGTATCCTTATAAATGTATCTTTAGGCCCTGGGGTTCGATTCCCCAGATGGTCATCCCCCCGCCTCTCTCTCTCTGCCACCTGTGTGGCTCGTCCACACAGGAATAGCAAGGCCGTACTGGTGTGGCCTAGCGTGGTATCTTTATAATTATTCTTATACAGTATTCTTATAGATATATCTTTAGGCCCTAGGGTTCGATTCCCTAGATGGTCAATCCTCCCTCCCTCTTTTTCTCTCTACCTGTGTGGCTCGTCCACGCAGGAATAGAAAGGCCGTACTGGTGTGGCCTAGCGGGGTATTTTTTACAAGTATTCTTTTACAGTATTCTTATAAATGTATCTTTAGGCCCTGGGGTTCGATTCCTCAGATGGTCAGCCACCCCCCCGTCTCTCTCTCTCTCTCTCTCTCTCTCTTGCTCTCTCTCTACTACTCTCCTCCGGCCGCCTTTCACCCTTTCACGATCTCACAACTACTACCACCTGTGTGGTTCGTCCACACAGGAATATAAAGGCCGTATTGGTATGGCCTAGCGAGGTATCTTTATAAGTATTCTTTATGCAGTATCTTTATACAGTATTCTTATGAATGTATCTCTAGGCCCTGGGGTTCGATTCCTCAGACGGCTAATCACCCTCCGTCTCTCTCTCTCATTCTACCATTCTCCTCCTACCGCCTCTCACCCTCTCACGATGTCACAACTCCTAGCACCTGTGTGGCTCGCCCGCATAAGTGCCCAAATAAAGGCCGTACTGGTGTGGCCTAGCGAGGTATCTTTATAAGTATTCTTTATACAGTATCTTTATACAGTATTCTTATGAATATCTCTAGGCCCTGGGGTTCGATTCCTCAGATGGCTAATCACCCTCCGTTTCTCTCTCTTTCTCTCTTTCTCTCTTTCTCTCTTTCTCTCTTTCTCTCTTTCTCTCTTTCTCTCTCTATATCACTCTCCTCCTACTGCCTCTCCGTGTGGCTCATCCACACAGATGGTAAAGAAAGGCCGTATGGGTATGGCCTAGCGAGGTATCTTTATATAAGTATTCTTTATACAGTATCTTTATACAGTATTCTTATGGATGCATCTCTAGGTCCTGGGGTTCGAGTCCTCAGATGGCCAATCAACTCCTCATCCCTCCTTCTCTTCCTCTCTCTCTTTCCTTCACTCCTACCCGCTCACTTTCTCTCTCTTTGATCATCTTACCTTTTTTTCGCTTCAACTCATCCTACTCCAATCAACCTCTTGGAGTCCACTGGGCGATAATGAGGCTCGGAGCCGAATCGCTAATAGATGTGCTGGGTGGTTTTCTGCTGGCGTAGAAGTCGGCTGGGGTGATAATGCAAAGGCAGGATGAGGAGGGAAATATGGGAAGCAGGGGTGGAGGATATATTACGCATGGTAGGCGATATTCTGGCGTTGTCTCCTCGGAGAGGTACTCTGGTCGTGCCATACGCTAGGGAGTGCAGGCTTGGGCAGATAATATCAAGATAGGATAATGGATAATGGACTGCTACTACCCAAATTAGTGCCCATGATCTAGTGATTCGTATGTATAGGGGTATGCTCACTTCCCTCTAGCCCCCCTCTCCTTATGCACCTGGGTGAATCGTAAATGTGTTACTAAGTGCCTTTCTCGTGTTATCGTCTTTCGTGACCAAATTCAGATCCAGTATATTTGGTCAGTGATCCCGCGAACAGCCCTTTACTGATTATAGGCTTCGAGGCAATCCCTTATTGTAACAGGAAGTTCATCAAGTGAGCCCATAACTACTTACCTAGATAGGTTGGTGTATGGACAGCGGAGCTCCCGAGGTAAGATCTACTAGGCATGTGTGTGTATGAACACTTGGTAGATAAAGTGCGTGACCGTGCAAGTGATCCCTTGTTATTTCCGAATAAAGGAAGATGCGCAATTACGGTGTTAAAGAGTCTTGATACTATGGAGATGGGAGGCAGGAGGTATTGGCCTATATAAAAAGTTGCTTGTCTATAGGCTGGCCCCTTACAATGGTAGAGATAACGACGAGGGATCTAGCAAGAAGATTTATAGGCACTGATGCAAAAGGCGCCAGGCTGCTACAATACGAAATCGTTCATGACTTTTAAGATTTCCTCTGTAAGGTCGGGAAGAACACACCCCTATATAATACCTAGGTACTTAACCTACCTACCTAGGTATGCTGTTAAGTGTTCTTAGAATCACCTGCAGTCACAACAAAGCATTCAATATTAAGATAGAAATGAATAGTAGCACAGTTCTCATGAATGAAGTGGAACGTAATTAGACATTGACATTAACAAAAGTTATAGCAGTGTAAGGCCAGGAGGTATCTAAGCGATGCCCGCCTGTAAGTATAGTCACGAACTGTATCCAAACCTCCATCTATATATTCCATTTTTTCTGCACCATATCCACGTAGCTCCCAACATCAGACTAAACCCCTTCAGATAAGCTGCGTAGCAAGCTCCGCCGGCTGCTCCAGGATGATGCCCGGTCCCGCAACAACGGTCTCCTTCGTCGGCGCGCCCGGCGTATCCGCGATGACCGCCGCAATGACTCCCTTCGTCTCGAACTCCTTCGGGATCGTGACGCGAATGATCTCCTCGGGAAACCCCGTCGTGTTGATCGGCACGCTGATGTTCGCGATGCCGTGGAAGAAGACGGCGTAGTAGTCCTGGCCGGACGCGAACTGCGGCTGGTTGGTCGGGTCGGTGAAGTTGAGCCCGATCGTGGAGCCCGGCGTCAGCGACTTCGTGTCGTGGGTCGCGCTGAGGGCGGGCAGGCCCTGGCGCGGGGACGGGTACTGCGGGTTTAGCTTGGGGCAGCTGCCGGGGACGATGAAGGCGGTGGTGGTGTCGAGGATCTGGTTCGCGTAGGGGAAGGTGGTGTCGGAGGGCCCGCCGAACGGGTTCGTCTTCCAGATCTCGATTAAGCTCCAGACTTCGTGGCGGGCCTCGGTTTCGGCGATGGCGATCATGGCCCCCTGGGAGGTGGCAAGTTGGGTCTGCTGCACGAGGCCCGTCAGGAAGGCCATGCTGGATACTTCGAGGACGGTCACGAGGGCGAGGAAGGAGATGGGGTCGTAGAAGGGGAATTGGTATTTGCATCCGCCGGGCTTGATGGATGTGGGGGAGATCAGGGTCTGGAAGATGCGCAGGTGGCCGGCTTCGTTGTTCCGGATCTCTTGGATGCGCTTGTATGTGCTGTTGGGCATGCCGGCCTTGATGAAGGACGTCTCGTTGAAGGCCTCAACGGCCTGTTGGTAGAAGCTGAAGATGATCCATTCGGCCGATAGTAGGTTCTGCCAGACTTGATCGTCAACCCCTGGCGGGCCTTGCTTCGTCGGTAGGATGGGGTCTTTCAAGTTTCCGGGAAAGGGGGCCTCGACACCATAGTACGTGCTGAAGACCGGGTCTTGTCCGGGGATTGGGCCGTAACTGGGGTCGGCAAGCCTTTGGGACTCAGCAAACGTGCCAGATCTGCCAACGAGAGGTTTTGCAAGGGCAACAGAAGCCAGGGGGCTCAGCAGACAGGCCTGGAAGAGAGATCGAATCGACATGTTGGCGAGTGATTTGAGAGGCTTGGAAATTCAATGAGGGACAAAGCAAAGATTCTCGACACCGGTTACATGGCACTGCTCGGGGGAGACCTAGGGCCTGTTTATATTATGTAGGCAAAGTCATATCAATAACGTTCCAATGGCGCGTCTTCGAGGTACACTACAAAAGTACCTACCTACATAATGCTCCAATGTACATACATATTATGTGTCTCATCCATCCCAAACCTCGCTTGATGATATCATGACGGAGAAGCCCACTGAGATATGGACTAGACTGCCGCAGCCACTGTTCAAGAAAATAAAACTTGAATCGAGACAATGCAAGAAAGAGGAAGGTCCGCCAATGGCAATAATAGTGTGCTCAAACTAGCAGCTCATACGTTTGGGATCGACAGGTTCGGCCGCCGCTTTGGCTGCGCTAAGATGACGGAAAGCCTCTGTCGTTGGGCTTCCGGGCGGTATTGGGACGACCCGGGAAGGGAAGCTGAAAATAAGAAAGCAGCTAGGCTCATACTATTACCTCCTAGCTGTCGTCCAGATCCTTGATTTGAAATAGTGTTGCCCCCTTAGGTCCGCCCCATCATCGACAACACAACAACGACGGGAACTAGTAAGGATGGATATCAATGACGACAGACTTCTAGAGCGGTATTGCGGCCGGCCACGTAGAAATGTGCCTAACCGCGATAGATATGGATGTTTACTGTACCTCAGCAGCTACATATGCATCTGCCTAGTAGGTATGTAGATAGGTGATGGATGTAAGCAGATGTTGCATACCAGCACGTATAGAGAATCAAGGGTCCCAAGCAAAACATTATACCTACATGAAGAAAAGTACCTACATGTCTACATGGTACACATGTATATTAAGACAAGTGTGGTCGCACCGTAATTTATCCAACGAGTAAGTTCCGAGATTCCAGGGTTATTTGTGCATCCCGAGAGGATGGTTACTGGAAAGGACATCCCATCCCACGCCATCCCATGTCCTATGTAGGATAGGTATGTATCTCCACGTAGTAGGCAGCCAAGCTAAGCTTTAACCCAGCACCGAAAGTAAGAAATACCGCTTCCTTGGCATAGGGGGGGGAGCGGATCGAACGGATCTAGTTATCTTAGGCTCAGATGTGAGTCCACTTGCCAAGAAGAGGCTCTCCCTGACTATTATACCAGCTACCGAGATCTAGCGTTACTTCGCGTGTACTTTAGACAGCCATACGGATCTAGATAGTTAGGTACCGCCCGATTCCCGGGTGTCAGTCGGTACATGCTCACCCCTCATAACATCAACAACTTCAAATTAAAGAACATTGAGTGGAAGGTAATTCGAGACAGAGGCGTCCATATGTATATATTATACGAACGCCTTGGGCCCCGCGCCTGGGGCTTTTATTTGTTGATGATTCGGCTGCGGGCGCCGGCACCGCCTTAGCCCGCATCGAGGTGCTTTCCATTTCCCGTAGTGATCAACGGTGACTCGCTTTGCAGGATCTATCTACACACATACACACATATGCAAGTATCCCTTGTTCGATGTTAATTACCTATCTACCTCACTTGGGTATGTACCTATGTAAGTATGTACAGCACACAAGCTATCTACCTAGTATGTAAACACGAGTTAGATTCGATTGCTGTCAGCGCTGTCTGCCAGATCTAGTGGTCTCAATTGATCTCCCCTTTCTAAGACATGGCTTGGAAGAACTCTCGAGATCCTGAAGTGTCTAATTACCGCTAGCTCCCTGTATAGACTGGAGTTACTACGTAAACTTCCTCGAGCCCCTATCTATTTATTTATTTATTATTTTTTCAAAAAGCACCTGAGCAAGAAAGGAAAGTCAACATCACATCCAGCAGCACAGCCGCCATCACATCACAATTTGCCTCTCCAAAAATGACTTAACTTTAAACGAATCATACCTACGAAATTGGCACATATGTATAGGCACGGATCAATACGATACTTGTCGTCATCTTCCCACCTGGGTATATAACCTTGGAATACTTCAGTTCAACGTTCTTCGTCGCCCCGGATATAAGGTGCCGTCCAACAGCCTAAGCATACTCTATTATTATGTGCACACGGTATAAGTTCATTCCAGCTTGGGCTTACTACTGCTAGTTTTGACCGCAATTTCAGTAGCTTTAGCTGTCAACTTAGTAGTAAGTGATTGACGTATTGACGTCAAATCCACCGGGCAAGCACGTGAGGTAGAGATATATGGCTCCTATTACGCCAGGGCCAGATACCAGGTAAATATTTATTTAGTCCCATCATCTATCCATGTTGTATCACATAAATACCGCCCGAAGCTACGGGCCGCTAAATTCTGGCCCATTCCCGTAGCTGACCTGTTGTTGTGGCCGGTGCGGTGTGTATATTAGACCTGCCTATCTACCGTTATTACGACATATCAGGTCCAAGTGGCTTTTTACTCAGGTCAACATAAATACCCCTAGCCTCTTGTTTAGCATCCACCTTTCTGCCACTCAAGCTCCGGCTCGAGCCTAGCCAGGCACCGCACTTATCGACTACTGGGTAAATTTTGGTGCCTGGTGAGAACCCATCCTTTCCCATAGTTGCTTTCCGACATCGACTGCGTGATGAATAGGTATATATCGTGCCTTAGCCGAGTGATAGGTAGGTAGCGAAGTGTGGCTAGATGATATTAAGCGTTGTTTACAGGCGTGAGAATGGTATGAGAGGTGAGTAGCTAGCTCATTGTTACGGGGGGTGACGCTCATGGATAGACTCTACCGACATACGTGAAGCTAAACAAATCCGTATCATCCGGTGCGTATTGCAGAATTTCGTCATTGGATATACCGTAGAACATCGTGTCCTCGCTTATACTAATAGCCGTGAAATTGACAGCCGGCCCTCCGCGGAAGTTGAGGCTGGGTATCGTGGTATAATGGCCTCCCCACCACAGAGCCGCGACCGTGCCATTGGGTAGAAGGCTCAGGAACATGGTTTCCGTGAAGTTGTTCATAATGGTAAAGGCGAACTGAAGGTCGGGCGAGGGCGGCGGTAATTCGCGAATTAATGTTCCGGCTATGCCTTGTTAGTGGCTATGGACAGAAGCCTGACAGGAAAATGCTTATCCTAGACGATGAGATGACCTACCGGGTGACCACATGCTTTCGTATTCCATCTTCTGCATGGTACCTATCGTTCCTGAATTGAGGCTTTCTGTGGCGAGGACGACTCGACCAATATATTTCTGTTGTTCTTTCTCTAGTTGTGGCACTATGCCTATACTAGAGTTATCAGCTACTTCTCTCGATGTAACTACTGTGGTCGGATTATGCCAATTGCTTGCATTGGCAACATTGATGTCGCCTTGGGGTGTCTGGTAAGCGAAGATCCAATATCCCGCGCAGGGCCCGGGCCAACAGCGTTGCCACATGGCTGCCAACTGGGAACCTGTTGATGTCTGAAAGGAGGCGCCACCAAAACTATCGTATTCCCAACCATCTGGGGACGAGTCAGGATTTTCTACCCAGAACGAGGCGACGTAGCTATCCTGAACTAAGAACCATAGGTGTACTTCTGTAACGGTGCCATAAGAGCACGAGGCGCTCGCTAGAGGTGTGCCTGGAGAAGGCACTATTCGGGCTATAGAACCCGACGTGATTTCTGTAATGTTGCTTGTGAACCAAGTTCTATTTTGAGAGTCCCATCGCCGCGCCATCAGAGCGTTGTGTGTGTCTTGGAAGAAGACCGTTCGGTGGATATTGCCCATAGAGTCCGTTCTATTGGATGAAGATAGCTTGGATATGCTGAGAATGTTGATATTAGTCTGCGTTGCCGAGCCGTTCCTTGAATTTGGGTCATAACTGGGATTGTATGAAGGGTATTCTGATCCTTCATGGGCCGTCTCCCCATGCCGACTCAAGAGACCACCAGCAACCCCCCCAGCAATGGCACCAATTATCACCAATACTCCGACCACAAGAACAATGTTGAACATGCGTGTTGGTAGACCACATCTCTTACTCGCCTGTTTTCCTTGGGAAGGTGACGGATCATCGTAAGGATCATACCTTCCTTCGTGACTGGCAACCTCTGGAAAGTTCGCACCTGGCTCATAACTTTCCAGAGATGCAAGTTGAGGATAGAGTGTCTGTGGGTGAACGACAGCTTCCTTGGTTGTTCCGCTATCGTCATAAACCTCCGCTTGCTGAACCTCTAGCGTGCTGTACGGTGGCATAGCAATAGCTTGAGAACCTAACCTTGGGATTTACCTACTCACTTGGATGAATAGTACGAGAGATGAAATGGAGCCTATTGCCATCCTCTTATGAACGAAAGATGACAGACATGGTGCGAACAGCACCCTCCGGCCCCTTTTGCTGAGCTGAGAGGCGTCGGTGTCACCATAGTCCTATAGGTGTAGGATGACTTTGTGTTCCCTTTCTATTCTAAAGATAGGCACCGTTAAATTTTAGGTAATATTACGCCAAGGAGCCATTCAGAGCCGAATCACTGTTTATATCTTCTCTGAAACACGCCACTGGGATCAAGGCCAGACAAAGTTGCTCTGAAGCTTTCCGAGGGTTTCTCCATAACCTACCTACCTAACCTTAGGTATCTAATGATAAGATACCCTGTGCCATATGACTATTAGGTCCACGTGATCATCTGCCAACACTAATGGACACATGCCCCAGAGGGCGCAAAACTTATCGTTTGAGTTCGTCTAGTATCGTTGTATTATTACTGCCAATATACATGCTCCACCATTGTTTTTAACTCGGAGCGCCGGCCCGGATTATGCGACAAGAAGGGATACGATATTTGAGGATACATGTTAATATCCTCCCATGCAGTCCTGAATCCTCAGATGCTTTATTCATCACCCAGCCCTCCGAAACTCCTATATGTGATCTTTCCCCAAGTCGTTCAATGTCTACGCTTGTAGCATATCCCTAACACCTTCTACCCGTTGCCCCGTCGTAACCTCTAGAAATTATATCGTCATCTATGACAAGGCCACTAATACAATGGTCGAATGGCCGCCTAAAGGGGCTGTTCCTACCACCCAATTCCACCATTTTCACAGCATTGGAATCCCATGTCCCCATGCGAAATGGCGACCCAAGTCTTGTAACCTAAAGGCGGGTGAATTTAGACCAGGTAGTCAACCAACGCCAACCCAGGCCTTTACGCCTTGCGGGATCGCGTGGCAACACCATTGGTCTTTACTCCACTGGTATAAGCCAGCGGGCTCTGCGTGGTACCAGAGACCACGTGATGATCTGGAAGGGGTGCCTGCGACATACGGCGAAGAGTCTTGCGCGTGCTGGGCGCCTTGTGCTCCTTCTTGTATGTGGCGAGATAGAATGAGATGAAAAGGACGAGGTACGAGGTAAGGGTACCAATACCGGCAAACGCAGCGAACTCTTCTCCAGCACATTTGCCCGCACTCGGCATCCATGGGAAGTAGGTAGAAGTGAAATAGGTGTACGCGGCGAAGTAGACGAATCCTAAACGCAAATTAGCTTCTCTCAAGTCTATTTTTATTTTGATTGACTGTGTGTATTAAATTATTCAACGTACCAAGGTCAATGATAAACTGGATGATCTGGAGACGGGTGATCCACTCCTTCCACCAGATTCGGATTCCACGGGCACTCTGGAAGTAATACCAGTACATAACTACATGAACAGTCAAGTTCAGAGTAATAACAACCCACGACACCGCGGTAGAACCGATGAGCTGAGTGTAACAGAGGAATGCTGTTGCACCGTGATGATAGCAATGGAGGAAGGCTATTATTGATTGTTAGATTGTTTACTTCTCGGGTGGGTTTGGACGGAATTCGTGCGTACTCAGAGGCTTCTTCTTCAAGAATAAGAAGACGGTGTCCAAAAGTTCCAGATACTTAGTAAGGTAGTTCAACTACTGTGGGTTAGATTCGGCTCATTACGACGACAAGCTGTTAGGGACTGCGGTAACATACGTAGTAGAGTACAACCAATGGTTGAGTCCAGCCTCCTGCAGTGTCGCAGATGGTGAAAAAGATGCCATGGCGGACGACAGTTGGTAGTAGTTGTTCAATAAATAGCACTAGAAGAATGGCGCTGATGGCGGTAAGGTAAAAGTTGTGAATCAAGAAGAGCGCCCTTAGCTTGAAGGGTTCCCGATTGCGCATGTATTCTCTACCGCCGAATATAATACTGTAGTATACGACAATGAATATCAATGTCTCTCTCAGGGTTGACATGGGGGTTTTGCCGGCGACGAATGTGAAGTCGTCAGCAGGATAGCCCACTACCACCTCGAAGGCCTTGCTGAAATAGGGCCATAATGGTACACCGAAGGGTCGGTCGAGAGTTGGGACGGGGAAAGAATCCCAAAGAGCAGCAGGAGCCGGAGAAGCCATAACGCGAGATAGTCAATCCTCGATTCCAATTGAGGCCCGTATAAGAGTATGCGCAGAGAGATTGCGCTCGGAACGGGTGGAAAAGGTGAGGACAGCGAGTCTATTATGCGACGAGCCGCTCAGTGAGGTAAAATTGTTTGCTTGAAGGAGTGACACGAAACAATTATTAGTGGCCTTGCGACTGATTCGCCAAGGACAGTTGTACAAAAAAGGGAAGAGGCCACAATGGAAGGGTAGAAGAAAAAGACGAAGAGAAAAAAAAGAGAAGTTTGGGAAAAGGTGATGATTTACAAATACCGCGACGATTGGTAAAAAAAAAAAAAAAAAGTTGAGGAGGACCAGGCTTATGGTTTAGGTTCATTAAACTCCACGCCAACAAAAGGGGACGAGACGTGCACTATTTTCTATTGGGTGATTGGTTGATTGTGTCTGACCCGCAAGGATTAAGGACCCCCTGTCCAATGGATAACGATCGGAGTCGACGGGACTCTCGGGATCCCGACTTTCATATGTCTGTATTTATAATTTTATAATTTTATACAAACATAGTCACTGCTACGAAGACATGTATGGATCCCTGAATAAATGAATTAATAGGAAATAGAAAACCAGGTGTTATTATTGAATTCGTGCATGCCAAAAAGCATTTCAATGCCCAGGTGCCGTTATGCCTCCGGAGGAGACACTTACTTCTGAGCTAACTCCACACAATACATATGATAACAATGGACGCGCTCCGGTACCTGCAGGTGTCAACAAAAGCAATGAAATTTAAGATTATTCCGCAGAAATCGAGCCCGCCGGTTTAGACTTGGCCGTCTTCTATCCTCCGTTATGTGTATTATATTGCGAATTTTGAAGTTACCGAGTGATTGTGTACATATGTATCGTAGGTTGTATTTTGAGATCTCGGAATCTCGGATATTGACTTATCATTTATCATTGACAATAAAGCGTGCATAACGGTGCAATACATAATACTACATATGTACATCGATGATATGTATGTACGCAGTACCTAGTAACTTTACGCGGCACAATTCAATTAATATGTACATAGGTACATAGGCCCCTGACCAATTGTCTCAACCTCGGCAAAGGCAAATTTCGAAATATGGACCTATGTATTTCCACCTACGCCGACACTATCGCGTCAAGTTTCCTTTTGTTTGACATCTAATCGCTAATGCATGTGATGGTAGAACATGAGCCTCACTTGAGGCAAATTTGTGTGCTATGGTTCAATAGTGAATGCTGAGTAAATCGTAATGTAATGCGCCTCTGCTAATTCATTTTATTTGAGAAGACACGTGTTAAGTGCATTAAATCTTCTAGCCATTGAAATCTATGAAATCTAGAAAGAAATATTTCACAAAGGCTTCAATGTTTAACTCTACCTTCAAGTTACAGTATGTACAATGTAGATACTTAACATATATACTGGATATATAGATAAATACTTGCATATATCAGTTACATAGTATGTACTAGCGTATGCTGTTTCCGACTAGCTTAGTTAGCAGTTAGGCACTTCAACTCTCTCCTCTTTTCTGGGGTATGCGGGGCAACCTTTGAAGTGTTCCCGTTACCTGGACTCTACTAGGTACTGTCACTGGTATAAGCATTTGATTCTCGTCGCATATACCAATCAACAAAGCCTTTTTGCTAATACACCAAGTACAGTGATCTCTGTAGTAGGCAGATCACAAACATGCCTAACCTATGGGAATCTTGATATTCTGATACGATAATCAAACATCAAGTACCATACTGGCATTTTAAGCTTTCGAAACACTACCAACCAACCTACTGCCCTAGGTAAATAGCATACAGTACCACTAAACATCCAAACCTGGATAGGAGAGGGGTTGAGACACTAAGCGAATAATCTTGGGGCTTGATGTTCTGAAAAGTTCCAAGTTGCTGATGAACATTTTGACATCTCCTCACTGTCGACTGCTGTGTATCTACTTCCAACACCGATTTTGCGTATACCTGCATGTGATTGATAACATCACTTTGCTAAGGCTGTAATTTTTGATCCATTTTCCAAAAAAAATCAAAAAAAAATCAACTAATTGATGAGATTCAACATGTCTTCAAGAATTCTATATTCCCTAGGCATTTGAACATGTAATAGGCTAAACAGCATGTCACTCTCGATATAGGATAGCGAATGACGTCGCTAGACAGTTTAGGTATCGAGTCTATCGACTTCAATGTTCAATGTTGATATGTACATATATGATTTTTAGGGCGGTACCGCCGCACCCAGAATATAAATATATGTACTTAGTAGATAACGAACGCATGGACCAGGTTCAAGAGACGCTAAGAGCTACATATGTAACCCGTTTAGCAACATTGAAGGAAAGTGAGCTCACTACGATTCCTGAGCTTGCCCGTAACAGGCGCTGTAGGCTTGCAAGTTGCAACAGGACCCCAAGGTCCACCATTGAATTGACATCGGACCAATCAGATATCATCTTTTTGTGAGCCGGCCTTCCATTTCTCCTTGCTATGGGCATCATTCGATATGAGAATTTCTTTACAGTTAAGATTGACTGAGCAGAGCCCGAGTCAGCGGGAAGCACCGCCCAAACACCACAACCACCACAAACGCACCCATTATTTCGCATCAACTCTTTTGATTTTTTTTTCTACCTATTAACCTAAATTAGGTACTTTCCATATCTCACTTTTTCAACTCGACAGGAAAAAGTTACTTTGCTTACTTACCAATTTATATTATTTTTCCCTCTTTCTCGTCGACCCATTTCTTTTTCTTTCCAATTCTCCCCTCTTCCTAATCAATAAAAAAAAATGTCATCCATGTCGCTCCTCCGAGTCGCCTCGCGCGGGCCCTCCAAGACCTTCTTCCGTGCAAACCGACCCGTCGCTCCCACCCGATCCAACATGTCATTCATTCCGGGCTTGGTCGCCGGCTCGAGTCTCAACTTCAGCACCACCGTGTGCCGAAATTCTGCCGCGCACCACGAGGAAACATTCGAAGAGTTCACTGCCAGGTAAGGATCAAAATTTGCACTGCAACGATATATATGCGATATGGCCGCAACGCTTTGGGGAAACTGTTAGGAGAAGAGAAAAAGGAGGAATGCGCTTCACTTGGTTCTCAATTGAAGTTTTTATATATTCGAGTATGCCAATTGGGTTCGAGATGGGATGGAAGAAGGCTTTGAATATCGCTCAATCGCATTTTTTTTTTCTATTGGTGGATGACTACAAAACGACGTCAATTCGGATTGCTAACTTAAGCTTCTCCGCATAGATATGAAGGTGAATTCGAGAAGGTGCAAGATGTTTTCGAGCTTCAGGTATGCTAACCTCTACTTTTTTCATACAAAATGCTCTTTACCTTCCCGGCTCCTGCCCTTTTAGCCTTCATTTTCTCTGCCTACCAACATACCTGCGTGTCTAGCGAAGTGGCCTGCTTCCCACCTAACATGACCCACTCTCCCCACTCACATCCCGAGTAATGTCCTTCTATTACGAGATCCCAAGAACAAAGTAATGCACTTACCTAACATTAACCGACACAGCGCAACTTAAACAACGCTTTCGCCTACGATTTAGTTCCCTCTCCTTCAGTTATCGAGGCCGCCTTAAAGGCTGCCCGGAGAGTCAATGACTTCCCCACTGCCGTCCGCATCTTTGAGGGCATCAAAGCCAAGGTCGAAAACAAGGACCAGTACCAGCAATATCTCGATGAGCTAAAGCCTCTGCGCGAGGAGCTCGGCGTACTACTCAAGGAGGATCTGTACCCGGATTCCAAATAGATGGATTACTGCTCTTTATCCATCAATCGCGAGGGTGGCGCCTGTTAAGATACGACATGAAAGAGACGTATCCGCATACACTGGGAGGAAGTGAAGGGAAACGGAATGAGAGCAAGGGAAAGAGGGAGAGGGAGATAGAGGTTCGGTGTGCCTCAGACGTTTCCTCCCGCATGTGTATATGTCTACCAAAACAACAACTTTTACTATTACTACTACTACTACAACTCACCACAACCCATACCACAAACCGAAATAATCTCGGTGGGAAAAAATAAATCGTTTGAGAAAAAGAGATAAAAAAAGAGACATTCTGCATATATCGATATATACCTAAAAACCAGAGCCATTTTCTGTCCTTTTTTGTTTGCTCTTGTATCTATATCTCTGTCCTTCGAACGCATGATATCTCGCTGTTTGTTGCCCCCCTTTTTTATAACCCCCTCCCTCCCTCCCGCCTGCGGATAGGTAAGAATTACACGGGCGCGGACGCGGGCGCGTTATTAGTCTTATCTGCCTTTTACTCTGCATTACATAGGTACTTGTAGGTAAGTTAGGTTCAAAGGTTCTACGTCCAATAATCTCGCCTCGTGTAACGCCTGCTCAAGTAAGCCTTGCATCCCCGTGTTCGGCAGATATTCATCAGGGGGGAAAAAAAGGACGGAAAAAGTGGGATGGGTTGGTTACACGATATGACGACTGTTGGTTGGTAAATAGTATAGATTAGGTTAGATGTACTGTAAGAGGAGTGATTAGGACATTGAAACTTGAAAGAAAGCACACCCCTTTTTTACCCCTTACTGTAGGTACTGTAGCTAGGCATGAAAGGTATTTTGTAACAAGTTTTCGATACTATTATGTATGTACCAACAAGTAATTCTACGCTGAAGGAAAAATTGGCAAAGGGAGGAGCAAGCAAGCAAGTAGGATACTCTAATCTAGGTAAGTTATGCAAGGGACTAGGTTAGGTAACTAACGAAAAGTGTCAAACCAAGCCATCTGCCTACCTAGGTAGTATAGAAAACACAAATGCCAAACTTTCCTTTGCTTCCCTTCGAAACTCGAAAGCTCGAAACTGGGAACAGGGGCGCGGCGAGGTATCATTTCAATATGGGTTATCTATCTCCCTAACCTACATAGACACAGTCTTCGGAAGGACGGGCAGGCGTCGAAAGACGATCGATATACATACATTAAGCAGTAGCCGTGAACTCGATAGGACGGAAAACCCCTTCCTCTCTCTGATTAAAATACAAGACCTGATTCACGCATTCCACTTCGTCTGTCCTCTGGTTCTTTCCATGCCATCCATCGACGAGCAAGTAAAGAAACAAATATCGGCAACATCGACTATCTAGGTAGGCACTTAAGCGGGCCACGGGAAATAATCACAGAAACCTCTCTCTCGAGACAGATATGAAACAATTGAGAAAGAGACGGAAAGCTACCCGTCTCAATGCATTCTCGACTATAAACGTGATGACGACGACGCCCTTCTACCACCATCCCTGGAAATAGGAAAGAGTTCTTCAGAAGGGGGGGTCTCGATCGGCTCGAACTACCTAACCTAGGTAAAATACCTATCTTATCACCTTGCTCATTCGTAGTACTATATGTGAATAAGTAGGAAGATGGCATAGTCATCTTTCTTGCTGGCGCGTCTGTGGTGGGAAAACTACATGATTGAGATATGCCAATCTTGACAGTCCAAGATAGCCTAGCCAGAGACCAGCGAGCTCATCCTATCAGAGTTCAGTCAAGCTTCAGGGCTTCACGAAAACCGAGATTCTCGTAGGTGCGATTGCCGGTTACTTGGGATCGGAGTACTGCTACCTCCGCCCTCGAACATACCGGTTGGAGGCGGGGCAGGGCTAGTGCCTCGACTACTAGACCCGCCCTTGGGGCGAGCGCCGTTTCGGGGGCTGTTCACACCTAGAGCGCTGAGACGAGGACTTCGTGGAACACTACTCTGTCTAGTACCTCTCCGGTTTTCCTTCAGCGCCCTGAGTTCATCCTTCAGCCGGCCGAGCTCAGTGTCGCGCTCGTGAACAATGCTCTTCTGCTCACCGAGCATTCGCATCAATTCCTGAACCTCATTTGCGGCTTGTATCTGGTTCACCTTCACGATGTTGTCGTTAGCTTTGCGAGTGAGCTCCTCGACTTGTCGTTCAAGAGCACGGTTCTCAGCCTGGAGCTCTCCGGCTCTCTGGGATGCGTCCTGGTAAGCACTCTTGGTGTATTCCATTTCATTGCCTGCACTAAAGGCCTTCTTTTCCAGTTGCTTAATGTTAGACTGCGACTCCTCAAGAAGCTTTTGTATTCGTAGTAGCTTGGCATGTTCGAAGTGTCCCGAGTCGAGAATTATCCTGTCCGCTTCATCAATCTTATTTTGAAGCTCGGCATTCTTATTCTTCAACTCATCCCGCTTGCTCGTCATAGATTCGAGACTCGCGGCGAGTTTTATAGCCTCGTCGTTAACGTTGCGATATTTCTCCTCGTATGTTCCTCGGTCTTTCAGAGCAGTCATATAGTTAGCCTGCATGACGTTGATCGTTGAAACATGATCGTCGAGCTCTCTCTTGCATTGATCACTAAGCTCGCGAAATTGCTTCTCTCTGGCCTGGCTCTCCTTGAGTCTAGTCTCAAGGCTCGCAACCTACATCACGTTAGTCAGTCCCAATTTTATATAATCCTAAAAGCACGGCCAAGCTAACCTTAGCTGAGAGCATCTCTAACTTGTCAACTGATACCGATAGTGATGCTTTCGGAGTGTTGCCAGTTATGTCATCTCCAATAAGGCTCTTCAACGAGTCACTGATGTGGCTCATGTTAGTAACCACTGTAGGTTGCGATATTCTAAGACGCTTAAAGGAGCCCTCATCGTCCTCGTCCTGTTGCCACGTTAGTTTTAAACGCCTATAAATAGGAAATCGACTTACATCATGGGATCTCTTGCGGCTGCCAGGCAGATGTTCAGTTCCAAACGCGTGTAGGCTAGGCAATGATGCTAGTCCTTGGGTACTTGAAGCATACATATCTTCGAATACATCCTCTGGTACTCTTTGGGGCTCCCAATAAAAGTCATCAGTATGTGGCAGGTGAATGAGATTAGAGAAGAGTTCGGCGGCGTTTTCGAGCTCGGGAACTGTAGACCTCTCGGCATCCTCTACATATCGCATGGCTCTCACTAGTGCAAGAACAAGGACATTATTTCGTTCCAATGGCTCTAAACTCTCTGAGATACGCATATTAAGATGCTGGATTGAGCATATGATGGTCAAAACCAGCAATATGGGAGACCGGTCTCGAAGCGACGATGAGAGTAATTCCTGTCGGTACGTGTGATCAAATGCTATGACTACATCAGCGTCTTCGGCGATAGATGACGGTGAATCAGTCGTCGCCGAAATGGCTACAGTGAGTTGATGCTGAGCTGCGGAAGGGCCGACAATTTCGAGGCCAGATCGAATATACCGATAGCCCCTAGTTTGTATCAAATGACCGAGGAGATCCATAACTTGTCCAGGACGGGCTATAATGAGAATCTTCGTGTCCGACTCCGCCTCAGTAAGGCGGGCGAGTAACTCATCTAGGAAGGCAAACTTCGCATTAGTATTGATGAGATATCTCGTTACTTCGGCAGGTGTAATAGACGAAATGGTATCCATGAAAGGTGGCAAATCGCAGACATCGAATAGACGGGAAAACATCTCGTCGAGTTTGGATACTGTCGTGGGGTGCGGTATTCCATGAGGTAAAGTAAGAAATGAGCTGTTGAATTCACGTATCAACTCTTCGTTGTCCCGAAGAATGTCGTTATACACAGGCCTGCTGCTGCTCTGAAAGGGGAGCGTAATGAGATACTCATTATTGCCGGTTGGGACTTGTGGGAGAAGACTTTTTGGGTAGGTAGAGGGAGGCGCGTCCTCTGGTTCATGTTCGTCAATGGGCATGGCCAAGTCATCTGGTATTTGTAGGTTAGGTGGAAGGGCCTCATCTGTGGGGATCGAGGGGCTGATGTCCATATCATGTTCGATAGACAATGTTAGATTAGATGGGTCTAAGGTGGCGGGCTGTTCATTTTGAACGCTAAAATCAACTTCAACGGGAGCATGGTCGTCTAAGTTCAGCTCTGCTTGCTTGTCTTGGCCAACAGGCTCTTGCATAGTCTCAAGTACCAAAGCTTGATGTTCATTTGAAGATGGCTCGCTTTGTGTGGTTTCGTGTGGCTTCTCTACAAACACGGCAGTTGTCAGAGGTACGGAAGTGAGAGGACTAAGACGAGTAACATCAGCTGGTGGTGCTTCTTGGACATCGGTGTGAGATGCTGGTGCGGTTTCCGCTTTAGCGCCAGCTTGATTTATTTTTGCTGGGTCCACAGGAGGTTCGGATAACGAAGCAAAGCCTCGCTCTCTTATCAATCTAAGCCTCTCATGCGCCGACACTCGCGTGGGGTGGGGGGAGGCGCCGTCCATGTCTTCAGACACAGCTCGTGGCCCTGTCGGAGATGGGTGATTAGTAGTATGGTCGGAAGCAACAAAGGTACTTTGCTCCAAGGGCGGCTCCGGCTCCTCTGCCGTTACACTATAAACTGATTTGTCTGAGTGGTTCTGTATCACCCCTGTACGACCGGGCGCAACTTGAGGTTCAGGTACGTGGCCCGTTGAAGAAGATGTGTTCCTCGTGTTGTCATCCAACTCACTCAAAGCTTGACTGGAGTCTGGCGGAAAGTGCTGGGTCTGTGATTTTGCCAACACAGTATCAGGTATAGACAGGTCGTCGTCGTCATAAACGGTGAAATCTGGCTGGCTTTGCGATGCGAGCCCTCCTTGGTGACTGCTTAGAGGCACCACGACCTGTGCTGGCTGCGAATTACTTTGCTCTGGGAATGCTTGATTATTATTCGTCGATTGCTGGCGGTCCTGGCTCACACTTGTTGCGGAAATATGTTCATCCGATAGCTGAGAGGTTGGTGGAATGAAGTTGGGATCCAGGGACTCTTGGGTCAAGAAGTCGAACGATATTCCAGCAGCAGCGGTCTGAGACTTTCCAGGATCGGTTTCAACTACGAAGCCAGAGATGGAAGGATTGTAAAAACTACCAGTAAATCGGCGATCAGGTTGACGCGAAGGTATTTCTGTTGTTGTGGTGGGGTGAGTAGAGGATTCAGGTTGTTGATGCCTCGAGCCTTGCTGAGTTGTGATAGCGACTTCTCCTAGGTTTTGGCTTGAAACTGAAAAACTAGAGACTTCTTGAGAATCAGGTATGACGCGTTGCTCGTCGTTCCGGGAATTAAGATTATGGGTATAGTTATGGCCAAAAGATTGAGAAATTTGTGGAGGTGGAGGTGGAGAGTGCTGTTGGCTACCCGATTGCTGTGAATTGAGTGACATATGGAAGTATTCCTCAGGTTTGAAAGATGAGTTCCGAGGCAACTCGACTACTATTCGAGTTTTACGAAACCTCTTTGGAGTGCCTGGGATATCTGAGTTGTCACCTTGTCGTTGCCCACCCGATTTCTTTGAATGGTCCTTGACAGCCGCCTTATAGCCACGATCACCACGGTTAAATGCAGCGGACAAATCCTTAGTTCGTCGGCGTTTATTCGAAGCTTCCTGGCCTCGTACAGACTCACGCGTATTTTGGTGTTTCAAAGACCTCTTTTTACCACGGTTTTGTCGCAACTTTAGTGGCCGGTCAGAATCGCTATCTTGCGTATTCTGATCTTGAAAAGGTTGACTATTACTGGTTACAGCAGCTATAGCAGACGTGCCCTGCGCGTCATGCAAGTTGTGTGTGTACTTGATGGTAGTCTTCCTGTTCCTCCAGGTGCGTATCAAATCAGATGTTACGTGCCGTTGAGGTTCCTACATGATATAAGTTACTAGCCCAAAAGAAATAAATAGAATAAAAAGTAAAAAGAGGACATTAAGTAAATCAAAAAAAAAAAAAAAAAAAAAAAGAAAGGGACAGCAATATACCCAAGATGGCTTATGCGGTTGACCGTTCTTATCGGTACCTTCCCAGTCTACCAAGTAATATTTCTCCCTACCCTTAGACTTTTCGTCTAAGATACCCCGGGCTGCGTACCAATTCTTGTCTTCGTCCTCGTCTTCTTGACCTTCTTCGCTGTCATATGTATACCTTCCTCTATTGGACGAGTCACACGATCTCCTCTGTCGTTTGGTTTGCAACTGTGGTCGTGATTTTGGTTGGGGTCGAGGTCGAGATTGAGATCGCGAGTGGGAATGAGATGGTTGACGATGTTGACGATGTCGATGTGATTTGTTATTAGACTCGGGTTGCGCCGTGCTCATTAGCGACAAGTTCCCTGTAGGAGAGTCTGAGTTGACAAAAGGTCCATAATTAGTTCTCTCTAAAAGAAAAAGATGACAATAATAGCACAGTAAGAATAATCGTTATGCGATCATATATTTTAATCTCACCAAGCTTGTCGTCCAGGACCATTGTGACGAAGCACTTGGACTTGTTAAAAGTAAGTGGCAGCACGCAGCCGTGCGACAAGGCTCCAAGCTACCTAGTACTAGGTACCAAGCCTCAAAAACAGGTGCTTATCAGTACCTAGTACCTAGGTCCTAGGCAACCTGATAGCCCTGTTAGCCGTTTGGACAGGGATACTCCAAAATTATAGTGGGTCGATTACCGCTGTGGCACACTGTAACTCGTTGCGCAACGGGTTGTGAACTTGTGATTTCGGAACTAAACCCCCACTAAACCCCACCACTCAGGGCAAATGGATGTTACAATGTTCCTAACCTAGGTACCCATAAGCCTTCTACTCATAACTACATACTGTAGCTTCAACTTTGAAGTTGAGGTTAAATATGTATTGTACATACCTCCTGAAGCTTTATCAACTTTACATACCTAAGGTTAGGTAGATATCGCACCGGCTAAAAGCAATGTGTAGCAAAGTTGGTTTCCAAGATTACAAGTCAAGAGAAGTAAAGTATTGACCTCGGTAAGAATATGTGTAAGATTAAGACAAATCATTAATGCTGAAATTCAGGCAAAGAAGTACCAGTGTAAGCAGCTCGTTGGGTGCCTAGCATGTGCTTCAATGCTCTTACACATCGGTCAGTGCACGTACAATACAACTGCATGTGTTGCTGAGGATATTGTAGTCAGTGCAGTGAGGTGCCTACATGTAGGTAGGGCAGCCAGGTACCTAAGCAACGAGCAAAGCAGAAAAACTTCTTGACGGGAGCAACCCTTATTAAATACTAGAAAGAAAGGCGACTACTATTTAATATTTATCTATGTACCTACCCAAGTACCTAGGGAGGAGATGCCTAGCTAGCAGGTTCTGTAAGACGCACTGCTGTATATAAATATGGACCACATAACCTATGCGTAGGTATGTATATGCAAGTTAGTCGCCCAAAGGTGGACACCGACCTTCAAACAGGAGCTGTAGAATCTTGGCTGATTCGGTCCAGAGACACATCTTTTGATCGATGATCGAGGATTCTTCGACTTTTTACCATGATTAATTCATATCAAAGTCCAAGTGTGACCGCTCTTCTAATCAAGTTCGACTAGTGACGTGGCCAACTATAGGAGACACAGCACTCGTAACTGCTAGTCATTGGCTATCTGTTTGACGTGGCTACACAGTAGGTGCCTAAGTGCTAGTTTTTTGAGAGATTTAAATGCCCATGTATGCGTAGGTGTTTACTAGAGAAATTCCCATAGGCATCTGGCATAAAACCTGGAAGTTACACAACTGGAATAAAAATAATGCTCGTCGCAAAGTCATATAACTGGTTTTATAGGTAGGTACCTACTTTATATCTAATATGAGGTGTAATGAAAAAAGGGGGCGAGATAGGTAGGTAGGTAAGTATAGGGGCGACACATCTACCATATCACATCACATCATCATGAGCCAAAAGTAAGAGCAGGCCCAGGGGTTTCTTCATACCTACCAACGTAAGTAAAAGGCCTCTGGGCCGATAAACTATTCTAGCTAACCATTGCTTAGGTATCTAACATAGGTAATTTAGGAGAGCCTAGTACAAAAGACCGCGCAATGCCATCTCCATAGAACCATCCCCCAGGTACTAGAAGCCAAAGGAGCCGCGACAGTGAGACGAGAGTGAAAGAACGCCAGAAAGGGGGAATACATGAGTCTTCCCCTGAGCCTCTTCCTCCCGTAGGTATACAGAAAACGCCTAACTAAACCCCGATCCTCAATCCCCAATGGCCACCTTTTATCCCCCCCTTTTTTTCCTTTTGCCCATCTTATAGTAAAACATAGGTACCCAGGTAATGAAAAAGTCCTCTAATAAAGCAACTTCCCACTATCCACCAACCCCTTGAACACATCCTGCGGCTCGTGGAACCTATACGTCTCCCCCCTGACCACCCTATCAATCTCCTCGCGCACAAACGGATACACATCCTTCCACGCATTCCTCCCCATCCAGCAATCCAGATGCCCGTAGTCCGGGACCACCCTCCGGCGGTACATAACCCCCGAGGGGTCGTCCCCGCCGCCAAACGCATCGGTGAGGATCTCGTACGTGCGCTCCGTGCTCTCGGGGCTGAGCACCGCGTTGTCGCGGCCGACAAACAGCAGTATCGGGATCCCTTTGAGCCGGCGGATATTGACTTTGGTGTCGAGGCGCTCGAACAGCGGGCCGTTGCCCATGACGCCGCCCTCGTAGCCCTGGCGCATGAGCACGTGCATGAGGCGCATGCTGACGCCGCCGAAGAAGCGGTCGATCTGGCGGTGCGTCGCCTCGTTGAGGTTGTGGTGGTTCCAGCAGCGGCCGAGCGCCATCGTGCAGCGGTGGCAGCTCGCGCTGTTGCACAGCTCCTTGCGCTCGTCCGGCATCAGCCGCAGCACCTCGTTGAGGCACCGCTGGAACACGCTGTCGTTGCGGCCCGTGCTGAAGTTGAACCAGTCCCCCGCCAGCCACCGGTACGCCCGGTCCCCCGCGATCGGCAGCGCCATGATCTTGATCATGTTCGCCCGCGCCCACATCGGGTTCATGAACACCTGGCTGCAGCTGAGCCCCTTGATCCACTCCGCCGGGATCGTCCCGTCGAGCAGCCCCGTAGACAGCGCGACGCTGCCCATGCAGTGCGCGATCGTGTACACGGGCTCCGGATCCAGCTTCTCGCCGTTCTTCCCGATCGGGCCGTACTCCTCGCGGATCTTCTCCAGACACGCCTTGAAGTCCAGCCGCGCGTCGAACGTCGTCCAGTCGTTCTGCGCGACCTTGAGCATGCAGATACGGTGCACGCTGACGAACACGCGGTACCCCGCGCGGCGGAAGTAGTTGACGGCGTTGTAGCGGATGGTCGGGAGCGCGTAGATCTGGTGGTCGACCGAGGCGCCCGGGATCATGAACAAGTTCTTCGTCTCGACATCGCGGTTGGTCGGCTCCCAGACGAGCAGGTTCGTGACGACGCCGTCCGAGGCGCGGATCTTGTGCAGCTTGTCCTCGGGCGTGCTGTTGGTGAAGCCCGTGTACGACTGGGTCGGGTACTGCAGCGGTGTGAGCGGCGCCAGGAGCAGCGACATGGACTTCCGGGTGAAGAAGGTCAGGAAGTTGCCGGCGCTCAGGACCTTCTTCAGGATGCTGCTCCCCGTAGGACTCAGGGTCATGACCTCGGACAGGAAGTCCTGTGGCTGGATGCGCATGATGCCCTTCGCGACGATCTTCCCCAAAAGACCGCATTCGTCCGCATCCTCGCATCGGCGCTGGGAATCGGCCAGGGGCTCGGTGATGGTGACGTAAAGGGTGCTAGTCGATTTCCAGAACTGAACCGGCGACAGCGCGACGGAAGAATCGACGACCTTGTAGCCGTGGAAGTGCAGTTTCCTGCCGTTGACACCGCGCATGTCAAAGTCATATGTTAGATTGCGAGTCCCAGGAGCTTTTCGATCCAGCAGGAACAGGTTGAAGTCGCCCCGGTGAACCATGAACGGCGAACCTTTGAGGGTAGGGCAAACGAAAGTGCCGGTCAGCGTCGCTTTGTGGTTGGGGTCATAGACAATCGATCTGATGTTGAAGGACTGCACACTGAGGAAGAATCGTGCGGTTTCGCTCAGGGACTTCGCCATTCTTGCCGCCAGCTTGTACGTGTCTACATTATCCCGCCTCAGAGCTGTATCCCGGTGGATATGTCCGGACATGACTTCGGTGAAGCCAAAGCCGGGATCGTTCAAGCGTTGAGCAGCCGTGATTGCCTTGTTGGCACTTTTTATCTTGGCATTTTCCTGCGTGTCCTCAATCCTGTCCTTCCAGGCGCACCCCTCATGATGGTAAACGTGCTGAGGAGCTCCAAAGAGGTCGAGCGTTTTGTTTTTCGTCGTGTCGACTTGGAGATCCTGCTCCTTGATATAGAGATCCACAGACCGTTCGGCCAAGGCAGTGATTGTCGCAAAGGGATTTGCGCCTAGGGCTGTCGGAATTACCGCGGCATCTGTAACGATGAGTCCACTATGAGTCTCGGTGCCGGAACCACTGAAGAGCTCGCCGCGATGGTTCGTGACGCCGGTCGAACCGGTCCCGTCGCGTGCCATACAAGCACCGCTGAAGGTTGGTCAGTGTTTGTTGGTTAAACTAAGATGGAGTTATCATCGAGAACTTACCCAATCGGATGAACAGTCACCTCCTGCTCGCCTAGGAGAGCATAAAAGGGATTCTGGACGAATGTTCCCCCAACAGCTTTCGTGGCCTTCTCTAGCACCGAGTTCAAATACTTGACATGGTCACTACGGCCAACACCGATGAATTCAAGGACCGGTTTGTCGTCTTTTAAGGTCAGATATGCTTGGTTGCCTGCAGTAGGTTAGCAGGCCACATGGTTAGAGGAATGAGCGCGATACACTCACTGTCGTGGGACATGATCAAGTACACTTGAGTCTTCTCCATGGCGCCTTTTCGGAAGTAGGGCCCAAGGAATGTACTTCCAATACGGGCAAGGTTTGCTTTGAATTTGCCAAAAATGCCCTCACCTGTTGGCTTGACACTTCCGGGCAAGAGCTCGAGCATGGCTTGTAAGAATGGGGCGAGAGCTTTCGGTAGGGTACCTTCTTCGATCACGTAGCCATCCAAGGGATTAGCATGGCCGGCTCTGTTGTCGATGATACCATTGATACAAGGTCCAATAGGATGGTAGGGAGATGGGAAAGGATCTCCCATCGAGTTTACTTCGTAGTCTGTGTTGTATCTGTAGCAAGTTAGAAGAAATTCTCGAACAGTAGGTAGGAGTAAGGTTCCCTACCCAAACGCCCACATATCGCCGTTGCCGCTCATGTTTTGGCCGACTTTTTCGCTCAGGTCCAGACCCATGTCTCTACTCCTGAGGAGGATCTCTGTGGTGCCAATGGCACCGGCACCCAGGAACACAGCCTTCTTTGCATGAACCCACATGAGATCACCGTGTAGGTTGGCTTTAAAGTGGCCGCGGTTCCGTCCGTGCCAGGCGAAAAATACAATGTATCCCTCTTGGTCGGGAGCCTTGGTGATGTATCGCACTTCGCACTCGCAAAACATATCGGCGCCCCAGTTCCAGGCATCTGCTAGATATGTGACCAAAGTAGTGTTTTTAGACCCGTCGTTCAGTCCGGTCGTATCTTGACCAGTGAGTTGTGAGGGTGACATTTCGACACCGCAGCTATTCGGTCCGTTATTGAACCGTGTTGTCTGCCTTACTCTTCGGAACTTTTCTGACATGCTCAAATGCTTCGCTTGCTTCTCCAGTAGCTCAAGCTTCGGTAACTTCGGCCAGTCTTCCGGGTATGTCTCTGGCTGTAATACTTCCTCCGCTTTTCTGTAATCTAGGTATATACTAATTAGCTCACAGCCAGCCAAGGAAACTTGTAAAGCATGGGAGCTTACATTCTTCCATGCCTTTAGGATTTTTTCTAATCTCTTTTGGCCATGCTGCTAGTTTCAATGTCTCCTCGTCCGCCTCCAAGAATACGTTGGCATTCATCAAGCTAGTTCCACCAAGACCTATATCATAGTTTAGTATCTTGTCGTATATCTTCCATCAATATATGTGCGGCAGGAAACAACTTACCATTGCAGACGACGGCGTTCTGACCATTGCCGAAGATCAGATGATACATGCCGGTAGGATCGCCACCGTTGACAAGTTTATTGGGTAACCAGCTGGGAACGAATTCGCCAGAGTAATGCACCTGTTCGATACTATCGGCTGTACCATCCGGATACTCACCGGGCCATCGTTCTCTGCCACGCTCTAGGAGACAGACGGACTGACCAGCTCTAGCCATGCGAGACGCCGCGACGCCACCACCGTAACCAGAGCCGATCACAATACAATCGTACTGATGCCGCATGAGCTCCATGGGCTTGGATATGCGGGGATACCGTGCCGTTTTGGGATCGTCTGCCCCGGCCGCTACCCGAGGATAGGCTTGAGATTGGGGACTGTTCACCTCATCCTCGTATATACCAAATGCACGCTCGATCACTGGTCGGTTCCACGGATCAGAGTTGGTGGCGTAGAAGTTTTGATGATTTAATGTGTCGTTGGAGCAGTTAGAAGGACTCGCGCTCCTGTCACGCTCTCGGTCGCCAAGCGTCCAGGTTGCGCGACCATTGAGCTTCTTGCCGAAGCCATTCACGGCACCGAGCGATTCACCACCCGCTGCCCTTTCCGGTTCAGGACTGGCCATGTTGATATCAGGGACTACCGACGGCATCGTGGAATGCAGGTTCGAGTTGTAAGGAGCAACAATATGCCAAGACAAGCCTCTATGTAGGCCGAAATAGTAAAAGTGTGAACGCCTTCTGAGTATAAGAGTAAGATATAGTGGATACAGAACGGTCCGGGAGATGATATATTGTACAGGGGTATATGGTTATCAGACATACATATATCGAGGTTTGTCGGCCTCGTAGTACACAAGTTTGATTTCGCCCCTCGCAGACCAGTGGCTTCATATATCTGAGGGCATTAGTCCTTTGTAGTTCGAGGCCACCATGGCTCGTACGGCTTTATGAATCAGGAATGGGGGACAATAAAGGGCACGGCCAGAGAGTGAACGGTTTACGGGTCAGGTAGATCATGGCTATCGAAGAATAGTAACTGAGGTAGTATGCTCCTCTCCTGCCGCAGAACTACTGCACGCTGAAGAACTCAGGGCAGGCGCAGACCCCTGCTGCCGAGGCAGGGCTGAAAAACGAAGCAGCGATCGTCAGCCTATATTAGATATTCCTCGTGTCATAACGAACGTTAGCGAGATATATGCCGGGTGCATCATGAAGCAACACAGCTAGTGATTGGGCAATGACCACTAGCCTAGGTGAGATTTAACAATAATATTTTAAGTAGCTGAACTGCAGAAACGGGCGAAGCTAACTGAAAACAAAATAGCACAATAATAGTATTGCGTCTTTGGTCAGCTCACATCTGAAGACAAGGGGCAAGTACCAATGTAAGATCTTCTTCGTCATGATAATTGTGCATGTGCAACGGTACCTACCTACCTGCAAGTATAGGTATCTATCGTGCTGGCAGATGGTGGCAGGTACGCCAGAAAGGAAAACGTGAAACGCACTGTGGCTTTGTAGTTATTTAGAAACATCTGATCTTAATAATAACATACAGTTCTGACCACTCTTATCTCTATTATGTAGCTTCTCTAACTTAGTACATAGAATCGAGAATCGAGAATCGAGAATCAAGTTCAATATGACCATACCGAAGTAGGTACCGATATGATAAATGTAACAGGATCTCTTAGTGCTACCTGTTACCCGTCACGCATGATTACTTCAACGTGGTACTTTCGGGATAGCCCTTGAGATTCACGGAAAATAGATGCTGGCAAGGTTCGGACCGCTAGGATATTTGAGTGACGAGTCGATTTTCTTTAATGATTCCATAGTGAAATGACGACGAACCGTGGTTTGTCGACGAAAACGTACAGGGAAAGTTGCAAGGGGGGTGTTTATGGCTTTTTTCTTCTGGCAAGATATCGCGATATCCTACTCGGTTAGGTACGAAGCAATTGTCTTCGCATGTGCATAGAGGTGAAAGAGACCAAAAGAACATCAACTTACGTCTATTTTGTGGCAACAAAGCGTATAGCTGCCTAGTATCTACATATGTTATGATAGATCTGCATTCTGATCTCCGCCATTCTCATACTAGCGATGTAACCTAGATAGGTACCTATTTATCTACCTATATTCATTTGTTTTTTTGTTACCTGCACGTCGAAACACGAAATATGATTGGTCAATGAACGAAAGAATTAATTCGGAAGATGTGACCCTATGCGGCCGGTGGGGACTCCGGCATATTTCTCTTCGCTACAAAACAAACATGGAATTCTCTCTATATCTGAGATACCGAGAACGTTTACCTTACGTAGTTACCTAGAACCTATAGGACGAGTTTTATCATGAAAAAGGTAGGAAGACCTGCTTACCCCTGACAGTAGGATACCATACCTACAGTAGGTGGGTAGAGTTTAGAGACATAGCGACCTATTTCGGGATTCAGCTAATGCAGGACTATGCAATAATTATACCAATCGGCACGCTATTGGGGAAATAAACGCTCGTCAAACAAAGAATGCATTTCTGGTTAGGGGCCAAAGCCACTCGGACTCAAAGCCACATTCGCGAAAATCGAGATTGAGAATTGAAAAGGCCAAGTACGATGAAAGCGTTGAACAATCAAACATGAGTCCTGAAAGGATAGGGTGCAGCAACAGGATAACATCAGATCTTAGTCTATACACTTCCCCTCTCTTTCTCTCCATTCCTACTCCATACAAACCGACCATTCACAAATCGAAGCGGCTCTTCGCCAATGATAAGTAAGCTTTGAACGTAGAAGGCCGGGATGAAGTGATCATGTAGGATTCCTGATTCCCGGATCTATTATTAAAAGACTAAGCCAGGGCAGCTAAGAATTATAATTGGCTGTCTATTCGCTGTTGGAGGTGATGCTTTTCCCACACACATTTCCCGACAGTTACCTAACTTAGTAGTGTAGGTATAGTGCTATTTTTGACGCGACACTACTGTATATCACTCTGCAACTGCAGGAACAGAAGGGGGCTATAGGTGCCTAGTCTATAGGTGCCTAGTATAGTAAAAGGTAAAAAGTAGAAAGAGGATAAAGAAACTATCGTGCTACCCAACGTCATCACCCATTACCGCGCTTCTCGCTATAATAAGCGCCTGCTGACAGGAGACACCGCCGTTTCTATCTACATCACACGCATCACATATTCGTTTGTGCGGGATCAAAGCAGATCCGTCTCCCCATTTCCCTAGTTACCCCTCAACGCTTTCGCCCGAGGTAGCACTATCACATCGCATTGTATCGTGTTAGACCTGGCTCTACCGCCTGCACGTATCTCGCACTATATCTAATGGTTCAAGTTCCCGCAGCATGCTCGTAACCACATGCCACTAAGTACTCCTTGCATGCCTGCCTGTATGTACTTATGTAGGTTAGGTATGACCCGCCGAGCATTAGCCCGTTCGCTCGTCCGTCCACTTCGGTATGATGTCGCGTGCGTGTGTACATGTAACTTGCTCCGCCAAAAAAAAGAAGAAAGGAAATGGGCTTATTAACTGGCCGCCTTATAATTCGGTTAGCGTTCCGAACGGGGAGGAGTCAAGCCCTGTGGCTGTATCATGTTTGGTGACACTCCAGTTCCAGGTTGCGGAGACTTTCCCTCACGTTTTATTTTTTATTATTGTGAGTCCGTCTTAGAATCCCCCACGTTTAGCAAATTATTATGTCTTAGGTACCTAATTTGTGGTGGATGGATGGAGTGACATAGGAGTTCGTGGGAGAGGAAAGGAAATCGGGGTAGAGTACGTAGAAGCCGCCGGCAATCTATGTCAGCTCGTTACATTGAGGAATCATTGCAACGCTGGGGAGGCCTTTACACTGTTTACAGACCCCATTCATCCACACCTACACACCTATAATCCGCTTCGTTCCTACCTCCTTGCAACGCAATAAAAAAGGTAGCATGCATATGCCAGGACTTCGGCATACAAGGCGATCCGATCCAATCCAATGGGTAGCAGTAAGGCTTGACGGGGGGAGGCCGGCGATTGGTTTCCTCAACCAGATCCTGAGAAAGGAGGTGAGCTGAAGGCCTAGGGTCCAGAATAACATAACCCCATGCACTCCAACTTCTAGACTCTGGGCATACCTAGTATAGATCCATACCGGAATTTTACGATGACGACGATGGCTTGCTTGTATTTCCCGCCCACAATCTATCTCCCGCAGCGAGAACCCGTTTCGATTCCGCACTACGTACGTACTAAGTAGCTACCCTTACGAAAGACTATGTCGATATCTAGAAGAAGAACATATCTAACCTAGATACCTATGTATAATGGGCCTCGGGCTCATAAGCTACAGTACGATAGAGGAATAGTTGCCAAGGTATGTATTTACATGTAGGTAGGTAGCCATTTTAGCTAGCCCCCTTCGGTCAGCAGCGAAGGAATGAGGATCGTTCATCGTCAGCCCTACCGCTCCATCTACTTATATTCCGATGACAATTGCCCCTTCGCAAACCAATAAACGTCTCCAATCTTTCGGTAAGTGAAAAGAATGAAATTAGGTACGCACTTAAATTGTCAGTAGGCAGGCAACTATGACTGTAGGTAAGTAGGCTAACAGAACCACTCTGGAGACGTTCAGGGGTGGCTTGCCTCGAACTTCGGATGCCGCCCCCAAGCTGATATCTCTTTCACAAACCTGAATAGGCCGTTTATACGACCTTTTCCCACTTTGGTCTAAACCCGTCGTTCGCCTCCGCCAGTTCCATGATACCTAACCTTCTCGTCCAGGCCTACCCTCAACCAACGAGCGGGACTTTGACGTTACATGTGAATAATATATTTCATACGAAATCAAGCCACTAGGAACTAATTCTCGTGATTCGTAACTAACCTCAACCAAGTACACGTAAGTCCTGCTGTGATAGCTACCGAGCATTGTAGTTGGAGTTCTATTCAACCAATGACGCTCTTACTTATATGGGGGACGACGATAGTATTCGTGAATAGACGCATCTACAGATAACAGATAGCCGCCGTCATCGACTATGGACCACTTTGAATCCTTCCACTACCACCTACCTACATACCCTACGTGTGAATGGCAGGAAATGAGCCTCACCTATCAACCTACCTACCTACCCCCTTACCTAAGTAGGTACATAGGCACTAATGAAGTACCACACAGCTTCACCCTAAGCATGAGCATGACGATTACATCCTGCCTTGAATGTTCCAAGTAACACAATTCGATTCAAGTGCCAACTAAACAATTCGAATACGAGAAAGAGCTGGCTAAACTAGAAAAAATAACCCCCCCCTTTTTTTTTTTTGAAAACATGAATCCGTATACACATGACCAACCAACCCCAGACGCCCTCCCCTCCAATAGAATCCCAGGGGTCTCCTAGGTATACACATAACGGCTAGGTTCGACAGCTTCCACCTGAGTAGGTAGTAGGTAGGTAGGCTTTCGAGCAAGCAGCAGCAGGCCGATCACGAATCTGCCTCGCTCGCCCCCCTTTCCCTTTTCCAGGTGTCACCATGATCCTCGTCATCATCATCATCATCTGCCAACCTCCAGCCTCCCCAGGCACCAACCCATCCAAGTACCCTTTTCCCTTTTACCCAAAGCGGTGCGATTCTTCAACACAAAAAAATCCAAGGCAGACCTCACCACCAATCCCCCTGATCATGCATGGCCTGGACCACCTTCAAGAACCCCGCAATGTTGCCGCCCGCGACCAAGCTCGGCAGCTCGCCCTCCTCCGCCTTGACATACCTCTCCGCGTTCGCGATGCTCAGCTCGAAGATATTCTTCATGATCTGCTGGAGCCTCTCGTCGACCCTCTCGGCCGTCCAGTTGAAGCGGCTGCTGTTCTGCGCCATCTCCAGCCCCGAGACCGCCACGCCGCCCGCGTTCGACGCCTTGCCGGGCGCGTACCACACGCCCCCCTTCCCGCGGCGCGCGGCCTCGAAGACGTCGATGGCCGCCTGCTCGCAGCCCATGTTGGACCCCTCGGCGACGAACTGCACGCCGTTCTTCACGAGCGTCTCGGCCTCCTCCTTGCTAACCTCGTTCTGCGTCGCGGACGGCAGCGCGATGTCGACCTTGCCGACGTGGACCCAGGGGCGGGCGCCGGGGATGTACTTGAACTGGGCGGTGGCGTTGCTGAACTGGGTGAGGGGCTTGCGGGCGAGCTTGATGGCGGCGATCTCGTTGACGTGGGCGGGGGTGAAGGCGGCGTCGCCCTCGGCGATGAGGCAGCCCGTGGAGTCGGAGAGGGAGACGACGGTGGCGCCGAGCTCGATGCACTTCAGCGCCGTGTACTGCGCCACGTTGCCGGAGCCGGAGATCGCCACGCGCTTGCCCTTGAAGGAACCCTTGCCGGCGTGCGCGATCATGTGCTCGACGTAGTAGACGAGGCCGTAGCCGGTGGCCTCTGTTTCGCGGCGAGTGTTAGTGATCAAACATAAATCTTCGCTAGATACCTAGTAGGTGCCTAAGGAAAGTAGTGTTGCTTGCTTACCAGGACGAATCAAACTTCCACCCCAGTCAAGACCCTTGCCGGTGAGGACGCCCTCCCACTTGTTCCTCTCCTTGCGGTACGCGCCAAACATGTAGCCGATTTCTCGGCCGCCGACACCAATGTCGCCGGCAGGCACGTCGGTCTCGGCGCCGATGTGCTGGCAGAGTCTGCGCATGAAGGCCTCGCAGAATCGTCGGATCTCGCTGTCGCTCTTGCCCTTGGGGTCGAAGTCGGCGCCTCCCTTGGCACCACCCATGTTCACTAAGTAGGAAGATTAGCAAGTGCTCTATTTCTTTTTTCTTTTTCTCTCCTTTTCCGGCGCCAATCAACTTACATCCAGTCAAGGCATTCTTGAAGATTTGTTCAAAGCCAAGGAATTTCAAGCTATCAGAACGATACACATTAGCAAGCCTGACCCAATAACTCCCATTCCAACAGCTACGGGAGGAGAAAGCCCAGATTTTCCTCACATAGACAAGTTAACAGTAGGATGGAAGCGCAAGCCGCCCTTGTACGGGCCGAGCGCGGAGTTGAACTGGACGCGGTATCCGCGGTTGATCTGTAGGTTTCCCTTGTCGTCCTCCCAGACGACGCGGAACTGGATGATGCGCTCCGGGATGGACACCACGTTCAGTGCGGTTCGGTACTCGGGGTGTTCCTCGAACAGCGAGCTGTTCTCGAGCGTCGCCACAAGCTCTGTAAGCTTTCGTGTTAGTCTCAGTCCCTTATCTGAAGGTAGGTACGTAGCCTAGGTAGATATCGTATCTAGCTACATTGCCGGCCAAGGCCAGCTAGGACGAGCCGAGCCAAGTGCATTTACCTTTGTAAGCCTGCTCGAACTCAGGCTCAGCAGGAAGATGAGACATTATTGCGGGGGTGTGTTGGTAGTAAGGAAAGATTGGTATATGAGCCGGATTCGGTATCTGGTAGGATCTCGCACCAGGTTGACGAGATAAGTATGAGGAGCGTGAAAATAATTCTAAGTCTGTGTGCGAGGAAGAGACACGGAGTATAATAATACGATAATATGATCAAATGAGTCGTGTTATCTCTCGAGACCAAACTCTAATTTCTCTCAACAAAGCGTATTGGCAACGGTGACAAAGGGGGTAATAAGTCATGTGTCTCCTCGAGGTCAGGTCGAGGAGGTAAGCCCGTCTATTATACTCATCAACCTCCCGGAGCAAGCTACAAGTCTACGCGTGGGAAGGTCACCGTCATCGGTCCTCCCCCGGACTAGAATAATGAACATTGCCGATCATGGCTTCCTAACACATTGCCGTTCTCTAGAGCCTAGGTAGTCTAGAGTGTGGTTCCTATGAGAAGACTGAGGTAGGCAAGTAGGCTAAGGTCTGACTTCGAATGACTACAATTGTTCGCTAATCGAGTGAAGACAGGATTGCAGGTAGCCTTACCGGGTCACCACGCAAGGTAGAGAAAGGTGTGGGGGGTCTAGCCCACGGCGACTATTCCGGCTGATTTTCTTCGTTTTACCTTCATGGTACTTTTTTTCATTATTCCTTTCCCCTGTCCGGTTGAGGTAATTGTTGTTCCGTCGCATCAGATCTGAATTATATGCCTCATATTTCTTTAGTTTGCCGCAGATCCGATGCCTCAAATTATTCGTAGCCTGACTTTGGAGAGCGCAGTCGGCGAGAGCGTTCCTTTCTTTTTTTCGTTCTCCCTTTTCCCTCTCATTTGAAGTGTGGCCGCCGGTGCTTGGATTATTTCCCCCGTCATCTTACATATCATCTTACATACATATATACATATATCTGTGGCCAAGCGAAAAGGTTTGACAGCTGAACTAGGTAAATAGCTTGTTGTAGTTTAAGAGATAGGTACTTAGAAGAGACGTACGTACCTACATATAAGAAATATCACGCATATATTTGCACAAGCTGATGGGCTAGCTCCCTACTTAGACCCAGATAATATAGTTATCACAAGCTAATTCGTTCCGTGATATAGACCTACAGGAGGCACTTAAACCCGTAAGCTCATCGTGTCTGCATGTCTGCATGTTAAAATTGTCTACAACCTCAGCAAGCATGTGAGCGGCGGTGCGGTGACGGAGTTTGTGGGCAAAGACATCGTCGTTACTACGACCAAGCCATGTGCTCGTGTGGGGGAACTAGGATCTAGAACGGAAATTAAACCAACCACAGCAAGTATCGGAACCGCCCTACGGCATGGTAGCCTTTGGGTAGGCAGTATGATAGGCCCAGGTAGGCCCAGGTAGGGATGATGAGCAAGCCAAGCAGCTCAGGTATACCAGGGATGAAGCTTAAGTTCGCCACAGCTGAGCGGCATCTTATCACAGCTTGGTGATTCGTCAGTTGAGTTTGGGACGACAATAGTATTCACGTCAAACGAAACCCTTTTGTGAGCCTCGTACTCCTATAAACTCTGTATATATGGAATTCCACGACCGCCGTTCGCGGAATGACCCTGCCAAGATCTTGGTACTAGGAGGGCGGACCCTGCAGAACATGCATCTCTTGGTAATTTGACCCCAGCTAGCACCAGCAGCACCTCGTTCATGCATATGTATTGCGTAATAGAGATTCATTTTCCTCCAATCATTCTCCAGTTCATCTTTAGACCGGCATGTTCCCTAACCGGAGCATCTCGGAGCCTCTTGAGAAATTTACCATCACATCCCATACATAGTACGACGTATTACACTTGAGCGGGATGTCTTCCTTCGACGAGGTCTGTGTGAGATGTGCTGCATGAAGCCACGCTGTCTGGATTATTTGCATACGAACGTTATTGTGATATGCCCTCTTCGGGTTTCATCGTGGTTGGCTTTCTAGTGCGACCACCACATTGCAACTCCAGATCTCCTGAATAAACCACCGACCCAAGACTCCGTGTCCCTCCCGATTTCTCCATAAATGTCCAACCTCCCTGGGAACTATAGAAGCTCCGATTACTAACCTAGTCGTTACCATATAGCCGCTTGATCGAAATCGAACCGCTTCAACTCTTTGCTAGCATCCTCGACGTCTTTCTTAGCTTTCATGCGCATGTAGAAGATAGGACAGTCCTTGCTGCTACAGATGACCTCGCAGTGCATGCTCCCCTGGCACCGTTGACATTGCGTCCACAGGCGTCCAAACCGGACTTCAAGATCTGACACCTTGTCTAATGTCTTCTTGTAAAGCTCACCTACACGCGGCGCACAATTAGAGCAGACGGCACCCTCACTCTCGTCCTTCGTCACAAGAGGCTTCTTGCAACCCATACATGTCATCGTCTTCTTTGTGAATTTCATGAGACCCCCTACTGTGGGCGCCGCCACCGAGATGGCACGCGTGTGGGCACCTGTGAGGAGCGATTTGGCTTTGGTTTCTCCGAGGATCGGGTCGAATATACGTCCCAAGGGCTTGGCTAATTGGTTGTCCAAGTAATATCTCGTGTCGATTGGGACGTTATTTTCTAGAACGAAGATGGGGTCTTCCGACCGCTCGAAGTTCCTCGATCCGCTCGCTCCCTTGACCATGACATACGCCACTCGATCACCTAGCCCGGGCGCAGAACCAGCATCTCTTTTCTTCATACGGTGTGCGAGCTCAACGTGAGCCTGCTTTGCATCGTAACTTTCCTTGGTGAGGGCTTTAGTGATCACGAGCTTTGACATATCTACTTTGTTCTGCAGCAAATCTGCGATCGTGTCCTTGACATAGCTGCAAGAATGGTTAATATAATGCAAAATGGAACGAAGGTTGTCAATACATACTCTTGAGCTCCCTGAACATCCTGATCGATCAGGATCATTCGGAGAACCTTCTCAATGACGGTTTGTACCAAAAGACAGTTATCTCTCCTGACTGTCTCAATACCCTTGGTGTCCATCTTGTCGTACTTTTCAGGTCTGGTCCAGAAGAGACCAGCATATCGCTTTTTGTTGATTAGCAGATATGGGAAATATACCTTTTCGAATTCTAGCTTGATGGGCTTCGCAAATTTGGATGACACAAAGCTTGCGGCCTCCTCGCCATATTTCATTGCCTCGCTTAAATCCTTCGTTCCAAATTTGACCATGACGGAATCTGTGTCACCGTAAATGACTTGAGCATCATGAGAATAGCCATTCGCAATTGTGTACTTCTTCTCGACTTCGGACTTCGTCTTCTCGATCATCTGCCGACCATAACTAGTGGTGCTGCTGGCAATTTCGAGACAGGGAAGCTTGCCGGTTGTTGCGCCTGTAAGACCGTACACACTGTTGGCGCTGACCTTTAAAGCAAGTTGACGACCATTCAAGACAGCTTTCTTGAAAGGATCGGTTTCGACAGCTAGCTCTCTCTTGGCCTGCTTTCTGGCTGTGAGCAATTCCTCAAGAATTTGAGCGAGGAGCCCCTTTCGTTGCTTGGCCGTGACAAACAGATCACCAGTCGGCGTAACTATGTAATCCTCGTCCTTCTTGAGCTCAAGCCTATCCACTGTTTTCTTCGACACGAGGGTTGTGTAACAAAGGTTATGTGCTTGCATGATACTGGGGTACAGCGATGCAAAATCCAGGGTTGCGATGGGTACGTCGTAGAACCCACGGGTAGGTTCGATGACAGTAGCACCTTCATACTGATCATCTGAGGTTTCCCCTTTACTATTCGGAATGACAAGCTTTTGCTCCAAAGCTTTTCGATATAGCTGGCTCATAAACTTGACCTGTTGTCCACGTGAAAGAAGGAAGTTGAACGGAACTCCCGTGACCCTAGCCATTTCTGTGTAGTTCGCAAGACAAGAAAGTTTATCCATTAATCGCTGAGGCAAGTAAGCATCCTTCAAACAATACAGTGCTAATCGTCGTCTAGATTCCGGTGTACCGTTGAATAGCTCAGTAATCATGGTATGATGGACATCTTCCTTTTGTTCTCCTAGAAAATGAGAACATACCGAATTCAGAGTGTAGCTCCTAAGGTGGTGATCTCGCTGGATTAGTTGTAAAAGATCTAGTTGTAGCCGCCCGTTCGTATTGGTAGTCTGAGAATCTCGATTACCCATCTGCTTGCTAGAGAATTTGGCTTCTCTGGTGTACGACCTGACGCTGGGTAACCGCGTCCAGTACTCGAATCCACGAACATTGAGGTGTTTTGCACGATTAAGCAAATATGGAAAATCGAAGTTGGCAATATTGTAGCCAGTGATCAGATCAGGGTCGACCTTGTCTAGGAATCGCTTCCAGGACATAAGCATATCCTCCTCCTTCTCGAAGTCGAGGATCTGCGTTGCCACGATAGGACTTGTCTTATCCAAGCAGAATACGTTTCGAACGAAGGGTTTGCTCTCTCCGTAACGTGTCACCACATTGGCAATTTGAATGACTGGGTCGTGGTTTGCTTCTGGGAAAATACCCTTTCTTCCAGCACACTCAATATCAAATGACAAAATTCGCAAGGGTGCCATCTTGGACCACTCGCCTTTCGGTTCGTGGGAGATCAGGTCTTTATAGTTAATTTCGGCTTCTATTTGACAACTTGATTGTCGCTGGTTGTCTCTAACGAGGCGGTATGCTTTGGCAGGGGCTTCTACCCACGACATACCAGGGATCTAAAGTCATTATTAGTATATGAAATCCTTGTTATTGGGCGTAGTGAGCAGTCCTAGGTACGCACCTTGCAGTCAACCATGAATCGTAGGACGTATTGCAGGTTATCAAACGTTTTTATCCCGCCTTCAGCTCCATCCCACAGGCCCTTCCAATTAATGTAATCTTTTGGCCTTTCGAATCCGCCGCGGAGCTTCGAAATGGTCTTTGGATCCATGACCGTAATCTTGATAAAAGGGGTTGGGGTGTTGCCTTGAAATCCGAAAATGCTCTCCTTCATCATGAATTGGCAGGAGTGTATAAAGGTCTGCTTCTCGGCCATTTGGGTTTCGAGATAGGCTTTGAATGCATCGCAATCTTTAGGAGAGAAGGATATCGGGGCGGGAATATAGAGATAGTGTTTGAAGTCTGTAACGTGAAGCATGACAGAGTGGCCGTTCTCAGTAACGCCGAAGAGTTTGACGGTAGGATTTCCGCCATGGAGTGTGCCCTCCTCAGCTTCTATTTGTTGGAAAATCAGACTATCCCTCTCGGGACTAAAGTTGACAACGGGAGGACGTTCCCAAGCTTGGTCCTTCTCTGCATTGGACTGCTTGAGTTCTGAGATATCCTGGCTTAGTTTCTCAAGGACTTCGGACTCGAAGGCGCTCTTGGGTTGAGTAGATAATAGTTTATGGCCAGGACCTTGTTGGGAGCTGTTCAATCGCGATGCTGGTGAGGAAGAATGCGGCTCTAAGCGACGTTTTTTTATTGCGGATGAGTCTCCAGGCAAGTTCAGGCGACTAGAAGCATCGCCGAGAACGCGCTTCTGGGGTAGAAGCTTGCTGGCCATGACACCGTTTCCTGAGGACAAAGACGATGGGGAAAAGAAGAGGAAATAATGAAACCTGGAAGCATCAAATTTGGAATGTGATTATGGCCGAGGGTGATGTTGATGTTGATGTACGATGAGAATTAGTACTGCTATGTAAGTACTTGGCAAGTATAGATAGCAGGTACTGTGTACGCGATGAACGTGAATCAGTTAACATCAGTGAACTTTAAGTGGTTTTTTGGGAAAGCGCGTCGCGTTCATAAATTGGCAGGGGTCTTTGATATCTTAAAGTGGGGGGGACGCGTTTTTAACGTCATTTAACTATCCTTGCATTGTGCTTTAGTTAATAGGTTGCTGTTTATATAAATAACATGCTTTTAATGCATCAGCCGTAATTGGCTTAAATTAACAGGGGCTATGTATCAATCAAATTCACGGTCTGGCTGCTGGTATTGGTATTGGTACAATTGATGTTGATGGTTCCGACTAAGATTTGAAACTGAGTGCGTGTAGAACCATATTTCATCATCTCCTAACGGTATCTACTCATGTAGGTATCTGACTGTACATCTAGCTACGTATATTCGGATTGAGAACACGCACTATATACCTAAGTACTTGATGTCTAAAGTTCTCGCCCACTGGCCTTTTCAACACTCTCTTCCTCTGACACCTTTTGGATTGGTGTCCATTCCAAAGCCTTCAATCTCTCGGAAAGAATAGGGTGGGAGAAGTGATAGCTCGCATACATCCAGTCTGCATCCATTGTGCTAAGATTCTGGATCTGGAGTTTAATAAGCGAAGAAGCTAATTCAGCCTTATAGCCCAAGTTGCGAGCAAATTCATCTGCCTGGAACTCGAACCGACGGCTCATAATGTTCATGAGTAACTTGATCACGAGATCCATCGGAGCCAATGCATCAGAGAACAGAATGAACCCAATGATGATGGGATGCTCCTTAGTAAATCCGAAGTCCGCGTAGAGGGAGGCGTTGTTGACGAAGACAGAGAACAAGCTGAAGATGTAGAAAACGTTGATCTGTCAAATCGTTAGCATATGCAGTACTTACATATCCATCGCCCATTCATGCGGGTATCTAGACATACCTGTGAAATGCCAAAAAGTCTGGTAGTATGGCCGAGGCTCCAATGTCCTAGTTCATGCGCAAGAACAGCGACAACCTCCTCTTCGTTGCTTTTCTCAATCAGGGTATCGTAGATGACAATGTGCTTCTTCCATGGAAGACCGAAGAAGTAAGCATTGCTGTGCGCACTGCGCTTACTGCCATCGATGACGAACAGCTCATGGAGGGGAAACTTTAATTTCTTTGCCAGTTCCTCGGTCTGAGTCTTCAACTTGCCTTCTTGTAGCGGAGAAAGCTTGTTGAAAAGCGGCAGAATGAAAATGGGGTAGACCGTGATCATGAAAACCTGAAGGACAGCGGTAAAGAGCCATAAATATGTAACAAACTGAGTACCAGTCTTCTTCACAATACTAAGGAAACCAGCAAGAATTGGGGGTGCGAAGGCGAAGGCGAGAAGGTTCGATTTGATCATATCCGTGATGAACAGCTTTGGCGTCTGCTTATTAAACCCAAATTTCTCTTCTAGGACGAAGGTGTGGTATACGTTTGCAGGCAGAGACAGTGCTTGTTGGATTAGAATGAACGTAAGGACGAAGACAATTGAATGTGAAATCTCGCCGGTAAACCCAGCAGGTGCAAAGCGGAGGAGACTGCCAGTCCAAGACCATAGTTTCGGGAGAACATCAAAGTGAATGAAGGCAATATTTTGGATTTGACCCCAGAGACCGCGAACGAATCCAAACTTGGCTTTCGCTCGACCATATTCCTGACTTTTATCGTAGACATCTTGAGTAACTTCTTTCGCTAGAACCTGAGGGGGCTTTGTTTTCTGAAGGACACCATACTGTCGAAAAGACAAGAACTCTTCGAAACAATACTGGGCGACGGAGAAGCCAATGATGAGCTTCTTCCACGGGAAGAGGGGTCGGTCTAAGAACCGAGCTAGGCGCTATTCAATTGACGTTAATACTTGTACTTGCTAGATTTTAGAAAGGACTATCATAAATACCTGAAGTATGTCCATCCTGCCGAGATGAAATATTTCGGTCGTGATGGGAACATAGAAATCTGTCTCAAGTAGCTTGGAAAGAATTCTACGCGAAGTGTAAGCGAAATACTTAAGCTCCAGAGTCTCATCATTGATGGAGAAACCGTGTCAGGTCCGACGTCAACGTGGCTGGTGAGATGACTTTGTGGCTGTGGCACACACACACACACCACACAGACTCCACTTTAAATTGATGGCAGTCACGGTGAGGGCCGTGACTACCTAACCTTATGGGAAGTTACAGCTTACTCTATGTACGTGTAACATCGAGCACACATGTGCCACGGGTCACTATAACTTACTTGTATCGTGATGCAACATATAACTTCGATCTGTTTATACTACCTGGGGTATGATAGTTATAGGTATCTGGGTAGGCATAGTAACTGGCATTGGCTTCTTGTTACAACCTTGGAAGTGCTTTGATATACATCTAAGCCCAATTAACTATCCATCCTCCTACTATTCCATTACTACTGCCTGAATTAACCTATCTCATATTCGCCCTGACTCTTTCCAGCAGTTGTTCTCGAGAATCGCTCTCTTGAGGGTGAAGGTTACGCTAAAGGTATCAGTTAGAAGACGATCTTTATACAGAGACTTTATAAATTCGAATGATTCTTACAGCAGCGAGCCATCTTCTTAGCTCTTCTCGGGTCCAATCCTGAGGGTCGCCGGTTGGATCTGCCGCAGTAGGAAAGATACTTCCACCCCACATCGACCACGCCAACGCGGCCGTGACGAGCCCGGAGAAGGCTTTGAAATAGACCTCCATTAGTATTGTGCGGATGTGAAGGATGTAATATCGCAGTTAATGTATGTACCTAATACGGCGTTCTACCCACGTGTCATGTTAGCTTTTTATGTTCCCATCATTTGTGTCTTTACATAAGTATAGGTATGTAGAGTGGCAGCTACATAGATATGTAGTATAAATAAGTACCTTGGACTTTAAAGCATTATCAATTGGAGTAGGCATGATGAGCATGTAATGGGAAACGTATGGAAGAAGCTATCGAGGTATTCATATAAACTCATCAAGGTTATCAAAAGTTATATTGTGAGTCATTTCCATTACGAACTCAAGCAATGAGGCAACTCTGTCCAGTCTAGAAGTGTTATACGGAGTCTTCCAATTATAAGGACAACATTTACATCTGTCACCTGTCACTGTACCTTATTTAGCAGTGGCTTGGTTGAAGCTAGCCCACGTCATTCAACGTTCAATTGCACAGCCCACTTTGAAGGCATACCTAGTAACTACCTACATATGTAGTATCTAACTTAGGTAGTAACTAATAGGTATATATGTACCTAAGTACTATGTAGGTATGCACAGACCATTCTTCAACGGGGCCGTTGACCTGAACCAGCTCGACCTACACTAGTGTACTAACCTAGTTATGTAGTTAGTGAACCCCGCTAAGCTTGATTGGTGCTCAACTTTACCGGCCCCATCATCGCGAAATTTCACCCACACAATTTCTGCCCGCACAATTTCGCAAGCAACATTCAAAATCCAATAATTTGCATTCTCCCAGCATTTTCATCTTCCTACCAAACACACAATCTTCCTATCACTCAGCCAAGATGCCTCAGGAAATCGCAGATATCAAGAAGGTATGCTTGTTTTTATCATGAAATCCGCAAAGTCTATAAAGGATTCAAATTTCGCTAACAATTGCATTTTTAGTTCATCGAGATCTGCCGGCGGGACGACGCCAAGTGTACGTGATTATATGAGAAATTAGTTGCCGGACACGGTTTTTCTAACGTTAACTCTGTACAGCCGCCCGGATTAAGAAGAACAAGAAGTCGTCGCAGACCAAGTTCAAGGTCCGATGCTCCAAGCATCTCTACACCCTGATCCTAAAGGACTCCGACAAGGCCGAGAAGCTGAAGCAGAGCTTACCTCCTAGTACGCAACTATCCCCGTCCGATACATTGTGCAGGGCTTCCAATTACACTCTCTAACATATGCTGCCCAACAGACTTGCAGATTAAGGATGTGCCCAAGAAAAACAAGAAGGGAAAGCATACTGCGTAAATTTCTAGCTAGTCTTCCGAGGAAACAATAAATACCGATATCACTTGGGGAAGTGTGAGGATGATGTATGACTTGGCATCCACTGAAAGTCCTTTATCGAGAACCGAAGTCGAGAACTGATGAGGTGATGCATATGTTCTTTGGGGCTGGGCTGGCATGTCATGTTCATGAGGCGGCGTCTAAGGATACCATCAGAATTGATATTTCTCAAGCACGAATAGCTTGCAGATAATTCACAACGATTACACAAAGTACTCTATTTTGAGATTGAGAGGCATTGCTCCGAAGAGACATATCTGTCTCTATATATGTCTCTATGACTTCCTAGCATATGATGGATCCGTGGATACTTTCACAGGATTCTTCGGTAACACTTCAGGTCGCGAGTTTGCGCAAAGGACGCCAAGACTGATTGGTACCTCTCGAAATCCTTGGCTTGCGCAAAATCTCGATATTTCTCAAGATTTGGCCAGCCAGCGACCAAAACAAATTCCTCCGTAGTTTCATTCTCCTTTTCGAGGCGCCAACCATTTTTGACCACGTTTGGTTTCACGAATTCTTCCAGGATGCCTTTAACTTCGTTCCAAGCTTGCTCAAATGCTTGCCGCTTCTCAGCCGCGATGGTAAGTCGTCCTACACTGATAATAGGGCTCTGCAGTATAGAGATCTCGCCATTTTTACCCGACGTACTATTTATGGCGACATCTTTCAAGTGAAAGTAGACGATCTTATCGACCTGGAAATAGGGCGGAATCTTAGAAAGAGTTTCACGGTTTTCGGGAGCCGCAATGCAAAGGTTGTGCTCCTCAACAGATGCCCAGTGTGCTGTCAGGAGATAGACGGATGGGTCCTCGATTTGCTGGAGGAAACTGACGCCGCGGTTTTCTCTTCCTTGGGGCATCGACGGAGCATTGCGAGTGGACCATTCAGTTTGAACCTCGATTGCCTGGTTTATGACCTCCGTCCCCTCCGCTGTGACTGGGCCTGAAGCGCCGACAAAAAAGGCCAATTCTGTGACTGTCATGCTGACTAATGTTGTTGATATTGACTTGTAATACAATTAACAGTGTGACTACCAGGGCTATCTACTCTCTACTCCATAGTTATGAAGCAAGACGGCGGATTACAGGGCTTTTATACTTGACTTTCAAGGATCAATGTTACCTACGGCGCAGTACATAATGCCTACGGCGTAGTACATAATGCCTAGGCACCTAACATATCAATAATCACGCAAGCACTGCAGCGACGCTAGGTAATTACCCAATGTGGCTTCTCGTTTCAATTATGCTTAGGTAGCAAACCATAACTTCCCAGGTGCTGAAGATCGAATATACCATGTACAAGTATGCAATATGCAAGCCTATAAATAACTCCTTTTATTGTAACCAATTGCACTGCCTCGAGGATCAACCCTTTACCTCATACATATGCAGTAAATGAAACCTCAGTTTCAACCCTCCAGCCTCGTCTTGCTTCCTTTTTTTTCTTTCCTCTTTTCCTCCTTTTCCCCTATAAAATGCTGGCGTTGTCGAGTACTTCATCTCGGAGTCCTCGTCCGCCACCTAGGTGAACCTTTGATATGGATACTACCTAGGTACCTAGATAACTGATAACTGAGCAAGATATGCCATTTTACATATAAAACAAAAAAAAAAAGAGGAAGAAAATGGCGGAAGTTATTGGGACGGTTGGGTCCATTATCAGTATTGCTGATTTTGGGCTCAAGTTCGCGATGACCCTACAAACTTATATCGTAACAGTGGCCGATTCGCAGGAAAGCTTGCGGGACATTGCATTCGATGTCAGCGCCACGGCGACCGCTCTGGAACAGCTCCATGAGTTTGTCAAGACAGACCAGAATGGAAAAACGATCGCAAACGACTCGGGTTTGGAACAAGTGGTGAAGCTGGCATCGCAATGCAAGCAGGTCTACACTGCAATCTTCAATCTTATCGCCAAGGCGGCCGGTGTGCAGTTGGATAGCAATAGCGACGCATCTCTTAATGATGTAGATCTGAATAACTTAAAGGCCTCGAGCTTAATGCAGAAGCTCAAGTGGCCCTTCAAAGAACCTCGCATTAAGAAGCACCAGGAAGAGTTGAGATGGCTTAAAATCAGCTTGCTCTTCCACTTACAACTCATGCAGCTTGCCAAAACAAAGATGACGTTAGTTATACTCGCTATCCTATTCATTCAGTATCAAGCTAAATATCTGAACATAGAGCACCAGCTAAGCTACAAACCTCTCTGGATGACGAGGCAGCTGTAGCAGCTACCCTCGTGAAACTTCTAGAGCGCAAGGAAGCGTATACCAAGAGAATGGTAATGGAACGGAAGAAGAAGAAGAAGAGAAGAAAAGCCAAAATGAAGGCAAAGGAACCATCCAAGGCCCCTTCCACGAACACAATAGACGAAGGTCCGTCTGAAAGCTCAAATCTCGACCGCAAGATGTCTCCTGCGCTTGGTAATGATTCTCCTACATCCGAAATCATTCTTATGCAGAATCTGTCACCCGATAAAATAGACAACAAAGAAGAGCCATCCAAGTCTGATCTCAACCTTGGTATACCTACCCGTCTAAGTATCACGAGGTAAACTACCCAACGAATACTTCCAAAGGCCGGAATTACTAACAAGTTGCAGTCGTATCCTAGCGAATGTGCCAACTGAGAAATTTGGTGCCAACTCGATGGGGGGGATGGAGCCTCAAGAGACCACCAGGGGCAACATCACACCAGAAAATCCCGGCCAAGAGTCAAAGTCGCAGATCGCGACAAACAAGACAAATAATAGACCTTCCCGAGGACGTGTGAGAACGCAAGATTCGATATTCCCTGCGCGACACGATGTACCAGAAAAGGAATCAACCCATCCAGACGCCAACAACGGGACGCAGCATCCTTCCAACCACACAACAGAGGCTTCAGGAAATAGTAATACACTGGAAATTCTACAGGAACCTTTTCGCGCGTTGCTACTGGGGTTTTCTAAGCTGCGCAAACCATTCGATTGGGAAAGCGAGGAGCTCGTCGCCTATCTCATCGAAGAGCAGTCGCGCGCCCCCGCCCGCCGACTGCCCCTCGGTCACCAGAAGCTGACCGACATGCTCCGGCAGGCCATGAAGTCGCGCAAGAACGGCGTGTGGGCACAGCACGCAAGCCTGAGCGCGGAGATGAGAAAACGAGTAGACGAGACGACGGAGAATGAGAACAGCTCGAGCCTGTTCCAAAAAATATGCGTTGGCATCAGTCCACACCGTAGGTCGAAGGACGCCTATGTCGTTATTTACCTTACTCTACCATCCATCGTCCGACCTATTCATCTTAAAGCTGGTACCCGCTACTATCAGTTCCCATTCTATATGTGCCGCACGTGGGCTGTAAGTTGCCCCCCCCCCCCCCCCCTTCTTTTCTTCCCGGATATCTATGATACACAATAAGCTTAGTACGGCAATGCTTACACAAGTGCACAATGACAGGATATGATCAGTCTCATCACACAAAGACTCGCGGATCTCGACTACGTACGAGAAAGGCGCTACCGGCTTAAAGGCCCTGATGACCGTATCATCACATCCACGACATGGAAAGCAACTATACACCCGGGCTTCGTCGTCTTTCTACACGCCATCAGCGTCATGAGCGCCATCAAAGCCTCCCTTGATCTGGAGCAGACCGATTATTACAATCCGCCCGCACCTCCACCTCACCAGCGCATCAAGAAAAAGGAGCGTAGGGTTAGTAGTATATTTCCGCAATTTGGCCGGATGAGTTGGCCCAGGTTCGGTAGAAGGAGGATGGCAACGCGGGGAAAACATGGCAACGCTCCTTCTACTTCTCGTCTCTCTCGCGCTCATGTCACGGACCTTTACGGCCCTCGCATCGAGGACAGCTCCTCCGACGGGTTCCCAGCCCGTATAAGCGAGCCGAGTAGAGTACAGCTATACCGCCCACCGGTACCACTACAACAACCGCGCCCAGCAACCGAAAACCTCGCCATCACGGCACCACCATCAAGCCCCCCTCGGAAGAAGGGGAAGAAGAAGAAGAAGCGGAGACTGCGGCTAGACGAGTTCGAGACACCAACGATGGGAGATTGGGCGGACGAACACGAACTCGTACTCGAATCCGGAGCGATTCCGGGAGGAGGACAAGTCTTAATCCCAAGCGACAGTGAAAGAGACGAAGAAGAAGAAGAAGAAGACGACGACGACGACGACGACGAAGGTACTGACATCATCGACTTCGAGGCGGAGGAGCAGGGAGATGGTAATGATGCTCGCCTGGGACTTGGCGGGCTCCTGGGGAAGTGGACGAATGCGGTTGGTTGATAATGCTTCTATAGGTAGGTAAGTAGGTAAACGGGGAACAGTAGGCGTTAAATGAGTAATGATAGTGATGATGATGATGATATCGGATATATATCTGCCTAGGTTTCAGGGGCCAGCAATTTATTTTTGGATGAAGCGGGAACTTATAGTATACCTACCTACTTATCTACCTAACCTACATGGTAGGTACCCAAGTTTGAAGTTTTAGATATATTGGCAAGACTGATTGATCGGACATGGGACTAAACGAGTTGGAAACAAACAAAGTCATTTAAATACTAACGTGAAAGGGCTAGGATCACGAAGGATAATTCGCGTGCAATAATAAATAACCAAAACATAGGTAGGTAGGTAGGTATATATATACTTCACATGCCCAAAGCAATAAGCGTACGTGCATGTACAAAAAAAAAAAAACTATCTACAAAAAATCCCGATGCATGCGAACAAACCACCCCCCAACCCTCATTAGCTACGTCGACAATGCATCTTCTCATCTTCATCTTATTTCATTCTCTCTTGTCATCGTAAAGGAGGGTACTGGTTGTTTGTTTGTTGTTATCGTTGCCGTTTTGGACTTTATAGGCTACCTCATTATTGACATAAGACACGAAAGTTTCGTCATGACAAGCTACCCATATAGAAAAACGCAACTGCTGCAGAATATGCAGCTTAAATGCCGAAGTAGACGAGACCGCTGACCAGGAGGATGGAACCGAAAGTGGCTCCGACACGTGGGCCGAGCTGGGCACCGGCGCCGGTGCCGGGAATTTCGGTCGGGGTGCTGGTGGGGCCCGATGGGGTCTCGCCGCCGCTGCTACCGCCGTTACCACCGCCGCTAGTCGGGTAAGTAGGGGTAGGGACGCCAGTGGTAGTGTTGGAGTGGGGTGGGCTGGTGGTGTAAGACGATGACAACGTAGATGACCCAATAGGAGGCGTCGTAACGTCAGTACCAGAAGTCGGGTACCCGCCGGTAGTAGTAGTATCGGTAACGGTGGTCGTGGGTGTAGACTCCGTGTTGCTTGACTCGCTGGTGGATGAGCCGATGGGAGGAGTAGTGGTGTCAGTCGCAGTTGGGTACGGCGTGGGAGAGGTGGTGGACGTAGGAGACGTCGGGTAGTTAGACTCTCCAGTCGAGGTACTCGAGTCGGTACTCGTCTCAGTGCTCGTGGGAGTCGCAGTAGAGCTGGTTGACGTCTCACTGGGCGCCCCCTTGACAGCCTTGCAAAACTCGTCGATACCCTTCATAACACCACCTATATATTCGATTAGTCCCTTTTCTAGTCTAGTATCATTTCACCCCGTCTTATTTGCCATCAAAGGAGTGATAGTGAACTCAACGTACCATAGTCAGACTCGGAGCAGCCACTTCGGAAGCACGTCTCGCCATCACGCTTGATGGTATAAACCAGGTCGCAAATGCACTTGTTGTCGCTTGAGTCGCAAGTGGTGTTCTCATCGACAGCCTTGGAGATGCAGGGCGGACCGCAAGACGGCACATAGTCACTGTAGCTGATGGCAGTAGCGAGAGCCGCGAAGGCCGGTAGGGCTAGTACTCGGAGAGGTGCCATTTTATGTATATCAGGTGATATCGTAGGTATGTAACGAGCGAATTTGGGGTTTCCTGTGTTTTCTTGCTAGATAGATCAGTAGATCTCCTGTAATACGGCCTTATTACTCCCAAAGTATGCAAAATGCAGGTCTACCAAGAGGCAAAGAAAGGGGGAGGACTGGCTTTATAGATGAAAGCAGATGACCTTCCTGTATAGGTTGAATCGGTAGAGACCGGTCGATCAACACCTTACTTACCATAGTAGGGTATGACAATAAGCTATGAGCTATACCATGTACTACGTACTACGTACATACCTAATATGTATGGATGTATGTATGTATGTGTGTGTGTAAGTGATCGACAGGAAAAGAAGGGAAGGAAAAAAAGGTGTTCATGACAAGGACTAATGGCCCGAAAATACGAAACCGCCCCATGTCGTCCATCTGCCTAAGCTGCCGTGCCGCTTCTAGGTACGGCGGAGTGCATGTAGATGGTGGTAATACGAAGAATGTGGAATGTGTGCAGGAAGAAGTTGCGCAGCACATGGCAGTGTGTGTGTACCTATCAGTACTATCAATAGAGTACTATCAATAGCCCTGGAGTATGTACCTATACATATAGTACCCATGTGGTGACACATACTATACTAGTGACACATGCGCATGCCGTATTCTTCATCTTCTTCTCCCTTTAATGCTCTTTCCCTTCTTTCCCAACCTTGAAAGTTAAAACCTTTCGTTTGCCGTACCGTCCCTGCATTTAGACTCATCAGCCAACCACGGCGCGTATGCAGCTTCATTAATAGCCTTGCGGGTCCACTTTAAACTCTCGATTTGGCAGGTGGAGTACATGAAACGACCGGGGGATACAAAAGTATGATGTCTGAAGGAACATTTTCGTCTTACTTCATTGGCTTAACGGTGTAACGTGCCATCGTTTGCATCGTTTACCCCGGACTCTACCACCTAATTATATCACATTTCAGTGATCTTTCACTTGGGACCTGCCTAGCCTAGTCTCTTATTAAGTGCTAGGTAGCCCTACTCAGGCAGAGTCACAGGCTGTCTACTACCTAGGGATAGGTTACTTAACTGTCTGCATGTGGTAGGTTGGGTCAGCTTTGCGCGCCGCAGATCGTGGTGTAGTAGTTATTGATATCCATCCTAATAGGGCGAGCGGGGGCATCATACTTTCCGGCCCCGGGCTTTTACTTCTTTCATCACTGTTGTACTTTCGATCCAACAGCTTGTCAGTGACAGCTCTATCTTAGGTAGTATCAATGATCAAGAACCCTGCCCCTTTTAACCTTTTTGCGAGGAAACTTGTTACCTGCCTAACCTACTACATTGGAGTATGTGTACCCTATATTACAACATACAGATATGTATAGTAGTAGGTATATGTAACTAATGTAAGTAATCATGTGGATGTGTTACCAGGCCAGGTTACAATGGGGAGTTTTGAACGTGTCTGCTTAGGACTGGTTTATACTACTAGGATGGTCCTTCGAGATGAAAGACCTGACAGCGTCGACAGACCTTATAAACTATCAAGCGCTGATTGAGCACCTACCTTCCTACCGATGACAGTTACACTAACACTTATTAGCGAGATGCAAGTCCAATAAAGTTCCCGAGACATACCTTTATTTCTAACATTAACCCCACTTTATTTCACCTTCCACTTCATCTTCTCCTGAGTTCAAAGTTCTCTTGAGATGAAATCCCTTTTATGTATATATTTCTTCTAGCAACGCCGTGCAGGAGAGTATTCGCCGAGATCAAGTGATCATATCTAGCATTTGCATTTCACATAGAGACACGTACGCTGTACGCGTCCTTGATGCTTCTCGCTCACGCTCCACGGGCATAATAGCAGATGCTGCGTAAGAAGAACTACCAATCTAGGGAGAAATAGTTACTCCCAACATCAAATTCCAAGTATGGAAGTGGGGGTTTGTCAACACCTCTCGTGCTATTTCAAGATCATCCTCAGGTTTTCTCATCTAGTATCAAAACATCAACTTCTTTTGATCATGTGCCCTCCCCCTCCTTTTCAACCCAATAACCTTGCTTTCTCCCATTTGCATTGTCCCATCGGTCCAGGAATGTTTCCGTTTTTAGCGCTACATGCACGTCAAATGCTTGGAGATGATATTTTTCCTCTAACAATATCTCGATGACGATGGTGCGTATGAAACTTGTCAATGTGGAAATTAGGTTGCTGTTGCTTCCCGCATCGCAAAAACCTTGGAGCGCTTTACAGACGTCACGGGTGGTAGCGTTCAAGTTCGGTCTTGGCCCAAGGATTTTGCGTATACACAGCCACACGTGGCTATGCAAATAAAAGGTCACCGATCATAATGTCTAATATAGGAGTCCGCTAGGTGTGGCCTTCAACCCCCAAGCACTCACTATATTCAAGAAGTACCAAAATATGTGCTGGTTCGTAAGCTCGAACAAAACCACCACACAATCAACTTCCTGTCACTCGGGCACAGCATAATCAACTCACCCGTATTCATCTAGGCCTGAGCCAAATATAGGTACGTAGAGTACTCAAATAGCTCATCAGCCCAGCCCCGATACGATTACCTATATTTCAAAAATATTATAACCGATTATAGTGAACAAAAGAACCCTATAACGATGAAGTTATTCGTTTCGGGCGCTATGGGATTCGTGGGTAGAGAAGTCATCCGGCAGAGTCTAAGAAAACGCGAGGTCACCTCCGTTATAGCCCTCGCTCTCGGTCTCGCCCGGTCCTCGTCCCGGATAAGATGACAAAAGATGCAGATTTCTCCAACGGGAAAGCGTTGTCGTGCAAGGCTATGGCCGTCGCCCCGAAGAAGTAGAAAAAGAGTTCTCCATGGCTAGTGCTTGTATACGGTGAGATATCACAGCACTACCTTCTCCTGATTTAGCGGTAACCGCTCGGTCTTGTTCAACACGGTGGTCATTACAGGGATTGCAGGGGATAAAACCAAGTGCTGCAAATTCGACGAAGCGAAGCATGAGCGCTAGACATGTGCCGTGGGAGGGCTCAAAGCCATGCACGAGACCGGCCTCTCAGAGCCCTGCCGCTTCCATCGGTCCAAAAACTGTTGTTCTTCGCTGAGTATAACTGCATGACTTGGAAGTATCTAGGAGCTAAGTAGCAACATCCAGGGGATACTGAAATCAAACTTCTTTCGGTGGTGAACGAGTTTGTCAATATTTAGGAAGGAGTCGCGAGGGTCGGTATTATCACCGTACTGGGCGAGATTTTATTGATGGCTGCAAAGACCTCGTATCCGTCGCCGGGCTCAGCCTCGGTGAACTTATCGCAGGTGATGATCCCTCCTATGCCTATCTGGACTAGGTCTACGGAGCACATGGCTTAACCATGATTTACACAGGGAAATTTTGGGCCATAGTCGCTGAGATCCTACTTATATGGACTGTCGCAAGACGAGTTTTTCCAACCCCTCGTGTCGATGAGGTAGCCATAGGCACTGCCGATACCGAGTCTGCGCCGGACCCTGCGCGAGCTTCCATGTCGTCGGTAGATGAATACTCTTTGTTACTTGTAAGGTACTGATGTCGGCGAGATACCGTAGATCGTTAATACGTGGTGATATCGTAAAGATTCTCTAGAAAGATCCTCTAGATCCTATAGACGGGCCAGGCGCCTTAATGATAGTCCATATTTCTTGTACCGATTATCACATGTTAACCTAGGACTCAGACCCCTCAGATTTGGGAGGGCTCACACGTATTCAGGCAGAGCCCGCTTCCACTTCAATGAAGCCTGTCTACACTCGTCTCGTTTAAAGTCGTGAGACCGTCCTCTTCGCCAAACGATACCCAGTTAGTCCAATTGGCAGGCAACTTCTCCTTTAGAATTCCGAGCCACTTCATATAGATGTGCTTCTACTGCCACTTGTCCAAGAATTACCGCATCGGCAAGGCTCCATCATAACTTCTATCATGCCAGGTTCGGGGTCACCTAGAGCGTACGCGGGCTCGTACATGGAATAGTATCTAGCAAAATAACCCATTGCTCCCGACCCCTACCTATAGCCAGCTACACTACCCAATCAAGCTACTACCACTCCTGCCGTAGAGTTGCGGTGTAGCCAATGGGCGGCGGGTGGTGGTGATTGAAGCTCTCGTAGGTCGGATCTACTCACGAAACGCCAGTCGCATGCGAAGCACTCTGGCCCCGTTCAGTCAAAATGCCCTCTAGTCTCGCCCCGTGGGCATTTAGGGCAGATGGCGAAGCAGCTCGGCCACGGCGTCCAGCCTGTGGATGTCACATCTAGTAAAAGACTAGCTTATGATATCGGCCTAATCGTTTAATGGCGCATGGCTAAACGCAGACGAGTCTATGTGACGTAGTAGGTATGGCGAGAAACTTGTAGAAGGCACTTAACACCGACGCAGTCTCTTGTCTGGAGTGGTTCGCCAGCTCCTTGAGGCGCGGGTCGGGCGACAGATTCGAGCCAACCACGATGACATACTGGATAGGTATATACAAAGCAACTTTGCTTTATTTGAAGTTTCACATCATAGTGACCTGGTTAGGTACCCCCTCGGTGACCTAGAAAGTCACGATGAGTCAACAGCCGCTTTTGTGCAATATCCGCCGTGTAGCTATTTTCTCCCCCGTTCTTTTCTAGCCGGATTTGCAACTAAATAGCATATTTCCCTTGCCAGGTTTGAGATCTTCCGCAGCAATTGGATGATAGGAATAGTGAACGTCGTCGCTTATACGACACGCCATTGGACCACTGAGCTCTTAGCACGTGATAACTAGTTGGCAGCGGTTATATAAACCTATCAAGCTCAAGATTTGTTGACTCAGAACGTTCGGTGGCCTACCTGTTAGAGGATCGGCTGGTAAGCTTAACGACACAGGTTGGATGGATGTGGATGTCGGTCAGTACTGCTTTAAGAGTACGATATTACAAATGCCTCTTAGACAGACTGGTGGGTAAGAACCTGACGAAGTTCGATGTTGTTCACGTAAGGCGTATTGTACAAGTTGCCCGTTAGCTACATGTAGGTACATGTAGTTAGTTATTCAGTAAAGAAATAACGTTGAAGTTTAGTGAGGTTTACTTATTCGGGAATAACCGAGTTAGGGAAAGGCCGATCAAAAAAAAACTTTGAGGATTGAGGGGGATGGCAATCAGTAGCGTGGCAGGACAGGGATTTTATTTCTGGGGGGGTCCTTTGCCAAGGGATAGAAAGGTGCTAGATCTTTCTAATTGGCCAACTCTCACTGGTTCAGCTTAAAAAGGTTACGCTAACAAGCTTAGATCCCCATAGGATTCCCATAGCAGTGGTGCACAGGTCACACCTAGGTCAAGACGGTCAAGTAGGTCAAGTAGGTCAAGTGTTCGCAAAGTACCCAATACGGAAATCTGGGGCTTTGTTGAAATTGATCGCGTCCATTGGACAATTTTAAAGAAAGGGGGTGGGAAATTCCCACTCTTGGCTCAACGCTGACTTGCTGTGTTTTTTGTCTTTTTGATGTCCAACATTTCCTATTCCTATTTCCTACCTACCCTAGCCAGTGAACACATTGAGCATTCAATGTTGAACATTAGTTAAACATTAAACATCATACACAACCTTACATATTAGTTAATGTTTTTAATTGTCCCTTGCACGTCACTCTTTTTTATCCCTTAACAATGATATCCTAGACATACCGTACATCACTGTACATTACCTACACTGTACATAACTACACATAATTGTGTATAAGCTTCACCTAAGCACTTGTGTTGGTGTTGGTGATTGTGCTTTTGTTTTTGTTTTTGTTTTTGTGGCTGACCCGAACCATTAACTGACATATTATCACGTCCACCGGCTGCAGAACAACCCTGAAAGGCACATCTTATAGAAGTTATCTATCCATTTAAAATCAACGATATCGGCTCAACACTTCTACGCCGTGGCTCTCGAGCCTAATCATCCACCATTCCCCTCTCTCCTTCACTCTCTCTTCCCGCTCTTCCCGCTCTTCCCTCTCTTCCCGTATATTTTACCCACTTACACGTACAGACTTATTGTCTGTCATCTTCTTTTCTGTTTGGCGGCCAGTGTCACCTGCACCTGTGTTGCAGTGCTACGTGGGGTCTGCTCCTGTTGGCGAGCTTATCGATCCACAGAGAAATCTACCACAAAGGCATCCTTGGAACGTGGGGAGTCGAGCACGCCCCCCTGCCGATATATAGGTACTGCGACCGTACGATTCTTCGAACAGCTCACAACTCTCAAATATATTTTCGACAACTCGTCTTTGAATATGTCTAACGGTGTTAATGGCTCCTATGTGGAGGTGGCCCATCATGGCAACGGTGACATGAACGGGCGATCCTCAATGTCCTCAGATGAAGGCGAGAACAAAAGGAGGATGGATCGCAAAAATTCCAGCCCTATGATGCCTGCCTTTATGGTCTCGGCACCAGGCAAGGTCATTGTGTTTGGCGAGCATGCTGTAGTCTATGGCAAGGTAAATTACAACCCCCCCCCCCCCCCCCCCCTCCCCTTTGCTCTCTTCTTTGCGCACGAACTCACATTTATTTATTACGTAGGCTGCCATAGCTGCCTCTATCGCGCTTCGCTCCTACCTTCTAGTCACACATCTTTCGAAGTCAAAACGTACAGTAACCATGCAATTTCCCGACATCGATCTCATTCATACGTGGAACATTGACGATCTACCATGGAATGTTTTCCAACACCCCAGCAAGAAAAAGTCCTACTACGATCTAGTCACGGATCTCGACCCCGACCTTGTGTCAGCTATGCAACCTCATCTAGCAGTCATCTCCCCAGCTAAATCTGAAGCCGAGCGCAAAATACACCAGAATTCCGCAGCCTCGTTTCTATACTTATTCCTGTCGCTAGGATCGCAAAAGTCTCCGGGCTGCAGATATACCCTTCGATCGACAATACCAATAGGGGCTGGTGTAGGGAGTAGCGCGTCTATTGCTGTCTGTATGGCTGCAGCTATGCTTTTACAGATTCGTTCTCTCTCTGGACCGCATCCCGATCAACCGTCTGAGGAGGCACGTTTACAGGTGGAGAGAATCAACAGATGGGCATTCGTAGCTGAAATGTGCATACATGGCAATCCCTCAGGGGTTGACAACACAGTCGCAACACATGGCAAAGCCGTAGTATATCAACGAACCGATTATAAGAAGCCTCCGATTGTAACACCGCTATGGGACTTCCCGGAGCTGCCATTACTCCTTGTGGATACCAGAGTACCAAAGTCTACGGCTAACGAGGTAGCCAAGGTTGCCAAGCTGAAGACCATGCATCAGGATCTAGTAGGAACGATATTAGATGCGATAGATCAGGTTACCAGAAGTGCCGAGAGCCTCATCGATGAGGAATACTTCGACAGTGAGGAGCAAGAGAGTCTGCGACGGGTAGGAGAGTTGATGAGTATCAACCACGGACTGTTATCATCTTTGGGCGTCTCACACCCTCGCCTCGAACGAATACGAGAACTAGTGGATCACCAAGAAATAGGGTGGTCGAAGCTCACGGGTGCTGGCGGTGGAGGCTGTTCGATTTCGTTGATAAAGCCTGGTGTACCTAAAGAAAAGCTGGACAACTTGGAGCGCCAATTAGAAAAGGAAGGATATCTTAAGTTCAGGACAACATTGGGCGGAGATGGCGTGGGCGTCTTATGGCCAGCTGTATTGAAAAATGGCTTGGATGAGGACGAAGAAGGTGGCATGGAAATCGATCTGGAGAAGTTCCTGAATGCGCCAGGTAACGACGGCGTAGAGAAACTCGTCGGTGTATCTGGTGGTCTAAGCGGAGCTGAGAGGGAGGGCTGGAAATTCTGGAAGGTTGACAGCCAATGATGATTGAAGACGAGGTGATGTGCCTTACCTGGACAAGCAACCTGTCAAAGTAAGTAACCTATGGTGGGGGGTGGATGTGGCGGGTTCGGTTAGGGGAACTCTAGGACTTCCATTCCAGCTTACATCCTTTGGTATGATTATTGAGGGATCGAGGTATATGATATCTTGAGGCGGCGTACTGGACATAAGGGAGGCTTTAATCAGGTACCTAATAGTTGCCGGCCAGGGGGTACGGGGTAGGGAGGAAGGAAAGAAAACACCTAGGACGAGATACTTGACTTGAAGCTTTATCCAGTAAAAAGAATATAACTTAGGCACCTACCTGAGAATCACCATGAGTTAATGCCTACCTAAAGATGAATGTGAGGAATAGCTTCAATGTTGAATATGATCAATCATGTTCATGTTCAAGTTCAATGTTTAGGTACCTAGTAGGTACTAATGTACATATACTTAGGCTTATACTAAAATGCATAGCGGCTACGGCTACGGCTACATACATGGTACCTACCCCTCCATGCAAGCCTTTGCAAGGGGGTAACGGGAAAGGCAATGACGAAGTAGGAATTCGGACGATTCCCTTTCCATTCCTTGGACCCTTGATTACATACGAATTTAAACATTTTATCTAAACGTTTAAAAACCCCACCATCCCGATCTTCAACCCTTTTTTCGTAAGAATGCCTTCAAAGAACAAAGGCGGAGGCAGTCGAGCTAAACCTGCTGAACGTATAGCATCATTCAATTCTACTATATGTATTTGTATGTCTTAAGATCCTTGCTGATTTTTCGCAATCATTAGAAGCAAAGCAGGAACCTCCCAAACCACCACAAACCATCAAAGAACGCGAGTGGCAGTGGTATTACGAAACAAACCCTTACCAGAAGGCATACGAAGAGCTTGGCCTGAGTGGCATGACCCCAGCTGATCGACAAGCTTATCTCAACCAAGACTATCTAAAACCTGGTGCTGCGAAGACCCTCTCCAATAAGGCCCAAAAGGAGCTGTGGAAGCAAGTTAACGAAGCCAACCTCCCTCTACGTCGTCTTCCCCGGCCGCGTGACAACCAGTGGGGACAGGACAAGAACGGGCGCGGCCTTGGTGACTACCCTATTCAAGAGTACGAGGAACATACGGCCAAGAAAACCAAACTTGTCCTTTTGCTCGACGAGAGCTGGGTCTTCAAAAATAAGCGTGCCAAGGCAGACAACGGAGATCTTTATATAGAGGGCGACACTGTGAAGCCCTTCATTTGCACCGACGAAGACGTGGAGGCAGAGAAGGCTAGACGACAAGAGATGGCTGAATTAAGACAAGATCTATATGGTGTGAAGCTTGATACCTATGCGTTGGATCCAGAATGGGACGATGTGGTGCCAATACCACAGATTGAGCCCGATAAAGCTCTTGCTGCTATTGCGTACCCAGACGATTACGCTGAAGGTATGTTTTCCACAACTCTGGCTGCTTAAAATATTATGGGAGTTATGTACCAGCATCGAGCTAACAACCATATAGCTATGTGCTATCTTCGCGCCGTCATGGCAGTCAATGAGCATTCGCCCCGCTGTCTAAGGCTAACTGAACGGGTCATATATCTAAATCCAGCACATTATACTGTCTGGCTCTACCGATTCTCCATCATTGAGAGCTTAAATATCTCCCTCCGAGACGAAATTGAGTGGCTCAATGAAGTATCACTCACCCACATCAAGAATTATCAAATCTGGAACCATCGTCAGCAGCTACTAGACCACTACTACCCGACCGTTGTACTGTCAACCTCGGATTTATCGGATTTAGCAGATAGCGAACGGGCTTTCCTAGGGAAGATGCTTGAGCTGGACGCGAAAAACTATCACGTTTGGAGCTACCGGCAGTATCTCGTGCGTAAATTGGGAATTTGGGGCGACCCCGAACGACAGAGTGTAGAGACTCTGATTCTCGAGGATGTTCGAAACAACTCAGCCTGGTCGCACCGCTTTTTTGTTGTCTTCTCGGACCCTGCCTACACTACCCCTGACTCGCATGCTACGGAGCACGATCCCAAAATACCAGCCGATGTCATTGACCGCGAGGTCGAATATTCCAAGGACAAGATCCTCCTTGCACCCCAGAACCAAAGCCCTTGGAACTACTTAAAGGGAGTGTTGGTTAAGGGTGGGAGAAAACTCGGAACCGTAAGAGAGTTTGCCGAGCAGTTCGTGACGAATTTGGGTGGTGGGGACGCCGAAACTGTTCGCAGTTCCCACGCCCTTGACTTGCTGGCTGATATATATAAGGAGGCGGGCGAGATAGACCAGGCGGGCTTGGTATTGACCAGACTAGGCGAGAAGTGGGATCGCATCCGTCGAGGCTATTGGGAGTATAGGAGGAAGTTGCTCACTCAAGATTAGTCTAAAGATGGCTTCAAGTCTTGATTTGAAAAAATGTTCCTCGAGGTCACATCAAAGCGTATGATGAGCGTAATACTGATCCTGTGAGATGCTATTGGTTGTCAATAGGCAGGCAGATCCTTATATAGGTACTTATATAAGTACGTCTTTATACAAATAGAGACAAGTCTTGCGCGAATTCCATACAGTAATTATGAGACTACTTCGTCTCCTAGTCTTCATTGATTGCCGCGGTATCTTAGATGTAGGTAATCATTCCAGTTTCAAAGTGAACATCAAGGATTCTTAAACCGAAAATTCGTAGTGTTTGATTTTGCATTGCATATCAGGATGCTCTCTAGGTATTGCATCGCCTGCTTCACATCACAGGAATATTATTACCTATGGTTTGATCCTTCGAAGGCGCAAAAGCGGTTTTCTTTTCCTTCTCCCTTCTTTCTTTTATTTTGAAGAAAGAAAAAAAGAAAAAAAACCGCTACCTCTCTTATCTATCCCCCCCCCCCTCTTTCCCCTCCATCTTCACATCCTCACATCACAGAGCCCGATAGTTCTGACTAACGATAACCCACTTCCTCAGCCCCCTCGCCGCATTCCGCGCCGACGCCTCCCAATGCGGCACCAGCACAAACGCCTCCATGAACGGCCTCTCCTGCAGCCCGTCGTTATTGTCAGTCGCTGCTGCTGCTGCTGCTGCTGATGTTGTTCCCGAGGGGGAAAACACATTCGCGACCGGCGGCTTAGGTGGAGCGGCAGCAGCGGAGGCGGCGGCGGCTCCTCCTCCTCCGTCGGCCGTAGCGACGTGCCCGCGCCCGAACCGCACGGTCCCGCTGACCTGGACGACGAAGCTGATGCGGTCGCCGTTGCGGACCGCGGCTGCGGCTGCGCTCGCTTCCCTGCCGCCGCCGCCGCCGCCGCCTCCTTCGGCGGCGTCGGGCTCCCCGATCCGATAGTGCGCGTTCACGGGCTGCGCGTCGAAGGAGGCGACGTCGTAGGCGACGTGGGCGCCCTGGGCTTCGAGGAGCGCCTCGTACGCGGACAGGTCGGCGCAGGGGAGCCCGTTGATGCTGATGTCGGGGCGGGCGCCGGCGCCGGTCAGGCGGGGGGAGGCGCTGGTGTAGAAGCCGCGGAGGGAGCGCCGCCGGGAGCGCGTTTCGTAGTAGTGGTCTACGAAGACTTGGGCCGCTGGGTGGGTGGGTGGTTAGTTTGGGGGGTTGGGGGTTAGGGTTTATAGAGTATGAGAAAGGGGAAAAAGAAAGGGGGGTGGGAGAAGGGGAAGTGGGAAAAAGGGGGGGGGAGAGGGAGGTTAGGCTGGTTGGTGGCTTACCATCACTGGCGACCTTGGCCTGTGTTTCTAGACTCGGCAGCGACATTTTATTTATGGCGGTGGCTGGTGTGTTTTGTGATTTAACAGTTCACCGATTTATTCACCGGTTTAATTTGAGGTGAGAGGTTACTGTGTGAGACGTTAGTTGTGCGTTTGGTACTAGGTTGGCAGATAACCTTGGAAGCCGGGTGAATGTTTAATAGGTACCTACCAGGTATACGCCTCGCTTGTGAATGGAATCCGAATGGTGAGTTTAAATGTGACAGATGTGAATGTTGAATGAGAAGAAAGTTGCTGGCTATTGAAGGTGATAAAGGCGGATACACGACTTTTGAGAAGCTATGTCTTTATTTCGTATGTTGTAAGAGTCGAGACCTGCTGATGAGATATGGAATTTGTTAAAAGTGAGGTGAGTTGAATGATGAAATGTCGAAATGTGATGTAGAATGATAAGTTGAGGATTGAGTCTGTCGCACTGTGTGGATATAAGTCGTTTAGCTGCCGAACAACTATAAATAGTACGCTAATCGATAAATTGAGAGTCAAGGCACAGTTCTGGTAGGTTATTCTAAACACTGTACTTGTACTACCTTGGTACTTCCAAGTTCTATACTCATCTCTGTTCATTTCAACTATCACCATTACATACCTACTACTATGTAAGTCACATACCACACACCACCTCCCTAGGCCACGCCGCTACACCCTATACTCCGGCATTACCAACTCCTCAATCTTCAGCAGCAACGGCCGAACTCTACCCTTCAACCACCACCTCTCCTCGACGCGATGGAGCAAAACACACCACCACGCCATGACCACCAGCGCCGGCGCCTCTCTCCCCGCCAGCTCCGCGCGAAACTCGGCACCCATTAGCGGCGGGAAACGGAGCGCCGCGTTCTTGCGGTCCAGCGCCATGTCCGTCGTGTCCGAGAGGCAGAAGCACAGGCGCAGCTTCACCATCACCTGCGCGTACACTTCTCTCCTCCCCATCCCCATCCCCTCCCTTCTCCCTCTTGTCTCATCATACACAACCAATAACAACCTCCCCTCCAACTCCACCAACCTCGCATCCGTAGCACCACCCACAAAATCCCGTACCGGCGGTGTCGCCAGGTCCCCGGGCAGCGCGCGCAGCGGTGAGCTTAACCGTCTCCCCTTCTTCGTTGTTGTTGTTGTTGTTGTTGTTGTTGTTGTTGAAGAGCAGCGACAGCGCATCCTTCGCGGCGGCAAAATGGTACGGCACGAAGAGACACGAGCACGCGAACAGCGGGAGCGCTGCCGCTGCCGCTTCCGTCTCCGTGGCTGTGGTGGTGGCTCCCGGAACAGCGGTATCGCTTTCCCCTGGTGCTCCGCGGCGATGCGTTCGCGCACCGCTACCCCCATCCCCATTCCCATCCCTAACCCTTCATCCCCTTGCCCCTGCACACCAGACGACCGACACCGACAATGCAGCGCCGCGACCTCCAAGATCCCATGCAACAAATACGGATGCCTAGTAGCGAGCTCCGCCGCAACAACCTCGCGCGAGACAAATAATTTGCAAAAAAAAATAATCTATAAAATAATCTATATTTAGCATAACTTTTTATAAAAAAAAGTTTAAGGCAGGTATAAAGAAGAAGAAAAAGAGGTAGTGATTATGCTGGTTAAAGCTGTAATGCGATATTAATGCTAATAGCAAGCAATATTAAACATATCAGTCCACGATAAAATCATCCATCTATATCTATATCTACCTACATAGGGTCTATCTTAGCACGCCGGCGCCTCGATTGCTCTGGATTAGATTCTAGACCCAAGACGCCTATACACGCTGTAGACCAAGTCCTTCACGAGTATTGCGGAAAATGCCACAGATTCAGCCTCTCGACCACACTGTAACCCATGCCCAAGAAATCGCACAAAAGCACCCAGTTTTCTGCCTGGGCAGCCGTTCGCTGGCCGAGCACCTCTAACTCGAGCAGCCCTTGTGAGCGTTCCTCTCCCGAAAAGAGTGTGCGAGTAGACTGAATATAGTCCTCTTCAGATTGTAATTGCGAGTGCTGGCCGTCTTCATCATCCTGTCTCCACAACCAAGATGCTCTCCCCTTGAGCGTAGGTGTCCGTCGGGGCAAGATGAACTTGGCCTCTGGTTGGGATCTGATGATTTCTGCCAGCTGGGCATGTGAGGATATCTGCACATATGTCTTATACAACGCCGTTTGGTTGCCCAGGTTGGATGCATGGCTCAGATGACGGTACCCTAGAGTATCCAGCGCTTTGCTGAGAGTGGTTGTGGCGCTTTGGGTGGTTTCTAGGATATAGACGGGTGGCGATGCAGCAAACTCGCCCAAGCCGAGCGCGACTGGTGCAAGCAAACCGAACCCGAATATTGTAGAGATCCTCATGGTGGAGTTTCAATTGTATGTCAGAACACGTTTCTGAAGATGTATCTGGTAATATAATGCTGGGTACTGTGTATAGGGACCTATTACTGAAAACGAGAGACGGATGACGGATAACGTGGTACGTCAAGAAAAGAGAGACCGCGAGTCGGCTAGGGGAGCCACTGTTTATTTTAAATATATCAACATAGAACAAAAGAATAGTTAGTGATCGATCAAAGTAAGAAAAGACTAGAAGAGCTAGAAGAGCTAAGAGATCTAGAAAAGGTAGACTACCATGGGAACGGGTCTATTAAAGAGGATTGAAGGCGTTTTGCATCTAGATCTAACGGAAGGCTATTACCGTGGATCTTACAGATCCATCCCCTGAAGTTCTGCTAACACTGCCACGATGTTACGATTGTTGACCCATGAATAGGGGTAGTTGGGAACCAATCAGCATTGCCATTTTTCTGACTGGCCAATCAGGGGTATTTATTGATAGCCTGGGTACCCAGGTACATGTAGATTTGCGCTCGGCACGTAAGAACACTTGATTATTTTACGATGATTGAAAGTAATGAGGGTTCAAGCTTTTCTATAGTTAACTACTACATTTAATCTGTGAGAGTAACCATATTGATACCACACACCATTAGTAACTATAGTAAGCATGGAGGATTTGGGGAGAGAGTCCAGCAAATAAAGAGTAATCCTGTTCTTCGAATAATTATTACTTTATTACTTTACAGCAAACATTGGACGATGCAAGTAAACGTCAGTCTATCGTCAGTGCTGTTGATTTTCTCACAGCAGATGTATCATACGAAGTAGTTACATGTACCATCGCCAATTATAGAAAATGACCTCGTACACGTCAATGCAATACCTGCAGCCCGGAGCTATACGGTTCGAGACATTACCTAAATTGTTAGGTAACTATTATGTATACCATCACGGCCAGTATCGGAAACTGACGGTGCCAACAGAATCCATCAAGCCCCCATCGTTATGGAGCAGCACCCGGTAGCCCGCATTAGCTTGCGGGATCTGCCAGTGCTAGGTAGGTACTAGGTACCTGCCTATACTAGCACTCATCGGGGTTGCTCGTTGACGCGCCCTAATGTCATAATCCATCTCTGTCGCCCCCGATATTTGTTGGATCCGGTCCGATGAAGGGGGAAACAAAAAATATTTGTCTACATGCTATATGTATAACTATGACCGGACGAGCCACCTAGTAGAAGAGTTGTGACGGTAGTTGTTAGATGAAAATTACATCTAGAACTTTAGACGAGGGATAAAAAAAAAGAAGATTCTGCTACGTTGCGGCGAAGATAAGAGACCTATTAATAGTATATTCAGGGAGACGGGAAAAGATATACAGATAATATCGATATTGGGCATTTCGATCATTAACAAGGAATTGCTTTTTACCTCTACTTTTACTTTCGCTTTGTTGCTTCCTCAGCATCGAAACAATCTTACTACCTAGGCTAAGTACCTTCAAAATCACCAATCGCAATGAGCTCCTACGATCCAGAGCCCCAGAAGCTCTGGATAGAAACGCCATGCATACCATCACCGGCGCTTTCGCGAGCGGCAGGCTGGTGAGGCCCCTCCTCCCCACTCTAATTTCCTTTGCTCCAAAAGCAAAAGTCAGCTCGCGTAATCCGGCAGAACTAACACGAAAGGGGGGGGACTTGCTATCATAGTAACATATTCCTCAAGCTAGAGAACCTTCAACCCTCGGGCTCTTTCAAGTCGCGGGGCGTGGGGACCATGATGTACCGGGCGATGCTGGCGCAGGCCGCCGACAAGGTGCACTTCTACTGCTCGTCCGGCGGCAACGCGGGGCTCGCGTGCGCGACCGCCGCCGCCGTCCTAGGCCAGCCCTGCACCATCGTTGTGCCCCTGAGCACCTCGGCGCTCATCGTGGACAAGCTGCGCCGTGAGTATTTTCTCACCCCCAATTTCCCCACCCCCCCTTTTCTTTCTTTCTTTTCTCCCTCTCCCCCCCTTCAAAAGAGATGTATATAAGTAAACCCGACTAACCCCCGGGGTCCCTTCCCTCCGCATCCAAAAGTCCTCGGCGCCTCAGTCCACCAAATCGGCATGCACTGGGCCCAAGCCGACGCGCACCTGCGCACGAATCTCGTCGCCCACGACCCCGTCGGCATCTACGTGCCGCCCTTCGACCACCCGGACATCTGGGAAGGGGCCAGCACCATCGTCGACGAGCTGTCCTCCGCCCCCGCCCCCTCCACCATCGACTGCATCGTCTGCAGCTGCGGCGGCGGCGGCCTGCTCAACGGGATCATGGAGGGCGTGGAGAGGAACTACCGCTGCAAGGAGTGGGAGTGGGGGGAGGAGGAGGGGAGGGAGAGGAAGAAGAGGCGGCCGATGGTGCTGGCCGTCGAGACGTTCGGCGCGGACAGCCTGAACGTGAGCGTGCGCGCGGGCCACCACGTGACGCTGCCGGAGATCACGAGCATCGCGACGAGCCTCGGCGCGCAGCGCGTGTCCGAGCGCACGTTCCGCTGGGCGCGGGAGGCGCCGTATCTGAAGAACGAGGTGGTGACGGATGCCGAGGCCGTGATGGGGTCGTGTCGGTTCGCGGATGACGCGCGTTTGCTGGTGGAGGTCGCGTGCGGCGCGACCATTGCTGCGGTGTTAAATGGGCATCTGAGGAGGGTGATGATAATGGAGGGGGAGGTGAGGAGCGAGGAGGAGTGGAGGAGGAAGAATGTGGTGGTGATTGTGTGTGGGGGGTCGAATGTTACGTTGGAGTTGTTGAGGAAGTATAAGGAGACGTATGGGGTATAGTAAATAGGTACTAGAGATAATAGACAGGCTAAAGCCGCCTAGATGTTCAGGCTCGCATAGATATTGGCCCCCTATATATCTATGCAGTTAGTTTCCAGCTCCTATTCCTCCCTCAGCCGCGATCTATCATACCGCAGCTCCTTATACCCAGCATCCTTCACAACAGCCACCCAAGGTGCCTCATCCCGCTCCTCCCCAACCCCCTCAAGAACCATCTGTATTTCGCCAAAATAATTCACCCCGCCCCTCTGCTCGAACCCAAGGCTCTTGAACAGCGCAATACTACCCGTATTTCCCGCACTGATCTTCGCCACGAGGTCCTTGACGACCAACGTGCTCTTACCACTGCCAGTATTGGAAGTATAACCATCAGCACCACCATACTCCGCCAAAACCCCCTCCCGATTCCGGCAGAAAAAGGACAAGAGCGCCGCGACGGCAGCGCGACCGAGACCCTTGCCGCGGTGCCTCGGGTCCGCGATCATGATGTCGATCTCCGCCATGCAGCAGTGGGCCTTCCCGCTCCCGCTCCCATCCAACCCCTCGTCATCGCCATCGCCTTCCCACGGCGTAAGAAACATGTTCACATCCCCGACCATCCTCCGGGGCTCGTCGGCTTCACCCGCCACCACCGCATCTCCATCTCCATCTCCGCCAACACCACCACCACCACCAGACGCAGGCGTGAGCGGTTCACACAAGATAAACGTCAATTTATCAGCGGCCTCGCGCCACTCGACCTGGTTCGCATACTCCTCGTCGAGCGCAAGACGCTCCGATGCTGTGGCTTCGCGGATAGTCTTTCACTCCAGCAGCACCCGAGGCATCGGCTTTCACGTTAGTGATGAATATTTTATTTTCACTTTTCTTTTTCTTTAGTATGAGAGGGAAAAGGGGAGGGGGGGGGTGGGAAATGGGAGAAGTACCGCATCTTCCATCCATTCGTGGTACCGCGGCACATGGCGCGCGTCGTAGGGCACGAGGAGGACCTTGTTGGTTGCTACGGCTGTTGTCGGGGGAATGTAGAAGTGATTGTTAGTACTTAACCAGCTATAGAACTAACTCATTTATCAAAAAGAAAAAAAGAAAAACCCCCCAAAATTGAATCTCACCAATATGTTCGTTGAACTTCATTTTTGTGTAGATATGTAGGTACCATACCTAGGTACAGTACCTTAAGATTACATGTAGGACTTTTTGCGGATGTTCTGTACTACCTAACCGTTAGTACCTACTGCCTAGTACCTACATATGTAGGGTAGGTTAGGTACTACCTTTAGGACTGTTGGAATAGCTATTACGTAAGCAGTTCTTGGTACCTAGGTATATAACGCCATTCCAATAAATGACCACGAAGTAGTGAGTTCGAGCGAGTTCGACGTGACGGCACCGCCATTACGAAGAAAGCTACCAGCAGCTACTAGGTACATTGCTGAATGCTTCTCGGCGTACGCTGAATTGAAAAGTTGATAGAAATAAAACAGAAGTGTGTACTGGTGTCTGGTCATCACAATATAAAGCAACTCTGGTATAATATATATAAAGATATACAACCTCCTCGGCTTAGATAGCAGTGTCTTCGACGTTAGTAGCATGACTACATCGTCGTGAATGGACGTTGAACCTAGATTCATCCACGAATCTATTTTTCTTTTAAATTTCTTTTTTATTCTTTCATACAACTTCGTTTGCATCTATTAACTAATCCTCAACGGCCAGCGGCGGAAACAAGCTACTAGGTGCGCCTTTGCCCAGCGATACTAGCGGGGTTCCGTAGTCGACGTCTTTGTGCAACTTAGCATCTTGCAGCGTCCTTCTGTCGGGACTGACGCCGAGTCTGTCTAGGACCATGGCTGCCTTCTCCGGTATGAAAGGCTGTAATAGGATGCCTATTATGCGTAGCGATTCTCCCGCGTAGTAGATGCTCTGCTCAAGAAGCACCTTCTCGCCCGTAAGAGCCAGATGCCACGGTTTCATTGTTGCTATGAATCTGTTTGTCTATATCAAAAAGGTCAGTGGCTGATATGTAGTAAAATGAACCACGAGAGAATAAAAAAAAAGGGAATCAAGGTGCCCAAGACTTACCTCAAAAACCCAGGCCATGATCTCTTGTAAAGCTCGGGTAGGATTCAACTCATCCATGTGATGCGAGACTGTCCTTACCAGAGATTCCAGCTCTTCTATATGTATGTCGATAGCATTCGTAAATATGCTGAGTTGCCCACTAGTCATAGAAACAGTGAGATTCGCAAACGGATCAGATCCCTCGCTAGGCACCGTAGTCACAGCCACGATTGCATCCCTTAACTTCCATTGTTTGGGCCGGGTGATACGGTTGACTAAATTTCCGAGACCAGTTTGCAAGCCTTTCTTATACCTTTCTACAATGAAGTCGTTATTGTATTCGGAATCGTGCGCCATAGCGCCGCTGTAAACAAGGAAATATCGCAAAGGATCCACCCCCCAGCGGTCGATGGCGAAGAAGGGGTTGACCACGTTTCCGACTGACTTGGACATCTTCAGTTGGCTCATTAACCAATGGCCGTGACAGAGGATGCGTTTTGGCAGAGGGATATCTAACGCCATGAGTAGCGCAGGCCAATACACGGCATGAAAACGAATGATATCTTTCCCGACCACGTGCGTGTCAGCTGGCCAGCCTTGGTCACGTTCAGAGCGGGGAGCCCATACAGGATATCCAGCTGCTGTTAGGTAATTTACCAAGGCATCAACCCAGACATAGATAGTCTGTTCAGGGTCATCTGGCACGGGGATGCCCCAGGAAAGACGACCGGCCGGTCGGGATATAGACAAATCCTCTAGGTTATTCTCAACCCAGCTCTTGACCTCGGCGTATCGATTGGAGGGAACAATCCACCCTGGGTTTGCCTCGTAGAATTGTAAGAGCCTATCTCGGAAGCTTGTGAGCCGGAAGTGGTAGTTCTTTTCCTCCGTCATCTCCACGGCGTTGCCCGTCTCTATCGAGGCCATGAAACTATTACCAGTCACGGATGAAACCCGATGTTCCACCATAGAATCTGGATAATATGTCTCGTCGCTAACGCAGTACCATCCTCTGTGTGTCGTCTCGTAGATGTGCCCGCTCTCTTTCAGACGCGCCCAAAAATATTCAACCGCCTCTCGGTGCTGTGGGTCGGTGGTTCGGATGAAGTGATCGTTCGAAATGTTCGCCCTCTTTGCTAGGGCCTTGAACGAATCGGAATTGGTATCGCATAGCGCTTTTGGTGGAATATCCTGTAGTTCTGCAGCGCGTTGGACCTTCATTCCATGCTCGTCCGTGCCAGTGCTCAAGATAGCTTGTCTACTTCCTCTCAGGACCTCCCATCTCTTGAGGACATCGGCTAGTACCATGCTATATAAGTGGCCAATGTGAGGAGCTTTGACGAGCTCGTCAGCCAATTTTTTAGAGTATCATGATAGGTAGAGAGCAGGACTTGGTGGGATGGAGGAGGACTTACTAGCATTGACATAAAATATGGGCGTTGTCACATAGTACGGCTTGACCTTAATCTCGAGAGTGCCATCGCTGCTGATATGTAACTTGCGCCGTGCTTGAACACTCTTGCATGAATGGCATATCGAACTATTACGCAATCTTGACACATTTCTAATAGTCCAAATTCTTTGCCGACTGAGAAATTCCCAGCAAGTACTCATGACTGTAACAGCGAAGGATTCTTGATGGTTGGAAAGTCATGTCACTGGTATAAATTAATTATAAAGTAGATGGAATTACATGAATCCAGTTTTGCAGTGGTAACCCACCCACCTAGTTTAAGTTAAAATATGACCTAAGTAAAATATGGGCCTGCCTACTAGTTACCCATTAACCTACCTATGTAAGCAGCAAGCTAATTACATGGAAATTAAAGTAACCTAGGTATCATGGATTATTAGGTAACTAACTAGTTATTTTCTAGGTATTTTTTACCCGACTTTCTGCCTTTCGGCCGTGGTGGGGCCATAAAATGTAGTTATTGCACCGTACGAAGTAGTAAAGTTCAGATTATTACATCCTTGGATTCATTATGACCTATGGCCTGTGACCTATGACCTATGACCTATGACCTATGTACAACATTGAACTTCAATGCTCAAGTACAAAACTTCTTACTACATACATATGTAGGTAGGCAGATACTTCGTAATAAGCCCATAATCATCAATGCCGATTACATCCATGATATCCATTAGTCTCATGCATTGCCTAGGTACCTGCAATGCTCATTACCCGAACCCATCAATGACTTGAGCCATACGAGGTCAACTCAAACCCCCCTAAAAGGGCAAACCGTATTATAGGGGGTCACGTCTCTTGCTTCTGGTCCTATCTGACTCGGCTGTTTCATTGTCTTCCAATAGGGGAGAGGATGCACATCTTCATGAACCAAGGCCGTTCGCGCCTAAGTGCCTCGGAAGAGGAACTGAAGGTCCTGCGCTGTCAGAGCTTCCATTGAGGCATCGTCCGCATCGACTGTAGAGTCGATCATGTTAGTCTTCTTCTCTTGAAGCAGCACCATGCGACTCTCTACCGAATCCTCAATGCAAAGTCGCGTAATAATGCATGGACGTGTCTGTCCAATGCGATGACATCGGTCAGCCGACTGCCACTCTGCAGCTGGGTTCCACCACCTACACATGTAATTGTGGTTAGCTACAATAAATCAAAATGTTACTATTAAAAGGGACAGGGGGTGAATAACGTACGGGTCAACAATGAAGACCCGGGATGCCTCTGTGAGATTCAAGGCCACGCCGCCCGCCTTTAGCGACACGAGGAAGCATTCCACGTCCACTTTACCCATGAAGTGGTCTATCGATGCCTGTCGCTGAGCCGGGGTCATGCTTCCATCAAGCATCACTGTAGTGATCCCAGCCCGTCGTAGCCGCCACTCGACTAGCTGTAGCATCGTCGTGAATTGGGAGAAGATGATCGATTTATGAGACGCGTTATCCGATCTAAGCTTGTGAAGTTCATGCACAAGCAATTCAATCTTTGATGACGATGTCCAATCCTCCATCTTGATACGGTTAATGATGGAAGACTTCTTGACAAGCGCGACATCTTGAACCATCTCCGGCTGCTCAAGATCAATGGAGAGCGGGATGTGGCATTGCGGACAATCCGGCGTGTCTTGGGAGTTGACGTAGCTATCTGCGCAGGAGCGACAGAAGTCGTGGTTGCATCCGGATCTAATTGCCTCTTCAGCTGGCTCGTCACAGATACAACAGACCAACACATTCCGACCACCCTCGCCTTTCTTCTTCAAGATCAGGTCAGGGTGATCTGCTACCTGACGCATCTGCATAATCAAGCCAAAAATGTTGGCATAATTATTGAGCAAAACACCTTGTGCTGCATAGGTGTCGTACTGTCGCTGACCATTGCCCATGATGCTGTTGGCAAAGTCATTTTCTACCTCACTGAAGAATTGTCGATCCACGTAGATCTCCTTTACAGGAAGCTCCATGGCATTAGTGTGGTTCTTTTTAAGGCGACGTAACATGATTCGGTCAGTCAGAAGGCGAAGCTTCTGTAACGCCCGCCTTCCTTTACCTGCATTGCCATATTTGTTGATAGGCGTCAAAAGTTGGTGATTGAAAACCGAAATGTGACGCAAAATATGATGATTGCCTAAGATGAGTTAGTCGAGGTATACATATGTAGCATATCTCAAAGGTACAAACTCACACGCCTGGCATCTGCCGTGATCGTCAGTTGATGACCAGTCCAGCGTAGAGCAAGGGCAATTCTTGCATAAGTACGATGCGAACGGAGTGATTCGGAGGAATCGAAGAAGTGAAAAGTATTCGCCGATGCGGTTCTGCAATGGGGTTCCTGTCAAGCACCAACGGTATTCGACATTAAGGGCGAAACATGCCTTGGCAGTCATTGTAGTCCTGGACTTCACCACGAGGTTAGCTAAAAAGAGATGCCATGGGGATTGCTGTAGCCTACCTTGATGCAATGGGCTTCATCGAGAATGGCACGATGAAATCTCATCTGATGAATGGCACTTTTCTCCTTGTAAGTACCCTCCTTTCTCTTTGTACCCTTCTCCTGTCTGCGATACATGGACTCCAGGGTATTGTAAGACATCATGATGACGTCGAACTTCTTAAGTTCTTTAATCGACATCTTCTTAGCTTTGTGATTGGTTCCGTGAAACACCAGCGTCTTGAGGAGTCCGCCAGTGTAAGATTCAATCTCGTTCGTCCACTGCATCAAAGCCACGGGTGGCACGAGAACCAATGACGGTATCCTGGCCGGATAGTCCGACATGATAAGGGAGACTGCTTGTATAGTCTTTCCCAAACCCATTTCGTCTCCAAGCAAGCCACCTTTCCATCTGCTTGCTTCCATGGCCTTCATCCAAGCAAGTCCTTCAAGTTGAAACGGCTTGAGCTGCCGAGAGATAGTAATTGGCTGCTCAGCCTTGCCGGTCTTGAGTCCTGGCATATCCTCAAGATCAGTCCACATGGTTTCAAATTCTGGGTGATTCCTTTTCAGGCGCCTTTTGGCTTTCCACAATCTGGAGCGGCCCGAAATAATTTGAGGCCCACGGCCGCGGTACCAAACAAGGCTTTCGTCAGAGTCCATGTTATCGATATCGACACTCTCAGCCCTCGTACGTATGGTGCTTCTAGCAGAATCCGTATCAGTGATTACCGTATCGTTATCCTCTTCATTATCAGAGCCACCACTAGCCACAGTGTTGTCATTGTTATTGTTGTTAGTAGTGGTGGCGGCGGCGGTAAGTTTCGACCTCTTTTTTTGCGGAGCCGAGGCAGAAGAGGACTCCTCCTCGTCATCGGAGACGAGCGAAATGGCTCTCTTGTTATGCGAAGTTGATGTACCCTGATTAGTTTGGCCTCGTGATGGTAGTAGCCTCGAACCTGGTAGAAAAATGTCGTGGGGTGAAGATTCATCAAATTGATCCTCATCTTCTAAGTCATCCACATAATTGACCGGGGCTAGTCGACGTCGGGTTCTTCTAGTTGAAGGCATGGTGCTTGATGCTTGACCCTTCGATATCGAGCCTTGGGAAGGTTGAGTGTCTGCAAGAGATCGGCGTCCACCTGCTAGCGCGGCGGACCTGGCTGGGATAGATGGAGCCGGCGTTACAGCATTACTAGTTGCTGGGGTATTGTAGTCCGTGTCTGAAGTTGCCATAGTGGCGGGGGTTGGTGCGGAAGACGCGGAGGTGCTTGCGACAGTTGTAGAGTTCGGGCGTGGGCGTCCTACGTAGTGATTACTGGAGCGATTAGGCTTCTTGCCCATGGTGGCGACGAGTAGATCATCGTCAGAACTATCCGAGACTTCCTGAGCCTGTTTCTTTTGAGGCTTGGAAGTCATTGATCGTGTGAGTCGCGGCGCCATCTTTCCATTAGTAATGGGGTAAATGGCAAAACGACAGACAGCAGGAAGCTAAGAGGTTGAGAGGGTGAGAAGGGAAATTCAAGTGATAAGTGTATGTTGATAAAGAATCGGCAAGGATTTTTTTATGAGAAAAGGTAGAACAAATGTTGAGAGTAATGGGTTCGATGTAGTGGATTAGAATACCTAGATACCTGAAGAGACAGGCACTGCACTATTGGTGTACTAGGTAGGTGAGAGGTGCCTTAGGTGAGAGATACCTTAGGTACCTAGGTAATGTGAAAGGTAAACAGGAGTTCGTGAGGGTAAGTGAATGTAAGCATGCAGTCCTCCGCCTTTGCAAGGTACCTAAAACGAATCAATAGCTAGATACCGGCGGGTAGGTACTAGGCAAGGTTGCGATTATGTAGTATACATATAAGGCAGGGCGTTGGGTATTGGGTATTGGGTATTGGTTAAGAAAGAAAGCAGAAAGAAAGAAAGAAAAAAAGAAAGAAAGAGTGTCCCGGTCGGACAAGTGGATGGCAGATTATCGAGTTGTAGTTAATCAGAATGATGGATATGAAGATGTGTATCAATCAGGATGAGGGATGGAAGGTTGTGTTATGTGATGGGAGAATGAGACGTTGAAAGATTTCAATGCGCAGCAACTTGAATACCGTTGACAAAGATTTAGTGGGGAGGAAATATTAATGTACGCACTATGTAGGACAGAGGGAGGAAGGGATTAGATTGACTCGCGATCAATACACGCAAACTCGTGACTTGATCGCCACTAGGATAATGCAGCAGAGGCGGACTAGCCAATAGGAGTGCTAGATCGGTAATTTAAACCCCTGCAGATATTACTTTTTCTCCATTCACTAGGAGCGTTAGCGTCAGAAAAAGCCCCGTCGTTCCCCTGTTCCCCTGTAGCTCCCCGGGCACCCCTGCTGCCTTTTACACAGCGCAAAAAGAACCTTGAATTCCATTAAACTGATAAGATTCCTAAGGCTGAGAACGTTGTGAGAAGTACCCTAGGCACCAAATTACACAGTACGTACTACATACTACTAGGGGTACTACCTACATATGTAGTAGTGAAGGCTCAAAAAGGAAAACACTTAACGCGCCGTTGGGTGGCAACCGTGTTTATAGTACTAGTAGGCAGTCTCTAGTGTGCACGGATGTATTATACTAGGTTAGGTACCTACATATAATGTACGTCAGTACATATGTACGATACTCCATGTCCTTCCCATTGTCACTGTGCATTTGTTCATTTTCTTTTTTCATTCACACTATTATTGATCTATATACATTTGTGATAGTTAGAAATTTTAGATCTTTCCCATTTAAAATCAATCCGGCATCTGGACTAAACCTACTGTGTACTTTGTACATTGCGTCTAGGCATTCAGCGCTGCATCTGTCAACATCATTCAATGTTGATAGTACCTGGTACTACATATGTAGGTATTGATGCACGCAAGTACATACATAATATTACCTTGTATACATCTCGACGGATCACTTGCCAACATCATTTCTCTACAACATTCAAGTTCTCTTTCTATTCCATCCCATCGCCAGGCTGCCTAACAACGAGCACCATACATCCTTCTTATCTGACCATTGCACCAATAACTACCTAGTACCTAGGTACCTACTCAATAGGTAGCAGATTTGGACTTGTATACCGCTATGTACGTTATACCTATCTCAAATTAACTGCGCGAATACATCATTAAACTGTACTGATGATCCATTCTAGGGAGGACGATCCCACCATCCGTGGTCCTAGATCTGCCCTCAGTGATTATTTGGCCTCGCAGAATATATCGATCAGCCGTATTCGCGCAGAAAACCGTGCGCGCTTAGAGGCCACATCGACTACTACCGACGTTCCTGTTACATCAAATGATTCCACTACTCCTAACGCCCAAAATGTAGAAGGCGAGGAAAGTGAACAAGAAGAGGCTACGGCTGGTCCCTCCAATACCGACGCCGCTCCCCAAACCCGACAATGCCGCGAGCGAAAACGCAAGCAAGCCGAGGCTATTGAGGCCATCAAGAAGTCCAAGGCCTTCAAGAGGCGTAAACAAAATCCGAGCAAGGGTTGTAACATGGATTTCCCCGAAGATGATGTGGTTGAAACTGCGGTTGAACGTGGAGAAGTGGTACCTGGGCAAATGGAGAACTGCGCCCAGTGCAAGAAGCGCTTCACCGTGACCCCGTATACTCGTGCCGATCCGAACGGAGGTCTACTATGCTCGAAGTGTGGCAGCAAGCAAGCTGCTGAAGAGAAAGCCAGCAAGAAAAAGGGCAAGCAAAAGGCTTCAGCTGGTCGCGCTGGTCAAGGAAGGCGAAAGCTGCAGAGTGCCATACTAGATGGCCAGATTGGAGTTAAGAGTCTGGTGACTCTTTGCGTCGAGACCTTGGCCCAAAACATCGATCTGGCTGACGATCTAGGGGACTCGCCCCCTGCTATTATTGATCGCATAGCCAGACATTTGGCTAAGCGTCGCCTCATGAATTCTACCACCTTGCAACTATTCATTCAGCCTCGAGCCGATGAGGTTACCGTGTACGATGCCGCTCGCTTAGATTCAGACGACTTCATCCGAATTTTCCAAACTTGCTCCCAGCTGAAAAAACTGAAGTTGCGCAACGCAATCCAGTTTAAGGATCAGGTCATGGAATTCTTGATGAGTAGAAACTATAATCTCGAGAGTTTCTACATCCACGGCGCGAATCTGCTTAGCGAGACTATATGGCAGAAATACCTAGAGATGAAGGGACAGGGTCTACGAAGTCTCTGTGTCGCATTCACAGATAGACACTTTAGCAACAATACTGTTAAGTGTCTACGAGACAACTGCTCTTCGCTATCCCGACTTAAGATTTGTCACAATGGACAAGTTTCTGACGAGGGCATCGAATACATCGCGAACCTCGGAAATCTTAGACAGCTAAGTCTCCACCTTATCAAGCAGACTTCCACGACCCCTTACATCCATGTCATTGAGAATATCGGAATCAAATTATGGACATTCTCCATCAGACATGTTAAGGACGTTGATGACCGTCTGCTAGATGCGCTTCATAAGCATTGCACTTCTCTACAAAAGCTTCGTATCACGCACAGCGAAGTTATGACAGATGCAGGATTCGTCAGGCTATTCGAGCATTGGAAGAACCGGCAGCTTACGTTCATCGACCTTCAACTTTGCCGCCAAGTGGATGCGAAGGTGCCTTGGGAGAACCCTCGCAATGTTGGCCTCTGCTCCAGGGGCTTCCAAGCACTGATGGCTCACTCGGGCACTAAGCTAAAGTCCCTTAACGTCCACGGCTGCCGCCATATATCTAAAGACGCTTTCGAGGAGGTTTTCTCTAGCGACAAGTTGTATCCCGAGCTGTCAGACCTAGAGATTAGTTTCTGTGAGCAGGTGACGGACTTTATTGTCGGATCTATTTTCCGAAGCTGCCCCAACCTCAAGCAACTGAATGTTTTTGGTTGCATGAAGGTGAGTTTGCATTTACTTTCCTTTCCTTCCCCCCTTTTCTTCTTCTTCTATTTGCTGCCGCGGAAATGTTGAAGAGACATAGCTAACCTAAGGACTCATAGGTCAAGAGTGTCCGAGTGCCTAAAGGCAAGATTTTGGTTGGCGTTCCGAACGCTATGGGCATGGTCATTGAAGGCACTGATGACTAAAGAAGCAAGGTGGTTATCATGATTTTTGATGCAGTGCAGACCGTCCAAGGCCTTGGAAGTTTGGTAATGTTTCACCTATTCTATGGACATTTACTTACGCTATGAATGACCCCAAATGTGTCCATATTGAGGTACCTACGACTTGTATTGTAAGTGCCATATTTGGAACGGACCTTGAAACGGAACATGTCTTGCGATGAGAGGGTTGAGGAGCAAAGAACAATGAGAATAATGGGATGAGAAGGAGAATGGTGTTGTACTACTACATATGTAACTAGGTAAATGCCTACATATGTAGGTTAGTGTACCTAATGTGTATTACGGCAACCGGACTCACAGGATCGGGCAGCCCCGGGTCTATGGATGGTACTACCTAGGGTACCTAAGGTACCTAAGGTTAGTTAAATCGCGCCATCGCATCGCCTTATGTAATTAATCCATGTGTTTCTTGGCCATTAAATAGGAAGACACATGCTACGTAGGGTAGTGATCTGATCCAATGTTACGACTAAAATATCCAACTCCTCACTCCTCACTCCTTTCTCCTTTTTACAATGAAGCAAATTCTTTCCCCCTTTTTTCTTATTTCTTTCTTATATAACTACCTACTTACCTACTTACCTACCTACCAAATTAGACCATGACTTACCTAGAATCTCTTAATTCTTAGCACTTACTTACCTGCCTACCTAAGACTCCTACCTACCTATATAATAGTATAGTATCCATATCACAAACATCAAACTTGTTGTCCGCAAACTACTGTACTACCTAGCTAGCCACCCCGCTCCTGACTGACTGAGCCATGGGCTCCTACCTCCCCTCCTCACCCGCCGCCCCGCGTCCCTTCAGCGTGCAAAGGGTCGCCGTCATCGGCGCCGGCCCCAGCGGCCTCGCCTCCGCCAAGTACCTGCTCGCGCAAAAAGCCGGCCCTGCTGCTGCTGCGGCGTTCGCGCGCGTCGACGTCTTCGAGCAGCAGGCCAAGGTGGGCGGCGTCTGGAATTACAGTCCCACGCCGCGGCCCGTGGAGGAGTTGCCCGTCCCGCAGACGGATGCGCATCCCAAGAGGCCGGATCCACCAATTTGGGGGGACAAGGGCGGTGATGGAAATGGGGGCGAGGGGAAGAAACCGCTGTTCCCATCGCCCATGTACGAGGACTTGCACACGAATATCCCGCACACGCTGATGCGCTACTCGGACTTGCCGTTCAAAGAGGGATGCGAGATTTTTCCGACGAGAGGCGATGTGCAGGAGTATCTGGAGCAGTATGCGGCGGATGTGAGACATGTTATCAGGTTCTCGACGCAGGTCACGGGTGTTGCGCTACGGCCTGGGACTTCTTTTGCTACTGCTGCTGGGGATGGTGACAAAGAGCAAGACCAATGGGATGTGCGCACTACAGACTTACTCACAGACAAGGAGACGACAGAGACGTACGATGCGGTGGTCGTGGCTTCGGGGCACTACTCAACGCCGTACATACCAGATAGCATCGGCAATATCGACGCATTTCACGCGGCACATCCTGGACTCATCTCGCACTCGAAGCTATACCGTAATCCCGAGCTGTACCGCGGCAAAAAGGTTGTGGTGGTCGGCACGGGCGCCTCCGGGCTTGATATCGCATCGCAGATCCAAGCCGTGTGCAAGCCGCCACTCCTGGTATCGGCGCAGACCGAGGTTCCCCCCGAAACCCTCGCGCACATCGGCAATGTAAAGCAGGTTGGGCAGATCAAGCGCTTTCTAGTTGAGGAGCGGGGGGCTGAGTTCCTTCCCCTTTCCGACTCTGGACCCGAAGAAGGGGGAGCGGGCATCGAAACCGATATCGACGCCGTGCTATTCTGCACAGGGTACCTGTTCACGTTCCCCTTCCTAAACACACTGCAAAAAACACCACTAGTCACGGACGGGCGCCAGGTCTACGGCGTCGCAAAGCATCTGCTGCACGTCGCCCACCCAACCCTCGCATTCCCGGGCCTGCCGATAAAAGTGATCCCCTTCCCACTCGCCGAGGCCCAGGCCGCGGTCCTCGCACGCCTGTGGTCAAACCAGCTACCGCTACCGATGAAAGAGGTTCTCGAGGAGTGGGAGCGCTTAGACGGCGAGGGCACCGCGCCGGGGAAATTCCACGTCTTCCCGAAAGGTGGCGACGGCCGGTATATCAACGAGCTGCACGACTGGGTGACCCGGTACGGAGTCGACGGCGGCAAGGAGCCGCCGCACTGGGACGAGGAGATGCTCTGGCAGAGGGGTATCTACGCCGAGGCGAAGATGCAGTTTGAGAAGATGGGCAAGAAGGCGAAGACGCTGGAGGAGTTGGGGTTTCGGTACGAGCCGGAGAAGGTCGTGGTACCTGAGGATGTGGCGGAGGGGAATGAGAAGATGGATGTTGCTGGGTGATATAGCATCTTGGAGTAGGTACTTACCTAGCATAGCGAATCTGGTCTAGAATGATCTATAAGCAAGTGAGCTAGCAAATACAGTCTATGTAAAAGCAGCATGGAGCTTCAAGACAGATAAGCTGTTCAATCCGATGCAACGCTGCAAGTCATATATGTACCTAGGGAGGTAGCGTGGATAGCGATTGAAACCCTACAGGAAAAGAAGGTGAGGCACCCAAGGTTTCTTATACCCGAAATCTCGCTGACGCCATCACAAGCTGCATTTTCAAGCCCACGTATGTCTATCTCAACTAGCACCAACAAGTAAAGTAGCAGTGGCTACGAAGTAGCGTGTAAGCGCTTACGCTTTTAGATATATGCGTTTGTTGTCGAACCGTGATATAGTTAGCCTGTACAGAAAAGGAGACATCGCGTTCTATTACCTCGACTTCACCTGGACTAGACTCCAGGGTAGCAACGTCAACGTTGTCAGGCTTAATCCCGTATTACTGCGGGTCGACAGCAGCCTACAGGTTTCTTAGGCGAGGCCTTGAGATACTGGAATACTTGGGTAGGTAGGCTTTCATATAATAGTACATCTCGTTATATCCCACGAACATATTTTATTCTTCCTCCTAATGCCCAAACTTTTCTACCAATAGCCTCGCCATGGATCTCGCTACCTGCGGCGGGCTAGCAGCCCTCGAGCTCGCAGTATTCCGATCTTGTATAGGCCTATCGACCTTCCAAGCATCACTGAGTTTGTTCCTGGTACAATATGTTCTATGCAAATTCTATCGTATCGTATTATACCCCAGTTATTTCTCGCCGCTCAGACATCTACCAGGGCCAAGGGTAAGTTGCTTATACCCAATCCCTATCCAAGATACACCACCTCCCTCCCACCTACCATATCACGACTCTGACTCCCTACATATCTACCTACCTAACTACCTCTCCAGGACCACAACCTCCTCCTCGGCCAAGAAGCCACCAAATTCCGCGCCGCAACCCCCTGCAGCGTGCAACTCGCCTGGATGCGCCAGTGGCCCGACGCGCCCTTCATCCGGTACCTTTCCTTTGCCGGGAAGGAGATCCTGCTAGTCAATACCCTGGCGCCGCACAAGGCCGTGCTGCAGACCCACGTGTACGACTTCGTCAAGCCGCCGTTCTTCGCCCGCCTGGTCGGCGAGATCACGGGCACCGGCCTGCTGTTCGCGGAGGGCGATGTCCACAGGCGCGAGCGCAGGCTCCTGGCGGGCCCGTTCTCCGTCCCGAGTATGCGCAAGCTGTTGCCGGTTTTTCGCGCGAAGGCCAAGGCGCTTGATGGGGTCTTTGAGCGTATTATTGGGGATAGGCCGTATGCGAGCTTGGAAGGTGAGTTCACTTACACACTAGTGACAGTTTCTAGTTTGCTTCAGGACTGACCTCGCCCGCTCACCCAAGCCATGGACATCCTCTCAAAATCAACCATGGAAACCATCGGCATAACCGTCCTCGGCATCGAGCTAGCCACGCTATCCTCGCGGTACCCCCTCGGCTTCCAAGAGCTCTACAGCCGCGTGCTGCACCAGTCTCCCCTGGGCCAACTGATCTGGATCGTGAACGCGTTCATCCCGATCCGGAAGCTCGTTCCCCTGGAGGCGAACCGCCGGTTCATCCGGGCGAACGCGGACCTGCGGAAGATGCTGCGCGAGATCATCGAGCGGCGCGCCGCGGACCTGGCGGACGGGACGTTCGGCCGCGACGTGGGCGAGAGCAGGGATCTGCTGACGTATATGCTGGAGGAGGCGGCGCTGAGGAGGAAGGCGACGGGCGAGGAGGTCTGGGCGGTGGATGATATTATTGGCCATGTACGTTGAGAGAAACACCTGAACGCATTGATGCTGGCCCGGCTAACACTTTCCCAGCTCCTAAACTTCACCTCCGCAGGTTCGCTACTGCTCATTTTCATTTACCCCCCCCCCCCCCCCCCCCCCTTTTTATCCCGAAGCTTCCAAGACCATATATATATTACCTACTAACTCCCTTACCTACCTATCACTCCACACTAGGCCACGAAAGCACCGCAACATCACTAGCATGGTCCCTCTACGTCCTCGCAACCGACCACGCCATCCAAGAGCGCCTGCGCTCCGAGATCGCCTCACTGCTAGCGACGAACCCCGAGCCAGACTACGAGGCGGTGTCCGGGCTTCCCTACTTGCACAATTTCGTGCGCGAGGTCCTGCGCGTGTATCCCGCTTGTGCGTATCCCCTTCCCCTTCCCCTTTCCCCTTCCCCTTTTTTCTCAATACCCCTAGTGATGCCCCCCTCACTAAACAACCCCCCACCTTAGCCCACATGTCCCAACGCGCCGCGACCCGCGACCTCGTCATCAGCGGCATCCGCATCCCCAAGGGCACGCACCTCGACATCTGCATCCCGCTCTCGAACCTGCACCCCCTGACCTGGGGGGGCTCCTCCTCCTCCTCCTCCTCCTCCGCGACCGCCTTCGACCCCGCCCGCTGGGACCGCCTCGCCGGCGACGCCTCCACCCCCCACGCCTTCCAGACCTTCCTCCAGGGCCCGCGCGCGTGCCCCGGGCGGAACTTCGCCATGGCGCAGATGAAGGCTGTGCTGGTGGAGCTGGTGCCGCGGTGGCGGTTTCTCGGGATCGAGGGCGGGGTTGGGGGGAGAGGAGGGAGTGGTGAGCTGTTGGTGGGTGGGGAGGAGAGGATAGGGAGGGGTGTGAAGCTCGCGAACCCGAGCATGACGATGAGGCCGGCGGATGGGCTGTATGTGAGGTTTGAGAGGAGGGTTTGAAGGACACCCCTCTATTCCCCTTTAATTCTTTTTTTTTTTCTGGAATCTAGATTTTTCTTGTTCAAAGTTGGCTGGTAACGAAGTGAAATGGGTTGATGGATGAATGGATGGATAGGTAATGCCCCGGGTCTCTAGTCACGAGTCATATCGTTGCTCAATATAGAATATTCCACATTCTCAATAATAAGCCTACAACGATTACCCAATTCATACCCGAAAATATTATCATTACCTACTTGTTGTTGCCATGAAAAAGAAACCGCCCGTACACAATGCAGGTTCTGAATGCCTATTTTCACTTCCATACGCCAAACCATCCGATGCCTTTCCTCATAAACCTCCCTCACTAGCCTCAGACTTATATAGTCTTTCCGCCCTGCGCACTTCCATGCGTTCATTAATCATGCTACCAGTATCGTCATCATCATCGTCTTCCTCCTCTGTTGGCACCTCATCTTCCTCGACCAGATCCTCTACGTTCTCCGTGGTCTCCGGCTCGTGCGGCCGGCGCCGCTTCTCGAAGTCCTGTTTGTGCGCGTCGGCCATAATGCCACGGATCGAGCGTGCACGGAGGACTTCAGGGTTACGTCGCCATCTCATTCCACTGGCACTACCACTGCCTCCTTCTCCATCGGCCTGTTCCTGCGATTGAGGATGGGTTGGTGTCTGCGTTAATATTTCCGTTTGCACGCGGCCGAGGGCTGAGGCGCCCGCCGTACTTATATCGACGGCACTCGCCATTGCCACTGAAGCCGGGATGACGGATTGTTGCGTAGGCTTGACGGCAGTGCCAGTACGCTGGGGATTTTCCTCCTCCTCGGCACTTGGGCGCTCAACCAGTGGCTCATGGATACGGACAGGATACGGGAGGGGAACATCGCGGCTAGCCTTGTACTGAGCGACGTTGGCGCAGTGCTCATTTTCAACGCGAAACAGAGCCCACATGCCACGGCGTGTGATCTCGGCCATAGCGACGAGGAACGAGACAATAGTGCTGTGTTGCTTGTCATGCGTAAATATGGCGTAGAAAATCCAGCTGAAGCGTAGCACGGGGTCCAAAAACATGACGACGTAATATAGCCATTGGCGCTTGAGGCCAAGAATATCTCGTAGAAAGCGGTGTCGTGTTTCTGGCTGGAAGAAGGAGAAATCCATAAACAAGTCCCATATAGCTAGATACCCATGGTTAATACTTATTCTTCTACCTTTTTGCATGGGGTATATTTTGGGGCCATGATGGACTTACAGGTGTAGATGCTGTTCATGGTAGAAAAGGTAATGAAAAGCCCGAGATTCGAATGATTTGCATGCATGCGGTACATCGAGAGAGTCACCGCTGACATGATAGTCATACCGTATTTACCACCGTTGACAAGGTGCGGGAATACATTTCCAGTATCACGATATCGGCGAATGCATTGCAACGCACGCCAAACTGGTGGTAACGCCGAGAAAAATCCCAGCAAGCGGGAGTTGTTGGAATTACATTGAACTGGGTCCTCCCAGGAATGCGCATAGAGGCAGAAGAAGAGTTCAATATTCTGATAAACGTCCAAGTGGTTAGCAATTCGGAAGCACGTCGTTGTTGATGAATGGCACAACTTACCGAGGTAGCATAGGTAAGAGAGCAGTACATGTCGCCAAGAAAGAAATCACGAAACTCGACGGGGTATAATCCTGCAAAGAATAATCGATACTAGAGCACCTAGGTTAGATAATGTGCCAAATATATCGAATAACAGATGCGAAGACTCACATGTGAATACACGAGCCAGTGTCGACTCCTATGCCATAGGATCGGCGCCGGCAGGAAGAGAAGAAACAGCGTGATGGCTATTAAGATTACCGGATAGTATAAATACATCTCCTCTGACCCATATCTGGTAAAGTTGATCCAGAAAAATACTCCAAAGAGCAAGAGGAAGAAGCTCGGAAGACTCGACAATTGTCTCCAATCCAAGTTGTGTCTCGTGTCGAACTCGAAGATGAATGGATAGTTGATTTTGTTGGCCGTCCACATGTAACAATCGAGACAAAATAAAAACATTAGAGTTAGCATTAGAAAATAACCACCATATATCTGCAAAAGATAGCTGGTCTGCTGTTGCACTTCAGGGTCTGAGTCGTATAGGAGTTGTGAGCCGTATACAAGACCTTGCAGGGTAAACACCGTTCCGGTACCGATAAATAGTCCATTCCGAAAAGCTATGGCGGATTCGTCTCCTGGTCGTCGATTTAAGCGATGGAGCTTCCCTGTAGCAATCTTGTGGTTCCCCTTTTCAAAATATCTCGCGTAAAGGTCCTCGACGGAATGGATGTACTCTTCCACGGTATTGCTGTTGACGAACCACGACTTGTTGACCTTTTCATTCATATACCGGTATGGTGGTCGCGCGTTGACAGCCTTGTCATATTTCTTGTTGAGCTTTCGAAAAGCCGTCCGGTTGAGCTGTGCATATGACTGGAGGAGTTCGAGTCCCCGATAGAACTCCTGAAGTGCCAATTTTAGCTTCCTCTTTGCTGTCCTGTATGGCACGTCATGGCTAGATGGCTTCTTGACGTAGTCTCTTCGAGCCTCTGCCCCCATGGCACCAAGCACCGGGGTGAAATTCAGTTTGGAGAATGCCTTTGAATTAGCGCCGGGTTTGAATATCTTGGACTTAATCGGGTCTACCCAATGGTGAGAGGTGTTGGTGATACCCGTTGAAGTGCCTTTAGGGTTAGGGTTACTCGCATCCTCTCCCCTCTCCTTTCGTTGTCTAATCTCAGCTAACTCCTGGTTGCGCCTATTTCGCATCTCGTGCAACTGCTCTCGCAAGGTTGCTAAACGCTGTCCGGCTTGCTCTTCCTTCTGGCGGTAGAAAGTTTCCACTTTATCAAGCTCACTGTCTAGAAAATCGAAGAAGTCCTTTTCACGCTGCCTAATCGTGTCCAGGCTTTGCAATCCATATCCAAACTTGGCGCTTTCACTCCGGCCAATATTCTGAGTCGGATAGCCCGCCGAGAAGATACGCCGGAGTCGGCCAGGTGGTCCAGTAAACTGAGACATTGGACTAGGACGGGGAAAGGTGGCCGATTGAGGACCGCTTCTGGATGGGACTAAACCCATGGACATGCTGCGCTTAACAGAATGTCGGCTTGTGGACTTTTGAAGCGCATCTGTAGGCCTACTAGGGGGTGGCTCGGTTGGAATTGCAGGTTCGCCTAAAGCAGGAGCAGGCAATTCGAACAAGTTCCAGCTCTCAGCAATTGAAGGCGGGGGCGGCGTCGGCACGAAGCTTCCATACCGCAATTCATTGCCGGGCGATGTCGACAGCGCTTGACGCTCTGTGGGAGCTGGAATAGGTGTTGCTCGAGCCCCTGATATGTCGTGGGATCCCCTAATTCCACGTCCCATAGGTGCGGGGCTTGCTCTCAGGGATTCAACTTCATCAGCTGTAGTAAGCTGGGGGTCGTCATGTTGTTGACGGGAGAATTGACCTGGCCTAGAGGTTGCTTCTTCACGTGGTATTTCACCGCGTTTCCCTACACCTGGTGTTCCATTGGCTTTATTGATGGCTTTGGATGTTGCCTTGACGTACTTCTTGCCGGCCTTGTAGTTTAAATACTTGACTCTCCATTCTAAATCTAGGTTAGCTTATCCCCTTATCTCATGCGTATTCAATTGCCATGAGGTCTATTATGATCCCGACACGATATATACCCTAGGTATGATATATGTAGGCACATTTAAGTTCTTGACATACCTGGGACAAGGTCTTGTTCGAGTTCTTTAGCAAACTTCATGACGTCAAGGGGACCATGTAAGGATTCACTAAAAACCACCCAAAGCTGCGGACCAGATCGCTATGCATGAGCTGTTGAATTGGACCAGAGCAGAGAGATTGGGGGAATTGTCCAATGTTACATGCGGTCGGAGAATATCATGCGGTTGATCAGTCTTGGACAGTCTTGGTAATTCACAATACAATGGATATGATGGGTATGATGGATATGATGGATATTATTTGGATGAATAAAATAAGGCGACCCGTACATAAGAATAATAGTAAACCGTTTGCCGTTTGTTTAGAAGTGTCCACCGCTAAACGCGCCATTGAATTAGATCTTTTTCTTTTCTTCCCTCTTACTTTTTCAGTGGGTTTGTACCATGTTAAACATGGAGAATACTCCACTTATGAACCATATTTCGTAATATGCACATCTTGGCGTTCATTATCTCAGAGATTAGAACATTCAATGCACATGGCAATGCTGAACTTTTGTGATTCAAACCTGTGGCTGTGTTTCCCGTGTATCCTGGCCCGTGCACCAATACATGTGGCGTTGTATCACAGTCACATGGCACATGGCAATGGTCAATAGTCTTACGTAATAAAGCCAAGAGTTCGAAAAGCTTTCGATGCCTATCAGTTAGTTACTAGTAGTACTATGCCGTAGCATTCTTCAATGCCAAGTGCCTATAAAAATATCAGCCACGACGCCAGGGAAAAAAAAAAAAAAATACCAAAGAACAAGGCGGAAGCTTTATAGCTTATTGTTTATCGTGAGGCCATCATTTAACCAGTCATGTTCTTTCGTAGGAGCCTATTAACGGAACTTGTGTAACTGACATTCCGGGTTGCTCGGGTTTAGTGAACCAACCATACGAAAAGGGTTGGGGGGTGTTGGAAGTGATTATATATTAACTCAGCAAGCCACTTGAGAACTCGGAGCTGGTCTCCATTTTGGTAGTCACCGTCGACCAACCTGTTCGTTAGCCAGGCTGACTTGGCCAAAAGGAGGAATCCGCGCTAAACCTAAGCGCTTGCTGACGCACTACCGCGTTCGTTGGGGCACTTCGTGAGTAAATATTGGCGGACTTTGTTTGTTGGTAAATGCTGCCTAGGTATCTAGGCATCGCCCGAAGAGTCGGAACTGGTTGGAACTGAGCAGCGCAAGCTCCGAAAACTGAGGTAGCAAATATAATATAGTCCTTAGCTGATCAGCTGAAGGATAGCCCGAATATGCTTAGGGTAGATCTCGCAATGTCTGAGACATACATACTTATCCGCATGTTTTAGGCTCTTAGCCCTTCGACGTACAGAAGATCGCACATGATGTACATATAATGCGCAGGAGTGGAGAAAAGGATCAGTCTTGCTCTTGTGAGACGACTACCTCTAGGTATTATCGTTAATATCACGATGTCGTTGGTCATTCAAGAACTTGCTAAACCCGACGGCGTAGTCTGGGTATTCCGCATCGAGACGCGCTAATCCCGCAGTTCTCCCTACCTCTCAGAGTGATGGGTCGGGCGTCTTCGTGTTGGCGTGGTAGATAATATACCTAATTTATTCGCACCGGAAGCAAAGAAAAGCGGCGAGTATTTGGCCATGATTGGGTGCCGGTAGGAAAATTTCGAAGCCTCGATAGGAATTTGACCGAGAAGATCAAGAGGAAAAAGTTCCTCCTACACCATCTTCTCGTCACGTTATTTGGACGATACCAAAAAGCCAGAGGACCAAAAGTCTTGGTCCTGCTTGTCTCACTTTGGCGATCCAATCGTTCTTCAGAAGACCCCTGTTCACCTGAACAGGACCCTGCTTGCCGCAAGACAAGCGCCCACGATTGGGTTTAGAACCCTGCTGGTCAACTGCCAAGGAGGATCATTCCGTGTCCACCGTCAACTCTTCTTCGATGTCGCGGCTCGGTGATGCGGCAAGCCTACCTAGCTGCCTACTACAAGCAAACCGAGTCGTAAAACTTCGCTTTCGTGTCTTCCTTTCTTCGCTATCTATCATCATAGAAAGCTTCAAAATGGTTCTGGATAATAGGACTGCCACGTCGATATAGCACTAAGTCGCATAGCCCATCACTAGGCGTCTTGATCTGGTTTCGCCGGTACTACGACTGTGGCGGAGCGTACCATTCGGCACTCGCCACAGATATGTATGTAGCACTGAGACTATTCCAGTATAGTATCAGTGGGTCAAAATGACAGATCTGCAACGAGCCTCTCGGCTCTTCAATCCGTACATAAGTTGACGCAAGATTGCCTTCCTTGTTCTATACATGCCAACACATATAGAGTTTGCCCCAGACTATGCAGCTTTCAGCTTGCATTGTTCATATGTTAGAAGATATTACAGAAAACGAGAGGCCTTCGACTAGGCAATCCATATGCATGCCAACGACCTACAGTAGTTATTCCCCTTTCTGGGCGCGGGATGATTCGACCTCTGGTGGTGGGATTTTTCGCTGTGTTATATAATTCACTAGCCTGTTGTATGCCTTGGTTAAGCACGTCGATCGCCCAAGGGAAGTGGTCTAAGATGCCTACTGTCCAGATCATGTGGACAGTCTGTAGTTATCTAGGTTAGGTTAGTAGTATTATTTGATAGCCAATAACCTGCGATGAAATAGGCGATATGGAAATATCTTGTTTGCGGGGAACTGTTTCAAAGACCTACTACATTTAGACGAGTTGACCGATTGAAAGGATGGGGCAATGCCATATCCTCTTTCCTTTTCACTTGAAGTCGTAGGTATGGATATACTTCACCGAGCATGTGGACGCAACCTGTAAGGGGTTTGAAAGCCGAACAGAATTGCAGTAAAATCCTGCCGGAATAAGGAGAGACATGCAGATAAAGCGTGAGTCGGATGGTGGCGGCCTCCATTGGACGAAAAATCAGGAACGCTAAAGAGCCAATGAGAAATTTTGGCTGGGATTTCTTTTTACTGACGAATCCCTGAATCCCTACATGATTACATACCCCTGTTAGCGTTGATTGTGGGAATAATCCATAAGTACATACCCTATCTACATATAGTTAAACGTTAACGTTACAGTTACATACCTCAATAAGTATATTTGAGATATGTATCATGAATGAAGAACGTCGAGTGCTATAGCAGGATTCACATCATTTGTAATCTGTAACTTTTGTGAATGACCTCATAAGTTATACAAGCTCAAGATGTTGGAAAAGAAAACACAAGGGAGAGTCGTCTGATCTAGGTGTACCCATGACATGATCTCTTGCTCTACTACATACAACCTACTTCGTAGATATCAATTATCACAAACATACGTCCCCAGAATATCCAATAAGGATCCACGTCCAAAGCTTACTCGCCTTGATATTACAGACATATGATGAAGTGGGGTTTATGGGACGTCCATAGTTAAGTTTGGTTGAACCAAGATTGTAGAAGCTCAAGCACGATTTGGGGCGTCCTGACTCCTCATAAAGTAAGACATGCAGAAAGCCATCACGCTGCGATGGAACCATGGGGGTTTTGCGGGAATTGCGAAGCTAACCGCCTGAAACACGGCTTGCTTGCCTGCCCATGCGATTGGGCTGGTTGATTAAATAGAAGCAATATGAAGATGATAAATCGTTGTTTGCTTGATTAATTCAGAAGGGAGATGAGGATGCTGAGGTGCATGTTGCATATGTTAAAACATGAGTGATTTTGAATCTATAATACTAAAATTAATTGTTGGAGATGGATCAGATATTGAATTGAGGCGTCAAGAAAGTCTGGATCGTTAAGCGCGGAGAAAAGCGGATAACTTGGAACCTTGGAACTAAGAAAAAAGCAGGGATATCCTTAGCTATCAGAATTGTTAGCAGTCACCTCCAGGGCTATTCCAGGGCTATTCCAGGGCTATTAACAACCATAGGCGGCCCGCGCCTTGAGTTTCCGCTGGAGGCAAGAGCAATGGATTCAAGCTGCATCACCGCCACTGCCAGTTGTCATTTAACAGCATCATTCATCATTTTCATTCCACTAGAGTAGTAACAGGCTGCCTCTTTCCCGCACATACAGGTTACTAGCCACTGCAACTGCTACTGCAACTGCAACATGCATTGCATGGGCCAGTGACTGACAGGTGGTAACTGACTAAGCTGTAATCTGCCCAGTGTAGTGTAGGTACCTAGGCACTAAGCATCTGATGTTCAATGTTGACTTTTTCTCAACTTTCTCACCTTTTACTCTATTTGTCGTCCTGTGCCAAATCCACTTCCGAAGTGTGATTCGACAATCGACAATCGTAACTGCAGGGTGCTTTAGTCTACGCCCCGTTATCGCAGCATGCTCTTCTCCATTCTATTCCTACACACACACCCTTATGATGATGACCTATTATAACACGCGTCAAGCATCGGCCTAGCTTCTGGGGGAGATACTGGGAACCGGTACCTACTACTAGTAGCGTTGCATAGCTCTGTCTACATCTAAAACTACAGTACCATAATATGTAGGTCGGCTCTGGAAGCTCTCGATCTTGTCCTTCGTCCGACCCAACCAGGAAAGGTTCTCCATATGTCAAGGGTGTTCTTCAACGAATGATATCGTCAAGAGCCTACTGCAGTCTTCTCATAGGACATCAGAGTATGCACAATCCGAGACCGGGTTAAAAAGGATGACTGGCGCGGTTCCTTTTTTGCTCGCTCACGCGCATAATTTCCTAGTTACTGTTGGATGGTCGACAGTGCATGCGAGCAAGAAGACTAGGGAGTGAGGAGTGAGGAGTGAGGAGCGAGGAGTGAGGAGCCAGAGGAGAAAATGAAATTGGTCGGAATAGCTACCTATGGTAGAGTCTAGCTCATGCTACAAAATGAGAGATTTTGGACAATACCAACAAATCTTCAACGTATTGGTAGGTCTGCAAAATTTGATCTGCCTCTTACACCTCGTATGGACTATTCGGTGACTCAGCATTACTACCTGGGCATCTTCACTAACGATGGTGCCCCAAACCCTTGCTGGGAATCGGCTTAGGGTTGGAACGTCGATGTTTGAACCCACAATGGCCGCTGCCAACCAGACCGCACACTCGGCGATTCCATTTTGGACAACCCCCAAATGGTCGCATCTTGGCCATCGACAGGGGTATTTGCGCCACACTCGTTCGGAGGGACGATTCGTTTATGTACCGTAACCCATGCCCAAACCCTTGGGTACATCATCATCTTGTGAATAATGCAGGGTGGAAGGGTGATGCAAGCTAGTATTTGCAGGTATCTTCTTATATACCTATAATCATACATTTTCTTTTGCCTCTTCGATACCTCTTCTGATGTCGTTTCTTCCTCATTTTTGTTTCAGAGAGTCTGTACATCTCCTTCTCCCCCCAAATCCCACCTCTATCTAGCTCTTTTCTTAAAGGACCTTCCTATTTCACTTGTCTTTCATACCTGCTTAGGTACCTCCTCTCAGCTACGTTTGCGAAGCGACAGATTCTCTAGCATTTCCGACGGCGGCACCCGTAGTAGAATCATATCCCAATATCAACCCGTTGAAGAGAACGCGGCGCCTGTCATGTTGTATTAGACGCCCTCAAGTCCCCCACAACTTCTGTACTACCACACTGTTTTCCAGAAGTCGATTCGACATCTACTCGGGGAAGATTATCCCCCACCCATCGCAAGGATTTCGACCAGATCCTCCCCGAGCCCGGATCTCCTTGGCCTTCGTTTGCAATACTTTCTACTAGCATTCCTTCTCTCAAGACCTTTTAACTACCTACTTCTTTCATTCTAATCTTCACTATCGTAATACTTCGCGGCCCGTGCCCATGCTCTTGGGATAAAAGGTTACTACGCTTTTTGCCCGCCTTGGCTGGAGTTGGATATTCGTCCGGTCCATATTCGTCTAGTTCCGCGACCAGATATTTTTAGTAATTGGAGGCTCGTAATAAAAAAAAATAGGCTGTCGTGGAACACCGTCGGTTTTGTTCACCAACCGGCTCGGGTCGTCTATTCCGTTACCTCCGTCTCGCCGCCGTACTGGAATAATGTGGCTTGTCAGCACCTAATTGTCGACCTGGAACATCCCGAAGCCAACCGCAACATTACCTGATAGGTTGTTCCGATTGGCAAGCTCCTGGCCAGATTTTGCTGCTGACCACCCGCCTTAACATCACCTATAGCTTAAGATATAGCTTGTTCTTTAACAACATGGCTGCTTGATCTTGGCATGGTTGGACATCAAACTTCACCCCGAAGATATTAGGGACGTATTAATCATGGCATCCATTCGCGCACGTTCAGATTCTCGATCCAGGCCAAGTGATGAATCACGATCTAGGCGAATGGGGGAAATAATAAAACCATCGGGACCAGACTTCACACCAACAACAAGTAGGATAGCCCGCAAGGAGACTGGTAGCTCTCGGCTTGGGCTGCCCTCAGCTTCACAATCTAAGCTACCACAGAGCCGAATACCTCAAAATGCTTCCTCTCAAAAGCCCCCTGGTCATAGGCCTGCCGCAAAACCACCTCTAACTCATGAAACACAATCTTGGTCAACAAATCCCGGCCCCTCAACAGCGAATTCAGCGGTCTCATCCACATTCGTTACGCGCCGGCCAAACGAAATAAGTAATCCACCACCACGACCTTTTCTGCGTCGGAAACAATCAAGTCTCTCTCATGAGCGACCACATCTGCCAATCCAGTCTCGTTTAAACTCAGAAAGAGCCGATTCATCTTCTTCAATACCGAAGTTGCAACCATCTTTGGATTCCAGTGACCCCTATTCGGATAGGGGCATGGCCGCTAGCCCCGTTGAGATTCGAACCACGCAAAAGTTAGAATTACCCCGGAGGACTAATCAACCTGCGAGAATCTATCCAGAACTGGACCGGTATCGAGATATTGACCTCCCCTCTTCAAGAGGTGGTCCAAGTATAGATGTTCCATTCAGACTAGCAACCGAAAACCTTCCGCCGCCAACACCGCTTTTCTCCGGAGGAAGTAGTCATAGCCAGTTAAGCAACTTTAGTGCCAGCCCTTCCACCAGATTTTCCGAGTCTCCTGGGCCGAGTCCATATAGTCGCGATACAACGCCAACCTCAATGTCGTCACAATCCCCAGGGCTCCTCGCGCCTCATCGATTTCCTATTGCTAGGCCAAAGCAAGCGAGTCCTGCCCAGACCAGACCGCCAGTGACACGGAGAAGAGCCGGCAGTATATCAAGTGAACGAGATGGTTTCAATGCCGACCCCCATGGCCTTGCTTCAGTGCGAGAAGCGTTGACATCCTCGTCTTCAAGCTCAACGGTCCGTAACGAAGATGAAAACAAGAAAAAGTTGCGTAAAGGGCTCTCACCAGCCTTGCCAATTCCGCCACCGAGGAAATCATCCCAAAAATTCAAAAATGATCAAGACAACAACGGATCGCCATCAAAGGCTCCTCAACTACCTACTCAGCCTGCTGAAAGATCTTTATCCCCTACTAGAGCAGTCCAAGCATCCCCTAACAGAGCCTTGAATACTACAACATCTCCCCAAAGTCGGCCAATACCACCCTCAAGACCTAGCCGAGACGGGACCCCCGATTTGTATTCTCAGTTCGGCGGTCCAATCCCCGTGATTCATAGCAATTTGTCTTCTACCAGTCTCGTTGATAGACGTCACAGTGCCCAGCTAGGACCTAGTTCACTACCAAAATCAACAATGACTTCTTCTAAAGATCGCTCGGTATTATCGAAACCCCCCACAGCTCGAGAAGTCACACCAGCACCGAGATTGAATGTTCCAAAGACTGCCCAACCAAGCCAAACAGAAAGGGGTAAAGTTAGCAGAACACCTAGCCCAGCGGCCTCTTCATTCAAAACGCGATTTCCGCTATTCGGACGACGTACCAAGGTGGCTCCAGAAATACCACAGGCTGAAAAGAAAGAGAAGCCCACGCGAAAAGGCCCAGCCGCTGGAACAGGTCATGAAGGATATGGCAGGGTCGGTTCAGGCAGAAGACGAAGCAGTAGTGCAGCGAATTCTAACACATCACGCGGGTTACCAGGCCCGATATCTTCGTCAGATAGCCTCGCAAGCCTTCAGTCAACCGATGCCTTCTTTCTGGAACGGATGAACCCTGTGATAATCGCTGGTGGTGAGATCGTGGATAATCAAAATACAGCCTCCGAGTTAACGCGAACCGAAAGCAACCAGAGCATTCCCCCGACCCGTCCTGGTATTGGTTCTCGCAATAATTCGACCGCTTCGATGTCTTCAAAGGAAGAGTCTCGGCAGACATTGTGGCCGTCGCCTTTTCCTCGTGTATCGATCCAGTCTCATCCTTCTGATAGTAGCGACTCAGAAGCGGTTTCGATGAAGCCAACCATTGCGTTTCGAAGGTCAAGGCAACGACTCCAGTCGCCAGATCACGCCCCTCTTAATCTACCAAAACCTATCATTACTAGGGGGATGACATCTCCGTCTGTGGGAAGCATAGAGACGACTATTTTGACGGATGACTCGGCTTTGGATTCTAGACCGGAACTAACCCGCGAGCAGGTGGAATTGAAGGCTGGGCCGAAGAAGCTGACAAAACGAGCCAAGTCCCCTCGCAAATGGAACCTGTTTAGCAGATCTCAGAGTCAGCCTCCCAAGGATCGCAAGAAGGTCGAAGCAAGTGTATCCGCCACAGTGAAGCCCGCTTCGAGCAAGCCAGTTGCATTCTACACCATGATAGATTCTTCGGAACAAGATGACGCTGAGGAGCAAGACGTATGTGATATTTTGAGGGAAGCAGAAGTTCTCGTTCCTTTTATGGCGACAGAAGGACATGGTCGAAACTTATCTGAAGGAAGTCATCCCCTCGAGATGTCACAGGCTCAACGACTACATACCCGGCAGACTACATCGGACCCAGATAGAGGTATTCCAAATTACATGAAACCACTAAAACCTTCACCACCAAAACGCGAGGAAGTCTCTGTCAAAGCTCCAGCTTCAACTGCTCCCAGATCTCGTCCAAGCCGACTTCCCCAGGTTGGCAGGATACCCAAGGTTGTCAATACTCGCCCGGAACAAACATCTCCAAAGAGTTTCTCACGACCTTTTCATCGAATTAGCCTACAGCTACCACCTCCTGACCTGAGTAGGATTGACCGAAACTCCGTTGCAAAAGGCCCAAGTCCACCGAGGGTTCCATCACCTGAGCGTACTCAAGAGCAGCCGTCAATAAAAAAGATTGGTTCTACTTCCTCAACTAAACAAACCCCAGTCACCAGAGAAGCGGCCCCCAAGCTCGATAAGCCTAAAAAGGAGTTCCTTGCATTTTCTCCCACGAAAGTTTCAGAACGCATAACAAATCCGACACCTGATAATTCCGAATTAGCTAGCATTTATAACCGCATAGCCTTACCACCACTGCCGAAGGCCCCGCTAACCGAGGATGAAATCTGGGATGAATATAACGACTTTTTAGGCGAAGTGCCACCTTCTGCAACATCTTCTCGCGGGGTTCCTTTTCATCTAGAAACCTTTACGTCTAACCTACTAGCAAAGGGATCTAAAAAGCCATTAGGAAAAGCTACAACTACTACTACCGATATACAGGCCGCCAAGGACGTCCGCGACTCCTTCGAGACCGGAAAGGCTGCTACATCGTCCAGTCACTTTAGCGCTGACATGACGGCCAGAATTAATGCTGCTTTTAGATTTAACTCTGATGCACCAGTCACGCCTTGTTCAGCCTCGGAGTTTGTTTCTAGATGCAGTGATCAGGAAAGCAGCAGCCCTAAGCCGGACAACCCCCCTGTTGCTTCCCGGCGGTGCAGCCCATCGTCATCTTCAACCAAAAGCGTGAAAGCCAAGAGAGGCTCGGGTAGTAGTCGCAGCAGCGAAGAGGAAACGCCCCTTTCTCAAGTCAACATTCGAGTTGGGTCCATGACAGTTAGCAAATGGCTTACTTTTGGCCATGTGCTGTTCAGCCCGATTCGAGAAGAGCTCCTTAATGATGATGATCCTAATAAGCGTCATTCCATTCTGGTCATCGACGGCCTTGGTAATGATGACTGGTCATTCTATGCTGCTGAGACATACCCTGCCGCTACTTTCTTCAACCTCTCTCCTCGTGCACCACTAAGCCCAGAGCAACAAACGACCCCTTCGTTCCCTCTCTCACCACCCAATCATCACCAAATCCAGTTCACCTCGTATATGGATAAGCTCCCCTTCGGACCGGACAGCTTCACCTCAGTCGTATTTCGATTTCCTTCCGCAGCTCCAGAGTCCCATTACCGCAACATAATTTCGGAGGCCCGACGCGTGCTCAAGCCTGGTGGATATATCGAACTGTCCATTCTCGACGTGGATCTGAATAATATGGGCAACCGTACTCGGCGCGCCGTACGTCGCTTGAAGGAGCGGGCAAGCGCACGCAACCCCAACTATAACCTCAGCAGTACAGCAGACCTCATTCTTCGCCATCTCGGCAAGAAGGGGTTCATCGATGTCAAGTCGTGCCGTGTCGGTGTACCCGTAGCGAGCTCTATCACCAATGCGTCTTGTGTAAAGAGTAAGAGGGACGAGCGAAGTCTGGCAGAGATGATGAACGACAAGACGGAGATAGGCGACGAAAACATCACGAAAATGGTTTCAAAGGTGGGACGATGGTGGTATAACAGATGCTACGAAACCCCGACCGGGATGACCACCAGCATCTGGAATGATAAGGCTTTGTTGGCTGAATGCGAGGAATGGGGCACAAGCCTCAAGCTCATGGTATGCCACGCAAGGATGCCCGAGGCAGGGGGGAGAGTCGCGAGCATATGAACCGCTCGCTAAAGACGGGCAATCCACGATCCGACGACCTGGTAGAGAAACACAGACTGACCCTCCCCTTCAACGCACCTTTCTCTCACCTGGACTATTCGACTTCAGAGGATGAAATACCTACCTACATCACATACAGATTCCTGGATTGTACACCATATTCATCATTTATTTTATTTAACCCTCCCTGTGCAAAAAGATCATAACCAGCATTGGCGAGGAATCATTATTTCAAAACAAGAATCTTAAGAGGGCGCAAGCCCAGCAAGAAAAGCAAAATTCTACCTGGGTAGTTTTATCTCATTTATTCCAAAAAAGACGGGCAGGAACCAAACGACTCAAAGTCAAATCTCATCATATCGCATATACCTATGGACAGGAGACCGGGAAAACAGTTACGGCTCCGAACAGGTTTTTCATATTCCGCTGTATCCTTGGTTGGTATCACAGCAAACGACATATTTTTCATCTTCGTTTCTCAGTATATACGTACACGAACATTTATTAGTTGCATTTTTACGTTATTTATTACCTCGTCGACTCAGTTATTCCGAGAATAACTCGACAGGCAGGCACACCATTACTACCTACCTACCTACCTACCTACCTACCTACCTACTTAATACCACCACACGACTTGTTGTTGTCACAGGATTGGCCTCTTCAGGAAAACTCATTTCACTCTCCATGTTTCTCAAGCACGAGAATGGAGAGAGAAAGAGTCGGGATTGTTGGGTATAAGAAGAAGAGGGGGGTGTGCGTTGTTAAAGAAGACGGGGAGGTCTGGGATTCTACCCTGGTTGCAATCCGCGACAGTGGCTGGCTATTGCATTTATTATCGCCAATCGCTTTGATCGGTAGGTCGAGAGAAAGAAAGAACGGGGGAGGGCTCTGGAAGCGAAGATTTTTTTGAAAGGTGGAGAAGGAAAGAGAAAGGGGGGGGGGATAGGGGAAAAAAGAGTGCTGCTGTACGCCGCGTGCTTTATGACGAAGTGAAATGAAATGACCGAAAATGGGAAAAAGCTACGACAGTTTCATGATGTTTGACGAGGAAAGCGTTATGAGTGAGTCTTTTCGAAATTGGTTACCCTATGTAGGGAGAGGAGGAGGAGGAAGAGAAGTTGTTTTGCAAGCGAGCACAGCGAGTCTTAAAGATACCCCATTCTTTTCTAATATGATGAAGATATTATATTGTTCAAAAAATGAATATAATACAAACAAACACGTTTATACTTATAACTTCTATTTTTTGATCTTTTTGCTTGATTGTGAATTTTTATCTATCTAGGTACCCTAGGTAGAATATGTCCAGTGATGGGTATGTAGGTACCTAGGTATAATAATGCCCCCCTTAAAAACCTTCCCTCCCATTGACTCCGAGGTCCAAATCCGAAAACGCCTCGTGATAAAACAGCCTTGAATATATTGCAAACCTGACGCCCAGAGCCACAGCCGTGACTGCCCCGTGTTTAGTTGAGTTATGAAATGCTACCTACCTACATGCATACAATGGATGCATGGGTAGGTTAGTTGTTTGGGTATCAGTATCAATATATACAAACCTCATCGCTTCCCCTTTTCCCCCCCCGTTGCCTCTTTTCACACCTAAACACCACTTCAAACACGTAAAGTTTACCTCGTCAGAGAACTCCAGGTTCCCATATCATCTTTCCTACACCGTCATCGTCGTCGTCGTCGTGTCCCTCACTCACGTGCTGCTGCTGCTTCTTCTTCTAAACATGATCTCAGCCGTCATGCTCGGCCCCTTCGTCATCATGAACATATTCGGCGGCGGTCTCGCAGCCGCAGCCGCAGAAGAAGGCGAGGGCGAGGGCGAAGAAGGCGGCGGCGGCAGCCGGATGTCGTAGTTCAGCAGCAGGTGGGCGAGCACCATCTTGATCTCGCAGCCGGCGAAGAAGCGGCCGGGGCAGGCGTGCTTGCCGAGGCCGAAGTTCATGCTCGTGTCGCTTATGCTGGTGAACTGCCAGCGGCCGGGGCTCGCGCCGCTCGCGCCTCCGTCCGATCGCAGCTTGTGGAACCGCAGCCCGTCGAAGACCTCCGGGTCGGCGTAGTACCGCTCGTCGACGGAGATCCCGGCCATGGGCGCGAGGAGGCTGGTGCCGGCGGGCAGGTGCGTGCCGTCGGATAGGTCGATGGGTTTCATTACCTTGCGGATGAAGGAGGCTAAGGGGGGGGCGTGGTTAGTTTAATCCTCGGTTAGGTTAGGGAGGTAGACAAGGTATAGGTACTTACTGACATTGCCGGACAGGCGTTGCGACTCCTTGATAAAGCTATCCAGCTTCCTCAGCCTGCCCATGCTGTCCTTCCTGCTCCAGGCCTCCTCGTCGCACAGCACCTCGCGCGCCTCCTCCCGCAGGATCTCCTGCATGTCCTGGTGCACGGCCAGGTCGTAGATGCAGTCCGTCGTCAGGTTGCTCGTCGTGTGGATCGAGGCCGCGCTGAGAAGGAGCTGCAGTTTGCCCTGCATGTAGTGGTCGCGCTTCTGGTCGTCCGGCAGGGCGTCGAGGAGCCACTGGACGAAGTCGTCGGGCTTCGCGTAGCCGGGGGTCTCGGCGTCGCGGAGCCGCTCCTCGATGATGGGCGCGAGCATCGCCTTGGCCTTTTCTAGGTCCCGCTCGATCGTCCCGAGCTCCGACACGAAGTACTGCGCCAGGGGGCGCATCCACGGCGGGAAGAACTGCAGCTTGGTCACGGCGATGAAGGCCGTGATGGCGAAGTTGATGCTCACGTCCATCCACTCCTCCACTCGGTTCAGCGCCGGCCCGACGAAGATGCGCCCGCTTAGCCGTGCCACTGTTCGCACCATGAACGGTTGGATCTTGAACGGGGTCCATTCTATCTCCGAGTTAGCTCAGGATAACTATCTATTGGGAAGAGATATCGTGCCAAGATGACCTACCTTGACACTCGGGAAACTCGGTCCCCATGATGTGTTCGAGCTCCTCTTTAAGCTGCGGCGTCATCCGCGCGAGCTGGCTGGTCATCTTACATTTAAGTAGTAGCGACAAGGTGTCTGCGTGATGACCAGCGCATAGTTTCGTGTACTCGCTCAGCATAGCCTGTTGGATAAATATGTTCAGCACACGGTCCGTCTTCGTTAAGAAATATGGCATCGTCTCAACCAACCTCGCTCACGGCCGTCCTCGCGCTCAGGGTGTCTTCGGGAAGACCCTTGAGCTCACCGACCATGGACGCCGGTATGATGGTTCTCACGCCCTCCGTTGACTTGATCTGATATACGGCATCTCGGAACTGTGGCTGAAGGTTAGTATATTACTAGGTACCATATATACCTAGTAGCCAAGATATATACTAGCTGCCTAGGTAGTTAAGTATGTATCTGAGAGGGTGTGCAAACCTTGCGATAGCTATCCTTCACCAGTGCGTCGGCATTGAACATCCATTTTAACCGGGATGCCTTGTAGAGGGGCGCTGAGACAACGCATTTTTGTTTGTTTGGCTGCCATAACCATATGCAGAACAGCACTGTCACAATTGCGACATAGTAGCTCAAACGACTGCCGCCTAAGACTCGGTCGGGCAGTATGTCTGACACTAGGGTGAAATTGGTGTGAGGGCCGGCATCTTCTATCATGGAAGGCATGGTGAGGAAGGGGGAGGGGGTCAAAGGGGTGGGAGAGAGATGAGTGAAGGGGATTAGGAGAAGGGGAGGAGATTGATACGCCTGCTGCCCTCGTTGCATGTGGTGTTTATTACGACCCGGTCGTTAAGTATTAATAAAGGTAGGTAGAAAAAGATATCAGGGTGAGATCGTGGACTGCCACACAGCTCGAAGGATATGACCTGTTAGTGGAGTATCCGCTATTGAACGGCAACTCTTACATCCGGCTGTAGGAGTCGAATTAAGAAAATAATACTATTATAGGGACAATTGAATTTCTTCTTCAAGGTCGTACGAAGCAAAGCGAATAAAGGGAAAGAGGAAAAGAGGAAAGAAAGAGAGAGAGAAGAGAGAAAAGAAGAAGCTCGGTCAACAAACTACCTATTGTATGTATATGAAGATGGTGAAGATGGTTAAAACAAACATTGGATCGTTTATTCATGATGCTTGATGGTTCGGAAGAAACTATACAACAGATCAACAATACACCAACTCGCGTCCCCCTTCCCTCCGTTCGCGTTAAAACATCCTAGTAATCTGTCTGCCCTTGAACAGAAACAGATGTTCCCGCTCGGAGTTGATGTTTGACGTCCACGGCTTTACTGCCTTTTTTCCCTACGCCGTACATACAAATTTTACCACCTAGTTAGGTACTTGGTAAGAATGTTATTATGGTGCTTTCGTGAGACTAGAAGGGAAGGGGGGGGGGGGTTTGGTTTGACCTTGTTACCTCACTTTCGGTTTCTGACCAGGTCCCTTGAAACGAGAGCCACTGGACTGTCGGGACGTGCCATCTCCGGGGACACCTACATGCCAGTACATGGTGCTAGCACTGCTAGGTAAAAGCCGATCTTAGTTCGCGGCAGCGTCGATCCGACGTACCGCACAATCACGATCCCTTCCCGTTTTAGTACCACACGCTGTGCCCATAACACCTAGATTAGGTATGTAGCACACCGGAATCAAGTCGTTCCATGCTGATGGCTGATTTTCCTTGGTCGAACTTGAACTTAGGGCTGAAGATAGCTTCTCGCTTTTTGTTTCTATTCTTCTCAACTACGTCTATTTGTTATACCACAACTCATATTAATATTATAATATTAACTAAATCCTTTTCGCAAGCTTTTTCAACTTCTAGACCGACCGACCGTCCGACGTGGATGTTTTGTATGTCGCCTTGGCGCTGTCTCAACGAGCAGATCCCCTGATGAAAAAACCCATACTGCCCCCCGGCTTAACGAGTCTGATCTTCGCGCGTTCAAACTCGCTCGTTTTGCCTAATCCCAACCACAGCTATTCCTCCCTGCTACCTAAGTTAGCTATCTAGCCTACTACATCATCCAGCCATCACAACAACAACAACGTCCTTGTAGATCTTTGTTCCCGAAAGATCAAAACGGCACCAACTCGACTAAATAACATGGGCAGGACCAAAAAAAGCCCACGCTAGCCTGCCTACCCAGGGTTTCCGATTTTTCTACAGAGCAACTGTAGCCGCAGAGCTGAAGCGCCGAGGGTGATCCCAAAAGCTTCGACCTGTCTTCTCTCGGGCTTCTATGATGCTTGGGGGTTTTCATCATTCTTCTTCCAACTGTGCCGCCCAAGGTTACCGTTCCCCACTAATAGTGTTGGTTAAGCATTCTTCCCCCTTCCCTTGTACGAAGCTTGTTCGATGAGCAGATGGGAAGGGGTCGAGTCCGACTTGGCGATGTGACTTCATCTGCCCGGCCAACATACGACAACGCTGACCCGTTCCTGGACGCACGATGCGATGCTCATGCTTTAGTTATACATAATTGACCAGCCTCGCGATCCTAATAATAACAGATTGAGTAGGTAGTAACTATAGACCTCGAAACTTAAGATTATCATAGACATAGACACATCATCATACCATACCTATGTACCGCCAACCTGGGCAGCCAGCCAAATACGATTAATTCCCTTTTAAAAAAGAAAAAGGCCAACATTCATCAATTCAACTCTCCCGCCCAATTGATCTCCATTTCAAACAAAGCTTCGGAATGCCATTACACCCACTCGCCAGCGCGTCGGATAGCAGAGACTATCACGCACCTGCCTGCCGTAGATCTCCCAGACCTAGGGTAGGTAGGTAGGTAGGTAAGCATGCAAAAGAAAATCCGAAAAATTCCATCTCCCCCGGAACATCATTTACGACTCGGCCCACGCTATCTCCGGGGAATCACCAGCTTCATCGCCCTCGAAGACAGGACAACATCACAATGCATATTACCAGAAAGAATTGGAAGAAACCCCCACCCCCCCTAAGCCCAAAAAATATCGCCTTGCTTGACAGCCTTGACTTCTCTTTCCTTAGTAGGTACCTAGCCATCCGTTGCTTATGCCACATCGTGACCACCGTAGTGAGGGAGAGCTGCAGTCTACCTACCTAGGTTAGGTATGTATCCTCCCCAACAAAGGAGATGAGATCAAATACAATTTCACAAATGGGTCAGAAATCCACAAATGTATGAATACTGACTGTAGTGTGGTAAAGTAGGTAAAGTAGCTGCCCGCATCACATACATATGTATATCCCCCAAAAATACCTTCACGATCTCCAAACCTGATAAACCTAGCTTGCTTCACATCTCACGCCTCACAGCCAACAAAGCATAACCATCCTCATCCCATTTTCATGAACAATCACTCATCATATATATATCAAAGACACTCAAGAGGTATATATAGTCTAGCAAAAAATAATAATAGCTAATAAATAATGAGTCTCTAAGTAAAACCCCACCAAATCGCTAAATAACCTCACAAACGCCGAACGGCCTGCCTGTCTGCCTTTCTAGCAATGCACCAGTGAGCCTTCCTATCTATCTAGGTGCTCAGTAAGTTAGGTATATACACACACGACCCGCTTCGTAAAAATATCAAACCAACAAAACAGCACGCTTTTCGCTTGTCACTTTTTATGCACCCACCCATATATCATCCCCCATAAGCTCAAGCGTTTAAGCCCCTCTCCTTCGTGAACTCATCATATGTAGCTACCGCCGCACTCATCTCCCAAACGCATACCACTTGCACCACCGGAACACATTCTACGTTGATCCAGCCGTCGCCGTCTCCGCTGTATTTTCGTTAGCGTGTGGTTCAATGACGCCCGCCATCCCTGGCTCCTGCTCCGCGACGCCTTCATTCGAGCCGTCTTCGTTCACTTCCTCAGCCTGGCCCATGTTCACGATGTCGATCCAGTGCCACGCGTCTACGACGCTACGTCCGCTACGATCTAAGATAGCTCTGTCGTCGCTCCCATCCCCTTCCGCAGGAGATACAGCGCCGGCGCCAGCCTCTGCGTCATGAACCCCACTTATGGCCACATCAGCATCAGCAGACACATTATCGACGATAATCTTCCCGGTATCCGTGCCGTCGACCAGATCACCCGCCCAAGTTCGGGCGACAGGTACGCCGTTGGCACGGAGGACCTGGAGAATGGCGCGGCGGTTAAGACGTAGGGCGCGCTCCGGTTCTTCCGACTTGTAGACCTGGCGCATGAGCCACGGGAACAGGATGCCAAAGTCGGACTGCGACAGGTGGGCGGACCGCTCCACGTAGAAGAAATGCGGCTCCGCTAACTTGACGCCAGACGCATTGCCCTTGTAAAACGCGGTCGCCTGGACGGTGGGTGCCGACGGGTCGGGTGACAGGGCTCGCGCGGTCTCGTGTAGATGGTCCTCCCAGTTGTAGAAGTCGGAGGACTCGACGGCGAGGAGGGCGCTTCCACCGGGTGGCATCGGATTCGTGGGGGAGACGGCGTAGACGGGGAGAGGAAGGTCGAATAAGGGCTTGGTAGATTTGGCACGTAGTGGCATGCACCACATGTCCAGTAGGATAGTTATATTGCGGCTCGTGATTTGTTTGCAGATGGAGGACTGGCGGGACGGTACATAGAGCTGCTCGGGCATAGCTTCGAGCTTAGGGTGGCCAATATAAAAGACGGATTTCAGGAATTGAACCATGGTAGCAGAGCCAAAACTATGGCCGGCGAAGATAATACTACCAGGCATGTGAACGTGCAAGTTGCCAACAAAAGTGTCGAGAGAGGGCGTGCTTTTGTTGAGGTTCGTCAATGGCTCACCCTTGTCGATTCCCAGTATAGCCTCATGTATCAAGCCCAGCTCCCATAGTCGTATTCTGAGTTGGTCGTTTCGCAAGGCGTATACCTCGTCCGTGGCGTCGTGCTTTACGCGCAGATAAGGAACGGCTCGGCGTGTGCTCCGCGTGAAGAATCGGTCCTGCTGTGAGGGTATTCGAATAAAAGATGCCACAGCGCTACCATCCCTATGCTCCGGGCAGACGACGACCACTCCATGCGACGCGAGAGACCCAGCTATCTGTGAGTACGCATTCCGGCTCCCGCCCAAGCCATGTGAGAAAATTGCCGTCGGCCATCGTCCGTTCGGAGTATTCGGCTGGGAGATGGGCGCATTCTTTACCACGGGTATCGAAGTGTAGTGTAGATGTCTTGGCAAGAAGCTGTGGATAAGAATTTCACATTAGCCACTGCATAACTAGGTACCTATCTACCTAGGTAGATATACGGTTAATGGGTGATATGATAGTTGTGTATGGACGTACGAGATAGCTTGTGCCAATAACGAGGGAGCGCCTAAGAATTGGATATATGCAGACAGGTGATCTCGCTGGGGAGAGGGCAGCCATGTGATGCGTTTGTCTTGGGCCTCTGGGCTAGTCGGGTAGAAGACACGAAATTGAACTGTCTCTATATCGGCGGCATTGTCTGGGGCGGGAGCGGGAGAGTCCAGTTCCGAGACAGGAATTTCGACATCGACGGTGCCGACCTTGTAAGGACCCGTAAAGTCCGAAAAACTAGGTACAGGATTTAATCGTGAGAGCATAGCGGACCACCTGTCCGGGTTCGTAGGATTCGTTGGCTGCGCCATAGGGATGAATATCCGTCTCGTTGTAAAACTCGAATTAATTAGGGATATTCCGTAACAAGGTCAATACCTAAATTGTTATAAGGGGGATCTATTTTCTGTTCGGCAGTCTAACGAGTGTGATAATAAAACGGTATTAATTTCAAAGTAGAAAGAAATAATTAAGGAGAAGAAGAGTGAACAAAAGGCGAAAATAAGAAGAAGAAGAAAGTATTAGTTTGGTTAATCTACTACTAGTAGTAACACGATTGGGTATGACTACCTAAGTACTAAGGAAGCAAGTGCCATGAAAGTATTAGATGCAATTGCAAGTTTTTTTTTTTTAAGTTTGATGTTGTAGTGAGTAGTTATCAGTGACGATGCCTCGGCTTCTTCAACCTTTTTTTTCCATATTATGTCATTTCACCTATAACCGTATTATAACTTCCAAGGTTGATACGTATTTACTTACCGAACTATCCGACAACCTCCTTTCCCATTCTCTCTCCTTCCTTTAACTCAAAGACTTCCCCATCCTCGTCAATTCATCACACGACAAGTCGCGTGCCCTTCAACCATGTACCTAGGTTAGTTTCTTCCCGTTCTTCCCTTACAGTTCTAAAGTAAATGCTCTCGGGAGTCTTAAAGTGGAAACAGATATCCACTAAGTACTATATGGCAGGCTCTGGGGGCTCTTGATTGCATCATTTTGCATGTGACGGTAGTCAATGGGATAAGAGGATAAGAAGATTATGATTATTTTTTCGTTCCTGCAGGTGGCGGCATTGATGATCTTTGCGCTATCGACAACTAACACAACCCATAATCCACAAGTAGCCGTATTACTATACTTAGTACTTACCTACATACCTCGGTATGTATGTATGTGTATGTACATGGATGTGTGTGACTATTAAAAGAAGCTGATGTCTCTCTATTATGTATCGATGCCCCTTTCTATGTATCCAGTGATGCATACTACAAACTACAAACCACCAGCCAGGTACCCATGAGACCCGAATGCTAGCATCAACGCGGGATGTCCATATGTTGTGATACCCGCTTGAGACATGCGTATGTAGTAGTAATGGCAACCAACTTCTAAAACAGTCGAAGCCCTCTTCCTTTTCTGGGCAAGGCGAGGCCGCCTTTATTGCCACTCGGCGTCGACCTTCTCCCATCTGTCCAGGAAACCCTTGAAGAACTTGACGCCCAACCCGGGATCTAGCGATCCGCACGTAGCACGAACCGAATGCATGCTTAGTTGCGCCATTCCCGCGTCGATAGCCTTGACACCCATCGCACTGCTCAGCATAGGTCCCACGGTACCACCGCTTCGGGAGTCGTTTCGGATTTGGAAAACCTGCGGCGTGCAACCACTCAACTCGCAAACACGGGTAACCACCGCAGTGGAGACCGCATCCGTCGTCATATGACCATTGCTGTCCGCCGCGATGCAGATTCCCACATTGAGGCGGGGCGCGTGGTCTTCGAGGTAGCGGGAAAGGAAGTTGGGGTTTACGGCGTGTGTGACATCGGCCGACACGAGGAAAGATCGCGCATAGGTCTGGCCAATCAGCCCGGGTCCAAATGTCTTACTATCACCGGATAACGACTCCACCGCTCTCTCGATGACAGATGGCAAAAAGTTACCCCTTGCGCCCTGGCGGAGTAGAGAGCCAATCTCTTCGTCGTCAAACAGCGCCACCAATTTGATGCCACCATCGTCCTCGTTTGCTTCCGAAGCTAGCAGCCCTTGGAACGCGGCCCAGCTGCATAGCTTGTCGTCAATTCGGCCAGCAAAGATGAACTCTCGGTCCAAACCGCCCACGGTCGCAGGTTGCAGGTCAAACAGTTCTAATTCCCAGTTTACTATCTGTGAGTAGTCTTTGATACCTAACTCTTTCGAGATGAGCTGGACGAGTCTTGGTGGCTGGGTGGCAGTAAACGATCCAGCAGGCCCTAGGGGTTCCGCCGGCTTGGAATTCGTAGAAGAAGAAATGTCGGAGTTGTCCAATCCAATAATCGGGACTGCCTCCGTTTCCTTATTGTTCTGGCCCATCATGCCCACGCCAAAGTGCGGTGCGAGCGTAGGTATACGAGCAACTGTATCATGTTAGCTATTGTGACCCTTATTTTCCCCCAGGGGATGCTTACTAGGCCAGTCGAGTTTGACAAGTTTGCTCGAGGTCTTGCCGGACCCGTCCCGTACAATTACTCTGCCTCCTATGCTAAGATCTCTGTCCCACCAAGTCTCGTTCAACCCACCAGCATAAGGCGCAACGCCCAATTGGACGTAGCCAGCCTTCGTTGGCTTCTTGCTGACGGGCTTAAGCCTCGCCGTAAGGGCATCAATGTGACCTGCAACCATGGCAACGCCATTGCCAGGCTTATACGCCTTTCCAACCGTAAACGCGATAACTGAGGTGCCGTTTCGGGTCACAAAGTATTTACCGCCGGCTTCGAGCTTGCCAGACCAATCGTCTCGTGCCGGAAGCTTCAGTCACTTGTTAGCTTATGTAATTACCTCCATAGCAACCATCGGCTATACAAAAAAAAGCCACCAACCTCCTTATAGCCAAGAGCCGTCATCTTGTCTTTGAAATAGCCGACGGCATGGAACACCGTAGGATTATCCTGCAAAAACTTGCAGAACGGCTGGGTGAAAGCCTCGGGGTCTGACGACATGACTTTGCAAGAGGAGCACGAGCTTCGGTTATCCGTGAGCTGGAAGGCAAGTGAGCCGGTACGACGGTCTGGTATTTCCCGGTAGCAGGCGTCGCACAGAGCCAGGGATTTGCAGTTAGCTAAGTCGCCAACTACAAATGCTTGTTCAGCTTTCGACATGGTTGGCTTTGTTTCGAACTCGGATGGGTTGACGAAGCTCGACAATCGGGGTGCGGTGGCAGTGGCGGCGTTCACGGCGGCGGTACTTCGAAGAGATATGTTGGAACTGCGCTGACGCAGAAATTCGGATGTATGGCGTGTCATTGTTTGAGTCAAGATGTGTTTGGTGATGTTCGTAGTTGGGTGTTCCTTGAGAATATTGGAATGTGGATACTCAATGGAAGCTTAATAAATGTTGTTCAGAAGAGAAAGACAGTTTGTTTATTTGTGTAATGATTGTAACATTGAATGATTAGTAGGTACTAGGTAGTGTACTATGTAGATGTACTAATAAATGATTAGGAGGCAGCTGCATGTGGAAATGAGGTCAACATACTCCGTACCTACATGTACATAACGATATTCGCTGATAAATACCTTATCAGCTGCTACCTAATTCCACAGGCTGCACAGCTGATCACTTTATCCACAGGCCCCTGCATAGCGTCTCAACCACTGAGTTATGTATGGTGAACCCCTGACGAAGTCCCACTGATCTCATCTCTTGGGTGCATATCCCGTGCATCCATCAACTTCCAGTCGGGTTCCCTTCTAGAATTTATGCAGATATGCAATGTCGTGAATAGAAACCTTGAAACTATGTACAAGCAACTTGAAAGGTACCTAATTCATGTCAACATACAATATTTTGCGTGGAAATGAGATTGCAAAGAGAATGCTACAGCTCAGAAGTCGTTCATTGAACAAAGACATAACCTCAGGGGAAAGCATATAGACAAAGGTGTCCACATTCTCAGGAAGGGCATATAGAAATATAGAATAGATATCATGGATGCCAAATATCGCATGCACTTCTGTATATCCTAGTTCGATACAGCATCTACTAGAGATGTTGTGTTCCGAGGAAATGATATATGTATATTTATTAATTTATTACTATTTTGTATTTTAACACCCTCCTAAAACCCATTCCTAGGTAATTACCTACTCATCCAGCGTCGCCGCGTACGCGCGGTCCTGCTCCGCCCAGTCATTGACCTTGGCAGTGAGGTCTTCGTCCGAGATGTCTGTGTCCCTTCTCTTGAAGGAGAGGTCGTCTTGGCTGCAGCCGCTAATGGGCTCGAAGTAGTTTAGATGAGCTTCGATATCGAGACCTAGCGTTCCGCCGTTGCACTTGACGCTGGCGTGGCCCTCGCACACCTTCGTGTCCGCGGCCGTGTACGTCGTGGTGTCGGAGCTGCCGTCAGCTAGCCAGTACTCCGGGCTCGTATGTCGGTATCCCACGATGAGAGGAGGTAGGCGTGGCACGGGGTCGTCGAGGTGCGTTACACGGTATTCAGCACCGGCCTGATCCGTGACGAATTGGACGAACTGCTTGTTGCCGACGCGGGGGCTGCCGTAGGTGTATAGGTCGACCTCGTAGCCCAGTTTTCGTGCGTAACCTGCAGCCACCGTGCTAACAGCGCCACCGAGCGAGTGCCCTGTAAAGACGATCTTATAGGAAGGGTTTGCGGCCTTGGCAGCTGCCACGCCCGCCAACAAAGCATCTTTTACCTCGTTATATGCGGTGAGGAATCCGGTGTGGAGCACACAGCCGCTTACGAGGTCACAAGGAAGGCCTACGAACGTGAGGCTACCTGAATGTTAGCCGCTAATCACACCGTTAATAGTATTGGCCGGAAGATAGACTTACTCGGCTATCCAGTTTCGGATAGATTCGCTTCCTTGTACAGATACCACGATGAGTTTGTTCTTATTATCCGTCGAGACAAAGCCTTTGGCATCGGTGAGAAGGCCGCTGTCCGAGGATTAGCTTGATGTACATAATGGTCTAGGACCAGTCATATAACACTCACACAAAGGTTTTAGTCACCGTTGCATTTGCGGCAGTGACATCTGGGCAGGTGTCTGAATAACAAGTGATGGCAGAACCCACAGGGACCTCGCTATTACAGTAGGCGGCTGCAGCGTACTGAGCGTAGAACCTCAGGGACGAGATATCAGCCTCAGTCACAGTGATGTCTTTATCTGTTAGTATGTTGCTCCATCTATATTTGGTAGTATAATCTCTGTAATGAACATACCACGCTCGTTAAGGGCATAGCGAGAAGTTCCAATTGGAACTGGATTCGCCACAGCCAGTAGGCTGAAGGCAGAGATGAAGGCGTAACTAAGGCGATTCATTCTTACCAAAAGAGGAGGGCAGACACAGGAATGAAGAAAATAGAAGGGATAGAAGAAAAGAACGAAGCTGACACCATTTAGCTACGACCACCAGTGACGACTTATACACATCAAAGGGAGACACTTCAGATGTGGCTTTTGGAGACTGCCGATCCTTCCCCTCCTCCTCCTCCTCCCCTCCCCTAGTCGCCCGGTATTCTAGCTAAGCTGAGATCCTCCCGATTCAGAGACGAATATTGAGGCTACCTAGCTAAACACTCCCGCTCCTCTTCCGCTGGTTTCAGCTCTTGTAACAAGCACTCCTCCTAGCCTCAATCCCAACAATACCCCAAACAAAGATACTATCATGTCAACGCTGGTCCCCAGAGAGACATAAGGCGAGAGTCTAGGCTCTTAGCAGCTAATTTATTTCACGGTAAGCGTTAGAAGCATCATAGAGCGTCCGCAAAGCGGGCCAAGCGGGCCATGTTTATTGCTAGGTATATTGCTAGGATAGAATGACTTCGTAAGCAGGCCCGGCGCGTTCGGTGAGGTCGAGACACCAAGCCAATAATCATCGACTCCAAAAACAATAAATACCGCTTTCAGGTCTGCCCAAACTTCTCATTGGTTGAAAATTTGTGACATGGCGAGTGTAGCGGCGAGTCAGGCAGGCTTAGTGCTACCCTAGCAAGAACCAAATACCTGACTACTAGGTAGATGACGACGAGGTCCTGAAGATTCTTGGTGGTGGTACCGAGCACATTTCAATAAACCGTATTCATTTCACTGCATCCGTGGGCTGGTCGTACAACAGACGCACCGCATCTTCTCTCAGCCTTTTAAAAACGTCCCGAAGAAGGCCAAGGAAGGCCCAGGGTGTGTCAGGGCAGGATTGTAGGATCAATTGTCTGGACTCTGTAGTAGCATTGGTACCCTCTTTGGGGCGCGTCTTATTGTTCCGAATCATGGGTTCAAAGCGGCTTTGCCCTCTTGAGGATGTTGTACAACACCGCCCGTGATATGAGCAAGGAAGTGAGGAAGCAAGGATTCATTGGCTGACCACTAACTGCCTTCTACGACAGCCTGAATCTCGACTGGAAACGGAGGATTGCATTTTGCACTGCTCAAGCAGCTATGTAACCTAGGGGATACTGAAAGTAAATCTAAGGATAACTTGAAGCGGGAGGGGTAAAGAAGAATGTACAGCTCACTCCTCAAAAGCGCCCGAACCATGTACGAGATTTGTAATAGTACAATGAAGGGCATGGCAGGTAATGGCCAGAATCTGTGGCTGGCGTACATCATTATTGATACGAGAGGCTATACCCAGAAGACGTCAAGACTGAGAATAATCCATGCTAGTGTCCGTATCGGACTTATCTCCTGAGAAGGCTATGAATTCGTACTTAAGAGTCGTAGTAGTACATACTACATGGTAGTTACATAGTAGTAAGCTAGTGTGTTTTTCTTCTTTTCCTTTTCTTCGGATGTAAAAGCCGGCATGGGTGATTTGGTAATAACAGAAAGCCCTGGCGAAGTATTAATATTGAAAGAGTTGAGTGATACCGAAAACCTTGGAACGCTAATATCTAATCTTCAGCTAGAAGAATTCGAATTTGGCTGCTTGGGTAGACCCGCATCGGCTCCGCAAATGTCACATGTTCTCTCATGCAGCGCCTTGTCCCTACTAGGTATTTTAGGGGTATTTTAGGGTATTTTAGGGTATTTTAGGATTTTAGGGTATTCTAGGGTATTTACTAAGGTAGTCTGCACTTAGTAGGCAGGTACATAGGCTACTTGCTAGATTTCCCCACATGAAACTCAACATTATTTTGCAGTCTTGTCCTTGTCCACTTGTTCTTCTTCTCTTTCTCCTTCTACGGCGTAGTACACTAAATTCTTTCGACAGTGGACCGGCCATACATACCTAAGTTATGGCCAGTAGGTATTAATATTAATATCATATGCACTTATCAGGTATTGTTCGGTTAAACAAATCCATGGATGCTACTTGAACTTTTCCACAGGGCACCCCTATCAATAACTCGGTCGGCTGTCAGGTAAATCTGCCAATTGGCCCCCAGATATTTTTGCTGTCTGTTGAGCACTGGCTTGTTTTAGGCCCCAGCTTTTTTCAGCTTTAGAAAGGGCTAACATTACCACTTACTACACCGTAGGTGCCCTAGTAGTTGCTTAGCACTTAGCCAGGTGGCAGATATCTGACAACTGACAAGGGTGTCCTGGTAGTTAACTATGTAGAGAACTTGATGATAGTCACGTTGGGGGTCACGTTGGGGGTCACGTGGATTACCCCTGAGCTCCTCATCTACCCTACCCTAACTAGGTTAATAAGTTCTTCTTTCTTCTTCTTCACCCCTATCCCCCTATCCCCCTATCCCCCTATCCCCCCATCCCCCCATCTCTCCATCCCACCATCCCCTCATCCCATCATTCCCAGGTAGGTATTCTTTGCATCAACTATCAACCATCAACTTATATAATAATCAAGCACCGAAGCGATAGGTATATCCTAGTAGCATTGTCTGTTCAATTTCTATGTTTAGCCTAGCATCGGAAGCTAGAATCTGTATCTTGGTAGCGACCATACTACCATGATCCATTCCGATTGCAACCTCACCATGCCTGTTTGCGTCACTTGTCCAGTTCACATTCAAGCTTACATACATAATAGTATCGCCGAACTCCAACTTTACCTATCCTTTATCAAGAATTATCATCTTCACTTGACCACTATAAGCCTTGAAGGAAACCATCATGTGCGTGTGACTGTGCTCATATATCTTCTTCAGTACTACCTACCTACCTAGATCTTTGGTTTCCCCAAATCATCATCTTCTCATGTGAACTTGGGTCAAGTCAAGACAAAGGGGCCGAGGTTGTTCGAATTCTTTAATTAACTTGGCTCCTTGGCCACATATTCAGCTAAGGTTGACGATCCAAATCTCATGCATAGCAAGAATACAGAGATAATCCCCATCAAGCAGCCCAGCTCTATCCAGTTCTACCCCGCAAACTTATCTACAATGCATATGATTCAAGCTCGATAGCCATGGGTTATGCTTGCCATGCCAGCATAGCCCAAGATCTTGGGTGCAATATCAGATGTAATATCAGAAGCACAGACTCAGATCGAATCTGAAGACCGAACTGCTTACCACCTACAGGCTAGACTCTAGAGAGCATCCTTCTGACGTATTTGCTATCTACATTACCAAGGTACTACGGGTACATGCGCGGGTTCACCCGTTGCACTTCTCATCATGCATGTTCCTCTCGTGCCTTGTTCCTGGATCAGGATCCTATTTTCATTTAACTAGTAGACTGTCGCCAATCACTGTGTGTAGGCAGCCGTGCCGTAAATTGTTTAAGCCACGAGGTCGCGTGTTCTCTCTCTCATACGACTATGTTGATATAGTAAGAGGCTCTCTTCCAACTCTTAAACAAAAAGGCCGACCCCCCAAGTAATACTATTCATAATCCCCTTTTGGTCCTTTTGGATAATCATAATGGTGATACTCAATATGGGGTGCCCTCCAGGACTCCGTAGTCTGTCGTTATTTTTCCTGAGCGGCGCGGCTTCCGCCTCCGTACTCCAACAACGAGATCCCGTTCCTGCCGGCTATGTTGCCGCCCCTTACTACCCAACTCCTTATGGGGGTTGGGCCGACGACTGGTCCGCAAGCTATGAAAGTGCAATCAAGTTGGTTTCGCAGATGACACTGGCCGAGAAAGTAAACATAACTGCTGGCACTGGTATTTATATGGTATGACTTCCATAGAGCCCTATAAAACGTATAACGAGCCTCCAATCACTAATAGCAATCAATATATAGGGTATGTGACCGAACATGTAATAATTCCGAAGTCCGAAATACTAACTGATAGCTTCAAGGACGTTGCGTTGGAAACACCGGTAGCGTACCACGACTAGGGCTTCCGTCACTATGCCTACAAGATGGTCCCCTCGGTGTCCGAACGACAGACAACATCACCGCCTTTCCCGCGGGGATAAGCACCGGAGCGACATTCAACAAGGACCTCATGTACGAAAGGGGTGTTGCCATCGGCGAGGAGTTCAAGGGCAAGGGCGCCAACTTCTACCTAGGACCTTCCGTTGGTGCTCTGGGAAGAAAACCGAGAGGTGGACGAAATTGGGAAGGTTTCGGGTCGGACCCGGTGCTTCAAGCAATTGCCGGCGCGGAAACGATTAAAGGCGTACAGGAGCAGGGAGTCATCGCTACGCTCAAGCACTTGATCGGAAACGAGCAGGAGCTTTACCGCATGTATAACCCACTGCAGCAGGCATACAGCGCAAACATTGGTAAGGGCTTATATGCACCAAAGACTGTTAGTGTGAGATACTAATCGATACATCAGACGACCGAACTCTGCACGAGATCTACCTTTGGCCATTCGCACAAGGCGTTAAAACGGGCGTAGGCTCAATAATGGCGTCTTACAATGCGGTATGTATCATGATTATATTACCTGCCCGGGTGGTTTTGGTAGAAATTTTTATTAACCAGATTGAAGATCAATGGATCCGCTGCTTCTCAAAACGCATATATCATCAACGGTCTCCTAAAGGACGAGCTAGGTTTCCAAGGCCTCGTGATGACCGACTGGCTTGCGCAAATCTCGGGCGTTGGTTCTGCGCTCGCCGGTCTCGACATGTCTATGCCAGGAGACACAATCGGCAACAGCGTCCCTTTGTTTGGCTACTCTAACTGGATGTACGAGCTCACACGATCGGTACTCAACGGCTCCGTGCCCGTTGACCGGATAAACGACATGGCCACGCGCGTTGTCGCTACATGGTATCAACTCGGCCAGGACAAGGACTACCCGCCGCCGAACTTTTCATCGAACACGGCAGATCCCGAAGGCCCGTTGTATCCCGGTGCTCTGATCTCCCCGAGGGGCGTCGTAAACGAGTACGTCAACGTCCAGGGAGACCACAAAATAATAGCGAAACAAGTAGCCCAAGAGGCCGTCACGCTCCTGAAGAACAACGGAAGCTTCCTCCCGCTATCGACGAAAGCACCGCTATTTGTTTTTGGAACAGACGCACAAGCCGATCCGCAGGGCATCAACTCTTGCACGGACAAGACCTGCAACCGAGGTCTTCTGGGCATGGGATGGGGTTCGGGATCCGCAAACTACCCTTACCTCGACGACCCAATCAGCTCCCTGAAGCGGAAAGCAGCCAATGTGACTTATTACGCGACGGATAGCTTCCCCAGTGTCGCCGCGCCAAGCAGCAACGACGTAGCCATCGTCTTCATATCCTCCGACTCGGGCGAGAACAGCTACACCGTCGAGAACAACCACGGCGATAGAGACGCCGACGGTCTCAAGGCATGGCACAACGGCGACACCCTGGTCCAGAAAGCCGCGGAGAAATACAGCAACGTCGTCGTAGTCGTCCACACCGTCGGCCCCATCATCATGGAGCCCTGGATCAACCTGCCGTCCGTCAAAGCCGTGCTCGTCGCCCACCTGCCCGGCCAAGAAGCCGGCGACTCGCTGACGGAGCTCATCTTCGGCGAAGCGTCGCCCAGCGGCCACCTGCCCTACAGCATTCCCGTCTCCGAGGACGACTACCCGGACAGCGTCAGCCTCGTCGCCACCCCGCTGAGCCAGACGCAGGACACGTACTCCGAGGGCCTGTACATCGACTACCGGCACCTGAACAAAGCGAACATCAAGCCGCGCTTCGCCTTCGGCCACGGGCTCAGCTACGCCTCCTTCCACTTCTCCAACGCGACCCTCACCCGCGTCACCCCCCTCTCCGAGGTCCCGCCCCCGCGCCCCTCCAAGCCCGCCTCCCCCGTCGCCGGCCTCAACACCACGCTCCCCGCCGCCGCCGAGGCGTACTTCCCCGACGGCTTCGACCGCATCTGGCGGTACCTGTACTCGTGGCTGCCGTCGGGCGAGGCCGACGCCGCGCACGAGATCGGCGCTGCGGGCTCGAAGACGTACCCGTACCCGGCCGGCTACTCCGCCACGCAGAAGCCCGCCTCCGCGCAGCCCCCCGCCGGCGGCGCGAGCGGCGGGAACCCCGCGCTCTGGGACACGGCGTACGCGCTCACCCTCACGGTGACGAACACGGCCGCCAGCGGCACGACGCCCGGGAAGGCCGTGGCGCAGGCGTACGTGCAGTTCCCCGCGAGCAGCAGCAGCGCCTTCGACACGCCCGTGATCCAGCTGCGGGACTTCGCGAAGACGGGCGCCGCGCTGGCGCCCGGGCAGAGCGCGCAGCTGAGCTTGAGCTTCACCCGCCGCGACCTGAGCGTCTGGGACACGGTGCGCCAGAACTGGGTCGTGCCGGAGCCGGCGGGGCGGTATAGCCTGTGGGTGGGGGGCGCGAGCGATGATTTGCCGGTTGTGTGCTATTCGGATACGTTGGTGTGCGAGGTGGATGTTACGGGGCCTGTGTAGAGGGGTGTAGTGTATGTGCGTGCTGATGTGGATGTGGATGTGTAGGTGGGGGGTGAGAGTGGCTGTGGGTTTGGATATCATTGATGAGACAAATGAATGGCTGGAAGGAAGCTTTGGTCTCATGTCCATATGTTGAGGTATAGATAGGTGATGGGTAAGTATATACTGTATCTAGGTAGTAGAAGTTCAAATATCTTTTGCTTCTTCAAATAAGCCGATTCCTGGATGTGCAATGTTATCAATATTCTAGGTGGTAAGATGAAGCCACATCGGCTCCTATGCTATAGATAGTAGTTAAAGACCTACCTTTTGGATACGCAGGGGAGATAACTTAACATCCTATCTCCAATACTAGGTGTATATTTCAAATATGCAGTACCGTCCGTGGGCCGTGTCTATAGAACCGTAGTCTGGGCCGTGGCCTGGAGATAGTATTTTTTGCATTGTACAGTTCTATGCGTGGTATATATACCTGCTACAACTCCTCACATATATATCCATCCATCGACGGACGAGACATTTACCTAGGTACCTACCTAGGCATATAGGCTACCTGAATAGACGGATCTTCTTCCTCTTCTTCCGCAGCTCCTTCACCGTCCTATTCCATCCCCTCTAGTTCGACAATATGGAGCGCTTCTTATCTCTGCGACGCTGCAGCGTGCGGCGGCCCTTGTGCGAGCGTATGCGGCTGAGGAAGCCGTGTCTGCGCTTGCGGACGAGGCGGCTCGACCGTGCCATCGTGGGACGCGGGCCGCACCGGATCTGCCCAAGCGCCGGATGCGCCGTGATGGCTGTCTTGGGGACCAGGTCCAGTGTGCAGCCGCCGCTCGTAGGCGTGGGAGCGAAGGAGGTGAGGAGGAGGTTACTCGAGTTCGGAGACCGGAATACGCCGCCGTGGGTGTGTGAGGGGGCGAGGATGGTGGGGCGGAGGCCGGGGAGTGAGGAGAAGGCTCTGTAGAAGGGGTAGAGTTAGCCGGTGCTTGGTGGGTAGGTAGGTAGGTAGGTCGGGAAATGTAGAAGAAGGCGGGGAGAGGGGAGGTGCTCAAACGGACCTTTTCGTAGCCCATGATTTTAGGGCTGGGGCTGCTGTTATTATGGCATTCGTACTGCCGCGAGCTACGCCAGCTCTCGGAAGAGCGGCTAGAATAAGAGACTGCATTTTTTTATGCTATTGAGGGAGCGGCGCAGAGCCGAGATTGTCGGGGAGCAGAGCTGGGTATGCAGAGGTTCGTGCTGGTTCAATGTATCTGCATAGTCTCCGTTGTAACAGCTTCTCTAAGCTCCCTTAGGTATGCCCCTCTTAAATATCCGTATCTTCGTAGTGAGCGCGTCTCGATTCGGGTACGGTTATTGGCTCGAGGTTGTTGTCGTTGTCGTGATTATTTTCATAATTCCTACAGCTTTCTCAAAAAGCCGAAAATTCGATCAATTGGAAATAAATGCGACCGGTCCTAGGTGTGGGTCTCTTATCGATAAGAAGCATATTCTACTACGATGACAATTTATTAAAAAAAAACTTGATGATTTCAAGGTAGAAATAGTTACTGTGCATTTACTACGAAAGGCAAGAACACCGCATAATCAAGTGAGTCATCTATGTATGTACTACAGTACTAGTATGTAGTAATCCAAACATTGAATGCAAGGTTTCTTTTGGCAGAAATCATTGGAGCTGCGCCTTCAGTTTCAGTCTGGCAGAAGCATCTTGCAATCTTCCTCATGACATTGCATCGAGGCAATGAACATAACGAAAAGAGAATAACCCAAATGAGTTTGTGATGAGACCAAAAATTCCGCCCACTACGATCCACGAGGGATAATAGAAAAGGGTCGACTCCGCGCTGTGCAATGCAGGTCTTTCCTCTTAAGAGTCCTCATTCTTGAGCGAGGACCCTTCGGACAAGGTAAGTATGAAGAAGAAAAGAAGAAAGAGAGTTTAGAATTGAGGGAGGAAAGCCAGATATTTATATGTTTTTTCAGACCAGTACTTACTAGTAGTAATTATGGGGCAAACTGGTCCAAGCTGTCAGTGCCTCAGGCCCTCAGTGATGTTGGCAAAGAATGCACATTGCACAGTGGCTTGTGTCTTAAATTGCTTGGTCTGTGCTCAAGCGTTGTAACAGTATTATTACAGTACTGCACAGTCTGCACTAATCCTATTAAAGATTAAATCAAACGCGACTACTACTAACTAGTAGGTAGTACTTTCACCTGGCTATCGCGTTTCGACGCGTTAATTTGGGTTCCACATGCAGCCCACATGCACCACTTTCCACCTAATCCACATTTCAACTCTTTCCGTTAAACTGCTACCTACCATAGTAGACTGCTAAACTGCTAAACTGCTAAACTGCTAACTGAACGTGCTGAGCCTAGTGACGAGCCCGGAAACATCAGCACGGCTTCAAGATATCTAATTCGATCTGGGACTGTTGGAATTTATTACAGAGTCACTTAATTTATTCTAATCCGATAATATCTAGCTTGGCTCCTCATTGATTCCACATATCCATGCGACAAGAGAGCTTCAACTCAATTCGCAGCCCAAATGCCTCTAATTTCCATGTCCCCCAATATTCAGGAATCAGAATCGGCTTTGAGGAAGAGAACCCATAAGGAATTTGTCGATGATTCTATCCAACTTACCATCGAGGAACCTTCAGATTTAGGGAGCCCGACAAAGCAGAGATCTACTGATCACGCCGCCGTCCCTATTAATATTACTTCACGTTAGATTCCTTACCCCTCTCGTCAAATATTTGACACCAAATACAATGTAGTTACATCAAAACACTAACCTACAAATTAGAATCGCCTTCTTTACCAGCAGCTACCATGGAACCGAAACCTGGAAGTAGTTCTTCGGAATTGACCGAATTAGGATCCACTCCTCCCACTGGATGCTCTCCCTCGCCCAACAAGACACCCTCGAAGCCAGCGCCAGCGTCAGTGCCAACACAAAATGACGATGCTACTAAAGCACCAACAAACCCAGAGACTAGTACCCTTCCAACTTCAGCGCCAGTTGCCCAAGCTACCCAGCCCGAAAAACGAAAGCTTACCAAGGCCGAAAGAGACCAGGAGCGCGCCGAAAAGCGGCAGAAGAGAGAAGCAGAAGCTGCAGAGAGAGCTGAGAAACGGGCAGCTGAAGCAATAGAGAGAGCGAAGAGAGAAGCCGTAAAACTCGCGCGAAAAGCCGACGAAGATGCTAAAAGACGTAAAAAGGAGGAGGAAGAGCTTGCCGCACAACGAAAAAAGGAAAAGCAACGAAGCATGTTGGCCAGCTTCGTCCAACGGGCACCGACTACGCCATCCAAGAAGGCTATTCCTCAAATTTTCAAAACCTCACCAAAATCCACCACAGAATCTACTGCACCCCAGGAACAAAAAGAACCCGAGCCGCAAAAATCAATGTATGAACGCACATTTCAGCCCTTCTTCGTCAAGCCTGGTGTCACGGTGGCATCGCTCCCATTCGAGATGGATAACGAGACGAAAGTTGCCAAGTCCGAAATACTGGATCAATTTGTTCGTGGCGAACGCGGTACTTTCAATGCAAAGCCGTTCAACCCAGCGGAGGTTTTCAACTTGCCGTTCCCCCAGCAGCGCGGCATTATGTACCCAAGTGTGAGGAAGATAATGGAGGGAGTATATGGTGATTCAACAGAGAACACTCAGGCCGAGAAGCTTGTCAACGCGCAAACTCAACTAAATTCCATTCCGATGAAGTACCTGTCATTTTATGAGGATGTTCGGCCGCCTTACTTTGGAACAGTGACTTCCCATATGGAGTCCACGAAGCTTCGAAAATTATCTCGTAGGCCAACCGGGGCGCTCTTGCGACTTAACTATGATTACGACTCTGAGGCGGAATGGGTAGAAGACGATGGCGAGGATCTAGGCGACGAAGAAGAAGACGAAGAAGAGCACGATGCCGACGAGGAAATGGATGACTTCCTCGATGATTCAGATGACGTGTCGACGGCCATCCGTCCTACATTCCTGGGCGAGAACGAGCCAACCAGCACAGGCATTTGCTTCGAAGATAGGGCGAAGCAGGCCCCATGCGCATCCATGGGCCAGTACCGACTTGAAGTCATGCTAAGTAAATATTATCCCCGCCTTGAGACTCCAAGACAGGTTTGGACTAACACGCCACAGATTTGCCTGAGCATCACATAGGAATTGACCCTTTCTCTACCTCTTATTGGCCGACTACTATAGGAAAAGGCACCAGCACTGCTGCGGCTACATCTGCTCCAGGCCCTCCAACTTCCATGCCTCCACCCGCTGGAGTGGGCATTGCTAGTACTGCACCAACCGTCGATGCGAAGGACCTTGTTCCAAAGGAGATGCTTGATGACTTTAAACGAGCCATTATTAGTGAAGAACTACGAGACTTCACCAAGGGGACGATTATCGATTTATTGGCCAAGAAATTCCCAGCCTGCACCAAAGCTCAGGTTAAGGCAACCCTCGATAAGACAGCGCACCGTATTAGTCCCCCCGGTGCGAAGAAGACGGTCAAGCAGTGGGCCTTACTACCTGCTGGCGCTACCTGAGATAGATATGCTCGTTGGAGAAGTTATGTCCAGTCTGGTGAAGGAGGATGATACCAGTAGGCGATAGTGAACCTCTTGAAACGGAGAAGAATCACAGCTGCGTCGTATGCCGGCCTACCTAACTACTTAGTTAGCTACTTGGTGCCAAGCCAGACGAGGCTAGAAACACCATCCGAGTCTACGTTGCTGGAACCGTTTGTACATGTAATCTTGCTTACCCCTCCCCCCCTTTGATTCAAATCGCTTTCGAGGCGTCATATATATCCTTAGGTCCACGACGGGTAGTGGATCTTTGGTAAGGAGTCCGGCAAAGGCGGGCAGGCGGGCGGACGGACGGTTGGTCAGGCGGCGAATGCCGGTTGTTAGGTAGTCAATCAGTGGACTCCTCCCCCTTTTTTTCCCTGGGGACCAGAAAAAAATAATGAACTTGATGATAATTTCATGTGGGGTTGTTTATATGGTGTGCGTGTAAGATAGGTACCTTTGCAGATTCGCGTGGGTTTTCTAAGCTGTGCTCGTAGTTGCTGGTAGTAAGGGGTGCTGTTCCTCTAATGCTTAATATGCAAGTGGAGGTCTCGAAGCTATCTAGGTACCTAGTTATGTGGCTTATAGACTGCCCCCTTTTATTGTTGATTGCCTAGTTGACAGTGCTATACACCTGATCAAGGTGCTCGTATCCCCCCCTATTATGAAGTATTTGCCTACCTAGCTAGATACCTATGATGATAGTCAAACAGGGCTTTCACATCTTGATTCCATGGATATTATACAAGTGCCTACTACTTAGATGCTTAACCTAGAGAGTACTGGCATCCTTTGAGATATTAGGTGTCTACCTACCTACCTATCTTGAACCTAGGCGGCTCAAGAACTCGCCGCAGACATCAGTGGTCAAACTGTAGACCTTTACGAAGATACCTATCCACCTAAAACCAACATAACTGCTTAGCTTTACTCCACTCTCCTATCCTATCCTATTATTCAACCTACATACATACAACCCCAAGTGAAGTAATTCACACATTGATATCCCCAATGGATAGGTACCTATCTAAATATCTAACCTACCAGCTTACATGCCTAGGTTAGGTAGATGTACTGTTCTAATCCCACTCTCTTGCTTTAAGCACTAGTTACCTAGGTATACTTATTATAACATAGGCAGGCACCTACTCGCAAAATACCCCTATTCTTAGATTTCAAGAGCTGATATCCCCCCCCCCCCCCCCCCCCCCCCCCCTTTTTTTTTTTCAATCATTTTTCTTCAGTCCAACAGCACACACATTACCAATAAAATTAGGGACGAGTATTAGATATTTGGCAACTCACAGATTTTCTTTACTTTTTAGAGGCTTAGTCGAATAAAAAATACCCTGTCCCATTTACTGTTGGTTTGAAGAGATATTCGGGACAAAAAGGGGTAATTAGGCCATTGCCTGGGCATTTATTAGGGAGTTACCTACCAGCCAAAGGTACATGCACTCTAACAAATCAAGGTCACCACAAGGACGTTATCAATTCATATAAACACGGTTTCTCATTGTGCCAACACAGCGTATCGCCAGCCAACCCCTCGAAGGCGTTCAGTAATGGTACAAGTATACAGTACAGTTCATATAAGCCCGTTAGCTCGCGAACCCTCCTTCTCTCCCATTAAGAGTAAGAGAGTAAAGAGTATTGGTAGATGCTTCGCAAGTGCTTAAACTCATCACATGCCCCTCTCGTAAACGTACACACACGTATTCTGTGAGAGAATATTATCTGAATCTGGATATGGTTCCTTTGCCGCAAGCCTCGTGTGGGACTGATAACTCGCATGCTACCGAGGGACAACCTTGCAGTGGTATGCATAACCTAGAAGCCTATGCCTGCAACTAATCAGAAAGTTTTATTTATTTTTTGGCTTGATGCTTCACTGTTGGGTTCCATCGGGACCATCCTCACCGGGTAATTCTGTGCAAAACACCAGTACATGGGATGAAAGACTTGCCTATCACTCGGGAGCTTGTCGAGACCAACGTCGGGCGCTACGACGATCTAACTACGATCGTTGTTCATCTTGCGACGGTCGGACCTTGTTGTTGTTGTGCGTTCGTTTCTCGCCATGGTGATTTTGAGCCGCCTTCTCGCGGCGCATCTCGTCGATGGCAGAGCGCTGCTGCATGCTAGTGTCGTGACTCTTGAAGTCGATGCGCGTCTCGGGCGGGCAGTTAAGCACGCGTCGCATCGTCTCACTGGGTATAAGTGTCAGTTGACAGTGGCTTTAGACCAGACATTTCGGAGGACAACCCCTACCGAATCTTGAGGACCTTCTGTCCCGTGCTACGAGTCCAGATGCTGAGCACGTCCTCTCCGTTGCGCATGCTAAGCACAACGCCACATACTTCATCGGCCTCGTCTCCAAATTGATCTCCTATACAAGCCATCAGGAGATCTTCGTAGTAACGATCGGCAATGCCTTTCTTCAGTCGCAAGACCCACTTGCCACCAAGTTTATTCTCGTCATCCTCCCATATCGGACGAATTCCCTTCTTGAAGAGATGATAATCGGACACGGTAGGAAGGGATGAGGGTCGCTTCAAGTGTGAATATGCTAGCCAGAACTCCTCGGCGGTATGCACCGACATCATAGCGTGGAGAGTCTTGTCATACTCGATATACCCGTTGGCCTTGGTGATGGGTGGTCGGTACCAAAAGATCCAAGTGTCGCGGAGAGGGTGTGAGGACGGCATGGGGCCTTGTTGGACGTTCGCTTCGGCGATGGAACTCATCGAAGGTTTGCTCACAGCGGTTGATCGCATAGCTTCCTTTGACGTCTTCTCGGTGGAGGGGGTCTTAGCACCAACTGCACCCATCGCTTGTTCAAAAGGATTGCCCTGAGTCTTGGGTGTCTTAGCGGAGCCAAAGGATGCGAACGCGCCGGAACCCAGGCCAAACTGGTTAGCCCCTCCAGTGCTGGTGGGAGAAGTCAAGCCACCACCAGGGGTGGTTGCGCTGAGGGGGTTAGAGCGGCCGTGGGACGAACTGGCACCATTTCTGCGTGCTAGACTGGAGAAATCTCGCGGAGTAGTCGCATTATCGGGCTGGCTGGGTGTAGACAGTGAAAGGTTGTTGAGACTATAAAGACAAAGAAGCAGTTAATGTCTGAGACTCCCCATCTTGCCCCGAGCGAAACACGGAAAAGCCGGACTTACTTATTACGGCGAGTCCATATCGATTCCTGTCTCTCCATTTTGTCCATGTTCAGTTCCTCGTATTGTCGGCCGCTCTCAATAGGACGAGTATGTTGAAACTCCCCAGTCCCACCAGCACTATGGTAGCTATTCTCTTAGCTTTTCGTATAAGTGTACGTATGTTATCCTATTTAGCTGCTTGTTTTACTCCAGGATGTTTGGCTATAACGATAGGTACGAATAGGATAATCGGTTCTTAAGAAAGTGCTTCAAGAATTATAGACACTAGGTAGACAGGTAGGTCGGTAGCAAGTAGAGCAATTATGTAGATCGAACAGGTAGTATAGGTAGGTAGAGACTGAGGTATTGTACTACTATGTGAGTAGGTATGTAGGTTGCCAGGTTGGCGGTTGGTCGTGGTGGTGGTAGGTAGTGGCAATGATACCGGGATTAATGTCGTAGGAAGGAGGGGAGAATGGGTAAATTTTTTGGGAGGGTAAATTGTACAAATTGGTTACTATTGGAACAGATTTTAAATGATAAAATGATATGATAGGATATAAATAGGTATTTTGTTTTTGTTCTGTTGATATCAAAAATATATCGTATGAGTATAAGTTATAAGTTGTCGTTTATTTACGAGGGGTGTATGTAGATATGATGTTTCGAATCTTGGGGGGTTTTTTTTTTAAGTCGAGATGAAAGAATTGGAAAGTCACACCACGCACATTTCTAGTTGCACCTCGAAATGTTTTCATCAAAGCTCAATCAATGTCCAATGCGCCTAGCAACTAACCCCCGATCGACCTGTAAAGAGCCTTAAGAAACTTTCAAGGTTATTATGTGTGGCGTGTTTAATTGGTTGCAGCAAATAAGAAGGCGCTAATCGGAGTGAATTTTAGTTACAACTTGCAGCATACATAGCGCATTCATACCTGGTAATCCACTGGGCATGCTGTTGTGCTACTGGACTGGTGCTACTGGTGTGCTGCTGGTTCGACATGTAAGGTGTACCTACCTAGGTACTTGTAGTCTTGTACCTACATATATGTACATATATGTACTCAATTCAGGCATAATTAGGGCGGTGAAAGCTGTTATTAAAAAAATTCGGACGTCATTTCTTAGCTTTTTTAATTCATTTATAAGCCACGAAATCTTTTTTTTCCTTTCTCTCTTTTTCATCATTATTATGTTAAGACCACCAACTCAAATCATCGTCAGCCTGCCAAGTTACTTGTTCCACGCTGCTGACGACTCCGATGTGTGTGTCGAGAGTAACTTCAATGAAGCCCTTGCTTATAAAACCATTATCACGAGGGCCCTTAACTGTTGGCTGCCATGATGCGGTGATGACCTGAAGCAAGTTACAGTCTAATATAAAGTCGCCTTCTAGGGTTGCTTACTTCCAGCCACTCGAGAAGGTTGCGGCTCCCTTTGAGCGTTCCCTATAGACTTAGATAGCAATTTTCAAGTTGATACTTACCTGCCCTAGGTACTTAACCTGCCTATCTACACGTAGGTAGATATAAATTTGTACTATCAATGTTATACGTCCCTGTAAGTAAGCTTGACTTCTTTCTTCAATTGATATCCTCTGCCCTGATGAGCCTTTTGAGTCTGGTAAACCGATGGTGTTCAACCAATAAACTGTGTGGTCTATGTAGTAAAAACGTAGTTCTGTACAATGGTTGAACTTGCGGAAAGAACTCGGCATGAACTGAACCATGTATAGGCAGGAATCTCAAGACTCTTCAAAGTTGTAACCTAGCATAATGAGATACATAAATAGCTAATATGGATTCCGCAGCTCTAGATTTTCAATCAACCCTTTCGCACCATGCGCGGGATTATATCCGTATCTACATACCTAGGGTAGATAGGTAGGATTTAAACTCGAGCATCAGTCCGTAAGATGTTCTAATGTATCCAATAATAACCAGTGGTTTAACCTGGACAAAGCAAACATTCAATTGGTGACACGTCAATGAATGAACCCTTACTCATATATGGCAAGTATAAACAAAGAAGTCTCCCAAGAAAGGATGCTATAATTGTCAGGCATCCGATTTGAGCTACAACAACTTCAAGATCTACCAGGCACTACCTACCACGTCTTTAGCTTCTTTAGCACAATGCTCCACGTATTCGTATCTAAGACAGGGGTTGAAAATGATTGTGAATAAGCCAAAAGATCGGTTACGAATCATTACAACACCAACATGATTCATAAACCCCTTCTATAGGTAGTTACGCACCAATTGAGTAAATTCTATAATCGCCTAAGGAAACAATTTCTGAGGAAACAGGAGCTAGGTAGCACATTTCAACACGATACTGAACATGTCCTTTCCCAAAGAAAAACCACTTCACCCCCATAGCACTTCATTCTTCATCAAGACCCTCAATACCCAGTATACTCTGTTGCTGACAAGTTTTGTAGTACCTTCGACTGAACTCGGCCGATTAAAACATTTGCTTGCCTACTAGAAAATGTGCGGGTAGCTCTGCTTCTTTCTCCATGTCCACGGGTGTGATCCGACTACACAGCTTGATTTACTGGTCTTTGCTGAAAGAGTCGGCCTTCGCTCGGAGGTTTGCAGCAGTTGAGCCAGACTCGGAAAAGTAGCGTCCGAGCATGGGCTGCATGAAAGATCGGAAGATAAGTTGAGCACCGCTGAATATTGTTAGTTGTGTGATATAATGTATGGAATAATATTAACCACAAACCTGAACATGGGCAGCGATAGCCATAGCAAGAAGACAAACTTGAAAGTGTAGTAGAAGGGGAACCAGTAAACAACACTGACGGCACTTTCAAGGACGCTGTGAAACAGGTTAGTCATGTGAAACCACGGGGCAGAGCTACGTGCTCTCCACTTACGAGAAAAAGGCGAAAACAACCCAGTACTAGAACTACATTAGCGGGTGAAGATGATCAGTGGAAGCTGATGGTATAACATACTGTCAACCATTGAGTATCATCTGCCTTTGTAGTACTAAACAAGGCGACGAGAGAATAATATCCAGGGACCACGAAGCCAGCAAAGTTGGTCAAGAGCTGGCCACCCAGGTTAAAGATGATAAAAAATAAGTAGAGCGTAGCTACGCCAATGACGGCATAAACCTTGGGGACAGCAGTCTGCTTCTCGAGGTTGTTGAGGGCAGGATACTTGGATAGCTGGATATATCTCGTCAGTCTTTCGAAGCATGCGACATACTCGACCGAGGTCTGAATTGGCCGATAGGCTGGGAATGTAGATCTACTACGGTGTAGCTTACCTCGCGATCGAGCTGAGAAACATAGTGTTGGACACGGTCTTGTGCGGACATTTTTGCGATTTCTTATACGGAAAGCTGATGAGGTTAGAGAGAAAATTTAAAAATTGATTTCTTCTTTTCTTGAAAAAAAAAAGTTGGCAGGATAGATGATAATGATGGTTGCGCAGGGGCGGGGGAATGAAGCTGCTGATATCAAGCAAGCTGTGGTAGTATTTAGGGTTAGTAAAAAGCCACCTTGCTTAATATGGTAGATACACGTAGGAATGGAACAAGGGGGACGGGAAGTGGATAGTGGATCGGAGTCAGCCGGACTTACGACAATACGACGATACCTGGTGCTGGGACAGCTGGGTATCGGGTATCTCTGGTCTGGTATGCTGGGCAGTTATGAGTCTGGAAGGATAAAAGTGGTATAAAATGTAAGCTACTTACTTCAACGTTCTATATATATATAGTAGCAGACGAACAAAAGGCACCGGATTTATTTCCTCTTTTATGAGTAGATAGGTCAAGGTGAAGGAGAACAAGAACTATCGAATAGTAATAATATTTCTATTTAGTATGTAGTTATGTGTTAAGAGTTGCCAGATTGTGGGAAGGGAGAGAGAAAAGTTGCTTGTGCTGTGCTGTGCTGCCTACGTATGGATAGATGATGAGCTGGAGCTTAATAAAGTGCAGTGTGGGTACCAAAGGAACGATGACGGAAGGTAAGCCACGAACATGTAAAGCCCATTACCCGTAGGTCTGTAACACCCCAGCGTCCATGATTCAATCCGGATATCATGGCACGGACAAGATAGATCCATCTGGCTTCGGGTACGTAGATACTTCTAGTTACACCATTACATACCGACACCAGCCACACCAGTGACACCACATCTGAATTTAATTGCCATTCCTCGAGATAAATAACTACATGTACTGTACATGCCAAAAATGCTTGTTGTTATTGTTATTGTTGTTATGGTCAGCTTTTCATATGTATGAGAAGAGAAGATAGATATTTCGTCAAGATTAAACTTTGAATCAATAATATGGACATTGAATGAATGGAATGAATTAACTAGGTTAGTTAGATAGAATTACCAAAGTACAGAGCTTGAGTCTTTACATAGTACTAGGTACTGTGCGTAAACAGTAAAGACATCGTTTAAATACATAGTATCTATACTGGGTACTAAGATACTCTGCGCTGGCCATCACCGCACTGTGCTTCTCTCGTAATTCGGATTGGTATTTAGCGGTCTGAAGTTCTGAATTCTTCAAGTCTAGAACAACAATTTGCCTACTACGTAAGAGTCAACACAGTCAAGGTTGATAAATTGGAACGGTGAAAGCTTGAAACCAGCCACCTTGATATGTACCCAACATTGAAGGCTTAGACTCGCTTGAGGTAAGTGCAGCCTAAGTGCCGTACAACGCGAAAGCACATTGAATCCAGCCACGCGAGTTTTGCACGTGCATGCCTACCTACCTAGTACCTAGTACTAGGTGTGCAGTGTACATGGTGCATGTACGTATTTACATTAGATACGTACCTAGGTACCTTTTTTTTTTATTTTTTTACTAACTAGCATTGAATCACGTCCCGCAAGCTTTCGTTTAATTCCCGCTAAGAAAAGTTCCTACTTAGTACCCATTGACAAGGCCCGTTGCCCCGACGAGAGTTTTCTGTTGTTTGGAACAACCCTCGTCTCCGCCATTTTCTGTTTTTCATCTAGCAGAACCCTCACCTCAGCTTAAACCGATGCAGCATCAAGACTACCAAACCCTTTCCTGCATATACTAATACTAAGTAGGGTTCTTATTGCATCTCTAATCCATATTCTTTCATTCGTTATTATTTTGCGCGTCATATTATTCTGTTTTCCCCTTTATTCGTCTTTGCGGTCTCCGCTGTGTTTACCTATCGTGGTCGCATCCTACCGCTGCTGGGTAAACAACCCAGAAATATGGAAATGAGTAGTATGTGCCCTCCTCGAATCTATACGAACCTACATAGTCTCATACCTCGTCCGATCTTCAACTTGATATGGCAAATTATTTCGTGTTTACATTGACCTTTTCTCTAATTGTCTTGTAGATTCTCACCCCATGGACGGCGGCGCAATGTCGCAACAACATCCACCACAAAGAACCCAGTCTAGGGCTTCTACTGCTTCCATTCATAGTATAGCCACTCAGCCTAACATCGACCAACAATCCCTCATACCACACCATGGTTCCTTTCAGGACCAATGGACCGCGACTGAGCATGGGGCATCTAAGAATATGTCATCCGCGCCTCAACCAATGCCGGCCGAAGATATGATGCTTCGTCCTGCATCTCAAATGCAGGTCGCGCAGCCCTTCTCGATGGGTCCAAATATGCATCCTGCCGTTGGGTCCACTACCATACCATTTCATCAGCACCCAAACTTGCACCACGCTGTAGCAGTCGAGAATTTTGGTGCAAACGGTAGCTTTACTGATGCCGATAGTCAGATGATGGATCGTGAGGATGGGGAGGAGATGGAATCGGTTGTGCCTCAAGCCCGTTCAAAGAATGGTTCTAGTCGCACCAGTGCAAATAACGAACTCGAGATGCGCCAGTTATTTCAGTCTAATCAGCACCGTACATTAAAAGACGTTGCAAAGGAGTTGCATGGCAATGAGCGTGGCCCCAATTCGGAGCGCGCCAGACAGATCTTCGCCATGTTATGGTAAGCTACACCGGCGTATTCGTTTATAAGTTTTGGCAGAGCATCTCTAACTTTAGGTAGGATTAATCAAGTCTGTACCAGAGGTCGAACCTCCGTACCTCGAGGTCGAGTTTATACCAACTACGCAACGCGCTGTGCAACTGAGAGAATAACGGTCCTTAACCCAGCCAGCTTTGGAAAGCTAGTTCGAGTCCTTTATCCTGGGCTAAAGACACGGCGGCTTGGAGTTCGCGGAGAGTCCAAGTACCATTACGTTAACTTCGCCATGATCGATGACCAACCAGAGCTGAGGGAACCCTCCATCCAACCAGCTCTTCCTCTCGCTGACCCTACCCCTTTCGCTCAAAGCTTCAGGTAAGTCTTATCCACCACCGTCCCACTTACCTTCCTTGTACTGAGCTCTTAGCAGTGCTGGACCATCTCAATCGCCTGCATTGAATCCCCAAGGCTCCACCGCGCAATCGCCTGTGCTTGTACAACAAGCCAATACCCACGTGGGCTCACGTTTGGCTGGAAACCATGCTGTGTACCATCAACCTGATGTGCCCAGTTTGAAGGAGTTACATTCCTCTAATGCTAAAACCTTGCTACGCTTGGATTTCTTAGAGGAAGCTGAAGAGCCGACACGATCGCCTCCAACCGTTGTCCTCCCTGACATTAAACCGTTCTTGCCAAAGAAAACCGACCCGGATTCAGCAGCATCTCTCGTAGCCTGCTACCAAGCTTACTGCAACGTCATAATTGAGGCTATACGTTTTGTCAAGGAGCAGACGTTCTATTTCCAGTACAGGTCTTTTACCGGCACCCTTACCGCACCCGTGCTTAAACTCTTCCGCCACCCGAGTATTGCACCATGGATACAGGAGTGCGAATTCGCTCTTTACCAAACTCTGATGCGAATTCTCTCTGTTCTTGCTTTGCAAGTGGTTCCAGCTGCTGTACTGGATGCCCTGCGCAACATCGCAGAGCACATGGTCCCCTGTGTTCGAGAGCATTTCGGGGGAGAACCAGAACACGTTGTCCAAGCCAAGGAAGCTTCAGCTGCCGTTTTCGCGGCTTTACTTGATCGTCTTCTACGAGTGAATCTCACGGCGCACGCCGCTGCCAATATGCTCTCCAACGCTGAGAATCGAGACACCATGTATATCGACTGGCTGACAATAGTTAGAATCCGCAAGGTTGCTGAGTGTGTGCCTCTCCGAGGCATGGATGACGTAGTCGACATTCTACTAGGCGAAATTCGAGATTTGATCAACCCAGTCAGGGTTCCATGGGAGATCGAGAGTATGACGCTATATGGAGAGGTGGCACGCGGTGGCCGAGATACACAAGCTTCAGATTCTACGGATGACCAAGCTCCTGTACTCGACCGATGGACTAATTTCCTACGATCAATACCAACTCGTTTTCCATATGCTTCACCGGCCGAAATCGTCGATTGCGTACACCGAGTTGGGAACGAGGTAATGCGGGATATTACCGTTGGTCAAGGAAAAAGTTTTGGCTCGTGGTGGGTGACGAAATGCTGGATCGATGAGATGATCGCGTTCCTAGCGGAATACGGCGGTTTCATGAAGACCAAGAATCTGTCCCCTCCCACAACGAATGTCCCCAATGTCCCACAACTTCCGGGTACCAACGGCGAGACAAGTCAGCAACGTTCACGCCTCAGCAGTGGTAGTGAGGACCTCGACATTTCCCGCATTCCACAGCCTCAACCGGATCGCGCCCCGTTTCCTTCACAGGCCGAAGCTAATGGACAAGACGACCTCTTACAACCGTCACAGAGCCACGATGATAGTGGAATCGGGATTCGAACTCCTGAAGAAGACTTCCCCGTGGACAAATACGATTTTCAACATACCCCCGAAGAGCAATTGCAACCTCAGGCATAGAGGCTCCCCTTCTATAGGCGGTAGCTCGCACATATCGGCCTACTGTGCTCTGCACCCCCAATTGCGCGGGCCATTCTGGTCAAGTCCCAGATTCGGGTTGTTTATATACCTATTTTAATAATTGGCGTTGGTGACGGGTGATTTAACCATCTGGCCTACGGCATGGCCTACGTACACGATGGTATGACGAATACGATACACGACTGGCAGCACGTTCAGAGGATTTCGGAGGGAGATCTAACCTGGGGGATTTGTACCCGGTTAGAATGGGCTAAGAGTGGTAATCCATCACACTCACTGAAAAGGGAGACAAAGGGGTTACATTTCATATGAGGCACGGAAAAGGAACGCCTGGCGGTCGGATCTGGCGAAGGTGGGCTAGGGTTTTATGCTCCATGAGATTTTTACGTAGATGATCAGGAGGTGTATAAGGGGCGGCACTGTGGATATCCGCTTATTACTCCTGGTTATAGGACAGTTGGAGAGGGGGGGGGGGATAGTTGTGGTTTGTGATACCCATAGGTACCTACCTAGTACCCAGGTCCTAAGCAGCCAGCTGATGTTGGAGGTTACATACATACTGGTGCCTACTTGAAGGTAGGTAGGTAGGTACACTACTTGTTGACATTAGCTGTCATATAACCTTCCATATATATGTACATACCTATTATGCGCACCGTGCTATGTTTAAATGAACCTCAAGAGTGCGTGCTACTAGGTTACAGTAGGTACATTATAATAGCCTACATAGTACATACTACATAGAGGTATGTAAAGTTTGTAAACATTTAAAGGGGTCTTGGATGCCCCGCCTTTATTGCCCCGCTATAACGGGTGGTCAAGCTGTACTTAGCCGGTGCGTCGCTGCTTGCAACGAACGATCCAGGGCCAGGGTTGGACCCAAATACGGATGGGTCCATTAAATCTTTTTTTTTTCTTCTTCTACCGTGCCTGCTGTCTGCTGTGTACGAAGTAAACTACAGCTGTGGCACCTCCGATTCGGGGCACTTTCAAGTTCATGTCGAAAAAGCCAGTTCCATTTTTTTGACTCAAGAATTAATTAGTTCATAGTTTGAATCCTGGTCACCTTGAATTCTCACTTCTTTTAATCAAAATTGAATATCTCGTCTTTCAGCCTCTTCAATGCCGATTCTCTTCTTCATAAGATTAGAATAAAAAAAGTAAAAGACCCCTCGACAATAAAAATCAATAATTCAAAGCTGCCCCACTATCGACACAGCTCTTTTCGGCTTTTGTGACGTCTCACTTTTTAAGCTATACCTACATACAGCATACATATAACATAGTACAGACTACAGACGAGGCCCTGAGTTTGCTCCCTGTCATGGATGCCATACTTCATGGTAACACCAGCAGTGAAGGTTGGATAGTTCAAAAATTCGGAGGCACAAGTGTTGGCAAATTCCCAGATAATGTTTGTTAAACATCAACCCATTCATTCATGACTTACCCATTTTCACCTTAACTAACCTTGTCTTTACCAACTTGAATATAGATTGCCGAAGACATTGTTCGGTATGAATATGCCATTGAGTTACCCAAACATGCTGATCGATACATCATACTAACTTTCTGTTATAAGAGCCAACTTGAGCTCGAATAAGATTGCTGTTGTCTGCTCTGCTAGGAGTTCTGGCAAGAAAGCAACTGGCACTACTAGTCGGTGAGTCACCAAGTTGTTTTATACCCACCGCAGGTCTAATCCGTCTAACACAACACATTCATATAGCCTATTGGAGGTCTACAAACAGTTGCGTGCTATATCGGCAGCAACAAGTAATGAGATCACCCAGAATGAACTCGTCGAAGCAGCCAAGCTTATCATTTGGGATGTCTGCGAGGAACATACCCAGGCAGCACATACTTTTGTGAAATGCCCCAATTTGCAAAAGGAACTTACGGCAGGTATTGAGGCAGACTGTCAGGAGTTAATAGACTACATCATTGCAGCTAAGCGCTTCAATTTGGAGGTCAATGCGAGATCTAAGGATAGGGTAGTGAGCTTTGGAGAAAAGCTAAGTTGCAGATTCATGACATATCTGCTAAAAGACCGGGTTGGTTGAAATCATGGGTCGTAACTTTCTCGGCATGCATACTAATGAGCAATTCTAGCACGTTGATGCAGAATATGTCGATCTGTCTGATGTGATGCATTACGACAGCTCCGATCGGTTAAGCCTAGCCTTTTATAAGGATGCAGCATCCATCTTTCGAAAAAGGCTAGAAGCTTGCAACGACAGGGTTCCAGTTATCACTGGCTTCTTCGGCAATGTTCCTGGCAGCTTGATGGATGGAGACATTGGGCGAGGGTACACCGATCTATGCGCAGCATTGGTAGCGGTTGGAATCAAGGCACAGGAATTGCAGATATGGAAAGAGGTGGATGGTATATTCACAGCAGACCCCACCAAAGTGCCCACGGCCAGGCTCCTAGCATCGATCACACCATCAGAAGCAGCCGAACTCACATTCTACGGCTCCGAGGTTATCCATCATCTGACTATGGATCAGGTGATCAAGGCTGACCCGCCCATCCCAATCCGTATTAAGAATGTCAAGAATCCACGTGGCAACGGCACCGTGGTGGTTCCAGATCCGGTGCAGTCCCCTGCGCAGCAGATCAAGAGGTCGCGACCTTCAGATGCCTCGTTACGAAAACATCCCAAGAGACCTACGGCGGTGACAATCAAGAACAATATCTCAGTCATCAACGTACATTCTAACAAGCGGTCGATATCGCATGGGTTTTTTGCCAAGGTGTTTTCCATTCTCAACAGTCACAGGATATCTGTTGATCTGATCTCTACGAGCGAAGTCCACGTGTCTATGGCCATTCACTCAACTGCCCCGTCGGTCCGCCATTTTGAGAAGGCCAAGGCAGAATTGGAGGAATGTGGAGATGTTAGCATATTATTGGACATGGCAATATTGAGCTTGGTGGGTGCTGAGATGAAGAACATGATCGGCATTGCTGGCCGCATGTTTTCAACACTAGGAGAGCATAACGTCAACATTGAGATGATCTCACAAGGTAAGTGATACCAGGCCTTTCAATTCACCGTGGCTTATTAGAAGTTCCTTGCTAACTATATGATATTAGGTGCGAGTGAGATAAATATATCTTGCGTGATAGACGCAAGAGAAGCATCGAGGGCTATGAACATATTACATACGAACCTCTTTACATTTCTTGATTAGTAACAATGAGATGTTATTGAACATGACCTAATGCATACTCGTCTATTGTGCTATGGGAAAACCATGCAGCAATACTGGAGCCACAACGGTTCTTTGTAGGTACCAACCTGTGTATTTAAAGGTGGTATGAGGGTGTGGTATAATGGGGCCTTGGAAGATAAATAATCTTGGAACTGTATATGTTTATGAGTATGGCTTGAAGACTTGAACGAAAAGGGGTTGGAAGGTTGAGTAGATGATGTTAGAATGGATGACTACCTACCTAGGTAGGTAGATCAAAATACACGTAAAAGTTCATTCGGCTTTTTGCAAAGAAATAAGGTACAAATTGTATCTTCAATCAATGATTTTGTCTCTTTGAATACATGTATGTATCAATGTATTCAATGTATTCAATGTATTCAATGTATTCAATGTTCATGTATTCATTGGTTTTCAAGAGCACCGCCACACTGCCACACCGCCACATATTTATCTTATCTAGTTACATAGTATGATTTGGAAATTCAACTCGGAAATTCCACTGTCTGCTTAAACTTACCAATCTTTACAATATCATCAATCTTCGTCCATCGCCATTCCGAGACCACCCCTACGTTCATTTTCTCGAAATACTGGCATTGCGCCCAACAAGTCAAGATGCCCAAGGCAGAGGTTGGCTCAACCAAGTACCTAAACAACAAGTTGAAGTCGAAGGGGTTGCAGCGGCTTCGCTGGTACTGCCAAATATGTGAAAAGCAATGTAGGGACGCCAATGCATTTAAGATGCACACGCAAAGCGAGTCCCACACGAGGAAAATGCTACTCGTCGGCGAGGACCCCAAGAAATACATCGAAGAGTACAGCACCCAGTTCGTAAAAGACTTCCTTCAGCAACTACGAACCTCCCACGGAGAGAAGGCTGTGCACATCAACCACTTTTACCAAAACTACATCGGGAACAAGGAGCATATCCACATGAATGCCACCAAATGGCATTCCCTGACCGAGTTCGCCAAATACCTAGGAAGGGAGGGCATCTGTAAGGTTCATGAAAACGAGAAGGGCATACATATTGCATGGGTCGATGATTCGCCAGACGCCTTGCGACGGAAGGAGGCGGTACGCAGGAAGGAGTTACAGGATAAAGGAGATGAGGAACGGGAACAGATGTTGATTAAGGAACAAATTCGTCGCGCCAAGAGGGAGGCAGGTGAACAGAACGAGGAGGAGGTTGACAACACGGAAGACAAAGGGCTCAAGAGACAGGAGGGAGAGAAAATTAAGCTTTCCTTTGGAGTAAAACCTACGACGCAGCCTGCGGCAAACGCATCCCCGGAGAAGCCAACCCCAGAGACATCGAGATCGCCACCAAAAGACACATCGAAGAACGAATCTGAGCAAACAACAGCTCAACCTCAGCCTCAGCCTGCCTCCAGCGCCACCGAGAAACCAGCCACTGCAGCTCCCATATCGCTAAAGATGGCAGCCAAGCCTCAGACCAAGAACGTATTTGCCGCCGCAAAGAAGAACGCTCTTGCAGGAGGCTCGAAGAAGCCATCCGCCTTCGAGCAGCCAAAGAAGATGAGCGAGGCGGAACGCATCATGAAGGAGGAATTGGAGCGCAAGAGGTCTCGTGAGGGCTCGGGGAGAGGCGGCTTTTCGAATAAGCGGCAGAAGTTTTGAGAGGAAAAATGAAAGGAAAGGAAAGAAGGGAAGGGAGACGAGAGCATAATGAGCGAGCATGGACGGAGTATTGGCGTTCGGGTATACCAATCAGGACTTTTGATGTGTATAGCATTGGCATTTAAGGATTAAGGGGGGCCCAGGCAAAATGCCATTTCAAGCTCTTCGGAAAATAAACCACATTTTCATGACATGAAGCTTTTGTTTTACGATTCTTAACTCTGTGACTACACACCTACACACCTAGGTACCTGCCGAAGTGCTATACCTACGTCGAAGCTCTTGCAACTATGTACGTTGATATAATGAATTTTCTGCATAGTATGATGTCTAGGTGCCTAGGCAGATAGGTGACAATTAGGTAGTATAGGTAACCTGTCTAAGCAAATGAAGCCTTACGTGGGCCTCGTTTGAGCCGCGTCACTCATAGCACCTACTACAAGTCATATACAATACGCACTACCTACGTGCGCTTACAGATTTGGGGAGGCAAAGGGGGTACAAATAGGGGACTGCATAGGGCTGGCGAATGGGCGGGCCGCATAGGTATCATGGGGAAATATGTACAGTATAGGGGGAAGTGATGCTATTAGGTAGCATCTAGGTACGTACTGCTGGGTTAGGCAGGCTGACAGGTGAACGGATTTCGTGACGGAAAGGAATATGCTGCATATATGTATGCATGCATGTATGGATGGATGGATGGATGTAGGCTTGCCATGCCGCAACTTCGCTTGGAGAGACGAGTGAGAGCTAACCTAGTAAATTTAGGGGTTTTTTGTTGGCATCGAAATATAACGGTTCTAGCTATTTTGTGCTTTTGCTGGCTGCTGCTCGATATGGTATATCCCCGTTGCATCGCACATTGATTACGACGGCTCGTTTGCAGTGACTCATCCGGGCTGAATAACATCGTGCCATTGATTTATGTTTATTGGGTGTTGTAGTGTGTACTAGTATGCCTACTTGAGTACATATATAGGTAGGGATGGGCTATAGAGATCTTATCTCAGTGCCTCCAACGTCAGTCTATACACCTAGCTTCTATTGATTCTACGATATCTATTTCCAACGATAACTAAAATGGCCAGCCCCTTTCCCGTTCCCAACGCAACAGTCCCGTACTGGCGGACAGAGCTCCATGAGCTCGACTCTCACCGTAGCACACCAGAAATACCCGAGAAACAGGACATCGTCATCATCGGGGCTGGTTTCGCGGGTGCGGCGCTGGCGTACTATCTGCTCAAAGACAACCCGTCGAAGCTGAGCATTACTATTTTAGAAGCTAGGGAGGCTTGTTCAGGGGCCACGGGGCGGAATGGTAAGTTATGATTGATATTACTCTACCACTTCAGTTAGTATGCCATTGTGTCGTAGGACTAACCGTCTACGCAGGCGGACACTTAAGACCTGACCTCTTCGTCGGCGTAGCATCCAGGATGCAAGCTCAAGGCCTTGAGACGGCGAACGAAGCTGGGCTCTTCGAGGTCGCCAACGCCAAGGCTGTCGTCGAGCTTGTCAATGAAGAAAACATCGATTGTGATCTTCGGCAGGTGACCACGGCTGACATGTTCGTCGACGCGGCTGAAGCTTCTAAGGCCATGAAGCTATGGGACACGATGTCGCAACTAGATTGCCCTACTCTGAAGGATGTTACTTACCATGGCCCAGAAGAAGCTGAAAAGGTCACGGGTATAAAAGATGCTAAAGTTGCTTTCACGTATCCGGCTCACACGCTGTGGCCGTATAAACTGGTCATGAACCTGCTAGCCAGTGCTGTAAAGCAAGGCGTTAATTTGCAAACTCATACATCGGTGCTGGAGGTATCCGAGACGGCTGATAGCGAGGAATTATGGACACTTTCGACACCGCGAGGCATCACAAAAGCTAGACGAGTTATCTTTGCAAATAATGCATACATCAGCGGCTTGCTTAGCGAATACGACGACGCCATCTACGGCGCTCGCGGCACCGTTTGCAGAATCGTGCCATCTTCTCCTCCGCAGCCACCGGCGTGGGAGATACCGCTAGGCTCTTGCGGATTGGAGTCGGAGAGTCCTGATAAGATCGAATCGTACTATGGCTTGCGCCCAGACAAGAGCATAATGGTAGGAGGCGCGAGGAGTACGTTCTATACTAAGCGGGAACTGTGGTACAGGAATTTCGACGACTCAACGCTCATCGAGCCTGCGGTGCCGTATTTCGAGGGCTGGGCCGCAAGGACGTTTGAAGGGTGGGAGGAGACTCCCGTCAAGGTAGACAGCGTATGGACGGGCATCATGGGCGTGAGCATTCTTATACTTGCCCACCTGCCCCACCTACCTAAGTACTCATGAAGAATACAGTATTCAGCGGACGATGCGCCGCACATCGGCCCTGTGCCCTCGAAACCGGGCTTATACTCGTGCGCCGGGTTCAATGGCCACGGTATGCCAAACGTCCTGCTCTGCGCCAAGGGCTTGGCCAGGATCATTAAGGACGGCTGCCCTTTTTCGGAGACAGGTGTGCCGGGTTGCTACGAGACCAGCGCCGCGCGGCTCCGGAAGATATCCGAGACTCTTGCGGGTTCCAGCACGGGGCGGGTGCGGACTGATATTTAAGTGACAGTAGGTATGAGTGTGTGAAGTATGTATGGTACCGACATGCCTGCGTACCAGATAGCTGCTAAGCCTCTAACCTAGGTATGCATGTAAGTGCTGATGTAGGTGATGGTGGGTTTCTTGGTTATGGAGACTGGCTAGGTAACGCCCATGGAATGAAGGTGTGAGATTGGCTGACAAGGTTAGCATTAAAGTAGTTGAAAAGTGGGAGTTCCTGATTGATGACACAATCGAGGGCATTTATCCATATTGAAATAGGTGTAAAATAGTTAATCTCAAGTTGGAGTTTTGGACTCAAAATTTGGAGAAGTCGGGCAGCGGGCTGGCTCGGAGTGTTCCTATGTTATCTAGCGCACACCTAAAAATAAGTCGGCAGGGCTAACCTTGGCCATCATGATTGGCTGATAAAAGTTCGATGCGATCCACGGGAGGCAGATTACCAGGGAATCAAGGCCCGTGCCTTATTAGACCGTTATTTACCTATTACAGCCACCTGACGACACTGTGCTTGTATTGCACCTGTGTACGTTGAGGGGAAGATCTGAATATGCATGCACTAACTCTCAATGCTATCATTATAGAAATATCCATGTATTACATGTCCAACATAAAAAGAAGATTATGTAGAGATGACAGATTTCCTTTTCGCAAGATATTACTATGTAACTACACTACTAGGTACTCGTATTTATTTCCATATGGAATGACCTGCATAGTATATATATACTTGGAATTAATTAGGGGAATATTCGGCATACAGTAAATCGTCGGATAATAACATGAAAGCTATGAATGCAGCAGCGGCACAATACATATTTCTAGAGCTTAACTACATGTACATGTAACTATGTAGTAGTGGTATAATTCCGCCGTCAATGGTTATGTCATTTATTCTCCCAAGCAGCTAGCTAATCCTGGTTTCTTGCTAGCGTATTATGTTATGTACTGTAGTGTATTTACTAAGTGTATTATAGGTAGCTTGAGTCCGTGCACAAAGTTGCATTGAATGCATGGGGATCGGTACAGTACATCAATGATCATACATCGTATGTACCTCACCTAGGTACTACCTACATATGTAGTAGTGTATGGACATACATGGCCTTAACGGATGATACCAAAAAGGGTTCAAGACATGCAATTGAAGTATCACCCTCTTGACAGGCTCTTGTGGATCAGCCACTTTGCCTCAACTTTCCATTTTTCTTCCTTCTAATTTCCTCGTGGAAAGAAGTAACTATCATGTTGATGCAATTGCACTTTTTGAAATGATAATGGAGCTTGCCTTGTAACATAACAAAACCCCCCAGATTTTACAGTTTATTAACTAGTTGTTCTTGTATAATGTGAGTCAATTTCTAGTTTCTGTGTTAGTTAAATGTTTGGTGTTTTATTTCATTCATTCAATCTTCATTTTTACTAAGTCACTCACTCATTCCAAAACATTGAACATTCAATGTTGATGCACGCACTGTTTTGCCCCTATACTACGGTCTAACTTACCTATCACTTATACCTGGCATGCGATTCCTACCTACCTGTACCCAGTAGTTACTGTCTGTCTGTACTACTATACCTTTTTAACTGTTGATGATAATAATAACATTTGAGCCTCGGAACACACATGCAATACTATCACATTACCATCGCAAACCACGAAAACTAACCAGGCCCCAACTTTTACAGTACCGTTTTCTATTGTATATCACAGGCTGTTCCATTTCGATGCTTGTCTAATTTACGATCATTGTACCCGGAGATGGATACCCCAAGTGCGACGTGGCATCCGGCCAAGATGCCAGATTTCAGTGGTCAAAATCAAACTTTAGAACTCGACTCAACGCCAAACCAACCAGCGCCACCCGTCGATACACAAACTGCAGAGCATTTCATGGAAGAGGATAGATCTGATCTAATAGAAGCAGGGGCCAAAACCCAACCTACAACAGACGGCGCGTTTTTAGACCAATTCAATAGTAATCATGACGCCGAAGATGCCGCGTGGGATCTCTCGGGCCCATCACCCGCGTCAGCTCCGCAAGACGACGATGCGCCCATACCCAATCACGAACACAACTTTGCCCAACCGGACCCTGTTCCAACGAGTAACGCATCCAAACATTCAAGCACAATCTCCTTTGCACGTACTGTGTCTCACGAGCCCAGCTTCGGCGACGACGATGATAGCGAGTGGAACCTGCAGCGAACGGAGACGGACCCATTCAAGTTTATGCCACCAAACGAGAGGACAAACTCATTTCCTGTTGTGCCACAAATGGATAATGCGACCGAGGACCCCGTAGATTATCCGTCGCCTTCAACGCAAGCTCAAGATATCGTGCATGATGTGGGGAACGAAAATGCGCATACCGAGTCGGTCGCGCAAATAGACATTTCTGCGGACGGATTTCTCGAAGAGAATCAAGCTGTCGACGAAGCTGCAGAAGACGAAAGTTCTGCCCAGCAATATCTTGGTGGGGATATTGTGGGTGCCGGTGAAACAGACGAGGAAACTCGATTTGAAGAAGGCTTGCCTTTGATTCCGCAGAATGACCAAAATGAGCTAGAGAACCATCATGAACCCCGGGCTTTGGACCTTGGAGATGCCTTTGCGCAGGACGCCGCTCCTGAAGAGGGAGATGACTTCTTCAGCCAAATTACCAATGGAGGTTTCCAACTAGAAGGCGCTAATCTTCCAGATCGCACTTTACAAAGGAAGTCTACGAGTATGGCGATGGGTGACATTGGCCTGGCACCAGAAGCGAGTAATGTAGATTCGGAACTGTCAACTCCCATAGAGGGCCCTGCGTCAAATATATCAGAGGCTGCAGATGCGCATACGCAGGATACTATCAACGGCGATTCTACGACCGAAGAGAAGGAAACCAAAAAAGAAGAGACGGATGCTCAACCAAAGGCGGTTGACATTGATGCAAAGTGGGCAGCTGCTTTTGACGACGACGAGGATTTCCTACTGGATTCAACAGCGGAGTCTAAAGAACTTGACCCAGCCGATATTTTTGGGAGTGACGATGAAGGCTTCCTGGACGAAACATTGGAAGAGTTACCAGCAGTGCCTGCAACGGTAACGTCTCAGCCTAACATACCTGCGCAACCACTGTCAGCAAGTCTGAATGGACGTTATGCTCCTAATAGCCTTCCCGGTTCAGCGCTCCCAAGTCCAAATCCATACGCACCCGCTCCAGTCGTTTCGCAAATGCAGCCATCGCCACATCCTTCTTATGTCCACCCATCTACAGCCCCCCCTCCGGTAATGGGAGGATATGGAGCGCCTCCGCCTCCACCAAGCATGCCTAAGGCACAGAGCTTCGCTGATAAATCCAAGGGTGGCTATACGTCGCCATACGATCTCCCAATGGAGGTAGTGAAACCGAAGAAACGAATTAGCATGCAGCAACTTCCGCGAGCAAACGTGACAACTTTGGCGCCGCCAGTGGCTCCCCCAAGGAGCGCGAGTATGTATTCTCAACCGCCACCTTCCGGTGGTTCAACTACCAGTCTTTCACCTCCAAGTTCCAGCCATTCAAATCAACACCCGCAGGTACCAAACCAAAAGTCAACTCCGCAGCTAAAATCAAAGCCAGGTTTTTTCGAAGATTTGCCCATGACCTCGAAACCCCGACTTGCGTCCCGGAACAGTAGCCACGGTAGCCTTCCCTCGCCATCACAGCATAGCCCATACGGACAGCTTCAGAGTCCTCCGCCCCGATCTCCCCTGGTTTCGGCCTCCATGCCCCCTCCTCCCCAGCAGCCACCCGTTGGCGCGTCGTTGGTCGGACCCGAGCGCGCCAGTCCTTACGCCTCCCTACAATCTAGCTCTTTGGCCAAACCAAACACCCCTCCCGTTTCGAATGCCAGATATTCTCCTGCGCCACCTCATTTGCCAGTAGCAAATGGAGGAATGCCGCCTCCAGCTGCTGCTGCTAGTCGGTATTCTCCCGCTCCGCCTAATTCTCGTTCATCTAGTGGTGGATACGCTGTTGCTCCACCTCCGGTGCTTGCGCATCAACCGCGAACCTCTAGCCCACTTGCTCATTCCCATTTTGAAGCTTCACGTGACAAGGCGGTTCCGGGCTCGGTAAACGGGGATGGCATTTCGCTAAACCGAAGTAGCTCCTCTCAACATGAGCCCCGTATTACCAGAGTGCCGTCACTACCGCCAACGAAAGAGGTCGAAGAGGAACAATCCACATTACGATCCCCTCCCACGGCTCCCAAAGCTTCAACGGAATCAAAATATAATCCGATGCAAGCTACACAGACCCCACCACCTCTTGCATCTCCAGCATATAACGCAATTTCTCCGCCTAAACGATCGGCTTCTAACTATGTTCCAATGACTCCCGCGTCCATACCGCATAAGGAGGTGAACTTTGTTCCACCACCTCGCTCTCAGACTCAATCCCCCGGGGCGCTCTATGGCAACAGAGCTAGTGAAAGACAAACAGAGCCAGTGCCTCGACCATCCTCAGTACAAGGCGCAACTGCGCCTCGCGATGTACAAAATGCGGCATACCAGCCTGTCGTTAGAGCTCGGGGCATGTCCCAGCATCTGAATCTCGTACCCCCTACAGATGGCCGAGAGTTGGATCCCCTGCGAAGGTGGCGTGGCGCTCCAGTGATTACTTGGGGTGTAGGAGGTGTTCTTGTGACCTCATTCCCAACTGATGTCCCTCGATATGGCATAAGCCAGGCGCTACCAATGATCGTGCGAAGCCCAGGCGAGGTGAAGGTAAGGCATGTCAAGGATATACAACCACTTGAGGAACGTTTAGCCAAATTCCCGGGACCCTTGAAGGGCAAATCAAAGAAAAAAGAAACATTGGCTTGGCTGACAACTGGAATCGATGCTCTCGAAAGTAGCCTTCCGAACGTCTCGTTTCAGCAAGTTATTTCTCACGAAGACAAGCGAGCTATTGAGCGAGCATTATTGTGGAAGGTTTTAAGAGTTTTTGTTGAGCATGATGGCCTGCTTGAAGGAAATCCTACAGTGGAAAAAGCGGTCCGTGAGGTTATTTCTCCCGGCCTTAGCACTGACAACCCAGAACCTCCGTCGGCAATCTCTACCGGGGCTGATCTCACTGGAGTCCCTTCAACAGGAACGGGAATACGGGCGGACGCTATTGATTCCCCGGCTATCGAGCAAATTCGCCACTATCTACTGTCTGGCGACCGAGAAAAGGCTGTCTGGGCTGCCGTTGATAAGAGACTTTGGGGCCATGCTATGCTTATATCGAGCAAGATGCAGAATCAGGAGTTATACAAGCAGGTTGCGCAGGAATTTATTAAAAAGGAGGTGAACCATCCGGGACATGGAAATCAACCCCTCGCTGCCCTCTATGGTGTTCTTTCTGGAAACTTCGAGGAGTCGGTGGATGAGCTCGTGCCGGTTCATGCTCGCGCAGGTCTCCAGCTTATTTCCACTTCAGCTCCTACTAGCGCTTCACAGGATGCCTTAGCAGGACTTGACAAATGGCGCGAGACGCTAGGAATGGTATTGAGCAACAGGAGCTTTGGCGATGCCCAAGCCTTGAGATCTCTTGGAAATCTGCTCTCTGGATACGGAAGAGCAGAAGCGGCTCACATTTGCTATATCTTTGCTAAGAATTGTGCCATTTTTGGTGGGCTCGACGATCCTAACGCCAACTTTGTCCTGGTTGGTGCTGATCACCGCCGCCAAGCCGACCAATGCGCCAAGGAAACGGAGGCTCTTCAATTAAGCGAGGTGTACGAGTACGGGCTATCCCTTGCTGGAGGGCTAAACGTTGCTCAGAGTTGCCCCCATTTGGCTGCGTACAAGCTGCAACATGCTATGACTCTTGCTGAGTATGGCTTCAGGGACAAGGCGTTGCACTATTGCGAGGGCATCTATAACGCTATAACTTCCCAGACGAAGAAGTCGCCATATTACAACTCTGTTCTGGAGTCGTCGGTGGATGATCTTATGAGGAGGTTGAAACAGGCCCCGAAGGAAGAATCGTCTTCGTGGATCCCAAAGCCTAGGATGGACCAGGTCTCTACTAATATGTGGAGTCGCTTTAATAAATTCGTCGCCGGTGATGACGACGAGAATTCCGGCAATGGAGCGCAGGGTGATGCTGGTGCTGAGTCTGGGCCCTTTTCTCGTCTTGCCCCCGGAACACCATCCATTAGTCGGTCTCCTTCCGTCTCAAATTTCGAGCCGTATGGAAATGGCGGCCTCTCACCTCCCACCCCCGCTACTAAAACAGCTTCCCGCTACGCGCCAATGACATCCCAAGCCTCGGGCAACCCTTATGATCCTGCCCACAATTCCGCTCCTAGGTCTTCTATGGAAAGAACATCGGGCGAGATGACGCGAAGCTCCTATGATCTACCAAGGCGAGGGTCTGACATGCAGCCTATGTTTGGGGGCCCTTACACGCCCGAATCAAATCCCGCTCCGAAGTCCAACTATCAGCCCGCGGCCCCAGTGGCTTCCCAAACTTCGTCGTACATGCCTACTTCCCAAGGATCGGATTCAGCGTCGCAACCCTCAGGCATGGGAATTTCGTTCCCCGGGTATAATCCTTATGGTGCCGCGCAGTTCTCTCCGGTATCTCAACCGCAAGCCTCGCCCAAAGTAGAGGTTACCCCGGAGGTTTCCGTAAATGAGACGAGTTCGACACAGGGTTATCAGCCAGCATCATATGGATATGAGCCACCTTCGATGACCTCTTTCCAGCCGGATACGACAGAGCCGGAAAGCTTTTCTGGCGGATACGAACCACCATCATACCAACCATCCAGCTTTGAGCCGCCTTCGTACGAGCCAGGCCCTTCTGAGGAAGCGGGTGAGTCCCAGACGGAGTCGCAGCCTAAGAAGAAGAGTTTCCTCGACGATGACGAAGATGACATTCCTGGGTTGAATGCGGGGGGAAAGAGCAAAGCAGAGAAGGACCGCGAGAACGAGGAGATGGTCCGTAGGGTGGCCGAGGAGGAAGGTGAGTAACGTGTGATGAATCTTGGTACCAACATGGAGCTAACATAAATACTAGCGAAACGCGCTGCGGAAGCAAAGAGCAAGAAAAGTTGGGGGTTCGGAGGCTGGTTTGGCGGTGGTGGCAAGAAGGAGTCGGCCGACCTATCCAATGCCAACAAGCCTATTAAGGCTAAGCTTGGTGAAGCCAGTAGCTTCGTATATGACCCCGAGCTTAAGCGTTGGGTCAACAAGAAACCGGGAGCAGAGAATACTCCAGCCAAAACGGCAACTCCGCCTCCTCCGCGATCCGCGTCCCGTAACGGCACCCCACCACCACCGGGCAATACGTCGGCTCCTCCTAGAGGGTTGAGTGTACCGCCAGCTAATCGTGCGCAACTTACGCCTTCGCCTACTCTGCTAAGCAAGGCCGCTTCGCACGAAAACTTGTCGGTACCTGGTGGGGTTATGATGGCGCGATCTGTGTCGAGCCAGAGCATTAGCAGTGCTCCAGGCGGACCTCCGAGCGCGCCGCCAAGTAGACCGACTACGAGCCTTAGTAACGCTAGTAGCATCGATGATCTACTCGGGGCAGCGGGCCCGCGGAAAGGTGGCAAGAAGCCCCGAAAATCGGGGCGATATGTGGATGTTATGGCTAAGTGAAGGAAAGACAAACGAGCGGTTACGGATGTTTCACGGCATGTGATAAAGTCAAGTGAAAGTGAGAAACATGGATAACGAAGCGGATTGTAAGAAACAACCTAAAAGACATTATGGAATAGCAATGGCGCTGGCGCGGGCATGGACATGAGATCCCTCTGTCATGGACGCTCGAAATATGCGCCGATGGTGTGGTGTTTTGTTGTATAATAGATCTAGCAATTTTGTAATAAATGGACGGGGCACTTTTGGGAGGTCAGGCCTGCCTGTCTCTTGCGGCTTCATGTTTTTTTGTTTACTTTCACTATATACATGTTCTATTTGGTATTTATGGGTTGGTGTTGTGATGAAATTTTTAAGACTTTGGATATAATCTTCTACATGCATACATGTCTAGAATCTGGTACTTACATGTAGTACTTAGAAAGATAATACATACCTACCTGTATATATGACATCATGAAAATACATGGAATTTCAAATATTGGCTTCGTTCTTGCATGAGCGATGACGCACACCCCCTTCCTACTGCTGGGTACTGGGTTTAACAACTTGAAACAAACAGCTGGGAATAAAGTACTGGTGGTGGGCTTCTCTTCTGCAGCCCTCCGTACCTTTTAATACATCCTTTCCAGCCTTCTTTGGAAGAACTTACAGTCTTGTCCCGATAAAAGGTAGACAAATATATGTGACAAGCACAGCAATAATGGCGGCAACACCACCGACAAACATCCGCCTCCACCATCCCGGAAACCGCCCGAACACAGCCAAGCACACCGCCCCCAACGACGATGGCCGGGACCCCGTGGCGTACGAGGCCGCGGTGTATCAGCGCGGGCTGCGGTATCAGCGGCCTCCCTTCACCTTCAAGGCGCTCGAGTGGGAAGGGCTGGCGGCAGAGCGCATGTCAGCTGACGCAAGGGGCTACGTGCTCGGATGTGCGGGGACGGGGGAGACGGCGCGGAAGAACCGGGACGCGTTCGCGAGGTGGTCGATTGTGCCTCGGCGGTTGGGTCTGGGCAAAATAGGGGAAGGAGGGGAAGGGCAAGAGGTGTTTCCAAAATTATCGGTCGATGTGCTGGGAAAATCACTGCGATACCCGATTGCGTGTGCGCCGGTCGGCGTCCAGAAGATCATGAACCCGGATGGGGAGGTGGCGGCGGCGAGGGCGGCGGCGAGGGAACGGGTGCCGTTTATCATGAGCACGGCGAGTAGCACGAGTATCGAGGAGGTGGCGCTTGCTAGTGATGCTGCGGCTGCTGAGAGGGGAGGGGAGAAGCCGGAGCGCTGGTTTCAGCTGTACTGGCCTCGGCGCAAGCACGATGATATCACGATCTCGCTCCTGGACCGCGCGAAGAAGACAGGCTTCTCGGTGCTGGTTGTCACGCTGGATACGTATACCCTTGGCTGGCGGCCTAGCGATATGGATAATGGGTAAGTGCTTTGCTTCCTTCCACCTTCTATATCTATTATGTCTCCTCTTCACCCTTGTACCCCATTTACCCCTTACTACCTAACTACCTACCTATCTTGTATCGTATCCACTAATCATAATCACTACCACCACCACCAAAAGCTACAACCCCTTCCTCCGCTCCGACCAAGTCGGCATCGCCATCGGGCTCTCGGACCCGGTGTTCCGCGCGCACTTCAAGAGCACCCACGACGGGCGTGAGGTCGAGGCGGACCTGAGCGCCGCCGCCGCCGAATGGACGCGCATCATCTTCCCGGGCACCGGCCACACGCTCGACGACGTGCGCTTCCTGCGGTCGCACTGGCCCGGCCCCATCGTGCTCAAGGGCATCCAGAGCGCCGAAGACGCCCGGCTGATCGCCGAGTCCCGCCTCGTCGACGGCATCGTCGTCAGCAACCACGGCGGTCGCCAGGCCGACGGCGGCGTGAGCTCACTTGGTGTGCTGCCGCGGATCGTCGACGCTGTTGCCCAAGCGAGCCAACCAACGACAACACCACCACCAAAAAGACTAGCCGTGCTCTTCGACTCAGGTATCCGCACCGGCGCCGACATCGCCAAGGCCCTCGCTCTCGGCGCAGACCTCTGTCTCGTCGGCCGTCCTTACGTCTACGGCCTCGTGCTCGGCGGCGAGGACGGCGTCGCCCATGTCCTCAGGAGCCTGCTCGGCGACCTCGAGCTCACCCTGCATCTCTCCGGCATAGAGTCCGTGGCGCTGATGCACTTGGATTGTGGGGAGTGGCTGGTGAAGGAGGACGAGTTGTTCTAGTATTGTTGTACCTTGCCCAGGTGAGGAGCAGGAGCGGGAGCGGGAACAGGAACAGGAACGAAAGGAGTTGTGGTATTGCGTGCGCTCTGTGCTTTGTTTGTTTTCTCTCTTTCTCTTTGGATCTTTTCAATTGAGGATGGATATGGTAACGATGTCGTGCGTGGCATTATGATATCATGATAAGCATTCATTCAATTTTTTATCGTTTAAGGAGAGACCTATAACTAGTTGTCAAAGATGACTCTTGTATTGCTCTTTGGCCAATTCATCTACCTAGACTGCCTAGTACTCTCTACTCAGGGCACGACAAGATCCGTAAGTATTCGTTGGGTAGATATCAATACAATACAAAATGTGAATAATCAAGTGTCCTCTTCATGGAAACTACAGATCTGAGTACCTAATAGTAGTAGTAGTAGTAGTAGTACATAGACGACTACCTAGGACCTAGGTAGGTAGGTAGGTAGGTACCAAATAAGTATGTTCGTACACTTTGACTAATCAAACTTCCTTCATTACACTTCCACCTCCTCCTCCGCCTCCACCTCTACCTCCACATCTTCCTCTTCCCATTCGAATATCCCGCCTATATAAGCTACAACTCTCCGACGTAGCGAAGGGGGGTGGGGGGGGGATATTGGCTGGTACCATGAAAGCCCTTCTTTCATTTGCACCACCAAACAGAACCATGCCCAAAATGTCCCGTATGCCTTATCTTCCGCGCCACAAGAAGGCTGGAGTGAAGTGATGGTGGTATATACATATCTTGACCCATTAGTTAAAATAGTACGGGGCTATCAATTCCTTTTCCCTAGTGAAAAAAAAAAATAAAAGTCCTCTTGTAGCTGCATAGAGCTGCATAGAGGGCAGGGTCCATTCATCATAGAGCTCAAATTTGAGCCAACATAAGAAAGTTGCCGCTGGTCGCCGGCCCGGTGAATTGATTCGGATTGTCTAGCCTTTGTTAAGACTGAATTTTTTTGATATTAAAGGGGTTGTGTTAGGTCCAATCAGGAACTTATATAGATCATGCTCCCATGATTCTTCGTTTGTATGAACATCTCTCCTTTTTGAAGCATTGTTACGAGTTGCCCGTAGCACCCGTTCGCTGGTGATTGCCACATTTTCTTCGCTTGGAGGGGAGTAAAATGGTGTAGACATTATATATCATACGGGTTGCATAGATGGAAAGTTTGAGCCTTCGAACAGTCTCTACTTCCCATCCTCTAAAATGCTTGCCGTTCTTCATTCCTCTGTTGCTGCAGCTGGTGCTTCAGCTGGTGCTTCAGCTGGTGCTTCAGCGGATGCTTCAGCGGATGCTTCTGCGGGTGCTTCGGCTGGTGCTTCAGCCGGTGGCTCCTCGGGTATCGGACTTTTTCTTGCTTCTTCTCCTTCGCCAGTGCTAGAGGTTGCAACAGAGCCGCCCTTCAGCCGCCGCCGCCTAGCCCTCCTCTCCTCTGCCGCCGATTTCCTTAAACTATCCCGTTGCTCAGGGTGACCGTCGTCTGCCCCGTCGCCGCCCCGCATATCCTGCAACAACATTGCAGCTCTCTGAGCCAGACCGTCCTCTCCATCCCCTGAGGGAGCTTCGGTGGGCGATATAATATCGGGGCTGAGAGGGTTAACGTCGGACTCCGTCGTGCCATTGGCACCATCGGTAGGATTGTTGGCTTCAGCCTCCGGTGCTTCACTGAGGTCAGGTATCTTTTGGCCTGAGGCGATGCGAACTTGGTGACGATCCTTGAGACGCGCACGTCTCCTTCGGTCTCGTTGGTCTCTTGTTTGCGGCGCCGCGGCGCGCAGTTTCTCCAGGAGAGAATCCATTGCACCCGCAGAGGCCGGTGATGGTGGGCCACCTTCCGTAGCCCCTGTGACCCTCAACTGAGCATGCTTGCGTTTCATATTGGCTTCATTTCTCCGCCGCGTCTCTTCGTATTTGATATTCTTGTCTCTGCTCTTCTTCCACTCCTGCAGGAACGAAGCTAGCTTGGCGAAAAAGTCACGGCGAGCATTATCATCCTTAGGATCTTCGCCGTAGAAGACCATGATGTCGTCATACGTGCGGATCATCTCCTCTAGGTATAACGCCATCTGTTCTGCCTTTCGACGTGCATCTTTCATGCATCGCTGAACAATTTGTGAGACACGGTCCTGAGGATGGAACTTCTTAGGATCGCTGAGGTTGCCGCTGTCCAGTGACCTCTGTACATTCTTGATGTTGTCTATGTATCTCTTAGCGTCGGCCTGCAGTTGTTCGACGTTGATCTTTTGCGCCGCGATGACGGTTTGGATATCGTCCGAGAAGCCTTCCCATTCAGGGTATTGATTGCGGACGATACGTTCAACCAAATCTGCGAGCGTCGATTCGTTTTTATCATCCTTCACCATTCCTAACCGGGCAAGTGAGCTTAGCTTGAAACCTCGTGCCTGCTTGTTCGCATCGTTCATATAATTTCCAATGTCAAGAATTAAGCCGAGAACGTTCATTAGAGACACGGAGTCGCGCAAAGCCTCCGATATTGTTACAACTTGACGGATCTTCTCGTTGATCTCGTCATAGTCGCTTTCGTAGCTCCTTGTTAAGGACAGTGCCCGCATCCTACTCTTCCAGTAGTGATGAAGCTCAAATGCAGTGAAAAGGTAAAGTTGATCCTGTCGAGTGAGTTCAGATGGATCCTGCTCGCGATTCTCCTGATTCGCTTCGGGTCCAGTCCAGTCTTTGCTGTAAGGGGCCATATTTTTCGCTATGTTATCCGGAATGTTACATAGATCGTCCTTCTGGAGGAACTCCATCACCACAGGGTTATCGAGCACCTCCTTATCGCATTGGATGATCGACTGTACAACCTTTTCAACAGAAAACTGGGAGAATTTGGCAAAAGCAATTTCTGGATCAAAGTCAGTATATTGGTGGCTTCGAGCGTCATTCTTGATTTGTGCTTACCATAAGCTTTCCGAAGATCGCTAGAGATGATCTGCTTTTTGTCGTCCTTCTTAGAGGCACCAACTCCAAGCTTCTTGATCTCCTTAGCCAAGAACAACTTCTCAACCTCGTCGAGAATACCCTTCCTACTGAGCTCGGCATATTTCTCTTCTCTTTCCTCCGCAGAAGGAGCATGCGCTGCCCAGTGACTTGTTTCTGGAGTGTCGACCTTGTCCCAATGGAGAGCCTTGAGCTTCTTCTTCGGCCTAACAACAGGAAGACCGATGGTAGAAGTTGGGGCAAAGCTGTTTTGTGCAGATAAGAAGTGACCGGACATGGCACCAGGCATTGGCGGAGGTGGGGGGGGCATTCCAGCTCCGGGCATGCCGGGCATAGGTGGTGGCGGCGGCGGCGGTGGTGGCCCGCCTGCTGCAGAAGTTGGCGAAAGCATCCCTGGCATAGGAGGAGGAGGCGGCGGTGGCGGTGGCGGAGCACCTGGAAGTTGACCGGGCATGGGAGGAGGAGGCGGGGGCGGAGGTGGTGGTGCTCCGGGAAGATGACCGGGCATCGGGGGTGGAGGGGGCGGAGGCGGGGGCGGGGGCGGAGGCGCACCCGTATCGCTGACTTGAATCTTAGGCGGCTCGATTTCACCTGGAGTGATGGGCGACTGCGACTCGAGACTTGGGTGTGACGGACCGGTGGTCGCGCCCTCGGCCTCTGAGTCGCTAAGTTCGTCCTTCTTGCCCTTTGCGTGGATCTCATTAAGGAAGCTGGCAGCATGTTTGGGGTCCATGACGGGTCTCCTAATCTCAACGACTCTGGGCTTCTCGTACACAATATCATCTTCGCCCTCGGTGGCACCGTCATCGGCGCTGGAGTTAAGAGGCTTTCGCGATAATCTCGTATGACGATTGACAGTCCCAAGCACACCAGTATCCACGCCCGACGGCAAGATTTCTGCATCCTCTGACCCACCTGCGTAGCCTTCCATTTCCTCGCGAAGCGCACGTAGGCGGTCTGAAGGTCCAATTGTTTCACCCCATACTCTGCCCTCAAGTTTGTACTGAGTCTTCTGTCGTTCGAGTTGCATCGCTAGTCGGTCCATAAGTCTTTCACGATCCAAAATACCTTTCATGTGAGCAGGGTTCTCCTCGGCGATCTTGCTTCCAGTGCCGGTCTTGACAGCCTGCGAGGCAGCAACGTCTTGGGCATCCCTGAGCATGAGATACAATTCTCTTGTTTCGAGTTCATATCGTTGCGCCTCCTTTGCACGCACTGTCTGCATATTATCGATTTCAGCTTTCAAACCGTCTGCCTGGCGCTTCTGAGCTTCGATGAAGCGAGCCTGTTCATCTAGTTGTCTCTGAAGCTTAGCAACGAGACCATCAGCGCCCAACTCTAATTGTGCCTTCATCTCATCCCGCTCTGCCATAGCAGCATCGGCGATCTGTCGGGTCTCCAAGGCCTCATCTAAAGCCTGGCGGGCCTCGGAATCGGTGTGCAGCTTATCCAAGAGGTTTTGAACTGTGAAGTTCAAGCTTTGCTTGAGGTCCATGTTCGGCAGGCGCCGATCCATGGCCACATAGCTAAGCATCGAATCAACAAGCTGGAACATGCGCAACCGCTCCTCTCCATCGTTATCTCGGATTAGGAGTAGGTGTTGTAGCGCGGATATAAAATAGTCATGCGTCTTTGAGCCTTGTAGTCGGTGCTGAATAGCCTCAACGATCTGAGCTGGATCGTTCAGGTCCTTAACCTCGCCCTCGATGCTGTCTTTTATGCTGCTATTCTCCCGCTCAAGCATGTCCTCGTAGTCAATAGCTTCGTTTGACCGGAACCGCTCGACCTGCTTGTCGATCAAGTCATATTGGAACGCCTCCATCTTGGTAAGGATCCGCTTGATCCCACAAGCGCCGAACTGCGCCCTGATATGCATCCGTAGCTGAAGGTCATTCTCTGGCGCATCAATGATCGAGTTGACGAGGATGAGCGTTGCAACCGCATATTCCATTAAGAGGTTTTCCATGCCGATACCGCCGCTACGGACTTCGTCGCTGGCACCGACGAGACTGCCCATCTTTCCTCGACCATCCGCAGTCACTTCGACAAGTCGCATCCAGGAATCAAATCGGCCATTCTCATTCTGCTGGGTCTTCACCACGTCCATGGCCTGGATCACCTTCAAGTGTCCCTCGCCCCCATCCCAATGACACAAGAAAGACAGGACATCGCTGACAAGTTTTCGGGTCGTGAGCCTCGGCGAGATGAGTGACGTAACGAGGGCCACGATGACCTGCTGGTGGGCGAGCGCGTCATCGGCACCATACTTATTGTTCAGTAGAGCCTTAAGACATTTCAAAATATCATATTCCTTATCGAGATTTTTGTCCGTCGTTTTGACGTCAGGAGTCGAAGGGCCTGAGGCGCTCTTCCGGTTCATCTTCAACAAAACGTTGGTGAGGGCCACCTGCCCTTGGCATTCGATGAAGCGCTTCACCCAGCCGATCTGTTGAGTGCGAAGGTTGACCTCGAGGCTGCCGAGACCCTTCAAATCCAAGGTATTGTCCATCACTTTTCGGACGTACCACTCAGGGGAACCTTCCTCGTCGGAGGATGCAGCGATGTCGACATTCGGATACTGCCCTGCCCGAGCCGTTAACCTCCTCTTTTGCTCCCCTTGTAGCTCCGTCAGTCGGTCCTGATAAATGAGGGTCCATTTTTTCGCTGATGGGTAGGCCTGCATTTGCCGCCGTGCTTGTTCGGGTAGGTTGTGCCATCCACGTTTCTTCATCAGCTCGAAGAACATCTGCTCTGTTATTCTATCGTCATCGGGTCTAGTAAGTGAGACATCCCCGCCAGCCGGTGGTTGAGGTCCTGCGTTCCCTGGAGACTTTGTTAAGCGATGCGAATCTCTACTTGAAGGGTGCGATGCAATGGAACTCTGGGAAGTTGCACTAGGGAGTGCTAATTTGGATGAGCGTTTGGTTGTGAGATAGTCAAGGGGTGCTCCTTTACCTGAAAAAATGCTGGACTGGTCGCTCTGTCTGGACGTTCTATTGAAGCCGGATTGGCCATAACCGGGTAAAGAATCCCACCTTTCATTAAAGCCAGCATTGGTCATTGAAGAGGATGTACTTGCCCGAGGCGTCGAAACACCACCGGTGGAAGGGCCCCATTGATGGAATTGCGTCTGGCGGCCGGTAGACGCCATCGTAATATTCGGGCCAGGGTGTGGACGCAGACTCGAGCTGGATAGGTGAGACCCAGTCATAGCGTTAAGTGTGTTCGCATCAAAGCTGGGGGGATACTGGTGCGGTAGAGGCTCCCGGCGCGCAGGCGTCTGCTCGGTTCGGGGAAGATATTCGACGGGTACTGGGCTTCGCCGGTCTGCATAAGTGGTATCATATGGAATTACGGTCATGTTACCAGTAGCATTGTAAAAGCTAGCGTCGGGGGAGCTCGGTCTATCGATCGATATTATTGACGATTCCCTAGTATGCCGAGAAGCACGCGATAGCGAGTCATGATCCGAGGCGACATATCGTCCTTCATCGCTGCCAGTGTGTCTCTTTTCGTTCTTGTGTTTGCTCCTAGAGAAGAAGCCCTTACCACCAGAAGACATGGCTTTATTTGGCGGAGAGGGCGCGCTGAGACGCTGGCGCCCCAATTGCTCTCCAAATAACGGGTTTATTTATCTGGTACTCGAGCGTTTCGGTTTGGCGATTAAAAAAAAAGAGGTGGGAAAGAGGGGAAGAATTAAAAGTTATGGGGGATGTTGGGTTCCTGAAGTCAGTGTATGGAATTCTCGAGAAGTCGAATGAATTGCATCATGTTCTCTAGCAAGGAATATCGGCTTCGCAACGAATGTACAGGTTGAAGTAGAAGAATTATGATGGAGCGAATACCTGTGCAAGTTGGTAATGGTTGTTAGCATTTTGTATGGTAACGAAACAGTAAAGGCATGATAAGCATGACGAGGCAAGGCAAAACAAGGGTAGGTATCCTAATTTTCCAGGTTTTTCAGGCGAAATTTTACTATTCTTAGGTATTTATGTACCTAATAGGTAGTCCGCCTAGGTAGGTAGGTATGTAGTGAAAGGAGAAAGAAGGAATTGGACTTGGAGTTGGGAAGACAAGAATGCGCAGCAAAGGAAGAAGGACGAGGGAGCAAATATAAATGATGGTTAATAAAAATACATACATAGAACTGAATACACGCGAGGCTACATGAAGTACAAGAATTCTAACATGAGCGGCTTCTTCTGCAGGTTGTTGAAGATTTCAATGTTGAATTTAATTTGACTATGGTGGGTGGGTTGGCCGGTAGGCAGGTAGTAGGTTTAGAGGTTTAGAGAAGGGGTAAGGTAGGAGACGAACCTCCAAGGTTGGTTATAGTCAAGTAAGTTATCGGGATGTGATAACATTATGTTGCTCAAAGGGAGGTTCTGCCGTCTGATGAGACGCAAGGTTCCATTTGCCGATTGTGCCATGTCGCTCTAGGTACCTTTTACAGCACCGGCCACCAATGCTGGGTAGGATTAAGCTTACAGGGTACATGTCTAGGTACGGATTACCAATTAACAGCATTGGATAGTGTAAGTACATAGCATGTTTAAAATGTTCAATGCTACACCAAGTAAACACCCCCTCTCAATTTCTCTCAATTTGCGATAAGTCCGTATTATGGATTTGTCTTAAAGCGGGAAGCTAAGCATTTTAGTGCGCAAAGTTCAGGCAGGTATGTATGTATATACCAAGGTAATGAATGAATCCAAATTCGATGAAGGCAAGTTCTACCAATCAAGAGTCTAGAAGCCCATTACGCAAACGTGGCTACTATAATTATTTCGCCTGGTTACTTTGTGGTGAGTGACCAGTAGCCAGTAATTAATCGAATGTCAGGAATAAGATTAATACAACGTGTATTTTTAACAAACGCTTCTGTTATGTGCATGTGTGTGGGAATGCTTTTCCCCCTAATGCCCCTAACGTGTGAACATGTGAACTCCAGTCTGTTGAATTGCACATGTGTGTTGTGTGTGACAAGATCTAGTCCCTTATGGTAGCCCAATAAGACATCTGTGCCAAAATCAAAAATCAAGATTGACTATTCCGAATTTAGAAATTAAGAACAGTGCTACGAGTACGTGAAAAGAGTGGATCATACTTAGAAAAGTCTATGGATAAGTAAATATCTCTATATACATATGTAGCTTATATAAAAAGTACATAAGCTACCATACTATTTTGTATGGTAGACTAAGTACTGGCTTTATCCCTTTTTACTACATACTTAATAGCTTGCATGTACGATGCATTTATGATTTAAACGTGACTTTTATTATTAATAAGCGTAAAAGGCACTAAGCTACCTGTTACACATACTTCTTAGCCACATAAAGATCCCCTAGCCACATATCCCTTAGCCACATCTACCACATTTCGTATTAATCTAAGGTCTAGCGTCTTATGTTGAATAACGTTCTGAAACATATAGCTACATATATGCAACCAAATTCAATTGAAAGCGCATTCAATTACAAATTGATTGATATAGGTCTCGAATTGAGGCGATACGTGGTTGTAAAGTTAATCAACTAAATAGGTGGCAGGCCGGACGGCACGTGATCACCCCTAGAGCCATACTAAGAGCCCTTGGAACCACGCTAGGAGCCCTTGGACTCTTGGAGCCGCACTGAGCCGGCTGGAGGTCACGCTAAGGTGTATCACGTGACGGCACACGATATACCTATCTACCTGAATAACCATTGAACCAGATATCGTACCGTGATGCAACCCATACTAATTAATTCAGAATTAAATACGCTTTCGAATGAATTAGGTTATATAATTATAGCTATATATTTGCTATATATTTCAGAAAGATATTTATGTGAAATGTTTTAGAAGCTCATATAACCACGTCACATGACTGGGTCACATGACCTTACGGGTCTGTGCACTTCCTTCAACAGTAATATTATCAAGAAAATATTATTCAATTATCCAGTATGACCAGCTAAAGTACCGATATACATGCCTTTCTTTCTTAAAAAGTGGGACTGCATACTAAAATCAGACTAGCTCAATCATTATTTTCATTTTGGCACAGCTGTCTTATTGGGCCACCGTACCCTCCAGGCTCCAAGTACCAGGTAACTATGTTGTTATTTCATTACTTTAAGAGTTCAAATGTTGACATGCATCAATGATAATTATACATATGTACATAGGCATGTGCATACATCGAATTATGTACCACTCATGGAACATAGAATGGTGGGTGCAGGTAATTCTGAAACTTGAAGTGGAACATAGTTAAAACCCCTGGAAGATCCAGCACAACCTACGATGGCGATAATGATGCGATTGATTTTGCCTTTATCCCCAGACTTCGAGGTCATAGACACACGAGCGAATCAAAACTTGGCATCTTAGAATCCACGAGAAGCAATGCGATGGGTAGCAATGGGCAGACAAACACTATTGCAGGCATTTGGATGAATGGGAGAACCATATGTACGACAGTCTTTAGCTGATGAAGATCTTTAGCCGATGCGTAAAAAAGGAGGTTACATATGAATTCAATTCAGCTATGTACTTTTCCACGCTTCGGCATTATTTTAATACTATGTATGGCCAGTTCGAGGCAACGATCACACGCGATCTAGCGCTACCTTCACACATTATTCAAAGATTGTTAATAACTTCCTATAGCATTACTTAGGAAACACCAAGTAAAATGCTTGAAATTCAATGTTATGTATGTGAGGTTTTTATTTTGATAATTGTTCATATTATTGTACAATCTTTAAAGTTCATACATCAACATTGAATCTAGAATTTGTAGTACAATATTACATACATAAAAGTGATGGGTTCAATATCATATATGAGATAATGCAGTATGTACATACATACGTGTACATGTAAGGCCCCGAGAAGAGCATGCGGGTAGATGCATAGTACATATGCACCTAAGGAAATCTGGACTTAATTCATGAGCGCTCGTTATGTAAGCTACCTAGTACCACTGAGAGCACTTACTACACCAGGGTCAACGTTGTAACTGCGCATACGTAACCATTTTCATCTTCGGTTTTCTCATCATAATCGTTTTTGCCTAATAAAAAAAACAACAAGGATAAAGGACAAGGCGGATGTAGAAGTTCTACACGGCACCAAAGCCTTGTCATTTCCTCAGTCTTGTCATTTGTCGTTGGTCGTTCGTATGTCGCGTGAGAACCTCGTCAATGCAGACTTGATATCATTTTAATTCGTTTTCGCCAACCGCCTCGCTTACGCTTCATCTTCCACCTTGGCAATCGACAATCGAGCATCGTACACACATAAACCTTCAGAAGTGGCCGGGCGACTCAACGATAATTATTCCATCTGAAAAAATAGGGCTACATATACCCTATCAAGTTCGGTGTTATAGCATGCTGTTCAGGAAAGGGGCATCTGTATCGTATCACTAACACGATGGCCGCCACTTTTGCTGTTGTCAAGGTATATTTGCAGAGCAGACACTAGATGTGCGCTTTTCAACATCAGAATTCTAACCATTCTAGACACTCATAATACCCGCCGTCATATCCCTTCTGCTTTTCTTAATATCGACCTACGTTCTCGTTCCATTATGGCAGCATTATCGAATTCGATACAGCCACTACCTCCCCCTCGACAGAATATCGGACCACACATCATCTATACGTACCAGGGTCCAAGATGCGATAGCAAGATGGATGATACCGTCGAGATGGCGCTTCGGCTTGCGCGATCGCATGGCTATGGGAGATGACGACGCCTCCGACTTAGGCTTTAGTTCCGAGGAGGGTGAGGAATTAGACGATGTAGATGATGATCGTCGACACGCGCTTTCATTGGATAATCATATTCTCGGTCACACGGATAGTATGAGGAGGTTAAGCCGAGAGTAAGTCATGAATAATTTATGAAGGGATCCTCTCCCAAGTACCGGAAGGGTCTACCTTGCGGTGCAACGCTAACTATGTGGCCTAGTTTGGAGGAAGGGTTCCGAGATGATAGTGATGAAGAAGGTGAGGGCGCACGTCAGGTTAGGAGATAGTATACCTCTCGTATGTTAACTCTGTTCATCAATCCCACGGGTTTGGGGTAATAAATTAGTGCATTGGACATCCATGGATGGTGAAATATTGTATAACTACCTACGGGGGAGTTCAAAGGCTTGCTACAACATCCGGCCATGGCATCTCTGTTATAAAGCAAGCACAGCACAAAATGATTTTGTAAGCCACTTTGAAAAGCTTGGAGTTTGGAGCTGGTGGTTCCCACAAGGTGTTTTCTTCCTGGGCCTCCATTCATGGCGTTTACGATCCTTCCACTTTGCTTGGGACCCATTGTCTGGTTCAGACATGTTGGCTCGACAGACAGCCCAAATGCCAAAACGCTAAGATGCTGGAAATACTACAGCACAGTTCACCTCGCAGATTGTATACTAAGTACCTAACACTGGTCAACACTCTGAATGTTATTATTTAAGGTACGAAATTAGAATGTTTGATGTTATCTAGCGCCAGCTTGAATATGGTGGTTGAACAGCCCGGTTTAGCTATTTCCTGAAATATACAGCACATACTGAACCTTCAAGTGAACACTCCCCTTTTTTTAGATTTGATTTTTGCTGAAACTGAGGCAAATAATCTATCGCTTCCCCTGAACTAAAAAGCATTTTTATTTATAGAACGGCATCTAGATTTACGGATCCGTCAATTTTAGACCATTTTGGGGGGGGTGATTGTTCCTAGCCAACGACGCCCAACGTGCGTAGGTAGGTACCTACTCTCACCAAAATAGTCAACCCCCAAAGTAAAACAGCTGCTTTGGGATACACATGTGCATATATAAGCACTTGAACTTAAACTTGTAATCTACTGTACATGAATAACATCATGTGAGCTGAATTCACAAATTTACTCCCAAGAAATAAAATATATCATTCCCGTTACTCTGCGGGTTGCGAATCAAATCCATCCGATAACTCGGGACCCCAACTTTTCTTTCGGAGGTTGGCGCGGGAGATGGAATTTCGAAAAAGGGGAGATCTTCAGTCCCGCATGCGGTATCATGCGGTATCATGCAAAACGATGCGGAATGATCCAAAGTTTACTAGGTGATGTGCTCCAATTACCCGCGTCTAACTCGAGCTGCATAAGATCTTAAGATGTCTGGTGTAGAAGACAACCTCCAGTGGGTAAAGTGCCAGGGAATCTAACAATCTAACATGCCTATCCAGTGCAGAGCAGTGCAGAGCAGTACAGACTGTCTTGGTTGCACGTGGCCAACATCGCATTCCAAGCTTTATCTTGCATCCCGGCAACCATCACGGATCCGGACAAGCTAGAAAAGGGTAAGGTGATGCACACGAAGTGCTTATCTCCCTTGGTAACCTTTCCTGCGATACTATGTAATATCCACATGACGATGTCGTGAAGGGTGGTGGAGCTGACTTGAGCACGCACATTTGCACTCACACTCTAACTCACTCACTCACTCACGCATGCATATGGAGGAGAAGAATCCATCAAGTGACCAACCAATCTATACCTACCTAGGTATGCATGTTATATTGATCCTTATATACATGGACATGGACTAAGATATGTTGGGTATGATGGAAGTTATGTTAGATACCTACTTTGTATTTAGTGTGTAAGTCACCCTCTTGCTCTTGATCAAGATTCCCTATTAGTCTTTCCCCCAGTCTTCTTAACCTGAACCTTCAAAAGACAAAAATACCAAAGAGTCTGGTACCTACACAATAATTATTGTATTAAACAAACCTTGGCTACCTAACCTACCGACCCAGGAGGGAATCCGAGCTCAGGGGATTATCGTGTTAATAACGACAAAAAAAGACAAAGGAAATCAAAATAGCAACAAAATCATAACCAAACAACAAACAGATAGATCAGATCCACAGGCCAGCAGTTGATTTGAGCAAAAGCCGTGTTTTAACGGCGAATGAGGCTGCCTCTAGACATATGTCGAGCGACTTAAAAAAACAAGACCATCAGCCAATAGCCTTTTGGCCGCGACCGTATCTGAATCATTTTGATCATTTTGATCACATCATGAGGACATGATATAGCTTTCTTTTCCATACACCTAATCCCTACCTACCTTACTTGTCTTGTTGACTCCTCCTTTTCTTTCTTTTTTCTCTTCCATAATCGTCTGTGGAACTATTAACTCCATACCTACCAACCTACCTATACTGCCTACATCCACTGAGTGTCCACCACTGCACAGGACAACACCTAGTATCTAGGTAGTATCCAAGGTTAGTAGGCATTCCCACATTTCGACCACCCGGCAGTCTGTCAGGGTCAACCCAAGTTGGGAACGGCAAATAATAATGTATAAAGGTGCGAAAACATTGTGACGAGCAAACAAATATTAGATCAGCCGTTCTCTTGAAGAAAAAAGAGAACAGAGGACAGAGAACAGAGAACAAAGAAAAAAAAACAAGAGAATTCTTTAATTTTCTTGAATTATATTTTTATTCCCTTCCAGGTTTGATTGGATCGGATTCCCCAAGCAAAAGCCGAAACAGGCTACCTAACATCTGCCTACATACCTGACTGCGCATGTGTGTGTGTGTGTCCAGTGTATGTAGCAGGTACATATGCTGTACTGTGAATTTACAGTTTGCAGCTCCATTGGCAACTTCTACTTCACTGTACCTCTTAACAATTCATGTTATCGCCCATTCAACCCCAGAAACCCGCACAGGCACCTTCCCCTTGGTAACAGGTGCCTGAGATCAAGGCAGGCACGCACGCAGGCGTCTACACAGTCAACTTGAAACTGTAGCCTTCAAAGCCTTGCCTTTGGTCTCTTTTCTACTTCCTTCTCACTCTACCCTAGGTACTTAGGCTATTGAATCAATTCAACTTTACCTACTTACCTTTATCCTCTCTCTCTTCTATACCTTTCTCTCCTCAATTACCTAACACCGAAAACATGAAGGTACCCAAGGTCAGCCTAAAGCTTCTCAAGAAGCTTTTGTTAAGAAAGGCCAACTCATCTCCCGAATCAACAACTATACCACAAGAAGAAGAGCTTTCACCCAAGAATAAGAACAAGAGCCCGCCGCCACCGCCTCTAGAAGAATGTCCCATTTGCCACGATCCTGTTGGCCTTACCAATCCCGAGGGTATTGTTGAGGCCTGGACAAGTCTACACTGTGGCCATAAGTTTGGCACGCACTGCATCCAGACATGGCTCCAGGAGTCCATCAATCGAGACCCGACCACGAGTCCCAGCTGCCCCATATGTCGCTCCACCGCCAAGCACCCCTGCGGACATCTCATCAGTCCTCCACCCTCTTTCCCCACCATACACCTAAACTGGCAATACCCGCGTGCCCCTCCTCAACCTCCTCGGCACCATCAGATACGCCGTCGGCTCACCCGTCGCCCAGGTCACCCACTACGTCCTCCACCGCAGGAGCCCGAAGTACGCCGTGCGCCGGTCGTAGGCGAATGTCGGGCATGCGTAGATAATGCTGAGTTTGATGCACGGATGCGTCGGATCGCTGAGCAGCGCACGCACCATCAACAGCGGCGCGGCACAGGAGAGTCATCAATGACCACAGGCAGCCGGTCTGCAGCCGCGGCTGTTGCTATTAAGAATATTATTCCGAGCCTTAAGCGATCTACGAATAGCCGCACCACCATCGTGCACGTTGGTGTTGAGCCTAGAAGCGACGACGAAGATAGGGGACTAGATATAGATCTGGAAGAAACGGGTAGACGTCGCGGCCGTCATCATCTCCATATTCCTCCTCATCGCCACAATCGTGGGAGCATGCTCTACGCGATGCCTAGACGTCCCACACCACCACCGGGATATAGCAGCAGACGGCTGAGCATCTAGACGGAGTGAGAGAAGAGAAGAGAAGGGCTGCGCTAATTATATATAGCGTGCGACATGGCGTTCGGTCATTGCGGACTACGAATCACGGCTTTATTTTTATGGTTTTAGAGGAGATGGATGGGTGGACGGATGGACAGACGGATAACCTAGAGCAAGGCAAAGGACAAGGACAAGGTTAACGGAATATGAGTATGGATGATATTCTCTATATAATCCGTTGCTGCGGAAGCTCCTTGGCGTATACATGAGATAGATATACTCGAGGATCACTACTGGCTAGGCTTAGCTAAACTACACGAGCGAGAGACCCCTTTGCGAATTGGCCGAGGAGTTGTTGCGTTTGTTCACGTCAGGGGGTCATTTAGCTATGGATGGGCTGTATGGAGTTACTGGTTCATGTAAGACACTGATGTAGCTAGGATACATGAGAATCTTCTCGGTTGGCGGCTACGTAGCTTAATTTTTTTTTCCTCCTGCGATCATATAATTGATTGATTTGCGGATGAATTGAATTTCGTCTAGTCATTGATGAGGGGATGCATATTTTGCTATCTTACCTATATAGCAAGGTTCATGGATGGTGGACTCAATCATCTACTCTCTCATGTTATATATATATATATATATATACATATATATGTGTGTGTGTGTGCATACCTATAACTTCTCAAATGTCCATCGTCAATAATATTGATAATATCTGCCCCTTATTACCACCTGCTCGTATCAGGAGTTATCAAGAGGACTATCTTATTGATAGCTTCAATCTGTTGCTGCATGTGATGGCGGGGTAGTTGTTATTCAGGCTTCGTAGTCTGGGTTTGCTTAATGGTATAGTGGGGTGATAAGAGGGGTGATCAGGTGGGCAGGTGCTCTAGTTCTAGCGGTTCCCCTTGAGGGATAATGCTGGATGGGGCAACAAGGGGGTCTGGTAACACCCCGCAATCAATATGTAGCCCGGGAGGTCTTCAGAAAAACCTGGGAGAGAGCAGAGCTTGAGATGGATCAACTTTAGGTCACGTTGTAATTGAGAGTTTAGCGTTTAGCCTCTAACTTATCGATTAAGCTAACCCAGACAAGAAGGCCATCTTTTTAGTGACCATCAACCTACCTAACTAATCTCCAATTCAACAATTCGTCACCAAATTTAATCCAGTTGGCGCGTTTGTTCATTGAATTCCGTGTCCCAAATTACGATGCGTCGTCGTATAACGACGCCAATATGAGGTTCAAATCCGATATTAAGAACACACGCACGTTCTCAAGTGAGCTAGCTTAGATCTTTGCATTTCATATTATCAATTTCCAATATCTAATATCTGTAGAATTGGTGGCTGCACTTTCGTCTCTCGAGAAGATCGCCTGGGTCCGCCTTGACGATGATACCGTACGCTTCACCGTGATCCCGGATACCGGGTCACAAGTATGGGCGTTCGTAACCACCTTTTATTTTCCCGGCTACTCAAGCAACCCCCTAATATTACTAAACCCTCATGTCTAATCATCCCCGAGCAGCTCGTTCTCTATGGACTTCATGTTCGATCATTATGCCTTACTGTCCGCAGAACCGAATAATACCATCAACCTCGAGCTTCCCCTCGGCCCTCTCCAGCGCGCCCTCAAATCCGCCCTGAACGGTAGTTCGGCATCGATTCGCCTGACTAAGAAAGACGGGATCCCCGTGCTGTCTATGACCATTACTACTTCCGTCGCACTGCCCAAGGAGCCTCAGGGCGTGGCTCGTTTCGGCAGCGTGAATACGAACGCGGCTCGCAACCACGATGACGATGACGGGGTCTTCGCTCACGAGCCATTGGAGACGAACCTACACCGTGAGCGGGAGAAGATCATCACACATGACATCCCCATACGCATCCTCCACCCCAGAACCGTCGAGACCATCATGCAGCCCAAAGTGCGCGAGCCCGACGTCCACATCCAGCTGCCGTCCCTGCTCCAGCTCAAAGCCATATCGGACCGCTTCACCAAGCTTGCCATCGCGTCGCGCGCCTCCACGTCTTCTTCGGCCGCCGGCGCCGGCATATCCCCCAAGCTGGAGCTGAGCGCCAATATGCACGGCGGCCTGCGCCTGCGCCTCGAAACCGACACCCTCAACGTGGAGAGCCAGTGGCACGGGCTCGAGAACCCGGACCTCGACCCCGCGCAGCTCTCGTGTTCGTTGTCGGAGCACCCCAGCACGCGCTTCAAGGAGGCTGGGCCAGAGAATTGGGCGACGGTGCGCGTCGACGGCAAGGACTGGAGCAAGGTGCTGAGCGTGGGCCGGCTCGAGGGCCGCGTCATTGCATGTTTTGCCGATGATCATGCGCTGATTATGTATGTGTACGTCCCCCAGTACGACGATACTGGGGTCGGCGAGGATTCGGTGGTCACGGTGAGTTTTTTTTCCTCTATCCTTTTCATATTTCAGGGACAGAAGCCGAAGCCGAAGCAGAAGCAAATGAGATTGAGAGAAAGACTTTTGGGGTATGCTGACTTGCGATTAGTATTACGTATCTTCGTATAGCTCGTGATTCGTGATGGAGTTGGCTTGATACAATAGACAAACAGCTATGTCATGATTAAGATTTGAGAGATGGTCGGTCTGAGATTTCTAAGATCTAAGATCCAAGATCCTAGGAAGAGTATGCCCGGGTAGGTTTTGAGAATGGTCGTCTTTACTGCCTTGTATGGACATCTTTGTGCTATGTGATTGCTGGATACCTACCCACCTACCTATCCATCTGTCTATCGACTTGGGTACCTATGTAATGAATAGAATGAGAGACGCAAGTCAGAAGTGCATGTATGCCATCTCTAAATATTGGTAACTCGCCCGTGTTTGTTTGAGTTCGGGTTCATCTTTTAATTATATGTGTTTTTTCTTTTCTTCTATAAGCCATATCCATAAGTTGGGTATCCTGTTATATTTTATATATATATACCTACACACACGCAAACCTAGGTAGGCAAATAAGTAGCTACCTAGGTATCGTACAATAAGGCAAGGCAGATAGGTATCTCATACCCATCTCCTCCTACCTACCTACATAGCAGTAAGTTATAGCTTAAGGACTAGCCAATTCCCCCTCGCCTCGCCATCCTTCAACACCCGCTCCAGCAGCCCGCGCACGGGTCCCTGCATCTCGGTCCCCGCGTGCCACCGCTTCGGGCCTGCGTACACGTCTATGAAGCCGTCGGGCCCGGAGACGCAGATCAAGTTCGCCCCTGCTACTGCTGCGCTCACGCTATTGCTATTGTTATTGCTGCCATTGTCGTTGTCGTTGTCGTTGTCGGTGGTGTTGTTGTTGTTGTTGTTAGATGTGCAAAGGCAGCTCAGCCCGCGCCGCTCCGCGTCCTTGTTGTCCGGGAGCTGCTCCAGCGCCGCCGGCGCATGCCACGCGCAGGACGGCGCGGCGGGGAGGAGTTGCCGTGGCGATGCGTCGGAGAGCGCGGCGCGCACGGCGCGGGGCCCGATGTACACGTCCTCCTCGTCGACGAAGTAGGAGACGCGGAAGTGGTTGGGGTGCTTCTGGTGCAGGTCGCAGATCAGCTGCGCGAGCGATGATTTTCCCTCCTCTTCGTTGTTATCCACCGTTACCGAGTCTTTATCGGGTGATTTTTTACTACTGCCCCATATGCTTGGCATTAACCCGCGGCTCTTCTCACTGCCACCACCACTAATGCCACTAGAAGCCTCCAACCGCTCCAGCTCCTCCCGCCCCAGCGCATCGGCGCTCCGGCGGTTCGCCCAGAGGATCGAGATCCGCGGCTTCGCTTTTTCTTCCTCCTCCTCCTCCTCTCCTCCTTGCTTTCGTGCATCTAGAAGCTTCCGCGCGATCTGCAGCGCGGGCGCGATGCCCGTGCCGCCGGCTAGGAACACGACGTTACCGCCATCGCCATCACCGTTACCGTTACCGTTACCGTTACTGCCAAGCCGCTTCTCGACGTCGAACCCGAGGTGCGGGCCGCGCAGCCACACGGGGTCGCCGACGCGCTGCTTGCTGAGGTACGTCGACACCTCGCCGCCGTCGACCTTGCGGATCAGGAAGCGGAGGACTTTGCCGTCGTCGTCGTCGTCGTCGTCGCTACTAAGACTCACAACACCATCACCACCATCGACAGGAGTAGAAGCGGAGTAGCTAAGCGGCAGCGGCGTGTAGTGCCGCGCGATCTGCAGCTGCGGCTGCTTCACCTCGACGGACCAGAGCCCGTGCTCCCACGCCTCCTTCACCACCCCCTCTCCCGCTCCCGCTCCCCCTCTTCCCAGCAACGGGGCACCGGGATCCCCCGCGCGCAGCGTTAGTACGAAAGCCGTGGGCGAGACCTGCTCTTTCGCCGCTATGATGAACGGGCGGAAGGATATCTTGTTCATGACGGCGTTTTTGTCATTGTTTTGGTTGTTGTTGTTGTCGTTGTTGTTGTTGGGGCCCGGGACGCTCTTCAACACGCCGGCGAAGATCAGGACGCCGGTTACGCCGGCGAGGTTGAAGAGGGCCCATTGCTTCCAGGTCCCGCCTCGGCCACCTTGTGGGCGGGGGTGAGGGCCGCCTGGTGGTGGTGGTGGTGGTGGGTAATTATTTACAGGTGATCTGTTTTGTAGTGAGGGAGGGGATGAGAAGAAGAGCCGGGTTTGCTGGCGTCTTCGCGACGAGAGTATGGCGGAATATTGCAGCCGAGTGGTTGTGGCTGTGGCTTGGTGTAGGCGAGCGGACGAAATGAGACGTGGAGCCGCCGCCGCCCGGCTGGCACATCTTGTTGCTAATGAGGAATTCATTGGTGCTAACTCATATTGGGGGGTTTTTTTTAAAAAAAAGGGGGGGGGGTTGGATTTAATTGTGAGATCCCTTAGTGCTGGTGATACTCATGAATCTGATGAAGAATTTGTATGAGAAATGAAAAATGAGAGAAAATTGATGTTGTTGCCAGTTGCGGAACGGCCCGTCGGTTCCACAAAATGGGTGTAAGGTTACTCGGCCACCAACTGGCAGATTTTGTAACATGCGAAAGCATTTTGTATTATATATATGTAGGTATCTTATGTACTTGCAGAGGTATTTAAGGTATCTAAGGTAGGCACTTAGCCCCTGAATAGTTATTTGATTTGTAACGTCCAAGTTTAATGAGTTGAGGCGTTGGTAATTCTGGCGATGAGCTATTATACAGTCTATCCAGCCGAGCCCCCAGTGATCTCAAAGGGTACCCATATATGCGATATCTATAATCTAATGATCTCCCCTTCCTGGTTGATCCCGCCTCGGAAATGGTCTGCAATAATGTTGCCGTTGATGATCGTCTCCTTTATCACCCCTTCCACGTGCTTCGGCTCTATCCTCCCGTACCAGATCCCGTTCCCGGCCAGAGGATGCGGGTCGCCTGCGTTAATCTTATGCTTTGGCGGTAGATAGACGATGACGTTGCCCGCAAACTTATGCCCCCCGATGTGGCTGATCTGGCCTACCCTTGCCGTGGCCGGCGCTTCTGTTTCCGCTTCTAGTCCCGCGACACCCGGAAGCTGCGGGGTGGAAATGCTCTCGTTAATCACGGGCCCCTGGAGGACGTCAATACCCGCACGGGGTAGCTGCCTCTCAAACTCTTCCTGGAGAATGGGCCCGTAGATGCCACATCTCTGGTCCCGCTGTCCGTGTCCACAAATCAGAACAAGCACGTCATCTACGTCGCGCACGCCATAGAGCGCGTTTTGGTACGTCTCATTCCTAGTCAAGCGGTCCTTATGTATGGGCGACAGGCCATCATTCATCGGATGCAGCTTCTTCGGCAGCAAATAGCCTTTGACCAGGGCTTGCGCGGAGTCAAAGGAGACGCGAGGAAGAAAGGGGATGTATTTGAAGCTAGGGACCAGGTACACGGACGTAGTCTGTATCTCGGGCTGGGTGGAGATGGCGGAGGGGAACGATGCGTTTACGATGGAGACATTGTGGAAAGGCTACATGGTCACTTACCGTTAGCCAACATGGACCGTACACAATAGGCAATTACACGATATCCGGGGATCGCATATAGGATCGGCGAACTGGTCCTTCCTAGAAGGACAAAACAACAGAACTCACATCGCTAAACATGCCTCCTCGACCGAGAAGCTCCTTAAGATCGGCGGCTAAGTTGTCGCCGCTGTTATCCTCCTCTATGCGCGACGCCCAGTCGGTTTTACCAGTGCAGATTAGGACCTGCTGGGCATAGGCCGCTATGAGGCCATTCAGATTAGCCTTTTGATCAATGCTAGACCCGAGCGGCATGGAAGGTGTGTCGGCACAGTTGCAAGTTGGTTCCGGGCATTTCGGAACAGTATTCAGACCCCGGCGCGCCGTTAACGTGGTGGGAGGTGAGATTGATAGGTTATATCTTGTCTGGTATCTTGTCTGGAAGGCGGCGCGCGACCACTGCGCTCCTCGGACTAACGGTCGCAAAGACATTGCAATGGTATAACAGGATCACGACCTGTGGGAGAAGGAGTGGTTTGAGTAAAAGCCATGTCAGCTCAGAGCTTTACAGGATTTCTCGCTATGGCTATTCATGGGGTGCGGTCGTTCAGTGCGATTCTCGTCCGTCTGGTTTTCCCGCTTTCTCGGTTGTAAGCTACACATGTATGTACCTAACCTAGTACCTAACCTAGGCATCTAGGGATTTCTAACCTCCGAGCCTCGTAACTCCGATAGAATGCATTAATTCCGCATTCTTACCTGGTCAGTGCTTTGATCTAATGCACCAGTACGATAAAAAAGGGGGAATCCTAAAAAGGGGTATTTATTTCAACTCCAACCACCCTAAGGTTAGGTAGTGACTGAATATCTGCATACCAGCCTAGAGGTTCATATCATCATGGAAACACTGAATCTAGCTAATGAAGCCCAAGTTCCTGTAATACTGAAATCCAGCTCTGATCGTACCTATTTCTCAAGACTATCTGGCTATGTAAGGGCCTGTATTTCTCACAAAGATGTATGATATCATTATAAGCTCTACAGCCGATCACTACCTACCTAGGTAGTTAGGAAGCACAAACCTGAGTTGCTCATGAATGCTCTATGATAAATTATCTTGACGCTATTAGATACACTATAATCGTATACTACCTAGGCACGTACTCTACATATTTCAAAATGGGGCAGGCAACTTCATCTAATAGTGAATCTGCACTTGGCCCTGACCTTCAAACTGCATGTGAACCTGAAAACCGGATCGAGCCCGTCGTTAAGATCGACACAGCCAGTATGTGTACCCATGCTTATAAATTCGGCTCAATGGTACTCACCTGGGCTTGGAACAGAAAAGTTACAAAGCCAGTTGAGCTACGAGTTTCGCTGGGAGCAATATTACCGGACAGCACTTAGAAATGCTTTGAACTTCGGCCTTGACACCGCGTATGGCAAGTCTGAAGGCCAAATATCCTGGGGAGAGCATGACCTTGTCGACTTTCTCAGCTTTGCCGTTCCGGTCAAATTGAAGGCAGACCTCGACGTTGCAGGTCCGCTTCTGCTAAAGGCGATGATGCGTCTAGGCCAGTTTCCGTTCCATAACGGACAAACTCCTTCGACACTAGGAGCAGGTGAGTGACTTGGCAATTCTTTGAGCTGGTTTGTAAATATCAGTCCTTCCAGTTTAGGCGACCATTCTAGGTATTAGAGATTATGAGCAAATCTCATTAACATGATATAGATGAGTTCTTCGTCGCGTGCTTCTTTCTGCAACGGCGTTACGAGGAATACTCCCAAGTGTATGCTGACGAATGGGACAACAAAACGTCGCAAAAAATCCTTGATAGATGGTTCCATCGCCTCCTATTCCAGGTCATGTCTAACAAGCCCGACTTCGGTCCATGGCATGAACTCCAGGGAGAGGACAAACACTTGGCTAGAAATCCGGCAGACGATGAAGATCTCATCATGGCCCGCACATTTGTCGAAGAAAGAAATTATGCACGCGACATGAAGAGGCCCACGGTTCGAATTCAGCTGCCGCCTGTGATTGAAATATCGGAACTTCCATCATCGAGGTCGCGCGACCTTACCGGGACGGTTCCGAAGGAGGAGTTCCGGGCACTTATTCGTGTACTCTGGGGGATTCACAATTATACTTCGACCGACATTTGGGTCGACGTCGTTGATCAACTCATCGAGACACATGGTACCGATTGGCACGGATTTGAGGCAATGCTTATAGAGTTAGAGGTAGGAAACTTCTAACCCTTCTGATAGGCAATGTACTCAGGTAAGCTAACAAGCAACAGCCGCGGTTTTCTTCGGAAATTAGTTCTTTACTCAATGAATTATACCGGGATCGAGATAGGGAGATGACACCATACTTAGAGGAGAACCAGGACGTGTACTAGATACCACTGTATCCATAGCGAGAGGCCTCGCACCGCCAATAACGTATACTCCAGAGTAAAAATATGTTTCCTTTGGTCATCGAAGGATATCAAACCAGGCAGAAAGTACTAAGTAAGAATCTTCCAGTGACCAACAGCGTGGGGGTTTGAGACGAGACTGTAGAACCATAATGGTAAGGTGTTAGATCAGTTGAAAATTGGCCTGTCCGTGTAATAGGGATTTTACTTGTGGCTGTATAATTTAGAAGTACACTTCTCGCTTTCTTGTCATTGTGGGCCAAATCTGCTCTAGAGACCACCTGCTATACGGTTAAGATACACAAGCATGTTTAGTGGTAACACTTCCTAGTCATGGGCCCATGGTTACTGGAAATCACTACATTTGTCAAGCTTCCTTTGTCACTTGGACGCGTACTCCACGTGTATGAACGCCCCTTTTACCAAAATTGAAGGAGATAGCTAGACCTACTGCTTTTCATGACGGCCATGTTCGTGATATGTACTTGGTTACATAGGATACCTCTTGTTAGTACCTTCTGTGGGAGTAACTCCCCACCATTAGGGAGCTCTTACCCCCTAAAGCCTTAGAACCACAACATCGACGATAGGGGCATCCTTCGTACCACGACCATGAGGCTCTTTTCGACTTGAAAACTACTGTGTGTATAAGCACATTGACACTCTCTAATTTTGTTTTATTGGTAAACAATGTCTCCCCGAGGATGCTGAGCCCTGCCCTTCTACTAGACATTTCCTCCATCCCACACATTCAATTTCATTTCATCTTCCGGAAACACCCTCCTCCAACCCTTCATCTTAACCGCCCACCCATCTACACTTCCCTTCCTCTTTCTCGTTCTCACAAGACTACCAGTCAATTTCTATCTTGTGTAGAACCAGATAATTACTTCTGAATAACTCATTGAACCACCTCAACCCATCACAATTGAGACACGCCGACACGGCCGCGATTACACGATGCCTCGTCGAAACTTGAACCGAGGGGAGGATGCAATCGCGTCGATGGCATTCTTGGTACCTTGGATGTTGTGTACTGGCTTCGCCAATGCCATGGTCCTTGTACTCGTCAACGTTTGTCAGATAATGAACATCTTGCCATCTGTTGAAATTCCTCACGCCACCAGTGCCACCGGCGAGCTCATCCAGGCCACGAACGAGCCTGTCCCTCAGTACTACGGCACGGCTGTTATTTTCTCCATTGTCATCATCTGCCGTTGCAGTAAGTACCTCTATACAGTTAATTTCGTGGGTTTCTGTCTTGTTATAGTTGTTGTTGTTGTTGATGGTTGCTACTAAGTATACCTACACACACCTACATCCTCATTTCATTTCCTTCTCATATCTTCCATTTATGTTTTTGATGGCCGACGACACATAATTCCTTCTTCTTCTTCTTCTTCTTCTTCTGCTTTTTAGAAAAAGGAAGGAAAAAGGACTGAACTCCCGGCTCCCCATACCCTAATCAGATCAATGCTATATTGCAAACAGACAGACTACTAACAAGAAAACGAAACACAGTGATCATGGGACCTCCCAAGTTCTTCATCAGCCTCACCATGCGAGACCTCCGCGTCCGCCGCCGTTTTGGGGAGGACCACTTCGCCATCGAACTCGCCTCGACCGCCTGCATGGTCATTATGAACTTGCAGATCATCATCGGCCAGATGTGGCTGCAGCGCGCGCTCTACACGCAGCAGCTGCTGGAGCTGGCGAATTCGCCCCCTGAAGTAGCCCCAGTCATCCGTCTCTTCTGGTTGGTGGGCTGTTATTTCTTGTGTTGGACGATTCTGTCAAACTATTTGTTGTACCTCGCCTGCTATTTCGAGTTCAGCCGGACTGTCATCCGACGATATCCTAGTACCCCGGTCCGCACGACTCTATGCGTTATGCTACTTGTCTTGCTTATTGGCTTTCATTTCTGGTAGACGGGATAGGATGGAAAAAGGACAGTTAAACTCTCCTTTTTACGACCATGACTGACTACGAAGACGATTACATGCCTACGGCCCAGAGTCTTCTCTTCGGTCAATAACTATCTGGCACAACTGTTTTCGAGAAATCAGTCCCCACGAAAAAGAGACCAACTCTTACCACCTACGACAAATGTTGAGACGGATCGAGTCTCCATACGACAACGAGTTGATCCCAAGGGATATTCTCTACATTTTCTTTTCCGTTTTTCTTTTCTTTCAAGGTGTTATGGATATGGGGTTGAACGAAGTACCTAATGAGTTGCCACTATGGACGATCCATAATAATCGCGACTCTTGCAGACGTGAAAGATTGAAAGTATGTGGCAGATTGGAACGATTGGAACGATAGGGGGAGGCTGTTAGGCCTGCCAATGGAGTAAAAGTTTGAAAAGGAGAAAATCGAAAAAAAAAAAAACCACCCATCAAATTGAACGAAACAAATTGTATTCTTAGGTGTTAGGCGTGTTACCTAGGTATTAGGTGCTTGAACATGCTATTCCTGTTACTCGGTAGTGTACCATAGGTAGTGACGAAGTGCTCTGCACTCTACTTCTGGTAAATCAATCTCGAGATCCTTATTGAGGAACTAAACGTTACATGCAAACCGTGATCTTATATAATGCTCTCGACCAACCAAAACCCATCTGCTCAAGCATCCATACGAATATGTCAGGTGGTTTTGGTTTGACCTGCTAGAAACGTAACCTACCTATCATAATGCAATATGTCGATACTTGATCGACAGCTATAGATCTAGATCGCCGATCTTGCTTTCAAGCTCATCATTTATTAAGGCACATGAGCCCCTAGGTAAACTGTAGCAAGAGTATACAATTTAACTGTGTTGTAGGTAGATAACGTCTTCAACCAACCTAACCTATAGAACTTTCATATTCCCAGCTAGAAATATGAGCAATGCTGTTTCCAAGCTTAATAACAACCACCACCACTACCGCGGTAGTAGCTCTAGGTGCTCTGCAGACTACCCTCCCAGTAGTAACGAAACCAACAGGGACAGCAGGGTGTGGCAAAACGCACCTACTCCCAGGCACAACGCAATACCACGACCTGACGAGCAGCGGGCGGGGGCGGAAATACTCGTTCCATTTACCGGGGAACTACAGCGAAACGACGCCGTACCCAGTACATAGTCCTAGGCTTCCACGGTTCCAGTAGCATCGGGCTCTCTTTTCGAGGCGGACACGAGGTTGAGTTCTGAGCAGTTCAGTGCAAATGTACCTAGGTCCCTAACTACCACCTAAAAGACCAACCGAGTTTTGGAAACCCCCTCCACCTGAGCAGAACCACGTACTAAACCCCCGCCAGAAAATAATGGTGTATCCCGACGGCGTGGGGGGGGTAAATTCTACTCTACCTACCTACCTACCTACCCTGATCCACACCACCCAAAGCCCAACTGACATCTCTTTCCATCTCCACCGAACCAGGGTGCCTGGGCCGGCGCGAACTACTCCGAGGTCTCCGTCGACGAAGCCCTGCAATTCGTATCTGACCTTCCTCTCCACGCTGCGCGCCGAGTACTGCGTAGACGACCGCCGGGTCTACGCCACGGGGTAAGTCTTACCTACCCATCACCTACAATAACCAATGGCTGCACATCATCTCCATCGGCGGTGGCTTCATCAACACCCTCACCTGCAACAGCACACCATCCCGCCACCCACTCCCCCTCCTCTCGATCCATGGCGGCGCCAACACTAGCGTGCGGTACACCGGTGGCTCGGGCGAAGGCGGCGTGGAGCCGGATATCGCGACGTGGATGGGGTGGTGGGCGGCGCAGAATGGGTGTGCTGATGGTCGGAAGAGGGTCGATAGTGTACATAAATGCTTTTAGTAATACCGAGTGTAATATTTAAGGAGGTTCTTCTATCGATACTAGGTACCTAAGTAGTTATAGAAGAGCGAATTCTGTCGGCAGAGCTGGTCCGAGATATGAAGCGTGAATTACCTAGATCAAACGACACGGCGAATAAACACAGCCCTCCCATTCCCACTCCCTCTCACAGGAACGTCCACGCCATCGATCTCCACGACCTCAGCCTCATCCTCGCCCGGCCGCATATCAGGCCAATCTCTCCACACTTCAACATCGTGCGCAACACTATCGCTGCACCACTCACTCGCCATCCGCGCAACGCGAAGACCCTGCGCCAAATCCCCGACCTCAAAGACCATAAACCTCGGGCTCAGCTCCTTTGCAATATCCAAGAGCCTGGCATAGAACACGTCCTCTGGTCTCCCATCCTTTGTAGACGAAGAAGAAAACATCACCGGGGAAGGCACCAGCGCAAGCTTCGGCTCGAAGTTGCGCACCGAGCGCGCGGTGTCGTGGCTGAACCCCCTGGCGGATATATACGGCGGGTTCGAGACGAGGACATCTACTGTTCCCATTTCCTCAGCCACGGACGGAAGGAAACCCACAGAAAAGATATCTGCGTGTTCAAAGCAGACTTTGTGACCGGGGTTCCAACCTAGCTCATGGCGTCCAACATTGCGCGCGAGATTTTCCCTCGCGAGCCCCACGGCCCGGGGATTCACATCGTAGCCGCGCGTGACCATTCCAGGGAACCGGCGGCGCAGGAGCGAGTCCAGCAGCAGCGCGATGCAGCCCGAGCCCGTACACAGATCCAGGATCCCCAGCCCCTCGCTATTATCGTTTTCCACTCCACGTTCCCCATCCCCCCCCAGCGCGACCCCAGCACGCACAACACCCGCCAGATGCGCAACCCACGCCTCAGTCTCCGGTCTCGGGATCAGGACACCGCGGCGGCACCTGATCTCCAGGTCGCCGAACGGCTGCGAGCCGAGCACGTACTGCAGCGGCGTGCCACGGCCTCGTTGGCGACAGAGTCTACTCAGCAGGCTTGAATTTCCCTGCAAGTGTAAGGCGTTGAGCGAGCCATGGTTGCTGCTGCTGCTGCTGCTGCTGCGGAGCCGCGACTGCGACAGCAGCTCCGAGACATGCTCACGGAGCCATCGCAGCTCGTTCCGCGCGGAGCCTAGGTCGCGGCAGGCGGGGAGCAGGGCCGCGAGGTATGGCGAGATGTGGTGCGCGCGCCGGATCAGGGAGGGTGGGAGGCGCGGCATTCGCCTGTGGGCTAGAACCGGGAGAGGAGGGTGCTTAGGGGAACCCAACCATTTGTTTTTGGTGCGTGGGTGGTGCGTGATGTTTAAGTTTGGAGTTGAAAATTGAAGTTGAGATGAGAATTATTCATCTAAAAAATGGTTGTACATAGTAAATGCATGGCCCCGCTAAATATAGGCAGAACTAAGCTCGTTCATTGGCTAGTATCGATTTTAGGAGCCCCTTTATTGATAGCTCCGGGGTAGGTACCTACCCGCCTAGTATATTACTTCGCAATCACACATGATGGGGATTTTTATTATTTTTGTTATTCAAGGACATATACCTATCCTAGTTGGAAGCATCGAGTCGGGTATCTCAGGTAGGCACCTAATATATATACATATAGGTACAATATACACCCTCCCCCTTCATTTACTCCTTTTCTTTCGGAACTACGTAAGAAACGACGGTGCCCCCTTTTGCAGGGAAGAACTTGATCGCCTTACGAATATCAGCATCACCCGTTAACTTGGACAGCGCCTCATCGGATTTGAGAATCTCCTCCGTGATCCATTGCTGGAATTCGTCGCCGCTATCCGCGATATCGGCTGGCCTGGTCGGTATTTCCACCACGCACCGCACTTTTCCGTTCACCCGTACCACGCAGCTTGTCTGGCTTCGTCCCAAGTACTGCAGCGAACCATCCGGGACGGGCCACGTACTTTTACCTTGGACGAATATGCTAACCTCGGTAGGCTTGAGAATGCTCCAGCACTCCTCAGCTAATGTTGGCGCGATAGGCGCAATCATCCGTATGAGATGAACTGTGGTTTCGTACTTGATCAAATCCGAAGCCGCCCCGTTTTCGACAAGTACATTCGTGAGCCCCATTAAAGTAGAGACGGTGGTATTCAGGGTATACACTTTTTCTAGTGCCTGGGTGACGGAGACGATGGTGTTTTGTGTCGCACGCCACACCTCCACGTCTGCATCCCATTGTGCAGATCCTTTTCCGTTGGCAGGCATGCTAAAGTATGCTTCCCCATCAAACTCAGTTCCTGGTATGTTATCTGGCTTTCGCACACTTTGCACAAAAGTGTATACTCGGCGTAACCAGCGCGTAACGCCATAGATTTTATCCTCATCCCAGTTCAACACCTCACTAACAGGTGCTTGGAAGAGGATATGGGCTCTCGTAGCATCTGACCCATACTTGGCAATGAAAGTAGTGGGGTCTACACCGTTGTGTTTAGATTTTGACATCTTCTCAAATGTGACCGATGCGGTCTTTCCCGATGCCACCACTTTAGGTTCGGATGGATTCGACAAATCTACTTCGTCTGGTTTCAGGAATTGACCACTGTCAGGATCCTTGTATGTCTTTCCGTGCACCATACCCTGCGTAACAAGTCGTTTAAAAGGCTCTCCCGAGAAGTCTTGCGGTGACTCTAGAAGTTTCCCCTCTTCGGTTTCAGACCCAATTTCGGGGTAGAGAATGCCCATTACAGCCTTGTACACAAACCGAGCATATAGGAGGTGTAGTATGGCATGTTCGACTCCGCCAACATAGATGTCGACTGGGAGGTAGCTTTTGGCAGCGGCCTTGGAGATTGGCGCTTCCGAGTTATTGGGATCCGGGAATCGCATGTAATACCAGCTAGAATCGACAAAGGTGTCCATTGTGTCGGTGTCTCTTTTAGCAGCACCGTGACACTTTGGACATGTGGTGTTGACCCAATCAGTAGCGGATTCAAGCGGATTGCCTGTCCGGCCATTTGCCCAATGGGTATCTACTTTGGGGAGGGTGACGGGAAGCTGATCTTCCGGAACGGGCTGTGGCCCGCACGTCTGGCAATGGATGATGGGAATAGGGGTACCCCAATATCGTTGCCTACTAATCAACCAATCTCTAATTCTCCACTTGGTGCTACTTTCCACGAGGTTCGAAGCCGTCTTTAGTTGGAAAATGATACCCTTCGCTGCAGTGCTGGAGGCCATTCCATAGTAAAAGCCGGCAATGGGTGTCATCAAACCTGGCTCTAAATAAGGCTCGTCTTTGAGAGAAGAGGTGAGTCCATCCGGCTGAGGTGATACGGCGAACTTGAGAGGTTCCTCGGGAAGATGCCTCTTCCAAAATGCAAAGTCCCTTGTATCGTGGGCTGGCACTCCCATAATCGCCCCAGTCTCGTAGTCTCCCCTAACGTAAGGGGCGACATACACAGGAAGAGGCTGGGAATTTGGTTGCTGAATGCTCTCTAGAAATGTCAACGGATTCATCGCTTTCAAGTGTGGTATTAGATAGCCTTCTGTCGTATCAGGAGGGAGATCCTCTACCCGTTCCACAAAGGCACGTAGATCCGGATCATCTCGCGCCAGTTGCTGGACCATAGGCGACTGCGGCGATAATGCGATGAACTGAGCTGCAAATATAGTTTCGGGTCTCGTGGTATATATCCTCAACTTATGCAGTTCCGCCGTTTTTGACTCCATGTACGCAGGGAATATATAATAGGCACCATCAGTCCGGCCAAGCCAATTCTTCTGCAGGGCTAACACTCGTTCGGGCCAGGCATCTCCCTCGCCCAGCTTCTTAAGATCTCTCAACAAGGTTTCCTTGAATTGAGTGATGTGAAAGAACCATTGCTCAAGTTCGCGTTGCTCAATCATTGCTCCTGATCTCCACGATCGACCTTCGGAATCGACCTGTTCGTTGGCCAAGACCGTGTTGTCGACAGGATCCCAGTTTACAGTCGCCTTTTTCTGGCTTACGAACCCGTGCTTATGCAGTAAGAGGAATATTCTTTGGGTCTGTTTGTAGAAGTCTGGGTCACATGTTGCGAATTCCTACGTAGCAATTAACACAATACTCTTTTATCTTGATTACAGTATTATGTGAACGAACCCGCGACCAATCGAAGCTTGCATTCATAGATTTAAGCTGCTCTTTCATGTGGGTGATGTTATCTCTTGTCCAAACGGCCGGATCAATGCCATGCTCTATTGCTGCATTCTCAGCAGGCAATCCAAACGCATCCCAGCCCATTGGCAGCAGAACATCGTAGCCTTGTAGCCTGCGGAAGCGAGCTATTACATCGGCTATAGTATATACCCGGAGATGACCGAGGTGCAAGTTTCCTGACGGGTAAGGAAACATGGAAAGAATATACATGCGCTCGTCGGTAGATTGAGAGCTGACAGACTTGGGAGTAGAATGAGAACTAGTACCTTGGGGAGGCAGCTCTCTCTGTTCCCGAATCTGTTGCCATTTTCGGTCTAAAGCAGGTAGGTCGAGCCGTGCAGTAGCATAAAGTCGCTGGGGAATGGAAGTTCGTGGACTCGTGGTAGACCAAATGCTTGCAAACTTCCAATGCGGTCTCGATTGACCTACGATTTTCCTTGCGACAGAATACATTAGATGGCTCGCATGATTGATTACCTTCCACAAAGGAATAAGCTAGTCAATAACACCAAAACTGCAAGCTGTGGAAGCTTAGCAGGTAAGCTCTGTCAGGTAACTCCAGGGAAATTCAATAGCCTTAGAATTATGTAGGAACTTGTAAAAGAAACTTTCAAGAAACCTTGAAATTTGTAGACATGAAAAAGTGTGAAGACGTTCAATTACATAAGTTTAGCACTATCAAAATGATGCAAATGTAACTAACCTAACCTTAGTTACTTATCTTATCAACTCAGCTGTGACCCCAGTCCAAATATTAGCCACACAGCCACAGTTGTCCTGACTACTAGTTACTAGTAGTATGTACTTAACCCCTTTTCATTTAATTCATGTTCGATACCCCTTTCTTTCTTTCATATTCACAAAGCACAAAATATCAAAATAGTTCTTGTACGCTTAGAAACGTATTATCTTTTTATCATCTACCGGGCAAAAAACATGGGTCAGTAGGTAAGAAAGGGTTGTAGCTAAGTACTTAGTATCTTCTGATGGCGGGGAAATGCTGAGCACGATTTGCCATTGCGTCCCAGAGGTCGTCAAATTCCAAAATTCCATCGCGAACCATTTGTCTTACTCGCCTCAGCCGACAAATTCTTGGTTGATACTCTGATAAATCTCTACTTAAGTCAGTAGGTACCTAGTAAGGGTTTGTGTACCTAGTGATGTCGCTACCTCTTAAGAATTCAGGATATTGCCTTTCATTGTGATAGCATAGGGGCTATCCCCGATGGCGAATCTAGTATTAAGGCTTGCTTAGTTCAGAATGCCTTCAACTTTCATCTCTTTAGCTGCTAGGTGCTATTGAGCTGGCAAGCAGACACCTATTAGGTACTGATAAAATGTAAGGTAACTACTAGCTCCTAGAGCTTTGGTAGTTGCTTACTATCCTGGCATCGCTAGACGTCATTGGATCGGCGTAGTAGGCTGCCCGAGGTAGGTATGGAAAAGTCCCTCAAAATGCCCTCCATGCCTACCTAGGTATAGATTATAGTATTCTAAGATTTTCTATGTATAAGTCAAAAGGTTTGCATATGTACAAGTTTGGCACTGCTCCAGCTACTCGTCAATGCCAGTTAATAATAAGATGACTCTTGGAACACACACGAGGTTCTTACTTACGTGGCACATCTACTCTTGAGATAAAAAAGAAGTTCATGATTACCTAAATAAGTAGGGATATTCATACCGCAATGGAACTTTCCGTAGGTGAGGTGCTTCGATAGAGGCACGGTGTCGCATCCTGTCTATAGTGACCGCTTTCGTCCATTCGATCATTGTACGAGGAGCAATCGAGTGTAACAATTCTTGCACTGGACGTCGCATCATTGATGAGCACTAGAGATTCAGCGGCATATACAGGTACTTTTGATGCACGGGTCGCGTAATATATCATCTCTCATTGGTCAGCATCAGGCAAAACTTAGCCCATTGGACGCTTTGCAGATGCTGACGGAATATAAATAATGTTGCTAGGTTGGATGGCTTAAGCAGTGTGCATTCACTCTACCATCATTAGAGGAAATTTACCTGCTTCACTATGATTTTGCAGTTTCCTTCCTCAGTAGCGACGCTGATCGTCGCCGGCGTCCTATTGGGTCTATATCTAGCGTATCGCGCCGTACTTCCGAAGCCAATCCCGGGAATCCCATACAACAAGAATGCCGCGTCTAAAATTTTCGGCGATGCTCCCGAGATGATGGACTATGTCAAGCGCACTGGGCGCGTTTTTGTAGGTTTCCCTAGGATGAGGTAGTGATGCCTGGGGGAGATTGTCAACTAATGGAAATCAAATTAGTGTTGGCTTACCTCGATGACAGTTAGACATCGAAGTCCTATTATTCAGGCCTTCATCAAACCTATGTCCCGCCCGTGGGTAGTAGTAACAGACCCCTTTGAAAGTCAGGATATACTCCTACGTCGCACAAAGGAGTTTGACCGGAGCAACATGTTTGGTGATCTTATTAATGGCATCCTCCCAGAACAACATATTCAATTTCTGTCAACCGACGCCCGTTTCAAGGATAATCGAAACCTCATTAACCATCTGATGGCACCTACTTTTGTAAACCAAATCAGTGCTCCTGAAGTGTACAAATCCGTGTGCACCCTCATAAAGGTATGGCAGGTCAAGTGCGACGTAGCCCAAGGACGTCCATTTTCGGCAGATCACGACATTGTATATGGGGCACTGGATTCAATCTTTGCGTCCTCATTCGGACTCTCTGAAGATGATAGCATCACACTTCCGCGACTCGATGCCATATCCAGCTGGACTCCAGAGATTCCAGACGACATTGATACGCCAGTCCCGTTCCCAGACGGTGTGATTCCTAGGATATTCCAGGCTGTCGGAACTCTCGCAGATTTAGTCACAAGTACTCAATCATCGCCAGTACCGCGTCTGACATCTTGGGTACTCCGCCAATTTCCCTACATGAAGAAAGCTGCAGTTATCAAAGACCAGTTCATCAGGGACAAGGTTGACGAGTCGCTTCGGCTTATGAAGAGCGGCGATGACCGCCCCCGGAGCGCCATTCACTCTGTATTGCTCCGGGAGCGAGAAGTGGCAGCGAAGCACGGCAGGCCACCCGCGTACCACGGGCGCGCTATCGCTGACGAATTCTTCGGTTTCATGATGGCTGGAAACGACACAACAGCGACGACAGTCTCTTGGGGCGTCAAGTTCTTGACTAACAATCAAGCTGTGCAAGACAGGCTACGCGCCAAGCTACATGCGGCGATCCCGCAGGCTGCGCAGGAAAAGCGCGCGCCGACGTACCAGGAGCTTATCAAAGCGCATGTACCATACCTGGACGCCGTCGTCGAAGAGGTGCTGCGCCACGCTAACACCATCGCTTTCGTGGCACGTGTTGCTGTGCAGGACACGATGGTCCTGGGATATCGCATCCCTAAGGGTACAGATGTATTTTTCATGGCCAATGGTGCGGGTTATCTAGAACCCAACATGGCTGTAGATGAAGCGGTGCGGAGTCCGGGGGCGCGGCATTACGGGGGTGACGGTAAGGTTCTGACGGGGGCCTGGGATGACGGCGACGTTGCTGAGTTCAAGCCGGAGCGATGGCTAGTCCTCGACCCAGAAACGGGTACGGAGGTGTTTGATCCCTTAGCCGGGCCGACGTTAGCCTTCGGATTGGGTCCACGTGGTTGCTTTGGTCGCAAGCTAGCGGTTCAGGCTCTTCGTATTCAATTTGCCATGACCATCTGGTACTTTCATTTACTAGAGATCCCCCCAGAGCTAAACGGGTATGGAGCTGTGCAAAAATTTGCGAGAGAGCCGACGCAGTGCTATCTTCGTCTCAGGTCTGCCATGGAAGAGTCATGATTTGCGGGATGTCATGAAGTATATACTAAGAACTGCGTGCGGCTGTGAGGGTGAGGATAACTGGTGTGGCGTTTGTACAATTCCAAGTTGGTTCAAGTTGAGCTACAATACTAGGTACGACGGTGTTAGACATGATAGAGCCTGGCTGTAGGGATGGTGTATATAACCTACCTGACCTTGTATATAATGATCTAATTAATATACACTCACCGCAGAATAAAACAAATCGTGCCGTGATACCGTAATACCGTAGTTGCACGGGTGAATGGTTGAGGGTAGCATCGGTATTTGCTGTCGAATAAAATGAAGAAGATGAAGTAAGTGGGTAAGGTGAACTCTTCTTGGCGCCAATTAACCACGGTACTTGGGATAATAGATTTACGCATGGGCCATTCTTTTAACTTGTTATAGAGATTTAAACTTAAACCTAGTAAGGGGAAAGGGCGATGTGGGGAACTGTCCAAAGTTAATGGGAAGGATCAAAAAACAAGCTTCGCGCTTCACTAATTTATCGCATTGATTCATTTGTTCCATACTACTTTAGCACCGTTTTCACTCTTTCTCCTTACACAATTCTACCCGTCACACGCATTGTCGCGGTTCAGCCTTTTTTCCTCATACCACTAGGTACTCATTGTTTGGATAATCTTTCTAGTACCGCAACACAATTACAATTCAATTACACAATTGTCTTAACACAGTAGACGTTTGTGTAAGTATTCTTCTTGGCTACCTAGTAGCTAGTACCGTACCTACTTGAGCGTCCGACAGGTCTGACATCACCAGCTCCCGAGGCGCCACCAACTTCCTTTGCGTCGTCTTTCGCGCCATCTTAATAGTCGACATGCTTCTCCCCCGAACAAACCATAAAGAACCTAGACAATAGCCGAGGCTATCATCTTATACTATTTTCGATAACTAACCTTACCTACCTGCGATGCCCGCGCAATACTCGTCCGCCCTCCACCCTGGCGCTCGAGATTCTCTCGAACTTGCCTCCTTAGCTTCTTCAAGTCACGGCCCCGACACCTACTCAGATACAGACTCGAGACCATCCATATCCTCTTCGCGTAGACTTTCGCTAGAACAAGATGATCCATTAGATCACAACAACCCTTTGGCCAGGTCCGGACCTGGTCATGGCAGGACATACTCTGTCACTTCTAATTTCGACTATGCTGCGAACCTTTTCCCCCTCTCTTCATCTAACGCCCCCGGATATGCTCCCTTAGGCGCATCAACAGCAGCCGCGCAACGGCACGGTGGGTTGGGGGGGCCTTCGTTAGAAAAACACAAGACTTTAACGTACTTGAATGGGCTAGGTCTAATCGTTGGGCTAATAATTGGTTCCGGTATATTCTCAACTCCGAGTCAAGTCAATGTCAACGTTGGCTCGCCAGGTGCCTCATTAATTGTATGGGCAATATCGGGTGTACTCGCCTGGACAGGCGCGGCAAGCTATGCGGAACTTGGCGGTGCCATTCCTCTGAATGGAGGAGCGCAGGCTTACCTATCCAAGATCATGGGCGAGCTAGCCGGTTTTCTATTTACGTGGGTGGCTGTCCTTGTACTAAAGCCAGGTGGTGCTGCTATTATTGCCATCATTATGGGCGAGTACCTCGTACGCGCCTTCATCGGAGCCGAAGCTGAGACAGTAGACCCGTGGATCAACAAGTGCGTGGGTCTTGTCGGACTGTTCCTCGTAACCTTTTTGAATTGCGTGTCTACAAAGCTGGGGACTCGCGTAAACGACTTGCTTATGTTCTTGAAATTCATCGCCTTGATAGGCGTTACTATATGTGGGATTGTGGTAGCCCTTACCGGGTTTTCTACTTCTGGCAGTGCCAACACGGACTGGAAAACCCACTCTTGGTTTGAAGGCACGAGTTCAGATGGAAGTCATTGGGCTGTTGCCTTATACGCGGGACTCTGGGCTTATGATGGTTGGGATAATGTAAGTTGCCAGCTTATGAAGATGCTGCAAAATTGCCAAAGCCCCTTTAATACTAACGAGTAACAAACAGACCAACTATGTAGTAGGCGAGTTTCGAAATCCGTCAAGAGATCTTCCGCGTGTAATACATACGGCCATGCCTCTGGTGATTATTTGCTACCTTCTCGCCAATTTCTCATACTTCCTCGTTCTACCACAGGATATTCTCAATTCCACCAATACGGTTGCCGTTATGTTCGGCAATAAAGTATTCGGCCCCATTGGCGCGCTTATCTTTGCGCTCATTGTTAGTGCCTCATGTTTTGGCGCTCTCAATTCATCCACCTTCACAAGCAGTCGACTTGTGTACGCTGCTGCCAAGGAGGGCTATGTCCCAACCATTATCAGCCGCGTCGGTATTGGCTCTCGCGAGCCTGGCATGACGAGTATGAGATCGAGGAACTGGTTTTCCAAGCGATTGCATAGCATAATCGGCGACGAAGACACAGGGCTCTTCTTCACGCCGATAAACGCCTTAGTATTGAACGGTGTCTTAACTGCTACATACGTCATCGTCGGCGAGTTTGGGGAACTCATCACATTCTATGGTGTTGCAGGGTACTCCTTTTATTTCCTCACTGTTCTAGGGCTCATTATCCTACGAGTCAAGGAACCGCATCTCGAAAGGCCTTATAAGACCTGGATTACGACACCGATTATATTTTGCTGCGTGAGCTTGTTCCTACTTAGTCGAGCAGTATTCGCCCAGCCATTGAAGACCCTTATTGTCGTCACATTTGTTCTATCGGGAATACCGATATTCTTTTGGAGGATACAAGGTCGCGATCAGGTCTCCAAGCGGGAGATCAGCTCTGGTAATTCGGCGCCAGCCTGGAAGTTCTGGAAACGATGGCGAAGCTGAAAATTACGATCAAACCAATGACTCCATGTTTGGGATGGCGTTTTCGATAACATTTTCAGCAATTGGACATAGTAACAAAGCATTGCGAGTGAGCATAAGGTCAATGGGAGTAAAAAGGGGAGTCATACAGAAGATGCATCTCGCTGTTGATAGCATTGGTGACTAACCCGGGTAGCATACAGGGCATACAAATATGCCTTTCAGTATAATACAAATGAAGAGCTAAGTAGCAGACTATCGCGCAAGCGTGTACACTGAATGAATATAACAAGTTACAAAGCGTCTAGGTGCCCTGCTTCCTAAACTCATTAACTAGGTGCTAGCATGTGATACTTGTAAGGAGAAGCAACATGATGTATGTAATATTCCAAGTTTTCGCTGGTACCTATGTACGGGCTACTAGGTAAATATTAAACGGTGTATTTGTGATTTTATCCATCCTATTTAGCTGATGACTCATGTGTGGCTCGGAAATCAAGATGGTTGAGAATTTAAAGAGGCTATGTTGTATGAAAGTGTTTAGACTCGTTGTCTCATTCATACTGAATAATCCTGCCTGTCATCTATGTAGTAAAATCCCAGTGCTAATGTGTTATATATTTATATATACAACCCACCATGATCAACAACGTCTCTCCTTTATTATGCACACTCAGGGGCCATACGACCCCAGTCTTCTTCACATAAATACCACAAACTTCCATATGGTGTGAGCCGCGTGTGTCTACTTAACAAGGTCCCTTGCTCCAACCAACCTATTTGGACTCGTAGGCATACCAAGGGCCACAGCGGAACCCTACATACCTAAGTCGAAGCAATGAACATCGAGGCAGACCCTAAGCACGCCTCGGATTCATTGCTCGGGCTCAAATTGTTCCTGTACTTATCCAACTGCCGGGGTATTGGAACATCGACTTGACTGCGCCGGACCGACAAGCGAGCGATGCTCGTCGACGGTTTCCGGTCGTCCCCTACCATGCCCTCGACGAACACACGGGCTGCCCGCGGAAGTTTCAGGCAGAGGCCGCTGACGCTTTCAGGAGCCCAACATCCAAGAAGGCAATCGTTCAACGTGTCTCGTTGGATCCGGAACCTCATCACCGAACAAGCTCAGAATGCGCAACCCCGTCGATGGTGTTGGGCCGGGCCGGGGTCGGTGCAGCAGCGTTGCATTAACACTCACCGGGAGAACTGTCCTCGTCAAAAACATCACCCAAAACGTTTCGATACCTACCTGCCTAGACTTATGCTTTGTTTCTGGATCGATTGCCCAGTTACAGGAATCGCCCCTGGCAAACCCACGCAGATACAACGTGTGGACCGATTCGCCAACTTGACACATAGCCATCGAAATTCTCCATGTCCCTCCCGCCCCGCCCCCGTCCCCCCTCCCTCGCACAAGAAAGCAGACCGCGAAACAGGTAACCCCGATATTCTTCACCACCATACTCCTTTTCCTTGCCCTCCGCAACCGTTTCACGAACGAAGGGCCGGTGATTACGCGCTGCGATAAGCTGGAGGAATACCTACCTACCTAGACACGGAGCCTGCGAAAAGCTTTTGGCGATGGCCGGGGTGCGGGCTGGCCTTTGGATGCATAAGCACCTGTCTATCGTCAGATTATGCTGCGAAGCCAGGCCAACGAAAAAGAACGGGTACTGGGAAACTGTCGAGGGCATCATGGGCCGTGTGGCGAAGGAATAGATGCATTGTAGTCAAATCATTACAACAAGATAGCTAGACCATCACCAATAAATCATACCATGCAATTTTCGGAAACATGAGTTCCAAGTTCGTTGTGAAGTGTTTAATGATGCAATATTTTTTTGGTTCCTCTGGTTCGTATTGATCTCTATACTAAATTCCATGTAGGCAGCAGTTGGTAAACGTAGCACGGCTAGCCTCTTTATCATACACTGCTCTGGCCCGTCTCATGTGTGTAGCCAAGCATTGCCCGAGGATCTGCGATCCCGTCCCCTCTCGTAAAGCCACTTGTTGTTCAGACCAACCGTGCTCCTCTTTCCCGTCATCGGGCTTGGACTGTCCGGAACTCCTCCGTAGATCGATGAGGCAGTGCTGGCACCGAACGTGCTAGCGCCGAACGTACTATTGCCGAAGATGCTGCCAGAAGATCCAAACGAGGAGCGGCGCGCGCCATTCATGGCTTTCTGCAGCAAAGGGCTGTTCGGCGACCCTATAATACTGAAGTTCTTCTCGCCTCCGCTTCCAGTGGTGGGGCTCGCGTGATTCGACGCTGGTGAACCTGAGAAGCTGCGCTTGCTACCCGCAGAACCGGAGATCGAGGGGGTTCGGGAGTATCGTGGCGGTGTGCTATACACGGAGCCAGGCGTGGGCGGCGCGGAGGTAGGCGGTAAGCCAAGTAGTCGCCGTTGGCCGGGAGTCAGAGGGATATCGGAAAGATCATCCTTGGATCTGAGGAGAGGCAGGAGATTGGCGCCTATGTTGAAGAAAGGGATGGCAAGAATGGCCCAGTACACGTATCTAGAGTAGTACCAGACTCTAGAATAATAGTTAGTTTGTCGCATACATCTAATGAGAGGTTGAATGGAAGTCGGAAACGTACAAGTAGGGCCATGATTTTCTGCCCGGTAACACTCGCGCTAAGAAGGTATGTAGGAGAATACATATTATAAAAACAGCTACATTGATTGCAATGCGTGTCACGTTCTTGTCGGTGAATGTGGTAGCATCCTGACGTCGAGTAATCTCTTCTAAGCGTGGATGTCGCCACGTGCCTGGACTGTCGGTAACGGGTGGCGTCGCGGGTGTTGACTTCTTGGGAGTCGTCAAAACTATTTTGGCGGTAGACAGAGACATAACTGTTGTAATTTTCTCCTCTCTCTACCTTTGTATGTTCGAAGTTTGAATACAGATCAAAGATTTTTGCTTTTGGGTGTCGCCTCGGGAAATGAGATTTGGCAGTTGGAAGACGCGAGTAAGTTGTCAAAGAAGGTTGGAGATACTCGCGAAATGGAGGAGAGAAGGGAAGAAACGAGAGGATGGCGAACTCTTTCTGGATACCAAATTATAACATTTGGTTGATATTTGACTTGCTGTATTCGTTAGTACCTAAGGTTAGTATGGTTAGTAAAATGGCGCTGCAAACGCAGGCCTTGTTGTCGAGCTCGTGTGCTGGATACTTCTGCTTTTGTTTTCTTTGAAGGTTCAAGACAATAACTACCTAAGTTAGTAAAGATCAAATATTTGGTTGTCTAGGTCGCCTGCGAAAACAATAGCAATTGCTTGGCTCCACATTGAAATGGATATCCTTAGTCATCCATCCATGGGTCCACTAATCATTGTTGCTGCAGGGATTAGCTTGCACGGGCCACCTAACTGCGTATTCGGTATGTACCTACTTTTAGTAATGACCGGGCTAGTCTAGTGCACCTAGGCAGTGTTTGTTTTAAACGGCAGGCCGGACTTTCTTACTGCGTCACACAGTTGAAGCCCCACCAACACCCGCCAACCCGTTAAACATCCACCAAACATCCACCAAACATCCACCTATTTCATATCCATCTCTCATCTACTTCACAGCTAACTAAACCCTCTCGTCAGCGGCGCATACATTTTGTCACGTTGAAGGAGACACAGCCTTTCCTTCTATATACTACTTACCATTTTGTTATTTGATGGCTGTTAATATTGTATTTCGGACTGCTTTTACTCTATCGATCAAATATACTTACTAGATCCTAATATTTACAACTTTCAGTTGCTGTTACTATATATATTAGGTATCTATTAAGCTATCCGACCAAATATGAGTGTCGGTAGCATTTTGAACCAGTTCGACGAAGGACTGAGTTCCATCCTCAGTCAATGGAATGGCTACTCTACTGCTGTCATTACAGCCTTCGCGCTAATCATCACATATTCAATCATGAACCGAGTAGAACCAGAGACCCATCCTATGCTTCTTGCTCGCCAGGCCTCCGGCTCCCCCGTTCGTAATGATGGAGAGTCGCCTGTCTACCGTGGTCATTCGGCACCTCATGGCATGCCGCTTAATAGTGGCTTGAACGTTAAGGATCCCGGCGCATCCAAATGGGCTCCTGGCCGAGATGGTGACCTGAGGGATGTCTGGCGTAAAGCTGTCACTGGAACTTCCGAAGGTGACAGTCCTAAAACCAAGGGCCGCATATTTACCGTACTAGGCAGTGAGAGAGTCATCGAGCATAACCTCAGTATATAACATCTCCTTCTTAGCTTCAAGGATAAAGCATGGCTAATACAATTTTAGACGATATTACTCGACAGATCAATCTTGTTGGACGCCATATCGCTTCCCAAGGCGGGAAGAAGGTCGCCATCTACCTTCCCAACTCTGTTGAATTCATTGCGACTCTTTTTGCCTGTAGCTTCTACAACTTGACTGCTATCCTGTTGCCTTTCGATCAGCCCGCGGATGTCGTCATTTCGATGCTCCAAAGATCTGGTGCCGATACGGTCGTAACCACTCCCGGCGCTTTCCCATTCGATGATGCTGTCAAAAGCTACCCGGGCCTCCGTCAACTTATCTGGGTCGTTGATGAGGGCAACAAGCATCTCGACTGGAATGAGGTGCCCAAGGGTATGGGCGGCAGTGTTAACGTCTCGACTTGGCAAGATATTCTCAACGATAACCCTGTTACTGCCGGTACGGAACTGCCGGAAGCCGACCCCAAGACCGAAACCCAGGATGTTATTATCTTCTGGCAATCGAAGCCTGGCACACTCGAGGAAATGGTCCGCTTCACTCAAAAGAACTTGGTTTCTGCCATCTCGGCTCAACTGGCGGCAGTCCCGCAGAGGGAACGTTTCTCACCAGCTGACCTTTTCCTGCCATCTTCTTCCCTCTCGGCTTCTTTCCCTCTGGTTCTGACCCTCGCGGCCCTGTACGCCAATTCATCGGTTGCCTTCAACTCTGTCGCAGGCATCAGCCCTGACCTCGTCTTGGCCACTTCCGGTGTCGCTCCTACCGTCGTGGTTGCTACGCCGCAGACTCTCAAGAAGGTACATGACGAAACCCTCACCAAGACTGGCGCCTCACTCTTCACGCGCCTTTCCCACTGGGTCCAGACACGCAGCCTCGTACAAAATGGTGCCATGCCCGCTGCATCCTTCCTCGCATCTTACAACGACTCACTACGCCCCGAGATTGGAACCCCCTCCCCTGGCAAGCTCCGTCTCTTGTACGTTGCCGACCCAGTCGGCACTGATGCACCCCGGCTTTCGGAGCAGACGCTCTCAAACTTACGTGTGTTTACTGGTGCCCGTGTTATTTACGCCCTCGCCGCGCCCAGGGTGGCCGGCGCCGTGACACAGACTCAATTCCACGACTACCGTGTTTCCGGCGACGGGTCCGGCGTACACTTCGGACCTCCCCTAAGCTCGACCGAGATCTTGCTCCGCGATACGCCTACTCACAAGGTCACGGATTCGGATTACACAGGTGACATCGTCGTTCGTGGGCCTGCGGTTGCTGGAGGCGAAGCTGCGCTGGGTGTGGTGGGGACACTGAGGGTGGATAACACGCTTTCCTACGCGTAAACTGAAATCACTTGAGCGATCCTCGTATGTTTCTGTTGCTCTGAAAGCTGAGGTTTGGCGATGAACGGACGACTTAGTGTTGATTAGTGATGGATGAGTTTCGATGTATTGGTACTGACTCTTATATACTCTTGTTACATATCCGCGGTGGGGGAAAAATATGTTGATTAAAATACCTACCTGCCTACCTATCCATGTATCAAATAGGTAGGCAGGTATGTAGGTACTTACTTACCTAGGTAGTTGAAAGATTTATGTTGGTTTGGTCGTGTCGGAGTGAGAATCAAGATATATATCAAACCTACCTACTTAAGTACTTAAGATACCTAGTCTTGACCATCTGTAATTTTACGATAATATAGGCAGCGGTAGCTGATCCAACCCGTTGAAGTGTTTTTGCGATATGGAAACTTTTGATATAGTATCTTCGTTACTATGTACCAAGAGATTTACTAGGCACGTAGGTACCTATGTAGGTAGGTATCCATGAGTCATCATGGTAATCATATCTGTCTGTAGGCACGTAATGTGCCTGCCCATCACATCGCAATGCCTAAACCTGAACTCCCAGCCAAAAAAAAAAAAAAAAAACGAAGCATCATATCTACTTTGGCGCCTAGGGTAGGTAGGGTAGATACCTCATCATGAGAGCATTACATATATCCTCGTCGAACCAACCCTATCGTCATGTCATGCATCTTGTCTCGTGCCCCTTATCGATATTACGGTAACCTTTGGCACCTAACCTTGAGGTACCTAGTAAATTAAGCACCATTCCTATAAACCTGCGCGCCCTGGTTACGGAACATAATCGTATCTTTCCTCTGCATGAGCATAAGCGCGCGATTGAGGCTCTGCTCGCTGAACCCGCGGCCCTCGACCATCTCGCGTCTGAGGGTGGCGAGACTGGTGCTCCAGCCGATCGGCAGCCGCCGTCGCAGTTCTGTCTCCACGCGCGCGACCTCCTCGTTGAGCTCGCGGCTGCCCTGGTTCGTTGTGCCTTGGGTCACGGCGTCCATGGTGGAACATAGGAAGAGGCGGATGGCCTCGTCGACGTGGCGCTCGGTGGCGATGGGAGACAGGGTTAGCTTGGCAAGGGCCTCGGTGATACGGACGATGGCTTCGAGTTGTCGGACTGTGATTGGGATGCTAGATCGCGCATTGGCTTCGAGTTCTGATGCGTGTACTTGCTTTCGGATGGAGACGAAGTGAGACGATAGTTTCTCGGAAGCTTCAGGTGAGAGGCGTGGGGCACAGCGTCTATAATGAGGTTAGAGATTGCCTTTAATAAATTGTGTGAATGTATAGGTAGGCCTGGACTTACGATTTACAGTAACTAATATACCGTCTCATCTTTTCCACGGGAACCTCGCCCTCGACTTGTTCTTCTAGGCCGCGGCCACCCATGTGAATGCCCATGACGTGCTTGGCGATCCGCTCGTCCTTGTCTCTGGTGTGTTCATCTTTGACAATGAAGATCATATCGAATCGAGATAGAATGGTGGTCTGAAAATCAATATTCTCTCCCGGTGTCTTCATGTCGTCGTATCGACCGAATATGGGATTGGCAGCAGCGAGGACCGATGTCCGTGCATTGAGGATCGTAGTTATGCCTGCTTTAGCAATCGAGATCGTCTGCTGTTCCATAGCTTCGTGGATTGCGACTCGATCTTCGTCTCGCATCTTGTCGAACTCATCAATACATACTACACCCCCATCGGCCAACACCATCGCGCCTCCCTCCAAGTAGAATTCTCTTGTTGAATGGTCTCTTTGGACTGAGGCCGTTAAACCAGCAGCGGATGAGCCCTTTCCGGAGGTATAGATGGAGATGGGAGCAGCCTTTTCCACGAATTTCAGCAGTTGTGACTTGGCCGTACCCGGATCACCGAGAAGAAGGACATTGATGTCACCCCTTAGCTTCATGCCGTCGGGCAAAATCTTCTTGGAGCCTCCAAGTAGCAGACACAATATGGCCTTCTTGATGTCTTGGTTACCATAGATAGATGGAGCAATGCAGTCGGCCATGATATTGTAGATATCAGGTCTCCTACTAAGCTCCATAAATTCTTGCTCCTCGTCTTCAGAGAAGATAGAGGAACCTTTTGCCGTAGCATCCATATCCGTCTGGATACCCACTGCTCTTAGATAAGGCGTTCTGATAGCCACTGCGCCGCCATTGGATGAGTTTTTAGAAGCCTTGTTTTGGTAGATGGAGAAGATGCCCATGATTGTGCACCTTGACCCCGGCACAACCCTGTTCGTTAGGTATCGGTCTGCAGAGATGAGAACGTGACGCGGAAGTTCTCCGACAGGCACCTGATCAGGGGCCTCTTGTAGTTTGATGATCTGTTGGTCCACGAATTTGGACTTCTCGTGAATGATGAAGTAGGGGTCGAGTGGACACTTTTCTGTCGGGTCGTTTGCAGCCCTTTGACGACCACAGGTGCGCGGGAGAGTAACACCGGTGAATCCACCAAAAATGGGAATCATCTGGGAGTGTAAACAATTTCGACATTGGACATGTAACTCTGTGGCTTTAGAAGACATGACTGAGGCGCCGATGACGATTCCGGGTACCCTCACGAGTCTCGCGATCGTCTCGGAATCTAGATTGCGGATGGAAACATCTTCGGCGGTGGAGTGGAGTAGAAGCTGGTGTTCGGGAACGACGGTCTTGGGCTCGTGAGGGAAAACGATTCGGTGTGTACATTTCTTCAGTGCCCCTTCAAACTGTTGTATGCTCTTAGATTGATGCCGCTTGACTACGGTGGAGAGAATGTCGGGGAGAATTTGCAACATACCAGAGGAATCAACTCGGCTGGTTCTGTCACTAGTCGATGCGCAAGTTCCTCATTGTACTTGATTAAATCTGTAATATTGACATCGCAATAGTAATTCTTGAGAAGTGCGTTCTCTCTTAGTTGATCTCGATAGACAAATATATTGTCATGTCTGAATTGGAGGATGAATGTGACTAGCTGTTCTTGTACTTGTAGTCGGGTATCTTCGTTGGGTCCTTGATTGGACTGGAACACCGAAACTGAATATACGGATTGGCGATCCATGTTTTGCACTGATTACTAGGTATCTTAGCCTAGATAATTTTTGTATTTGTGCCTTGATATATCTTCGGTATTAAGATTGAATGTGGTGTATGAGTTGAATTATGTGAATTGTGGTGGCCAATGTGGATCGTGAACCGTGGATCGTGGATCGAGGGGTTGAAGAAGTTCAAATATTGTGAAAAAAGATGTACTATGTAAGTTACTAAGTTACCTAGCTTCGCGTTACTTGTTAATTGACACGCGAAACTGGAGACGCGTTTAATTTGGGTCCGCGTTAAGAGCTTACAGATAAAACTAATCCCAATTCGTCATATTCCTTCAAGTCTGCCGATACCACGTGACCTCTGCTCTCTACTGATGTACCTAAGGTTAGGTACCTACATATGTAGTTAAGTCTTAAAAGTTAAGATTAGCTGTCCTCGGGTAGGTACCTGTGGCATTGCCGCACTGGCCATCATCGGGACGCGGCATGTAACCATTTTCTTATTTCTTATTAGCGCATAAGCGCATGTAGATACATAGTGTGTAACTTGAACTGCTAAATCGAAGGACCGTCGGAGCTTACATATGTATCTTGGAAGCTTAGCTGGCTAATAAAGACTACAAGATACAAAACCAACAAGTCAAAATAAAATAATACATCCCAACCGTTTGCGATAACGTACCTACTCGAGCTTGAACCCGTATACAACATCATACCTACAAACGATATTCCATTTCTATCGACACCCTAGTCACTTCCTTCTGTCCCGAACTGAGTTGCGCCGAGATATCGCAACTCTTTCGCGTTGGCGTCTTATAGTAGACGATCGATTAGTTCGCTTTGGAAAGCTATGATTTCCCGGTAGCCCTCAGCGAGCCTTGTCAATAAGCCTTCTGGCTTCCCTCGCTATGTTCTCTAACTCCGGAGCCCGCAAGTCTGTCGACAGCTTGCCACCATTGTCCCCCGGCACCCGATCCGATTTCTCCTTTCATCATCGCCCTGGCTCGTCTGCCTCTCACGCCACAGCCCGACGAGGTTCCACTGCGAGCTCCATCCATTCTATCGGAGGTCACCTCGATACCTCGAGTACTTGGTCTCAGACGGTTCATGAAACCGGTCAGAATGCTATTTCTACCTTGCTTCAACCGCCGATAGTCCGCACTGGATTGCTGCCGCATACATCTGCCCCTGCTTCCAGTGCCCATAAACCACCAACCGCACGAGATATCCCGCCAGTCACCTTAACAAACATACCACATGTCGATATCTCCGAATTCCAACCGTACTTAGCCCAAGTTGGAGCTTTATTTGAACAACTGCGGCGTGTAAAAGAGAGCGACGATGACGGTAGTGATCATGTGTTTGGGCGTGGGAGAAGCGAAGAATTTGCGGGTGTTGTGGATGACGGACACCTAAAGCCGGGTAGTCGTCCGTCAAGTTCGCGAAAGGTATCTGCCTCATCTGTGAGATCTATATCGCCTATGGAATCTCCCTCTATACGCCCACTACGCAGAAGATCCAGCTCAGGTTTCGGTCGAAAGGCAGCGAGTCAAGGGCCGCCTCCTTTGTCGACTATACCGAATGTTTATTTTGATGATGATTTCCACCTAGAAAATCCTCGTACATTTGATGTTGTTAGCGAACGATCTGAGGTGGTTAGACCGCCGCCTGGCTCCGCCGACGAAAAGACCGCTGCAAACGGGACTGCTTTGGCTCCACGTAAAGCTCTGGCTACGAATGCGATATTACAAGAGAAATTGTCTTGGTATATGGATACGATCGAGATGCATTTAATATATTCTATTTCAACCGCTTCAACAACTTTTTTCACTGCCTTGGGATCGTTAAGAGAACTACACACGGAAGCTACAGAGTCGGTCGAGAGGATAAAAACGCTACGCAAGGAGCTTGAGGCTCTTAATCACGAGGTTGCAGCCAGTGGACTGGATATTGTCCACAAACAGCGGAGACGCGAGAATCTGCAGCAACTCAATGACGCCGTCAAGCAGTTGAAGGAGATTGTCGAGTCAGTCGCAGCATGCGAGGCATTAGTAGAATCAGGAGAAATTGAAAAGGCCTTGGAAGGCATCGATTCTTTAGAAAAACTAATTGCTGGCAAAGATACCATCAATACAGGCAAGGACGAAAGTCGTCGTCGCCTAACATATGATTTGAGAGATGCCGTTGCCCTGCAAGGGGTCAGTGGGGACATCTCGGCTTTACGATTCCGCATTGGCAAAGGATTTGAGTCTAAGTTTATCGACATATTACTAGGGGATCTGAGGCGACATGTCGACGCCGTCCCAGCCCAGGATGTACTCCTGAGATGGGGTAGTTCGACGATGCGATCGCGTGGGGCGCATAGTAGAGAATCATCTGCCTATCCGGCTTACCTAGCTGACACAGAAGGCCTTCGTGCTCAGCTCATGCCTGTTTTAGACGGACTACATCGCTCAAAGCACGTCACAATTGCTATCGCATCTTATCGCGAGGTGGTTTTGCGTGAAGTTCGCATGCTCATTAAGCGGCCACTTCCAACCTCCACCGATGATGATAATGAGTCCATGATGTCTGTATCTACGCTGAGTTCAAAACATTTAACTCAGCAGGAAAGATCATCTATTCTCGCACGAAATATTCGGTCCTTAGACGAACAGGACGCCGAAACCCTTTTTGTCAAGATGTATATCAGCGTTACAGAAACATTGAGGAGACTAACAACTCAGGTCAAAGTGCTGTTTGATGTTGCAAGCTCATTGGGGCAAGAACCTATCATCGATGCCGGCTTAAAGTCGCCGCCCCCCTTAAAATCACCACCTCTTAATAGTGCGAACCGCGACATACAAGAAGATATCCATCTGACTATGGACATGGCGAATCTTCTCGGTCAGGCAGTTGACGTCGCTCAAGAAAAGATCGTGAAAGTACTTCGCGTTCGATCGGACCAGAGCTCTCATCTACCTCTTATATGGTTTCTGCGATACTTTACCCTTAACCTTTACTTTGCCAATGAATGTGAAGCGATTTCTGGCCGAAGCGGGACTTCGTTAAAGAACATCGTCAACTCACAAATCAAAGAGTTCATCCAACTACATGGTGACGCAGAGAAACAGAAACTAGCCCAAGGCATGGAGTCAGATCAGTGGAGTGCCAAAGATTTCGGGGAAGAGAGCAATGTGCTTCTCAATCGCATACTAGAAAGCAGCACAAAGGATAGTGCCGCCTGGTTGGAAGGGAGTAGGATCTGGGAATCGCTCTCAGAAAACGATAATAACGGAAAGTCTGGCGGGCGACCGAGAACCGAATCGAACGCGGCGACTAAAGAGAAAACGCGGAGCGCAGTGATAGACGCGGAAATGTTTATACTGCCCAACTCAGCAATACTCTGTTTAGAAGGCATGTCTCACTTCTTACATCTCATGTCCGGCATACCCTCCATGTCCTCAGACGTGTCAAGCTCCCTCGTTGCATATTTGCAACTCTTCAATTCTCGGTGTACACAACTCATCCTCGGTGCCGGTGCCACTAAATCTGCGGGCCTCAAGAACATCACAACTAGACATCTTGCGCTTGCCTCACAAGCTCTGGCTTTTATTTCAACACTTATCCCCCACGTACGCGAATTCGTGCGCCGCCATGCCGGTTCAGGTCCTAATGTAAACCACGGGAATGTCGCAGCCCTCATGGGTGAATTTGATAAGGTTAAGCGCCTTTTCCAAGAGCACCAGAATAATATTTACGACAAGCTAGTGGATATCATGAGCGGTCGCGCCGCAGCGCATGCTAAAAGCATGAAGGCGCTTGACTGGGATCAGAAGACCGAGTCCTCTGTGAATTTATACATGGAAACTCTCACCAAGGAAACTGTTACGTTACATAGGGTGCTCACGAAGCATTTGCCCGAGAGCACTGTCAGGTTAATCATGACGCCCGTGTTCGGTAGCTATAAGAGCCAAATAGGTAGAACGTTGCAAGGACTGGAGCCTAAGAACGAAATAGGGGTAAATCGGTAAGCACTTATTCACATACGATAACAATTGCCGGGTTTTAGGTGGCTAATTTCAGGCAAATTAGGATGGAGTCTGATATCGAGTATCTCACCGGTCGCTTAAGCAAAATAGACGGCTTTGGTGATACTGGTGAGCATTTGCTCGGCATTGTTAAATCCAAAAAGCCAGCGCAGGCTGTCGCAACAGAAACACCTGTTACAACGGAAAATGGTAGTGCTGGCGAGTCTAAGGAAGAGGAGAGCAAGGCGGATGGGGCTACGAGTGAGGAACCTAAGGAAAAGTCTTCGTCGGAGAGCAAGCAGGAATCGTGAGACGGCATTTGATTTTCCACTCATTCGATTTTGGTTGTGTGGTGTACGTTGGTCCAGCATTGAAGCAGGCGTTTTCCTTGTAGACGTGATGGATGGCATACCGAATTAAGACGAGGTTCTGCAGTTAGCCTACTGAGGTAGGTAGGCTAGCTGCTTGGGAGCGGTGTCTGGGTGTGAATGGGTAACTGTTCAAAATCTTAGCTCTCTGTGACAACGAGCGATATGCTTACCCATAGGGGTAGATCAGAGCCAGTATACAGACTATACTCATACCTACCTAGTAGGTACTGAACCTTTCTGTCATGTCGTTGCTATCACTTCACATAACACCCCAGAGATATACTAGATCATGTTTCCCGTTAGTCACGGGCCTTTGCGCCGCAAAGACATATGTCCCTCTGATAGTTGTTACACATCTCTTCCTTTGCAATTTTACTATACCTATGTGTGTGCCTAGGTGTTACGGCAAATCAAGGCTATGAAACGTCGCCGTTTTCGTACGCAGTGTCTACCCATCTATCTAGTGGGATACGTGCTACTCGACCAATGCTGCCTAAGTAAGGTACAGGTATCTATACATGATGTGGCGAGTAACGTCAATCGTCTAACGTCTAACTAACTGACGTTGTGTCATGTCACAGTATCTCAGAGCGTGTTACGACGTCAGGGGGTTTGTTCAATATCTAACAGACCTACCTACCTATTCCTAGGTAGGTACCACTCATATATGTACCTAGTTAGAATAAACAAGCTTCCAAAATACCCTAGAGCAAGCAAGACACTGCCAAGTGTCACTGCATTTGTAAACCGGTACGCAAATCCTGCCTACCTACCTCCCTGACCTACTTATGTGCTTATACACAGAACACCTAGGTATCAATCACATATACTCAGCATCATAGTACCCCGCGCTCCTATACCCACTCCCCAGCACCTCCGCAATCCCCACCGGCTTCTCCAGCGCGCTCGCGAACTCGGCACGCGCGCTCGCAGCCGCGGCGCCGTCGCCAGAGTTCTTGTACTCGCCGAAGAGGACGCCGGACGTTCGGGGGTCGCTGTCGCTCCAGGCGTGCCAGCCCGCGGCGTTGACGACGCTGCTGAGGGCCGTGTTCTGGAACACGACGCGCGCGTACTCGCGCCACGGCCGCCCGAGGTAGTACGCCCCGCCCGGCACGCTGCTGCCAGAGGCGGCGGAGACGTCGCAGTTGTTGAAGACGTAGTACGAGGGGTTGGAGCTGGAGTCTCTTCCGTTGGCTGTTTCTTCTTTTTAGTTTTTCTTTCCTCTTTTGAGTAAAGGGGAGGGGGATAGGCACTAAAAAAAAAAAACCACCTAGGAAATACATAATAGAAAAAAAAGGGGGGGTGAAAGAATAAAATTCAAAAGCGAGTAATTAAGCAGGACCTACCAGTAATATACCCCAGCGACGTCTTCAGCACCCGCACATCCGTCTTCTCAAACCACGCCGCGGCCTCCATCCCGAACACGAAGTCCGTCGCGCCCTGGACCAGCGACCGCGCGAACAGCTGGCTGCCCTTGTTGCTCAGCACCGTGTCCTGGAACCCGCGGAACTGGCACCCGTAGTACCCGCTGTCGGCGTCGGCGCTCAGCGCCACCGCCTGGCTGCCCTCGCCGTACGCGTTCTCCACGTCCACGTTGTACAGGCGGAAGTCCGCCGCCTTCACGCGGAGGGTGGCCGTCTCGTCGTTGGACAGGCCGTCCTTTTGGCTGCGCTTGGAGGTTATGGTCGCGCTGTTGCTGGCGTGGCTGGATGTGTCCGGGGTGGAGCCGTAGATGGTGAGGCGGGCGGCGCGCGTGCTGATCAAGACTTGCTCGGAGTAGGTCCCCGGAGAGAGGAATATGCACTGGTCGGCTGAGTCGCTGGTGGAGAGGGAGTCTACCGCGGCTTGGATGGTGCTGTAGGAGCCGCCGCTTTTGGCGACGGTGATGCAGCCGGAGGGCGCGGAGGTGCGGCTTTCGCTGGCGGCTAGGCCGGCGAGGGCGAGGGTGGTGACGATGATGAGGGACTTCATGGTGGGAGGTGGTCAGACACACGATAGTGTCTGTCTGTTACTTAATCAACTAAGCTACCTCTCCTATGGATATCAAGAATGTGAAGTGAGGTGAGGTGCGGTGAAATCTTCAATCGCATACTCAGGTAGCTCAGGTAGGTATTTATCGGCTGATAACTAACAAACGGTCTAGTGCGTTCTGTTACATGGAGATATATCCCATATGGATGCATGTCACCGGAGATCAGATGAACCCTTTCTCCGCACCGCCTTCAGGGTTTCTTTTTTTTTTCTTTTTTTCCACTCTAAACGAGATCTACAAGATGGATATATGCTACCCAGGGTAGGGAGGTAAGGAAGATCGTGAAACATACAAGGCTTGGCTACACTTTAGTCACGACAATTGGCACGCATGTTTCTTGGTGTTGGATAAATTGAGTAATATATGCTAGGGAAGTAGGTTTAGGGCATTGAGGCATAAGTCCAATTTGTTCCTTGAATATCACCAACTTCGAAGTCCGCTTATGCTGTTATTAATGGCCCCTATTCCATCACTTTTCTCCTATGATGCCGCCCCTCTCTACCTCTTGGCAGCGGAATGGTGTCATGTGATAGATGACAGGACAACTCCGTGGTCCGATCTTGTTGTTAATATGAAGCTGTATCTTATTTTTCTTCACTTTCATCGTCCCCATCGTTAATACTACTGAAACGTAGCGTCGAATGCCTCTACCACCTGCGGAGGGATATCCCGGCACGGCTTCAACTTGCCGTCCACGACCAATTCCTCCAGAGTAGCTTTCCGGTAGCCCTCAACCTCCCAGACGTCGCTCGCCGTCACCTTTGCCAGTGTTCCATCTCCCCACGACTTGCGGCACCACCACGGCAGCGAGAGGGGGATCCCTCGCTCTATGCAAATCTCGATCTCTTCTTCGACTTTCTCTAGGCTATGGGTAATTATCTGCGGGTCTGTGCCGTGCTTCTTCTTCTTCAGCGCTGAGGCGATTTCGCGCACGGTGGCTTTCAGCTCTGGAAGATTGATGGCTCGCCCCTGTAGTTGCGCTGGGGGCGTGCGAGCGAAGATTGAGGCGTAGGCTGCGGCTACGTAGTCCCTTGTGCTGTGAAGATGGTGAGTAGGTAGGTAAGCAAGCATCTAAACTCATCTCGTGAAAAGACAAACGCGGTACTAAGAGTAGTAGAGAAGAGAAATCAAAAGGGGTTCCTGGGACTTGGATACACAAGAGAATTCGTTAAGGTTCTTGCCATATGTTCATCTGCTGATTCGCGCTATCGCCAATAGATATGATTCGATTTCCGGGCACATCAACCCCCATGAGACTAAGATCAGATGTTTTAGTTTCCATACTCGATCTCGTATTCACTCTTCCTCTCGAAGGCCCACGTGGAGTTGACCTACCTGATGGATAGCGACGACTCAGCGAAACAGCCCACAGCTACTGTGGCGGTGGGTATGCCAGCGTCCTTAGCTGCCATCTCTACCTCGTACTTCTTCCTATTCACCGGAACCCGCAAGCCTTCCTCATCGCGTGCAGGGAACCCGAGTTCCGACGGCACGAATAACTGAACATTGGTGCTTGCGAGTGCCCTGACGAAAGCCGTGCTGCCTTTCTATGCCTTCGTGGCCGACTAATGAGCTTTGCGTATTTGTTAGCCTCAACACGAAAGTTCAAACAAAATACTAAAGCTGAACATCGCGTAGTGGCGGTGAGCAAGTACATCAGGATATCTACATCTTGTAGAACGTCAATCAGCTGTTGCTGATTTTCCACATCGACCTCGGCCTTGGCGACGCTCGGTGGTAGGCTGGACACGTCGGAGCTGGTCCGGTAGAGCACCTTGATCGGTGCGCCGCTGGACACGAGGGCATCGACGATGGCGAGCTGGCCCAGCCTCGATGGCCGTACACGGCAATGCGGTTGCATGACATGTTGTGTAATGTAAGTGAGGGTGAGAATAGCAAATTCACGAGAAGATAAAGGTTATTCAGGTACGGTAGGTACTAAGCACTTGATTCGATATAAAATTGCTGTATTTTATTAAGTACGCTATTTATACAAGAGAAGCCCCTGTCTGTGCGCGCCATAGTAATAGCCCGAGTTGCACGAGCTGTATAGTCAGTCCTTTAGATATCTTGCAGCCTAGCTCGAACGTTGGTAGGTAGTTATTTGGACAGCTTATAAATGCATCATTACTTCGGCATGAGTCATATACGAAGTGTACACACAGGTATGGATGAGAAGTGTTTATTAGTAGCTTGTGCTAAGTCCTTTGGAGAGGTATTCGATGAACAGTTGATATACAACGTACACTTAGGTAAGCACCGAAGAGTATAATATCGTTATAGGTGAAGTAGACAATAGTTTCCAAGGAAATAAAGAAGAGGCCCAATCTTCGGGTCGGGGCCCGGAAGGAGTAGAACAAATAATACTGGAGCAATCTTCCCGCTTTTTCGGGTACCACTTACACTGATCGACGGCAGTGGGGGTCTTTTGTTCCTCTAGGACAAAGCCGCTTAAAATATGGCACTTGCAACAATGAAAGAAAGGATGAAAACGTGGAGTGCAGGCTTCCTCGCTGCAAAAGTCCGGAGTCGGGAGCGTTCATGCCAGTATCCGCCGGCACTTGACAAAGATCCCGGATACCCACATATATGTCACTCTAGTAGGTATACCGAAAGACGGGACGGGACAGCTATCAAAGAGATAATCTAGGTAGGGAGATACGTATGTAATAACTTAGGTAATGGTAGGTCTTACTAAATCATCTCTTACCTAAGTGATGTGCGCCGATTTGGTGCATATGGAGCGAACCAGATAATTAGATAAGCTTACGAAGACAAGAAGTTTCTATTTCGAAGGGGAGGGGGGTGTATTGTCTTGTCTTGTCTTGTCTTGCCTGTCAAAAGCCGTGCTGTGCCTGTCTGCCCAGGTGTCATCAAGGAGCCGACCCTGGCCTACCTGCACAGCATACCAAGGTAACACTTACATACTTCCCTAACCTAGTCTGGTACCTATCTGCACAGTAGACTTATAGGCACGACATATGCAGATGATCTGCAGACAATGAGAAGAGCAGAAATGGTGACGATATTCGCAAGGATACACGTATACCTATACCTACCATGTAGGATAGGGGACTTGGGGTCGCTATCCGCTCCATTGCAGATACATAATAAAGAAACATGGAACTGGGATGATGTACATATTGTATTGTACATCCAAAAACAAAGGAACTTGGCGTGTGCGGCTTTTCTGATCTCCCCTAGGTTTGGTTCGGTGTCCCCCCCTAAAGTCAAAAAGTCTCAGATTCTTATTTGGACCGCGTGTCGTCTTGGCGAAACGCTGCTACATGATGTCGCACATACCTAAGGTACCTACTTGACCTTGCATGCTATACTTATGTATGTAAAAGCTCAGGGCTGTCGACTCCTTACATACAATGCGTTGTGCGTTGCCATGATGGGGCCATCATACCTACATATATGCCTACATACATAGCTACCGACGGCATACCTAGGTAGGTAGGTAAGCATGTAGGCAAGGAGTATCGTTAGCGAACTAGGTAAACATCCATAACTACCCTACATGACCAGCAACCCAATCACCAAACCATCTCAACTCAATGGCGTTTTCTTTCTTTGTGTTTCCGTTGCACACCTGTTCCTTCGTGGCGCAAAGCAAAGAAAAGAGGGGGTCTAAGCCAAACTCGAAACCAATGTCCAATAGGCCAAAACCAAAAAAAAAAAGAGGCAGAGGAAGAGGAACTCCCAACCCCAACCCAACAAATCACACGTACCTATAACCGTAGCACATGATGATTGATGTGCCGCTCCCACTACTAGGTACCTAGGTATGTATGTCCAATATCCTACCTACCAACCTACACGCCTACATATTTCGAAACACAGCCTAGGCCGTGTCCATGCGGCTACCGTTGGCGGAGAAATCCACCTATCGTCAAATCAATCAATCAATCAATCAATCAATCAATCAATCAATCAATCAATCAATCAATCAATCCATCCATTCATCCATCCATCCCTCAGCCGCTTCTCTTCGCCAAACCACCCACCCCACCTAAACCCGGCCTACTATGTAAGCCATCGCCGAAGTTCCAGCGAATCGCAACTAAGCATCTATCTATTGCACCAAAAAAAAAAAGTTCCCGTCCCTCCAAAAAAGAAACCCAAGTTCGTTTCATGAAACATACATGCGCCCTTCTTCTCTCACTGCTTCTAGTTAGTTTAGTTCCTTCTTTATCATGATACCGCCTCGCCACGTTTTTCCAAGCAAGGAGAGAGTGAAGGGGGAAGAAAAAAAGGGGGGGGGAGGGGTATTGTATGTGTATGGTATGGGGTTTGAAAGGAGACATCAGGAGGGGGGCCACGCAATCCTCCCTGGAATGTTTTTTCTAGCAAGAGCGCCACGCTGAATAGGACCAATAGGTAGGTAGGGTAAGCTAGCCAACGTACCTAGATAGGCACATCGAAGCTATTTTAGGTCAGGTTAGGTTAGGTTGGTTAGTTGTAAAAAATAATTAGCTTTTGTTTCCAAGGAATAGTTACCTAACGAGACAAAAGGGAGAAGGATAAAGCAGGATTTTACACAAGCCACGCGAACAACAAAGGCAACGGATAAGTCTAAACTCAAGCTCTCACGTGCAAGCAGAATGGGCCGTTTCAAAAGCCTGATAGTTACGAGTTCAAGTGGTTTATTTTCCATCTATAGATCAGAGCTAGCTAGTGCGACAACCGGGGCATATCGTCAACTCGCTGTGTAAAAAAAAGTAAAAAAAGCAATGATCTATCTTCAAATAGTATAAACAAGAATAATATTCAAAAAACAAGAAACAAGCATACATGAGTGTAAGCGAGTGTAGAGAAAGTTCATAAAAGTCTTTTGTTCGTTCATGAACGGAATATGCTTGGTTGGATCTCCTATGGTGGGGAGCTTTCGCCGCGGGAAAGAAGTTGTTGTTTGCCAGCACGACCCTCGAGGTCGTGAGTGTGGTAGCAGAGCAGCTAGGCTCGCGTGAAATGAGGCGAAAGCTCCCAACAAGGCAGATCCCAAGCATCTATTCCTTCGTGAACTCGTTAGATACCCCGTGTAAAAAAAAAACCAAAACACGCCACTTTTTATTCCGGTGGTGAAGAGTGCTGCTGCGCCGAGCAACCACTCCAGTGGTTTCCCCAAGTCTATGTCCTGAAATTGGTTGACGAAATGCGATGCCACGAAAAGGGCATGGCCGTGAGAGAGAGAAGTGAAAGTTGTAGAGCGGGTATCTCAAAAACCATAATCGTAGCACCGTCGTATCATCGTCGTTGAGCGCTCAGCGCATTGCGTCTCAAAAGCAAGATCAATCGACCAACAGAGCTCGCTTAGGCCGACAGTTTGCCGAGGACGTAGTTGCGGGACACTAGCATCGGCTGGGCATCACGGGCAGCCACATCGGCAGCTGAGTTGCCAAGGGTGACAATGATGTCCGTCTCCTTGGTCGTCACCGTCTGGATGTCATCAGGCAAGTAGTAAGCGGTGGCACAAGGAAAGACGAGGCACCCAGAAATGGCGGCCTTGACCTTGGCTTCCAGTTCAGTAGCCGGGTACATTTGCTTAACACCATCGTGATCAGAGGGGTTGACGATGGCAGAGACATCAAAGTATGTCAGGTCGTTCCAGCCTTGGAAGGTTACCCTGATATATTGTGTTAGCATGTTGGACTCCGATAGTGAATATCACACCGGGGAACTTACTCGGCAAGCATGCCGGGGACATTAGCTGCACCTTCGCTGACAGAGTAGGCGTTGCCAATCCATGAGAATGGAATGTCAACCTTGACCTGGTCGTTTCCGGCAATCTTAACGGATTCGATGGATGGCTGTCCGGCACTTGGGGTGAAATAAATTTGGCGGGTGGTCTGGTCCTGGTTGATGAAAGTCATCGAGTTGGCACTGGCTAGAGTAGCGGCAGCGGTAGCGAAGGCGGCGATCTGGGTAGAGAAACGCATTTTGATATATTTCTTATTTGTAAAGAGAAATGTTGTTTAGTTGGTATATATAGTTATATATATTTACTGGCTCGTTGCCAAGTTGTATGTGGTTATTGGAAAGTTAAGACACCGTCAAGGAGGGTTCGGCTATGGTAAGTTTCCACGTAGTTGAGTCTTCTCGAAGGACTGTGAATACAGCTAGCTGTATAATATATAGAATAGCTTGGTGATGAAGGAATGTATCACCGAAAAGCTTCAAAAGGAAGGAATGGTAGTAGCTACAAAGAGCGGAAGCAAAGTATCAAGAATCAAAAGATGGTTGGTGCAAAGGAAGGAACCGAAAAGCATCTGATATGCAGGGTAAACGAAGCCTTTTATAAATGAGAGGATACAAAGACTAATAATGGCGGCCGACTGACGGCCCTCCCATTGTTCGTTCCAACCAATCGAATATCTCGTTTCAATACAAGATACAAGAGATAGTATCGAGCGCTCTCAAAGAAGGAGCAAGGGGTAGAGGTCGAGGCCAATCCCACAATCCATCCAACCATTTGGGGCCGTGGCTGTATCAAGAAAGCATAGTCATCGCCCAGGGTGTCGATTGGCCAGCCATGACGACTGTGGATGACATTGAACTTGTTCTTGAACGAAGGTTGCACCCCCAACCCAAGTGGTTAGTCATAAGCCGCGCAGTCAAACGGTTCCCTATAGGCGGGATGAACTAAGTAAGTTCACGGCGGCGAATATCAAATGCCAAGGGATCACACTGACCCTGTACCTAGTATACAGAACAGTTATCCAATATAGTTAGGTACCCACGGAGAAATTCTAGAAGGTAACAATAAATAGCGGCATCCCCATCGAGATGTGCGTGGTCTAAGGCGCGGAGCTTGGCAGACGGCAGGCTTAGGGCAGTTGTGTGTGCGATCCTGGTAAATTTTACCTTAGGGCTGACGGATAATAATAGGGGGGAGGCGTGAATAGGGGGGGTGTGGGCGCAAAGCTGAGACGACTACGAACAACTTGTAAACCAACCAATCCGAAGCGCCGGATGGGCAATCCGCCAGGGTATGAAGAGGATCACAGAAGGATAAACGTGACAAGGGTTGATCAATACATATGTAAAAAGAACAAGAAAATAATTGATTTTTTTTTCCACCTGCATTAGCATATCCTTGGACCTGGGTTGGTTCTAGAACCCGATTGGTTGGTTCCTGAGATCTTGTGCCTGGTACCTGACATAAGATCCATGTGGCATTCCAAACTACTACATAGTTGGTATGATGTGGCATATTCTGAGAGGCACACTCTTACCTCGTCACGTTGGGAAATTCGACCCGACAATTTCATCATGAGGTATAAATCGCCGCATAGCGGTCTGCGTGACCGGGTAACTTAATCAGTACCCAAGTAGGAGGTAGGTATGTATGTAAATAGATAGCACTTGTCATTAGGCTATGCCTTCAGGTCCGGATGAGCTTCTTTGTCCTGCCGAAATTGAACTCAACACGTGGAACCAGTTGGCAGTGACCTTCACAAGACTTCATATGTCGTTGGCATCGTTGACAGACTGTTGACAAGGTCAACCTAGTTTGGCATCGTGGAGAATGTCAGATGCGATGTGATTTCGTGTCGTGACCATGGCACGGAAAGAAAAAAAAGAGCAAGGAAAAAAATTATTCGTTTGCTCCATAACCAGTGCAACTCACAAAACACATGTGGACAACACTGTCAAGATATTAGGCGCATGTGAGCATTTCGAAAGAACTGGGCTGCTAGGTATGATTTTGTTCAGGCATGCCGAATTTTCAACTAACAAATTTTTAGCGCATAAGAGATTTTATGACAGAATCAGGGACACCGGATTCTAGAACCCATGCTAACCTGTCCGGGGGTTCAGGACTCTAGAAAGAGGCAGAAAGGGACATGAGGACCCCTAAGTTACCTAGGTGGATTTGGAATAGTTGTCGATACCAGTATGTCGTTGCTTGGCGGGTATATGAGTAATAGAAGCTGGCCATGAGGTTGGCAATTCTCTGTGAAGTGGGTCTCAATTAGTATCACACATCCTATAGTTAATGGTTAAGAAAGTCCGCTTTCGTCGCCGGAATCGAATCGGGTTCCAGGCCCATGGTTTAGAACCGACTAGGCAGACTAGATACCCGCCAGTCCGGACCGTTAGACGCTAAGGCCCGTGCCTCCACACCCTCGTGGGCGGGACGGCTTCGGAAAGGTCAAGAGATCAAGGAAAAATGGAAAACGCCCTGAAATTGCTTTTGCCACGCCCATCTCGATCCACCATGGCTTGCAGGTATTGCTAAGTCGGACGGGATGAGATGCACATATGTGTCAGCCATCGGCCAGCAGCCAACCACAAAGAAGCCGGTCGGTTCGAATTCGGTCGTTCATTTACATCAAAGGGCATTGGTTGAGAACTTAGGTCTGCTCGTTGATTCAGCAAACATCTATCACCGACCCGTTGACCGAGCCGTTGCCTGAGGGGCTATATACGGCTAATTGATATTATAGATCCTTGTTAGTGAGGTGTATATCCAATAGTAAACGTTTGAAATATGTAGTTTCAAAATAGCGTGCAGAGTTTGCAAAGGGGAAAGGGAAGATAATTAATATAGTTTCGTATATTTCGACTCTTTCTAGGTACAGTAGAAGCGAAGTGGCTCTTGGCTGAATATGTTTACTTATACTTGGCCGTTGAATGTTGAGCTGAGCTCTTTCTCTACGATGAAAGAGGCCCTGGATAGCAGCTCTTCGTGGGAATTAGAAATCCAGGTTGGCTTCCAGGCTTGGAAACTGCGAAGTGTGAGCGGAACCACCCTTTTATCGCAACCAAAGACAGAGATGTGGCACTTTACAGTCTTAAGTGCGCTGCCCCTAAGTTAGATACCTAGGGCTGAGAAATACTAGTGTAGTAGTCAGCAGCATTACCAATAAAACGGTGCTAAGAGTTTCTTCTTTTACTTCTCAGAGCTGGTGCTTGGCAGGCTCGCTTGTTGAAGGTCTAATCGATGTTGACGGGGTAGTCGGTAGAGTCGGGGATAGAACTGGGCATCGTCCAAATTTTTCAGCAGCCCGATGTAACAGAAATACCAGCATCGGTAGACTATTGGCGATAGTTGGTGCGTCATGCTTCGGATTCCAGAGTAAAATTCTTCTCATGTCGCTGGTAAGTGGCGGGTACTAGTCCCCATTTCTCAGTCATCTATCCTCCGAGTTTCGCAGCATAATGCTCGCTGGAGATGGTGGTTGAAAAATATACGTTGATCACCATTGCGATGCGCTGGCCGGGATCGCTATGTCTTTCCATCTTTTGTCGTGCAGTGATCTAAATAAAAACAAATTAGATGATAATTAACTATCTGGAATAGTTATAGGGCATCGCCAAATGACGAATTGACGCGATGGTCGGCACATGAGTTTGAAGAAAATGGAAATAGGCGAAGTTTGGAATTACTTAAGAGAAGAATTTGTATTACGATTTCTTCCCTTCGTACTTTCGTTTTCTTTTAAGATTGGCTTTCCATCTAGGGTACCTACCTAGGTAGTTTATTACTATTTACATAATTGTCGATCACCCTTATCGAATTTATCGCGATTACCGTTTGAAGTTTAAGTATCGGCCGAGTGCATGTGGGCAATCCCCAATCCCCAATCCCCAATCCCCGCCCACCTGACATTTGTGCCTACCCGCTTACTACTGCCACCAGAAACTTAATTGTTAAGGTTCAATAACCCACCTGGGCAATCATCCATTTCTTTCTATCCCAAGTCACAACTTCACGTTACAGCCTCATGGCTCTCAATTCTACAGTAGGTATGCAGGTAACACTCTAAACCAACTAAGCATCTACTAGCGTAGGTAAGTGTCTGGTAGTATCGCATCGAATCTCATAGTTTATCTGTATACTACTAGTAGTAGGTGACTACCTAGGGTAGATTGGTCTAGTCATTAACCATATTAACCATATTCGGAGCCAACTCTCGTCATATCTACCTAGCTTCGCCAAATCTGTGTACTCCGTATTATGGGAAGCACATGTTCAGTCTCAATCTCGACCGCGCTACATACTACAGTACATCGTAGGGAACATGGGAGAAAGGGCAATCGTTGAGATCCTCGAGAGGCTTGGCGGTTAGCTGGATTGGGTTGGGTTACTGGTAGCTCAGCAACACGAGGTTTTCCTCGGCCCTTTCGGGACCATCGTCGCATTGCTTCGCCGCAAATGGCTTAGGCTGCTAGCCGACAACCATCTCGGCACCAGTCATAGCAGCCCACTTGCCAAAAACCGACAGTCGACTAAATATGACGTATCCAATCAGCCCAGGTCAGCCTCTGTTGCTTGACCAGAGAAAGCAGGGGGAGCTTCCTCAATTCCTATCACATCTAAGCCTAACATCATCAAACCCCTCCTGATTATCTCGTTACCTACCTTATCTATCGCACGATAGGGCCCTCCCGGAAGAGCCATTTGTTGATGGGATATGCTGACTTCATATCTCTCCGCTTCACTAGTAACCTCGATGACTGAGACTGTTACCTCGTATCATCTCGTAGGATACGGCTAATAGACAACCTACTTGGCTACATACTTGAGCATGTCCATCGATGGAATGCAACGTATCTACCGCCGGTCTGTACAGGTTGTGATGGATAGCCTATCCTGGCCTCAGAGCCGAATGTCTACAATTCCAGAACATGAATGCGAATAGTGTTACTGAGTTGGTATCTTCTAAGACTTCTTCGTTACGAGATCAAGACGCCTCAATCTCACCAAAGACGACGAGTTTACCGCACCAGCTGCCCGCGGGTACAATAGCTGAAAGTATAGATACGCTTAAATCGTGTGGTAGGTTGCCTATTCCGGCTTGTTAACCCCGGACAAAGCGTCGGTCGATACGGGCAACTGCCTACCAAAGTCAGCGTGCATGGCCTCACCAAGGGACCCCAGCCTTCCCAATTGTGAGCCTGCGAGTGCGGACTGGGCCGGCTTTGGGTCGGGCTGTTCGTTATCACCCACCATCGGGTTTCCATGCGCATCCAAGAGTTCGCTTGTCCATGGTAATAAATAGGTAGGCCGCTGTCCTGCATGTATTCTGCTATACTTGTATCTTTCAACATACATATTATATCACTCAGGATCTCTCAATCGCTATCAACTACAGTCGTTGGGTTTTGCCACCACTTGCATTACAATCGTTATTGAAACTTCCAGTCGCTTGGTGATCTACGTCGCCGGAATATACCAATCCTCTCGCTATTATCGTAAATAATACATCGATCAACATGAGGCCGATTCAGATTCTAGCACCTGTTGTTGGGCTAATTGCTACTGCGAAGGCTGGCGGACTGAGCACAGTGTGGACGACTGTCGTGGAAACCGACTATACTACTTATTGTCCGGTATGTGAAATGGCTATCAACGGTGGGCTACTATATCATGATCATTGATAGCTAACCTAAGTGACAGTCCGCAACTACATTTGCATGGAAAAATGTGACCTATACTGCTACAACAGAGACAACCCTCACCATCACTAGTGAGTATATATGCTCCTTTGTTATGTTAAACTCTAAGACTAACCCCCCTTAAGACTGCCCTTGCACTGTCACCTACTCTCAACCTCCTCCGGTTACCACGACGTCATATGCTACTACTCCAACATATGTCCCGACTGGAACTATTGGCACCTCATATTCCTCCTACTCTAACGCAAGCTCAACGGTCATCACTTTCACGCCGCCGCCATCGACATACATCTCCGGAACTACACCTATCACAGTTAGCGCGACTAATACTCCTATCCCGCCAACTACCAGTGGGCCTATCGTGATACCCACCGCGGGTGCTGAGAAGTTGGCGGCGCCTGCCGGAGCTCTCCTCGTTGTCGGTCTTGCCGCCTTTGCTCTGTAGGATCATTGGATCTTGTGATACTTTGAAATTCTACATATACCCCCCTCCCCTTTTTCTACAAGTCTTTTTATGGATTGCGGACTATTCTCAGAGTTGTTTGAGAGATAGATGGCAGCGTGGCGCGAAGTCCTGGTGGACTAGTTCGATACCCTCCTTGAGCCAAGGATATATAACTTGGTACATACGTTTTTACGATACATGTGTTTGACGAGGTAATGTGGGCTGCATAGGAGCAAACGGAGTTTATATGCTGAGGCTCACATGGGGGGATTTGCATTTTTACCTACCTACTTACTAGGTAACCTACCAACAATTTTTAATCCATGTGCGTGTATCTACGCATATTGGCTAATTCCATGCCACCACGGCAGAAAACAAAAACCACGCTCTCTAATGAGACTTTAGCCCGGTATTCGGGCATCGCAATAATCTAGTACATAGACTAAAATATATTAATTTGGTTTATATTTTGACGTCCTACCCGTTTAAATAGGCAGAGACTTACGTATTTCCCACAGCCGCAACGTGAAAGCTGGATGTTGAATTTGGACGCCACTTAGCATACATCGTGAAGTATGTGTGTGTGTGTGTGTGTGTGTACAGCGTAGCACACAGAAAGCTGAACCTGCGTAATCTGATCTATCACTCAAGTTTTGACATACCATACCTACCTACCTACATTCCCATTGTGTCCCCCATCCATCCCCTTCACTTCTTTCCTGGGCGAGCGGACGCCACCCCAAAGACCCCTCGAGCTAGAGTAAGGTCCTGCTGCGTTTTCTTTGGCGGGGCGTTTTTTTTTTGGGGGGGGGGGCTTTTTTTTCCTTATCTCATGCATGTCATTTACTACATAGGTAGGTATGTACATAGCTACATATGTATGTATAGTGCATACATACATGACGCCAGCCAGCCAGAAAGGGCGGGATACATGTAAGCTACTAGGTAGGTGGAAGGATTCGAAGTATGTACAATGGCGAGTGACGTTTGCTTATTTGATTTTTGGCCCCTCGGTACCCTAGGTATGTACATATGTAGGTAGGTATGTTTCTTGCTGGTAGGTATGGATGGATGCAGGCTGACTCCACCTAACATTAGGCTGGGGGAGCTTCCGTTGCTTGTGTAGCCTGGGCACTATTACATGTATGTAGATGTAGGCATATGTATGATTATGCAGGTTGTGTAGGCTGGCAGGTATATTAATCGATAGTCTTTCAAGAGGTTTGATCGCTTTCCTTCTGGCTTCTTTCTTGCATTCGTAGGGGTCTGGATAGGTACTAGGTTAGATACCTACCTACCAGGGCCTTAAGCAAGCATCATGAGAAAGATGAGAAGTCAAGCCAGGGAGAGGGGAGGAGCACGCTTCGCCATGGAAACAAAAAAAAATGTAGCTTCAAAATTGGCATATGGCCTTGGAGATAGGTACCTACAATATAGGTAGGTAGAGGTTGGTAGTACAACATAATTGTCAGCCAAGTAGAGTATCATCACCGCTTCCTTGCATACATCTGCTTCCGTCTGGACGTCAAGACTAACAGCAGCAGCTCCCTATGAGCCGTAACAACTCATCACCACATATCTACCTAGTAATCCTTAATTAATTGATTGAGGGACATTACGAGCGAGCTTACTTTCTTGCTGCTGCTCATTCCCCTTCTCAGTATCTCCTACCTTCATTTCCCGCCTTCTCTCTATTTCATTCCTCGTCTCCTCATTCACGGCGTTTTTTTGCTTCCCATCACTCGAATTGATCGAGATACATAGATACCGAAACCACCAGCTTGCCTCGGAGCTTAGGTAACTTGTATGTCATATACCTACCTATCTATATAATATAGGTGCTGTGCTGTAAGACATTGACTTACCGCCTAATATACACTCGATGCAACAATATGCGTGTGATGGAGAAGCATAGCTCTATAAACCTGCGCCGCCAAGCTCGTATTTGCTTTCTCTTCTCTCTTTTTTCTCGTCCAGTTCTTTGCCGCCCTCCAAAACGCGGGGTGGTACTGACTGTATGTACTATACTCGCTCACCTAATATCTGCAAATTTTGGTGGTTGGCTGGGTAGGTACATACATACATACATACATACATACCTACGTATAGTGGAGGTCTAGACAACTGAAAGAAAGAAGAGACATAAATCGCGAAAGGCTGGGTAAGCGAGTATGTATAAGATGCCACTTATAGCTTAACTTGAGTTGGATTGGATTGATCCGGATTGACGGAAGAGTGATGATAGAGGTAACCTTAGTATAATGTCGGACGAAAGAGGGGAGCACTATAATTAATCCTGGGTAGTGTGATGAATGGTGAGATCTCGTAACAGATGAGTCACGATAACCTACCATCCCACGTTACCAGCGAATGAGGATTGAGACCAAAGGAGCACCGCCCCGGCCTATACGGAGGGGGCCGGAACGGTCGATTTTGACGCATGAATAGTACCTTACCTACCTACGACATAGTAGATACAGATTTACGAGTCTAAAGTGAAGCTATTGATACCTACCTAGGTACCTAATTTAGCTATTGCATAGCTTCACTTTTAGCCAACTACGCAATTCCTAATCGAACCTAGCGATAAATCAGCTCACATACCCTAACCCAGTAGGTGAGCGGCGAGCGAGAAGGATGTTATCACGACTACTCCTCGGTAAGCGTACTTGCACGTGCGAGTCGTACTTATTAGCAGCCCTGGAGATAAGTATTGAGCTGAGAAGAGCACATCTCTCTGAGTAGCCTCAACCTACCTCCCTCCCTCTCTTTTCTCTAGGTACCAATCCACCCACAACCCTTCTTCATTACGTGCATCACTCACACCCTCGGCGAATATGACAATACCTACCAACATTTGTCTCATGCGCTGGCGAAATGTGATTAGTCTCTCGGCCATATCTAACTTACCCAGATCGCTTCCTACCATACTCCACCCAACATGTCCGTCATCGAACCGAACGGTCTTACATCTATGGGTAGGTCCTGGTAGGTAGTAAGTAGCAGTAGCAGTCAGATGTCAGATGCAAGGGCCCTGACCTTCTCCATCTGGACCTATGCCTAAGTCGGCAACACACAATGCTACCTTACCTGGGTCTTTAAATACGAGAAGTTTGCACCGAGAGTATAAAGTTGGTAATCAACCTCTTCTCGTAGGTTACTTAGGTAGGCAGTTTTGATGCCATACCCATGGAGTCGTGGCGTGTACATGTTACGTTGCTGTGAGCAGTTCGTTGAGTCGCTTAAGTTTTTAAAAACGGCTGAGACCCATTTACGACCATAAGATCTCACATTATATAAGCCTCCCCCAAGAAGCCGCAGAGATTTGAAGGCTGTATGATTCGTAAAAAGAGGCAAAATTTAACCCCCCGTATAAAGTTCGGCCTTATGTCCTCAGTATAGTGATTTCATTAATGTTCATGGATATCGTAATTCGTATTCGAATCATTAGCTTCCAATCATCTCAGTTCCTCATACACCAGTCACCATCAATACTTATTAAGTTATCCTTCAGATGGCTCACCTGGCCCATTAGCCTTCATCCGGGACCTAACTTCTCGTATAAGTGCTTTCGCCTCCTCGACTTCGACACCATCTTGGCATAGTTCGCTCGCTAGGCGGTTCGCCGTATCGTAGTCTTCGGTCCTCATTGCATAGCGTGCAAGCCACATTCGGGCTTTGCTCGTGGCAGCCGTAACCCCCGTACCCCCCTCTCCGCGTCTTCCATGGTCACCTTCATCATCTGATCCATCGCCCGGAGAGTCGTTATGGATCGCGATACTCTCGCCCTGGCTCTCGCCCGCCCCGCCATCCTCCTGTGCCACACACATCTCCATGTATGCCTTGGCGTCTTCTTCCTCGCCAATGCTGTCATACATACTCGCGATCTGTAGTAAAATCTCCGGATCCATGTGCGCACCTCGGATGCTACCCGGTGTTTCGCCGCTGCCGAAACTGCTACCCGAATCATAGTAACTCTCGGCAAGCAATGCCCGCTTGAGTGCCTTGATTCCATCCTGGTTTCGATTCATACGCTGGAGGCATGAACCAACAGCCATCCACATTTTCCCATCCCACGGTCTGAGCCCGGCCGCCTTCTTGAAATACCACAGTGCATACGTGTGCATTTCCAGCACTTCGTACGTCTGTCCTAATCCATACCATGCGCGATAATCTCTTCGGTTAACATCTACAGCCCGGCGGTACGACTCAATAGCAGCGTGCGTATTCTTAAGTTCGACGTACTCATGCCCCATTAGCGTCCAAGCTGATAAGCAAGAACGATCCAGCATCAATGCTCGTCGGAAGTATTGGACGGCCTTTTCGTGTAGAGACAATAGTGAGTAGTAGTTGCCAATGACCACACATGACTCCGGCCGAAATTTATCGACACTACTACATAAGTGTGCTAAAAATGCAAGTTTCGGTCGTGAGTTCATGACGTAGAGTATGTTAGAATAGTGGTCGAGGGAATCAAGTCGGTGTGGGTGTAAAGAAAGAATTCGACTGAAGTGTTGCTCGGCTGCAACGAGATCTTTCGCATGATAAGAGAGTAGCGCGTCGCAGGTGAGAAGGAAAGATGACGTCGGGAATATGTGTAGTAGTTGATCGAGCGAGGTGGCGAGGGTAGCGTCGTGCTGGTATAGTTCAAGAGAGGTGTGAATATGGAACATGAAAGAGACGATGTTTTGTGGCAATCGAGGCATTACTCGATTTAACTATGGGCAGTTAGTAAAAGTACACCTGTTTTACATGCACCCCTTTTCCTCAAGTAGTAACTTACGTCTTCCACTCGCGAAATGAGTGAAGTCATCTCCAACCAGGCACCCCAATTCATTGGGAATAGGTGTACGCTGCGAATCAGCCAGTACATTGCTAAGTCTTCGTTCTTCTCCTTGGAAAGGACCAATCCATAGAGATACTCGAGCCACCCTTGGCTTCCTTCGATCACGTCATCATCGTCTGTCTTTCGTAGATCAAACCAGGTTTCGAGAATGCGGCTCACGGTCCGTAATTGCTTATTGACACAAGTGCCAATGTCTTGCGGTCCCATTACCATCTCGGTGTCTTCATCTTTTCGTTTCTCCCCAGATAGATATTTGGCGTATAGGGCAAGAAACAAACTTCGTTGGCTCAGGACTGGTAAGGATGTTGCACTGGGGACTTTGGGAGTGCCAGTGGCAACCTTTCCTTTTCCTTTGCCCTTTGGGGTCACATTTTTGGGCTCTTTGGAAGTTACGATGCCAGCTAGTATGGAGTCGGGCAAGAAGACGGCGGCACATCGATCATATTCACGACAATCGAAGAAAGACTTAGCTAAGAGAAACTTGTTGATCTCCTTGGCCTCTAATAAAGCTTCGTCGGGGTCTACATTCGGTGCCAGTATTGTCGACGCATTTGCAGAAACATCGGAAAGTTGTGAGTCGTCAGGCGATGCTTCGGCTTCGGGGATAGCGTTGAGAAGCTCAGCTGCCCTACACAATGATTAGACAGGCGCCCAGAATACGCCATCAGGCAAAAGAAGGGAGAGTGGTAGAGAGAAATACCATTTTGATGATTGGTAAAGACATCTTTCTGAGCACTTCGTGACCGCTTCCTGTAGAGCGCTTCGAAGTTGTGATTTTTCTCGATCGGTCAGTGACATGGTGATATTCTTGCTATAGGTTTGTGGATGTTCGTGAAGGCGCGGTTATATGCAATAGCTCCAACACCGCGTCGCGAGGCGTCGTAGCTCCAAAGCAATTGATCAAGGGGGGCAAGCAATCAGCTTGGACAACGGGCTGTTGAAAAATTAGTAAGAAAAGAAAGCAGCAAATGTCGATAGGTTTTTTTTTTACATTTTATACAGATTTGTCGTCATCCTTTGCAAAGTTTCAACATGAAATGAGTAAAAATCAAAGGATTGATTTCACTATTATACAAAATAAAAGATGGTGCAAGCTTCAAATCTGTCGTTGCCCCTCCAAAGGTTAATCAATATTGACGAAGCAACTGATAGTAAGGTGGCAGTTATCGATAAGGATATATTCTTATCGGCAGGACCCATAAAATTCGATGTTGTACTACTCTGTGGTAGACTCCGAGGTCTGTACAATACCTACCTACAATGTATTGTATTGTACAATACATACCTACCCTACCCTACTCGGTACGTAGCCTAGGTAGTACCTTACACCGCATGTCCTCCCTGCACTGAATTACATAGTATTAGTGTAATAAAGAGTTAAAGAGTAGAGATATAGTGCCCTGGGTAGTATCTGACAAGTGAATACTAAATATGAACATACAAGGTAAACCCGAAAAAGAGAGTGGTAAGAAAAATCGGGAATTACTCAGATAGGGAATGGAATTGCACGTAGTGCGTCTTGTTCCGATGAATTATGTGCTACAAGTGATTTCATTGGGTAAGACGTAATTTGATACCTAGCCCAAGGTTTGATAAAGTAGGTACCCTTAGTTTCCTCTTCATAGATACATAATACTATAATACTATGATAATAGTAGTACAGCTAGTTATAGTAGGGACTGGGGAAACTAGTACGTAGCAGGTTGTCTCACAACATGAGCCCTCTCAACCATCTTAACCCCTAGAAGTGCCCCTCACTAAAAAAGAATTATGGAAACTCAATCCAGTAATTGCACTTTATTCAACGCCACTACACCAACAACTGCAACCTCCTCCTCACCCTCCTCTTCCTCTACCACACTATAAACCCCTTCTCTTGTATTTAAATATAACTTGAATACCCAACCTCAAGTGTCCGACTTTGAGCTTCATTCTGTAACTCCTCACCCTCACCCTAAACCTCAAAGTAGAACCAAATAAACCAAAAGGAAAATGGCAAAGAAAACCACCCTCCAGCAGTTTGAGTCGGTCTTCCCGAAACTTCAGGAAGACCTTCTAGCTACCGCGAAGCAGTACAATCTGCCCCAGGAGCAGCAGGATTGGTATAAGAAGGTGAGTTTTCATATTATGCTTCATCCTGTCAATTTCATAATATGAAAATACCTCATATTCTGCCATTCTTATATCATTTCCCCCACTATACTCCCCGAGGGAGAGAGCAAGACACACCAAAGGGGAAAAAAGAAGGAATCTCATGAGATGGCAAGACTAACACATACTTAGATGCTCGAGGTCAACGCAGTAGGTGGAAAATGCAATCGGGGCATGTCAGTTCCTGACTCTGTGTCTCTGCTCCTCAACAAAGAATTATCTGAAGAAGAGTACTTCCATGCTGCTACGCTAGGCTGGCTGATTGAACTCCTTCAAGCATTCTTCCTTGTCTCAGATGATATCATGGACGGTAGCATTACACGGCGTGGAAAGCCATGTTGGTATCGTCAGGAAGGTGTCGGTATGGTTGCCATCAACGACGCTTTCCTGCTCGAGTCCGCCATCTACACTCTACTCAAGAAGCACTTCAGATCTCACCCATCGTATCTCCCCATGATTGAGCTATTCCATGAGACAAGCCTGCAGACCGAATTCGGCCAGCTATGCGATCTTCTCACTGCCCCGGAGGACGTAGTGAACCTGGACAACTTCAGCTTAGAGAAGTACACCTTCATCGTCATCTACAAGACCGCCTATTACAGCTTTTACCTGCCAGTTGCTCTGGCCCTACACCAGCTCAACATCGCCACCCCTAAGAACCTAAAGCAGGCCCATGATATTCTGATCCCCATGGGCGAGTACTTCCAAGTTCAAGATGACTACCTAGACAACTTCGGTCTCCCTGAGCACATCGGCAAGATCGGCACTGATATCCAAGACAACAAGTGCTCGTGGCTGGTAAACAAGGCTCTGGAGATCGCAACACCTGAGCAGCGTAAAGTACTTGAGGAGCACTACGGAAAGAAGGACAAGGCCCACGAAGCCGAAGTCAAGAAGCTTTACGACGACCTGAAGCTCGAGAAAATCTACGAGGATTTCGAAGAGAAGAGTGTCACTAAGATTAGAGCTTTGACAGCTCAATTGGACGAGAGCGAAGGCCTGAAGAAGGAAGTCTTTGACGAGTTCTTGCAGAAGATCTACAAGCGAAGCAAATGAGCTTCTCAAATTTTGAGAAATAAGAGTCTTCGTTAGGGGTTAGTTGGTCTGTTTCGATTTCGGATATGAAGCGAGGGAAAGCATTCCTCCTCACTTGACGCAAGATGTTAATGCGGAATATCATTAGATGTTGACTACAAGTTTTTGGAAGAAACAATGAAAAAATAATAAATAAAAATAATACCTTGCGGTCTTGGTGAGTGACAACATTCTGCCTATTCTATGCATACCCCTTTATCAAAACTTTGAATCCACCGAAATCCCACTTAAATCGTTGTTCACGCTATATACCTAAGCACCATAAGCACCTTAGGTAGGTAAGTATATACCTAGGGTAGGCCGTATACTCCTCTTTCAGCTTCAACGTCAACTTTTCATTTGATCAAATCAGCTCCGTCTCCTTCTCCTTCTCCTTCTCCATTGCCGGCCCCACCTCCGCAACAAAACGGGATCGTGGCTGCATCCGCACCATCAGCGGCCCCTTCTTCCACAACATCTCCATCCTCGCCTGCCCCACCCAGTCCCCCGGGTCCCGCGCCAGCTGCATGTCGTACGCGTGCACGAGCTTCGCGATCGAGATCCGCATCTCCAGGTACGCCTGCGCGATCCCCAGGCAGCTGCGGGGCCCGCTGCTGAAGGGGAAGGCGGCGGCTGTGGGAGGGGGCTTTGGTGGGTATGCGCTATTGGTGGTGGGGGAGCTGACGGGGGGATTGCTGGGAGGGGAATTGTGGTCGGCAAGCCATCGCTCGGGCCGGAACTCGTGCGGAGAATCCCACACGGACGGGTTGTGGTGCAGCACCCACTGCGACACGGAGACGCGGACGCCCTGGGGGATGTAGACGCCGTCGATGGTTTCGCCGGGGGAGACGCGCGGGAGGCCGAAGGCGATGGGGGGGAAGCAGCGCACTGTGTGGAGGGGGAGGATTTAGTTAGTTGCGCTGTCCAAGCAAAATCATTTACACCAAACTAACTGTACCAAGGCGAGTAGGTTAGGTAAGGTTAGGTAGGGGGGTTGCACTCACTAGACTCCTCAATGACCGCATTCAGATACTTCAGCTTGGGCAGCTCGACCCCGTTCAGCTGCTCGTACCCCAGCGCGCGCACCTCATCCTGCACGGCCTCCAGCGCCCGCGGCGTCGCGCACAGGAAGTACACCGCCGTCGTCATCGCCACCGTCGCCGTGTCCGCGCCCGCGATCACCATCGCCTGCATCAGCGAGACCAGCTGCTTCTCCGTCACGTTGGCCCCGTATACCCCACCCCCACTCTCTCCTCCCTTCTTCTTCTCCTTGGGCTCTAGCAGAGGGGTTAGGATGTCACGCTTCTCCTGCTGCTGTTGATTATGGTAGGGCGTGAGATGGTGCTGGCGCTGGCGCTGGCGCTCGACGCGCCGCCGCACGGTCGCCAGCGTGTACGCGTAGTGCTTGCGCAGGTTGCGGATGGCGGAGATGGACAGCAGGAAGGGGAGGACGAGCACGAGGCTCGGCGCGCGCCGCACGAAGCTGGGGAGGATGGCGGCGTGCGCGCTGTCGGTTAGCAGCGTGATCCAGAGGTGCGTTTTTCCCGTCGCGACGGCGTTGAAGGATTCGCCGAAGGTTAGTTCGCCTATTTTTTGGGGGGGAGGGGAGGGGAGGGGGAATGGTTAGCTGGGGTTCGATGTAAATAGAAAGGTAGGTAAATGTAAAGTAGGTAGTGAAAGGGTTACGGTTAGTAGGTAGGTAGGTAGGTAGGTAGGTAGGTAGGTAGGTAGATAACGGACTTACCCATAACATCAAACGCCAGCCACCTCATCGCCTCCCCCATGTCCACGCCCTGCCCCCAGCTCCCCTCGCTAATCTCGCCCACCTTCCTCACGAACATGTCGACGTAGCGGTGGATGAGGTGCTCCTGGCCTTTCACCGCGGTGCCCGTGAAGCCGGGGGCCAGCGCCTTCCGCATCTTGGCGTGCTGCGCCGGGTCCAGCTCGTAGAAGACGTTGGTCACGTCGCCGTTGTTGTAGAACATCCCGCACTTGAGGAAGGGCTTGCGCGCGCGCGAGGGCGTCGAGTAGATGTCCCGGTGCGCTTGCACGGTCGCGAAGGAGAGCTCGTTGGGGGAGATGCGGACGATGTCGCCTGTGGGGGGTTTTCTTTTTGTTAGAGGAGCTGGTTGAGGTCTAGGGGAGGCGTGGAAGAAGGTAAGAGGGCTAGGGGTAAAAGGGGGGGGAGGGGGGGGGAGGAGAGGACGAACCGTATTTCTTGTGCGTGTCCTCTAGGATCATCGGGTATCTCCCCGTGGTCCAGGACCAGATGAACCACGTCTCAGATATCGCTGCGAGTCTTGGCCCGGGGTATTTGGCGAGCGGGTGGAACCAGAGGCAGTAGACGCACCAGCCGAGCCAGTAGACGGCTCCCTAGAGAGGTAGAAAATATATATCAGCGCCTGCTCTCTACGATATGGCGATATGGTGATATGGATGTCGTGGGGGGGTTTACCAAGGCCGCTACAGCTAGCCCCGTGACAAGAGGGCTCAACGCTATATCGATCATCTTTGCGATCTTTGATTTCGATAAATTCTAGATGATATTGGAGTACAGTACACTAGGCGCGGTCAAGTGACGAGAGAGTCTGATAACCCTTTTCGTAAAATAAATCTCGATATAATAGGAAACAAGAACAGATGTCTTCTCAGAACACCTACGACTAAGTCAAGGAGCCTGACTATACGTCCATGCCAGTTATTAAGTACCACGACACAGACAGCATCGCCTCACTCGGTATCCCAACTCTCCTCCCCCCCTCCCCCTCCCTCTCTCTTCTACCTCGCGGCCCCAACCCCAACCCCAACGCCATGATACTATCGATGGGCGGAATCATTCATCCAGCACACCTCCCTCTCACGTTTCGGCTTAACGACCATCATACCTACCTCCCGCGATCTTTTCAGCCCCGGGCTTTTCGAAAAGATAGGTAGGTAATGTGACTCAGATAGATGGAACGGAGTATAAGCAGCATCGTGTATTACCTAGGACCTACCTACCTGGTATACCGGGTAGGGTAGGTTGGTCGCTAGCCCCGACTCAACCCAACAACATCTTACGCCCAGACGCAGACACACCGTATTCCGAATCTAGTTGCTATTTAGCCCTCCATCTTTTACTTCGCCCGATCTTAGAAGCTTTCCAAGGGTTAATAAGTCGGGATGGGAGGAGGGGGGGGGGGGGGGGGGGGCTGCGCGATGAGTAGATAGATTTTTCATCAGCTTGGCTTAGACGGGCTCCAACTTCCAGGTAAGGTTACGTGCGTGACACCTACTTACCTACCTACCTTACGTACGTATTTGTGCATTATCATTGTAAGATTCGATAGTAGGTAGGTATGAGATAAATAGGATCTATGTAGATAGCGAGAAGGATTCCAAAGAAAATAAAAATTTGGTTCTCTTCGTCTCTTGTGCCTCGGAACGGGATCTCACATGGCGTGAAGGAGGATGATGATGATGATGATCCTTCGGGGGGGGAGGGTGCGGTGGTGAAGATGAGATGATAGATAGCCTTGGAAGTATACCTACTCACTTATTTTACCTACCTTGTACGTGCGTATGACAGCACTGCCAATCGGGAGACTCGCATGAGCACAACATAAAAAACCCAGCCGGCATTCTTCTGACCCGGCGCTTCGGACGAACCCCCTCGATCGAGACCGATTGCCCAAACCGGGAACCCTAGAAGTCATCGTGACAATGACAATACAATAATACCATGAACCCACTCTAATTTGGCTGATCACCGGGATAATAGCCTTATTTGCATCTATGTACATAGGTTAGCAAAGAAGAAGAAGAAGTCCAGCTCCTCTCTCTCAATTCGGCGTAAGACTGGGAGCTCCATAATAACTAGGTACTCAGAGAGCCCGAATAGGTAATCGCCTGAGCACGTGGGTGGTCCACCATGGCCGAAGATGCACTTACTTCTATGTAGGTAGGTATGTAAGCTCACGGGTTACCGATAGGTTGGTGCATTCATAAGGCTGAAATCAGATCACCCATTGATTTGTTGGTAAGCTTTTGTAGATAAATAGATCCTTACATACCTAGGTACCTAGATAGATTAGATCCCGTTGTTGACAATAGTTCGCCGGACCGAAGGTGTCAGCTAACGAATTGTCGGATAATTTGCCCACTAGGTATTACATGCAATGCGCCTCATCTTACTTGGGCCGATGTGTGCGCCTCGATGTCACCGGATCGGTGAAGCGGGCGGCCACGTGGATGGCACATAGGTAGGACTTCTCACGCCTATGCACAAGCTTCACGAGCCCTGGCGTATTTATTTATCTACTCAACCCCGAAGTCCTCACCTCGGTAGGCTAGGGACGGGATAAAAGAAGTCGGCAAGGCTTAGCTTGTTGTGTGTATACTAGGTCAGATATGTAAGTGTGCATGAAGCGTGATCAAAAGTGTTTGTAAATATTACTTTGTAATGTACCTATTATTGATCTTAGTCCCAACGGACATCAACTTCAGCTTACACAAAGTTACAAACTAACCTTAGTTAATAAGGTCCTACTTAGCCTCTAGGTACGTAGTTGGTATTTAGCACGGCATGAACTTCATGAAGAGCTTATATGCATCTTATGTAATGGCTCTAGCCTTTGATACTCAGCATACATATGCAACGCCTCTTTTCACATCACCAACGTCACTTACCCAATTCTACCTACCTACTTACCTACCTAGACATCTAGAATACAAATATCGAAGAGCCACCAACATATCTCATTCCCACCATCTTTTAACAGACCTGAGGCCTCGATGTCCTCCCATGAGCGCCTAAAACGCCACAAGGAATCAAGCTTCCCACCTTCTATCACTTCGCCCCGTTCCCATTCTACTTCCTATATACTACTAGTAGCAGTACCCGCAGAATATAGCCGACTTTGATGGTTGCCATAACCATGTTCTAGCAAAACCAACGAAGCTGAAGTGACAGCTATTCTTATCTCGCATAAAGTTCCTCACATCCTTTAGAAAAGGGGCTAAATGATAAAAATGTGTAAAATTCAAGATGCGTTATTACAAATATATATCTAGATGAGGCGCGTACGCCAACATGTAACTAAGTAGTAGGTAGTAGGTAGTAGGTAGTAGGTAGTAGTAGTAATAGTAACAGTAATAGTAGTTAAAAGTTAGTAGTTAGTAGTTAGTAGATAGGCAAAGGCATCGTCCGCCCCCCCTTATTTAATATCACCATGCAAACGCTGCTATGCAAACATCTCCATATCCCATCGTAGACCCCATCCCACCCGTCCCGCTCCAATATGCAAAACACATATCCCATTGAGAGTTCCTTCGCTCGCTCTTTCACTCTCTCTCTGATAGATAATGCACCCCGGCCCCTAAACTCCGCCGCTTTACCAATGAAATGATGAGAAGTTGGTCAGTGGAAACCAAAATGATAGATTCTCCACCCGACTCCAATACAAAGAAAATAGGCGATAATCCGCACAGAATTAGTAATTAGATCATGTAATAATATGAAATATTACACCACCTTCAACGTTCCTGTCCTGCCTGGCACCGAGCTGTAGGCACTGTATTCGCGATCTTTTGCTCTGCCCCGTTCTCTTTCCCGCTCCTTGTCTCTAATTCGCATTGGTGGGTGCGACCGTAGAGGTGATGCGGGAAAGGGAGGCAACGAGGGAACGGGCGGAACACCTACGTCATCCGACGTTCTAGGAGGTGGCGCACCTTGTGTCTTACTCCGTGTCCGGGAAAGACTTGGCAGCGGCGCTGTGTTCGGAGGACGGCGTAGGGCGCTGCGCGGTGGGATTTCGACCTCATTAGCTTGGATGGAATCCGGGATCGTGATTAGATCAATTAGATGCGTAGTGCCTTCGGGGGCTTTGACTCCGTGGCCTGTCTTTTTCTTTGCCCATTGTGGCGCTTCTTGGAATGAGGACTCTAGATTGACTAAAGGCTTCGGTCGATCGCGCCGGTTCGAGTGTGACATGCCTATCGGTTGCGAGTTTAGCGGATGTGGATGCTCATGGCCCATGGTTAGATGTTTGCTGTTTATAGGTGGCGGTGGAGGTCGAGATGATGAGTTGTGAGAATGCATTACACCTGCTGATGTGCTCGGCCGGGCGGTAGAACTAATACTACGTTTCCTGGCAGAGTGCTCCAGAGCCGACGGGAACCAGGAAGGAGAGTTGGGATCATGGGTTGGCGTTTTCGGCTCATTCTTACTGTTTAGGAGAGAAGGTCCGCTGGTAAATCCATCATCTCTAGATCTTTGCCGTCCGCGATCTGGTCTTTCTACTTCGGCCTGAGTGTGCCTGCGTCCTTCATACCCCTCGCCGAGAAGACCACCGCCGGTAAAGCCGTCATTGGTCACAGACTTGATGCTGTCAATCAACTTTCGATCACTCTTACCCTCACCTTCAGCTTTGCCCCCAGAATTGAGATGCTGTGCCGGAATTTTCTTCGGCATAGTTGACACGTCTGGCACCGGTGGTAAGAAATCTTGCCCAAACTGAGATAGCCGTTTGTCGAAACGCTTCATATCGAGGAGCGGCTCGAATTGCCCGATCGCATATGGCGTCTCATCGACCGATATTCGAAGACGATGGCCGTTCATCGAAGCGACGTTTACCGACTTCTTTGGCGAGGGTGTGATGTTAGGTAGCGAGATTTGGGGCGGCTTCTCATCCGTCTTTCGAATCGAGATATTTCGCGGCATCTTCGTGGGCTTCGGTCGATGATCTGCCAAGTACCGACTGCGCCAACCCTGAACCTTTTCTCGAAACTGGGCCATGACTTTCGGATCTTCCGTACAGAAATACTGGACATAATTCTCGGTATTCATGAAAACCGTGGTCTTCTGTTGACTCTTGACCGCGAAGCAGTATCGTTTGGGGGGCTTGATATGCCTTCGCATCTGCGACTCTGTGGGTGCATAGATGTCGTAGTCAGACAAGCGACAAAGACTTACAGTGTCCTTTTCCGCCGAACCGGCGTTTGGCTTTTTCGCACATAGGATCTGTCCGTTGGCAAGAAGTGTGATCCACCTCTTATTCCATTTCCCGGAGCGATTCGAGTGGTACATGTACAATTGGAAACCTTGAGGTGGCTCATTCTGATCCAAAACGAAATCGAGATCGAGTTCCAAATTCTCTTGCTCGGAACCGAGCACCGTAACTGTTAGTTGGTTTTGAGTATCCCGATCCCAAGAATTCATGACATCTCGGATATGCTCATAACGTCGTAGACGACGCTCGAGTCCCAATACACCGTACGTCTCTACAACTACATAAGTTGACGGGTCGATATCGTTAGAACCCATCTTCTCCGAGGTTTGGAATATCATGTCATCTGCAGTCGTCTCGGGCGTGACTTCGAGACCAAGAGTATGATGTCGGTAACGCACTGCGACACTCTGTGAAGGTGTTGTATTAGTATGTGCCACCGTCCTGGCGAGAGGTTACTAGGTTACTTGATACTTACTCGGTCTCCAGCGTTAATCGCGGATTGCGGCGCATCGGTTTGAGGCACGGCACCTTTACCGCCAGGCTCTATACTGTTTGAGAAGGTTCTCTGGGGTTCGATGCTGGTATTTGACGATGAGGGAGAGAGCCCGGGAGATAACCCGTCTCTATTTTTTCGCCCTCTGGTCAAGGAAACAAACTTTTCGATAACGGGACTCTTTGGCTTATGTGGCTGCGCCCGAACGGTCGGTTGACTGTTCGCCAAGTGCATCTCGAGCCTTGCGAGGTCTTTCTTCTTTTGCTCAATCAACAACCGCCGGTTCTCGGCTTCCAAGCGCGCCATCTCTCGCTGAGCTGCCTCGTCATCTTCTACACTGTTCAACCTGTGTCGCCTCCCATCTCGGCTGGCAAGCCTCCGCCAGGCACTTTCCTCACTCTTGGTGCTCTTGACGCTTTTCGCCGTACTCGGCCGGCTCTGGTGGTGATGATCCGCCATGTTTTGGCGTGGCGTATGCCTTCGCGTACTGTCGTTATGGCGTAACAGGTGTCGCGAAGGAGAATCGAGTGAGGTGATCGGGGTACCACTCCCCTTTTGTGTCATGCTGGCGGTCCTGGACGGACGTAGTATAGTTGATACAGGGGTTTTAGTCGGGGGATCCCATGGGGGTGGTGGATCGGAATTAATCTTTTGGGTTGCATCGACGTTGACAGTAACGCTACGTGCGGGCCTGCGGTAGCGAGACATGGATCTAGCGATAGCGCTTCCCGATGTGGCCTCCTGCTGCTGCTGGCTCCGTTGGTCACGGTCATGGCCACTACTATCTCGCCGACCACGTTCAGATCGAGTCGCCATTTTATTTACAGTATTCGGGATCATTGAAGAGTTTGCCTCCCTCAAACTTTTAGTTCGGCGGTTGTCTGTACCCTTTATTAAAGAGAAGTTCAGGCGAGAGAAGAAGCTGGACGGCACGGGGGCGAGCGGGACGGTGAGAGTCTCGGACCTTGTTAACATCGTGGCAGGGGGGGTCTGTGGAACCAAACCGTTTAAAGTACATCAATGGGCACACCAACCGACAACAACCTGGAACTTGAAAGCAAACTACGCCGTTAGCCTGTTGGCCCGGGCGATGGTTACGTAGCGATCCCACCCAGTACCTAGGCACTAGGCACTTAGGCAGGCTGGTAAGGTGCGCAAGGTGCGCTGTGACAGATGTTTAATAACAAGCTTAAAACGCTACGTCCAAGTGCGAAACTAGACGTCTTTGAATATTAAAGATGGTGCCGAGTGATGCGACGGCGCGCGGTAGTTGGTATATTCTCTTTAATATAGGAATGATAGCGCTGGACCCTGATTACCCTGATTAAGGCGAAGCTGAAATATTATTGCATCGGACTATTCTTCTTAGGTCAGTAGGCAGGTAATAGATAGTATTAGATACCATCCATGGATATCTTTTCGCATTAGTTAGTTGACGTTCTAAGTTGAATGTGGTCTGACGCCAACAATGGCCATTGTCTACACTAATCCTAGGGTAGTCCTGTTTTCGATGACTCGTGACCGGTCATTCGCTCAGGCGTTATACGATGGAGGGCGAGGGATTAGATGATCCTACCCACGAAAGGATTAGATGACCCAAAAGGAACTGACTAAATTTGGCAGATTGCCGAGAGGATTAAGTTATTGACAAGAATGATATTATAAAGGCAAGGTATCCAAAGGGGATATTTACCGGGTGTTGTCCATATCAGGGTTGAATTATGCGTGGAGGCACCCAAGTAAACTCCGAAGTGATCACGGTTCATCACAAACGAGCGATGTTTCGCTGACATAGCTAGATAATGCCTTATGTAACAACAAAGAAAAAAAAGAGAAAAAGTAAAAATCTTGGCTTGCTCACGAGCACTGTTACTGTTACACTGACTAATAAACTTACCAAAATTCAAGGTCGTGGTCACTAACTCACTGGTCATAGAAATGATAGAATCAGTATCCAGGTACCTAAGTGTATGCAAGGGGCAAGCAATTTCAGGGGCATTGATAAAGAGTGCAGGGCTCGGCAGGGGATCCCGCATTGCGTCAGTGATCATCGCTAGTAATCGCCAGTAAAAGCCATTGAATTGGCCCAACTACAAACCAGTAAATTGCTTAGCGCTTGTCAGGTACGGAAACTTAAAATTCGCAATTTGGTCAGAGTGGATATCAGGTTCCACCTACCAAAGAGCATGCTTCTCCAGGTCTAGGCAAGAAGGGGGAATCCTGATGCATATCGTGCCTTACATATTCGTAGAACTACTGCGTATTATTCCATTACCTCAAGGCTAGGTACTACTAGTAGTACGGCGTAATTAGTACTCTACCCTACATAGGTGTAGTACAGTACTAGTACTACTAGGTAATATGTAGTACGCAGGAAGGGGCTTTGAAGATGTGAACCGGGAAACTTGTGCCACACACGAGATTTTGTTGTTCGTATTAAAGACATGAAGTTATATAAATGGTAACAACATTTGAACTTACTTGATACTTAACTACATGCAGCCGTAGATGCAGCTGAAATTATATAAGGCTTAGCAACTTACCAACTACCTAAGCAGGTATACATACCCGTCTGATTTATATATAGGTATATATCTCGGACAATTTCAAGACTCATGGAGTTTTGGTACCGTATCTGCCTACACAGCCATCTGCGCCTTCGAGCTGCATAATAAATACTACGTAACAGTAGCCTGTTGCAACTCGAGTTATCCCTGCATTCATTTCTTCCAGCCCTGATTTACTGAATAATTGGTAGGCATCCTTGATATCTGGAGGCTCTCTTGATATGTAGTTCAGTAGATTTCATTACTTCCCAATAGATGGTTCAGGTCTAAGACTGTAGAAACAATTCTCTGCTTTGACTAATGTCTCGCATTCCCGAAAAAACTGAAACCAATAAAGCCCTGGCCATGATTGTAGGGCGCAACTTGTGCAACTCTCTTGCAGTTACAGACTTCTATGTGCTGTCGCGAGCCATTGTCTCAGACCCTCATTTTCTAAAGGCTTTGACGTTCCACCTCCACCAGCCGGTGAAATCTTGAGTGGACACGTCAATACCGAGATCCTTCAGCGCCTTTGTACTGAGATGGCAGTCGTAAGGCCTCTGAACCGATGCGTTGGGATCGTTCCCCTCTGTATTGGGTTCGATACCTGCGATCGACAGACCCATGATCTCACCAAAGCGTTGACATATCTCGTATTTAGTGCACTTGTCCTCCGATGAGAATTGGAGGATAGAAGGCAGCTTGGATTTGTCGTCGGAACCTAGATACTTAACAGAAATATCTGTAAGGATATAGTCAGCGATAGAGAAATCATGAGGGACGTTGACTACAACAGAATAGTGCAAAGCACGTACCATGGCATACCCGTCCAACATCCTCGGTCTACTAATAGTTAATACGGAAGCGCGGACAATTAATCTGGGGAGGTACCGCAACATACTAAAGATATGTTAGTTGCCGTAATAATTGAGGCTGCAAGATACCGGAAAGGCTTCTAGAAAAGAATAGCCTATCCATAGGACTCGGAAGGGTAGATGCATTCATATGGATGTATAACATACCATTGGTAGGATAACGAAGGGCCCAGTGGTCCATCTTAATCTTGGACACGGATTCTTGTGCCTTCCACACATTATCCAAGAGGATATTCACAGCACTCTCAGCCGGAACCTCTGCATCACCGTACAATACGGGAACTCGCAGGACCACTCCTAGCCCTGCCTTGCCGGCCTTCTGGTATTCTTCTAACACGACATATTCTCCGTCTAGCTTCGTCTGACCGTACAAGTTCGTGGGCTGTGGTTTCGCGTCTGCTTCATAAGGCGCATCGCCGGGTTTACCAGGAAATACGTAGTCGGTGGATATGTAGATCAGCAAGATGCCGCGGGCGGCACAAAGCGACGCAAGTCTCCTGGTTGCCTCAACATTTAGAGCACGGGTCCCTTCGGGGTCCTTGTCGCATTTATCGGGGAACCGGTTTGCGGCGCCTGACAAGTGTCAGCTCCCATGGGTTTTACGGGCGAGCAAAGGCCAGATGATGTAACTAACAATGAACCACGACCTGCGGTCTTGGAAGTGAAGTGGAGTGTCAGCTCGTATGTTATTGGCAAGCGTAATAAACTCCACTGAGTAAAATGAATGAGGTCATACTTGACGTCGTCTAACGCAGCTGTAAGCTGTTCCGCATTGACCAGATCAACTTTGAGAACTGATACCCCGTCGGCGCGGGAGTAGCCTGTGCCTTTCACATTCCATTTTCCTCTTTCGAAAGCCCTTACGACCTGTCTACCAAGGAGACCGGTAGCACCAGTAACCAATGCGGTCTTACTTGACATTGCTTCTAGTCAAAATATTCCTTGGACTCGATTTAAGATCAACTTTGGTCAGAGCTGTAAACGTGTAAGGAAGGTAAATAAAAAGTTGTATGAACAATGATGACATTTACTACATAGTAGAGCTTGGAGGGGATAACTAATAGCGGGGTTATTTAGTGAGGGCCATTTCATAGCTGTCCCCTGTAAAGTGGGAACCTTGAACACTACTACATAGTACATAGTAACTAGTAGGTGCTAAGTATAAATAACTACCCTAGATAAAGCACCACATGTGACCTCATAACAGCTGTTGTAGTTATTGGCAAATTGAAAGGCTTTGCATTGTACTAGAAATCTCTAAATATTATTCTAAAAATACTTTTATTCAATACAAACTCAAGCAGGGTCTTACCATTCTTTCCTTGCAGCACTCTTAAGGTCATCCACATTCAGCATGTCTACCCCTTCTTCCATCAAAGTATGCCAGACCTTGTTCCTCAGTCCGATAGGCCATCCAGGCGTATCCCAATACCGAACCTTGAGTCCTCTCTGGTGAGCCCCCTTGATCTGCCCGCGGATTGTGCGAAGCTGGCTATCACTAAAACCACCAAATATCAACCCCACAGCTTCTGTGAGACTTGTGCTGGCGTATAGTGAATTCGTCTCGTTATATGTAGTGTTTGTAGAGCCAGTATCGGGGACACTAGGATCTTCCCACATTTCTGCAAGCGGTGCATCAAAGAAAGCATCTCGGTACGTGGAATTTTGCACCACTAGATCAAATGGCGTGTTTCCGGTGCCCACGACGGTTACTTGGCGCTGATGGACAACTTGATCTTCAACGTAGGTGAGCCAACCTCTTGATCTGAGAGGTTCTAGTTGGGCTAGAACATGTGGCCAAATTTGAGCCCCATCCGTCTTTAAATCAACCAAGAGGATAACGGCTTGCTCTGGATCATAGTCGAACACGCCGCGTCGAGTATCGTTGTAGAATGGCGTATGTGGGTTTGTTCGATTGAGCAGATCTACTAAAGGGTTTATATAAAGAGATTCGAAGCTGCGATTCGTAGTCAAGGCGGCGGTATCATGCCCGACGTAGAGTTTTGGATCATCATCAAAAAGCCAAACATCTGCTTCAACTCCGATGCAGCCGGCGTGTAGTGCCGAAAAGAGCGGCACTTTGCGCCAGTAATCATTATGTGAATGACATCGTATCGGGACGACGTCTCGGAGGAAATCTGTAGGATACCAAGCTAAGCCTTCAGTTTCTGTCCCTGGCTTTCCCCAATTACCAAATATTTTGTCCGGATCGTCTTCTATGCCCCACAAACTCCTTGCGATAGAAAGAAGCAGACTTATGAGCAGAGTGATGGCACTAAAATTGGGGAGTCAGTCAGTCATACAGATTTTAATACGGTCCGTATTTTCAGTGTTATAGCAGCGCCTACAGAATTGTCACCCCCCATATACTACCACAAGTGAGGTAGCCCCGCCAGCGTTTCCTTTTAGGGGCGTCTCGTGTTATATTGTCCTCTGAATCTATTCTTGTTTCGGGAGAATATTCGCTCTCTTCATTTTTACCAACGCGCATATAGTCTTGGCCACGTTGTCGGCTCCAAAGTCTACCCCATGACATCTTTCTTTCAGGGAGGGCAGCTACCCCCATGATGATATAACTGGCGGTTGTCTACTTATTCTGGCGTTTACTTTTCGTACTCCTTAACATAGGTTCGACTTCAATCATTAACAACAACAAATAGGCTAGAGATGATATTTAGGTAATAAATCAGGACATTTATATATACGGAACGTGATTGAAGCTAAAGCAACTCACTGTTCAACTTATGAGATAGGACATTTTGGTGAAGGATGTAGGTAGATGGAGTTTGTAGTTCATAACATCAACATTGAATGATTAAAGTGAGAGTGAAATGGGTGAATAAGCTACCCTAGGGGTTCTAATTGATGACATCAAAATCAGGCCCCGGGGCCAGGTCGGTCGGAACGGAGCCACAGAACTTGAGTTTTTATTGGTCGGAAGAAGCTTAAAGTGTGGGACCTCTTTAGTGTATTACCTATCGGATCCTTGAACATTAAAATTTTTGGAGAACACCAAAAACCAAACACCAAAAGAAATCTTATCCGCTCTTGATTTTCGACTCGATCTGCTTGCACTTGCTCTATTCTCTCGCCATATCACCAACACAAGAAAGCCAATATGCCTCATAAACATACGCGCAGGGAGAAAGACCCATCCACGTAAATAATACCTTCTAATTATCTATTCAAACACAACATCTCGCTAACAATTATCCCTTAGATACGACCTCCCACCGTCGCAAATCGCAAAACCTCTACCGGTGAAACCCCAGGCACAGAAAGACAACAACAATAACAACAAGAAAAAATCCAACCAGAAGACAGAAAATAAAAAAACAGACGAAACCGGCAGCAAGAACCTCAAACGCAAGCGAAGCAGCGCGCCCAAGGACGATGCCCCGCGAGCGTTCAAGAAGCTGATGGCCTTTGCCGGCGGTAAGCGGCCGCGGGCCGGGCTCGACAACGGCGACGAGCCGACGGGGAAGAGCAAGAAGAACAAGAAGAACAAGAGCAAGAACGCGACAGCCACCACATCAAACACCGAAGCCGGGGCCGGGGCCGACGCCGAAGCAGAAGCGGAAGCAGAATCCCAGCCCAAACCCGTCTCACAGATCCCCACGATCAAGCCCGGCGAGCGCATGTCCGAGTTCGCCGCGCGCGTCGACGCCGCGCTGCCCGTCGGCGGGCTCATCAACAACTCGATCCGCAACGGCAAGGACCCGCTCGGTCTGAAAACATGGCGCACGAAGAAGGAGATGAAGATGCACAAGCTGTACGCCGAGTGGCGCGAGGAGGAGCGCAAGCTGAAAGAGAAGCACGAGGAGGCGCTCGAGGAAGAGGCCGAGAAGGAGCTCGAGGAGGAAGAGGCCGGCGTCACCTGGAAACTCGACCCGCCGACCAACAAGAAGAAGGGCAAGAAGGGCAAGAAGACCAGGTACCTGGGCGAGGTCGCCGACGGCGACGACGACCCCTGGCAGGCGCTGAAGAAGAAGCGCGGCGAGACGCGCGCCGGCCTCCACGACGTCGTGCAGGCGCCGCCCGAGTTCACCGTCAGGCCGCAGCAGAGGAAGATGACGGTGCGCGGGGCGGCGGTGGAGATCGACGGCATACCGAAGGCGGCGGGGAGCTTGCGGCGCAGAGAAGAGCTGCAGATCGTCAGGGACGACATCCTCGCCGCCTATCGGAAGAGGATGAGCGAGAAGCGGCCTTCGCTGCATGCTGCTGCTGCTGCTGAATAGTAGTTAGTTGTCTGAATCACTCCTCCCCCATGAATGTTAGAAACGATTCTAGATACCCGAATACAGTACTACCTACCAGAAACCTGACTAGGTATAAAAAAAGTTTACATTGTGGCGAAGCACTGTTATTCACGCTTTTGCTAACTTCGGTGCTATTTACCCTGTTCTACGGGGAATCAGTTGATCCGTGATACCTATCGGTCACAGTTTTCATAGATCTATTTATCTGCTACCTAGATGCCGGTGATGTAGACAGACGACCAATACGCTGCATGACTATGTACCTAGGTAGGTAGGCGTTACGAAGATTGCGCATTACGTTTTTGTCCATTGCTATGAAGATATCAACTGTATCTAGCTAGATAGCGGCTTCGTCTCTCGGGACAGGCACTGCAAAAGTCAGTACAGAAAAGCAGCGATTGATCGTAATTGGGATCAGAAACCCCCTTCGTTATTTGTACCTAGTTTCAAGAGCTCCTAGCTAAAAGGAATAAGACCTGCCTAGGTAGGCTGCAAGAGTTTAACAACACCATGATGCCCCTTCTCGATGGCGTGTGACGTCGGCGTCAGGCCAAGATTATCCATCGACTCTGGATTGGCCCCACAGGAGAGTAGTATCTTAACCATAGACTCCTTTCCATTCTGAGCAGCGTATGATAACGGCGTTTGACCCGTATTACTCCTCGACTCTAAATCGGCTCCGCGGTCGATTAATAGTTTAACAACAGCCTCGTGTCCATTCTTAGCAGCATGTGATAAGGGAGTCTGGCCAGAGCCACTCTTCGACTCCAAGTCAGCTCCACGGTCGAGCAATTCCCTTACCACAGGCTCGCACCCATGTGTGGTAGCAAATGATGATAGCAGCGTTTGATTGCCATGCGTCTTCGACTCCAGATCAGCCCCATGATCGAGTAATATCCTGACAGAAGCTGTATCTCCACTCTGGGCGGCTCTATGCAACGGTGTACATCCATAACGGGCTGACTTAGGATAGGGGAGGCAACGGCATGGTCTCCCCAAAACCCTGCAGCATAACGATAAAGTGGATAGAGTCGTATCCGTTCTGCACAGTCGCCCGTCGTCTGACATGGCCCGGTCTCAAAGGCACTAAATGAGAGGTACGTGACGCAATGTTTGCGATGTTGGATTGTGCATCCGGAAACCAATATTCATGCGTTCGTTTAAAAAAGTCATACGCTGAATGAGTGACAAAGTGGACAACACCGCGAATAACCACCACCAATCCAGCGCATGCTGAATGAACGAGTTCCATTTCTGGCATGTTTTCTTCTTCAGGCCTAGCCTCGCCAACTTCTACTGCGAGTGCGTGCCTGAGTTGCTGCATGTGAATTGATTGTTTTTTCCAAGTTATCCTCGATAGTGTCTTCGTAGCAAGCTCAGTTATACACGGTGTTTCATGAAGTGTTACCCGTACAAGGTCGTTTTCACTTTGACCTCGAAGGCGAAGAACCTTAGCCGCTTGGCCATCATTGCGGTCCAGTGCTTGTGTGGAGCTTTAAAAAAGCAACATCAGCTATGCAAACTCATGGCGAGGGTTTTCAGAGCTGACAAACCTTTGAAGGCATTTATTACGGAGCTGGCCATGCCTGATAGCCTCTCCCTTTGATATTGTCCGCTGTATTCCTATAAGCGAGTTCGAACATCTCCAGATTCGCGACAGAGAGGAATCTAAGAACGTATTAGTATTATATCGCGTATATAGCACCTATATAGGGACGACCCACATTCCCTTCCCCGGCTGAGCAACATTAACGAGTAATCTTTTCAAGTCTTTGCTGCCTGTACTACTGGCCCTGTAGGATATTGCGCAGGCTTCTCTTGAAATATATCTTCTATCTCCGGAACTGGTCTTGAAGTCACAAGAAGATTTGCTCCGGTAATTACCTGTATTTTGAATATCTGTGAAAGAAAAGAAGACCGGTGGTCCAAATCTCCATCCTCATCAAGTGCATCAACTACTAAAAAGACTCTTGAATATTCGAGTGCTACCATCCAGAGAAGTTCAATGGTTTCTTCAGTATTCAGTCGAGTGTCTGTATTTTCGTAGTGGCTAAATAGGGGTTTCACCTTGGGAGACATAGGATTTGATTGCCGACATAGCTGCTTTAGCAGACTTAGGAGTAAGCCAGTGGGGAGTTGCTCGTTTTCCCGTTGATAGTCGAGATATATGTAGGCAATACCGACAGAAGCGTCTTCTTGATGCATGGCGGTAAGGTGCTCTACAACCACAGATGTAGTTATTGTCTTGCCCGTCCCAGAAGTACCCGAACAGAACAAAATCTGATGTGTTCGGCGGACCCAGGTTTGGAACTCGTCTGATTGTAGTATCCACCGTCCCTCACCTTCTTGTCGTTGACTAGTCTATGCACTCTGTTGTTTCGAGTTGTCGATAGGTGTTAGCCAGCTAGCAGTTGCATTCGCCAGCTGTTGGTAATCTGGAGGACCCGGAGAATGCTGTTCCTCCTTGAAAAGTGACTTCAAGAGGCTAGCTGCGGAAGACGTAGACCCATTAGATCTTGCTACAGAGAAGTCTAGGGTGACAGATCCTAGAGAAGCTATAGATTGACCTCCATGAGCATTATTCGAGTTGCTTCCAAAAGATAACCCCTCTTCTTTAGTTTCTGTATTCCTAGGTAAAGCGAAACATGCTAGTTTTTTCCATATGAAAGGCCATTCATTTTTGGAGGCCTTTCTGAAAGGGGCCTTCGGATAGGCAGAATGGGCACATGATTCTGTCTTCTTGAATGCTCGCCTGTCCGAGGTTGACTAAGCTTTCAATCTGGGCTTCTCAAAGATTTCGGTGCTCCGTGTCAAGGTGATATTTTAACACTTCCTTGGACTTGAATAATTCGGCATGTTGAAAACAACGCCACACCTTTCGGTGCACTTGTGCCTCATGCTCTAACCAAGACATCCTATAGGCATACATGACATCGCCTTCGTGACAGTTAGAATACGTGCACATATATGGCTGAAGGTCCTGAAGAATATGCTCCCTGCGGTGGATTATATTAAGTAGGAGCCATTAAGTTTCAGACAGAGCATCTAGGGTTTATAAAGGATTAAATCAAAGTTGGTGTGCCGCACATACTATGCATGATGCTGGTCTGCTGTTGGAACAGAGATTTGCTTCACGAACGAGGAAAAGATGGAAGGGCTTGTCGCAGAGAGTTGGAGAATGCGATTGTTTTGGGATTTCCTTGATGAGAGTCCCGACGGCTACCTGGGTCGACACTGAGTTTCGCGTCGATGAAGATACTATGCAAACTGCAAGGTATTAGAATCACACTGGCTGTACCGAATTTCATACTGTCAGCTAATAAAAGCAAAAGAACACCAGGCGTCCCAGTTGTCAAGTTTTCTCTTCCAAGCGGACAAAACGGTCCTGCAGATCGCCTTTCGCAATTAATGGAAATCAATGATATTTGTTCTGTCATGTAATCAGTAAACCATCTGTTCCTGGGGTTTCGCTTGGACCCTTCGGAGACATTAAGGGGTCTGTACGAAGTAGAAAGGCCTCCATGTAAGCTGATTACAAAAAGCCTCGCCCTAGCCGACCTTCTGTCCGAAATGAGACGTACGGACTTTCCTGAGCAAGACCGTTACAGACTAGCGATTACATTAGCATCATCAGTTCTTCAGCTCAGCGAGACACCCTGGCTTCAACATCCGTGGAATAAATATGAGATTCGGTTTCTGAGACTGAGGGATAATTGTCGCGAGACTATAGATATATTTGAGTCATAGACATAAGACTCAAACTGGGACTGCCCCCTTTCTAGGACATCAGCGGATTGTTGGACAGAACATGTTTTGCCTTGCTATCATGCTGCTTGAAATCAAGTTTGGTAGGCCGATCGAGAGTTTACAGCAGCAAGAAGATTTCGGACCAAATGGTATACCGAATGAGGCGACTGACCTAACAACAACTAATCGATGGCGAAAGGGAGAGGTTGAACAAGGGAATTTATCCTGGGCATTCGCTAAAGCTATTATATATTACCTACCTTCAATGCTATCTCGACCCATTTGCATCATTTGGTAACGCGGACTTTCTCTAAGGCGGTAGAGGAGAAAGTTCTTGAGCCTCTAGAACAAGAAATGCAGAGCCTGCTCTATGGACCGTGAGAACTGATTTGTTATGAATCTCCACGAGAGATCGCAGCGAACCAATAGGTAGTCGACGATATATTCAGGGGGAGGTCTTCGCTATCAAACATGACGACCGATCTCTGTACAGCAAAATCATGGTTGATATCCCAACGACGAAGACAGGAAGAGAGGAATTGCTGACATGATAGCTGCATCAAATGCTTTCATTAAAGCTTAATAAGCAAGTGATTTTGAGTTTGAGTTTGAGTCTATTATATGTACCCTAGGTCCCTAGTATGTATTATGTACACAATAAATACTGATAAAATGAGGTTTGGCCGACATTAAACCGATAAAAGGTAGACTAGCCCATGTTTGTCCCCCGCAAAAAGTGACTCGACTTCGGCAAACAGCTTAAGCTCCCCTCATTTGAAAAAAAAAGAATTAAAAAAAAAAAAAAAAAGAAAAACTAGAAATCTCGAACCCACTCTGTTCCTCGAATTAGAACTTCGCGAACGCATTCATAAGTCAGATCCCTGAAGCACTCAAGTTCGATCCTTTTTAGTGCTTAACTTTTATCGCCCTTTTTCACTTTTTTTTTTTTTAATTGTCTTTCATCACTCCTCTCTGAATGCCTGAATATCAACGTACAACATGGAAAGAGGCCTCGATGAGCTGATTGAATCGCTCTTGACTGAAATCGCTTTCTCTGGCGTTCGGGGTGAGTTCAATTCCTTAACTACAGCCGTTTAACTGAAATATACGAATATCCAAAGACGATGCATCGTTCATTCAGATATGTTGTATTTCGAGTATTTTGAGTGAAAGCTTACTTATGTGTTGTTCACTAGGTTGTTCCGTATCTGCTGCGTTGAAAGTAATTGAGACTTTCTATGGCGACGCTGAAGAGCAGATCCGTAATACCGCTCACGAGCAATGTGATGCGCGACATATGATAGGTGGTGCTGACACCGTCAACCCCAGTACAGGGCTCCAGACTCAGCATGAGAATAGTGGCTATGACTTTTCTGTCGGCTCAAAGGTTTGGGGATGGCTGGTGGCAAGAGCGGATGTCTCTGTGGGTACTAACAGGCAATTCAACCATCTCCCATTAGATGAACTGTTGTCACTTCCAGAAGAAGATGATGTTTCTGGGTCTGTGCCAGCTTCTCCTGGTGACCTCAAAACACTTCAAAATGCAACTTCTACATCAGAAAATGGCCATCAACTGGGAAAACAACCAAAACTAGAGCAATCTGTACAGAAATACAGGCCTCGACTCCATGTTTCCGAGGAACGCCAATGGAAGACGCTTGCCGGCCATGGCCCAGATCTGAAGCGGGTCCCCTTATTCGAATGGAAAGCCTTAGTTGACATTGCATCCGTTAGGGAAAAGGGGATACTCCAGGGGGATTTAGTTCGATTGTCTGGCCAAGACAAACGATCCCTTCCGACGCGCACTGAGGCACTAGCAAGAAAAGGCTACATCATCAAGCAGCCCATAATCCTTCGCGGGTGTCGTTCTAGCAAGTTATGGCTTGCTAAATTTGCCAAAACTGCAAAGGAGAATCGCGACGGACTCAATTTCGACAAGATCGACGTGTCAAAGGAGGCCCTGACAAAAGATCTCGCCCCGGTACCGTTCAGTTCCGCCTGGAATGGCGAGAGGCTTGATTATATAGCCATTGCTCAAGCCTTTCATGCTGTCGTGAAGGCATGGGGGGTCATGCGATATTGCGATGTACGAATCAAACTAGATATTGAGAACCGCGTGCCTCAGATGAGAGCCTTAGCGAAAACATCACGTTGGTTCACCAGCATTGGAGCAGTTACGTTCGTGGCCGCAAGATTTGCCAATGGACAGAGGCTCTTTAAAGACTGTGTCAAGTTTATTAGAGACCCAACGGCTGATGAATGGAGGGTATTTCGATCTACCCCGAGCGCCCATATTAATGTTCCTTCCGCTCGTCTGGGGAAACGAGGACAAGCCTCTCGAGCTAGATACAATCAAGAAATCAACTTCAGTCCTCATAGCCAGATAAATAAACGTGCCTCGAAGAGGCAAACCCAATCCCAGTCATCAAGCCAGGAGGAGCCGATGCCATCATTATGGAACCGACACAAGCCTATTGTCAATACAACGTTTGAGATAATTCAAAGGGCTGGCCCAGAAGGCTCCTCCAATGTCGAAATTGGCCGCCTCACTTTGGGGCACGCGTACCGCAAATACACCGCAGCGCTCACTGGACAGATGTCGCTACCTAATTCACAGCCGCCTCACTTGGGACGATTTAACGTTTCCTCCCAGCTTAGCCGGCACGGTAAAACGATGGCGTACCAATTCGTTGCGAAGAGCGAAGTTAATGGTTCTGCGGAGCATGAAAGGGAGGACGGAGTCCGAAGTCAAGAAGCGAACGCGATTGTAGAAGTTCAAAACGAGGACTTTTCGCAGAAAACTTCAACCATTTCGGCAAATGGCTACACGTTTTCGCAGCCTGTACTGTCAAAATTTGCAACAGCCTCTACCTCTTCGCTCACTCAAATCCATAACAGTTTACATCATCCGAAACCCCTAAAAGGTAGGAAACGAAAGCGTATTTCAGGCAATGAGCCTACCGAAGACATAGTTGGTGATGGCCGACCACGACCCAGCAAGAAATCAAAGATAGGACAATCCTCAACCAGTGGTGAAACACCTGGAGAAGATTCCGGTGTTGTCTCTGTTACAACCTCAGGCCAAGAGATAGAACCTCCAAGACTACCGACTCCCAGACCTCCAGGTATTCACCGCGAGGTCGATAATTTCTTGGACCCACCTGGAAAAAAGGGACGGCGAAAAAAATCGCTCGTTCTCACATTCAAATTTAACTCACTCAAGGACTGGTCCTTTCTAGACCGTATGAGAGATAGGCGACCAGCAATTTCGGAAGAGATCCCATGCGAAGCTGAATCCTCTCCACCTCTAGACCCCGAACTCACTCCATCTCAAACTGCGAATATGGATGACTCTATGCAGACTGAAAAGTCAACAGCCGGGCAGAATGGGAAGAAGAAAGCGAAACAAGGCGGCAAAGGTAAAGCGTCATACCGCTGCGAAAAGTGTGGCAACAGCTGGAAGAACTCGAATGGTCTGGAGTATCATCTGAGCAAATCTCAGACTGCTTGCAATCCTGAATATATTCCGCCTCCTCCTAAACCTCCGAAGGTTGCCAAAGTAAACATTCCAAAGCCAAAACCGATCCCAAAGACTAAGCCACCGAGAAAAACGGGGGGACAAAGTCAAGACCAGACTCTAAGCATACCTGACCCAAGTCAAACGTCGCCCCGGCGAGCGCTCGAAGGTGGAGACCATCGACTACTACCTTCTAAACGGGTTCGGTCTACGGAGCATTCCATACAGGGTCAAAATCCGCAAGAATCATCTAGGAATGGGCCTATTCGAGGATCGATTGTTTTACAAGATGTGGAAGCATATGATGTTGTTGACCATCGGAGACAACGAGAACATAGCCAAGTGTCCTTGTACAACACTCAAAATACCATCCCTCAGCCACGCCATACAAGCCAGAGATTGTCGCAGTTGGCGCCAAAGCAACTTTTGGAGGGCGGCGAAGACGTTGTACGTAGCAACGGGGTTGAAAAGAACCTAGATGAGACGATAACTTGCAGTCGCCATCAAACACCCATTCACGACAAGGAAGTGGCAACTTTGGGGGTATCTAAAGCAGAATTGTCCAACTTCAGCTTACGACCCCCTGTGCTAAACAACACATCGAACGTAAGCCGTTCGAACTCTTCAATGGACTTCCAAGCGGTCTCAGCGAACAGCTCTACTGCAAATATCGCAGAAAAGGAGAAACCTCGCAAACGATCCCAGAATACTATCGGTACGGTACGCCGAGAACGCGCATCTCATATAATCCAGCATCTGATTGATCACAATGACGGCGTGTTTCCTGGGCAGCGTTCCCTTTATCTTGCTATGACCTCTCTCTGGAATAAAAGACATACCGATATACCCCCGCCTGATCTGAAGGTATGCCAGAATGTGGTGAATAACATGGAGAAAGCTGGAAAGCTCCTGCAACTGCACTTCTTTTTCCTTGACCACAGTAGCCAGCTGCAGGAATGTTGTGTACTGGCAACCCCCCCTCCAGAGGCTGTTGATGCTGCACGCTTGACTGCTAGCCCCAAAGTTGTTGCCGTCAAGGAAAAGATGAGAGAGATGTTCCCGGAGCCATACATCCCAGAGGCATTCTCTTTGCCGCAGGATGAAAGTCAACTATTCGATGCACTCGCATCGAGATACAAAGACAAGTCGCCGTCAAACGTAACGCGTAAATCAACACACAGATTTACCACGACCAGGTCAGGCGCCATTGAGGATATTGAAGTTTTGCAATATCCATCGCATGTTGTAAGTGATGTCTCCACATATGCAACCGGTTCAAAGAGACACATGGAGCAAGATGAACCAACACTGGCATCCCCTACCAAAAAGGTCCGCCTTGACAATGTCGACATCGATAAGCCTCGAAATTCGCAAAAGCTTCGGAAACGAAGCGAACACAGAGAATATTGGGATACGGGAAAAGTAGCCAAATATATCTGGACCCAAAAGCAAAGCCAAGGTGAGAAATGGGAACAAAAACATGCCTACCTTCAAGACTTTGCGACTGGGGCATGGTCAGCCCCGGTTCAAGAGACCACCTCGTTAGCACCTAGCATTGACACGATTCTATCGTCTCCGAAAAACACTCATCGTAACACGTTGAATTCAATATGGCGACGGTCAAACAATATGCTGAAGGCCTCCAGCGGAAGCACGAACACAAAGCACACAATCTCATCCGACACAGGGTTTTGGAATGGCTCTCAAGGTGATGGAAATGGAGGTACATATGATGAAGTATTGCAGGATGCTTTGGAAAAGGCGACCAAAGAAATCACGGCGAATCAGTTCGTCGAGCCGGCGATTTCTACATCATTTGTGCCAGAGGATTCCGGAAGCGATGAAGAAGAGGATGAAGAGGATCCCCTCGACGCACAGCATACCCCTCTCACAGATGATAACCCAAGTACACGGCCAGAGGATGCTGGCACAAGATTTGCAGAGAACGAAGTAATCAAGTGCTCGCAATCTGGCAAGTGGCCATGGCTGCCTGCCAGCTATTTCGAATCAAATTCGACCAGCTTCTTGTTAGCTGGGGCCATGCCGAATGCGAGATGGTTCCAGCGAGAGAATCTGCCGCAGGGTGCCGGAGATATCCTCAGAACTTACCGGGGTAGATTTCAATTCACCTCCTGGGCAGATCCCTCCTACGGAAAGTTTCTACGTGAGGTCGGCATCATTGAGAGATGGGAACAATCAGCTGAAGGCTCTCGTGTCATCATGCACGGATCAGTTGCTCCTGATTATATATTCATGTCTCTCTCGTCCGAGGTCCCTCGATCGAACATGAAACCCATCACCTTGGAATGGCCAAGTGCAAACCAATTCACACCGGACACATTACCAGACGATATCAAGAACGCTTCCGCCGACGACGAAAACATTGGATTGCCCAATGTGGTTCGTCATAACAGGGGCCGGCCAGTAAATGGACAGAACTCCGAGTCACGATTGGGGAAGGCTGCTCGATCCAACACGAAGAAGAACTCAAAGGCAACGCAGATAGTCATGGCGTCCCAACCAGAAGTCCAGTATAAGACACGGTCACTCAGACCAATACCCATCCAGCCACGTGGTCGTGTAAATAGACCACTCCAAGACGACGACGCGCTTGGCCTCAGTGGCGAAACCGAGCTCATCGCTGCGCACGTCGTCTTTAAAACACTCCTGGGAGGAGTGGATAGGAAGGTGGACATCGGTTTGATCCTCAAGACTTTCCCCAGATGCTCTCACTCAGCCTTGAGAAAATTCTGGCCCCGGGTCAGTAAGGAGCGGAAGACCTACATCGATGCCCTGACAGTGAAATTCCAGTCGGCATTTCTAGAGGCCTACGAAGAGGGCCAATTTCCACCTTTAAATTACGACGACGTGGAGTCCTATGATTGGAAATCATTGATTATTTGGGCGACCAAACTCGAGACTCACGAGAACGTCCATCTCCCCAAATCCCGTCGTGTTCTCGAGGAGACTTACTCGCTGGAGAATGTAGCGAACGAGGCCCCGGATTGGAGAGAAACATGGTTCCACGGCATCACGTCTATCTACGCTCGAATGGAAGGAACCTCTAGCGAGCCTATCTCGATCCCCCTTAACCACGGCGCGCCGGCCGACGACGAGATCATAAGTCGCGCAAGATCGTGGGTCCGTTCCTTGTGCGTCACGCGGATCAACGGCGCGAATGCACCAGAGGAGATCCGCAAAAAGCTCCTCCAACTAAGCGGCAAGGACGACGCCGAGACGAACAAGCTGCTCAAGAAGGTAGTCGACCGACTCGTGGTGGAGCGAGTAGCGGCGCGAAGCAAGGGGAAGATCCTCGGTCAATCGCTACGCCTACACGGGATCTTCGCGAAGCAGCTGGAGAAGTCGGCGCCGATCGAGCGCCTCGAGCAGGCCGCGCACTTCAAAGCACAACTCGACGCGAGCTTCCGCCACCACGGCGGCGCGCCGCACGTCGTCCTGCCGTACGTCGCCAACGAGGGCACCATCCTCGCCGTCCTCAACCTCCAGGCCCACGCCCGCATCCGCATCGACCCCGTCGACCCAACCCCCAACATCCCCTTCGGCTTCGAGCCCGGGAACTACGACGGCCGCACCTTCCCCAAGAGCTACTACCACTTCGCCCTCAGGCTCTCTCCCACAAGCAGCTACCTCCTCGACCAGGACCTCCCGCTGCTCGCGCAGGTCGAGAAGATGCAGCCGCCGACGAGGGGCGCCCGCGGCGAGATCCCCATCTGGGTCGACTTTCACGGAAGGCTCGACCAGGGCCGCTGGATCACGTACCTCTGCATGGTGGTGCTGGCGCTCGCGACAAAGGGCCCGCTCACCCCGCACACGGCGTCCACGCTGCTGAAGCCGTTCGTCGAGCCGTTCGAGGCGAGGGCCATCATGGACTGGGTCGAGGAACTGGGACTCCTGGGGCCGTCCGCCGCGACGGTCGGCGAGTGGTGGTGGCTGGCGGTGGGCAGGCTGGCGATGGGGAGGGCGAGGAAGGTTGAGTTTCAGCGGTAGGTGCGGGGGTGGGGGGTGGTGGGTGGTGGGTGGTATTGTATACCCAGCCTACCTACCTAGGTACGGTATTCGGTATTGTAAATTATAACATCAGATTCATTGCATCACACGGTATATAGCATGGCATGGCAAGGCACGGCACGGCGTTTCGGAAAGGAAGGGAAGGGAAAGGAGTAAGAATGAAAAAAAAAACAAAGGAGAGAAGCAAGATATCCGATAAAATTCCCGCTGCGAAGCATTCGCTGGATTTTTTTTTCCTTTTCGGGGGAGGAGGGAGGGGGGTTTAAGATAAGAATGGTGATGGTGATGGTGATGATATCACGCCGCGAGATAGGTAATGCCGATAACTAGTTGCGAACTCGATGTATACTAAGGAAGGGAAGGGAAGGGAAGGAAATGAAGGGTATGATGATATACCGCCATACTCAGAATTTGAGGTGGAATTAATTCAGTCTACTTTGACATCACTCACTTGTCTATCTTGAGTCTTTCTTAGTAGGTTAGTTATTATGACTTGCGGGGGTGAGATCTTATACCCAGTCCTCACCAAACCAACGAAGAACACACTCATAATAGAGGTAAGATTGCATATGCATAGGTACATACCTACCTACCTAGTACCTAACCTAGTAAGGTACGGACACCGACACGAATAATCAGGGAATTCGGTAAAATCGAATTATAACTCAATTCTTGGTATCTATACCTACCTACCTAGGCAATTAGGTACCTATTCATGCCATGCCATGCCACAAGCAACATCAATGATAGTAACAAAACTCCTGTATCCCGTCCAAAACGCCGTTGCTGGTGCCATCTTCATTCGTTTCTTTCTTCTTTCTTTCTTTCTTTCCTCGGTCGCCACATTTAGTATCCCATAAAAATCTTCAATATCATGGCTATCAGCACGACTGTTAGCGATGCGATAGCGTAGTCGACCCATGCTGGCACTCCCTCGTTCGGGTCTATCTGAGTTGGCATCTGGGCTAATGGAGCCCGTCCCACGGGATTTGGCAGCGGTACTGTCCTGGTCGGGGGTGGCACGCCTTGCGCAGGTCTCACAGGTGGTGTTCGCGCCGAAGTTGTTGTCGGTGGCAAAATCTCCCTCTCAGGCACCGTTTGCACGAATCCTTCGGCTAGTTGGGCGCTCTCGCCATCCTCTGCAGACTCTTCACCATCATTAGTCTTAGCCTTCTCCATCTCATCACGGAATCCCATTTTCAACTCGGCCGGGACCTCAACCTCTTGCCTCTTCTCGCTATTCTCGGCATCGAGCTCTTTGCACCGCTCTTCGCACTCGGCGATGATCTCACCGTTTGTCTTGGCACAGACGGCACACTTCCATCCTTTACTCTCCGTGGCCAACTTACGGCGCACGGCATCGCTGGTATCAAGGCCGCCGAGCTGCCCGCGGGCATCAGTCTCCATGAAAGAACGCAAGGCCACGAGCGCGGTTCGGACGCCCCAAGCGGGCTGCCATGTTTCCTCGTGGTGTCCTGAGATGCTGAGACAGATCTCTCGGTTGGCCTCGAAGCGGCCGCTAGGGGTGGTGAAGCGGAAGGAAGGGGGGCGAAGCGGGTAGGTAGGTGGCAAGACGATGCGGCCGTGATAGATTCCGTCTGCAAATGAAGAGTTAGGTGGACCGCAAAGGGTGAAGTGCCATTCGAAGAGGTCGGACTCGAGTGGCGAGGCTGTATAATCTGGGGACGGAGAGTTGGAAAGTTCGGCTGCTTCTCTCACTGTTGGAGTGTTATTTGGTTAGCTATCAATGATATACTATAAGATGTAATATGATGAAATAAGTAAAAGGGAAAACATACATATGCGCTTAATGGTGGGTGATTTCGAGTTGAAGCGAGGGGTAGCCATGATGAGGTGAGGGTACTAGGTTGTTGTGCTTCACGATGGTTTCTTGTATTGGCGGGGTGAATGATTATGTATGTATAATGTTGTTCATTTACAGGTCATTGCGAATTAAGGGAAGGTAATAGGTTGATGACAGAGATAGAGATAGATAGTTATGTACTATGTAAATATGTAAATATGTATAATTTGTAACAATCTGGTTTTAAAAGGTTTCAGAACATTGATCAATGTTTGAACGTCAATGTTTCATCCGAGTTTTGTTAAGGCGATCTTCAAATTCTATTTACTTGAGGCGAGGCCAGGTTGTCATTGATGAGTGACGCGAGTTATTAAGTTTTAGTTTACGACTTGCGACAACTGGGGATGTTTAAAGGTAACTACATAGTTACTGTACGTAAGCCACTGCAGGCACTGAATACTGAAGATAACAATAAGTCTGGGGTACGATAAGGGACTTAGATCTCACACGTGACGTGACGTGACGTACCTGACTCAGACAATTATGAGGTCACGTTACTAGGTCACGTTATTATGCTATGTATTGAAGTTCTTACCCCTATTATTTAAACACCAAGCCAAACATGCATACTACATACATACAATACTTACTGCACTGCTTCATTCAATGTTGGAACAAGTTAGTTCCAACAATAATAACCGCCTAGAATCTTACATATATAAATCACTGAATAAGTATCAAGTTATAGCTCTAAAGCAGTACAATCTAACATGTTCAAGTGACTAAAACACCAAGCACGAAAGCAGTTGAATCGATATGAATCGATATAATTCTCTGTCCATATTAGATCGATATATATCAACGACATCATCTACTGATAAAATGAATATTTTACGACCCAACCAACTACTAGGTACCTAGGTACCTACTGATTATGTAACTTTTCCGGTTGATTCTATGAGCAGAAGGTGCCTTTGAGGTCGATCTAGGTAGGTATGTAGGTAGGTAGGTAGGTAGGTAGGTATATATCCCTGTACTAGAGGTAATTAGAGGAAAGCACACAAGACAGGCACCTTCCTTTACTTCTCTTTTCTCTTTTTTCATTTTTTTTTCCATCCCTACTTCCTTTCCCAGAAACAAACCATAATATTTCTCAATCTCTGATGTCTACCCTAGGTACTTAGGTAGAACACAGTTCTTTCCCCCTTCCCCCTTCACACAAACCTCCTCCTACTACCTTCCATCTCTTATTCAATCAGCCTTCCTGGTAGGAAAGTTGACCCCCTTCGTCTATTGATACTACCCAGTAGTACATACATAGCTATTTCAGAAGCATATTGCCATACGTCTCATCGTTGAGGAAATATTAAAGATGGCGTCAAACACAGCAACTTATTACCATCGCCGCTCCACTTCTACTTCTTCCTCATTGTCCATGAGTCTATCGGATCGTCTAGATCAGGTACGAGGCCAGGTATGTCTATTATTCCCCCCCAAAATACATAGCACTTGCTCAGTCAGAACCCGACTAATCATCAATTTCTGCAGAATAACAACCACAACGCTGATCAAGGTCTGACCTGCCCTGGTTGTGCGGGGAGGTTTGTTAGCGGGGCATCATGGATGCAGCACGTCCAAAGAAACCGTTGCTCCCGTATAGACCCATCGGATATCTCTACTGGATTTGATGATGCTATAGAGGCATCGGTGAATCATCTGCGCGAACTTATCCTAAGTTACGATGGAAAACCGGAGTTCCTTGTGCCATCACACATCACTGATGTTTGGGGAAATGGCTCAAAAGATGAGGCCGGCGTCTATCCATTTGCTTTCAGTCAATATGCAGAGTCTCTCCAGCTACTCACGAACGAAGAGTACGCTTGTGGCGATTCCAAGGTGCCCGATCTCCTAACGGGACAGACTGCTCGCGCTCTTGACCAGCCCCCGGACAACGCTTCGGCTCAGAAGAATATCACTGCGGAGGGGCACAGCTGCGATCCCAATGACCCTACCTTCAACGTGGCCGCATTCAAGGTTGAGCTATTAGATGTGTACAAGTGTCCCTATAAAAATTGCAAGTGAGTAATTAACTGCCTATACCACCACGCCGCTCGCCTAACATCATTATAGTTCTAAATACAAGTATGGTAAAGGTTTGATCGCTCACCTAAAATCTACGACCCACACTACACCAAAGTTTAGATGCCCGGGATGCCAAGGTCAATTTAAGTCCGCTATTTCCTGGGTCCAGCATGCAGAAACTGTCAGCAGCGAGAATTGCACCATTCGACGAACGCCCTTTTACGAAGCGGTATTGAAGCAGATGACTGCTGGTGCCTTGACTGTTGGCAGCTTTGACACCCTGACCATGACGGTCAAAGTCAAAATCGACGAAACTTGGGCGGAGTCTAATCTCTCCCGCATGTCAAGTCTGCTAGATTCGGATGAGCCAGACCGTGCTTGGTACTGTTCACCCCAGAAAGAAGATGGGCTATTCTAATGTCGACGATGCCATGAAGAATGTAGGGCTTCTAGAAGAATCAGAAGTCACAAGGCCCAGACGAATTATGCAATGACTGCAAAGTTTAATGAGGCCGTTTACTACTCAAATTTGAAAGGAACTGTCATTAGATGACATTTGGCCAGATCTCCGGGCAATATGATGGTTGCCCTTACACAATCAAAACTCTTGGCTTTGCCTACCAACGCATCTAATCTGCACCGACGTTTTCGCGTTTTCGATACTTGGTCATACCAAACTCAGGTTAATATAGCACCACAAGAGTTGACTAATGAAGATCAATGATCCAATATTATTGGCATTGAGTATTATGAAGTGTAATACTAGGAATACTGGATGTGATGTCAGTCGAGTCCGTCAGACATCTAGGTATCGGAGGGTAAGAAGTCTACCTGGGTAGATGGTCTGCCAAGAATAATGGACACGGCAACATGGAGTGCTGGGGATATTCATCGGCCAATGGGCTCGTGGGAAGCAACCCCCAGACTTCATCGCTGGGGAGTTTATCCACGGTTGGGTGGTATTTCAATACGCCCGCGGATTACTTACTCTACTCAATTCAGCCGCCCCGGGTTCTAGATGCAAGTATGTGTCTTGGTACTCGTTGCTGGTTGTCAGTTTATGTACCTAGTTTACTGTCACTTAGGTGCTACAGGTGTTTCCTTGAATTGCAGACGTTTCTTTTCTTAAGGTGTTGTGTTTGAATACCTACTTAATTACGTACCTACCTAGGTAAGTATGTATCGTAGTTACTATGATATAATACTACCTCGCAGTTGTGGAACTTGATGTAATCAAGTCTTACTTTAAGACACCGTAGCATTCTCGAACCACAGTGATTTCGTTCCCGGGGTTTCTTGCTTGGAAGCTGGCTGGGTTCTCCGCCATTTTCCAATGTCAGGGTACATATACCTACCCACTTCCTGGACAAAACAATCTATGGGTGGGTGAGCTGGATAATAAGTAGTAAAGTACCCATTGAACCCTGCATATGAATATATTGCTCAGTCGGCTGGTGATCGTCGTGGTTTCTGAGGGGGTGGGGGGGAAGGGTTTTCCGGCAGATTGTAGGAAGCGAAGACCCTTATGACCGGATCGACGCTGCTTGGGGGCGACCTAGCTCGGGGCGGGTATATAGGTACTGTTCTCTATTTCAACTTCATTACCTACTCCTCTACGTAGATTATCTAGTACCTACTTAGCGAAAGAAAAAAAATTGGTTGCACCCGGCGACCATGCATCTACGCGTAGCGGTGGCACCAGTCGCGTGGCTCCTTGCCGGCCAGAAGGTGGTGGCGCAGGGCATCGGCAACGACGAGACGCATCCCATGCTGACGACGGAGAAGTGCACGCTTAAAGACGGGTGCGTGAAACAGAACACGTCCATCGTGCTCGACGCGAGCTTCCACGGCTTACGGGAGATAAACGGGACCGGCAGCTGCGGCGGCTACGGCGGCGGCGCGCTGAGCAAGGTGCTGTGCCCGGACCACGAATCGTGCGCGAAGAACTGCGTCTTGGACGGCGCCGACTACGAGGGCAACGGCGTGTTCGCGAACGGCACCGCGCTGACGCTGAACCAGTACATGGACCGCGACGGGGACGGCAACGTGACGGCCGTGAGCCCGCGCGTGTACCTGCTGGACGCGGACGGCGTCGACTACGAGGTGCTGCACCTCAAGAACCAGGAGATCAGCTTCGATGTGGACGTCTCGAAGCTGGTTTGCGGCATGAACGGCGCCATGTACCTCGCTGAGATGAACAAGACGGGGGCCCGCGGCGCTCTCAACCCGGCTGGTGCAAGGTACGGGACGGGGTACTGTGATGCGCAGTGCCCGAAGCTGCCTTTTATCAATGGAGTGGTAGGTTTGGTTCTTACAACGGCTTTTTTCCTTTCAAGCTATTTAGGTTTGCATGTAATACTGACAAAGGCGGGATTACCATAGGCAAACATCGATGCCAAGGGAGCCTGCTGCAGCGAGATGGACCTCTGGGAAGCCAACGCCATGGCATCATCATTTACGGCGCACGCGTGCAGCAAACCGGGCGTGTTCGAGTGCACGGGGGATCAGTGCGGCGGCCTAGGGGTGTGCGACAAGTCCGGGTGCTGGTACAACACGTGGAAGCTGGGCAACACGTCGTTCTACGGGCCCTCGTCATCATCCTCATCTCCCGCGCCGCCGCCAGGAGGAGACACGGCCAAGAGATTCGTCGTGGACACGACGCGCCCCTTCACAGTGACGACCCAGTTCCTCATCTCGGCGATGCCGGTGGGGCCCAGCAAGGGCATCATGAACGAGGTGCGGCGCCTGTACGTGCAGGACGGCGTGGTGATCGAGAACGCGGGCGTCACGGCGCCGTACATGCCGCCCGGCGACTCCCTGCGCATGTCGCACTGCCAGGCCGTGGCCAACTACGGCGAGGGCATCGGCGGGCTGACGACGGCGGGCAATGCGCTGGAGCGGGGCATGGTGCTCGCGTTCAGCATCTGGAACGACGACCGCCAGTTCATGAACTGGCTCGACGCGGGCGAGTCTGGGCCGTGCTCGCTTGAGGAGGGAGACCCGAGGGTTATCAGGGAGAAGAGCCCGGATACGAGGGTCACGTTTACGAATATTAGGTGGGGGGAGATTGGGAGTACTTATAGTCATGGCACTGGTGCGGCAGCGGCAGCGGCAGCGGCTTCATGAGTTGATTTTGGTGGGATTGTGAGATGGAGGAGAAGGGAAGGGTGCTTGAGAGGCCTATATGTTGAAAGATGACCAGATTAAAGATGACCAGATTACCTACGCCGTATGTACATACCTACCTACTTAGTAATCCGTGAGCAAAGAGAGTGATAAGAATTACGTAAGTAACTCACTTAAATGCATAAAGCTCAGATATGTACATAGCATTCTAAAACGCGGCCGGCAGCTGCCCGGCCGGTAAATCCGTGCACCGCCACAGCCAAGCCATCTCACACTAAGTTCAAACTAGGTTAGTGGCTATCGATTGCCCCTTGTCGCATAGCCATTTCAGAAGAACTTCCTGCGCATCCTTGGAATTTCATCAGGGGTCCCAGACCAGACCACGCAAGACGCAAGTACCAAGACAACAGACCAGCACCACAAGCCAACAGGGCAGGCAACCCAACAACTTTTTATCTTAAGTTGGTTTCATGATGTGAATGTTTGCTTGCTTTACTTATTTCATTTTTGCTACATGACTTCAAAATCCTAACATCAAAGCTGTAACTTACCCTCGTTTAATACTGTCGCCTGCCTATATGTCTGCATTGCTATCACCTCTACCCTCTACAAATACCCTTCACCGAATTACCTCATGGATAGAATCCCCTCGCCGTCGTTGCGATCACCAAACATGGCTCGGAGATGGGCGCGCCGGATCGAGCGCTATTGCTGCAACTGTCTGACGTATTTCCCGCTCGCCTTTGTCTACGGTCTCACCACCTGGGCCGTTTGGGTCGTGGTTAATATTGGTTCGAGTACGACAAGTAAACCCATTTGGATAGGTTCGTATCTTGAATTCATGTTTATTTAATCATTCATTTGATGTTTATCCATACCTACATGATACACACACGACACAGCACCCCGCGATAAACAATGTCCTGAGCCATAGCTGACAAATGAATGCCCTCATCTACAGGAACCAAATCCTCCATCGTCGGCGTCTTTTTTTACATAATGCTCAACTGGTGCTACACAACAGCTGTTTTCACGAGCCCAGGTAGCACCACCAGCGATACCGGCTACTCAACCCTCCCGACCGTTGCCCCACCACAAGCGACATCTTTCACTGTCAAGTCCAATGGCGAGATCCGTTTCTGTAAGAAATGCCAGGCGCGAAAGCCGGATCGCGCCCACCACTGCTCAACTTGTCGACGATGCGTGCTCAAGATGGATCATCATTGCCCTTGGCTCGCTACTTGCATCGGCTTACGCAATCATAAAGCTTTCTTACTGTTTTTGATATATACCACCATATTTTGCTTATACAGCTTTGCCGTTTCCGGGTCTTGGGTTTATTATGAATTACTCGGCCAGACCCAATACAATAATACACTAATGCCAGTCAACTTCATCATGCTAGCTGTCGTTTCCGGTATCATCGGACTCGTCGTCGGCGCATTCACCGCTTGGCACGTAATGCTAGCGGCTCGAGGCCAGACAACTATTGAGTGTCTAGAAAAGACTCGTTACCTGAGCCCCCTACGAAAATCAATGCAGCATCAGTACATTGCGCAGCATAATGGCGAAGGTATCCCGCTACCAAGATATGGGCAACAACTGTTAGATATTCATGCAAATGCTCTGCCAGGTATCACGAGGCCAGAAGAAGGTGAGATGATCACGTCTGGGGATAACAACGACGAGCACCGACACTTCTCGTACGAAGAAATGGAGCGTTACCGCGCTCAGAAGAGATACGAGGAATATTTAGACGAGCAGGATTCTGAGAAGCTACCGAACGCTTTCGATCTCGGCGCCAAACGCAATCTACTGCATCTTTTCGGACCCACTCCTACGCTCTGGTTTCTCCCTATCATGAACACGACAGGCGACGGTTGGAACTGGGAGGCGAGCCCTAAGTGGTTGGCTGCGACAGACCGTCTTGCAAGAGAGCGCGAAGAGCAGAGACGGAGAGAACGAGCCGCTGGTTGGGGTGAACCCGATTCGAGCCCCCCGCGTATTACCGTCGAACGAGCCACTGAAGCCAGTAGGCACTACGTGTCGTCACCCCCGACACCACAGTTCAGCAATGGTGCTCGAATTACGCCATCCAAAGCAGACCGCGTACTTGGACGAGATCCGAATTTATATGTTGACGAGCCGACCACGTCTGTTTCGATGCGAACTTTGAATAAGCAGGGCGTAGATATCGAACATGGATACGACTCGAGCAGCAGTAGTAGTAGTGATGATGCGGAATACGATGATCCCGAGACCAAGGCGATGAATTTGGTTACAAATGGTGGTTGGGCAAAGAGTGGCGCTGCGAGTAGCCTACTGAAAAAGTTGCCTGCGAGATACCATACAAAGCCCGCCCCGCAGAAGGGTCCTGCCAAATATGATGCGGAAGATGAAGTGGACTGAAAATGAATTTTGAGAGTTCAGAGTTAAGAATGAGGAGATGAGAGTAGCAGGGTGGGATTTGAGAGTATCCTACTTGGTTGGTGGTACATGAGTGTGTATTTGAGGGAAAGGTGAAACGGAGGCGGGAAGGGGATAACTGTCAACTTTACGTCTTGTTTGTTGTAAGTTATGTGCTTTTATGGGTATTACTGCATGCATGGCTTGGGCGTTAGGATCAATGTGTGTGTGTTAAAGGGTTGTCTAAATGATGACATTCGGTTTTTTATCTTCGTATGGTATACGGTACTGGGCTTCTTCTTTTGGGGCCAAAGGGAAAGAAAAGATACCTAGGTAGCTTTGAGAAGCAGATCTTTTTGTATAATGAATGGAATTACACGTACTACAATAACATACCATATCATATTATACCACCCGCTGAAAATAGATGGGGGGACAAGAAGGTTGATGAATGTGTAACAGTGAGTTGGACTTTTGATTTATGCCCCTACCTTGTTGGCCCTTTCATGTGTATCGTTGGGTGGTGGTGGTGGTGTCGTCCTACCTTACGTAGGTATTGTTGGTGATACAAACCCCTATCCAGGTACCTAGGTACGCGAACATTTGATAAAGGGGTAACATCAATGAGGTACATACCTAGTAATTACTATGTACCGATTTCCAATATTTACATATAGTTATGTCAAGCCAGTCAACCAACCACACTCACCACTCACATAAACAGATCAATCACGTAGGACAAAGTTCAATGTTCGTTGTTCACCAGTACTAAACGAGGAGTATGTACCTACATACCTACCTACATACCTACCTGGTAACATACCTTACATATGATAGACCCCTATGTAGCATGCTTGAGGTCAGGTACATGTACTATGTAGGTAGATAGGTACATGGAGATCTTTCTAGACCCTCCAGTCCCCCCCCGGTCTACATACATAGTTACCTATGTACATGTATTGTTCGTTCCAACTCCACTCTTATGTATTAGATCGCCGCTCAGCTGCAGGTTACAGGTCATATTTACATAGGTAGTTACATGTACCTAGGAAGGTATGTATGTGTGCGGACCAAACGCCCCAATATCACAATGCGCCAATTTTTTTTTTACTTTGGGGGAGGGGGGGGGGGGATTTGTTAGGGTTTGCGCGTTCTGTGTAGGTACATACTTGGATAGAAAGATGGGAAGATGGGAAGAAAATGCGTCTTTTACGTAGGGAGGCAGGTAGGCGGATAGGCAGGCACATGTAAGTAAGTATGGATATGCCGAAGGGGGGCTAGGAAATGGAAGTACATAGCTGCCTCCCGGGTACCTAGGCACGTGTCCGTGTAGTTTACATAGATAGATTAGGTACATATAGGTTATCCTATGTATGTACGACAGCAGCAGCAGCAGAATAAGGCCCATACATACATGTACATGACCGACAGACCCCCACGAGCCAAGAGACAAACGCCTCGGAGGTGCCTATGTACGTGTAGGCAGGTACCTATCCCAGCGGAGTTTTGGTTTCTCCTTAACTAGGTACCTAACCTATGTAGTTCCTGGCGTAAGCTGCTGTTTTTTCTGCAACTAGGCACTACTAACTATATAGCAGGGCGAAGATGTGGCGTCCAGGAGAGGCCCTGGAGTTGCTGAAGACACTGGGGCGGTAGGTACCAGGATATGGGGAAGGTGGGCAGTAGGTAGTGGGCAGGTTAGCAAAGAATATCACCGTTGTTACCTACATACCCAAGCTCAAATATCAGCTACCAAAGTAGGTTAAGCCGGTAGGTGAGGTATCTACCTATGTATATACCTAGGTAAGCTGGATATATCTTCTTTTGGAGTTGGGACTTTCTGTTTTACCCCTGACACTAAAATGCGCGCAAGCGTGTAAGAATAGACAGCGATGAACCCCTTACTTGCTTGCTTACTTACGGGAGGGCCGGACGGGTCTTCCGCCTGGGTAGGCACATACTTGGGATATAGATAGGTAGGTAGTCTTATGTAGTTGTGAGTAGCCGTTAATATAGGTAGGCAGGTAGGCACTTAGGTTGGCGGCATATACGTAAGGGCTGCTTCAATTCCAATGTAGAAACCCGCGAATAAGAGGGGACTGGCGGTCAATACGCATTGTTCTAGAAGTTGGTCCGGTACCTACATACCATAGACCTAGGTATACCTATGTATGTATTGTACCTACACCCATTAAAGGCTGACGTGTTGGTGGGTGGGTATATGTACGGTACCTGTGCTCTGAGACATACATACATAATATCTACACGTGCATGTAAAGCTGACAGTTTTGACAGCCTCTGCAGATTGTTTAGGGGGGGACGGGGAGTGGTTCCCGAGCGGTGAGGTTTCGGGTGGTGGCGTTTCTCTGGGCAATGCGGGAGCGGAGAATATTGGATGTCTTGGATTGTATAAAGATAGAGAGCCACCTACATCCTACATGTACCTACTTAATATATCGATATTGGGAGATCCTTGGCTTGGACACGTGCAGGTAGGACACAGATATATTGCTCACGTTGTTGTAGCAGCCTTAGTTAGGATAAACCGTTCCGGAGGTATGTCAAATCCAAACATACACAGAAGTCGTGTGTGTAGCCTACATACATATACGCTTTATTGCTTGTTAGTTGTCGTTCATTGGTTCTCGGTCACAGGAAAATAAAGGAAGAAAAGGAGTTGGAGATGGTGATGGAGGCATACACCACCACCACCACCACCACCACCAAGAGAAGGCAACGCAGCCGACCTACCTACTCCAAAGCCTGATGGTCACTCACCATGTCGCTTAGTGGCTGTTTTCTCTACCACTGCAGCAAAAGCAGCAGTATGGAGCTTTGCTTTTGTCTAGGTTCCGGGTTGTTTGTGGTCTAAAAATGACTCCGCATGCTTTCACCCACCAATATCGCCAAGCCCAGGTACAGACTCTTGTTACTGTAGGCCCAGCTTCATCTTGTTGGGATATACACTTGACATCCCTTGACTCGTCAACATGCCTTCCGCTCGCCACTAACATATGCCGTATGAGTGGCGTTCGATCCCCCCCCACGACATTCAACCAATAGCTTCCGGAATCATCTCCTGTCAACGGCACGGCTTATTATATGTGTATTGGTTCTATTAATATATGCAGATTCGGTGTGGTGTGGAGGGACCGTACCTACCTAATCATCATCATCATCATCATCATCACTGTAATCACTAGTGCGGACGCCGGATGCCATCCGGAGCAGTAGCTCAGTTTCACGTTGATGAGGTTGCCCACCTTGAGGACTTATGTATATCGTCTAAACACACCTCCTCATATACATACACCACAAGCTATGTATCGGTAGGTAGCTTACGGGTTGGCATTCTGACTCTCTGGCATTGGCGAATTGTCACAACTACGTCTTCGAGTCACTAGTTGCCTCCCTAAGTACATACTTGATATCTACCGATGTGTTCTAATATTACTCACAGTTACGCGGCTAAGAGCCCTAATCAACGAACCCGCGCCTCCCTAAAAGTTCTCTAAAAGCTGACTTCCATGCCGCACATAAGCAGAGTGGGTGAGCTAAGAAAAAGGGGCGTTCGGGAATACCCGCCCCTAAGTTGCGGGATGTAGGTCTAAGGCGATGATTATTCTCGAACTCCACAACATACCATAGGTAAAGCAAGCTAGCGGCGCTATCTACCATTGTAGATACATCAATGTAGATATATTCTAAATATATCAGTTAATACCTTCCTGGGCAGATACCTAGGGAGGCAGTGAACACGCCATCGAGGCACTATAGTACCTATAGCTCACCCCCCTTACCAGGTAGGTCCCCGAGCCCCAGCACCTAATAGAACGCCCACAGAACAACGCGGGCTGGCTGAAATACGGCCGGGCCTGCTGAATGGGGGAGGAGTTCATGCACTGACTGATTCCCTTACTTACACACACACACCATCCGGCATGTACGGATCTACGCTTCGATCGAAACTAGACAGGCACGGTGGATAATAGCTCATGTATTGTACAAGTACCTATCCACTGATCACCAGCTGTCATCAGGGGCACAGCCAGCCCCCTGAGCTTTAGCGTGCTTACCTACCTATTTAGGTACCTGTGTGGTTCGTTACTCTGCTGTACTTGCCTCGCGGGACTGCGGATCTGCGGAACGGGTATGTTGTGGATGTTGCAGCAGAACTGCAACTAAGAAGAAGGACGATGGAAGGAAGAAAGCTTGGCTTATTCCTGACTACTCTGGCGGAGTGCCAATATACCTATGGCCATATGGAGCTTATGGTGCCTCAGGCACCTGCAACCGTGGATGAGGTAGATGTAGGTACCGCTAAGTCCTGCGACATTCCCGAAGACTTCTCGGGTGTTGTCGCTGTGGGAATAGATAGGTTCCCGGGGGAAAGGGGACGGGCTCTAGCATGGCTTAGGTGAGGTGTAGGTACCTAGGTTAGGGCCTGACGCCGTACGGCCGCATGTATGGCCGCCTTATGTAGGTCAATACCATGGATAGGTACTAGGTAGGTATGTAGGTTAGTTACCTAGTTAGGGGACGAATGGTAGGTACAATACAATACCCAGTAGGTAGGCTATAACCATGCCGGCAAAGAAACAAACCGTTTATTACGTCGCCGTCTACCGAAGTACCCAGGCTTACCATCATTATATCACAGTGAACTTAACATGTTCATCGGCATTAGTTAATAGGTGTTCATGCCTATCATACCCCCCCCCCCCCGGCTATTCTATGTACGTGGAGTTCCGCGCATAGAAGCCGCTGGCTCCCGCGGTGCTTACTCCTTACCGGGGGTTATTCGCGCCCCCAGGGGGGGAGGGGGAATTGAAAAGGGGCCGGGGGGGGGGATTTACGTGCCCCAGGTATCTACCTACTAAACCTAGTCTATATCTCGCAAGAATCTACAAAGTAGGCAACAGTACCTAACTATGAGGTTATTCCGGGGTTTGGGTTACGTATTAGGTTAAGGAGGCAAGTTGGATATTCTCGCTGCCTTAGCT